TCGCAGAACGGCGTGACCACCACCTCCGACCAGCGGGACAAGGTCGACGTGGTCGACGAGACCCTCGGGCTGGAGTTCGTCCGCGGGCTGCGGCCGGTCACCTGGCGCTGGGCAGAGAAGATGATTCCAGCAGCGGATACCTCGAACATCACCCAGGTTGAGGGGTCGCGGCGTCACCATGGCCTGCTGGCGCAGGAGCTGCGCGCCGCTCTGGGCACGGACGCCGACGGCATGTGGTGTCTGTCGGACCCTGCGGACCCCAACTCGAAGCAGGCCGTGCGCCTGGAGCAGCTCATCGGGGTCTTGATCAAGGCGATCAAGGACCTGGACGCGCGGTGCTCGGCGTTCGGCATCCCGGTGTGAGCTTATGTCAACTCATTATAGAGGAGCATGCACGCACAGGAGATTGCCAGACACCACCAGAGGGCTCGCGAGCTGCGGAAGAAGATTGCCGAGGGGTACAAGGACTTCACACGGGAAGAGATTTACACGTACGGAAGGGACCAGCTGCAGCAGTGGGTGGACGCTCTCGCGAAAGGAGTGCCTGCCGCCAGCCTGGCCGGTTAGGGGGATTTTATTTCGGAGAAATAATTATCTGAGCACAAAGTAGGAGCACCATGGGAGCCGAGACGCAGCAGCGGGCACAGCCCGAGACGCAGCAGCGGGCGCAGCCCGATCGCCGTGAGTACTGGCGTGAGAGGCGCCAAAGGCTACACAACGACATCACATGGAAGCGCCTCGAGTGGCGCGTCGCCGGAGGGCAGACGTCCTTCAACAAAAAGACCTACGAGAGATTCGGGGAGGACCGAGTCAAAGAGCTCCTGGAGCGGAAGGAACGCGGCGAGCTTCGGCCGGAGCATGACTCGTACATGGCGGACAAGTCCATGAAGATGAGGAAGCGCATCGCGCGCGGAGAACACTCGCTCAAGTTCTGCCCGGCCACGGTCGAGACGTTTGGTCGCGAAACCATCGAGCGCTGGGTGGCGGAGCTCCAGCCGGGCCGGGAGCCGGTGTGGACTTAAGGGGATCGACACACTAGGGGGGCAGTACGGTGTGACGATAGGGAATTTTTTTCTCTGCGTCTTATAACAAGCAACGATGGCAATCCAACGAGACAGTGTCAACCGCGCCCTGCTGCGCGCAGCACCGCAGACCCTGGCGGCGGCCCGCGCCGTCGTCGATCGCTACAACTGGGCAGGACCAGCCCCCACCCCTGTCCAGACCCCGTCCGGCAACTGGCGCATCCCCACGGGAGGTGCCCCCGCGCTTGGTCGCTCGACTGGAAACCAGGGAGCTGGCAACCAGGGAGCTGGCAACCAGGGCATTCCCCCCCCTGCCCAAGGCCAGGGCGCTCCTGCCGGCGCCATCCAGGCCGCGTCCTTCCGTCGTCGGCGGCTGCAGGGCGTCACGTCCCTCGCTCAGGCGCAGCAGCGCCTCGCGTCGTTCCTGGCCAACGGGGGCAGCATTGCTGGGTTTACCAACCCCCAGGTCGTCGCGGGCCGGCGGGGGGGCTACGTCATCGTCGAGGCTCCTGCTCCGCCGCCCCCCCCGGTCCTTCCTTCCTTCGACCCGGCGGCCTACGAAGTGGTGATCGCCGACGTCTTCGTGGACCGCGGTGGGGAGGCGGGCTTCGAGCTCCGCTACGAAGGGGTCGCCTTCGTAGCGGAAAGCGCCCGCGTGGAGAGCATCACGACGCTTACGGCTCCGACGAACAGGGACGTCAGCGGCGCGCAGGGCTACATCCTGCTGGGCGACAACGCCGACCCTGCCATCGCGGACCCCGGCTTCCAGAACATCCTCGGCTTCATCCGCGATCAAGGCTATTCTGTTCTCATCGTCATTCGGTCCAGGTCCCCTCTCAGCGACATGACGGACCTCAACCGCGCCGAGGAGCTCCACAGCACGCTGTACAACCAGGACGTGGCCTTCGGCGAGGCCGTGCAGACCGACATTGCGTTTGCCGCCGACTGGATCCCCGCCGAGGCCCTGCGGCCGGACAGCGTGCGGCACCGCAACGGCTGCTTCGGCAACGCGCTGCGCGAGGCCTGTCCTCAGCTGCTCGACCGCCGTCGCGTGGGCAAGCGCATCTACGAGCTGGTCCTCGGGTGCCAGGGACGAATGAGCATGCGCCAGGGTGCGGAGCTGTGCCAAGAAATCGGCGTGAGCCTTTGCGTGATCTCCGCCATGGGGGAGGTGCTCTGCTCGTACAAAGCCCCCGACCGGGCAGGGTACACCAACCGCGTCAACATGGTGCTCCACGACGGCCACTTCTTCGCGGTTCCCGCGGGTCGGGACAAGGGCGGCGGGTTTGCCCACCGCTTCCCTTGGTCCGAGGAGGAGGGGCGCTTTGTTCCCAACCGCACGCGCCTGCAGCCTCGCCTGGTCCTGGAGCCCCGTCCGCCCGGCAAGGTCGGCCCCTCGGAGCTGCTGTCGGAGGAGGGCGTGCTCGAGGTCATCCAAGGCGTGCTGCAGGGCCGCATTCCCGACACCACCTCGCTCGTCACGCGCGGCAACATGCGCAGGCTGCTTGCCGTCATCATCCACCGTCTCAAGGTGCTTCCGGCCGTCCAGACCAAGTCGTCCAACTGCATCTCGGAGATCTCTGTCATGCTGCCGTCGGTCAAGAGGGGGGTCCAGAGGCGGCTGGTGGTGCGATCGCACGACGACAACAGCGACTGCGTGTTGACCCCGGAGGGGTACCCGTGGCTAAACCGCATGCGACGGAGCCTGATGTCCTGGGCCTCCCGCAGCCAGTACTCCGCCGAGATGCTCAACTGGTTCCGGGCCCACCCCGTCACGGCCCTCAACCGCCGGTTCCGCGAGGTGCGACCGGACCACAGCATCATTGGCCTGGACCTGTGCCGGGCCTACACCGCGGCGATGAAGAACATCGAGCAGTGGCACGTGCTGTACACGTGGGACCGTCCGCGCGCGTACCTCGGAGAGCAGATCGACCCGGAGGCCTGGTACGTCGTCCGGGCGACCGAGGAGGGTCGTGGGGAGGTCCACGCTCGCTGGCCCATCCTCCTTCCCGCTCGCCACTCGCGCGTCCAGGGCAAGGACCTGCTCGAGCGCCCGGAGATGCACTCCCTGGTGGAGATCCTGCAGTGGCTCCCGGTGGAGTGCACCGTGGGGAACACCACGAAGCAGGTCATCCGCGAGATGTACGAGAGCGACCTGGCCGACGGACAGCGCAAGAACGTGTGCAACATCGCCAGCGGGGTCATCGAGAAGAAGGTCGCCCAGGACCACCGGGCCCACGTCTTCCTGTCGATCGAGGGGGCCCAGCAGTGGATCAACACCTACGGTGGCACGCTGCACACGCACGCGATCGACAAGGAGACGGGGGAGGAAATCGTGGGCACCCTGGACGACGTGGGTCGGTACCTGGTGTTCTACACCGTCTCTCGCGGACACAAGGCGGACATGCACGCGGGTTGGGTCCCGATGAAAGAGCAGATCTACATGTGGTGCCGCCGGACTATGCAGGGGCTGTTCGACCACTGTGTGGAGGAGGGGGTCGTGCCGCTGAAGATCCAGACCGACTGTCTGATGGTGGAGGACAGCCCGGCGGCGCGCGCCATGGTCGACCTGCCGGACGGGTGCCAGGGGTACGAGGACCTGGGGCGGGTGAAGCTGGACCTCCCCAGCGCGGAACACGCCGCTGGGGCGCCGGACAAGGTCATCGACAACACCATAGTGGAGGTCTTCGATGGACGCCGGCCGCGGGAGGTGCACGGGATCGAGGGCGAGCAGAAGGTGGTCCTTGAGGCCCTGTACCCGGGGTCGGGGAAGTCCCACGCATGGAAGCAACACCTCAGTGGAAGGAAGGACGAGGTCATGGTCGTGTGCCCGACGCACAAGCAGCGCAGGGCCATGGAGCAGGAGGGGTGGACAGCGTGCACGTATCACAGCTTTGCGGGCTTTGGGGTGCTGCCGGAGCAGACATGCAAGCGTGTGGCTCTGGACGGCGTTCGGGTGGTCGTCTTCGAGGAGCTCATGCAGTGCCCGAACCTGCGCGTGCTCTCGTGGGTCTACCAGTGGGCGCGCTCGACCGACCTGGACGTGGTCGCGACCGGCGACGTCCACCAGCAGACGACCCCTGGGTTGACCATGCAGCAGCTGCGGAGCATCGTCCACGACCTGTTCCCCGCTTGCGTGTGGCTCACAGGCAACATGACGCTGCCTCCCTCCCAGCACGTCCGGCTGGAGCGCATCCGGGCCATGCTCTTCGAGGGGGACGCCACGCCGGAAGAGCGGCAGAAGAGCTTCCTGGCGGAGTTCCCTCACGTGTCTCTCGACGAGTGCCGCGGAGACGAGTGGGCCTTCATGGCCTACGCGAGGACCAGCCTGGCGCTGCTGCACAATTCGCGTCTGGTCGACGGACGGGTGCTGCAGGTCGGCGAGGAGTACCTCTGCCGGAGGCCTGTGGGTGGGTGCGTGCTGGGGAACACGTACCTCCTCCTTCGCGCCTCGGAGGACACCGCGACGCTCCAGGGCGACGACGAGGAGCACGTGGTCCCCCGCGAGAAGCTCGTGTCCCACTTCGAGCCCGCTCTGGGAGGGCACTCGGTGATGAGCTCGCAAGGGGGGAGGCTCTCGGAGACCACAAAGCTTGGGATCATGGACGTCGAGCTGGCCTTCGACCCGCAGCGCGTGTGGGTCGCGGTGACGCGGTCGCGCAACCTGGACCGAGTGTACATCGTGAGGAACAAACTGCCTTTGGCTGCGTTCCGTGGTGTGGCCACGCGTATCCAGGGGTACAAGGCGCAGGACCGCCGCGCCGGACGGACGTGGGAGGACGCCGAGTATGTCACAGAGCGAGACGTCTACGACCTGCTGAAGGACGCGCGGTACAGGTGCATGCACTGCGCAAGGGCCCTGGGGGAGTCATGGGTGTTGAACAGGCGAGACGCCGAGGCCGCGCATCTTCGGGAGAACGTCGAGGTGTGCTGCGCCAAGTGCAACCACGTGATCGCGGGCGTCTGTGAGACGCCACGATGAGGCCCACGGACGAGGAGGCCATGGCGCTGTGTGCTCAGGCCTATGCCGTCACGCTGGGCTCGCAGAAGACCGTGTACGAGCGCGTCCGCCACCAGGGCGTCACGATGCGCCAAGTCAGAGAGTTTTGCCGACGTTCCGCGGCCTCGGCGGTCGACGGGAGCGGCGGGCGGAGGCTTCAGGCGCTGAACTGGAGCCCCTGGCCCTCAAGCACGATCCCCGGCCGCGTCCTCTCGATGGACGTCCTCGACTACTCGAAGCAGCCGATTCTCGACGTCTTTGCGGGCCTCTCCGTGCCGTACGCGGTCCTCATCGTCGACACGGCGTCGCGCCTGGCCACCGTGCTTCCTGCGCTGGACAAGAAGGGCTCGCTCCTGGCGTCCACCAAGGTCCTTCTCCAGTGCTATCCCGACTGCTGGAAGGTCTTTTGCGACGGAGAGGGGTCGTGGGCGTCGGACGACTTCAAGGCGTGGCTGGCGGCCCGGAAAATCGAGCGCGTCCTCTGCTCCCATACCTCGCACGCGGAGTCGTGCATCCGGACCTTGAAGTTGAAGATGGCGCGCGCGAAGGTGGTGGGTCCGGTCACCTGGCAGACGTTGCAGGAGGTCGTGATGCTGTACAACTCGCAGAAGCACAGCAGCATCGGCATGAGCCCCCTTGATGCACACGGCGACCCGCACCGGTGCGCGCTCGCCATCAACCGGGCTCTCGAGGCGCGCGGGGCTCAGGAGCTGCCAGAAGACCTGCGTGGCAAGCTCGCGCGCATCGCGGTGCGCGGCAAGAAGAAGGGGGGGGCTGCCTGGAGTTCACAGGTATACAAGGTGCTGGGCGGGTGGGTGCACATCCGACTGGAGCCCCTGGAGCCTCGCCCTGGCCAGAAGGAGATCGTGCGGGGCAGGAAGGAGGTGCTGATCGTGCAGGAGTGAGTGGAAAATTTTGCTAGGAAAATTTGCCTGGGAAAGGGGGGGGGATTGAACCTGTGAGATTGCGCCCGCCCCTACTTTTTTGTGTAAAGTCTGTGGCATGGGCTTGGCCCCCGCCCTTGCACCCATACTTCTGATGCAAAGTTTGGGCTCGCGCCGGCAAGTGGTGCAAGGGGCTTTGTTAGAATCAGAGGCTTTGATCTCTCACAGAGCGAGCGTGAGCGAGCCCCCTCCGCTCGCTCCCTCCGCCTCTTGCCGCCGCCTTTCCGCCCGGTTCCTGCCCGCCGGCCTCGGCCCGCGCCTTCCACTGAGGTGCCCCCCCTGGCTGACCCCCTCCCCCGGTGTCGGGCCTGGTCAGGCCTTGGCCTGGCCGCAACAGTGTGCTCCCGCGATGGCTGCGGTGCCAGTGGTGCTATGGGAGTTGAGTCGGCTGCGCTGCTCAGATACGCGGCAACGCGCGTGCGTCGAGGCTGAACGGGGCGTGGTTGCGAGGTCTTGGATGGCTGCCGCGGCGCCGCCTGGGGCGGTTGCTACGGTGCGCGTTTGCGGTTTCCAGAGACGGATAGTTGCTAGATGTGTGAGTAGGGGGGTTCAGGGGAGGGACGTGCGCGCGAGAGCGCAGGGCAGCGACGCAGAGGAGCGGCGTTTGGGCAGGCAGCTGGATGGCGCGGTGAGAACGATCAATGGGATTCTCAGCGTGGGCGACATGTTCGGGTCTCTCGGGGCGGACAAGACGGTGGGCGGGGACAGCTACGACGCGGGCGACGTGGCTTCTGAGCGCGTGTCGGATACCCAGAAAGGGGCTTCTGGGGGCGCGAAGCAACAAAAGCGGGGCATTCTAAGGAGATTGAGAAGGAACAGAGACGATAGGGAAGGCCGCTGGGTGCAGCTGCGCGGCAAGTCGAGGTACGAGGAGCCAGGACGCCGTGCTTGCTCCCAGTCTCCTCACTCGGTGGTCGTGCCGGACGCCGCCCCCGGCCAGCGATTCACACAGCGGCATGCAAAATTCGTGACCTGTACCGCTCAACCACATCGATTTCCAGTGCATATCACGCCTCCTCGCGCCCCACCCAGCCCCACAACCATCCAACCACCCATCTCCGACATTCCCGGCACCTCCACGGCGCACGCAGGTCCACCCTTCGCGTCGAAGAGGTCCTTCCAGACTCCACCTCTCCGCCAGGGGACACGTCGACCACCGGAACAAGTGCGTTCGCCCCAACAACCGCCTCGCGCCCTCCACGTGCTCGCACCTCGCCTCTCGTCACCACGCCCCGCACCGCCGCGTCCTCGCAGGCCTCGTCGACTACCTCGCGCTGCCCGTCGAGCAGTACTCCGTCCTCGACCCCACGTGGGTGTCGCGCCCCGAGGGCGCGCCCCCGGGCTGTTTCCGCCTCACCGTACCTCTGCGCGACCTCGCCGGAGTGGAGCTCGAGCCGACGCTGCTCATCCGCGCAGGCTACGTCCCGGAGAAGACCCGCGTCGTCCTCGAGTCCGTCGAGTCGTCCTTCGGCAGCCCCCAGTGGGACGCATACGCGTCAGTCAGTCTCAAGGCGTCCCTGACTCGGGTCGACGTGGCGGACGCGGACGACGCGGACCGCTGGCTCGGCCAGCCGGAGAGCGCCCGGTCCGGCGCCCCGACGGTCGACAGCGACGGCGTCATCGACGTGGAACCGATCGACAACGTGCGCGACGCCGACGCGCCGCCCGTGGCTGGGCTGCGGTGCTCCGTGGAGGTGCTGGTGGACGTGCGGGTGCCCCAGAGCCTGCGGATCGTGCCGGGCGTCGTCCTGCGCGGCGCCGGGTCCACGATCCTCCGCGCGGCGATGGGGGTGCTGCTGCCGTCGTTTCTGGACCTGCTGGCCGCTGACTACCGGAGGTGGGCCACGCGGTCGCAGCCGCGGGACCTGCCCGCGGGGAACCTTCTCCCTGCCGACGCGAAGCTCGGCGAAGCGCCGAGCGCGAACGAGGACAGTCCCAGCTCCCAGTCGTAGTCGTCGCGCTGTCCGACTGTCGATTGGCCCTAGAGGGGGGTGTTTTGTGTGATGTAAGCGCCGGCCGCAGGGGCGCTCCAGGGCTCAGCTGTGCGCGCCAGAGGGCCGCCCGGGATGCTCAGTTGCAGCTTTATACCTCATCCACAAGCGCATGGCTTGTCAAGACAGGCATCGTGCTCGAATGGCCAGATGCTGTGCTTCTGCGCGGTCGGCCTGCGAGCTGCAGCTGACGGCCGCGCGGACGGGGGCCCTCGGCGTGTGACTGTCCCAGTGCGTCAGTCGGGCTCGTCATGCCGTCAGACGGTGTGAAACTGTGTCTGGGGCCTCGTCGGGTGACTATTTTCCCAGCCCGATGGCGCGAACAGGCACTGACCGCCCGAGGCATCCGTAACGTGTCGGTCCTGTCAGCGCAGGTCGGCCGCCGGCGCTGTCCGCGCGCATTTCTTTTGTGTTGCTGCACCTCTGCGTCGATACCGCGCAGGACTACGACTCGTTGCGCCTCTCAGGCGGCGCGTTTCGTTCATGACAGTAAGACATACATTTGTGGCGCCATTCGGCGCTGGAGTATTCGCCGCTGATCGCGGAGAGCGTGCCCAAAGTCTCACTGCGCTGCATCAGAGACCGAGGTCGTGCCGACGCTGGCGCGGGTCTTTCTTGCAAACAGCCCCGTCCTTGTGTTCATTGTTGTCTCCTCGCAACACCGTCATAGCGATGGCGGCCGCGCCAGAGAGGCTCCTCTCCGCACAGGACATTACAGGTGAGCAGCAACACCACGTCCGCGTCGTGTGTGGTGCCGAGATGCGCCGCTGCCTTCGAAGCGCAGCCTGCGACAGTCCCACACCGTTTTAGTGGCCCTGGGTGTCACACATCGGCAGCAATCAAGCAATTACCGCGCCACACGCAGTTGGATGCTGCCGCTCGTACACCGCGCTCGGCGACCTTCCGACCGCGGGCGCGCGCAGCTCTCGCGCGCTGCCTGCAGTGCCGGAGCTGGGCGATCTCTACGGCGACGCGCCGCGCTGCGACGTGCGATGTGCCAACGTACGCTACGTCGACGGCTTGGAGGGCACCCCGGACCTGGAAGCGTTCCTCGCGCAGCCGAAAGACGGCCCTCGCCGCGGCCTGATCTTGGTCGTCCACACCGCGATAGGGCCACAGGAGCCGTTCATTTGGGACAAGTGCATCAGGTGAGCGCAAGACGCGCTTGTGCTTGCGCTAGTCGCTCAGCGACTCGATGACGCCGAGCGATCTGTACGCGTGCCGCCACATCGGTGACGCGGTGGACGTTGCGCACGTCACGCACCTGTTGCTCGGCAAGGCGCAGCCGCGCCTCCAGGCCCGCATGCACACGTGCGTTCGCCGCAGCAGTGGCCCACGACGTCGCCGTACGCGGCCGCGACACTGGAATGCAGGCTGGCCGCGGAGGGCTACGCTGCCGCGGCGGTCGACATGTTTGGGGCCGGGCGGACTGTGTTTGGCGCGGACAAGGACCGGTGCAATGCGTGGCTGAAGGATGACAGGTCGCGGACCGCAATCCGGAGCAGTGCGTAGCCCGAAACAGCTAGCCGCTAGCGCGCACGGAGCCTGCTCGTTCGTCAGGACGCAACGTGGGCATGTCGCACTCTGTCAGTCTTTTGTTCTCGCTTCGTTAACTTATTATATTATATTATGGTACGCCGATGCGAGACTGCATTCGGGGAACGTGCGCCGCCCACGCAGAAGCTGCGCTGGACGCCCTGCGCGAGTACGGGTGCACGGGCCCGGCAGGAGCGGTGGGGTACTGCCTGGGAGGGCGCGTGGTGCTGGACCTCGCACGCTATCAGCCACAGGTCGCGGACCTGCGGGCCGTGGCGTCGATGCACGGCATCCTGGACGATCCAACGGAGATAGGCACGTCCGGCTGCTACGACGGCCCCGTGGGTGCGGAGGTCGCTGTGTTTCACGGCAGCGCGGATCCGCTCGTGCCGCCAAGCAGCGTTGACGCGTTCGTGGCGGAGATGGACCGCAAGGGCGCGACGTGGCGCATGACGACGTACGGGGGCGCGCGGCACGGGTTCACGCGGCCGGACAAGGTCGCTCCTGAGGACTACGCTGCGGGGTTCGGGTACGACGCCGCGGCGTCGGAGCACTCCTGGTCGGAGATGCTCGCGCTGTTCGATCGACACATGCCCCGAACGATCGAGTGAGCGAGGAAGGGGGCGTTCTCGTCGTCGTCATCGCGCACATCGATGTCGTCAGACAGAAAACAGAATGCACTCGTCCGCGTGGGCATCGCGACGTCGATGTGTTTCATATCATGCTGATTCTCTGTTACACGAAGGAGTCTCCCCCGCTCGTCTACGACGAGCAGCTCACGCACTTCTTCTCCACCTCGGGCGGCGGCGGCATGTCGTACCGCAGCGACCCGTCCACCGTCGTCTCCCCCTCCGGCCCCGCCGGGTCCGCGTACGGGTTCCGCAGGACCTCGAACAGCCGCTGCGCCTCCGAGAAGTCCCCGCGCTCCGCCGCGTCGATCGCGTGCTGCGCGAGGTGGTTGCGCAGCACCACGCGCGGGTTGGCCCCGCGCATCGCCTCGTAGCGCTCCTCGTGCGTCGTGCCTCCCACGCCGGCTTCCTTCTCCAGCCGCGTCCAGTACTCCCGCAGCCACGCGGACCACAGCGCGCGGTCCGCCTGGTCCCTGTCCTCAGCTTTGGTCGCCTCGAGCTCCCGCACCCGCTCATGTTTGTTCATTTCCGCCTCCAGCGTCTCCTTCGAGATCCCGAGCTGGAACAGGATGTTCGGATCGCGCTGCACGGCCATGAGCACCATCTGCAGGTTCTTCTCCGGGATCCGCGGCTGCGTGGCCGCGATGAGGTCCTGCAGCGACAGGCGCGTCGCCATCAGCGCGTCCAGCGCCGCCTCGCACCCCGCGGGCACGCCGCCCGCGCCGCCGCCGCCGCCGTTGCCGTTCGCGGCACCGCCGTCGTTCTTGGGCGTCGGGACGAGCATCAGCGCCCGGAAAGCGTTCGTGAAGTCCGCGCCCGTCGCCTCCATCGTAGTAAACAGGCGCTCGATCAGCTTCGAGTCCGCTTCGCGCAGCTCCACCTCCGCGGACTCGGAGACCAGGCCGAGCTTCTCGCGCATGCGCCTGAGGTACTCGCGGTCGTATTCCTGCGTGAAGGCGGACACCTGTGAGTCCAGGGCGCCGACGACCGGCTTCAGGGCGTCGACGAGCTTCAGGAGGTTCTCCGAGCAGCGGCGGGGCTGCGACCGGTAGTCGTACCGCCCGCCGTCGTCGGACCAGTTGCAGATGTGCGCCGGATCATACCTGCATCGCAGGGTCGCGGCAGGGGGGGGGTTTTGAGTCCGGGTGACTTGCGTGCGTGCGCGGGGCGGGCGGGGCCTGCGTTGGCGTGGCGGAGACATGCGCCCCCCGCGCGGGGGCGCGCATGGAGCGGTGCGCGGCGCGGTTCCTGTGGTTGGAAGGGGTTGTGAAACAGAACGGAGTCAGGAGCGCACCGGTCGAGGAATCCGTAGGGTCCGTAGTCGATGGTGACGCCCGTGAGGCTCATGTTGTCCGTGTTGAGGACGCCGTGGCAGAACCCCACGGCCTGCCACCCCGCGACCAGCCGCGCCGTCCGCAAACACACCTCCCTGACTAAGCCCTTGTACATCTCCCGCTTCGCGTCCGTCGGGAGCGCCTTCACGCGCGCGTACTGCTCCTCCCGCGGCACGTCCGCGCCGATCCCGACGTCCCCGCAGAACGTCGCGAACACCTCTGGGAAGTACGCGAAGGTTGCAAAGTCAAGCATCGGCGGCATCATGTCCTGCTCGAGGCCGTGCGAGGGGCCCTGGCGCTGCGTGAGCGGGTCGGTCTTGCGGAAGATCTCGAAGGAGCCGAAGCGCAGGAAGGTCTGCGCGATGCGCAGGACCACGGCGCAGGGCTCGCGCTGCGCGTTACCGTTGTAAAACACGTCGCGGACGACCGTGGCGTCGGAGACGACGACGCAGCCGGCGCGCGTGGTGGGAATGCCCAGGCCGTGCATGGCCTCCGAGCACAGGAACTCGCGCAGGCTCGAGCGCAGGACCTGCGACGGCACCGCGGGATGACGTCGCGCTCGGTACGCACGGAGTGAGGTGCGCGGCGCGGCGGCGTGGACGCAGAGGGGGTGGCGGCGCGAGGCGCGGACCTTGCGGCCGTCTGCGGCGCGGGAGTACGGCGTCATTCCGGCCCCCTTGAGTTGCATCTCCCACCTCTCCCCGTCGGAGCGCACCGCCTCGCCCAAGTACATCGCGGCGCCATCCCCGAGCTGACCTGCGGGCGAAGTGCGCGTAGGATGAGAGGAGTGGCCGTCAGGTACGGGCGGGAGGATCGACGGGGTTCAGCGGCGTCGCGGGGGGCCGTGGGCGCGGCCTGGAGCGTTTGGGCACAGGGGTGAGCGGAGACTGACCTGCGAAGTTGCCGAATTGGAACCCGCAGTAGCAGTGGGCGGCTGGCGTGGAGCCCTGGAGGTGCTTGGACCCGGAGAAGACCTCGGCGAACTCCGGCCGCGACACCTGGTCGCTGCTGATGCCGCACAGGGCCAGTGCGTCGGGCGAGGCGGCCACCACGCGCGGGTTCGGGAGCGGCTGGATGGGCACGCGGGAGAAGCAGAACCCGCGCACCATGGGCCGCGGCTTCGCGTTGTCCATCGGGTTCTCAGGCAGCGGCTCTGCGCATGACAAAGCACACATCACCCAAGTGTGGCGCGCCAGGCCCTTGCAGACTGTGAGTGAGGCGCGGAGTGATCGCGTGACACGCAGCGCGATCTGCTGAGCGCGTCGCCGTCGCGGTGCCGCGTCGGAAAGCCGCGAGGCGCGCTGGCGGCGCCCGGGCCGCTTTGCGGTCCACGTCGGAGGCGACTCCACGGGCGCGTGCGGTCTGTGGAGGGGCGGTGCGCACCGGTGGGCAGCTCGCGCAGGACGCGGTTGTCGAACCTGACGTCCTCGAGCGCGCCGAGCTTGGGGGACTCGGTCGCGGCGTCCGTCGCGGCCGCCTTGGCGTGCATGTTCCTGCTTGGTTGCGCGGACGCTGCGACGCCCATGCGCGGGCGGCGGGTGGTGCCCAGGTGGGACAGGATCGATCTGAACCGCGTCACGGCCCTGCGCGCTCCGTTCGGGGGGAAGCGTGCGCGAGGGCAGCAGTTGGGCACGCTGTGTAGCCCAAGCATGAAACTTGACGGGCGAACTCAGCGGCACTGCGGCTTTTCTGGACGTAGAAGGTATCAGCGCGCTGCCGGGACAGTCCGCTGTGCGCGCGCGGCGCGCGCGCGCAGGTAATCGAGCTGCGAGAGCGATGCACGGCGGAACTGCACGTAGGTGGAGACTCCAGGAGAAGGCAGCGGAGGCTGGCACGGGAGCTTGCGGGCGGCATTGCCGAGGCCCGCGCTGCCGTGCGTACTGTAGGCGAGAAGAGCGCTCGGCGACCGGAACCTGTGCATTTCTCGCCGCGTGGTTGAAGGTGCGCAGAGGCTACCAGACGGTGTTGGAGAGGCCGCGTTGCTGCGCGCTCAGACGCCCGCACGCCCTCCCACGCTCGTTCCTGAGGAGACATCGTCGATGCTGAGCGCGAGGATGCGTGCGCCCGCGCGAGCGACGGCGGTGGCCGCGCGGACGGCTCTGCGAGCGTGGCGCAGGCCATCAGCGCCGCGGTGCGTGCGTGCGATGGCGTCGCGGCCTCCGGGCGGCTCGGGGAAGGGAGACGAGGACAAGTCGTGGGAGGAGATCGCGGAGGACGCGAGTAAAGTCGGGAAGTGCGCGCACTCGCCATCAACTGCACCGTTCTAGCAACGAACTGCGCCGCGTGCGCTGAATCCGAGGTGTCGAGACACGCGCGTGCACCGAGCGAACGCTCCAGTCCTACTTGCTCCAGAATCGCGCTCGCAACCGTTGCCGCGCGCGCTGTGCAGAGCATTGTGGGGAAAACTGAAGAGTGGTGTGGAGAGAGCTATCGCCAAGGCCGGCGATGTGCCCCCGGCGAGCAAGAGCCGCAAGACCGAGCAAGCGGAGATCTACCAGGAGCCCAAGGTACGGCGGGCACGCCGACCCCGGCGCTCCGGCCCTCTGCACAACCTTTACAGTGCGTTGCGCAGCTGTCGTCGGTGCAACGGCGAACGACGGTGCCGGCAGTTTCAAGCAGATTCGACCGACGCGCGCGGCGACGCTGTTCGCTCCCCTCGCGCCGCGCGCAGGCCCGCGACAACGTGCCATCGGGGAAAGACCTTGCACAGACGTTCGGCGGGGGGCTGCTGGGACGCGCCCTGGGCGGTATGGTCAGCAACGCGCTCGGCAGCCTCGCGGACGCCGTGGAGAAGGCCCAGGAGGAGACGCGCGACGCGTACGCTGCAGCTGCCGCTGCCATCATGTACGCCACAACCCTCCCATGCGACTCCTGTGCCGCGCGGCGAGAACGCAGAATGGCCGGCCTGTTCCCGGCAGCGATGCGGCACTCTCTCGCGGCCCTACCGCTGCCCCTGCGCACCAGCTTCGCGTGGCCCAGCGGTCTCTGCCGCGTTTTGACGCCGCGCGACCCCTCGCGCCCACTGCGCCGCAGGGCCGACCGCGGCGTGCGCGGGGCGCTCGGCGAGCCCCTCGAGGTCACTCCGCCGATGTCGCAGTCCTCTTCGACGTCGATCATAAACGGCGTCCGCAGCAAGAACATCTCTTTGATAATGATCGTCTCTGGGCCGCGCGGGAGGGGCCAGGCGAGCGTGCAGGCGGTGGAGTCGTCGCAGGGGCCCCGGAAGCTGGACGTGGCCGTACAGACTGCGGACGGGCGCGTAATCAAGGTGGACACGAGCCGCGGGGGGCGTGGTGGGCGCAGGGTGGACGACGATGACGACGAGGTGGTCGTGGAGGCGGAGTGGACGGACGCGCGGGGGGGGAAGTGAGCGCGCGTCCGGCGGTGAGCGGACGGCGTCGGACGACGGGAAGCGGCGATTGTTTCCATCTATATAATGCGCTAACGCCGTGAGAGGCGTTGGCACGGCGCGTGTAATGAATGCGCTCGCACGGTGCCGAGAGTGACGCGGAATCATTGAAATCACAGGAATTGAGAATCTCGCGCCCCGAGCGGCCCGCGGGGGCTTCTCCCGGGGCGACCCTTGTGCAGGTGGGGGTGCCTGCAAGTCATGGGCTTGACACGGCTCCAGCGGCCAAGTGTCGGCAGGGGTCTCGCAGCGAAGGATCGGAGGGCTCTTGCAGCCTTGGGGGCTGGGTAAGCAGCAGCTGGTGTGAATGCAGCAAGGCAATAAGTCTCCACTTGTGACACAAGTGGTCGGTTGAGATCCCCGGTGGTCGTGCGCGCCGACGCAGCTGCTCAGGGTTATGCCGTAATCTTCGGTAATCGTGCGGGGCGCCCGAGCGTTCCAGCCAGGCTCCATGCTCTCGCCGGGACACACAAACAACGCATGCGTTCTCCAGTCGTCGTCGGCAGGGGCTCAATGCCCGGCGGCGGGACGCGTCCTCGGCCAGCAGCAGCAGCACACCACGTGCCGCGACACGTCGACGATGCTCTCCGGCGCAGCCGCGCCCTCGTCGCCGCCGTCCAGCAGTGGCTGCCTCGCGCTCAGTTCGTGGTGCGCCGGCGCGGGACGCGCGAACGCCAGCAGCCACCGCAGCGGCCCGAGCAGCGATGGAACGCCCCACGACGCCTCGCGCGGCAAGCTTCCCGCGGACGCCGGCGCGCGTGCTGAGTCAGCAACAGACACACCCCGGGGCGTCCCCACGCTGGCCAGCAGGTCCGACGCCGCGGCGCACACCTCCGCCACGCCTGCCCCCGTGAGAGCGGACATCGCAAGCGGAATCGCGTCGTCCTCCGACGCCCCCGCGCCCAATTCTCGGGCGAATTCCTGCAATGCATCTCTCGCCTCCGAATCCGCGCGCGAAACGTCGCGCAGGTCCGTCTTGGTACATGCGAGCAGGCAGGGCCGTCCTAGAAAGAGGACATCTGCCGCTCCGCGGAGCACCGAGGTCTGTTCGTGCACGCCACGCCCTGCTCCGCTGACGTCCACCACCAGGACCACGACGGCGCGCTGCAGGTGTCGCACGAGCTCCGCCGCGGCCAGGTGCATGCCGTCGCCGCTCTCGACCCCTCGCTGGACGCTTGCCGGGTCCGTCACGCCCAGGATCTGGCAGCGTGCACCCCCCAGCTGCCCTTGGCACAGCAGCAGAGGGCTTCCGTCGTCTTCCGCGCCCTCGGATCCATCGGGAAGCGCGGCGGCGCCGCCCCCGGCGACGCGGCGCACGAAGGTCTTGGCTCCGGCGCCGGGGCAGCCGCACACGACGATTGTGCTGAGCGAGAGGTCCACGCGAGGCAAGACTGCCACGACGGAGCGCGCAGCCTCGAGAGCTGCCAGGGCCGCTGCCTTGCGCTCCAGGATGGTTCGCAGGTCGGTGCGGAAGTGCAGCTCGAGCTGCTTGCACTGCGCCTCCGTCTCCGCGCTCGCCAGCAGCATCACGCAGCCCTGCACGGACAAGACACCCACAACGCAACTTTCTGTGTGTGGAAGCCTTGGTGGTTGGCGTCGCTGGACACGCAACGGTCGCCCCGCGAGCATGGTTCGCGGGCCGCACCTGGGCGAGCTCGCGGACGTCGCGGACGGCCGCCGCGAGGCCTGAGAGCGCGTCCGCGTAGTTGAGGGATTGAGTGCTCGCCGCAGATATGATTGCCAGCTCTGGGCACAGGGGCGCGCGCGACTGGTCCGGGCTGTGTCGAACGAGAGGAGCGCTGGGGTACTGGGACGTGACCGCGCCGAGCTCGTCGACCACGGCTGCCTGGAGCGCGAGGATGCGCCGGGCGCTCGGCTGCGCCACCGCCGCCAGGCCATACCACGGCTGGTGCGTCGGCTTTAGGAACCCGGGGGAGGCTTTCGCCTCCCCGCTGGACACGATGTGATCGAATAGATCCGGCAGAGGTGGTACGACCTGCAATGTAGGTTCGCACGGTGCGCACGGCGCGGTGGCCGATGTGGCACTCATAGACGATCGCGGAGATCGCGCCGGTCGCTGCAGCGCGGTGTTCGTCGATACGTGGGCTGGCAAGCAGAGCTCTAGAGCTTGCATGCGGCATTGATTCAGTTGGGCTTAGCGCTGGACAGGGCTCTGCCGCCGCGAAAAACGTGGCTTGCTTTCAACGGCGCGCGTCGGTCGACGCGGCACTCACTGGAAGGCTACTGAAGTCGAGCGCGACCATCACTGGCCGCGGATTGCGCTCCGCCTCGACGTCTGCAGGAACGGCGCGGCAGAGGGCCCAGCTGGGCTGAACGTTGGCTCTCAACCCCCTGCGGCGGCGGCAGCGCCGCCCTCTAGATCGCGCGCGTCAGCGGCGGCATCTCATCTGGAGACCTTTCTAGTGTGTGTGCAGCAGCCTCCTCGGCGCTACGCCCCTAAAGCTCCGGGGGTCGGTCATTCTGCCGGCGAGCTGCTTACTCATCACGAGTCATGTCTCCGTGTCACGTTTTCGTCTCTTCCGCCCCCGACTCGAGCAAGAGGCCCCCCCGGCTGGTCGACGCGACCTCGCTGTTGGCGCCGATCACGACGGAAATGAGCGGGGGCGGCTGCGCGTCGGTGATTCGCGCGTCCGTTGCTGCGCCCGCCGACAGGCGCTGTGCCATGGGGGCTGGGAGGGCCGCGACGTCGCGGCCGCTGAGAGCGCGTCGCTTGCAACGGTCGGGTTCGCGTCCGCCCGCGTGGCCGAGAACGTCAGCGCCGCGCCCTGGCTTCCACCGCGCAGGATCGAGACCCACACGCTGCGTCCCGGGCCGGAAATCCCACCGAGGAGGTGGCTTTCGAGATCCCGCGCGGCTGCGGTCCCCTGGTCGTGCCGAGGGGTGTCCGGCGCAGCCGTGGGACGCAAGCGGGCAACCGTTGTCGACGCCGACTGCAGATTCACTTTGGGCTTAGGTGGCGCCGCCGCACCGTCGGGGAGGGTCGTGCGGGATTCGCACATAATGTGCATGCCACATACGAGCAGGCAGCTCAGGTCGCTTGACAACAGTGGGTTTGCGGGCGATGCACCGGCCCAGTATCAGCAAATTTGAAGTGGTGTGTGGGTCCAAGATATCAGCCTTGCGTGCATGCAACTGCTGTCGTCGAACCACGGCGCAGGTGGCCGGGATGTGGGTGCCCACAGCGATCTCGTGTAGCGCCTCGCGAGGGGGTCCGGTCACTCACAAACCGCCTTTGCTTCTCAGTGACTGCGCGTGAGAGTCTCAGCCCAGGAGGGCCTCCATGTCCTTGAACAGCGCTCCGTAGATGGGCATGCAGAAGCCGTGCGTGCCCTTGTCCCCCTCGGGCTCCTCCCACGAGGACTGCTGCGTGACCACGCACCCTCCCGCGCCCGCCCCCAGGTTGATAGGCACAACAGTAAACGTGCTGCGGTAGTTCGTGATTTCCTTGATCTGCGGTGGGACGGAGTCTGCAGGGACAGAAAGCAGCGAGAGCCGCTGGTGAGCGCCGCGGGCATTGTAGACGCGTCGAAGCGGTGGTGGAGAGGCGTTGCGGGCGCTGGCGTCTCACCTTGGTCAATCGAGTACGTGTACGTCATGTTGTCCGCGTCGTAGGCGACGAGAGTCTCCATGAAGGCGTCGTTGAGGTTGCGACGGGCGCCGACCTGCAGAAAAGGCACGCGGGAGCCGCGGCGCGCCGTTGCGTGTCGGCAGCGCAGGGCAGGCAGTTCCTCTCGGTGTGGATAGAAGGAATGATGTTTCCAACCGTCGGAACGGGTAGCTTGATGCCGGGATCTGCGCTTGCGCACACGGGCATCATGCAGACTGCCGCCTACAAGGGGCACGGGCCCAATGCTGTTGCGTCACATGAAGCCTGACAGGGGCGGTCTCGCACCGTGTTGTTCTCTCCGGAGACCAGTTCGCACTTCTGCACGACGTTGGGTGCGGCCTCGTTCAGCTTGTCGAAGTCCCTGCAGCGCGCGGGAGCGGGCTCACCTAAGAGGCTAGGTGAGCCGACGGGGGGCGTGCTGCAGGGCGGCGGGGGACAGAACACGGCGCCGACACGCGCTGCGTGGCATGTTCTAGGTACGAACGTCATCGGCGCGCGCGAGCTCGGCATTTCGAGCGCGCCCGGCCGACCGCGGTGGGGCTGCTGCTGCAAGGGCACAGAATTGGCCGCGGCCGCGTGCGCGGGTGGCTGATTCGCGGGTAGACGGGGGCGCACTTCAGCAGAGCCCAGACCTTCTCGGCCGGGTGCTTCAGGTAGATGCAGTTCTTGCACGGAGTCGCGGTGACCTTGCCCATCGTGACGACGCAACGAAAACGTGCGCAAGGCTTGTGTGCAGCTCGAAGGTAAAGGAATTCCGGCGCAGATGAAAGGCAGACGCGAATCCGAGTGCGAAGTGCGGGTGCTGTGCCCGCGCATGGCCCACGAGGCCCGCTCCCGCCCTCCAGACCGAGCCTGACAGACAAAACACTACTCCCCCCCCAGCTCCTACTCGTACCATCAAGACCGCCCTGGTTCGCGGCGACACGCTGCGCGCCCGCGGGTCCGCACCCTCAGGGCTGCACGTGCACGGTTCGGGCGCTCCTGGGGCCGATCTGTTGCGTCACACTGCGTCCGCGGGCCGTGGAGTGGCACGGGCGCGGGAGTCAGAACATGGGCTTGTCGAGGACGCGGAAGTTGTCCGCGGCGCCGCGCAGTTTCCGCCGCGTGGCCTTGTCCTTCCACGCGGCGTCGTCCCCGAACGAGTTGAAGAAGAACACCTCCCCGCGCAGCGCCGCGACGGCCATCGCCACGCGCCGGCCGTTCGACGCCACGAACTCGTACCGGTACACGTTGCGCAGGTCCTGCTTGACCTTCCCGCGCACGGTACCTGCGTGCGCACCACATCAAACCATGCAGTATCGTCCAACCATGATCCGCTGCATCTGGCGCCGTTGCACGCGCGCAGGCGGCTGGGACGGGTGCGGCGGTACTGTGCGCGCGCCAGGCCCTGCCGCGGGGCCCTGTCCTCCGGGCCGCGCGTCGCGACACACCCTCGAACGAGCATTACGTGTGCCGCGCGCACCTGTGTCCTTCTCCCCGAGGTCCAGGGCGATGACCTTGGAAGACACGAGCCTGCTGCCGCGCGGGAGAACGATCCTCGCGGCGTCCTCGAGCGAGCCCCACTGCGAGATGTCGGTCAGCTGAGTGAACGTGGGCTTGATGGATGACGCCGTTTGCTGCACGACGGATAGGGACACGTCCGGGCGGCCCTCGAGCACCCACACCGCCTTCACGGGGCTGTTCTCCTTCGCGGCGTTCGGGTTGGTGTCGAACAGCCCCGAGGCCCGCTGCCCGATGGTGTTTTTCCGGGTTGGGATCGGGGCCTCCTTGAAGCCGTTCGGGACGATCGCTGCCCACTCGAGGCTCACGAACTGCTCCCCGTCTATGTCCAGCACCTGCGGGGAGCTTCACGCCATCGTGCGGGTGCGTGCGCCGGCGCAGGTGACGGGAAAAAAACGCGCGATGTCATATTCTGATCAGCCGTTTGGTTCGGCTGGGGCGCCGGCCGTGCGAAACATATCTGCCTCTGGTGCGCGATGCGAATTTCCAGGCACGCGTCAGCTGATGAGGGCAAAGCGCGTCGCCAGGCAGCGCTCACGGCCCGGCACAGCGGGTCGTTTGCTAGCATCAGGCACTTCGCACCTTGCTGTCCGGCGTCGGCGTGCCGCCTATCTCTTCGACCTCCACGTACTCGTACTCGTCCTCGTCCTGCTCCTCGCCGGCCAGCGCAGACCGCGGCCGCAGCAGGCACGGCGCCGCTGCAGCGATCGCAAGTACTGCCCGTCTGCTCACGGCCGCCGCATGGTCGTCCGGGGCGGACCTAGCGTCCGAGCAGCGCTCAGGGTAGACCCGCGCAACAGCATGCCTGCATCGCGAAGGGACTGCTGGTCGTGCGCTGCAGAGAGCGGCAGCGCTCGGGCACACACTACAGAAGGACATCTAGCGCCGCCAGCGACGCGTTCTGGCCGGAGAAGGCGCACCGCACGCTGAGAGGATTCTGCGAGGCGACGGCGACGCAGCGGTGCCATGTTGGCGCGTACGGACCGGGGAACCGGCCCGTATGACCTGCACTGCGTTGTACGAGGGGCGTCCCGCGACAGCGCGCGAGCAGCGCGCGGCGGCGTGGTCGGGCGCCCGGACGCATGAACTGTCCCACTAGAAGAGAGCCAGGCCAAGATTCGCGTCAGCAGCCCCTTCTGTTCGCGCGCAAGCACCGTTGCTTCAGGCATCTCCAATCGATCGTGCCGGACCGTCTCCGCGGAAGATCGAGCGTCTTCCGCGCCCAGCAGCTCGTCAGGCCGACTGACTCTCCCACAGGCGGTCGCAATTCTCCGTTTCGCGCCGCTCCCGCGCACGCCGGCGCGTCTCCTACCTTGCCTCCGGCGCACCCTCTCGGGCCGCGCCCGGAGCCCGCGCGCGATGCCAGTGGGGCCGCAGCTGCCAGAGCCTCAACCGCCCTTCATCGTCTTCACCGACGTGGACGGCACGATCGCCCACAAAGAGGAGGACCTCCTCCAGCACGGTCGCTTCGAGCTCCCCAAAGTCCCGCCTGATGGGCTGCTCCTTCCCCGCCAGGTGCCGCGCTCACCGGCCCCGAACTGCGGCGCCGCGCCGTGAACGTACCTGTATCGTCACAGCGGCGCTAGAATAATCGGACGTTCGCGCGTACGCGCTGCGCAATCGCAGGTTGATTTCGTAGAGAGAGCCACGGGCGTGCGACATCCGTGCGTGCGGTGCCTGCCGAGCGCGCGGGGCTCGAACGCGGTGATCTCGGTCGCCACGCTTGAGAGGTTCGCGAAACTGCGCGCGGCGGGCATCAAGATCGTCGTGGTCACGGGCGGTCGCCTTGCCACTCTGGCTAGCAGGCTCCCGGCGCTGCCCGTGGCTGACGCGTACATTGGCGAGAGCGGCGGGCGGATCTTCTACCCGAGAAAGGTGCTCGCACGTCCCCGCGATGCCCGCGCGCGCGTCCCGGGGCGGCGGCGCGCAGCGCGAGCCGTCACTCGTGACTGCGCTTGCGACGCACTCAACGCGGTCCCCGCGGCTCGCCTTCGCGCAGGACGGCCTCACGGCGGCGCCGCTGGTCGAGGACATGAATTGGCGACAGAGCATGGCGGAGGCGTCCAAGCCCGACATCGACGAACGTGTCCCGCCCCACGAAAGGGAAGGGTACGTCTGGGACGTCTACAGGTGCGCGCTCGCGACGCGGACCCCCGCGGCACACCACCGCGCTTGCATCGCGGACGCTCGCGCACGCCGCGCCGCCGCGCGCCTGCGTCCGCGCCTCCAACACAGCCTCGCAACGCCTGCATGTGCCCTCTTGCGTTTTGCGCGCTGGTCCCGCCGCGCGCTGTCGGTTCGGTCCGGCGCGCAGCTCACCACGAGCGCTGCGCGCGCCCCCATGCAGAGACATCGCGAAGGCGGGGCTGTTCGCGGACACGATGTACGCGACGACCTTTCGAGTGAAGGCGCCTCCAGAGGACGACAACAACCTGCTGGAGCGGTGGCGGGAGGAGATCCTGACGGACAGCAGCAAGCCGTACCACGGCAAGGTGAACGTGTACTTCAACCTCGGCATGATGGACGTGGTGCCGCCCCAGAGCGGAAAGCACCGCTCGGCGGCGTACGTGTTGCGGGAGTTCGGGGGGCACTGGTCGCGCACCGCGATGCTCTGCGACGACGAGAACGACATGGAGCTCGCCAGGATGGTCGCGAAGGCGTACGTGCCAGGTGAGCCCATCGCCGCAGCAACAACAGATTCCAAATGTGCCACACATCGAGTCGTGTGTGGGGTCTGTGCGTCGAGATTCGTACTCAGAGTGCTACATCTGCGAGCCAGTGCCTCTGCCGGCCTCCTGCGACCACACGCGTGCAGCCGGCGACTCCCCTCCCCCCGGTCTGTCAGCGGTCGATGGTGAGCGTGTGTCGCCGCTGGGGTGTTTGCAGGGTTCACGCACCCGGCGGTGGAGCAGGAAGTGCGCGAGCACCCGCGGCACTTCGTGGTGGCGAGTGAGATCGCGGGGAAGGAGGTGGTGGCGACGATGGCCACGGACGTCATCATGGAGCGGCTCTGCAAGGATCTCGGACTGGATTAGATTTGATGTTTGTATTGTGAATGTTGGCCCATGTTCGCGCACAAAGCAGCTGCAGCAGTGACGCGACGGCGTCCAGCCTCTTGCCGCCTCGGAGGGAGCCAGCTTTCGAGGCGACGGTGGGTTCGCAGGATACGCCAGCAGCCCCATATCTTTGCTTCTTCTCTTTTTAACCCTGTGGTGGCGTGGGATGGTGACACGCGCTGTTCGCGAGCGCCGCGGGCGTGCGCTGCAGCCTGGGCTGCGCGGACTGGACAAGGAGCGTGACGCGCTCACAGCTTCTCGAGAACGCGCAGCTTCGCCGGCCGCGCCCGCGCATTGAACTCCACCTCCGCAGCCGTCGCCTCCACGACCTTGCGCGTCACCAGCCGCCCGACCGGCGCCTCGTCCCGCGCCGCCTCCAGCTCCGCCTCCAACAGACCCCCTTTACTCCCCCCCCGCGCCGCGCGGACCCCATCGCCGGCCCCGCGCGCGCTCCACAGCGGCCCGTCGCCCCTGGCCCACGGCGGACCCTTCCCGGCCGCCCGCTGCATGATACGCTTTACTAGCCTGTCCTCGAGTGAATGAAACGAGATCACGCCAACGCGGCCGCCCGGCGCCAGCGCGTCGATCGCCGCGGGCAGCGCGGTCTCGAGCGCGCCCAGTTCGTCGTTCACGGCGATGCGCAGGGCCTGGAAGACCTTGGTGGCCGGGTGCCCGCCCCGCCACTTGCCCGTGCTGCCGTCGAGACGCAGCGCGGAGAGGAGGTCCGCCGTGGTCGCGATGGGCGCCTCCTCCCTCGCGTCGACGATGCGAGCTGCGAAGCCGCGCCACTGCCGCTCCTCGCCGTACTCGCGGAACACCTCGCCCAGCGCCGCCTCCGACCACTGGTTGATTATCAATGCTGCAAGACCGAGATCGCAGACGACGTCGGTCTCCGAGCGACGCAAAGATTCGTATAAGAATTCCAAGGTCAAGGCACGGGAAGGCATGAGCCGCGTCGCGTGTCGAGGCGCAAACTGATGCGCTCACCTGCCGTCAGGGCGCCGTCGGGGTCCATGCGCATGTCCAGCGGCGCGTCCGGGTTCCGCAGGATGCTGAAGCCGCGCGTTGGCGAGTCGAGCTGCATCGAGGACATGCCGACGTCTAGCAGGATGCAGTCGACGCTCCCCGCGTGTCCCAACCTCTCCATCACAGCGCCAATGTCCCGGAAGTTCGATCTCACGAGTTCGACCTGCGAGGAACAACACGCTCGTTCCGCTGCTCGCGACCAGCGCAGGTCCTCGCGGAGGGGGGGTGTGTTGGGGAGGTATAAGAACCCACCTGCAGGTCTGGGCGCCCGATCTCCTGTTTGAGCTGCGCGAACCGCTTGCCCGCTAGCTCCAGTGCGGTGGGGTCTTGGTCCAGCCCGACCACGGTCGTGCACTCCGGGTGCGCCCGCAGGAGAGCCACGGCGTGCCCCGCAGCGCCGAGGGTGCCGTCGACGTACGTCTTCATCGACACGGGGGCGAAGTGGTCGAGGACCTCCTGCGGACGAACGCGCTCGCGTGGCTGGAGCGTGGGGCCGCCGAGTCGCGTTGTCTGTCACAGGGACGCACGCAGTTGACCGAAGGTTGCTTCCTGAGCCGATGCGGGCGCGCCTCAGCGGTGGCGGGTCCCCGGCGGAGCACGAGCGGTTTCACGACATGCGGTTGTCCCGCTCTGGCATCGCGAAGTCCGCGGATTGCACGGGAATGCGGCGCACGAGGGAGGGTCTGCATCATTGCAGGGGCGCGCTATAATGCTCGTACCTGGAGCAGGACAGGCACGTGAGGGTGCGCTGCGTCGCTCTCGCGCTGGCTGTCTACGTAGCTCGGGGGGGCCATGTACTCCTCGTAATTCGAGGACAGGACAGGCTGATCTTCCAAGTCGTCCTCTTTGCGTGCACTTTTGCGGCGTTTCGACGAGCTTCTTCCCTCTCTCTTAGATTTCGATGCAAGTGCGCGAATCGAACATCCCCTCAGTCGCGACGAAGAGCAGAAAAAGCCCCGCCGCGGCGCGAACGAGTGAGAATTGACCGACCGCAGCAGTCTCCGCCCCGCCGTGTGATGCACCACCGACCCCCTCATGCGAACCTGTGCCCTGAATGACGTGGACAGCATACGACCTCCAAGGCGGCCGCGCCCTGCCGCCAACGGTGCCGCCAGCGCCCTGCCCAGGCAACTCATGCTGCAAGCTGCCACTACATGCCACACTCGATCCGCGCCGCTGGTCCTTCCTGGCCGCTGGACACCGACGCAGTGCGCTTCGCGAGTGCCCGTGACGCCCGCCACCCGCCCGGCACATGCTCACTCGGGCGCCGCCGAAACAGATCAGATCCCAAATCCCCCCCTCCCCCTTTTTGTTCAGTAGAATCAAACATCACTCTTTATCGTTCCTCAAGACTCCTTGCTCTCGTCGCCGAGAGACACGCGCAGCAACGCCCTGGGTCAACCAGATCGCCCCCGCGCCGCCGTCGTGCCGAGCCTCTCAGCGTCGCACCGCGCCTCTGAGCACCCCAAGGCGCGGCGGCGGCGCGGCAGTCCGGCGCAAGACGGAAGGAACCTCGCCCAACGTCAGGCGCGTGGTCAAGAACGACGGAGGCCACCCGCGGTCGCGCGCAAACACCCGTAAGAAGTCGGTCACAGGCTGCCAGCCCAATGTCAGGCTTCAGTCCGCCCCGCCGCATCGTCCCCCTCCCCGCGCTCCTCCCCCGCCTTCTCCGGCTCCACCTCCGCCGCGCCGTCCCCGGCGCCACCGTTTTCGACCCTCCCCGTGTCGGCGGAGGCACCGCCCACCTCGACCGTCGTCGTCTGCTCCCCCGCGGACGCCCCCGGCTGCCCCTCCCGCGCCGAGGACGCCTCGCCGTCGTTCTGGGACGCCGCCATGCACCGCAGCGCCTCTTCGTGCTTGGGCTTCAGGTCGGCGTGCTGCTTCAGGAACTGCTCCAGGGGCTGCCCCATCATCGCCGCGGCAGTCGCCGTGGCTGCCACGAGCGCCGCGTGGTGCGCCTTGCGGCCCTCCTGCGTCTGGCCGTCGGTCTCAGCCTGCGCACACACGAGACGACGGCGGGTCAGAACTCCGACCCATACTTGTTTGAAACAACTATGAAAGAGAGACTGTTTCCGTACGCGGGCAAAGCAAGAGGACGCGTTGCGGGGGCACTGGGCCCAGCGCCGCAAGCGGGGCCCTGCGTGCACCGCCGTACCTCCTGTTGGCTCGCCCCCGCCCCCGACGGCCCGGCCTCGGCGTCACTGCTACGACTGTGACCCGTGCCGCGACTTCCCAGCATCGCGCTGGCCACGAGCGACCCGGCCTCGTACGCCGCCTGCGCCGCCATCTGGTGGTCCCCCTGCGACACCGCCGGCTGCGCCGGCACGTACGCCATCGCCAGCGGCTGCACGTGCACGAGGCTCGTCGGTGCCGACACAGGGGGGGGTGTTGGGGATGGCTCGCGGGGCTGCGGCGACGCCTCGGTCCCAGCAGGCCCTGCTGTCGACGGAGAACTCCGCGCGTCCACCGTGCTCGGCGCCGGCACGGCCGAGCCAGCGGCGGCCCCGCCGCCCTGCCCTGCGGCCCCCGCGGGTGCCACCGCTCCAGGCATCTGCAGCTGGTGCAGATGCACGATCGACGCGACGAACGGGCTCCCGATGAACGGGTGCGCGAAGGGAGTGTACCGCGGCGCTCCGCCCGACTGGCTGCTCGAGTCCGCCCCCGCCGAGCCCCGCTGCTCGCTGCCGTCCGCGGCGTGCGCCGTGTCGGGCATCGCCGGCATCGGCGGCGCGCCGGCCGCGAAGCCCTGCGAGTACTGCCCGTATGCGCCGACGGGGAGCGTCGGAAACGGCGCGATCATGCCGGGAATATGGAAGCTTGGAATGGCAAGCATTGCGGGCGGGGGCTGGCGTGTGGGGCCCTCCGCGCGGTCCTCGGTCGGCGGCGCCCACCGCAGCATGGGCACCGACGTCATCATCGGCATCCCTGGCACGCTCCACGTCATCGGCAGGTACCCGACGCTCCCCGCCGGCAGGTGCGGGGGCTGTGCGTGAGCGTGCGCGTGCGCTTGTGCCATTGCCGGGGACGGCTGCTGCGGGTGCGCGAACGCGGCCGGGAGCGACGGCGGCGTGTGCGGCGGCCCCCCGGCGAAGGTCATCGACGACGCGCTCATCACCGGCGTGAGACCCGGGACCGTTGTCGATGTGGCGCCCCCCGCAGCCTCCGTGGGAGCCGCCGGCGCAGCCTCCGCGGCCGCCTGCTGCGCCGCTGCAAGCCGCCGCAGCGCCGCTTCCCGCGCAGCCTCCCTCGCGCTCGACGGCGACCGCTCCACCGTCCCAGCACTCCCCCCGGCGCCCGCCACACCCCCCTCCGCGGCCTGCGGAGCGTCGCCGGGCGCACCGGCGTGCACGCGGCGGCGCAGGCCGCTCGCGTCCGGCCGCGCCACGTCCCCGGCACCGGCAGGGCACCGCCGCCGCCTGCGGCTGCGGCAGCGGCTGCGCTGGCCGCCCGCCTCCGCACCCTCCGCCGCCTCCGCACCCTCGCGCGGCGGGGCGCGGGCCGGCTGCGCGGGGCGCGGGCGCGCCTCGATCGGCGCGCGACAGATCGGGCACGTCTGCTGCTGCTCCAGCCACGACCGCAGGCAGCGCAGATGGTAGCAGTGCCCACAGCCTAGCTTCTTCGCCCCGGGACCGGCCGACATCTCGTCGCGGCAGATGATGCACGTGCCGTCGCAGCGGTCCATGTCCTCCTGCGTGGCGTCCGCGAACCTGCTGTCCATCGCCGCGGTGAGCTGCCGGTAGGACATGAAGCGCTTGAGGCGACGCTGAAAGGACAGGAAGCTGATGTAGAGGGCGCGGACGAGGTGGACGGGGAGCCCGTAGGACGCGAAGACGATCACGAAGAACGCGGCGTACAGGACGAGGTTGATGAGCTCGGAGATGAGGTCGAGATAGAGCACGCAGAGGGAGCGGCCCTCCCAGCGGCCCTGTGCGTGCTGGTTGGCCGCCGCGAACGCGTAGCGCAGGCCCGTGGAGGCTGCCTGGACCAGGAGGATGGCGTACTCGAACGCGAAGAGGATGACCACGGACGCGCCTGCGGCGATGCGGGCGTTGAAGGGCGCGGCAAGTGAGGGGGCAGCGCGACGTGGTTGAGGGGTCCGCGGGCCGGGGAGGGCGCGGAGAGCGGAGGTGAGAGAGTGAACGTGGGCCTGGGGCGCGGGGTCGCGGCGTGCAACGCAGCACCGTGCCACGCGGAGCGGTGGTCGAGCGGGACGAGGGTGTGCCGCGCCTTTTGTGACGATGGACTGGACGCCGCTTTCGAGCATCATCGCGTCGACCCAGAGGAGGAGGCTGAGGAGCGATACAATGCGCACGTGCGTCGCGGCGGGCACGGTGGGCGCGGTGTCGAGGAAGGCCACCCTGTCATGGAGGAGCCAATGCATGATCTTGGCCACGAGCAGGAAGCCGAACATGCCGACGGTCGTGAGGCCGAACTCCTCGCGGAAGACGGTCAGGGCGAGGCACGTCTCGATCACCGCGTTGCGCGTCCGCTCGGACACGCGCTCGGCCTCGTCGTCACGCAGGGAAACGAAGAAGACGCGCACGGCCAGCAGGAAGAGGCCGTACGCGTAAGACAGCGCGGCGTTGGCGAGGACCGTGATCGCGATCTTCGACGTGGAGAGGTACACCATCGCCGGGAAGAACCTGCGCGGAACGGGCCGGAGTGGGGTTGTGGGCAGGACGCCTCGCGGCGCGCGCTGCGAGGCTGGTGCCCGCGCGTTGTGCGCGCGCTGGCTTCCTTGGAGCTCGGTGGTTGCGCAGAGGCGGTCCTGCGCGGAGAGGATCCGCGGGGGGCGCGGGGCACGCGGAAGTGCACAGGAGCTCACTGGTGCCGGGTGTGGAAGGCATGGGCCACGACGCCTGCTCCCATCAGCGTGCTCAGGAGCACATACTGAACAGCGCCGCGGCCCATCGCTGCGGCTGGCCCTCGGAGGCGCGCAGGCGCCGCACGTGCCGCACTGCTTCCGGCCCCTGCTGGGAGCCCGCACGGCAGTACCCGGCCACGAAGCAGGGAAGCGGCCTCGCGTGTGATATGTCCACTCAACTGGCATCGTGGCGCCGCCGCGCAACCCGATCGCGCGGCCGCCCGCGAGTCGGACTCGGGGCGGGAGTAGAAGTGAGGTTCACTCCTGGGGCGAGCACGCCGTTGCTGTGCGTCTCAGGCGCTGCGTGGGTGTTCCGGCGACACCAGCGACGCAAGGGGGGCGATTGTGGTGGCCGTGCGTTCGTGCTGGGTGGCTCATACCTCTGCATCGCGTGGAAAAGAAGGGTGGAGTGGCTTCTGAGGCCCGGAGGGAGCTGAGCGTGGTCGGGCTGGGGGTGTCGGTGGGCCAGGATGCCGGTGTACCAGCTGCTGTGCCAGATGCGGCCGCGGGTGAGCATGCAGAAGGCGGAGCAGGTGCTGAAAGTGCTCGGAGTGTCGGTGCTGGACAGCGGTGGCGTCCTGACGGGGATTAAGAGCTTCGGGGTGGTCCCGACGGCCTACACGGTCCAGACGCGCGCGGGCAAGATGAAGGAGCTGTTCATGGTGCAGCTGGAGTACGCCGCAGGCCCGGATCTGAGCAAGCGGCTGGACGAGATCATGAGGTGTGTCCTGGTCGGGGCGTGCGCGCTGCCGGGCGAACGCACGGCGTAGTCCTGGCCGGTTCCGTGCTGATACGTGCCACAGCATGCTCCTCGATGGCGGTTCCGGTCGTGCGGTGCCAGGGTGTGCCGGTGTGGCGGACCTTTTCCGTGTCTCTCCCGTCGCCGCGCGCAGGTACGACGAAGACATAGTTCGATACGCCTTCCTCAAGCAGCCACGACCAAAGCTGCCAACGACCAAGTGGGTCGACCTCAGCGAGGTCACCGCGAAGCTTAGGGAGGACTTGCCACCCCTAGACAAATAGACGCAGCCCGCCCGGGCCAAACACGGACTGTGACCGCGCCCGAGCAACGCGAGAACCAACAGCTCGCCCGCAATCCCCTCGGTTGCTTCCACGCACAATTCGTCGCCAGCACACGACATTCCAGCACCATTTCACACATACAACACCCGTCTCCGTCAAACGCACGAGCGGGGGCGCACCCTTTCTCCGCGGAACCACTCACGCGAAGTGCGTCCGCTTCTCCGCGCCCACGAACGTCCTCCCGTACTCCTTCGACTTGCTCCACTTGAACGCCTCCCGCGCCCGCACCTCCGCCACGCTCCCGGAGTCCGCCACCCACCCCGCGGCCGAGCTCCGCGACTTGGCGGCGTCCTCCTCGAGCTGGTCGAGCAGCGCCCCGGCGTGCAGCTCCCCGACGAGCGCGTGGGACCCCGCGCTCTGTTTTAGTACCCCGGAGATCACCGTCTTGAGGTCCTGTACCGCGACGAGCGACGCGCGGTCCTGGCACAGCCTCCACGCCTGCTTGAACCGCGACAGCACCGGCAGCGCGGACCGCTCGAACGTCAGCACGGAGTCTCCGTCGATCGCCTGCGCCAGGGCGTAGCTGGCAATGTCCGAGATGGACGCCGCGGTGGCCAGCCAGGGCACCGTCGACATGGCGTCCACGGGGATCACGCCGTCGGAGCTGCGGGCGTCGCACTCGTCCGCGCGGCTCGGGTTCAGCCAGTAGCCGAGGACAAACGCGAACATGGCGCCGGAGATGGCCGACATGACCTCCGAGGGCTGGAGGGTGTCGAGGAGGCCCGAGGAGAGCACGATGCAGTGCTTGAGGTCGTCCTCGCGGCGCGCGACGGCCTCGCGGCTCACGGTGCCGATGGCGGTCCGGTCGCGCGTGAGCGCCAGCGGCAGACACATGTACAGCGCGCGGGGCTCGTGGTCCGGGCGGATGAAGACCTGCGGCGACGGAGGCGCGTCGGGCGTCGTCGGTGAGGGCGCCGCGACGCGCACACTGCCAGATACGACGAAAATCGGTGCAAGGCATGCTACAGCGGGTGCGTGTTCGCTTCAAGCGAGCAGGGAGCGAGAGCGACCCAGACGGCCGTGCAGTGGCGGGCGTGCGTGAGCAAAGGCGCGGCGCGCACCTGTGGCAGCCGGGAGGGGTCGAGGTGGAACACCAGAGCGATGTCGTGCAGCATCGTGGCGATCTGCGGCACCTGGCGCCCCGAGACGGGCACGCCGAGGTCGAGCGACGGCAGGATGTCCTCCCGGAAGAGCGAGGACTTGAGCATGTGCTCGATCGACGACAGCGGCGGCGTGCTCGTCGCCTGCTTGCACGCCACCGCGATCAGCGGATGCAGCATCGCCTGCACGGACGGCGGCTTCCTCGGCTGCATCCGCATCGGGCGGTACACCTGCCCCGACCGCATCGCGCCCCACAGCAGCGGGAGGGGGAGTCCCGTGAACGGCCCCAGGGCCATGCGGTGCAAAGGGTTGAGCTCCTCGGGAGGGACGCCCGACGCGAGGTCCGCGGGGAACGCTGCCGGGCGCGGCAGCTCGGCGCCGGCCGCCCACGGCTCCGCGGAGGCGTTGCCGTGCAGAGAGCCCACGCGCGCGGCCGCGGCCTCGATCAGTCCGGCGGCGGACCCCGGGCGGTGCGACGGCGGCGTCGTGGCGCGCGAGTGCGAGGCCGGGGAGCGGCGCAGGCTGCCGTCTGCGCCCGTCGTCGCCCGCGCGTGCCGCGGGGTGAAGCTCCGCGACCCTGCGCCGGGCATTTGCGGCAACGGCGACGTGCGCCCGGGCGACGACCGCCCGCTCGGGCTGCCGCCGGCCCCGCGCTGCGACGGCGTCCCCGGCGCCGTGCGTCCGAGCCGGTGCGACACCCCGACCGTCGCCTCGCCGTACGACAGCGCGTGGCCGCCGCGCGCCGTGCTTCCCTCGGGCGCAGCCGTCGCCGCCGTCGGCCACACCGGCTCCGCCGCGACCGCGGGCGGCAGCGGCTGCAGCTCCTTCACGTGCACCTCCTCCTCGTCGAGCAGCCCGGACGACAGCCCGAACGACGCCACGGCCTCGAAGCCCTTGAGCTCGCACACCGACTTGGCGAACGAGACCAGCGCGCGGCGCGCGAGCCGCGGAATCGAGTACCGGAACACGAAGAAGTCCCGCACGAACGCCGACAGGCCGCGCGGGGCGCCCCCGTGCCGCGCCGCTGCCACGTCAGCCCGCAGCTTCAGCGCGTAACACTCAAAGATGACATCCATCACGGCGCCGACGTCCATCGACGGCACCTCGCCCTCGTACTGCGGCTCCTCGACGTCGCCCTCGCCCCGCGACGCGCCGCCGCGCCCGACCGGGAGCGGCGTGGCCCCGCGGCCCATGAGCTTGTCGCGCACGTTGCTGGGGAGGCCGAGCCGTCCGGGGCGCACGCGCGGGTTCGTGTTCGCGGGCTTCGCGCTGGCCTGCGAGTGCGCGCTCGACTCCTCCTTGATCGCGCGCAGCTGCTTCTCGCGCTCGACTCCCGACCGCACGCGCGCCTCGGCAATCCAGCCCATGTCGACAACCTCAGCGTCAGCCGCCGCGCTTCCGTCGGCGCGCGGCTCCCGCGCCTGGTCGCGCGGCGTCCCGGGCTCGACGAACCCGAGCGGGCTGCGCGGCGGGAGCGTCGTGCGCTCGCCGGTGTTGCGCCGCACCGCCGGAACGTCCATCGTGTCGAGCTCCGTCTCCCAGAGGTCCGTCGGGATCACCTGGCACCCGAAGTCGATCGTCTTCGGCGGCGCCGTCGCGCCGGAGTCGGCGATGATCTGGTTCGCGCGCTTCAGCTGCGCCTCGAGCACCTTGACGCGCTGCGCCTGCGTGGTGGCGAACTTCTCGCGGAAAATGCGCTGCTGCGTCTCGTTCTCGAGCTTCGCGCGGAGGCCCTCGACCACCTTCTGCACCTGCGGCATCGAGAGCGGGTCCTCCAGCTTCGCCGACAGGTCCTGCAGCATCTCGTCGCGCGCGCTCCGCTCGCGCTTCAGCGTGTCGCGCTCCTCCGCCAGCTGGTCCCGCTGCTCGGTGAGCATCGTGATCTGCCGCTGGCTCGTGATCTGCAGCTCGTCGTACAGGTCCGACAGCCGCGCGTGCTCCGCCTCCAGCTTCGCGTGCGCGGCCTTGAGCTCCGTCAGCTCGGCCGTGGTCTGCGCGAGCTCGCTCTCGAGGACCTCGACGCGGTCCTTGAGGACCTTCTCGCGGGCGAGCGCGTTCTTGAGCGCCTCCTGCTCGTCGGTGAGCTCCGACAACAGCTGCTCGCACTCGGCCACCTTGCTGTCCAGGTCGCCCCGCGCCTGCTCCAGACTCTGCTGCGTGTACTTGAGGTTGCGCCGCGTCTCCTCGAGGTCCGTGATGAGCTGCAGCCGCTCGTCCATGAGCGCCGAGTACTTGTCCGTGAGCTCGTTGTGCCGCGCCGAGAGGTTGTCGTGCAGCTGCTGCAGCTCCTCTGCGCGGCGCTTGTAGGGCGCCAGCTGCCGCACGGACGACCGCAGCGCGTCGTTCTTCTTCGTCAGCTCCTTCCGCTCCGCCGTGAGCTCCTCGATCTGCGCCTCGAGCGTCCGCGTCGTCCCCGCCAGCTCCTTCTGCGCCTCGTTCAGCTGGTTCTGCAAAATGTCGCGCTCCTTCACCAGCCGATCCACCTCCACGCCGCGCGAGTCCGCGACCTTCCGCAGCTCCGCGAGGCTCTTCCGCAGCTCCGCGGACTCCTGCGCGGACTCCTGCAGCTGCTGGTTCGCGCTGAACGCCTCCCCGCGCGCCTGCGCACACTGCGACTGCGCCTCGTCCAGCTTGATCGCCATGGTCCGAACCTGGTCCCGGAACGCCTGCACGTCGCCCTCGAGCTTGTCCCGGTCCCGCTCCGCGTCGTGCGCCTTCCGCGCGGCGTCCTCCGCCCGGTAGTTCGCCGCGCGGATCTCGCGCCCCAGCATGGCCGCCTTGTCCTCGAGCACCTCGTAGCGCTTCGACCAGGTCTCGATCTCCCCGCGGCGCTCCTCCTGCTGCCGGAGGAGCTCCTGCTTGGCGTTGTCCAGCATCTTCTCGACGTTGTCCTTCTCGCGGAGCTGCGCGCGCAGATGCGCGATGAGCTTCTGCGCGTGCTGCTCCGACTCCCGGAGAGACTTGACGCGCTCCTGCCACTCCACGACCTCCTTCTCGGCCTGCGCCTGCAGGCGCTTGGCGTTGCGCTCCGCCGCGCGCGCCTCGTCGCGGTCGAACTTCATCTGCACAAACAAGGGGCGGCGCCGACAGGGGGGGGGGTTCGAGCGGCCACGGCGGGGAGGCTGGTGCGCGCGGGGGGGAAGGCTGCTGCGGGTTAGGGTCGGACGCGGCGGCCGAATATATATGTACGCATATATCAGTCAACAAGTATTATATAGGAAGTACGCACCCCTGCCACCTTGGCCGTTTCCTCGTTGAAGAGCGTCTCCGCGGCCTTGAGGCGCCGCTCGAGGTCCTCGTACGTCACCTTGATCCGGTGGTACTCCTTCAGGTCGACCGCCACCGCCGCCCGCTCCTTCTCCAGCACCGTCTCCAGCTGCGTCACCCGGTCCTGGAGCCCGGCCTCCGCCTCCGTCCACTCGGCCTCCCGCTTCCGCAGCTGGCTCTCGGCGTCCCGGAGCCGCTTCTTGAGCCCGTCGCGGTCCGCGAGCGCCGAGGACACCTCGTTTTCGCGCTCCCGCCCCTCCTTGATCAGCCGGTCGACTTCCTCCGTCTTCGCAGCGATCACGTCCTGCAGCTCCGCCTGGACCTCCTCGAGCTTCTCGACCTTGGACTTGCTCGCCGCGAGCTTCGCCTCGAGCGCGGTCGCGCGCATCTTGGCCGTCACGGCCGAGCTCGCCTCGCGGTTCTTCAGCAGTTGGATTTCCTTGATTAGCGCCTCACGCTCCTTCTCGACCTCGCCCAGCTCCCGCTTCAGCTCGAACCCGCGCGCCTGCAGCTTCTGGATCCGCGCCTCGTACACCTCGCGCACCTTCTCCAGGAACTGCCCCGCCTGCGCGCCCTCGGCGGCCCGCGCCTCCGTCGCCGCCGCCGCCTCCCGCGACGCCGAGGCCGGCCGCGACCCCGCCGCCTCCGCCCCCTCCACGATCTCCCCCGCCATGCTCTGAATGTCCCGCAGCTGCGTCTCGTACGCCTCCTGCTGCGACCGCTTGAATTTGTTGTGCTCCTCGCGCTCCCGCGTACGCGCCTGGCGCTCCCGCTGCAGCTCCGCCTTCAGCTCCGTCACGCGCGCCTCCGCGGCCTGCAGCCGCTCCTCCAGCTCGTCGTCGTGCCGCCCGCGGCCCATCATCGGCAGCACCGGCCGCTCGCCCGCGCCCCGGATCTCCACCCCTTGGATCGACAACCGAATGCCGCGGCTCTGCGCCGGGTGCTCCGCGTTCGGCGGGCACGTCGACGGCCGGCCGGACGCGTCCGGGGCCTCCTCGATCGCGGCCATCGCGCGCCCGCGGCGGCCGGGGGACGCGGCGTCCCCGAGGTCAAAAGTGTCGACGCTAGCGTCCGAAGTGGGGTCGATGCGGGCGTGGCCGACGCCGGCGTCCGCGAGGCGCTGGAGGGCGGCGCCGAGGATGAGGGTTTGCGACGTGGCGTCGGCGTGCTCCGGGCGCGTCCAGGTCATGAGGGAGTGCAGGGCGGCGAGTCCGCGCCCCGCGTTGACGGCGCGTGCGCCGCCGAGGTCCTGGGATTTGCTCAGCGGGCCGCCGAGGCGGCTCGGGACTGCGGATACGGCGGCAGACGGGTGGGGGACGCGTGGGTGCGGGGCCGCGGCGCGGCGCGAGCGCGGGTGCATGCCGGTGACGGCGAACACAGAGGCGTGGCGGGCAGCGAGGTGCCGCAGGGCGCGGAGCGTGGCATGCGTGCGCGCTTACGTGTTCGTGAGAGCTCGTCCTCGCCTTGCGCGGCCGGCGGGAAGATCGAGGGCAGCGGAGGGAGCGCAGGTCCTTGTTGCCCCTCTCCCGTGATGCGAATAGGGTCCAACTGGATGCGTCCGGCGCCCTGCGACGGGCTCAGCAGGCCCGTCCGCGAGCGCGGGCGCGAGGCCGTCCCCTCGAGGCCCGGGCTCGCCGCGAAGGCGAGGTCCACGGCACCCAGGTGGGGCCGGGCGCCCAGCAGCTGGTCTACCGCGCCCATCGCGCCCGGCGCGACGAACTCGTTGGGCGGCGGGCGCACGCGTCCGGTCTGGAAGCGGGCGCTCAGGGTCGCGAGCGTCGAGGTCTGCAGCAGCTCGACGTCGCCGCGAGAGAGGGCGTGGAGCGGGGAGTGGATGCCCGCGCTGAGGGCCGCACGGGGCGGTCCGCGCGGCGTCTCCGTCCCCATGGCCGGGAACTTCTACGAAGACCACGCGGCGGCCGGTTCCGAGCGGTCTGGCCGCCCCGCCGTGCGCCTTGGCCGCGCTCTCACTGCAACATGTGAGGACCCGAGGGCGCCCCGAGTACCCCCTGACTCAGGCAATCAGGGCCAGAAGCGGGCTCCTCTATGTGTTACGACAGCGTCGTAGGAACGACAGGGGCCGGGGCGTGAGCCTGGGCCGGCAATCGAGGCCCTCGGGCTCGGGTCAACACGGGTGCCCTCGAAACGCGAGTCTGGCGCAACACAGGCCTGAGGAGCCACGTCCGTGGCGTCTCTTGCGTTCGAAGAAGTGCGAGCGCGCGGCGCTCGCGCCCCACGAAGGCGCCAACCGCCGCGGGGCTGCCGAGTAGAACTCCAGTGAGCACGACTCGGCTCGGGGGGCTCGTGCGCGGCGCCATGGGCACGGCCTGCGTCCGCACCGCGCGCATTGCAGCTTTCGAGCCGGGATCCGTCACGAACACCGCTGTTCGACCTGCTTAGTGCGCGCAAGCCTGCGTGCGCGACGCTCTGGACGTCAAACTCGTCCCGACCGACAACCGCGGTGCGTCGCGCCGCACCGACTCCGATCTCGGCGTCTATGCTCGCGATTCCGCCTCGGATCGTCTCTGTGTGACCAGTTTCTGCGCATGCGCGCCCCCGTCGCCCCTCCCGCGCACTCATTTCGGTCGCTTTTGTGTTCGCTCGCGCCCCGGCAGCAGAGGACGCGCACGGCGGACGCGCCCCGCCGCGCCGCTCCTCGCTGAACTGCCTGCTTCGAGAATCCCAGCGCATGGCCGCGCCGCCCCCGCAGTGGTCCGGATCGCAGCATGGAAAAGGGACGCGTCACATCGTCCTTGCCCTCCGGGATGGAGTTCCTCGAGCCTGTTCCTCGGGACAGTCCGCCCCTGACGCTTTCTCAGGAGAGCGTGCCGCAGGTAACGGAGCGGCGGGTGTGCTCGCGCAGGGGCGCGTCGCTAATCTAATTGGCTGTGAGCGACCTCCCGCGCGGGGTGGAAACGTCGACGAAGCGCGAGAATACGAATGCGAATACGAATTGAAATGCAGGGACCGGAGGACGTGGCAGAGACGAAGAAGCCTCCCAAGGGGGGCAAGACGAAGGCTCGCAGACCCTCGAAGAAGCCGACCGCGCGTGGCGTCGCGAAGCCGGCCAAGAAAGCCACCAAGCCCCCCGCAAAAGCCAAGCCTGGTGCCGAGGAGCAGGCGGACGCGCCGCTCCGGAAGTCGAAGCGGGCCGCGGCCCCGAACCCGCTCTACAGGCACGTTCGACTTCCAGATCTCGCTGGGAGCCCCGCAGACCCGCACAGCGAAGTGCCCCGCTCGGCATGCGGTTTCGCTCTTTTGAGCGATCTGTTCGAATCGTGAGCGGTCCGCCGCGAGCAAGGAACGACCGCTGGTGTATCTTGTTTCGCTGCAGCGACGCCGCTCTGCTGGACGACGGCGACGTGATCGAGCTCGAGGCGGAGGAAGCGGTGAAAAAGAAGCGCAAGACGGAGGCCCACCCAATCAAGTGGTCGAAGGACGCCCTCGAGGACGAGGATGAGGTCGACAGGCTCACGCGGGAGCGGCTGAAGCACATGACCAAGCTCACGCCGCTCCTGAACCGCGTCAAGAAAATGACCAACATCCCGAAGCTGGAGTCGTTCGTGCGCGTCCTGCGGCAGGGCGGCGCCGGGGAGCACAGCCAGGAGGTGCTCGAGGCCACGCTTGACAAGCTGCAGGAGGTGAGAGAGAAGAAGAGTAAGAAATAAGAATTGGCGCCAGGCCGCGAGCGCGTGAGAACGGACCGAGGGAGGGCGTCGCGAGAGGCGGGGAAGGAGGCGGGCGGAGGAGAGCGTGCCGGAGGGCTGCCTCCGCAACAGGGTATGACGCAGTCAGGGAGTAGACACCCCTTGACCCACAGCACCTAGGGTAGGTGCACTCATAGTGCCCCAGGGCTTCGTGCAAGTCTTGAGGACTTCTTGAACAAGACTTGCAAGAAGCCCTCGGGTGCTTCGAGCGCACCTACCCTAGGTGCTGTGGGGCCAGTGGCGTCTGAGGGCGAAGGACTCGCGAGTGTGAACGCGCATCTAAGACGCAGGCAGCGTGTGCTGATGCTGCGTCGGACTGTCGATCTGTTCGCGACCGCACGCCCTCATCACGGCAGGATTTACTGGCGCGTGGTTCGTTGGCCGCAGCCAGCGGGACACCTGTGCGTGACGTGCTGCGAAGCCTGACCGGGGACTGAACCCGGTGTGCTGTCGGGCGTCCGAGCCCTTCGGGTGCGCGTGCGGTGCCTCAGCACCTCGCTGCGGCTGCGCGTCATGCCGTCGCAAATGTGCCCGCAGCTACGAGACGCATCGTCCGTTCGCACCGCGTCTCGGCGTGCGGCTCGCCGAGACTTGCATGGGCCGAGCCCGGCGCTAGCTGCGGGAGGGCGGGTCGTGTTTCGCCACGAAACGCCCGTCTGACATAGGGGATGCTGACACACGCACACGGGCAGTTTGTCGGTGCTGCAGGGGTGGCTCGTCTACACCGGCGCGGGGACGGTCCGCGGGCGCGCACTCTCGCGAACCACAGGCGCTTCAAAGTCAGAACACGGAGCGGGCTCTCGTCAGAAGCAGGCCCGCCGTGCACGCGCAGTACGAGTAACGCCGTGGCGTCACCCAGGCATGCGACTTACGGCGTGATCGCGCTCGATAGCGATCCCTGTAGCAAGGATAGTGCCAGAGAGCGGTAGAGAGCGCCGAATCCGGCCGCGGCTGGCCCACTCGACAGGTCCCGCGCAGTGGGCGCAAACGAGCTAGTGGCTCGACGTCCTGGGGGCTGCAGGAGCGGCTTGTTTTGTAGCTTCCGTCCTCGGTCCTTCATACCTCAAGCAGTGAACCTTCTCATACTTCCAGCACGCGAGGAATTCGGGCCCTGCGACGCCTCAGCGACCTCAGAAGAAGCAACGGCAGCTATGGGGGCCGGGCGGGACTCCGCAGCGGCACCTCAATTGCCCGAGTACGAGCGGAGACGCAACTCTAGGATCGCGGAAAACAAACGGGTGCGCCGTGTCTAGCCACACAGAGAAATGACGACTCCATGTGCACGTACAACCTGCGCTGGAACTCCCGACCCCCCCCCGCCTTTTCAAACCGCGCACACGTCCCCACCCGACAACGGACAGCCCCGTGCATCCGCGCAGAGGCTGGATGCGCTCAAGGCCTCGTGCCCAGGCCTGCTAGGCGACCATCCACCACTGCGAGCCGGCGTCGCGAAGCGAGCCCGGAAGCCCAAGCGTCAGCCGGCCGCCGACGCCGTGCCTCGGCCGCCTCTGCGTCGCTCAACGAGAGCCCGGCCCTCCACGCCCCCGAGGCACGCCCCTGACCCATGTTGGTGCTCACACCTGCGCGCACACCCCACGGCCTCCACGCCGCCACAGCGCCCCCACCGTCACCGCGCACCCCAACCAATGCCCTCCGCCCGTCCCTCGCAGCGGCAGCGCCCTGCACGTCGACGACGACAGCCACGCCGTGCTTGAGCTGCTAGCGCAGCCGGTGCGGCAGTGCGCCCCGCGGAACGGCGACCCCGCGGGCATGGACGAGTTCAGCCGGATGCGGTGCGCGACGATGTCTGCGAGGGCGCTGTCGACGCGGATCGTCAAAGTGACGCGCGTTGACAAGATGGAGTCGTTCGTGAGGGTGCTGCGGGAGGGCGCGGCGGGGGAGGACAGCGCGTGGCTGCTCGAGGAGGCCGAGAGCAAGCTAGCGGCGCTCACGGGGCGAGAGCGGGGCCGGTGAGGGGACGCTGGGGGTGTGTGGCGGTGGAGGGGGTGTCGAAGGGGGGGAGAGGGGTTGTCGAGGTAGAAGGGGGGGTGGGTCAGTAGAGAGGACGTGTGCAGGACGGAGTACGAAGATATTCGTCTGAACTTTCAATATGCGTCGCTTTCGCGCCGTGCGACCCTGCGCAGCGTCATTGTGCGCTTGCGAGCCCTAGGGGGGACTCCATGCACCGCCGAGCATCTCCTGTGCGCATGGAGCTGCGCGACAGGCCAGTCAGCCCTTGGGTGCCGGCCTGGCTTGCTCCGTCTGTCAATTGTTGCGAGTCGGTCTGACGGCGCCAGTGCTGGTCAGTGACCGACTCACTGTGCGCGCCCCTGTAAAGCGCCGCCGTGTGGCCGCAGAGCGGCACTTGGTCCGCGCGGTGAACTCAGCACCACCTGCCACCGCGCTGCTCTCGCCACCCGGTGCTGGTGTTGCAGTGGCTGCAAGCTTGTGCCAGGCACCGCATCGACCCTCTGCCCTTTGGTTCCGTGCCCTTGGGACGTGACCAGGGTCGTGTGGGCCCTCAGGTGGGCGAAGGATAGAGTTTTCGCGCCCCCCCGCGGCGCTACGGCGAGGCCGCAGTGGTAGCTGCAGACCAGAGGGCCGTGCTCGGTGTCCGGCGGACCAGCGGGGCGCACACCGGCGCGTCAGCACGGTTCCGTGCCCGTCTGATAGAGCCGCTTGGTTTCCGGTGCGGACGCGGCCGTTGCGTGCGCGTGGCCGGCCCTAGAGAGCCCGGACATAGGGCGGAGCGAACGGTCGGGTTCAGAGCCGCTCGAGACGGGCGCGAGCCGCTGCTGAGCGGGCAGGATGGTGCTGAACAAGGAAGTAGGATGCTTCGGATGTCGAGTGCCGATGCGGCGGATCATTCGGTGCGCTCTCGCACTGCCTCGAAACTACCAGCACAGCCGGGAACGCGCGGTGCCGCTGCCAACCGCCGCCACGGCAGCGGGTCCGGCGCACGTCCGGCCGGCGTCAGCACGAGCCGCACGAACTCACGCTCGCAGCCCGCCACGCGCGCTCGGGTCGTGCTCAAGCTCTTTGCTGCTCTGCCGCGCTGCGCGCGCCCCCGGCCTCGAACCGCGACGTCCTCGCACGCGAACCTCTCCTCAGCACGCCACTCGGTCGTGCCGCCTCTCTCGGCCGACAGCGGCCGCGTCCGCGCAGCGCGAGCGCCGGTCCGCGGCCCTGCGGACGCACTCCGCTTCCGAGCGCAAGCGCCCCGCGGACGCGTGATCCCGTCCGTCTCCTCCGCTCCCCGCAGATGGCTGTGGATTCTGTGCGCCCTGGGAGTCCTCGTCACGCTCCCTCTGATCATCATCGAGCTCAATAGGAAGGACCACAACCTCCACTTCCGAGCGTGGTTCATAGCGGGCCTCTTCGTGATCCTCACGGTGCCCGTGACGCTCTACGAGGTCACCCTCCACATGTGCTACTACACCAGGTGCGCCACGCGCCCCCACCGCCCCGCCGCGCGCGCCCGACCACCGCAACCACCCCGCCCCTTCCCCGCCGCATTGCGGCCAGCACACCGCGCGGATGCGCCTCAAACCGCGCCCCGACCTCCTCGTCGTCCGCGCCGTCCACGCACCGCAGGCCCCGGCTCCAGAAGCACGTCGTGCGGATCCTGCTGATGGTGCCCATCTACAGCGTCGACGCGTGGTTCGCGCTGCGATACAAGGACGCGAGCGTGTACCTCGGGACGATCCGCGAGTGCTACGAGGCGTTCGTGATCTACTCGTTCTACATGTACCTCATGAACTACCTCCAGGACACGCTCGGCGACATCGAGGGCCACTTCACCGCCAAGGGCCCTATCGACCACGTCTGGCCGCTCAACGGCGTGCTCCGGCCCTGGTCCGGCCGCGAGTTCCTCTGGGCCACGCGCAAGGGCATCCTCAACTACGTCATCGTCCGCCCGCTCATGACCGCCGTCGGCCTCGCAGCGATGTCGATGGACAAGTTTGGATCAGGGCAGTTCCGACCCGACGTCTTCTACCCCTACTTCGTCACCGTGAACTCCGCGAGCCAGATGTGGGCGCTCTACTGCCTCATCGCGTTCTACTACGCCGCGCACGACGAGCTCGCGCCGATCCGCCCGCTCTCGAAGTTTGTGTGCGTGAAGTCGGTGGTGTTCTTCTCGTTCTGGCAGTCCGTCGCGCTCGCGCTCGCGGTCAAGGCCGGGCTCATCAGCGAGAAGAGCTCCTGGACGACGTACGACGCCACGGACGTCGCGGCGGGCGTCCAGGACTTCATGATTTGCGTCGAGATGCTCTTCGCGGCGCTGGCGCACGCGCACGCCTTCCCGCCGCGGGACTACATGACGGAGAACCCCCCGCCGCGCGGGTTCCGCGAGAACGTCCGCGAGATGTTCGACTGGGGCGACCTCATGGACGACGTCCACCTCGGGCTCACGGACTACCGCGACGAGGCCGTGCGGGGCATGACGGCCGCGGGGAGCACGGTGATGAAGGCGACGATGCTGCCGGTCGACCTCGTGCGCGGCGTGATCGTGCCGCAGGGGTACAGGGGCGCGGGCAAGGCGCGGGCGAAGAAGGCGCGGAAGCAAGGCCCCGCGGAGTTCGAGGAGTTTACGCAGGCGGCGCAGGACTCGTCGGACGAGGGGGGGGTGTTCGGGGAGTCGCTGGAGCACGAGATGGCGAGGTGAGGCGCTGCGCGGGCGCGGCCGCGGCGTGTTGCCGTGCGCGATGTGTTGCGGGGAGCTTGCATTGCGATTGCGCGAGTCCTGCTGCGGTTGGTTTGACGTGGCTGCGTGCGGTGCGACGGTGGTGCAGTAGCGATGCTGGGAGGACCGGGGTGGGGCCGGAGGCGGGGTTCGCGGGGACGGCGGCGCTGGCGCGTCGACCAGGCAGTTCGTCAGGGGGGGGGGGGCTGTTGCCGCTGGGGTCGCACGGGGCGTCGGGGACGGGACAGGGCCACTCGCCGGCGTAGCGCGCGGACGTGTGACTGCTCGCTCGCACAGGACGACGTGCCGCGACGTTCCGTCGGTCGCAACACGACGCAAGTGCTGCGCGTGCAGCGCTGGTGGTTCTCGTGCGAGCCCGCGCTGCGCGCGCGCGATGCCCCAGCGGCACGGTGGCGTTGCTGCGCGTCTGATCGGTAGCGCTCGGACCGCCTGCTTTCTGCGCGAGCCGGCGAAACCGGTCTTCTCGAAACCTCGAGATGCCTCTCGAATGATCACGGGGATTCTAGGTTCTTGGAACACTCCCCCCGCCTTCCGCGGCTATATTAGGCCGGCGCGGCGCTGGGCTCGGACACTTTCATCGGCGAACGAGCACTCGAGCACACAAGCGCACCTCAGCGATCATCCAAAGCTCACCGCACTCTTTCGTGGAGTCGCAACACACACTCAACCAACATCACAGATGTTCTCGATGTTCGGCCGCTCTCCGCTGCTGAGCAGCATGTTCAGCGACCTCGACCGCATGGAGCGGGAGCTCTCGTCCTTCGTCCCGGACGTCCGCGCGATGTGGGCGCTGCCGGAGCCCGAGGAGGACCGCCGCGAGACTGCGGGCGAAGAGGTGCGTCCCGCCCGCGCGCCAGTCACGCTGATTCGCCCCGCTTCGTGCCGCTCAGTAGATATACGGCTCGGTCGGCGTCTGTTTGCGTGATTAACAATGAACAGTGGGGGCGGTCGAAGGCCCCGCGCGGCTCAGACCTCTCCAGACACACCGCAAGTTGTTCGACGGCCTGGCCGCCTGCTCCCGCCGTGCGTGTGCGCGGTGATGCGCTCCTGCGCATAGCTTATAACCACTGAAATGGTTCTGCGCGTTGTTTCATCCCGAAACGCGTCGAATAGGAAGCCCCTGCGAGCGCGCCCCCTAACCGCCACGCCTGCCTCTCCGCGCTCCGCAGAACAAGCAGCTGTCGACGCAGCACCAGCAGCGCTTCTGGGCGCCGCGGCTCGACCTCTCTGAGACCGACAAGGAGATCGCGCTGCACGTCGACCTCCCGGGCGTCGACAAGGGCGACATCAAGGTCAACGTGTCGCCCGACAAGCGCACCCTGACCATCTCCGGGAAGCGCAGCCGGGAGGTCAAGGAGAACGGGTACTACGAGCGCGCGTACGGGTCCTTCTCGCGCTCCGTGCGCCTCCCGCGCGGCGTGGACGTGACCGGCATCCAGGCCTCGAACAAGGACGGCGTGCTGCAGGTCACGATCCCCAAGGTCGAGACCAAGGAGGAGCAGGGCATGGAGATCGAGATCCAGTGAGGCGGTCTCGCGCGCGACCGACAGCGGCGAGCAGAGCTGGCAGCGCAGCGCTCTCGGCTGCAGGACAACGTCTCGTCGCGCACCTTTGCAAGCAAGGCAGAAACCAAACATAAACCAAACCCAGCTGCGACCACGCGGACGCAGACTGTGACGTCCTAAACATTACTTCTGAACCGCGGTGTCACCCGGACGCCCTCAGACACGCGATTCCCAAGGCGGAGACCAATGTGGTCTCCGTAAGTTATACAGAGTAGTAATTGACCACCCGCGCACGAAACGAAATGCGGGTGTGCTATCGTCTCCGTAAGTTATACGCTCCTTAAAGGAGGAGCAGGGCATGGAGATCGAGATGCAGTAAGGATCGGAGGGCGATGGACACTAGTAGCCGTGTGAGCCGCGAGGCACTGACACCGCGTGGGCACGAGCATTTGGATGGGACTATCGCAGCTTGCATTCCACCTCCGCCGCGTGCCGCTAGCCTGCCGAGCCCCCAACGCGTGCTCTCAGGGAGCGAGCTGGCCCGCATGTGGATTTGTGTGGCAAACAGCTCTACCGGCCGTCGCCACCCGCTGATGCGCCATCTCGAGATATGACGTTGTTGCAACCGGGAGACTTCAAAACCCATCTTGTCTCCCTCGCTTCCGCTTCGTCCCCACCGTGGCCCGCTCGCCCCGCGGTTCCGGGCGCGCCTGTTGCGCGCGCTGCACGGCGGGACGCGCCGCCACTGCGCCTGCCCCGCGCGTCACCATGGCCTCCCATGCCTCCTGCAAGTCCGCCGCCCGCTCCGTCTCGCCGCGCGAAGGCTCGCCAGCGCTCGGGCGCGGCACCACGCACGGTACCCGCGGCGCCAGGGCGCGGTCGCCCGCGGCGCCGGGGCGCGCAGCTCGCCCGAGAATCGTCAGTGCCATCGCAGCATGGTCGCTGTCGCGCGGAGTCCACGCAGCCGCGCGGGCGGCCCCGAGCTCGACGTGTCCGCGCGCGTCTCGCTCGACGGCGACCTTGAGCGCGGCGCGGACCTCCCCGCTTCCCCCCGCATGCTCCGCAGAGGCCCATCGGAACGCTGCAAGCTCCACGGCCCTGACCAGGCTCCCCGCTCCGCCCGGCGCCCTCACTGCGTCCAGCAACAGCCTCGCAGTCTCATCGTCGCGGCCCCCGCCACCCGCCCGCGCCGCGTCGCGCGCCGACGGGGCCCACGCGGCCTCCCGAACGTTGTCTGGGACGCGAACGTTGTCATTGTCGCCGCCCGACGCGCCGCCCTCGCGCTGGAGCAGCTTCGCGATCGCCGCGTAGTGCAAGCGCGGAGCCTCGACGGTGCGGAGGTCCTTGTGTCGCCGCATGTGTCCAAGTCGAAGATAATCTGTCCGCAATATCTCAGATGGGTTTCTCCGCTCGATCCGCTCCGCCTCGGCCGCCGCCTCGCGCGCCCGCGCGAGCTCCCACGCCGGCGTGTCGTCCGCGCGCGCCCGCAGCACCGGGAGACCCCCCCCCGCCGCGTCCGCCCCGCAATACTCCCCCAGTATGACGTCCAGTTCCCCGTTCCACCGCGCGACGCACGCGGCGACGAGCTCCGGCCCCGGCCCCCCGAAGCACGTGCGGCTCGCTAGCAGAGCGACGCCCATCGCCGAGGGCGGCTCCTCGGCCCGGAGCTTGTCTGGAGGCTTCTGCGAACACGATTCGGGATTCAGGGTCTGCGAGTCGCGCGGTCCGTCGAGAATGCGCTGGTGGAGGCCCAGAGAGTACGCCGTCAGCCCGGCCGCGGGCGTCCATCCGCCCGCGGAGCCCCCCGGCGCCGTGCCGACGCGCAGCGCCCCTGCGGCGCCGCGGCGGTGCGCCTGCGAGCCCAGAACAGTCCCAGGAGCGTCGCGGGCGCGTGGGAACTCCGCTGACAGCGCCCCGGGCTCCACGAGCGCGAAACGTGCGAGCACCGCGGCCCCGGACCGCCAGTCCGTCGCGACGAGCAGCCCAGTCGGGCAAAACTCCCCGCCGACGTGCCCGGACAGCCGGTCCGGTAGAGGTGCCGGCTGCTTCCACGTGCAGTCCAGCATGACGCTCCCGGGCTGCCACAGCCCGTGTGCCCATCGCAGGAGCGCCCGGTCCGGCCGCCGCGGGTCCAGAAGCAGCAGCTGCTGCGACGTAGCGAGGGCGACGAGCGGCGGGGCGGCAGCGCCCTCCGCTGACGCATGCTGGGCCGGCAGCGCCTTCGCCGCCAGAATCGTCTCGCCCGCAGGCAGCTCCATGCATGGTTGTTCCGACAGCCGTGATCTGCCGGGCTCCGCGAAGCCCTCGCCCTGCCAGATGCGGAAGAGCATGTTGCCAACGCCTGCCAGTGCTCGCCTGGGGTGCGGGCCCGGAACCACGACGACGCGCAGCCCCACCGACCGCTCGACCTTCTCCTTCAGGGCCTCCGGCACCGTCCACTCCGCGAACGCCGCCTCCTTGCCGTGCGATCGCAGCAACTGAACTGAGAGCACCTCGCCGCTGGTCTTGGCCACAAGCACCTCGCCTGGCACCGCGTGGTTCCACGACGTCCACGAACAGACCCCGTCCGGCAACGCGCAGGCGCCCGGAAGCCCGCGCGTCACCTCGAGGGACCTCACTCCCCCCGGGGACGTCACCGCCCTGACAACAGCAGCAGCGATCCCGCGCGTGCCGCGCACCGCGAGCACGCACGCCCCGCCGCGCTCGGTCCCCGGGCCGGCCGAGATGTCGAGGATGCGCCCCACGCGCAGGTCGAACACGCACGGGCCGCAGACCGGAGGCCGCACCCCGTGCGAAGGCCCGGCGTCGTCGCTGCCTTGCACCGCGTCCGCCGTCGGGCGCACCGGCGACGCAAGCGGGGTCACCGCGAGGTGCGTCATGCCGGGCCCGACGGCGGACGCCGCGCACGCGCCCTGCCGCTCGTCGAGCGCTGGCAGATCAAAGGATGCGCACGTATTGCCAAATATCGCCTGGGCTCTCAGAACCTCGCGCTCGGAACTGGCGCTCCGGACCGCGTCCTCGAGCACCTTGTACGGAATGTCCATCGCCCTCTGCGCAGCGGCGGGCGCGCGCCGTGGGCACGGGCGGCGAATGAAGTGCGCGCCAGTGTTATATGCAGCTAGCTGCGCGACAGAGCAGCGCGGCGCACCTCGGCGGTGTAGACGTGCAGGCGCTCGCACTCGGCCTCGATCTCCTCGTCCCTGATCGGGAGCGCGGAGCGATCACGGAACACCCCGAGGGGTGCTGCATCTCCCGTGGTCTCTTTGGCAGCGTGCTCCGGGTCGGGGCGGTGGGTGGTCGCCGACACGAGCCGCCACTGCAGCTCGCCGCCGCCGACGCCGCGGAGCACTCGGCCGTGGAGCGGGAGATGCCTGCGCGCGCGGGGGGGTGCCAACAAGCGTTGGTGTGTGTATTTGTGCTCAGCACGGTCCTCTCCGAGCGCCGTTCCGCGGGGAAATGCTGGCACCGGGCAGCCAATCGCGAGGCTTTGAAGAGGGCGCGTGCCGCAACGGACCTGAAGGTCGCGAGCGCCCGGCCGCCCGAGCACCCAGCCTGTACGGGCCACCAGTCGCTGCCCGCCGCGGTGGACCCCGCCATTGGAGCCGCGGCGTGCGTGGCTCAAGGCATGAGAAGACCGGTTCGTAAGCACCAGCTTCGCGTCGAAATGCTGCGGGGTGCGAACCGCTACGGCGACATGCCGTGAGACGCGCCACACCTACGTGCTCTCACGCAGCGACAGGCCGTCAAATCAGACGTCAACCCCGGTCATTAGACGTGCATGTGACGTTCGAACTCAGCGCGCTGCTGAAGCGGCCGAATAAGGACCTCTCGTCGGCCCAAGGTCGACTAAACATACAAGGTGAAATACTACACAAGAGGCTGCAGCTAGACCACTTGTTCTGTGCTTATGGGCGTGCCCTCGTGATGTCCCGGAGTGGAGAGTGCAGGGGGGGCGCGACGGCCAAAGCGCCGCCTCGCAGCACCGTCAGGGAGTCCAGACTTCCACCACGACGGTCTCACCGACGCACGCAACGCTCTGCCGCCGCTCTTCGGGCCAGGACGGCGTCCGCACCACCGATTGGGACCACCTCCTTCGTTTTCGAGAGGCATCACGGCCCCAGCGGCACCTGCGCGTGCTGAGAAGCCTCCCGCGGTGCTCGCTCCGCACCCCCTCAGCACGCGATGGCTGCCGCGGACACTGGCCCCGACGAGGTCCAGAGCATCCTCTCGGCCCTGCGCGACCGCGTTTCGACGTCCACCGCCACGGAGCTGGCCACGGGGTACACCCCAAGTGTGCCATCGGCGACGCTGTACGAATACGCCTTCGAAGATGGGCTCCGGGAGGTCCTCCGGGGCGCCGTCGAGTCCGCCTGGCAAGCGACGTCCGGTGCGCACCTGCCGCGAGCCCTCGCGGTGCCCGGCCTGCGCGGCGTTCCCGGGGGCCGCGGGCAGCGCGGACGACAGCTCCCGCGTCTTTCGATTTCAGCGCCGAACTCCGCGCCCGCTCGCGCGTCCCAGGCCGCCGTAGTATTCTCTGTACCCATGGCTGCTAGAAACGTGCGGGAATCCCGGGATTCGTGTCCTCGGGGCGCGCCGGGGCCGTCGTGAGTGCCTGCGTGTGCACTGCTGGCGTCGCTCCCGGCGCTTGGGGCCTAGGAAAGGGCGGCCGGAGCACTCCACCTGGCCACTTCGATACATCCCCATAGATCACGGCGCCTGCCGCGTGCCGCCTCTGCCCCCCGCCTCCCCGCGGGACGTGGCGGGGGCTGCGCGCGGCCAGGCCCGAGCCACTGCGGCAGTTTTCGGCCCCTGCCGCCGCGAGGCGCCAAGCGCCTTCCCTGACGGCACAGAGGCCCCAGAACCCGCAGCACAACTCGAAACGCGCACCATCGCGATACCGCCCCAGAACAACCCTGGTGTCGCCCCGCAAGCCCTCACGCGCGCCCGCTTGCGCCGCAGGAGCGCCCCGCACCGACCCCGTGGCCGCCCGCGTCGCCCTCGAGTCCGACGGCCGCACACGGCTCCCGCAGGCCCTGCCCCGGCCAGTACAGGACCCCCCCCCCGCCCACGCCGACTCACGGTACAAGGTAGTGGCCCTCGTCGACGGCGTGCCGACGTCCATCTACGACGCGAGCACGCAGTACCCGATCGGGCAGACGCTGATGCAGCGCGCGCGCCCGGACCACGGCGGCGGAATGTATGTCTTCCGCTCCGTCGAAGATTGCCTCGCGCGCGACGCGGCGGTGTTCGGCAGGGGCGGCGGGCGCAGGGAGCTGGACCGGTGCCCGCGCGCGATCATCCGATGCCGGTGCTGGCTCGAGGGGCGACACGAACAGCCGGTGCGCTACGGACACAAAGAGGCGTACACGTTCCTGCGAGGTGCGCGGCCCGCCTGTGCTGCGTGGTCGATGACGAGGGCGCTGCTGAGTGTGTGTGCGCGCGCGCAGCTGCGTAGCGGGCGTCGACGCGTGGCTGACGTCAGCGTCGGCGAGTGTTGCGATGTGCAGCGGAGGAGGTGCTGCCGATGCCGCCGCAGTTCCACCACGAGCGCGACCTCGCGGACCTGCGCCGCGAGGACGGTTTGACGGCGCTCGAGCCCCGCGAGGTGGCGCAGCTGTGGCACGCCGGCACCGAGCGCGCGCGCACGATCGTGGCGAAGCAGGCGCGGAATATCCAGCTGCAGCGCGAGGTCGAGGAGATGGAGGAGGCCGCGGAGCTCCTCAGGCAGCACCGCGCGCGGCTCGCGGGCGCCGGCGGTCCGCAGGGGCCCGCGCAGCGACTTGGCGGCGACGATGGCGCGGGGCCGTCTGGCGTTGCCGAGTCGTGAGGACCGCTCAGCGACGATTGTGAGCGTATCTGTCTATGAATTGGGCGCGCCCTGGTTGTGCAGTTCGTGGCAGAAGTGGCGCGGGGGGGGTATTAATCGTGCTGTTTGTACCTGCGTGGGTCTGTAGCGGCTCGTGGTGGGCAGTCGGGGCGACGGTAGGGGTCGGTTGCGGGAGCTGGCGGCACTGTGGATCATAGTTGATCGCGGAAGAGGCCGGATTGCCTCTCATCGCTTCGTTGTGGGCGTCGACGTGGACACATACTGCACTGTGGTGAGTAGCGCAGTCCGTCTCGGCGCGAATGACGCCGCTCGTGGACGCTATCTTCGGCCCGATTATGTCGTTCATCTTAACGAGAGGACACACAGAGCAGGAGGGAGCGTCTCGGCGCGCCGTGATTCAAAATAGCGGCGTCTGAGGTGTCTGCTTCCCAGGTGGCAGCTCGCTGCCGTCGCTGCGAGCCGCCTGAGCGACCGCGCTTGCCTGCGCTGAGCTGCAGGTCGCCCAACTTAGCAGCGTTCAGGCAGGGGGGAGGTAGCATGCCGCTGCAAACGACGGCGGAGTTCTCATCGCCGGGCGCTACACCCCCTGCGTGGGACGCAGCGGGCAACTCTCTGGCGCGGGACCTCAAGGCCGATGGCACGACGCCGGGGAGCATGGGCCCCAGCGCGACGCTTCAGCGGGTTTCGGAGCAGCTGAGCAAGTTTCAGGCGACGTTGCACGAGGATGCTAAGAACAGGCGCCAGCAGGACGCTGGCCGGATAAGGAGCATAACGGAGCGCCTCCAAACGCTCGAGATTGAGGCGCAGACGGAGGCGCGCCGCCGCGACGAGAGCCTCCGGCAACTTCAGGTCCGGGATCCGCCCCGCGGTGCCTCCACACTCGTCCCCGTCTGCCGCACCGCGGCGACCGGTTCCCGCACGCCGCTCCTCCGCGACTCGTTGCTCGCTCCGACAACATGCGAACGAGCGCCCCCTGCGTTCCCATCCCAACCTCGCACGCCCGCTACGGCTCTTCACCTCCACGCCTCTTGCGCAGCGCTACCGCCCTCCCACCGGCCTCCGCGCGCCGAAACAGCCTCGGACCCGCTCCTCCTCCACCGCCGCAGGCCTCCGTGGACCGCCGCGTCGGCGACGTGCGCGAGACGCTCCTGAAATCGAACCGCGAACTCTCCGAGACGCTTCGGGCCTTCATGGGCGAGGTCCGCGCGGACATCTCCGCCCTGCGCGAAGCCATCGACGACGAGCGCGCGCAGCGCCGCGCGGACGGCCAGGAGCTGGCGCGCGTGGTCCTCGAGCGAGTGGACGTGTGCGCGCGCGCCGTGGAGGAGGAGCGCAGCGCGCGGCTGGAGGCGCACCAGCGGCTCGCGGAGCAGGGCGCGCAGGGCGTCGAGGCGCTCGGGGCGGACCTGCAGCGGGAGGTGGAGGTGCGGGAGGCGGCGATCGCGAAGCTGCAGGGGGAGGTGCGCGGCGAGGTGAGCGTGGTGAAGGACCGCGACGAGAAGTTCGAACGGTACATCGAAGGTGCGGGCGGGAGGGAGGGAGCGCCGCAGCCGGGCAGCGAGACGGTGCCGCGGCCGCGAGCATGTTGCCGGTGGTGTCGTTGCAAGGTGTTGTGTTGGGCGTCCGCCGCGGGGCTGTTCCGCGCAGCTGCCCCCGCGCTGCATGGACCACATCTGCCTGCGTGCCTTCTCGTCGGTTGCCGGCGGCCCGCTGCGGTGCGCATCTACCGCGCGCCGCGCTGGCTGTCATGGAGTTTGTTCACTCCCCCTCCGTCGTACGCAGGTCAGCTCAACGGGCTGCGGGACGCAGTGGCGGTGGAGGCGCAGGTGCGGCAGACGGAGGACGAGCAGATCGTCGAGGCCATCAACCAGTACACGCAGGCCATGCAGGAGAGCCTGCGCATTGTGTCGTCGTGACGCGGCGCCGGGTTCACACTGGCCGCCGCCGGCGCCGCCCGGCCGCCGTGCGCGTTCCGCCGTCGGTTCGGAGCGCTGCAGGACGTGAGGCTATCAATCTAGGCAGCGTCCGCCGAATTGTGATCACCGCCGTGCCTGGGACGACGTCAAGTTGCACGATCGAGCGCGTCCTCGTCGTTCGGTGGCAGGCCGCCGCTGTTCGGCGCCGCGTCGCGCTGCTGTTGTTGTTCTTTGATATGCTTCAAGCGGCGCACCCCGTGGCGTTCACGTACCCGCCCGATCATGCCTGAATCATGAGGTACAGAACGATAGCGTTGACGGCCACGGCCTGCGCCACGACGTGCTTCCCGACGTGCGTCACTTGCCTGCAAGGCCGAGCGAGGGAGTGCCGCGCGACATCATCTCGAGCGGCGCGTCAACTAGCACGCGTTTCCAGAGGGCGGGCTCGCGCGGCCGCGCGCCGCGCCGCGCCGTCGCTTGTATGCTACAGGAGGATTGGAACACCGGCAGGTACTTCTCAACATCTTCCGCCGGCTCCTTCATGTTCTTGACCCGCAGTCCCGGAAGAAGAAGTCACCCGGTCGGTAACCGCCGCCGTCCATGTCGTACCCGACTAGGATGCCCGCGTACTCTGAGCGTACGGCGGGCGCGTGCTGCTTCGCATGGTCAGGCAGACGGCGACGGCGAAGCAGCACGCGCCCGCGGTACGCAGCGAGTACGCAGGAATCCTCGTCGGGTACGACATGGACGGCGTGAGTGACTTCTTCTTCCGGGACTGTGGGGTCCCCGATGAGGTCAAGAACGTGAAGAAGCCGTCGGAAGACGTCGAGAAGTACCTGCCGGTGTTCAATCCAAAGCGCGCACGACTCCTTTTCTGCACCTGGCGCGTTCCGCGCCGCCCTGCGCGAGACGCGCGCCGGGCGCGCGAGCGCGGCGGGGCCACGGGCGCGCGGGGCGAGCACGGCGGGTGCGGAGGCACGCACTTCGGGCGCTTGAATACGTCGCGGTTGGTCAGTTCAACGCCGGCCTCGAGGTTGCCGTTGTTGCGGGCCTCGGCGGCCGCCATGGCGCGCATGGGCGGGTGGAGCGGCGTGCGGCGTCCGCGCGTCTCCGGCGTGTCGTAGGGCAGCTTCTTGTGGATGTCGGGCAGCTTGAAGAGCTTTGCAGGGCTGAGCTGCTTGAAGAGCGAAATGGCGGCCTGCGCGTCTTCGACCGCCTCGAGGAGGAAGACGCGCAGATTTCGCTTCCAGGGCGGTAGGTCCGTTTGCCGCAGCAGCACCTCCTGCGGCGGGGGCGCCCAGGATGAGAGGGGGCTCAGGGGGGCGGCGCGTCGCGGGATCGCGGCGAGCGTGCGCCTCGACAGCCGCGGCGTTGCGAGCACGCTGTATGGGGGCTTCTCTGCGCGGCGGGGTGCATTTCACGGCGAGCAGCGCGGGCGTGCCGGCTGTGGGCCCACCTGCCAGGTCTCGGGCGTAGCGGGCTTGTTGCTCTTCTTGTTCGCGCGATGACGCTTCCTGACCTCCTGCGCAGCGAGCTTCTTCTTCTCGTCCTGGTGATTCCACACAAATATCCGCTCCATCTCTCCAACGCGGCCGTCCTAGTTCCTAGTCCTGTAGACGCCGCCCCGCACGGCGCCGGAGCACGGGGGCTGGCCGCCTGGCGCTCAGCAGGACGTTGCTATCCGTCCACAGCTACGCGTGTAGCGCCAAGCGAATGCCCCGGCTGTGCGGGCGCAGGGCGCGGATTCCGCTTGCGAATTCACCGAAGCAGTGCGCCGGCCAGCACGGTGCTCTATCGAAGAGTTTGGCGAGAGTACGTGCATGCAGCGGTGGCTGTGATCGTGCCGGACGCGCCCAGCGGGCATCGGGGCCGTCGCAGTGCGAGGGGGTGGGATGTCGAGGGAGTGTCCGCTGCAAGCATTGGTGTGCCCGGAGGCCCGCGCGTGTGGTTGCTGGCGCGAGATGCGCGCAGGTCGCAGCACAGACGGCTCAGGAACGAGCTCATTGCCGAGGAATTCGCTGTCGGTGCACAGCGTCGCCGTGAGGCGGGGAGGGCCGGGCAGTGCAGGCATGGCCGGTGCTGAGCGGGGCCGGGGCGGCGGCGCCCGCGGTCGCGGCCGTGGACGCGCTGGAGGACGAGGAGCGGGGCGAGGCGAGTCCGTCCTTCAATGCACGCACAGAAACCCGCGTCTTGGCGCTCGCAGACCACGGTGTCTGCATCGCCCACGCGCGGGCGCTCACTGCCCGAACAGTGCCCATTATGACCGCCACGTGTTACTCTGGGTACGAAGAACGTCGTGGGGGCATGTTCGCGGTTCCGCAACGCAGGTGATGCTCAGGCTCAGGCAGGTGAGAAGAAGCAAAGGTCGATTAAGAACCAGATCCGGGGGCTCCAGCGGCTGCTGGCGAAAGGGCACTTGGAAAAGAAGGTGCGACGCGCGTTCCGTGCCGGGCCGCGAGCGCACGATTGAAGCGCAGACCACCCATGTAGCTTGGTGGCGCAGTCTCAGAGGCTTGCGGTTGCCGTGGGCACGCGTTTCAGCGCCGCAACGGGCGCCGCCGCGGGCCCTGAGGTCACGGAAGCCCAGCGGTGCTGCGCGCAGGCGCAAAAGAAGGTCGAGGCGCACCTGGAGGCGCTGTTGATGTCCCAGCAGCGACACGAGAAGGCTGAGCGAGAGCGCGAGATGGCGGTCAAATACCACAAAGTCAAGTTCTTTGAGCGCGTCAAGGTCGAGAGGTGCGGGCGGGCGATCCGAGCGCCAGGCCACAGACGCGACCCATGGACGTGACGTACGCGACATGTTGTTTTGCCTCGGCCGGAGACGAGCCGCGTTGCGACGCACGTGCAGGCGGATCAAGAAGATCACGAAGGAGCTGGAGTCGCTGACGCAGGGGAGCTCGGAGGCGAAGGACGCATCGAAGCGGTTGAAACGGGCCAAGTCTGACCTGACATACATTTTGCACTTCCCCGCCGGCAAGCCCTACATCTCCATCATCAAGGAGCCCGCCGACGAGAAGGTGCGCTCCGCACCGCGCTCGCCCTCCTGCAGTGCGCCAGCGCGGCGCTCGCGGCCTCCTGCGGCTTGGGGGGATGTTTATTTATGTTGCAAGCATTCCAGTGTCGTTACGCGGCCTGCGCGGCGTGCGGTGGCGCTGCAGGAGCGCGAGAAGCGAGAGGACCTGCGCCGGGAGGCGCTCGCGGCGGCTCGCGACGCTGCGATGGTGAACGAAGCCGATGAGGGGGCGGCAGGGCAGCGGGCAGACGCGCGCAAGGCGAAAGAGCAACGCAGGACGGCCTCGCAGGACGACGAGGTACGCGCACCGCGTCCTCTCAAAGGCCGCGTCCAAGCAGTCCAGCGGGGCGTTGCGTGCACGTGCTTCGCGCGCGCGTGTGCCTGTGCGGTGCTATGTGTGCCTGCTTGGTTGCACGTCGCTGATGCGTGCGTGCGGCGTCGCTGTCGTCGCAGGACGGCATGGGCGCGGCGCCGGCGGACGCGGGCAGCGACAGTGAGGGGAGCGACGACTTCTTCCTGGACTCCCCCCGCGGGGACTCCGGCGGTGAGCAGCAAGACACCCCGGGACGCGGGTCAGACGCGTCGTCGTCGAGCCCGTCTGAAGACAGCAGCTCCGAGGCCACCTCGGGCCCAGAGGGCGCCGAAGAGCCTCAGGGCAGCGACGGGGCTCCCCCATCGTCAGCGTCCACGTCCACGTCCGAGGAGGACGAGGACAGCGCGGGGGGCGGGAGGGGCGGTGCGAGCGGGACGAGCAGTAGCTCGGGCGGGAGTGAGAGCGACGGCGATGGACCCGGGGGCGGTGTGGTGGTGAAGAAGATCAACAGAGTTCGCGATCCGAAGACTGGAAAGATGGTGACGCAAGAGCGGCTGCGGGAGCTGGAGGCGGTGCGGGAGAAGAAGCGGAAGATTCTGGAGGCCGCTGGGGTCGACGTGAGCGCCCGGGAGGTGCCGCGCAGGCCGCCGAAGAGCCGGAAGGTGGGTGCGGGCGGTGCGCGGGGGGCGCCGCGTGGGGCCGCGGCGGGGGCGGAGGCGGGGGCGCGCGCGGAGGGCGAGGCGGAGGGGCGCGCGAGGACGCGTGCGGAGGGCGGCAGGAAGCGGCGAAAGAAGAAGAACTGACCTGGCGGCGAGTGTAAGCGCAACGACGCCATCCAACGCTGCGTGCATGCCGCGGCAGAGTCGCTGGTTCTTGCGGTGTCCTGGCATCGAGCGCGTGCGCGGGCGCCGGGTGTGGGTACGTCGCACAAGGCATGCGCGCCGTCTGTCGGCCCGCCGGGCCTGAGACACTCCGGGGGGAGTTTCAGGACGGTCCTCCGGCCGGGACTCCGCGCCGCAAGTGCCGGCGGTGCCCGTGGCCGGCGCAAGTCCTCGGCGTCTGCCTGATTCGGTGTGATCCAGCACGCCGCCGGTGCCACTGCCGGGCTGTGCATCGCTCGCGCCAGTGCTGTTGTGGTTGCGAAGCCCAGCGGGCCGTACGGGACGGCGCGACGTGCCTGCTGGCGTGCGAGGGTCGTAAGGAGCCATGAGCGGTGAGTACGCGGACTTTTTGCCTCGTGTACACCGCGCATTGCGGCTCTATGTGGCGCCAAGCCACTGCACGCGCCTCGCAAGCGCGCGTCCTGCGCCCGGCCGCTTCGATCAGGACCGCCCCTGAAGCGATCGAGGCAGTGCATGGCTCCAGCGGTCCCGCCGCAGCGTGCACGGCCGGGAGCGTCGCACACAAGCCCGCAATCAGTGCGTTCAGTTTCGCCGGCTCCCTTCTCGCGGCCCAACGCGGCAGAACCGTCGCCTGGCCCCCACCTCCTTGCGCCGCGGCGCTCGAACGCTGCGCAGGCTTCAGTTTCGGCGCGGGGGGAGGGTCGACGGGCGGCGGGTTCAGCTTCGGAGCGTCCTCAGGCGCGGCGGCGTCTCCAGGAGCAACGGCGCCCGCGTCCGGCGGTGGGTTCTCGTTCGGGGGCGCCCCCGCGTCTAGCGCGGGCCTGAGTTTCGGCGCGTCGCAGGGCAATGCCTCGGGAGGCGCGGGCGGCTTCTCCTTCGGCGCGGGCGGCGCCCCGGCGACGAGCACTCCAGCCAGCAGCGCGGGCTTCAATTTTGGCGCCTCTGGAGCGCAAACCTCCACAGGTTCGCGCGTCCAGCACCTCCACGCGTGCAAGCCCCGCCTCGTCGCGCCAGCCGCGAGCTCGTTCCCTGCTGCGGCGCCCGCGCAGCCCCAGAAGAGGTCTGCTCTCAGCACTCAACGCGACCGCAGCCGCCACCGATCCGCTCCCTGCGGGCGCCCTCACGCGCACCGCTTTGACTGTACTTCCTCTGCAGGGGGCGCCGGATCTCTGTTCGGATCCGCGTCGTCCGGCGCCGCTTTCGGCGCCCCTGCGTCGAGCGCCGCGGCCGCACCCTCGTCCACGCCCAGCCTGGCGTTCGGCGCCTCGCAGCCCGCGAGCTCCGCCAGCCCGTCCACCGGCTTCGGCTTCGGCGCGCCCGCGTCGCAGGCCGCGCCGTCCTTCGGGTCCTCGCAGCCCGCCAGCAGCGCCGCGCCCGCATCGTCGGGGGGGGGGTTCGGGTTCGGTGCAGCGTCGTCCGCGCCTGCGGCGTCGTCAGGGCCGGCGCTGGGCTTCGGCGCGAATCCCGCGACGTCCGCGGGGGGCACCGCGCCGGCGTTCGGCGCGTCCTCGCAGCCGGCGAGCGGCGGGCTGTCGTTCGGGGCGGCAGGCGGCGCGTCCTCGCAGCCAGCGAGCAGCGGCGGACTTTCCTTCGGCGCAGCAGGCGGCGCGTCCTCTCAGCCAGCGAGCAGCGGCGGACTTTCCTTCGGGGCGGCAGGCGGCGCGTCGTCGCAGCCAGCGAGCAGCGGCGGACTTTCCTTCGGCGCAGCAGGCGGCGCGTCCTCTCAGCCGGCGAGCAGCGGCGGACTTTCCTTCGGGGCGGGGCAGCCCGCGACGCCGGCGGGGCAGACGGCGGCGCCCGCGGGCGTGCAGGCGAAGCTCCCGAGCAAGATCAAGGGGCTGACGGTGGACAACATCGTGGGCGCGTGGACGCGAGAGATGGAGAACCACTCCAAGGCGTTCGTCGAGGTGAGCTGCCGACGCACGCGAACGCCCTCGCTGCCAGGGCGGCTGCTTCCCCGCGCGAACACCCGAGCCACGGCACCCCCTGCATCGCCGTCGACGCGCTGTGGGTCCGTGGCGTGCAAGCGGCGCTTGTAACGGACGCGGCGCGCAGCGGCATCGCGGCAGCCGGCTGCGTTGCACGCGAGAGCGACCGCTGTCCGCGGTGCCGGATTTGTCAACGAAGAAAGGAAGACGACGGACACAATTACACATACACACTCGAGATTGATCCCACCCTGACTTGATCGATCGTCTCGCGGCCGCCCATTGACCTGCGCGCCCCCCCCCGCCACGCGGCCGCGCAGATGGCTCGGCGTCTGAGTAAACAGGACGAGGCGGTTCTGCGTTCCCGGCAGGCGCTCATTTCGCTCGAGGGCGAGGCCGACGGCGCCGTGCGCGTGCTGAACAAGCTGCAGCAGATGATCGGCGCGCTCGAGCAGCAGCAGGCCGACGTCGAGGTCGCGCTGAACGAGATCCGGCCGCGCGCCGCGAACCTCTACCGCGCCGAGACGCAGCAGTACCTCGACAGCGAGGCGCAGCAACGCGACGCGCTGTACGACCAGGCGATGCGGGTGTGCCAGGACCTGCACTCGATCCAGTCGCGGCTCAACGAGAGCGTTGACGCGGTCAACAAGGTGACGGAGACCGCGCTCAAGGAGCAGGGCTCCGCGCTGCCCTACATTGAGAGTGTGGTCTCCAACCAGCTGAGCACGCTCGAGCGGATGGACAAGCGCGTGAGCGAGCTCGAAGAGAGCCTCACGGGCGCGGAACAGAACCTCCAAGCGGGCGCGATGGGGCGCGGGAGACAGTAGGGCCGGGCGCCGTCCCCTGGGTGTCGCGCGGGCGTCCCAGAGCGTACCGGCGGGTTCTGGCGTGGAGGTGTTGCGTGTTAGCGGCCCGCAGTGTTCGACGTTCACCGACCTGTCTCGGAGTCGCTCGCCGGAGCCCGTCGCGCAAACACCGCATTCCAGCTCGCCGGCCCAGCACTGCGCGACGTTCGGGGCGCGAGCGCGCGCTGCGTCCGCCTGCCTCCTGCCGCCACGCGTCCCTGACTGTCCTCCGACTTGGCCATCGTCGCGCCGCACAGCATCGGCTCTCGCATCGCCTGGGGCGCCCACACATTAAGACACTAATTGACCTGTAGATAATTTATTTAGATATCATTGAATGAAAGCTCATGAGCTGGCCGCAGCTATTTTCACATTCCCGCCACGCACCTGTCGTGCAGTTCCGCCAGCTGCTGCCACCTCGCGCCGGCCCAAACCGCTCGGCGCGCCGCTTCCACCCGACCCCAGCTGGCCTCCTTCCGCCCGTGCAGCACAACGGCGACTTGTCGGGGGGCGGGGCGCCGCACGCTTCGTCATCGACGCGGCCCGCATGCTCTGTCCTGCGCGCGCGGCTGCCGAGGACCGCGAAACACCGGCGTTGGCTGCTTTGATACGTGCACCCGTCACAGCACCATAAGTCAACGCCCGGCAGCACCACGTCGCCGTGCACGACAGCAGGCGACGGCCAGCAGCGCCTCGCGCCCCCGGCGACCCTCAACAGATGCAAAACACCCCCCTGCAGCCCTCAAGAGATGACGTACACGCCGTCGCCTTCTTCCGCGATATCGAAGCCGTCCTCCTCGTCGTCGTCCGCGCGCCCGCGGCCCGCGCGCCGCCCCGCGCGCCCGCTCTTGCCCTTGCGCTTCTTCCCGCCCTCCCGCCCCGCCGCCCGCCGCGCCGGCCGCAGAATCTCCACCTCGCCCACACGCGCCTCCACGCGCCCCAGCATGGCCGTCGGGACCAGCGCGGTGACCGTCGTGCCCTCGGGGCCGTGCTCCTCCTCCTCGACCATCCCGTGCTGCGCGCAGTTCCACGAAAGCGGAATATTCGTCGGGAAAAAGCAACGGTCAGACACCATAAACAGGCTCCGATGCGCTGCGAAGAGCAGGGCGACAGAGCAGCGCTGCAGGAGGCGCCAGACCGCGCAGCGCAGCTCGGCGGCGGCGTAGCAGCTCTCGTTCCTCACGAAATCGCCGGGCCACGCGAAGAGCAGCGCCATGGCAGCAGTTGGGCGCAGGCGAACAAAAGAGCGACGCCGGCGGCCGGACCGCCCGCAGCGAGCCGCGCTCACCTCGTACATCTCCGAGAGCAGGTCCCCGGCCGCGAACGGCACCAGCATCTTCACTCGGCAGCACGCCTCCGCCAGCTTGCGCTCAATGGCGGCCAGCACCTCCCCTGCGTTGTCGCCCGTGCGCGCGCTGCACCACACCGTGTCCGTCGCGCGCCGCGCCACGCCCGCGACGGCCCGCGGGTCGTCGCACGCGTCCACTTTGTTCCACACAATCAATTGAGGAATCCCAACTGTGTCCAGCTCCCCCAGCACAGACTGAACCGCCTCGACCTGCGCCGCGGCCAGCGGCGACGAAATGTCCACCACGTGCATGATGATGTCCGCCTCCTCGATCTCCTCCAGCGTGGCCCGGAACGCCGCCACGAGCTGCGTAGGCAGGCGCTGAATGAACCCCACAGTATCTGTCGCCAGCGCCTCGCGGCCCGACGGCAGCCGCACGCGCCGCGTCGTGGGGTCCAGCGTCTCGAAGAGCCGGTCCTGCGCCGTCACGTGCTCCGCCCCGGCCAGCCGGTTCAGCAGCGTGGATTTCCCGGCGTTGGTGTACCCCACGAGCGCCACGACGGGCATGCCGTTCTCCTCGCGCCGCCGGCGGTGCAGCCCGCGGTGCTTCCGGACCTCCTCGAGCTGCCCGCGCAGCGAGGCCATGCGCTTCTTGAGCAGGTACCGGTCGACCGCTTTTTGGGACTCCCCCATCCCTTTGACGGCCCCGCCCGACCCGCCGCGGCCGGCCTGGCGCTCGAGGTGCGACCACATTTTGGTCAGGCGCGGCAGCTGGTACTCGTGCTGCGCGAGCTCGACCTGGAGCATGCCTTCCTTGGTCGCGGCGCGCTGCGAGAAGATGTCGAGGATGAGCGCGGTGCGGTCGCACACGCGCACCGAGTCCTCCTCCTCGCCGCGGCTCTTCGAAAGGATGCGCTCGAGCGAGCGCAGCTGCCCGGGCGACAGCTCGTCGTCGAAGATCACCGTGTCGACCTCGTACGCGCGCACGAACGCGGCTATTTCGTCCACCTTCCCAGACCCGATGTACGTCCTGCACGGGCGCCAAACGACGAGAACGCAGCCGGTGAGGCCAGGCGAGGTCTCGCATGTTTCGCGCCGCCGGCCGTATGGCTTCGGGACCCGAAAGGATCGTCCGAGTACGAAGTGGGGAGTTGCGCCAACCCTCCACCGTGATGGCAGCGACAGCTTCGGCAGCTGTGACGGAGTCAGCTCGCCGGCGAGGCAGGCACGCCTCGGACGTGTCTCGCGCCGCTCCGCGCCGACAGCGGAGCCCGTGCAACCTCGCGCAGCGCCCGCAACGCACGCCGTTACAACACACATCCTCGTCACGGGGTGGGGGGTGTTTCGGTGTTTCGCGCACCTCGGGTCCACGGTCTGGAGCATCTGGTAGGTGCTGCCGGCGACCTCCAGCCCCGCGGCCTCAGCGAGCCGCTCGAGCTCCTCCAGCGATTCGTGAATTGTGTATTTCCCAACGCCGCTCGACTCGTCTCGGCCCTGAAGGAGCGCCTCCGCGGCCCTGCCGCCGTCCTCGCCCTTCTTCGGCCGCTCCTTCACCTGGACCCCCACCTGCGAGCGCCGGGACGCGGCAACGGCCGCTCAGAGAGCCGGGGACGCGCAGAGAGGCTGTGGCGCCAAAATGCCTGGGGCACAGCAACAGGCAGAGGGCCGCGCTTTCCGGGCTTCCGAGCGCCGTGACGTCCGGCTTGCTGGGGAATCTGACCAGCCGACAACGTGAGGATCGTGGAAACGAAGGGAACGTATCGCGCAGGGGGCTGCCGGCGTCGTGCGCGGCGAAGAAGCTGCCTCCGGAGCCCGCCACAGGGCCAGGGCGCGCCGTGCCCGCGCGGATGACGGGTGGCTCGCGGCGAAACAACGCGGAACAGAGAGTCCGTGATCACGGCTGTCCGTGGGCGCCCGGGCGTCCGCACTTACCAGGTACACGCGCTCTTTGTCCGACTCCTCCACCGGGACGTGCGCAACGTCTTTTTCTGACCGCGCTCCCGAGCCCGTGATCCAGCCTTCGAACTCCGCGAGCCACTCGTCCTCGTCTTCGGCATCCGCCCCGCTCTGTCCGCCATTGTTCGATGCGCGGGCGCGAAGGGGGCACCCGCGGCGCCTGCACGAGTGCTGCCGTTGGCAGGGCAACGCCGCTGGCGCCCGTCGTGTCGCCGGCGCGGAGTTGCGGACCCGCGCGGCGCGATGAAGCGGAGATGACAGGTGCATGCGCGTCCCCACGGGGGCACAACACCGCGCGGGCGCGCCCGGAAGCGGCATTGTTTTGCAACCACTGCACACAATCTTCCCGGCACGAGCGGACGACGACACACGGGGGCCCAGCACGGCCGTGCGGGGGCGTGTAATGTCGGCAGCTACGTCGCGGTGCGGCCTACTACGTCGGCAGCCCCCTCTGCGGGCGCCGCGGGACTGACGTGTCGTCATACCTGCTGTCAGGCCGCGAGGGGAGAGACCCGGAGCGTTCGGACGGCCAACCAGCGACGGAGACGCTTCTGCAGCAGCGCAAGACCGCCAGTCTCGTTCGGCCCGTCAGGGCGCCGCGGCGCGGTAAGCACCGCCGCCGACAACAAAATAGTGCAAGTCCACGCGCAGACATGCGAACGGGTCTGCGACGTGAACGACGCGGGCCAACGCACCCCCGTCGCTACATCTACACCCGCCTGCCCCGGCGTGCCGACCGGGAACCGGACGGACTCGGGGGGTCGACCGAAGCACACATGCACGTCATGCGGACACACGGTGCGTCTGGCCCGTCGCGCAAGGCTCTCACATCAGCTGTCGTGATCCTCTCGCAGCGCCCCTGCCCCCACGTCGATCACTCCCTCCAGCGGCCACCCCGGCAGGTCCACCTCCGCCGCACTCCGCAGTTTGACCTCCAGGTCCGCAAACACCCTCCCCCCGAGCGCGACGTACCGCCGGACGAACGTCGACCCATCCACTACCTCCTCTGCGCACACCGGGCCGCGAGTCCCGTTAAGCACCCGCCGCAAGCGAGCTGGCGAGGACCATAACATAACATCCCGCGTGCAAGGCATGCAGGTCGCGCCGACCGCAACGCGATCGCGCACCTTCTCCGTCCGGCTCGGCGTCGAACAGCCGGTACACCTCGTCCCCGCCCCCCCTGCCCTCCACACGCAAGTGCGGCAGCTCTCGCTGCATCGTAGCAACGGCGTGACGCTTAACCATCAGAAACCCCGCACCGCACTCCGCGCACGGTGTGAGCCCGCGCACGACGTTCACGCGGCCCGTGCCCTTCTCGCCCTCGACCCTGACGGGGTACGCGAGCCCGCGCGCGACGACCTGCTCAACGGAAGCCGCTGCGTCGCGCCGCGCGTGCTCCACGACCCGCGCCCAGTCGACGGACCGCCGCGGGTACACGCCGCAGAGGACGTCGCGGTTGTGCAGCACCATGCGCGCCACGTCCCGGGCCGCGAACCGCACGTGCGGGTCCACGAAGAGGAAGTGCGTGAACGCGCCCTCCGACGCCATCGCGCGCGCGAGGAGCCGGTTCCGCGCCTGCGCGAGCGGCACGTCCTCGCCGGAGTACATCGGCTCCACGTGCATGCCCTGCGCCGCGCCGAAACGAGCTCAGTCAGTGCCCATACAGTGTCGTGATACAGGTAGTACAAATATACAATGTATGAAGTATATATACGGCCAGGCCCGCACCCACTGCGCGCCAGAGGTGATGAGCGGGAGGATCTCGCTCTGCTGCGCCAGGTGCACCGTGCCGCGGCTGCCCGGCAGCAGGATCGCCAGCCGCACACTCCCGAGCTTGCTGGTTGGCAGCGGCCCGTCGTCCGCCGCGTCAGACGCCGCGGCCGCCCCGTTCGCCGCGCCCGCGGTCTGCGGACGCGCCCCCGCGCCCTCCTGCGCCCCGCGGGTGTTGCTGAGCCGAATAGGCCCTGCGAGGTCTCCGAAGTCGTGAAATCCCGTCTTCGGTGGACTCGGTTCCGGCTGTCTGGGCTGCGGCTCGGGCTCCGGGACGGGCTCGGGCTTGGCGCTGGGCTTCTGCTCCTTTGGCCGCGGTTGGACCGGCTGCAGCGGCCCGGCGGGCAGGCCCCCCTGCGGCAGTTGCTGCCCCGGTGCTGCTGACCAGATCACGTACTCGATGCGGCCGTCCGGGTGCCGGACGACCTTCCCGGAGTCTTCGCCACCCGGCCAGTGCGACACGGATGCCATCGCGAGCAGCTTGTTGCGCTGCTGGTTGATGGCAGCGGACATACCAGACGGAGGCGGCCGGCGCGGGGGTGCACCTGCAGAGGAAGGCCCAGACGGCGCTGTGGAGCGTATGTTCGGGGCCGAAACTGCGGGATTGTCCAGGAAAGGACGGTCGCGAGCGGGGCGGGAGGCAGTAACGCGCGACAGGGGGACGAGCTGCTGTGTTGGGGGAATGCGCGAGGGAAGGCCCGCGAGCGCGCCAGAAAATCCGTGAGCACCGAGACCTAGTTGATGAAATTCGTGGCACGGGGTGGAATTCAGCTCAAAACGGCTGGCGTTATGGTGAGGAGGCACAAAGCATCTCGACACAATGCGAGGCTCCCGAACCCGCTGGTCGACGAGGCAACGTCGAATTCGGCATGCATCTTCACCAACCTGATTCCTTCCCTCCACCGCCTTGTTCTGCTCCGCGAGCGGCGCTATCGCCGGGTCGTGCCTCTTGATGTCCCTGCGCTCCCTGTGGACCCCTCTGCGGCGGCCCCCCGACGTCGAACAGCTCAAACGTGGCTGTCAAGGGACACTGTATGAGACAAAGAATGCCCAGAAGGGCCAGAAATCGCGACACCATGACTTCTCGCATCGTCGTCTGTGCAACGAGCCCCCCACTACCGCGCTCACGTCACGCCGGCGCGAGTCCCGCGCTGCCCGCCCGCGCAGTCATCCCCTCACTCACGCCGATCAGGCCGAGTGCCCGCGCCGCCGCACAGGCGCCCGCAACCTCGCCCCCCCCTCAACACACACCGACTCGTGTCAGGTATAACAGCACCACGTGGCCAGACACGATGAGCCGGACAGCCACACACGAGTCCACTCAGCGCGGGCCCGCTCAGCGCGCGCCCACGCTCCCGCGCGACGGCACCTCATGGCTGCGCGGCCACCACGGCAGCGAGAGAGTACGTCCACGAGCTGGCAGTCGTGACGGGCCGTTTCCGTGGGCACAGGCGACACGCCGCGCGGCAGGCAGGCGCGCGCCTGCTTCCGCCCGCGCGTGGGCTGCACCAACACGCCTGCGGGCCTCCAGGCGCGAGCGCTAGCGGTGGCGGCATGCAGAGGCAGCGGCGCGGCGCTGGCGGTCCGCGGCGGGGCTGCGGTGGCTCTGCGGCGTCGTCACAGGCGCGGGGCGCCTAGATGGCTAGGCAGTAGACGCACACGACGGCCTGGATGGTGGGGTTGTCTTCGTACGACACCACGACGCGCCCGTCGGTGCGTGGGTTCATCAGCGACGCGTTCGAGACGTGGATGCCCGCGCCGCACTTCTGGCCGATGTTGCAGCACACGATGTACCTGCGCGCGGCGCAGCGTCGCGGAGTGAGCGGCGCAAAAGGCGCGGGGAGGAGCGGGCGCGTGGCGCGCCGTGCGGCGCGGGCGGGGCGCGGGCGGCGCACTTGTACGGTTTATTGAGCGAGGTGAGCTTCTTGAGGCAGCCCTCGACGATGTTGTTCGCCCAGGTGTCGACTTTCGAGATAGTAAAGACATTGTCCCCCAGCACGCTGTGGAGCACCTCCTTGATCACCATCTGCGGAAGAACGCGCAACCACGCGCGAGAACGGTGAAGGGTGCGCGCAGCCGTGCGTGCCGTGCTCTCCGCGCGCGCTCCAGCGCCGAAGGAGCGCACGCACACTCTCCAGCAGGCACCGCGGACAGCGCTCCGAAGCGCACGCGCGCCCGTGACGCGCCGCCCATGCAACCGCCGCGCTCCTTAGTATGACGGGATCCAGGAAATCGCGCAAGAATGCCGAGTTTCGGCCGCAGGCGCCGTCGGGAGGGCGCGCATGTGTTGCCAGAGGGGCGAGCGTGCTTGCACCGCGCCCCTGACGGCCGCAGCGCGCGGCTCCGCCCCGGACGCGAGCGCTGGCGACAATTTCCTCCGCGGTTCCGGCGCGCAGGGTGCGGTGCGGGCCGCCAGCAGGCCGCGGGGCCCGGGCAGGCTGCTGGGTGCGGTGGGTCGCGGCCCGGTGGCTTGCCTGGACGTCCTCTTCCAGGAAGATCTCGTCCTCCTGGAGCCCGTCGATCTTGCCATCCTCCATCATCCTGCGGCAGCTTCCCGGGGCCCGGCGGCCCGCCCGTGGTCAGCCCGGCGCCTGCTAGCACTTTTGCGCACTTCCCTACCCTCTGCACGCGTCCGCAGCGGAATGAATCGCCGGATGGAACGCCTCGAACGATCGGGTGCGAACAGGAGTGGGACGTGCGGGCGGGAAACGCGCGTTTCATCGTGCGGCCGACGACCAGGCGGGCCCCCTCTTTTGCGAACGACTGACGTACGTCGTGCCCGTCGTGCTGCGGCGTCCGGCCCTCGCGCGCGCTACGATGCCCCGGCGCGATCCCCCAACGTTTCGACTCTCCACAAGGTTCGTCCACTTCCGCCTCTGGCTCCGTAGAGCGACGCCTAGCGCGCGCTTCCGCATTCCAGCCTCACGCCCGCCCTCAACTGCGCGCGTCTGGGATACATTGACAGCAATGCACCGGACGGCCGCTGTTGCCCAGTAGGGCAGGTAGACGCGCGCGCGACCTCGTGCGCCTCCCCAGCGCGACAAAGCAGCGCGTTTTTCCCCGGAATTTTTCCCCGACTTGAAACCGGCGCCGCTTCTCCCGTCCCGGGACGCCGGCACCCTGGGAGCGCGCCCCGGCGCAGCTCCCCATGGAGGCGACCTCAGGAGACGGCGCGGCCGCGAAGCCCGCCATGCTGGACCTCGCAGCGGACGGCCATCGCATGGGCGCCGGCAATGGCACCGCTGCCGGCGGCTCCCAGATCGAACGCCCGTACAGCCCCGCGCTCCACCGGCCCGCGCGGCCCCCCATGAACGCCGTGAACGGTAAGCGGCCCCGCCCACGCCCTGCGCGCGCCCACGGAGCCCGTCCCGCCCCGATTGCTGGCTGCCTGCTGCAGCGGCGCGGCCCTCCGCGGCCGTTTGCCTCCCTCGACGCGCCCCCGTTGCCTCTAGGCCGTCAACGTACTTGCGCGCCGCCGTGCGCGCGCTCCCAGGCCCGCACGCCGCCGCGGCAGCCGCGCTGCCTCTGCGCCGGTTGGCAGGCCAGTGATCGGCGCCCGGGCCGCGCGACGCCTCCGACCTGCCAGCGCGACGCGCGCTGGCCTGTTTCGGGCCCACACGACGCCCCCCCGGGGCCGATCGCTCATTCGCGGGCGCCGCGCGGCCTGCGCGCACGTGCCTTGTCGCAACAGGACACCTGGGCACACGCCGTCGCCGCCCCGCTCGCGCGCCCACGCCGCCCCGCGCGCTCGATGCCGCGGGCCCTCGCAGCGCCCAGATGCACCCAAACATCCCGGAATCTCGCGCTCCCGCGCCGCGTGCGCGGCACGGCGCCCGCTTGCCACCACTCTCCCCAGCGTCCCCGCATTGCGCCCGCGCCGCGCCACATCCACCCACGAGCGCCGCACCCGCCTCGCTCTCGCTCACCCTCGACCCCCCGCCCCCGCAACCCTGCCAACACACCCCCCCCGACCCCCCAGCGCTTTCCTCCTCCCCACCCTCCGATCGCGCCTGCGCCGCCGCCCGCCGCCTACCGCGCCCCTCCTCCCCCTCACCCCCCGCCCAGACTCATTCCCGCACCCCACGCGCGTCCTCGCGGCCAACGCCCTGCTCCCCGCCCCGCACGCACGCAGGGGACCACAGCCGCGGACGCCTGCTCAAGGACCGCCTCCGCCTCGTGAAGAAGCACGACGCGGACGGCCGCACGCGCTACGAGATCCTCCCCATCAAGGCCCAGCTGTCGTTCGACAAGGGCTTCTACGTCTTCATCCGCGCCATCCAGATCCTCACTGCCAAAGTACAGGACGGCGTCATCATTGTGGGCATCGCCGGGCCATCCGGGTCCGGCAAGACGTCCTTCTGCGAGAAGATCCGCGCGTTCCTCCCGGGCGTGTCCATCCTGCACATGGACAACTACAACGACGGCACGCGCGTCGTGGACGGCAACTTCGACGACCCGCGCCTGACCGACTACGACACGCTGCTAGACAACCTCCGCGGGCTCCGCGAGGGCCGCGCCGTGCAGGCCCCGATCTACGACTTCAAGCAGTCCAAGCGCGTCGGCTACACCGAGGTCGCGGTGCCCTCCTCGCGCGTGGTGATCATCGAGGGCATCTACGCCCTGAGCGAGCGCCTGCGGCCGCTGCTGGACCTGCGCGTGTCGATCACGGGCGGCGTGCACTTCGACCTCGTCAAGCGCGTCCTGCGCGACATCAACCGGTCCGGGCAGGCCCCCGAGGTCATCATCCAGCAGGTCGCGGACACGGTGTATCCTATGTACAAGGCGTTCATCGAGCCCGACTTGCAGCGGGCGCACCTGCGCGTGTACAACACGTTCAACCCGTTCTCCGGGTTCATGGACGCGACGTTCATCCTGAAGTCGGACCGCGACCTGACGGAGGCGCAGGTCGAGGCCGTGCTGAGTCAGCAGGAGGGGGGGTTTTCCAAGGAGACGTCCGACTCGGTCGACATCTACCTGCTGCCGCCGCACGAGGACCTGGAGACGTGCACGACGTGGCTGCGGATGCGGAACCGCGAGGGGCGGTACTCGCTGATGTTCGAGGAGACGGTCGTGGAGGGGGAGTTTATGATTAGTCCCCGCATCTCCTTCGAGGTGTCGGTGCGGCTCCTCGGGGGCCTCATGGCGCTCGGGTACTCGATCGGGACCATCATGAAGCGCCGCTCCATCGCCTGGTCGTCCAACGTCGACCCGCACACCGTCGTCAAGATGGACGAGATTGAACACATGCCGCGGAGGTACATCCAGGTGCAGGCCAAGAGCCGGAACGCCGCGGCGCAGCTCGGGCAGGCGCTGGGGCTCGAGGGGACGTACATTCCGCAGACGTACATCGAGCAGGCGCAGATGCAGAAGCTCACGAAGTCGTTTCAGTTGGAGGCGGCGGATCTGCGGAACCAGCTCAACCTGGACGAGGACGCGCTCGGGACGTCGCCGCTCGTGGCGTCGATGTCGCTCGGGCTGAGCCCGCCGCGGGACTTCGGCGGGCGGGACCGCCGCAGCGCGCACAGCGGCTCGCGGGCGGCTGCGAGCCTGGGCAGCGGTGTGGAGACGGAGGTCTCCGGCGACGAGGGGAGCCTCGGCGGGGACGGGTTCGAGGAGCAGGCGGCGGGGCGGATGTCCGAGGAGGGCGCGGGGTCGCGCGGGTCGTCCGCGGTGGACCGCGGGAGCGGCAGCAGCAAGGGCGCGGGCACGGGGCTCCTGAGTCAGCAGATTCGGCTGCCGCGGTCGACCCGGGCGTCGAGCGCGGGGATGCACCACTCCGGCGCGGTGTGGGACCGGCACGGCTCGCGCGCGGCGCCGTTCGCGGTGCATGCGGTGACGGACGTGCGAAAGATAGAAGGGACTTTGGGAGCCTTGGAACAAAAGGTGGACTCGATTGTGGCGATGAACTCGGAGGCCCGGGAGCACCTGAGCAGCCGGCGGCACAGTCCGAGGAGCGCGGACCGCGACGGCGCGGCGGCGGAGGCGATAGAGCGGCTGGGGAAGGATTTGATGGGTGCGGTGGCGACGCTGCAGGCGGGGCAGGCAGCGCAGCAGGAGGTGCTGTCGCGGCTGGTGCTGCAGCACGAGGCGATCGGGCGGCGTCTGGGGGAGCTCGCGGAGCGGGAGGACCGCGTGGCGGAGCGGGCGGCGGCGGCGGCGGTGCGGCGCAGTGCGCAGGAGGCGGCGTCGCTGTGGGGCGGCGCGGCGGGGAGCCGGACGGTGGTGGCGGCGCTGACGGGCGGCGTCGCGTGCGGCGCTGCGCTCGCGTGGCTGCTCGGCGGGAGGCCGAGGGCGTAGGCGGCGCCGTGGGGACGGAGAATTAAGAACCAAGGATTAGTGACATAGAATTGGAGATAGGATTTGTGCCATGATGAGCACTATAGTGGCCGAGGAGGGCGGCGAAGAGTGCAAGTGCGGAGCGGTGTGGCGCCGCGGCGATGCTGCCTCGAGCCTTTTGCGACGGAGGCCAGATACTTGACGGAGGCCGCGTGTCGCCGGGCCCTTCCGCCCGGCGCGCAGCCTCGCGATCTGTAAGGAGTATTCCGCAGTGACGAACGTGCCCGTCGTCATTGGATCCACCGCCAGACACATGCGAGTTGCTGTCCACTGGAGGTGCAAATCCGCTGCACTAGAAACTGCGGCGACCCGTCGCTTGCAGGCGGTCATGTGCGTGGTGGTCGGGAGTGCGCGCGCGCACGAGCACCAACGCATCGTCACGCTTCGTGCATCGCCCTGCGCGACGTCGCCTCACGTCTAGTTCGACATCATAATGTCTTCACAAACGCGAGTATAGACAAACATGAGTATATATGCTTGCAAGCGTGCGTTGACGTGCCGGCGAGCCCACGCCCGCTCACTGCATCGGCCCCCGCACCTCTGCTACAAGAACTTCCGCGGAAGCGACACCGCCCCGCGCCCCGACGCCTCCCGCCCCTGCGATGTCGCCAGCGATGCCCCACCGCCGCTCCCTCGCTCCGCCGCCGTGCTGCCGTTCGTGTCGCCCGCCAGCGCAGACGCCGGCCGCGACAGCTCCTCGCCGATGCTGTGCCCCGACGACTGCCGCGCATGGTCGCGCCACGCCAGCACCGCCTTGACAACACTCTGGTTCAACGGCGCCACCTTGCCCGGTCGCCGCATCCGCGCAGACGGCGTCTTCATCGCCTTGGGCGTCGCGTGCGCGCTCCTGTTGCCCTCGCCGCTCGAGCCCGCCCCGCGGCTCTCCCGCAGCAGCGGTATCGACAACATGAGACTCCCCACCGGGGGTGTGCCAACAACCCCCGCCTCGAGGTCCGGCAGGGCCCCGCGCCGCGTCGAGACGCCGAGGACCATCGAGAGAAACTCCGTGTACGCGATGCGCCCGTCGCCGTCCGCGTCCACCTCCTGCAGGATCGCGTCGAGCTCGTCGGCGTCTGACTCATCATCCTCCGCCATCCCTAGGGCGTCCATGATTTCTACCCGCGTCAGGACGCCGTCGCCGTCGGCGTCGAGCTCGGCGAACGCGCGCCGGATGTGGTGGTCGCCGTCCGCGGACACCATGAGCTGCGAGGCGTTGATCGTCGCAGCTAGGAACTCCTCGAGCGAAATCTTGTGTTCCAGCCGCGACTGCGTGTCCAGCGCGACCTCGTCGATGATCGCCTCGAGCTCCCAGTCGGGCAGACGGAACGACGCGCTCTGCGGGCAGCGGGCGCGCACCGGCAACGGTCCAGTGGAGTGGAGTCGCAGCATCAACGCACTCGGCGCGCAAAAGATTCTGAGGTGTAATGCTGCCCGGGAGGGTGCGCACGGGGACAGAGACGTGCACGCACCTGCTCTGCGAGGGCTTTCCGCAGCTCGCTGACGGATATGCTTCCGGACCCGTCCTCGTCGAGCGACTCGAAGAGATTGACCAGCCCCAGAGTCTCGGCACCTTGCATGCCCGAGACGATAGTGTGCAGCGCTTTCCGCTTGAACTTGTTCATCCGCGAGAACCCGCTCAGGCGCTGCAGCACGGCGTTCCCGAGCGGCTTCGACGGCACCACGCTGGTGAGCCACGGGTGTCGCAGCAGCGACGCTGCGTCGGGCCGCCGCGCAGGGTCGCGCGTGAGCATCGACGCGACGAGGCTCTTGGCCGAGGAGCTGATGTTCTGCCACGGCCCCCCGGAGAGCCGCAGGACGGTGTCGGTGTCGGATCTCCGGAACGGGGGGGACCCGCTCAGCAGGATGTACATGATGACGCCACACGACCACACGTCCGCCTTTTCGTTGTACGACGGTGGGCAGCGCAGCTGCCCATGAAACGACGTCGGGTCCGGCACGACCCGCGGCCACACCTCTGCGAAGCCACACGCGAGCGGGGGTGTGTTCTTTGGGGTGCATTCGCGCGGTGCGTGTCGGGGAGGGGGGTGCGGTGGGCGGAGGCGCGGCGCCGGCGGACCTGGAGCCGCGTAGTGCTCGGAGCCGAGCGTTTCGTTGAACGTCTGGCCCGGGCGGAAGAACATAGAAAGCCCAAAGTCGGTGAGTTTCATCGTCGCGTCGTCGCCGGGGACGTCGAGCAGGAAGTTCTCCGGCTTGATGTCGCGATGGATCACGCCCTGCGCGGTGCCGGGCCGGAGTGGGCGGCTCGGCGGCGACCCGGGCAGCACAGGCGGCGCGTGACGGTGCAGCGGCGCGCACTAGCGTGCGTGCGGGCCCGCGAACGTACCAGCTGGTGCATGTGCGCGAGCGTGGATATGATGGAATGCATGATGTACGAGGCTTCTCGCTCCGTGTACTGGTCGGACCGCAGCAGCCGATCGAATAACTCCCCCCCGCGACAGTACTCCATGACGATGTGCACGTGCGCCTGGTCCTCGAACGCCGCGTGGATCTGCGCGGCAACGAGAGACGCGCGCGTGAGCGGCGCGGCGCGCGCCTCGCTGCGGAGAGTCGTCTGCGCGCGCGGGTGGATGGCCTGCTTGCGTGTGCTGCAGTTGCGCGTGTTGTCGCTCGCCTGCACGATGTTCGGGTGGCCGCCTAGGTGCTGCATGATCTGTACTTCCCGCCGGATGTCCTGCACCTCCTCGGAGTACCGTAGCTGCGCCTTGGCAATGGTTTTGCACGCGTACACTCGCTTGGTGGCCCTGTGCTCGGCTTTCCGCACGAGACCGAACTGCCCCTCGCCCAGCACGTCCATGAGGTGGAAGAACTCGTGCACGTTCTGCAGCGGCAACGGTCGCAGCGCTCGCCGCGGTCAGCCCTCTTCCTGAGAGAGACCAGGGGGGGACCGCGAAGCCGGTACGGGAGCTGCCACGCGGAATGAGCGACGGTGCAAGCGAGACCTCGTCAGCGACCTCGTCCTCGGTACGCAGCCCGCCGCGTACGGCGGGAGGCGCGCGCTCGCGCATTGATGCTGCGCGCTGTGGGTCGCTGGCGAATTCACGGGCGCACGGCACGCGGCGGGGGCCGTGAGCGATTCCAGAGCTTTGTATGTGGGATTACGACGACGGCGCTCCGTGAAGAGCGCACGACGGCCCCGCGCTGCTCGGTGACGGGCGAGAAAGACGTAGTGCTGGGGGAGCCCGGGCAGCGCGCGCACGCCTCGGGGTCGCGGGGCGCACGTGCGGGCCCGGGGCTGCGAGTCTCGCAGGTCGCAAGACGCGCGCGTGCGGGCGCGGGCCGCTCACCCCGGTTTGCCGGCCAAGGACGTAGTCGCAGGAGCGCAGGCATTGCAGCTCCTCCGGCGTCAGCGGCGTGGCGACGCTGCTCGAAGCGGGCTGCTGCTTGCGATACACCGCACGCAGCCGCGAAGCCGCGGCGCCCATCTCGGACGGCGGACGGACTCCGCGTCCCGCCTACAACCCGCAGGCTGAGCCCTGAGCGCCGCCCAGAGGGCACGAGCCTCTAGCAATCGCCGCCCGCGCCCCCCATACCCGGGCTCCTCAGATCGCGGGGCTCAGCTCGCGCGAAGTGGCCCGTACGCCGCGCTCCTCCAATGCGGGTGTCCTAGTCAATCGAGAGCACACGCCAGGACCGACGCATGCGGCCGTGTGTGCCCGCGCAATGAATCCTCGCGGTTCGAGTGGCACGTGAGCTCCCGCGTCTGCGCGCGCCGGCCGCATCCGCGCCCCCCTAGAGCGCGCCGGGGCGGTGGTACGACGATGCGTTGCGTCAGGGTCCGGGTCCGGGGGGGAGTTTGGTGCGCTGTTTCGCTGCGTGGCAGCGGAGGCGGCGTGCACATGCACGCGGCGGACGTCCGTCGGATTAGGTGTCAAAAGAGCCGCGATGTCGCCAGTTGCTGCGCCACTCAGCGGGCGAGTGGGTCCGGCGCTCAGAGCCGCCCAGCGCCGCCCGCACGGTCCGGCCCTGCGGGCGTGTGACCGGAGAGAGACGCCGAAGGCCCAGCGAGCGGTGGCGGTGTCTGCTTCGCGCGACATGAGGGTACCTCCTGGCTGCGTGGCCACCCTGTGTGCGCTGGCCGTCTCGTTTGCGCCCGCGGCGGACGCGAAGGAGCTGCTCACGGAGTTCGCGGCCTCCGGTTTCATCTTCAAGGACACGGTGGAGGTCGGTCCTCCGTCCCGTCCGACTGCCACATCCCGTCAACCACTGCCACCTCTCATCCACGCTCGCATGGGCCCCGATGGTCCACCAACTCGCAGTTTCGCCCCTCCCCCTGCGTCTTTCAATCACAGCGATCCCTTTTTCAATCAAATTTTCAGCGCTCAGAGCCCGAGCACGAGCGTCGCGCACTGAGTTGAGGTCACGGACACACACGCAAGTCGGAGGAGGAGCTGTTCCGTCTGTTCCGCGAACGGCATGATCTCCTGCGGCCGCAGCGAGGGCGGAACGTTCGCGGCGGAGCTGGCGCGAACGGGACAGTGACGTGCACATTCGGCGCGTTTGTGGCCGTGGATCTCTTCCCTGTCGCGCGCCCAGGCCGCACGAGAAGCGTCTGCTTGCACCGCCGTTCCGCTCGCCGCAGGTAGTGAGCCTTCCAGACCCCGAGGTGGCGGGCGTCTCGATCTACATCAGCGACTTCAAGCGCAGCATCGCAGACAAGCTGGCCAAGGACTTCTTCAACGAACCGAGCCAGGCCTCCCTGACGTGCGCCGCGACGGGCCCCGTGTCCTTCGACGCGAAGCGCATCTCGGCGCCGGACGGCCAGGAGATCTTCAGCGAGGCCAAAGGGCTGAACCTGTTCCGCAACAAGACGCTGCGCGTGCGCCGCATCCTCGACAAGGACGCAAACGCCCTGGTGTACGTCGCGTACTCGACGCGGACGACCGCCGCGCAGGACGACGGCGGCCCGAGCTCGGGGCGGTACCGCACGTCGATTTGCGCGGTGCCGCTCGGAGCGACGGCCAACGCTGCCAACGGGAACGGCGCCGCCGCCGAGTGACCGCGTCTGGCGGAGACGGGCCGCGGCGAGGCGGGGGCCACGCGGTAAGCAGCGGGGCCCGTGGCAAGACCGGCAGGCTGTCGTTGGCGGTGTCGGCGCCACTGGTCGAGCATGGGATCCATCGCCGCACTCGCGTTCGGCTTGTGACCTCTCTCGCGCTCCGATCGGCCCGGCCCGAGAGATGGCTGACCTATGAGTCACGTCTCGTTGCAAGGGCACACGCGACCAGGGCTGCGCAACAGAGGGATATTGGCCCAGGGAGCCCGGGCGAACAGATCGATCGGCCAGGCCAAGCGCGCCCACGCGCAAACGCGCACAGCGCGCACCACATCACTCACGCGGCAGCCGTCTCACACACACCCCCCGCGCACACCCGCGCCCCCGGCACAGCCCCTCCTACCCCGCACCCGCGCCACACCGCGGCGCCCGCCATCGGCCCCACCCGCCGCCTCAGTCGTAGAGGTCGTCGCCGGCATCCGCGCCGCCCGTCGCGTCGAACGCGCCCGCCGCGGGCGCCGCCGCCGTCGACGGCCGCTGGTCCGGGAACCGGAACTCCGTGCCGATCCCACGGCTCTGCTGCAGCGTCTGCGCGAAGGACTGGTATTTCCGGATGTCCGCGTCGCTGACGGACCGCCGCGCGTGCCGCATCGCCTCCTCGAAGTGCGCGCGCGTGATGCACGGCACCGGGTCGGGCACGTCCTGCTCCATGCCGTCCGGGTTCGCGGCCCGCGCGCGCTCGTTCTCGATGTCGCGCGCGATCGACTCCTTGATCGCGTACTTGCACGCGCGCTGGCAGATCTCGGTGATGTCCGCGCCGGAGAAGCCCTCGGTGAACTTGGCGAGGGTGTCAAAGTCCACGTCCGGCGCTACGGGGCTCTTCCGCAGGTTGGCCTTGAAGATCTGCTTCCGGGACTCGAAGTCCGGGAGCGGGATGTACAGCAGCTGGTCCAGGCGGCCCGGGCGCATCAGCGCCGAGTCGATGATGTCGGGGCGGTTGGTGGCGCCGATGATGAACACCGTCTTCTTGGCGCCGACGCCGTCCATCTCGGTGAGGAGCTGGTTGAGCACGCGGTCCGCGGCGCCGCCGGCGTCGCCCGCGCTCCCGCCGCGCTGCGACGCGATGGAGTCGAGCTCGTCGAAGAAGAGCACGCAGGGCGCCGACGCGCGCGCCTTGTCGAAGATCTCCCGGACGTTCGACTCGGACTCGCCGAACCACATCGTGAGCAGCTCGGGCCCCTTGACGGAGATGAAGTTGGCCTGGCACTCGTTCGCGATGGCCTTGGCCAGCAGCGTCTTGCCGCACCCGGGCGGGCCGTAGAACAGCACGCCCTTGCTCGGCGACATCCCGAACTTCTCGAACTTCTCCGGGTGCTCGACGGGGTACTGCACCGTCTCCTGGAGCTCCTCCTTCGTCCCCTCGAGGCCGCCGATGTCGTCCCAGGTGACGTTGGGCACCTCCACGACCGTTTCCCGCAAGGCCGACGGGTTCGAGATGCCGAGCGCGGTCATGAAGTGGTCCTGCGACACCGCCATCGCGTCGAGCACCTCCGCGTCGATCTCGTCGTCCTCGAGGTCGATGACGTCCATCTTCTCGCGGATGCACTGCATGGCGGCCTCCGTGCACAGCGCGGCGAGGTCCGCGCCGACGTAGCCGTGCGTGTCCTTCGCGATGCGCTCGAGGTCGACGTCGTCGCCCAGCTTCATGTTCTTCGTGTGGATGCGCAGGACCTCCATGCGGCCAATCTCGTCCGGCACGCCAATGTCGACCTCACGGTCGAAGCGGCCGAAGCGGCGCAGGGCCGGGTCGATCGAGTTGGGGCGGTTCGTGGCGCCGATGACGACGACGTGCGCGCGCGTCTTGAGGCCGTCCATCAGCGTGAGCAGCTGCGACACGATGCGGCGCTCCACCTCGCCCTGCGTCTTCTCGCGCTTGGGCGCAATCGAGTCGATCTCGTCGATGAAGATGATCGACGGCGCGTTCTTCTCCGCCTCCTCGAACGCCTTCCGCAGGTTGCTCTCGGACTCGCCCGCCAGCTTGGACATGATCTCGGGCCCGTTAATGAGGAAGAAAAAGGCGCCCGTCTCGTTGGCGACCGCGCGCGCCACGAGCGTCTTGCCGGACCCGGGCGGGCCGTACAGGAGAATGCCCTTCGGGGGCTTGACGCCGATCGTCTTGAACAGCGTCGGGTGCCGCAGGGGCAGCTCGACGAGCTCACGAATCTGCGCCAGCTGCTTGCGCACGCCGCCGACGTCGTCGTAGCCGACGTCGTCGAGCTTCTCCTCGTCCTCGCGCTTGATGGGCTCGCCTGCGCGCCGCGGCGGGGAACGGCGGGCTCGCGGGGCGCGCGGGCGCGACGCGACACAACAAACAGTCGCGGGCGCGCGGCGGCGCGCGGCGGCGCGCGGCGGGCGGGGCGCGCACCGTCGCAGTAGATCTCGGTCTCGGGCTCCACGATGACCCACTCCCCGGGGTCCGTCTCGATGACCTTGAACTCCACGGCGCGCATCCCGCCGCGCACCAGGAAGATGTCCCCCTTCCGGACGGGGCGGTACGCCTCGGTGAAGTAGGGCTTCAGGAACACGTCGAAGATCGACCCCGTGATGCCCTCGACGGTGTCGTCGATCGGGAGCACGTGGATGCGCTTGCCGTAGGGGATGTCAGGGCACTGGGGAGGAGGAGAGGGGGGGGCTGGCGGGTGAGGGTGCGCGGGCGGGGCGGGGGCGGGAGGGGGTTGGAGGCGAGGCGTGGGGTGCGTGCGCGCGCGCGGTGACGCGGATGCGTGACGGTGTGGGGCGGGGCGCGGCGAGTGAGGGGCCCGAGGGCGTTCGTGGCGCACGAGGGACGTGCGGGCGGTGCGCGGCGTGCGAGGCGGGGCGGGCGGGAAGGGCGGGGGAGGTGGAGCGGCCCGGGATCGGCGCGGGGCGCGGGGGGGCAGCGGTGCGGTGCGGGGGGGCGAGCACAAGGAAGAGACTGTGCAAGGCTGGCAGTGAGGGGACGAATGCGGGCCCGTGGAGCGAGATTCGGGCCGCGTGCCGCGCGAGCGGGGCTGGTGGGGCGTGGAGCTGGAGCGGGGGCGGACCTGGTGGACGGAGACGATGTCGCCGAGGCGCACGCGGAGGTTCCTGCGAACCGTCTTGTTCATCCTAATCTTCGACTCCTCGACGGTATCGTCCGACAATACGATGCAAACGGTGTCCTTACGCTTCTTGCCCTGCGATCGCGTGCACGGCGCCCGCGTTCGCGCCCCCGCGACGGTACAGTGCGCTCGATGGGCAGCGGGCGCGGTCGACGTCGCGGCGCGCACAAACCTTCAGGAGCACCGTGTCGCCGCGGAACAGGTTGAGCGTTTCCATGGTCTTCGGGTGCAGCGCGACCACCGAGTTGTCATCGTTCGTCGCCTCCTCCGCCACCAGCCTGTTGGGCGCCTTCTTCCGCTCCAAAATCGCCGTCGAGAAGTCCTTCCGGTCGCCCCTGCACGCAGGTTCCACCGCGAGTTCACGCTCAACACACATCGATCCTCAAACCGCTTCAACTCCCCCCCCTCGCGCCTCGGCCCGCTCGCCCCTCTACCAGGTTCCAGGGCTCGCGCTCACGCGGGACTCCCCCTCCGCGGGCGCGGACGGCCGCACAGGGGCGCAGCGGACACGCATTGCGCGGATCGGAGCCCGGACGCGTCGGAGAAGCCCGCACAGCGCGCCTGGGGCGGTCTCCCGCCTTGTGGCAAAGCAGCAGGGCGCGCTCACCCGTCCGAGGGGCCAGCACCGCCGGCCATGTTCGATTCTCGCTCTTCACACGCCGCTTGGGTCAGCGGGGCCGCGATTCTGCACGCCGCGCGCGCCGCGCGCCGCCCAGGACGCACCGCGGCGCTGCTGAGCCCCCGACAGCGGGTGGTTGCGGCCCGACATGCAGCGCGCGGCGACGAGGGCGCGGGACGGGCGCGCCGCGCGGCAGACGGTGCCCCGCCGGATGCTGCGGTCCACTTTCGCGAGGCAAGCGGTGCGTACTTTCGGCGCGAGCGGAGTGCGCAACATGGGTGTCGTTCACGTCGAGTCTCTCTTCGAGGGAAGCCGGCTAAAGGACCTCAACGGGGAGGTGATTCCGGGCGAGGAGGTAGCGGCGAGCGATATCTACAAGGACGCGCCCACCGTCGTGGTCGTCATCCGTCGCCCGGGATGCGGTGCGCGCCCCGCTATGTCGTGGCCACTCGCGCTTACCAGAGGTGGCCGCCCGGCGCGCTGGCGCATCGCGCCGGCCTGCGCGGCGTCGTGCGTGCAGCTTGCGTGCCTGAGCACGCTGCTCGCGGACGGTGCGCTGCGTTACGCGGACCGTGGGCTCCCCGCGCGCACCTGTGCCAGCTGGGGCGCGTGAGCTGAGACTCTGCCGGCGCTGCCGCGCTAGACTTGCTCGCAAACCTGCGCGGCCGCGTTCCCGAGACGCTCCGTGCGAGCTGCGAGCCCCGGGCACGCGCACCGCGCAAGACATGGTCGCATTATTCACCGCCGCTCGATTGATCGATCAGGGGATGACACGGCATTCCGCGGCCGGTGCGCTGCGACTTACCCCCGCGACACGCGCGGCCGTTTCCCTGCAGTGGCGTGCCGCGACACGGCGCAGAAACTGTGGGCGCGGAAGTCGGATTTCGACGACCTGGGCGTGCAGATGGTGGCGGTGGTGCACCAAGGCTTCCCGGGCGAAATCAAGCGCTTCAAGGCCGGGTACTGGCCCGGCAGCGTGTTCCTCGACAGCGAAAAGGTGCGCCGCGCGCGCGACGTGCCCCGTTTCCTCTTCCGTGGCCGCGAATTCCCCGACCGCCTGCTGCGCCGCACGTCGCGCTGGGTCTCGCATCGGGGCGCCGCTCTCGGTCGTTGCCGCCCCGCGAGCCTCGCACGGCCCCGGCACCGTTCGCAGAAGTTCTACGAGACCGTGGGCGAGGGCAAGGTGCGCGTAGGCAGTCTCCGCTGGCTCCTGAACCCGTTCAGCCGGGCGTGGCGCAACATCCGCGCGGCGATCCGCGGCGGCGTGTCCGGGAACTTCGCCGGCGACGGCACCACGCTCGGGGGCCTCCTGGTGCTCGCGGCGGGCGGGGGTATTGAGTACGCGTTCCAGGAGACTGACTTTGGTGACGCGGCGCCCGTGGAGGACGTGCTCGCTGCCGCGAAGCGCGCCGCCGGCAAGTAGGCTGCTGTTGGCGGCGTGGGGCGAGCCGTGCTGCGAGGTGCGCGGCCCCCGCGCGGCGTGAGTGTGTTTTGATGCGGCAGTGGCTGGCGGAGCAGGGCGGTGGGTTGGTGCGGGCTTGGGCGCGCGGCTTGGTCGGGCGGGATCGCGGAGCGGGTGGCCGGTGCCGTTGGCGGCGCGCCGGTCGGAGGGGGAGTGATGGGCTTGTAAAGGCTGATTCATACCGAGGCGGGCTTGGGCGCTCGGCCGGGCAAGTTGGGCTCGCGAGGCTCGGGGCCGCGGGCAGACTTGTCAGCTGTGTCCTCGGGCGTGAAAGGGCCGGGACCACCCCGAACGGGCAGCAGCGGGAGAGAGCAACTATGCAGTTGCGCGTTGCGTTCCCCGGACGTCGTTGAGGGAGCGGGGGGAGGACGAGGCGGCGCCGCAGAGGCGCATTGCGACGTGTACGCACGTGACGAGCGATGGAGGACCGCCTGCAGCGCCTCGAGGCGCAAGCGCCGAACGAGCAGCCAGAGGGTGCGTAGCGCACGGGCCCGCCAGAGACCCGCACACCGTGTCATCACCCTTCCGATCCGGCGTTTCCTGCTCCCTACTATCTCACCTACTTCGTCGCGCGCTGCGCGCTGCCAGAGCGCGTGCGTGTGGTCCGCAGCGGCACGTACTCCTGCTGCCGGGCATTTGCATGCGCCCCGCTCTGACGGCCTCGGGGGGCGCGCCAGTCCACAGACACACGCGCCACGCTGCCATTCGGCGCACCGCCAGCGTCGCGCACCGCCCCGCTGGCCCCGCGACCGCTCCGTTTGCGCCAACGCCCGCGAGCGCACCCAGCGCCCTTGCCTGCTCGCGTGACGGCCCCCCGCGGCACGGAGAGCCCGGATTCCACCCCACACGGCCCGTCCTTTGTCGCGCAGACCTGAACATGTCGGGGTCGCGGTTCTACAAGCGCACCGCGCTCCCCTCTGGGCGCTCGAAGTCCAAAGGCATGATGAGCATGTTCTCGTCTGGGCTTGGGAAGGGAACAGGCATCGGTCTGGCGGGCACCGTGCCTCCTGCCAGCACAATGAAAGCGGCCGCCGGCGCGAGCGGGCACAAGAAGCCGCGGCTCGCGCCCCTGGGCTCCAGCCTCACCGGCAAGGCGCCTCCGCCCGTGGTCACCGCGGCCGTCGAGCTCGACGCAGCGGCCCAGAGGGGCGACAGAGGCTCGTCGCACCACCCGAGCATCTCGGCGCACTCGCGCCTGGATCCCATTTCCACAGACGGCCTGCCCGCGAGCAAGCACGGCCTCGTGCCGTCCCCAGGCGCCTTCATGCGCGGGCCGCCCGTGGCACCGCAGCCGAACCTCGCGACGGCCTCGCTGCACAAGAAGGCTACGCTAGAGCTTCCCCCGGTCGACCAGGCCCGGCGACCCCAGGTGCGGCGCTGCGACGCCACCCGCGCCCAGCCCCCGTGCACCGAGCATGTGGCCGTGGGACGCGCGCTGGGAGGCGACGCGGCGCGGATACCGCACCGCGCGCGACCCTCTGGCATCTGGGAGGCCTGGCTCCGGCGCTTCGGCGTCGTGCCGCGCCGGTCCTGGGTCAGGGCGCTTCGAACGGCACTCCGCAGCATATGCGACGCGCCCGCACGCGCTCCTCACGCGTGGGCCGCGGCTTGCTTACAGCGCTGCGCGCGTCGCTGCTGTCCTCGCAGGGGATCATGGGTACGCCGAAGCCGGGGGAGCGCAAGGAGCGCCCCGCCAGCCGTGGGGCCCGGGGGGCGCTGGCGCCTGGGCGCGCGACGCACGCGGGCCACACGAGGTCGCTCGACGACGCGCAGGTGGCGAAGCGAGGCTACGAGTCCGTCCTCGAGGGCCCGGCCGAGCCCCAGGAGTCGCAATACACCTCCAACCGCAGCGGCACGGAATTCCACACAAGCCTCCCCGTGGCCCCGGACGGCGCCATCGACGAGGAGGAGCTCATCCGCCTGCACGAGATGCACGCCGGGGCCGGCGCGCCCCTGCAGCCGGCGAAGTCCGGGCTCTCCAGGTCCGCCGCAGCGCGCTGCGCAGCGCCCGGGCCGAACGCACGCCTCTCCGATGCGCCTGCGCTCACGCACGCACGCCCCGGCGCCCGCCGCACCCCGCGCAGGCGCCAGAGCAAGCGCGGCGAGGAGCTGGGCGACCCGGAGGCGGCCCGCTGCGTCGACGCTGAGGACGTGGTCTCGTACTACCTGCGCCACGGCAAGCAGGCGGGCTGCAAGCTGTTCTACCTGAACCCGTCGAGCTTCCCCGCGGACCCGCGGTGGGACCCGTACGCGATGGAGTGCGTCGTGCAGCGCGAGGCGGCGCCCGAGCACTACACGATCAGCGCGTCGGGCGTCGTGCACGTCGTTCCGGGCGGCGAGGCGACGTTCCAGGACCTGGGGAGCTTCATTCGCGAGAGCAAGACCTTCAACTTGATCAGCAGCATCCCGTTCTTCCGAAACTATCTGGTCGCGAAGTTCTTCCGATTCTGGCGGCTCCAGGTCCGGAACGTCATCTTCAAGCGCATGCGCAGCAAGATCGCGTCGCGGCTGTTCATCGCGAAGCCGGCGTTCCTGCGGCCCATCGCGCTCGCGGCCAAGACGCGCACCGTCATTGCTGATGCCAACCTCCTCGCGGGCGCCCCCGACGGCGGCGAGCTCACGCACCGCCTGTGGCGCGTCCCCGAGTTCCTCGACGAGAACGACGCGCACCGCCGCATGGTCCTCGAGTCGTTCAAGGACGAAGTCGAGGAGCTGGGGAGCACGCTGCTGAAGACGTGCCAGGAGGTGTCCGAGGAGGAGACGCACGCGCGGGAGCAGGTCGAGATCGACACGCACAGCCTGCGCGGCCCGGCCGCCGCGCGGGTGTCGATTTCGCTGCAGAAGCAGCAGAAGCAGGAGCGCCTGAAGACGTACCACCGGCTGCGCGAGGAGGTCGAGCTGCTGCCGAGCCTGGTGCGCATGGTGGACTACATGATCGCGGCCGCGGGCGTGGAGTGCGCGGCGAACAACGCCGCGGGCCTGGTCACGATGCTGGAGTCGTTCGAGTGGAAGCCGCCCTCGATCTACAAGGGCACGTTCGACACGATCGTGGGCTTCACGGAGCGCGGGGTGACCTTCAGCCCGGACCGCTACGAGTGCGCGGAGGCCATGGCGGAGATATCGGACGGGTTCGTGCAGGTCGCGGGGCTCATTCCGCGCCCTTTGTTTATGAAGTATCTGTCGCCGTTCTTCCCCGAGAGCTACCAGCGGCGGTCGATCGACGCGCCGGACATCCTCGGGCAGGCGGTGGCGTTCCAGGAGGACAGCGCGACGGCGGTGGCGCTCGTGAACCAGTCGTTCGACGAGGCCGCGGAGTACGTGAGTTTCCTAGACTCGAAAATGGACATGTACCGGTTCGTGACGCAGCACAGGGACAAGTCGCGGCTGCTGCAGACGTACACGGAGCCCCAGGACCTGGTGGAGATCATGGTCAAGCTCAAGCAGTGGCTCCGCGGCACCGAGCAGATCCGGAACTGCCAGGTGCAGGGCGTCCTGTCGGTGGACCTGCGACAGGTCAAGGCCTTCCTGTTCGACCACGCGACGGAGATCTACGCCACCGCGCGGGACGGCCTGCTCGAGCTCGCGCGCTCGCGCACCGCCACCGCCATCAAGGAGGTCCAGGGCGCCATCAAGGACCTCGGAAGGTACAAACATGAGTATGAACATCAACACCCCCCCTCCCTGCCGCCCGCGCTTCCGGCCTCTAGCGCCCGCGTGGCAGCCCGGTCCAGCGGCGACCGTCGCCCGGACAGCTACCGTCGCTGCCTGCCTGCGCCCCTGCGGTGTTGTCCGACACTCCCCCCCTCGTGGCGCTGCAGGCGGCCCGAGCGGCTGGAGGACTTCGTGGCGTTCTGCACGGCGGTCGAGGGGTACGACAGCGTGATCCCCAAGCTCCTGGAGCAGGTGCAGCGGACGGACCACGTGTACGAGATGCTGGCGGCGACGGACTTCAAGCCCGACATCAAGAAGGACAGCCTGCCGCTCGAGACGCTGCACGAGGCGCGCGGCGAGCTCGAGGAGTCCCTCGAGGCCGCGAACGACTTCATCGACAAGAACCGCACGCGCATCGTGCAGCTCGTCGAGCGCGGGCTGTCGGAGGTCGACACCGAGCTCCTGGACGTGGTCACCGAGCTCAACCGCGGGCGGTACGCGGACCCGGACGCGGACCCGGAGGCGCTGCTGGAGACGCTCGAGGACCTGGACGTGACCCTGTCGGCGCTGGCGGAGAAGACGGCGACGCTCAACGGCTACCAGCGCGTTCTCGGGCTGCACGTGTCGGCCAACACCAACCTCGAGCAGGCGCTGCGCGACCTGGCGATGCGGAACCGCACGTGGGTCGGGATGTACAAGCTCCGCGCGATGATGACGCAGTGGTCGCACGTGGAGATCCCGGAGCTCGACATGGAGAGCATGTCGGTGGTGCTGGAGGAGCTCATCCACGAGTCGTACAAGCTGTCGAAAATGCACCGCGACGACCCCGTCGCGCTGCGGCTCGCGGAGGAGGTCGACCGCTTCAAGGTGTTCCAGCCCCTGCTGGAGATGGTGGCGTCGCCGGCGCTGCAGGACCGGCACTGGAAGGAGATTTTCGAGATTCTCGGGCAGGAGCAGACGGGGGCGGGCGCGGCGGGGTTCACGTTCGCGGACCTCGTCGCGGCGGGGCTGCAGGACAAGCAGGAGGAGTGCGAGTCCATCGTGTCGCTGGCGACCAAGGAATACAGTGTGCGGCTGATCCTGGACCGCATGATCGAGGAGCTCGGCGCGCTCGAGCTGCACTGCACCCCGTACAAGGACTCCCCGGACCTGCACGTCATCGGCCAGGTCGACGACATCCAGCTGGTGCTCGAGGAGCAGGTGATGAAGGTGCAGAGCATCATCGCGTCGCCGTTCAGCGCGGCCTTCAAGGAGGAGGCCCACAAGTGGGAGCAGCTCGTCCTGCGGCTCGAGCTGCTCCTGGAGGAGTGGGTCAAGTGCCAGCAGCAGTGGATGTACCTGGAGCCCATCTTCACGAGCGACGACATCGCGGCGCAGATGCCCGAGGACCTGCAGAAGTTCCTGCAGGTGCACCAGACGCAGCAGGAGATCATGGCCAACGTCGTCGACGACCCCGCGCTGACCTCGGTCGGCGAGCACCCGGAGTACCTCGACACGTTCCAGCACAACAACGTGCTGCTCGAGGACGTGAACAAGGCGCTCGCGGCGTACCTCGACTCGAAGCGGCTGGCGTTCCCGCGTTTCTTCTTCCTCTCGAACGACGAGATGCTCGAGATCCTGTCCGAGACGCGCGACCCGACGCGCGTGCAGCCGCACCTGAAGAAGTGCTTCGAGGGCATTCAGACGCTCGACTTCGAGGGGCGCAACAGGGACAAGGTGGTCACGGCGATGAACAGCGCCGCGGGCGAGCGCGTGCCGTTCCGCTCGCGCGTGTACACGAAGGACGCGAAGGGCCGCGTGGAGCGGTGGCTGCTCGGGGTGGAGCACGCGATGATCGACGCCGTGATCGAGGAGCACGGGGCCGCCGTGGAGGCGTACCGTTCCAAGGCGCGGTCGGACTGGGTGGTGTCGCACCCGGGGATGTGCGTGCTGTCGGTCTCGGGGGTGTTCTGGACGCGCGGCGCGGAGACGGCGATCCTGGAGGGGAGTCTCCCCGGGTACTACACCGAGTGCCACAAGCAGCTGATGGAGCTGGTCCACAAGGTCCGTGGGGACCTCACCGCGCTCGAGCGCATCACGATCGGCGCGCTCGTCGTCCACGACGTCCACGCGCGCGACGTGGTGCAGCTCCTGCAGCGCGAGCGCGTGGCGGCGCTGTCCGAGTTCACGTGGCAGGCGCAGCTCCGGTCCTACTGGGAGGAGGTCGCCGAGGGGAACACGACCGCGGTCGGGCACCGCGCGGGGCGGCAGCAGGTCGAGACGGGCCCGATCAAGGTGTCGGCGCTGTCGCGCGGCACCAAGCTGGACGACAACGAGCAGAAGCAGACGATCAACCTGGTTGCGGGGTCCGGCGGGGGTCGCGGGAAGTCTGCGCGCCGCGTCGACGACGGCGAGGGCCCGGAGATGACGATGGTGCTGCGGATGATGGCGGCCCAGGTGGACTATGGGTACGAGTATCTTGGGAATCAGAACAGGCTGGTGGTCACGCCGCTGACAGACCGGTGCTACCGGACGCTGGTCGGGGCGTATCAGCTGCACCTCGGCGGCAGCCCCGAGGGCCCCGCGGGCACGGGGAAGACGGAGACGACGAAGGATCTGGCCAAGGTCGTGGCTCGGCACTGCTTGGTGTTCAACTGCAGCGACTCGCTCGACGTGCACGCCATGGGCAAGTTCCTCAAGGGCCTCGCCGCGACGGGCGCGTGGGCGTGCTTCGACGAGTTCAACCGCATCGACATCGAGGTGCTCTCGGTGGCCGCGCAGCAGATCATGGCCATCCAGATGGCCGTCGCGGCCAAGCTCTTCTCCTTTGAGTTCGAGGGCATCGACATCATCCTCCAGCCCTCGGTGTGGGTCGCCGTGACGATGAACCCGTCGTACGCCGGCCGCAACGAGCTGCCGGAGAACCTCAAGGCCCGGTTCCGGACGGTCGCCATGATGGTTCCAGACTACAGCCTCATTGCGGAGATCATGCTATTCTCGGAGGGGTACACGCGGTCGCGGGAGTGCGCGACGAAGCTCGTGCAGTGCTACAAGCTGTGCTCCGAGCAGCTGTCGAGCCAGTTCCACTACGACTACGGCATGCGCGCCGTCATCGCCGTGCTGCGCGCGGCGGCCAGCCTGAAGCGCAAGCACCCGACTGTGGACGAGTACCGCCTCATGCTCCGCGCCCTCATCGACGTCAACCTCTGCAAGTTCGTCGCCGTCGACATCCCGCTGTTCCAGGGCATCGTCGCCGACCTGTTCCCGGACACCAGACCCATCACCGCCAGCTACGGGCTGCTGAAGACCGCGCTCGTGCGCGCGTGCCAGAGCCTCGACTACCAGCCCTCGGAGGGCTTCTTGTTCAAGATCATTCAGCTCTACGAGCTCCTCCTCGTGCGCCACGGGCTGATGCTGGTCGGGCAGCCCCTGACGGGCAAGTCCGCGGCGTACAAGGTGCTCGCCGAGGCCATGACGATCCTCGCGACGGAGCACGGCGAGCAGTGGGCCGACCAGCCGGTCACCACGCACGTCATGAACCCCAAGGCGATGGACATGGGCCAGCTCTTCGGGAGGTTCGACCCCGTGTCACGCGAGTGGCAGGACGGCGTGCTGGCGATGTGCTTCCGCAACGCCGCGCGCAGCGAGACCCCCGAGCGCCACTGGGTCGTCATGGACGGCCCCGTCGACGCGCTGTGGATCGAGAACATGAACACCGTGCTCGACGACAACCAGAAGCTGTGCCTCAACTCGGGCGAGGTGATCAAGATGTCGCGCCAGATGACCATGGTCTTCGAGGTCGAGGACCTCTCCCACGCGTCCCCGGCCACCGTCTCGCGCTGCGGGATGGTGTACTGCGCGCCCACGGGCCTCGGGTGGCGCCCGCTGGTGCTGTCGTGGGTGCAGCAGCTCGGCGACCAGATCCACATGCCGCAGACGTACCAGGTCATGCTCCTCGGCCTCGTGAACAACTACGTTCCCACGGTGATGCGCTTCGTGCTGCGCGAGGTGCAGCCCGCGGTGCCGTGCAGCGAGGCGTCGCTGGTCCAGACCTTTATCCGACAGTACACGTCGATGTGCCAGCACATGGGGCAGCCCGGGTGGTTCCACAAGCGCGCGGATCTCGCGCCGAGCATGGTCCAGAACATCTTCGTGATGGCCTGCATCTGGTCGTTCGGCGCGCTGTGCCACACCGACAACGAGCGCAACAAGTTCTCGCGCATGCTCCTGTCGCTCTTCAACGACAAGTACCCCAAGGTCGTGGACCCCGACGGGGAGTACTACCGCGACGGCCTCGAGACGTCGAACCTGTCGTCTTGGAAGGACGTGTTGCAGCCGCCACAGAAGAAGCTGGACCAGGAGATCGGATTCGACCCGTCGGGCCCGCTGGGGTCGCAGGACCGCGCGTCGCTGGCGCGCACGTCGTCGGCGATCATGAACTCGCTGAGCGTGGACAACGTCGCCTCCGACCACCACGCGCGTGAGCCCGGGCTGTACCGCGACGCGGCGGGGTCGCGCTCGCTGAAGCAGCAGAACTCCCTGCAGCGCACCGCGATCGATGAGGGCGACGAGGGCGCCGAGAGCGACGAGGACGACTCCCCGTTGTCGCACCTCGCGTCGCTCGCCGCGTCGCAGAACCCCTCGCGGGCCAACTCGAGACGGGCGTCGATCAAGGACCCGACGGCGAGCATCGGGCGCGGCGGGCTGATCACGCAGGCGTCGCTCCCGGCGGTGAACAAGCTGTCGGGCGTGGCAGGGAAGTTCGCGGAGGCCGGGAAGAAGATTCGGAACATGAACAAGTTTTCCACCCGGGTGATCTCGCACGCGCAGCGGCTGTCGCACGCGCAGCAGAAGCACGGCTCGCAGATGGCGGACGTCGAGGTGATGATGGCGGTCGAGGTGATCAAGGAGGGCGGCCTCGAGGGGCAGGACAGCAGCGCCGTCGACAGCGCGTACCAGCAGTTCCTGTCCATGCTGGACCAGGTCACGGCGCTGGGGTGCAAGCTCGACGCCGAGATCATGGACGCAACGGCCTCCACGGTGTTCGACTGGTGGTTCGACCCCACCATCAACAACTGGAAGCAGTGGAAGTTCTCCATGGACCCGCCGCCAGAGTCCACCGGCGGGCGGACGTTCCGCGAGATCATCATCCCCACGGTGGAGCAGGCGCAGGTGGCGTACCTCATGGGCCTCAGCGTCGAGGGCCAGTCGCCGCTGCTGCTGTCAGGACCGACTGGCGTTGGGAAGTCCATCTACATCAAGCAGTTCATCAAGACGCTGCCCGCGGAGAGCTTCGTGCCGGCCGTGCACATCATGTTCTCTGCGCGCACGACCGCCGCGTCGACGCAGGCGGCGATCGCCGCGAAGCTCGACCGTCGGCGGCGCGGCGTGTTCGGCCCGCCAATTGGCAAGCGCGCTGTGGTGTTCGTGGACGACCTCTCGATGCCCCGGCCCGAGGAGTTCGGCGCGCAGCCGCCCATCGAGCTGCTGCGCAACGTCCTGGACCACAAGGGCTGGTACGGGCAGGACCACTCGTTCTGGTCGATTGCTGACTGCGTGATTGTGGGAGCCATGGTCCCGCCGGGCGGAGCGCGGCACCGCATGACGGGCCGCTTCCTGCGGCACTTCAACCTCGTCCTGATGCCCGAGCACCAGCACGGGACCATGATGTCGATCTTCGGGACCCTCCTGAACCTCCACATCAGCAACGCAATGGCGCCGGTGCGCGCCATGGCGCGCACGACGATCAACGCGACGTTGTCGGTGTTCCGGGCCGCGCAGCGCTTCCTCATGCCGACGCCCGCGAAGTCGCACTACATGTTCAACTCGCGCGACGTCGCGCGCGTCATCGAGGGCCTGACCCTCGCCTCGGTCAACGAGCTCGTCGACACGGCCTGGTGCCGGCTCTGGTGCCACGAGGTGATGCGCGTGTTCGGCGACCGGCTCGTCGCGGAGGAGGACGTCGCCTGGCTCAAGGACACGGTCGTCGAGGCCATTTCGCGCGACTTTGCCATGAAGCTCAACATCGTCTTCCCCGAGGCGCCGCCGCGGAACGTCATCGAGGCGCAGCTCCTGGCGAGCGAAGAGGAGTTCAGCGAGGTCAAGCTCCAGCGCGAGATCCGCCGGTCGGAGCACGCTGCGCTCGAGAAATGCACCTACGTCGGCTTCGTCGAGCTCGCCGAGGCCGAGGCCGGACAGGGCGTGGGCACCGAGCGGCGGAAGAAGTACGCCGAGCCCAGCGGGGGCTGGGCCGAGGTGTACGACGCCGTGCGGCAGGCCCTCGAGGACTACAACTCCACCCACGCGCGCGCCAAGCTCGACCTGTCGATCTTCCACTACGCGACGGCGCACCTGGTGCGCATCACGCGGTCGCTGCAGCTGCACGGCGAGAACATGATGCTCATCGGCGTCGGCGGCAACGGGCGCCGCAGCCTCGCGCGCATCGCCGCGTTCATCTGCCACATGCACTTCATCGAGCCGGAGGGCGGGCGGGAGTACGGGATCACGGACTGGTTCGACGACCTGAAGGAGGCGTGCGTGCTGGCGGGCGCCGTCGGGAAACCCGTCGTGCTCTTCGTTCCGGAGTCGAAGATCCGCGAGGAGGTCTACATCGAGCACATTGCCTCGCTGATGCACTCGGGCGAAGTGCCCAACGTCTTCTCGACCGAGGAGCGCTCGACCGTGCTCGAGCGCATGCGCGAGAGCCTCCAGGAGGCCGCCGCGCGCGCCGCGGGCACCGCCGTCGGCACCTCGGGCTTCACGGAGCTCGTGGAGATGGAGACGTACTCCACGTCGGAACTCTGGAGCAAGTTCGTGTCGCGCGTGAAGCGGTACCTCCACGTGGTGCTCAGCCTCAACACGATCGAGGCGAGCTTCCGCGAGCGTCTGCGGCAGTTCCCGTCCCTGGTGAACTGTTCGAACATCGACTGGTATGGCGACTGGCCCGTGGAGGCGCTGCGGTCGGTCGCGAAGCACCGCCTGGAGACGCGGCTGCCGGCGGAGTTCCGGACCGCGAAGGTGCCCGTGCGGGAGCTCATCGAGCGGCTCAACTCGCTGTACATCGCGCGGGGCAGCCCGAAGAGGGCCGCGACGCCTACGGCAAAGGTGCCTCCTTCGACTCCGCCCGAGGGGGCTGCGAAGGACGCCGCGGGCGACGCTGGGGCGGAGCCGGCTGCCGAGGCCGAGCTCGAGGCGTCCAGCGACGCCGAAGGCGACGAGGTCGCGGAGGCTCCGGCGCCCGCGGAGTTGGACGCGGACGCGGGGGGTGTCGGGGAAGAGGAGGGCCGCGTGTCGCCGCCGAGGACGAAGAAGGTGGACGTGAGCGCGGCGGTGGTGGAGGTTGTCACGCAGATGCACACGTACATGCACGAGAAGGCCTCTGCGCTGCGCTACGAGACGGGCCGCTGGACGTACGTCATGCCGAGGCACTTCATCAACCTGCTGGACGCGTTCGGCGCGCTGCTGCTCAAGCGCAAAGAAGAGCTCTCCACGCAGCGGCAGCGCTACACCAGCGGCCTGCAGCACCTCGAGGACGCCAAGGGCGCGGTGATTTCCATGCACGGCGAGCTGAGCAAGCTGAAGCCGAAGCTGGAGCGGGCGACGCAGGAGGTGGCGGCGATCATGGAGAAGCTCGAGGAGGACCGGAAGAAGGTGGAGGAGAACCACGCGATGGTCGACAAGGAGGTGGACCGCGCCAACGACATGGCGCGCGCGGCGGAGGACATCCGCGCGGAGTGCGAGGAGCGCCTCGCGGAGGCGATGCCGGCGATGGAGGCGGCGATCGCGGCGCTCAACACGATCAAGCCCGCGGACATGCGCGTGGTGCAGACGTTTAAGAACCCGCCGATGCCCATCAAGCTGGTGCTGGAGGCCGTGCTGGTGCTGCTGGACGTGCCGCCGATCGTGGTGCCGGACCCGACCGAGTACGGCAAGAAGATCGTCGACTACTGGACGCCGAGCCTCCGGATGCTGCAGGACGTGCACCTGATCGACAAGTTGAAGAACTACGACAAGGACAACATTCGGAAGGACATCATGCAGCGCATCACGCGGGACTACGTCGCGCTGGAGGACTTCAACCCGGACCGGTGCGCGCGCGCGTCGTCCGCCGTCGAGGGCATCTGCAAGTGGGTCATCGCGCTCGAGGTGTACGACCGCATCGCAAAGGAGGTTGCGCCGCGCCGGGCCGCGCTGAAGGAGGCCGAGGCGGTGTACCAGTCGAAGATGGAGGTCGTGAACGAGAAGCAGGCGGAGCTGCAGGTCCTCCTGGACGAGATGAACCGCCTGGAGGCGCGGGCGAAGGAGATGCAGATGAAGAGGGACACGCTGGAGCAGGACATCGCGGACGCGGAGCGGAAGCTGGACCGGGCGGAGCGCTTGATCACGGGGCTCGCGAGCGAGCAGGAGCGCTGGAAGCGCGAGGCGGACCTGATCGGGGACCGCCGGAGCTGCATCGTCGGCGACATGCTGCTGGCAGCGTCGACGCTGACGTACCTCGGGCCGTACGCGCTGCAGACGCGCAGGGACACGACGCTGCGCTGGCGCGAGGTCATGCTCAACGAGAACCTGACGCAGTCGAGCGTGCGCGCGTCGCTGTCGTCGATCCTCGGCGACCCCGTGCGCGTCCTGGAGTGGCATCTCGCGGGGCTTCCGCGCGACCCGCTGTCGGTCGACAACGCGCTGCTGGTGACGAACGCGCACCGCTGGCCGCTTCTGATCGACCCCGTGCGGCAGGCCGCGAACTGGATTCGGAAGATGGAGCGTCCGCACAACCTCCAGGTGGTGCGGCACGGCTCGCGCGACATGATGATCAAGATGGAGAACGCGGCGCAGTTCGGGCTGCCCGTCATGGTCCAGCACGTCGGCGAGTCGCTCGACCCGGCGCTCACCCCGATCCTCAACGTGGCGCGCCTGTCGCCGGACAACGCGGTGCAGCTGCTGCGCATCGGCGGCGCGACGATCGAGCTGAACGCCGGGTTCCGCCTCTACCTCGTGACGGAGCTGAAGAACCCGCACTTCCCGCCGCGCGTGCACGCGGAGACGACGGTGATCAACTTCGCCATCACCGAGCAGGCACTGGCCGACCAAATGACGACCGTCGTGCTCCGCGAGGAGCTCCCGCAGCTGGAGACGCAGCGCAACCAGCTGGTCATCCAGTCCGCGGAGCACCGGCGGCAGCTGCGCGACATCGAGGACAACATCCTGCGCGTGGTCGGCGACGCCGAGGGCAGCATTCTCGAGGACGAGGCGGCGATCACCGCGGTGCAGGAGTCCAAGTCGCTCGCGGAGAAGATCCTGGAGCAGCAGGCGGAGACGGAGGCGACGCAGGAGCAGCTCGAGGACGCGGCGCAGGTCTACACGGGCGTCGGCAACTTTGCCGCCATGCTGTTCTTCTGCATCCAGGAGCTCAGCACGCTCGATCCGATGTACGAGTACTCGCTGGACTGGTTCTCCGCGCTCTTCGTGTCGTCGATCACCGAGGCGCGCGCGGGCGTCGCGGAGGGCGCCACGACGGACGAGCGGCTGGGCGCCATCAAGAGCACTTTTTTGCTCAGCCTCTACCAGAAGACGTGCATCTCGCTGTTCGCGCGGGACACGCTGATGCTGGCCTTCCTCATGTCGCGGCGCATCCTCGAGAGCCGGAAGGAGCTGACGAAGAAGCAGATGCAGTTCCTGCTCGTCGGGAGCGAGGGCATGGCATCAGCCTACCGCCAGGCGCTGACCGACCACCCGCTGTCGCGCGCGCGGCCGAAGGACGAGGGCGCGGAGTGGGTCACGCCCGCGGTGTGGAGCACGGTGCTGCGCCTGTCTTTGATCAGCCCGGGCCTGAAGGACCTCCCGCAGGCCATCATCGACCACCCGGGGGAGTGGGACGAGGCGCTGCATCAGTCCCCCAAGTTCGACCGGAAGGTCCTCCCGGGGGTGTTCGGCATGAAGCTCAAGGCCGCGGACGTCGTCCTGCTCGCGCGCGGGCTGTGCAAGGACAAGCTCCTGCAGACGGTGCGGCAGCTCGTGCTCGAGACGCTGGGGCCCGACTTCGTGGAGACGCCCCCCGTGGACCTGCGGCAGCTGTACGCGGACAGCGCGCCGGACATTCCGATGGTGTTCATCCTCGCGCCGGGCCTGGACGCCGCGAGCGAGGTGTACGAGCTGGCGAACCGCGTGGGCATGCGGTCGCGCGTGGTCACGGTGAGCCTCGGGCAGGGGCAGGGCGAGAAGGCGGAGGCGGCGATCCGGAGCGCGCAGGCGGACGGCGGGTGGGTCCTGCTGGCGAACTGCCACCTCGCGACGTCCTGGATGCCGCGCATGGAGCAGATCGTGCAGGGCATCGACACGGAGTCCTGCAACTCGCAGTTCCGCCTCATCATGACGTCGATGCCCTCGCGCGGCTTCCCGCTGTCGGTCCTGCGCCGGTCGATCAAGATCTGCAACGAGCCGCCGCAGGGCATGAAGGCCAACCTCCAGCGCTGCCTGTCGCTGGACCCGATTGTGGACGAGGCGTGGTACCAGGAGTGCGCGCACCCGCGCGCGGTGATGAAGCTCGTGCACGTCCTCGGCGTCCTGCACGCCGTCGTGCAGGAGCGGTCGCAGTACGGCCCCCTGGGCTGGAACCAGCCGTACAAGTTCAGCGACAGCGACCTGCGCATATCCGCGGACCAGGCGCGGCAGTTCGCCGGCGACGCGGCGACCGTGCCGTGGGTGACGCTGCGGTACATGGTCGGCGAGCTCAACTACGGCGGGCGCGTGACGGACGAGAACGACCGCCGCCTGCTCAGCACGCTGGTGGCGTCCATCATGCAGCAGGACATCGTCGACAAGCCCGGGACTCCGTACCTCTGGTCCGAGTCGCCGATCACGCTCCCCGCCGCGGACAAGCCCGAGGAGTACCGCGCGGCCGTCGAGGCCCTGCGCGTCGACATCTCGCCAGAAGCCATCGGGCTGCATTCGAACGCGGAGATGGCGCGCGACCTGCTCCAGGCCGACGCGATGATCGCGAGCCTGGTCGACATCACGGTCGGCGCGGCCACGACGGTGTCGCTCGCGCAGCACCAGGAGCTGGAGCAGCAGGTGTATGTGCAAATCAAGGACATTCTGGCGTCGCTCCCGCGGCCGTTCGACATCGAGAAGCTCCGCGCGCAGTTCCCCGTGGACTACAAGGAGTCGATGAACCAGACGCTCGTCCAGGAGGCCGAGCGGTACAACGCGCTGCTTGCCGTGGTGGAGTCCTCCCTGACGTCGCTGAGGCTGGCGATCGAGGGGGTGCAGATCATGAGCGAGGGCCTCGAGGAGATGCTGCAGCACATGTCGCTGGGCAAGGTGCCCTCGCAGTGGCTCCGGAGCTCGTATCCCTCGCAGCAGCCCCTTGGCAGCTACGTGAAGGACCTCTTGCAGCGGCTCGAGATGCTGCGGACGTGGACGACGCAGGGGCAGCCGAAGATCTTCTGGCTCCCCGGGTTCTTCTTCACGCACGCGTTCCTCACCGCGCTCCTCCAGAACTACGCCCGCCGCCTCGCGATCCCCATCGACGAGGTGGCCTTCGACTTCCAGTGCCTGATGCTCTTCTCGGACCCCGCGGCGCGGCAGATCACCTCCCCGCAGGACGGCGCGTACATCCACGGGCTGTTCCTCGAGGGCGCCGCGTGGAGCGTCGACATGCATCTCACAGAGCAGCGCCCCAAGAAGCTCCTGTGCGACGCGCCGATCATTTGGTTCCGCCCGTGCCGCCCCGAGGACCGGCGGAAGTACCAGCACTACGACTGCCCCGTGTACCGGACGCAGGAGCGCCGCGGGAGCCTCGCGACCACGGGGCACTCGACCAACTTCCTGCTGAGCGTGCGGCTGCCGACGACGGTCGACCCGCACCACTGGGTGCTGCGCGGGGCGTGCATGATCTGCACGCCCTCCACGTAGGCGCAGCGGTGGAGCGGGGGAGGCGGGCGCGGTGCCTCTCGAGCCCACAAGAGCCTTGCATGCTAAGAACACAACGACACGATAGTTGCGGCCGATAATTGGTCGATAGCGAGCTAGAAGTGCCCGCTGGGCACGCGCTTACATGATGTGATCCATCGTCGCGAGCGACCCGTCGGACCGATGGGGTTGTTGCCCCCAGCGGAGTGCCACAAACCACCCGGTGCACCGAGCCGATGCGGTCGAAGCGTTCCACGCAAGCACGTCCGCGCGATTTCATCGCTTTCCGCGCCCCAAGCGCCTCTCCGACGCAATCGACGGGTTCCCGGAGGAGCTGTCTCGACGCGTTGCACCATTGACCATCACCACCGTCAACAACTTAACAGCACGCCAGCTCTCTGTTACCGCGTCACAACGGCACTGCTTCCTGCTACGACACGCGCAGCGCGTTCTGCAGCCACTCCGTCAACACCCCCCTCCCACCCCCCCCCACTGCCTCCACATGCCCCGGGGGGCCCCCGGCCGCGAGCCCCGCGACCCCGCGGTACGCGTTGCACAGGAACGCCTCGTGGCACTTGCGCAGCGACGACAGCTCCGGCGGCCCGACGACCACCGGCACGCCCGCCGCCGCGCACTCCGCCATCACGCGCCCGCGCACCACCCCCGGGAGCGCGCCGTCCGCGACGCCCGCGGTGCGCAGGCGGAGCTTCCTCGCCTCCGGCGGCACGTCCGGCCGGCAGACCGTCGCGAGCGCCTCCGTGGTCAGCCGCGCGCGCGTCGGGTCGCTTTCCACGATGAAGAAATTCGACACCAACCCCTCCAGCATGGCGTCGCCCGCGCACATCAGCACCTCGTCGACCTGCAGGCACCGCACGGGCATCGGTCCGGACGTCGGCGCCGAGTGGCGGCGCCGGGCGACGACGGGCGCCCCCGCAAGCACCCGCGCTGTCCGTCATGCGTCGGCGGAAGGGGGGGGGGGTCTCCCCCCTTCGTTCGCCTCCTGGAGCTTCCGCAGCTCCGTGCGTTCCCGCGCCCAGTCGCAGTACTTCGCCGCGGTCGGCCCTCGTCGCCTGCTCTGAACTGTCACGACGCGCATGGGGGCGCTGGCCGTCGCGCCCGCGGGGTCCGCGGGCTCCGGCGCGAGCGCGAGGAGGCGCACGGACACGCCCATCTGCGGGGCCGTCGTCTTGTTCGGGTCGTCCCGCCGCAGGTCCGCGGCGGCCGTCGGACAAAAGGCAAGAGGGCGTCCAGCGCCGCGCTCCGGGGAGGCCGGGGAGGCCTCGGACCACGGCGTGAGGCGGCTGTCGCTGCTCGCGGGCTCGAAAACCACGACGCACTTCCGCGTGGACGCCTTGGCCCGCCCTGGCGGGAGCGGGGCCGTGTCCGCGCTCAGCGCTGGCAGTGCGGCGATGGAGCGGTCCATCGCGATACCCGCGAAGAGAACGAGGTCGCTCCACAGCGCTGAGTGCAGGGAGGGCCAGCCTGCGCTCGAGGCGGGGGTTGGGGAGGCGTGTATCGGCTGTTTTACGGAAATGTGTGGCGCGGCATGTTTGCCAGGCTGCGCCGTGGCATGGGGTCAGCGGCTTCCCGCGTTCCCGGGATATTTGGCGCAGGTCTATGTGAAGGACGTCACGCGCCTGAGACCTTCCGCAGATCCTCGCTCCGCGCCAGCAGCGAGCTCTTTGGAATCGGGGGGTGGCAGCAGCAGACGCCGTGCGACGACGACAGGTGGGCGAGAAGCTCCTTGACGGCCGCGTTCCACGGGTGAGACTCCGCGGAAGCCGCGACCGCCAGCATGGACAGCGCGAGCCGCTCCCTGTGCAGCTGGCGGTCGTGCACCTCCCCGCTAGGCCACAGCAGGAAGCTAGTGTACACTCCTGCGGCACCGGAACGAGCCGAAACCGACGTCGGGCGCCTGGTCCAGCGCGGAGAGGGCGGAGCGCCCCGCGTTGCGGCGCGGCAGGCCGCGCGCCGTGGCGTCGCCCGCGCGGGTGAAATTGCTGTCAACGTCCACGGTATGCGTCGACACGCACCTTCCGGCGACGACCTCAGCATTTCCGCGGGGATCTTGCTCGCCCCGACCTCCTCGGCCGCGCAGGCGCGCCCGTCGACCACGTACGCCTCCATCGCCCCGACGGCCCTTTCGGCGACGGATCCGCGGTGCCGCCCGCACGGGCTTCCGCGCGAGGCCGTCTCTACGTGCGCCGACGACGGCAGCTCAATCAAGGCCCTCACTGCCGCCGACGACGCCCCTCCGCACGCCCTTGGCGCCGCGAGCGGCCGCAGGCCACGTTGTCGAGACAGGTGTAGTCAATACTTCAGGCCCCGACCGACGCCGTGGCTGCCCCGCCAGGAGGACAAGGGGCTTGCGGCGGCTTGTTCGCGGCCAGATGTGAGCTCGGTCTCCCGAGAAGTCGCAGACATCGTCCCAGTCAGGCGTCCGAGGAGGTGAGCAGCCCGCATTCCCTAGACGGCCGGCCGGCCCGTTCCCGGACGCGCATTGTCCATTTCCGCGCGTTGCCGCTTCGAATCGACAATGCTGATTCCGCCCGTGGCTTTCATCGGCCACGACGCGCCCGCGCACGCCCCCTAGCGCGCACCTAAGACCCGGCTGTGCGCGAGGGGCGCGGGAGGCCGTTGACCGGCCCGCAACGCACGCGGGCCCCCTGAACGTGGTCATATCGGCGCACCGGGCCGGTATCTCTCGGCGTTTTCCCCGTCCGCCGCCTCCGCCTGGCCATCGATGAGGGCATCACCGGTCGCCCTCGCCTGGCCGCCGTTCACGGGCAGCTCCGCATCCCTGCGCCATGCTCTCGTGGCCAATCGCCCGCAGCAATGCGCGCGGGGGCCCGCATGCCCCCAGGAGGCCAACGTTCGGCCTGCCACTGGTGAATATATTCGGGGCCGCCGTAGCGCGAACGTGGGGCAATATTTCCGCCCGCGCGAGCGCACCGGCCCGCTCCGTGTCGAATTTGTTCCGAGATGCGCACCCTGGGATCGACGTGCCGCGGCATCGCGCGCCGTGCTCGTCGAGAGTGTCGCCTCCGGGGGTGCCCCGTTTCCGCCGCACGGCCGCGTTGGGCGCCCTCCCGCCCCGCCACGCGACCCCATCCTTGCCAGATTCCCCACTTCCGGCGGCGGATCTCGTCATCATGCTCCCTCCGCGCCACCGTGCGCTACGTCACCAGCCCAGGTCGTTTGCTCTCCGGCAGCGCGCGGGCAGCCCACCAACCGCCCGGCCCGCCCCGCGACCGCACCTGCAGGTCCCAGAACATCGCGATGGCGTCGCGCGCGGCCAGCCGGGCCGCGTCCAGAAAGCATAAGCTCGTGGGGCTGCAGGTAGGCCCTTTGCGCCTCCCTGGCCAGCCGTTCCAAGCCACGCGCTGCGCAGCGCTCCGCCTCTGTGCCGCCCGCTGCCGCCGCGATCCGGACCTGACGGCTCATGGGACGCTGTGTGCGGACGCGATTACCGACGCGGGCGGCGTGGCTGCCGCAACGGTGACGTTGGAGGTGCACTGCGTCGGATGCGTTGCGGCAGTTGGGAACTGTCGACTGCCGAGCAGCTCCTGGACCAAGAGCCAACCAACCGACGCCGCCCCGTCCCCCGTCCGCGCAGGCGCCCTCGCAGTGCCACCCAGCCAAGCGGCAACGGCTCTCGCCAGCGGTCTCGCCACGCGCGCCGTCCGCGCGGCTCCTCTCCCCGCATGCGTCGCGCCCTGAGGAGGCGGCCAATGATGACGCACCGGCGGGGCGGGCGGGCCGCGCGGGCCCGTGCGCGCTCGAACCCGCCCGCGGCCGCATCGGCGCGCGCGTGCGGTCGCAGGCGGCCGCCGCGCAGGCCGCGGCGGACCGCGAAGCCGCCGAGCGCGCGGCGGCGGCCAAGTCGAGGCACGCGGACACAGTGGAGGGCACCGCTTACCGCGGGGTGCGCCAGCGCCCGTGGGGCAAGGTGCGGCCCCGACCCGCCTCGGGCAGCGCTACCTCCCGCGCGCCCCGCAGAGCGATTCCGGACGCTCAGATGACCGGAGGCATGACACTGAATGTCTGCGTGGTTTTCGCGTGCTTGCAGTGGGCGGCGGAGATCCGCGACCCGTCCCGAGGGCAGCGGGTGTGGCTCGGCACGTTCGACTCCGCGGTCGACGCCGCGAAGGCCTACGATGCCGCGGCGCGGCGCATCCGAGGCCCGAGCGCGCGTTGCAACTTCAGCATGACCGCCGACGAGGAGGCCGAGCTGCGCGCGCGGCGGCCCGGCCAGCTGGCGCTCACGACGATCGCCCCGCACAACACCGCGATCGCCCGGCGGGACGGCTCCGGCGGGCCCGGGTCGGGGCGCGGCGGCCACGGCCACGTGCGCACGGGCGCTGCGCGCGCGCCCGCGCCCGAGCGGCGCTACCGACAAGACAAGGAGGCGCTCATCGCGCGGAGCTTCCGCGAGCGGAGCGCGATCCGCCGCCAGCGCGCCGCATACGCGGGCGAGCCCCGGGCGTGGTCGACGGCCTTCATGGCGCCCCCCGCCGCGCACCTGCCCGCGGCGCACGACGGGGCGCTCCCCGAGCACGGGCGCTTCAACCTCGAGCACCAGGCCGCGCTCCCCGGCCCCGACGCGCCGCACGCGTACGCCGCCGCGGTGGTGCCGGACTCGGACGTCGAGTCCGCGGACGGCGCGTGGGCGCTCGGCGGGCCGGCGTCGCGCGCGCCGGAGGTCGCGGCGGTGAAGGAGGAGGAGCACGAGGACGAGGACGAGGACCCCGCGGAGCTCCTCCACGGCGGCGCGATCGACGAGGGGGACTATTTGGGTATGATGCTGGGGGGGTGGGAGAGCGTGGACGACGGGGAGCGCGTCTTCGGCGCCGCGTGCAGCGACGACCCGGAGGACCTCTTGTTCGTCCAGGGCGACGCGAAGCCGGCGGCCGTGCTCGCGCGCTCCGACTCGGCCGGGCTCTCGCATCACAGCACCGACCCCTCCCTCGACGCCACCGCGTCCGCGAACGCGCCGAGCGAGCGGTTCGCGGCGGTCGCGAGCCCGAAGGAGGGCGCGCTCGCGATGCGCTGCCGCGCCGAGAAGGCCGCGATTCCGGACCTGGCGTCGCTGCTCGGGGATCCGCACGTGGACGTGGGGCTGTCGGCGATCATCCCGGGCGAGGGCGCGCAAGAGCGGTTCGACTTCGGGGACTACTAGGACGGCGGCGCTCGCGCGTCGCGCCCCCCCGGCGTCCTGCCGGCGATGCAGCCGGCGGCTTTTCTCGCGGCTCTTCTCGTTCCGGGGCGCACGGCCACCCAGCCTCGGCGTTTCTTTTCCGCGAATGTGCAGTGCACGTTCCCACAACCAACCAACCAATCAGCTCGCAATCCTCGCACGGAGCGTCCGCTACGTGCGCAGGACCCTGTTTCTTCCCACCAGGACAAATCCCCCCCCCCCTCCCTCCCCTCCCCTCGCTCCCCACCCACCCACGTCCTCCGCTGTTAAGCAGAGACGGCCAGCAACACTAGCCTCCCCCGATCTCGACGATTTCCGTACAATTTCCCCATCTGCTCCTACCCCCCAAAAGTCCCCCCTCCCTCAACCAATTCACCCGCTCCCCCTTCCGCTGCGGCTCTAGTCTGCTCGGCCCACTCGACACGCCGAGGTGAAGGCACCGTCCTCCGCACAGGCGCCGCCGCGCACTCCGACATGCTCGATGCACGCGGAAAGCAGCGCCCCCGCGGAGGACCACACCTCGGCTTGGCGAGCGGGCCACCGGCCTTGTCACTCAAGCGCTCGCATCCGCTCCCCGCCCCCCGACCTGCTCCATGCCAACACGCTCTCGAAGCCCTCGCGCCCAAGGCACTCTGCCATGTCCTGGTCCTTGCGGATTGGCGCAACGGACCCGGGCAGGACCGGCCCTCGCCGAAGGAGCCGGGGGTCGCGACCCCTCACACGGGCAGGCCGCGATCCTGTGGCGCCCCCTCTCAGACCGCTGGCCTGGCACATACCATCAGGCGCAAAGAACCCCCGATTTCTCGTCCAGGGCGGCGCCGGCCACGCACGCGCCGCAAGGTGCGGGTTGCGGTGGCTCTCTGGACCGCGCTCGCTGGTCCACGCACCAAACGTCGACCGACGTCGCCCCGCGTTTCGCTGGGCCAGTTGCCCTCAGCGCAGGACAGCTGCGTTCGCGCCTGTGCAAATAAATGCAAGGACGACGATCCGTGAGGAACCATTGTGATTCGGAGCCGATAACTCGCCCGCGAATCGGCTCGTCCACGACGAGCCGCCACATCGCTCTCGCGCCCGGGCCTCGTTGCATGCGCGCTTGACGATGTCGGTCGCAGACGACGAAGTTTGTCAGAGAAAGTCATGGCAAGCACGGGCGGCCGTGCAGTGCGGTGCCGGGCTGCGCCAAACCTGCGCGCACTGGCCGGCTCTGCGGCCGCATCCTGTTGCACACCAGTTGCGCGACGCTGGTGTCGCTGCGGGGGTCGCGCTGCTGCGACACGGGCCCGGCGCGAAGGTCCCGACCATCGTATGCTTGAGGGGCCCGCCGAGCGAGCACATGTGCGTGCGGGACGCTGACATCCTAGCCAGGCTTTGCAATTGTCCCCCTCACCCCGGGCCGAATAGGCGCATACAGAATCACGTTCGACACAGCCTGTTGTTCGCGCATCTGCGAACGCGGCGCGGCGAGATTCTGCGCACCGAATCCGGAACGCGACCGATTCTGCGGAAAAGAAGCATCGTGAACAGACACCAGGTGTCGGGCTGGGTCGGCGACGCCAGTCGCCCAGTCGCCTCGCGTCGTGCCACCAGTCACCCGGCGGCTGTCTAATCACGGCCTGTCGACACGCGCAGCTGTCGCCCGACAGTCGCAACCGCTTCACTGATGAGTGCACCCTTGTAGGCGCTCGCGACACGTCTCCGTCGCGGTTCCGCGCGTGAGTCCGCGCTCACAGCCTCCTCCGTGTACCAGAAACCCTCCCAGGCCCTCTGTCCTCCCCCGCACCGCCATTGACCCCGCAGTGCGCCCTTTCCTCAGACCCAGTGCGAAACAAGCAGCCCTCGGCCCCTGGCGCGGCGCACGCCGGCGTCACCGCGCCTTCTTCCCCTTCGGCCCCGCGTCGTCCGCGTCCGTCGGTTTCCCGAAGTCCGGCTCCCCGTACAGGATGCGCGATTGCTCCTGGGGGTCCGCCAGGCCCGTTTCCTGACACAGCCAAAACAGACCCCCCCCCAGCCCGACAGCGATGGCCGCGAGAGCCGTGAGGTGCAGGACGATCGGCGGCACGCCTTCTCCCTCGCCCCCCCCCGCGACCAGCGCCCAGGAGAGTCCCCCCAGGACCACAAGGAGGCCCACGAGCGCTGCGAGGGCGGTCGCGAGCGTCGCCGCGTTGACGCCTGGCGCCAGGGATCCGACGAGGACGTCCTGGAGGAACATGACGGCCCCGCGGCGCGCTACGCGAGCGCAGTCCTGCCGTGACGCAGCAGTGCGCGTAGGGCGAGACCGGCCCCGACGACGACGAAGAGGACGAACGCGACCTTCAGGAGAGCGGTGCGCTCAGCGAGCGGCTGCGGGTCGAGCCTTCGAGCGTGGCTGCCCTTGCGCCCGGCCTCTGGGTCGTTGGGCGCAGTTGCATACGCGCGCCCTGCAAGCAGTTCCTGCGGTCGCAGCGGCTCCCTCGCGCACGCGCTGAGTAGCTGATGACCCTGGCGCGAGCGTGGGAGGCGGAGCGGCGGTCGAGAGACGTGGAGCGCGCGGGGCTGCGGACGTAGGCCTGGTCGCGTGGCGCTGAGGGGATGTGCAGCGAGGGCGCGGCGAAACGGCCGGCGCGACGGCTGCGGCGCGCGGGCGGCCTCGCACCTGATTGGCCCTGCGGCGCCTCGCTCCCATGGAGCAGGGAGCGGCGCTCGGCCGTGCGGTGAAATCAGCGCCACCAAGCTAGCGCGCCGCCGAGCTCACAGGAGAGTAAGACCCACCTCGTTCCTCCCACGGCCATGCCTTTGCGCCAGTGGTGCGGGCAGGCCGCGGGCGAGCGCCCTATAGTGGGAGCCGGCGGCCACGCGGCGCCTGGGACGTCCAGCAGTGGTCTCCCCAGGGTGTCAGCGGCGTCAGCGCGGGGCGATGTTTGGAGCAGGGCGCGCGGGAACGGGCAGAGAGGGCCCAGCACACAGGGCCGGGGCTGCGCTGAGGAACCGGGGCGTGACAGTGAGGTGCTGAGCGCCACGCGGGCTGCCTGCACCGAGCAGGGGTGACCAGGCACCATGCTCACCAAGTTCGAGACCAAGTCCAACCGGGTGAAGGGCCTGGCCTTTCACCCAAAGCGGTGAGGATCGCCGACCACGCTGCTTGAGACCCCGCGCGGCCGTGGCGCGGCGCTCGGCGAGTCGAAGTCCAAGACCCGCCAGAGCTCGGCGCAACACCCCTGATGATGCGATAAAGCGCCCCCCTCGCGCAAAACACATTCCTACCTCCCATGTGCCGAGCCCAGTCCCGTCGCATCGTCGCCCAAACTGGCCCTGGCAACCCCTGCTCCTGGTTGCGAGGCCAGATCTCGCAGAGACCGCGCTCCTCTCAGATGAGACCGCGCCCACCCTTGACTGCAGGCCATGGGTTCTGTCGTCGCTCCACAGTGGCGTCATCCAGGTGCGCCCTCGCCGCCCACAGGCCCGCTCTCCACGACTCTGGCGCAAACCCGCCCCCCGTCGCCGCCCACCGCCGGATCGCACCTCAAAGCACATCCGCTGCCCTCTTCCCTCCCTATTCATCCCGGCTGGCCCGCTGCGGCGTCAGCCTCCGGCCCTGCGGACCCCCTGTGCCCGGCGTTGCACCCCCACTGTCACCCCGCCCCGCTCCGCACGCCTCCGCGCGCCTCCGCGCCTGCGAGGGGGCCCAGCGCCCCCCGAACGCACCATCCTCCTCCCTGTGCGGCCGCACCGCGAGCCACGCACGCCTGCCCGCCCAGCCTGCCCATGCTCTCCCCCTCGCCCTGCGCACCCGCAGTTGTGGGACTTCCGCATGGGCACGCTGATCGACCGGTTCGACGAGCACGAGGGCCCGGTGCGCGGCGTGCACTTCCACCCCGGCCAGCCCCTGTTTGTGTCCGGGGGCGACGACTATAAAGTCAAGGTGTGGAACTACAACCTCCGGCGGTGTCTCTTCACGCTCCTGGGCCACCTCGACTACATCCGCACGGTGCAGTTCCACCACGAGCACCCCTGGATCATGTCGGCCTCGGACGACCAGACGATCCGCATCTGGAACTGGCAGTCGCGGCAGTGTATCTCCGTGCTCACCGGCCACAACCACTACGTCATGTGCGCGCTCTTCCACCCGCGCGAGGACCTCGTCGTCTCCGCGTCGCTCGACCAGACCGTCCGCGTCTGGGACATCACCGGCCTGCGCAAGAAGTACGCCGCTCCGGGCTCAGGCACGCCCCCGACACCCCCAACACCCCCTCCCCCGCCTCGCCGCACGCACGCGCCGCCTCGCAGCCCGCGCCGCCCGCGCTCACCGCGTGCCCGCTCCCCCCGTCGCAGGCGGCGCCACCGCGGACGAGCGCAGCAGCCTGGACGGCTTCGGCGAGGCCGTCGTCAAGTACGTGCTCGAGGGGCACGACCGCGGCGTGAACTGGGCGTCCTTCCACCCGACGCTCCCGCTCATCGTGTCCGGCGCGGACGACCGGCAGGTCAAGCTGTGGCGCATGAACGACACCAAGGCCTGGGAGGTCGACACGCTGCGCGGCCACACGAACAACGTCTCGTGCGTGTTCTTCCACGCGCGGCAGGACCTCATCGTGTCCAACTCCGAGGACCGCACCATCCGCGTCTGGGACATGTCGAAGCGCACCGGCGTCCAGACGTTCCGCCGCGAGCAGGACCGGTTCTGGATCCTCGCCGCCCACAGCGACGTCAACCTCCTCGCCGCGGGGCACGACTCCGGGATGATCGTGTTCAAGCTCGAGCGCGAGCGCCCGGCGTTCGCCGTGCACCAGGGGCAGCTCTTCTACGTCAAGGACCGCTACTTGCGGCTGTACGACTTTGCGACGCAGCGCGACAACCCGCTGCTGGCGATCCGGCGGCCGGGGACGACGGCGCTGAACTCGGCGCCGCGGCACATGAGCTACAACCCCGCCGAGCGCGCGGTGCTGCTCACGAGCGACGTCGACGACGGCACCTACGAGCTGTACATCCTGCCGCGCGACGCGGGCGCGCGCGGGGGCGAGGCGGCCGCGGAGCCGCGCGTCGGGTCCGGCGCCGGCGCGGTCTTCATCGCGCGGAACCGCTTCGCGGTGCTCGACAAGTCCACGGGCAGCATCCTGATCAAGAACATGCACAACGAGGTCACGAAAAAGATCCCGTGCCCCAGCTCCGGCGTGGACGCGATCTTCCCGGCGACGACGGGGTGCGTGCTGCTGCGCATCGAGGACCGCGCGGTGCTGTTCGACCTGCAGACGCGCGCGGTCGTCGGCGAGGTGCACTGCCCGCAAGCCAAGTACGCCGTGTGGTCGCACGACATGTCCAAGGTGGCGCTGCTGTCGAAGCACGCGGTCGTGCTGGCGGACCGCAAGCTCAAGACGTCGGTCACGGTCCACGAGACCATCCGCGTGAAGAGCGCCGCGTGGGAGGAGAGCGGCGTGCTCATCTACGGCACCCTCAATCACATCAAGTACTGTCTCACGAACGGAGACACGGGGATCATCAAGAGCCTCGACGCGCCGATCTACATCACGCAGGTCACGCGCGGCGTCGTGAACTGCCTCGACCGCGACGGCCAGGCCCGCCAGATCGCCATCGACCCCTCGGAGCACCTCTTCAAGCAGGCCCTCGCCGCCAAGCGGCACGACGTGGTGCTGTCGATGATCAAGTCCGGCGCGCTGTGCGGGTCCGCGATCGTGGCGTACCTGCGCGACAAGGGCTACCCCGAGGTCGCGCTGCACCTCGTCCAGGGCGCGAGCGAGCGCTTCAACCTGGCGGTGGACTGCGGCAACATCGAGGTTGCCATGGCGGCCGCGCACGAGCTCGACACCAAGGACGCGTGGTACCGCCTGGGCGTCGAGGCGCTGCGGCAGGGCAACCACCAGATCGTCGAGTTCTGCTACCAGAAAACCAAGGCCCTCAACCGCCTCTCCTTCCTGTACCTCGTCACGGGCAACCGCGACAAGCTCGGCAAGATGCTGCGCGTCGCGGGTATGCGCGAGGACGTCATGCTGCGGTTCCAGAACGCGCTGTACCTCGGCGACGTCGGCGAGCGCGTCCGCTGCCTCGCGGAGGCCGGTCTGACGCACCTGGCGTATGCGTGTGCGGCGTCGCACGGGCTCGAGGAGGAGGCGAAGCAGCTCGCGGAGGCGCTCGAGGACGCCGGGCTGAGCGTGCCGGAGGTGCCGGAGGACGCGGAGCTCATGCTGCCGCCGCCCCCGGTGCGCACGTGCGCGGAGAACTGGCCGCTGGTGTCGGTGGAGCGGGGGATGTTTGACCAAGACCCCTCCGCGGCGGGCGCCGAGGAGAAGGTCGTGGCCGACGAGGGCGGCGCGACGGACGCGATGGGCGAGGCCGCGGGCGCGTGGGGCGGCGACGACGGCCCGCTGGAGGCCGCGGCGGGGGCGAAGGAGAACGGCGCTGCGCCGGCGGAGGCCGGCGGCGGCGGAGGCGGCTGGGGCGACGAGGACGAGTTCGCCGACATAGCGGGGGGCCTCGAGGACGTGGGCGACGCGTGGGGCGACGACGAGGACCTGGACCTCGACCTCGACGTCGGCGACGCGGGCGGCGCCGCGGCGCCCGCAGCGGGCGCGGCGGGGGGGGTGTTCGTGGTGCCGACGCCCGGCCCGACGGTGGCGATGCGGTGGTCGCAGTCGTGCGGGCTCGCCGGGGAGTTCGCGGCGGCGGGGGACTTCGCGGGCGCGATGCGGCTGCTGAACCGCCAGCTGGGCGTGGTGGACTTTGCTCCGTACGGGAAGCTGATGCTTGATGTGCACCTGGCGTCGTTCGTGCCGGTCGCGGGGCTGCCGTGCACGCCGCCGCTGTCGGTGCAGGTGGAGCACGGCTGGGACGGCGACGCGGCGGCGGAGCCTCCGAAGCGGCCGCGGCTGCCCGCGACGCTGGCGACGCTCGACGCGGCGGTGCGGGCGGCGTACAAGCTGGTGACGGAGGGCAAGTTCCACGACGCGGTGGACAGCTTCGAGCGCGTCCTGCTGCAGGTGACGCTGCTGTCGCTCGACTCGCTCAAGGAGGCGCAGGACGCGGAGGCGATTTTGCGCACGTGCCGCGAATACATCATTGGGCTCAAGTGCGAGCTCAAGCGCAAGGAGGTCGCCGCGGACCCGAAGCGCGCGACGGAGCTGGCCGCGTACTTCACGCACTGCCAGCTGCAGCCCATCCACCAGATGCTCGCGCTGCGGTCGGCAATGACGAGCGCGTTCAAGCTGAAGAACCTCGCCACGAGCGCGACGTTCGCGCGGCGGCTGCTCGAGCTGGGCCCGAGCGAGAAGATGGCGGCGCAGGCGCGGCAGGTGCTCGCGGCGTGCGAGAAGAACCTCGCGGACGAGGTGGACTTGCAGTACGACCCGCGCACGCCGTTCGACGTGTGCGCGGTGACGTGGACGCCGGTGTACCGCGGGAAGAGCAGCGCGACGTGCCCGCTGTCCGGGGCGCGCTTCCAGCCGCAGTGCGCGGGGCAGGTGTCGCCGATTGGCGGCGTGGCGAGGATCGGCGCGGAGGGGACGGGGCTGATCGTTTCACAGGCGCAACTGCGATAGGCGGGGCGCGTGTGAGCCCGCTGCGGAACACGGACCGGGTCGTCGCGCTGGTCTGCTCGCGTTGAGACACCGGCGCTCGCTGACGGAGGCCCCAAATGACAGAGGTTGCATGTCAATGCTGCTGTGCAGGCGAAGGGTCGGGAGGCGCTCGACCGCGACGTGGCGGCTCTGCCGAGGTCTGTCCGGCGCAGCCGCCAGCGGAGGACGCAACGGCCGCGTGCTGCGCGTTCCCCCTCGACGCGCACGTGCGCCCCAGGCCCTTGTTGCAGCAGGGCTCGTGGCGTCGCGCGCGGGGGCGAGTCGGCGCGTCATGTCGCGGCCGAAGTCGGCCGTGCTGTCGCTGTGCATCCCAGCGGTTGCGCGTACCTCGCGATGCGGGCTGCAATCGAGCGGCGCAGGATGACGCACTGCAGTGGCGCCGTACAGCTTACGGCGCGGACAGCCAGGGCGTCGGTTCCCGGGCGCACAACGCCAGCGATGGCGAGTTCCATACGTATCCTGTGCATCAGGCGGCCCGGCGGGCCGGACCAAGCGCCTCGGAGCCACGGGCGCGGAGGACATTGGCGGTCAACAGGGGAGGGTGTTGTTGGAGAGCGCTGGGAGGGCTTCGTCTCGGCGCCTCGCGCGGCGACGTGCGACATCGGACGGTGCTCGTGACTGGAGGTGAGCCGCGACCATCGCTTGCGCGCTGCGCGCCCAGGGAGGGGCCGAGTCTTGGACGCTAGCGACCCATCGGCAGCGCCTCGCGCGCGTGGGCCGTGATGCGTTCTTGTTACGCGCAAATGAGCATTCTTTATGCAGCAATCCACTCGGCGGCCGCACCGTTACCCCGCGTCCGCAGGTCGTCACGCGCGCCCAGTGCGTGGACTTCCTCCCACAGCACTCCGAGCTGTCGGCAGGGCGCCCAGAAGCTCGACTTGGGGCTGCATTCACGCCCGGGGCGCAGAATCTCTGTTCGAGAGGCGAGTTCGCTACCTTGGGCCCCATGAACTGCCGCATATTCGCGCGATATCGCGAAGACTTACCGTGTTGCCTCCGCTCACTTCGCGGCCGACCGACCCCCTCGGACGGGTCTTCCGGGCCAGCGAGCCTCCCCTTACCCGAGGTACCATCACGGCGACAAGACTTGTGTCCCGCGGCGCGATGCCAGCCGCTCCGTATCCTGTGTTTCCTGGCTGCGCTGGCGCCCCATCCAAGGTTGCCCGATGCCAGCCCGCGCAGGCCGGGATCTCATGACCGCTGCCACGGCCTTCCGATGCGATCCTGACGGACGGGCCGCATCCGCTGCTGCAGGCGAGGGCGCGATCGTGACGCGAAGAATGCCGAAGAACAAGAACAAGAACAAGGCCGGCTCGCCCGGGAAGAACGAAACGGGGGGCGAGAAGAAGAGGCAGGACAAGAAGGAGGACATCCCGCGGCCCAAGCCAATCACGGCGATCACCACTCCTAAGGTCGAGCGAGAGCAGAAATGGGTCCCTGACGTCTCCGAGAAGGCACTCAATGCCTGGAACAGAAGGACGTGGCCGTTCCCCGAGGGCGCCATTCCGGCCGACGCCACGGTCGACATCTTCTGGGACATGGACAACGTGCCGATGCTCTGGGGCGCCGGCGCGGTGAAGGACGTCACGCCGCACGACCAGTACACCACCCTGATCAAGGTGCGGGCGTGCGGCCGCTCGCGTCCCTGGGCCTGCCTCGGCCCGCTCCGGGTCGTGGCGCACCTCGGCACGCGTCGTGGGCTGGGCGCCCCGGCGACGCGAGAACTGCGTGGCGCACGTCTGAACGGGCGCAGGTGTTCGGGGACGCGGGGCGCATCAAGAATGTCCGTATCCATGCTGTCATCTCGGAGCGGAACTTCAGTTTCTATGACAAGAAGACCAGGGAAGCGATGCAGAGATTCGTCTCGGGCGTGAACTTCAGAAAGGTCCCGGGCAGCTTTTCGGGCAAGAACGAGAGTGCGCGCGCAGCCCCACGCCTGCACACCCGTTGCATCGGAGCACCGCTTCGTCGAGGGCGGCCCCTTGGCGAAGTGGGCTTCCTTTCGCCACACTCTCTCTGCCGCAACGCAGCAATCTGCCCCTTTTTATTCCACTAGGGTCCAATTAGAATTTCGCCGCCCCCAACCGATGCCTGGTGCCACCCGCCCCCGCAGTCAGCGACCGGTTCCTGTTGGACGCGATGAACGACGTGACGGGTCGCATGCAAGGCGCTGGAAACTGCATTGTGCTGATCAGCGGCGACGCTGACTTCGCTCCCGAGCTCAGGTGCGCTCGTGTGCGTCACGGCGGCGCGGGCCTCTGACGACGTCGACCCTCTGCAACACTCACATCACTCAGACGACTTCCGGGCTCTCCGCAGGCACCTCAGGGCGGTGAAAGGTGCAAACGTTTACCTTCTAGCTCCTGAAATCAAAGCTGACGGCACCAAGCCGCTGAGCAAAGAACTCGCCAGCATTCCTCACTGGGGCCTGGTACGCACAACTGCCGCGGATGGGGACTTCGTTCGGGCCCGATCTCAGCAGCAACGACGCACGCGGGATGAACTGTCCGTGCCCCAAACGTGCTGCCGTGCAGTTCTACAGGCACTTCATGTTCTACCACCTGCACCACAAGATCGTCCGGCCGGACGTCGAGGTGCCGATTAAGCGCAACCAGACAGTCAAGGTCCAGGTCGAGGCGGCGCGCGAGCTGCATGCCGAAGAGATCAGAGCGACCAAGGTGCGCGGCCCGACCCCCGCTCTTCGCTCGAAGCTCAGCATATCCAGCTTTTGCGACCCGTCTGCTGCGGCCCCAGCTCTCACGGCGCCGCTCCCCGGTCTGTTGTTGTTCGCAGATCGACATGTTGATCATCATCGACGCAACGGGATCCATGCGCAAGTATATCGACGCGTGAGCGCCCATCCCCGCGGCTGACCTCGACCGTTCTGTGCTCGCAGCTTCTTCTTCTCGCAGCAATCCGCTCACCGGTTCGGTGTTGACCTCATGTGTGTTGTTCAGCTGCTGCGCACGATTTCGCTGAACTGCGCAGCACGCGTGTTCTGCGGCTTGTTCTCCGCAGGGTCCGCAAGGGCATCAAGGAGGACGTGATAACGGCCTTCAGGAAGCGGTACCCGAGGTCGATCGGCAACGTGCGGTATGGCGTGCTGGCCTACCGGGACGTGACCGACCCGGCCGAGAACAACCTGGCGCACTTCGAGTCCCTGGACTTCACCACCGACGTCGAGAAGGTCGGAGAGTTCCTCGACGGCCTGATCGCGGAGGGTGGAGGCGACGCGGCGGAGGACGTCCTCGGTGCGATGCTGGAGGCGTCCAAGATCAAGAAGGCTGGGCAGGACGGGCGGTTCAGCTGGGAGTCAGAGCACAAGGCAAGCGCCGCACGCTTCTGTCCGCGCATGCGCGTCGCTGCTTGTACTGCCTTGCCATCACGCCCCGCTCAGGCTCCGACAGACACGAACCAGGCCGAACCTTTGCGCTTGCAGATCGTCTACCACGTCTGCGATGCGCCGGCGCACGGGGAGGAGATGCACGACATGCTCAAGCTCTTCGGGACCCCTTGGGACAACTTCTACAAGCGCGTGCCTGAGGGTCGGCGCCCGCCGCTGGAGGAGGCCAAGGACGCCCTGCGCAGCCTGCGCACCATCGGCGTGGAGAAGTACTTCTTCACGCAGCTCCGCGCGGAGAAGTTCACCGCGAAGATGGCGGGCGTCCTGCAGGGCATCGCCAAGGTGCTGGAAGCGGAGGTGCCTCTCGCTGACAACGACCCCTGCGGCGACAGCTGGTTCATCGTGGACGAAGTCAAGCTCGGTGCGCGACCGTGCTCGAAACTCTGCTGCGCAAGTGACTTAGTTGCCTGGTGCTGCCGTTGGCTCTCGCGCGCTGTCGAATCACCCACGACATCACCGCGTCGCTTTGGTCTGCGTGTCGGTGCAGAGAGTGACGAGGAAGCGAAGAACCCGTCGCCGCAGCGGCTCGCGTCTTTGATCGGCAAGCTCGTTGGCGCGACGATGTCCGTCGTCAGCGCTTCGGTCTCGAGCGCGACGACGCGCCGCCTGATGAAGTTCAAGCACAAGAAGTACGACGGGGTCGACGTCGCCGTCGCGAGAACCATGGGGACGCTCGCAACTGTTCCCGAGAGCGATGGCTCCACCGAGGGTGACGACGGACCCACCGACAGCGAAGGCGTGGGTGGGGACGTCAGCTCGCATGGCGACACTCCGAAGGAAGGTGAGTCTGCGAGTCCGAAGGAGTTCGATTGGGGTCACGATCCTCAGCAAGACAAGGCGTGGAAAGCGAAGAAAAAAGAGCTTGCGCAGAAGTTCAACGCCCTCAAGACGCGCCAAAAGGTGAGTGCGAAGTGCCCCTTCCCCGCCATGCCTGCTGGATGTCCGTCGACCCACGCCAGCCGGGCACGACAAAAAGTCATTTCTCGCACGCGCGCCGTGCACAGTGGAGCAATTCGTCACGCGCGCTGCGGCCTGACATCGCCTCTGCATCGCCGCGCGCACACGCAGGTCCACGTGTCCGTCGCGAGGCAGTTCGAGCGCATGGTGAAGGGTGACGATGAGGACTGCCTCCTCAACATGATTCAAGACGGCCAGCTGAGCTTCATGGACAATTCGGGGATCGAGGACGCAGCCGACTTCGAACGAACGTACAAGATCAGGGAGAACCCGTTCGCGTTCGGGAGCTTCAAGGCAGCCTTCCTCGCGCAGGAGCAGTTGATGCCCGGCGCGAGAGTGGCGCGGTTCGACCCCATGGGGAACAAAGAGATCCTGTCCACCTCCGCCCACAATAAGAAGCCCCTGATCGTCCTCAAGGAGTACCAGGCAAGATCCCCCAAAGAGAGCCCCCCGTTCTTTGATTACTGTGATGCCTGCTGGATGCCACCTTGAATTGAGGCGTGCCATAAGCCCCATAAGCCGAGCAGTGTATCTGTTTCTGTTTCATTTTCTGATTCAAGATCGATGTCTTCCCATGTATGTATGCCAACGCCTCGTCGCCCAGCTGCGCCCCGGATGTCGTGCAGACGGTCGGCGCCGGGGAGAACTCCGCCAGGCGCTACAAGCAGGAGCTGGGTGCCGCGGCTGCCGCCCGCGCCCTGGCCATTGACTTCAACAGGGTTCTCGCGGAGGCGCAGCCCGGCGTCAAGCACAAGACGCTGAGCTTCATGCAGCCATCGTTCGTCTTCTTCCAGAAGAAGCTGTCCAACGGCAGCGCGCAGCAGATCTTCATGCTGCAGGAGCCGCTCGTGGAGGGCAAGTTCATCAAGTGGTCCTCCAACGCCGGTGAGCGTCGCTCGCGCCACCCCACGCATCGCTCGCCGCGCGCCCCCTGCATTACCCCCCCAGGCCGACTCGCGACCCGCCTGTCCGTCGACCAACGCACAGGGTACATCAACACCGCCGAATGGGACGCCATCGCGCACGCCTTCACCCACTGGACGTACCACTACACCGACCACGAGCTGATGGTGACGGACATCCAGGGCGTGCGCATCGGCAAGGGCAAGGCGCTGGTGCTGACGGACCCGGCCATCCACTGCAAGTCGCACCCGGACCTGTACTCCGCGGACGCCGCGCAGTTCGGTCTCGCGGGGATGAAGGCGTTCTTCCAGAGCCACACGTGCAACGAGCTGTGCAAGGCGCTGGAGCTGCCGGACGCGGAGGAGGAGCTGGACGACATCACGTACGAGCTCGACATGGACTGCTTCGAGCACGAGACCGGCGTCAGGCTCGACGGAGACCAGGCAGACGGTGGGCCGGGCGAGGCGGAGTCGAGCGCGCACGTGCAGTGAACGAGCTGCGATCGGAGCAAACAGATTTCAAGGATTCAAGTTGCTTCCTAACTTGCACGACTACCCGCGTTTGCTGCGCGCGTGCCCGGACTGCCCGGTCTCGTGCACCGGCTGAAGCGCGACTGGCACCGTGCTCGAGCGCCGCGGATCTCCCCCCAACACCGCACCAAGGTAGAAAAACCACACTTATGTGACCCCATCGCTTCGTGGCCCATGGATCCGACGAACACGCTCCTGCAACCAGCACTGTGCGACGGACTGGCTCTGTGAGCTTCCTCGGGGGCGCACGTCGCAGCGAAGCTTCTAGGCCATTGCCCCACGGCCTGCATGCCTTCGCCACGCGTCAAGCAGACAGAGGCGCGGGGAAGGGGGCGGCAGCGGCGCGGTACGTGGACCGTCCGTCGCACGCACGCAGCCCTGGCACAGCGCAAGGTCCGAGCCCGAATGGCGTTCGAACAGCGCCTCTGTTGCTCGCAGCGTCCATGTAGTCACCCTCGAAGCCCACGCTTCGCAGGTGGGAGACAGGGCCGAAACCCGCCACGTATGGGCGCTTCCATGTATGCGAGGCCCCCGACGAGCGTGGGAAGGCCGGCAACGTCGTCTGTCGCGTCGCTGCTCTCCGTCGGTCGCAGCGAGCGGTCGGGCTGGAGTGAGGCCCGTAGCAGCGCGGCGCTAGGCCTCCGCTGGGTGTCATGGACCAGGGCGCTCGTACATGAAGGTTACATCCTCGTGAGTGCCGAAGCTCAGTCGCGGAAGGTTAGGTTGCGCCGTATTGCCGCGCGAGCTTGCTCTTATCCTCCGGCATCAATCCGCAGCTCCCGCCGACTCTCATCTGGCCACCTCACCGCAAGCTGCCGCGCATCCCACTGAACATCGTGTGGAGTCTCTGCCGGCATTCTTGGGAGTGCGGAGTATCGCTGTGCAGGCCGTCTCGGGGCATCTTGAGGAGGGCCTTGGGTGCCGGCTGTGCGGACATTGCGACCAACGTACGCGACAACCACTCCTTTGAAGACCATCTACGTGCTGTATGCCCCCTTTGCGTCGTTTTTGGGCTCCACCGAGAGCTCGTGCGCCGCTGTTGGTCATGGTCCTGTCCACGCTGCACACATGCGCATCGCGGCGCTAGTCCGCGCGTTCGTGTCCGATTTGCAACTTGGACCGATTATCAACGGGGAGAGCTGACCTGCTTCCACACCGCGTCGTGATGCAGACCCGCCATGCCCGCCGACAGAGGTGGGAGAGGCAGCCGCGGGCGCGGCAGAGGTCGAGGACAGCAGGCTGACGGCAGGGGTCGCGGGCCGCAGACCAACGGGAAGGGCGCGACGGAGGAACCCGGGAAGCCCGCGCTGCAGTACCCACGGCTGGAAGACAAGAAACAGAAAGGCCTGGCGCGTCTCCCTGACGAGGAGTGGAAGAAGTGGCTGGGGCAAAAGCGCTGGTTCCCGTTCCCCACGGGGAGCGTGTCGAGCGACCGCTGCTGCGACATCTTCTGGGACATGGACAACGTGCCCGTCCTGTGGGGCGGCGCCTTCGAAGACATCACCCCCCGCGACCAGTACGAGGTGTTGAAGAAGGTGCGTGGCCGCGACGGGGGCTGTCCTGCACATGTCGTGACAGTTATGGGCGCGCTGCGTGCGTCCGGTGACCCGTGGGACGCGCCTGGAGCGATGTTGACCGTTGTGTACGTAGGGGGCGTGCGCAAGACAGCTCGAGCTCACCCCGCTTCGCGTTTCGCGTGCGATCAGGTCTTCGGCGACAGCGGTCGGATCCCAAACGTGGCGGTTCACGTGGTGATCTCCGAGCACAAGCTCCAGGCGTACGACACAGCAACCAGAGAGGGCATCATGAAGACCAGCCAGGGCGTCGGTGTGCACCCCGTGCTGGGAAAATGGAAGGGCAAGAACGAAGGTGAGGCCGAGCAGTGGCTGCACCCGGGGGCCCTGCCTGTCGCGCAGCCCAGAGCGCGCAACTGGCTCACTTTGCACGCAAGACTCTCTTTCCCGGTCGCCTGCAGTGGCTGACACGGTGATCATCGACAAGATGACCCAGGTCACGAACCGCATGCAAGGAGAGGGCAATCTGATCGTTCTCATCTCGGGCGACAACGATTTCAGCGAGCAGCTGCGCATTGCCCGTCGGCGCGACGCCAACATCTTCCTGCTGGGGCCGCAGCCCGACCCGATCACGGGACGATCGTGCCTGAGCGGCGAGCTCGCGACGCTCCCGCAGTGGTTCCAGTACTACGAGCCGTTCATGAAGTTCCACCTGCGCGAGAAGCTCCTCAGTCGCACAACCATCAAGCGCACACCGAAGAAGCTCCGCACGCTGAAGACACAGACGGAGGCGCTCCGCGAGCTCAGGCACGACGAGAGCAACGCAACCAAGATCGACATGCTGATCATGATTGACGCGACGGCATCGATGCACAAGTACATCGACGCAGTGAAGACAGCCATCGCCGAGGACGTCGTCACCGCCATCAGGAGACGGTACCCCAGCTCGGTCGGGAACGTTCGATACGGTATCTTGGCGTACCGGGACTTGAAGGATGAAGAGAACGGGCTGAAGCAATTCGAGGTCCTTGACTTCACGACCAACGTAACGCGCGTGTCCGAGTTCCTCGCGGATCTGAGGGCGCAAGGCGGCGGCGACGTGGCCGAGGACGTCGTCGGCGCGATGATCCTGGCAGCCAAGAGCAAGGAGGACGGAGGCTTGCTCAGCTGGGAGCAGGAGCACAAGGCGAGATCCGGATCAGCCAAACAAACGCGCTGTCTCGAGCTTGTATGAACGCGATTGTCCGTCCGCAGCGAACGGTTCTGCCCCTCTTCGCTGCGCCGCAGGTTGTGTACCACGTCTGCGACGCCCCGGCGCACGGCGCCCAACTGAATAACTTGTCAGATCTTTTCCCGCTGCTCGCGAACCTTGACGACTACGAGTTCACGCCTCCTCCTGGTCGGGGCCTTCCCCTCGGCGAGGCCGAGCAGGCTCTGCGCGACCTGCGGCAGCGCGGCGTCGAGAAGTACTTTTTCACCCAGCTCGACCCGCGGCAGACGAAGAAGATGGCCGGGGTGCTCGACAGCACCAGCAAGGCGATCGACGGCGAGGTGCCTGACGGCGACGCGTGGTTCATACCCGACACTCTCGAGCTCGGTGAGTCTCAGCAGCGGCGTACTACACAGCGTGCAGGGTGTTGCTCATGTTAGAGACGCGTGCCAGCGAGCTCGTCAACGATGCAGTCGCTCTGACGCCCAAGGAGCGCTGCGGTCCCCCGCAGGCGACGAGGACAAGGACAATCCGTCCGCGCAGAGGCTCTCGGCCCTTGTTGGCAAACTTGTAGGTGCAACGATGTCCGTAATGAGCGCGTCTGTGTCGCGCGCGACCGCCCAGCGCCGCATGCCGGTGAAGGACAGGAAATACGAGGACTTCGACAATCTGGGCGCGGTCCCAGAAGACGCGGGTGAGGGCGCGTCGGGTGCGGGGGGCGAAAGCGGGAACGCGGAGGATATCAAGCCCGAGGAGAACGTCGGGGGGAACTTTGACTGGGGCCACGACGCCGCGGCGCAGAAGAAGTGGAGGGCCATGCGCGCAAACCTCAACCAAAAGTTCAGGAGGATCAAATTTCCGCAGGCGGTGCGCTCTCCTGTCACAGCTCCTACGCATTTGCGGGGCACCGCTGCGTGGCGTTCCACGCAAGGACGCAGGTCGATTCTAGCGCCGACAGGAATCCACGACCCTTCTGCGGCGCACCTCACCTCACACGCGACGTGCTGATGCATGCACGCGCTGCAGCACAACCCGCGTTTCCGTGGTGTCGCGTGCGCAGGTGCAAGTGTCTGTGGCCAGGCAGTTCGAGGGCAAGGTGCACGGCGATGATCCGGGTTGCCTGCTCAACATGGTCAAGCAAGGCATGGTCATTTTCGTCGACGGCTCAGCCATCAAGGACCCCCACGACTTGGAGCGCGAGTACAAGATCCAGGTCAACCCGTTTGACAAAGGGAAGTTCAAAGCGGCCTTCCTAGCGCAAGAACAGATCCCTCCGGGTAAGGTGGTCAACCGCTTCGACCCCTCGGGCGAGATCAAAGTCATCGATGGCTTCAAAGTCCAGGGGAAGCGCCTCCTCGTCCTCAAGGAATACCTGGTGAGTCGAAACCTGTTGTAGTCAGATACTCTCGGTCCCAGCGTTGCGTCTCAGTCGTTTCCCTCCCCGCTCATGGAAACGCAGACCGTCGGCGCTGGGGAGAACTCTGCAAAGCGCTACAAGCAGGAGATCGGCGCCGCCGCTGCCGCCCGCGCCCTCGCCATCGACTTCAACCAAGCTCTCGCGGAGGCGCAGCCCGGCGTCACGCACAAGACGCTCAAGTACATGCAGTCGTGCATGGTGGCATGGCAAAAAAAGCAGTCCAACGGCAGCGCGCAGCAGATCTTCATGCTCGAGGAGCCGCTCCTAGAGGGCAGCTTCATCAAGTGGTCCTCCAACGCCGGTGAGCGTCGCTCGCGCCGCGCCCCGCATCGCTCGCCGCGCGCCCCCTGCATTACCCCCCCAGCCGACTCGCGACCCGCCTATCCGTCGACCAACGCGCAGGATACATCAACACCGCCGAATGGGACGCCATCGCGCACGCCTTCACCCACTGGACGTACCACTACACCGACCACGAGCTGATGGTTGTGGACATCCAGGGCGTGCGCATCGGGAAGGGCACGGCGCTGGTACTGACGGACCCGGAAATCCACTGCAAGTCGCACCCCGAGCTGTACAGTCCGGAGCGTTCCGAGTTCGGTCTCGCGGGGATGGCGGCTTTCTTCCGGAGTCACGACTGCAACGAGCTGTGCAAGGCGCTGGAGCTGCCGGACGCGGAGAAAGAGCGCAAGGAGATCATGCAGGAGCTTGAGGAGGACTGCTTCGAGTACGAGACCGGCGTGCCACTCGACGAATCGTGAGAGAAAAGAAGGCAGAGACATTGCAACACGAAATTCGCTTCATCGGAGCCACCAGCGGACAGGCGGAGTCGCGGATCGCGCTGCAAAACACCCCATTGGACGCACCTGGCGGTGGCGCAGCGACTCCGTCCCGCTGCGTCCCGGCCCCGCAGCTGCTGTGATAAAACACCCCCGTTGTTCGACATGCTCCGCTGCGGCCCTTGCGAGGTGGTTTCGCCCGCCTGCGCGTGATTCCCGCGACGGCACGTCGACCGGGGGCGATGCCCGCTGCTCTCTCATTCTCAGCGGCCGCGGGGGGTGTCAGCATGACGTGGCGGGGGCGTGTACGCATGCGCCCCCCCGCGAGCGGAGATTCCCCGCCGACATGGGCGGCGGACGACGCACGCTGCGGCGACAGCGTGCCTCCGACGACCAAGGATCGGCAGCACAGCGTGGGCCGCCGAGAGACCCTGGAATTGTGCGCCGCGAGTCGAGGAAGCTCAAGTAACTGATCGACAGCGTGTCCATAGCAGCACCCTCGAGGCCGCAGGAAGCATGGCGGTGGCGGGCGGGGCGTCTAGTGTGTGGAAGGCGGTGGCGGTGCGTGTGTTTCGCGCGATGGACGCGTCAGCCGACGGCTGGAGCCGCTGGCCGTTGCACGGCCGCTCGCCGTTCGGCGGCGAGCTCCCGCAGTGCGTTGTTCAGCATGCCCTGTTGCTTGCGAGGCACCGGTCGGCATTGGTTGCATGTAGACGACAGTTTCTGGGATCGAAAGCGTTCCACTTCGCAGCCGGTTGCGCTCCAGCCGCCGCCCTGTCCCTGCAATGCTGAACTCCTCCCGACAGCGCCGTCCCCGTGCAAGCAGCAACCATGTTTTGCCGCGCATTGATCGTACACTCGACTGAACATCACGTCTCCGTCGCGGAACCGTGCGCATTCTCCGCTCCGGCGAGGGCGCGTTGACCAACCTCTGGCAATGTTCCCACGGCGCTCACAGGCCAAGACGGCGATCATCAGCGGCGGCATCCTCGCCCTGGGATACGCCGCGTACAAGAACCAGGACGCGCTGACGGAGGCGTCGTTCGAAGTCGCCTCCGCGTCGGGGCCCCTCATCCGCCTCCTGGACCCAGAAACTGCACACAACTTGGGCATCTGGTTCTTCAAGTACGGCCTCGCGCCGATCGAAACGCGCCCAGACCCCCCCTCGCTGCGAACCAAGGTGACGCCCGACCCCCGCGCACCTGCACCCCACATACGACCTCAGCGATTCACGACAGATACCTGTACGATATCTCTCGCCGCGGATTCCCCGCTGAGACGAGCGCGCGGACCGCCTGCCGCGCGGCCCCGCCGTGCAGGTGTGGGGCCGGGACTTCACGAACCCGCTGGGCCTCGCGGCCGGCTTCGACAAGAACGCCGAGTGCCCCGAGACGATGCTGAACATGGGGTTCGGGTTCGTGGAGGTGGGCACCATCACGCCGCAGGGGCAGCCGGGGAACCCGAAGCCGCGGATGTTCCGGCTCGCGGACCTGGGCGGCGTGATCAACCGGTACGGGTTCAACAACGAGGGCGCGGATGCAGCAGAGGCGCGGCTGGCGGCGGTGAGCGAGCTGCGGCGGCACTCGGCGTTCGTGAACAGCGTCGGGCCGGACGACGCGCGGCTGTGGATCAACATCGGGAAGAACAAGACGACCGAGGACGCCGCGGCGGACTACTGCATCGGCGTCGAGAAGCTCGCTAAGTGAGTGCGGGGACACCGGTGCCTGGCTGCGCTCGAACGGAGCCGCACGCAGCTTGCGTCGCCTCTCTTGGAGGCTGCATGGTATGGTTGGAAGAGCCGGGAGCTGCAGGTTGTGGGCTCCTGACGGACGTGTGTTGAAACTCCCCCCCCCCTGCAGGTACGCGGACGCGCTGGTGGTGAACGTGTCGTCCCCGAACACCCCGGGCCTGCGGACCCTGCAGGACAAGAAGCCTCTGCAGGACCTCATTCGCCGCGTCAAGGCGACCCGGGACTCCCTCCAGTGGGGTCCGCGGGGACCCCCCCCCGTGCTGGTCAAGGTCGCGCCGGACCTCGTGGACGACGACAAGCGCAACGTCGCATCCGTCCTGCTCGCCGAGGGCGTCGACGGCCTCGTGGTCTCCAACACCACCATCGAACGCCCCCCCGACGTCGCCGCACACCAGCACGGCAAAGAGGCGGGGGGACTGTCGGGCAAGCCGCTCTTCGCCATGTCCACCAAGGTCCTCGGCGAGATGTACCAGCTCACGCAGGGCAAGATCCCGCTCGTCGGCGTCGGCGGCGTATCGTCCGGGGCGGACGCGTACGCCAAGATCCGCGCGGGGGCGTCCCTGGTGGAGCTGTACACCGCGCTGGCGTACGAGGGCCCCGTGCTCGTGCCGCGGATCAAGCGCGAGCTCGCCGAGTGCCTGGAGCGCGACGGCTTCGCGGCTGTGGGCGACGCCGTCGGCGCTGACTTTCCAGCCATCAAACCCTCGTCCGGCGCGCCCCCGACGGCCGGGCGGACGTGGTTCGGCAGAGCGTCTGCCCGCTGACGCGCGGCTTACGCCCGCGCCGCACGCCACCACGACCCGAGGTCGCCAGGCGCAAATAATTGGCCTTCCCAACCACGGCATGTAAACCAGGCGCCGCACACCGCCTCCCTGCCAAGCTCACACACTGCGCTCCGCGTCGAGCGGCCCCGCGCCCGCCGCATCACGGCAGGCGGTCGAGCACGTTCTTCACCGCGCGCTTCATCTCCGGCAGCTGCATGTCGGTCTTGACGTGGATCTCCTGCATCGCCACGCCCGCGCGCGCCACCACGTTCCACCCGTCCTCGACCACCTCCTTCGTGATCCACACCTGCAGATCCTGGCTCACGACGCGCTCGTTCACCGCCATGCGCCCCAGCCCCACCCCCGTCACGCCGGGCTCGTTCAGCAGCTCCTTGCAAATCAACCCGATGCCCTCGAGGCCCTCGGTGTCCTCCGAGAGGAAGAACTCCGACGCGCGCGTCTGCACGTCGTCGCCCGTGATCGGCAGGAGGTCCTCGATCGTTCCCCGCACCGGGTCGTTGGTCAGCTGCTTGACCGACAGCGAGATGCGGCCCCGCTCCGTGTCCACGCCCACGACCTGCAGCGCACAGTGTGGATCGACGCCGGCTGAGAGCCCGACGGCGACGCGCGGGGCGAAAGCAAGGACGTGGCGCGTGTGCGCGACTGGTTCAAAGAAGTTCGTGCGTGTAAATATGTGTGCGGTGGTGTGCTTGCCTTGACGGTGATGGTCTGGCCCTCCTGGACGACGTCCGCGGGGCTCGAGACGCGCGCCCAGCTGAGCTCGCTGATGTGCGCCAGCCCCTCCACGCCGTGGAACCGCCCGTCCTTGTCGCGCAGGGCAACAAAGGCGCCAAAGTCGACCAGGCCCGACACGACGCCGTCCATGACGGCGCCGACCTCGATGCCCGCGACGGCCTTCTGCATCAGGCTCGCGCGCTCGGACAGCACGATGTCCTTGTTCGGCACGTCGACGCGAATGATCTTGGCCTGGATGGTGTCCCCGACGATGCCGGCCACGCAGGCCTCCTTGATGTCGTCGCGGTCGGTCGTGGGGGGCAGGCGGGTGGAGTCGAGGAGCGAGAAGGGGATGAAGCCGTCGAGGGACCCGATGCTGACCACGACGCCGCCGTGGTTGCACCGCTGCACTTGGTAATCGGCCGACTCGCCCGCCTTGAAGCGCTTCAGGACCAGCTCCCACGACTCCTCCTCCGACAGAGCGCTCTCCTGCGTACACGAAGCGCGCGAAGGGGGCACGTTGCGGTCTCGCGCAGATAGTGCCGGTCCAGCTCATCGGCAGGTTTGGCCCGCGTGGCGCGGGTGTGCGCGACGGACGGCCTTGCAACGGCCGGCCACGCTCTGGGGCTCTCGTGCGGTGCGGCGGCGGATTGGTGGTTTCGAGCGACGGGGAGGCGCGGTGGCGGGAGCGGCGCCCTTGCTGCGTGGGTGAGTTGCGTCGTGCGGACCTTCAGGATGCGGCTCGGGGCCGCGGGGCGCTTGGGAGCGGCGTTACAGCGCATGACGCGCTGGCCGGCGCGCGCTCGCGCGGACACCGCGGCGCGAGCGGTCCGCGCGCGTGGGGCAATGGCGCGGCGCGTGGGGAGCGCCGAGGAGCCCGCGGCGACGTTCGACGCGGCCAGGGAGGCGTTCATGGTGCTCTACACGAGTACGCGGCCTTGGAGGCTGGGAGGGCGGAGCGGCGGATCACTGTCGGGTCCCCGGGGACGCGCGGAGGTTGTGCGCAAGGATATGCTGGGAGCGTCGCGGGGGCAGGTTCCGGCGTTCACGCGGGCGATGCCTGGCCGCGACCTTGACGGTGAAATCGAAATGCCCACGTGCCGGCTCGAGAGGCGGCCATGGGCCCTGTCGGGGCGAGTCGGGCCGAGCTGAATCACAGGGGGAGGTCGCGGGCGCCGCGTTGCACGTCGACATCAGGGCGCGCGAGGCGGCCCGGCTGCTCATTCGCTCGCTGTCTCTCCCGCGTGGTCAGCTTGAGCGCCACTGACCGAGGGCGGCGCCGGCCAGCCTGTTTCTGCGGTTATGAGGCTGCAGTGCAGCAGGCGGATCGCGGTCGCTGCGAGACTGGTCAGGATGGCGCGGACGCCGACGTCGAAGACGGCCGCTGCCCCCAAGGCCCCCGGCCTGCGTCGCACCCCGAGCCAGGACGGCCCCGCGAGGGCACAGAGCGCTGGCAAGCGGACGCTGACGACGTCCCAGGCCGCGACGGCCACCCAGGTGCGACGATACACGCGTGCCTGGAAGCGCAGTCTCGGTGACGTCGACGCTGACTCACGGGCCGATGTACACGGAAGAGATCGATGGATGGCGCGGCAGCAACTGCGGGCTTGGGCTCTGGGTGCTGACTTCTCGCCGTTGCTGCGCGCCGCCCCGCGATCTTGCGCGAAATGTGTGCGCGTCCGGTAGAGTTCATCAGCGACATGCCTGGGGTTGCGCGCAGGAGGCGATTCCGGCGGAGGTGGGGGGCCTGTACGAGGGCGCGATGCCCAAGGCTGAGATTGGCGCGCTGAAGCTCATCGAGCGCAACGCGAGGTGGGACGGCCGCGGCACGATCGTCGCGATCTTCGACTCCGGCGTCGATCCTGCCGCCGCGGGGCTCCAGGCAAGACTTTTATACCCCCCCCTCCACATCATGCATCACCTCTCTCGCCCCAGGGCGTTCGCCCGCGATGCAACCACGTCGGTCCGCCTCAACCGCGCTCCGATCGGCACGGCGCAGGTCACGAGCGATGGGAAGCCGAAGGTCATCGACATCATCGACTGCACGGGTTCCGGCGACGTCGACACCTCCCAGGTCGTGCAGGCGGACAAGGACGGCGTCATCGAGGGCGCGAGCGGGCGGAAAATGAAGGTCAACCCAGACTGGGACAACCCGAGCGGCGAGTGGCGCGTCGGCTGCCGCCGGCTGTTCGATTTCATGACGTCGTCGCTCATCAACCGCCTCAAGCGGGAGCGCGCGAAGGCGTTCGACGAGGCGCAGCGCGCGGCGGTGGCGGCCGCGGGGAAGGCCCTCGCGGACTTCGACCGCGAGAACCCCTCCCCTGACACGGAGGGGGGCAAACGGAGGGAGGAGCTGGAGGCGCGAGTGAAGCTGCTGACGGAGCTGGCGGAGAAGCGGAAGGACCTGGGGCCGATGGTGGAGTTCGTGGTGTGGAAGGACGGCGAGGGGTGCTGGCAGGGCGCGGTCGACACGGCCGACCTGTACGCGGAGGGGTCTGGCGAGGGGGCCCTGGGGGACTTTTCTCCCATGACGGACTTCGACGTGAAGCGCCAGTGGGCGGTCTTCTCCCCGACGGACTCGTGCACGTTCGGGTTCCACTTCTACCAGGACGGCGACGTCCTCTCCGTCGTCACCGACTGCTCCCCGCACGGCACGCATGTCGCGGGCATCACCGCCGCCTACCACCCGGAGGACCCCGCGCTGAACGGCGTGGCGCCGGGGGCGCAGATCATCTCGTGCAAGATCGGCGACGGCCGCCTGGGGTCGATGGAGACGGGCCCCGGCCTCACGCGTGCCATCGCAGCATGTATCAAACACAAGTGCGATTTGATCAATATGTCGTACGGGGAGGCGACGCGGACGCCGGACGCGGGGCGCTTCGTGGACCTGGCGAACGAGGTCGTGAACAAGCACGGCGTGCTGTTCGTGTCGAGCGCCGGGAACGCCGGGCCGGCCCTGACCACGGTGGGAGCCCCCGGGGGGACTTCGTCGGCGATCATCTCGGTCGGGGCGTACGTGACGACGGACCTCGCGCAGACGGGGCACAGCGTCAGGTGCGTCGCGCTCGCGAGGGCGCGCGGCTGGTGCGCGCGCTCGCTCGCAAGACGTGGTCGGTTGCGTTGCGCTGAGCTCAAGGTTTCTCGATCGCGCGTGGATCGTTGCGCTGCAGGGGCGACAGTCCGGGCGACCAGCAGTACACGTGGTCGTCCCGCGGCCCGACCTCCGACGGCTACCCGGGCGTCACTCTGTCGGCCCCCGGCGGCGCGATCGCCCCCGTGCCGCAGTGGACCACCCAGAAGCGCCAGCTGATGAACGGCACCTCGATGGCGTCCCCGTCGGCTTGCGGAGGTGCGCACAGACCCATACGTACGAGCGCGTGTTCGGCACGGACGTCCTCAATGACCGCAGGATCACAAGCACCATTTGCCATCATAGTAGAAATAAATACATATGTTGTCGCCACCTCGAGCTGAAGGTCTTGGGGCCTGATTGTCGCTCTCCGCAGGCATCGCGCTCGTGCTGTCGGCGCTGAAGGACCTGGACATCGCGCGCGACCCCCCGCGCGTCCGCCTGGCCCTCGAGAACACGTGTCGCCCCCTCGGCGACGAGGAGGTGGGGCCGTGGGTCCTGACGTCGGGCCGCGGGCTCATCCAGTGCGACGCCGCGGTCGAGTACCTCGAGAAGTCCTCCAACATCCCCTTCGGCGACCTCCGCTACGACGTCCACGTGACTGCGTCAGGGTCCTCTGCGCGCACGCGGGGGTTGTACCTCCGGGACCCCCCCACGCACGCCTCGAAGCTCCAGGCCACCGTCTCCGTGACACCCGCCCTCCACGACTCCTCGGACGTCGCCACGGAGCGCTGCAACGTCGAGGAGCGCCTCGAGCTGGTGACAACTGCCCCTTGGGTGCACGCGCCCTCCAAGCTCCTGCTCCACCACCTCGGGCGGGTGTTCAACGTCGAGGTCGACCCGACCGCGCTCGCGCCCGGGGTGCACTACGCGGAGATCCACGCGTACGACGCCGCGGCGCGCTGGCGCGGCCCGCTGTTCCGCGTCCCCGTGACGGTGACGCGCGGCGAGCGCCCGGACCCGCCCCCGTTCATCGACCTGGGGGAGTTCGCGTTCGAGGCCGGGACGGAGGTGCGGCGCTTCGTGGAGGTCCCGCAGGGCGCCACGTGGGCGGAAGTGCGCTTCGAGAGCGTCGAGTCGGACGTGCCGCTCAACTACATGCTCCGCGCGACGCACCTGATGCCGCAGCAGCGGTACTCCGACACGGAGGCGCGGTCGTTCGTGAGCCTCGAGCCGCACTCGCAGCACGCGCTGCACCTCCCGCTGTCGGGCGGCACCACGATGGAGATCACCATGAGTCAGTTCTGGACGGCGCTGGGCAGGTCCAAGCTGCGGTGCTCCGTCGACTTCCACGCGATCACGTGCCCGCCGCAGGTCCACATCGACGGCGCCGTCGGCGTGCGGCCCGTCGACCTGTGGGCCCCGCTGCGCCCCGAGGCCGTCTCTCCCGACGCCAAGCTGGCCACGGTGCGCATTCCGGTGACGCCGCACGCGTCGCGGATCGTGCCGTCGCCGGACGCCCGCGACGAGCTCCCCGAGGGACGCACGATCCACCTGATGCAGCTCGACTACAAGCTCAAGCTCACCGAGGCCGGAAAAGTGACGCCGCGCATCCCGATGATCAACGCCCACGTGTACGACGCGGTCTTCGAGGGGCAGATGTACTTCCTGCGCGACAAGAACGGCCGGCGGGTCGCGACCGGGGACCTGTACCCCGAGCCCGTCGACCTCAAGGCGGGGGACTATACCCTGACGCTGCAGCTCCGGGATGAGTCGGTCGACGTGCTCTCCGCGTGGGAGGACACGACGGTTGTCTTCGAGCGCGCTCTCGCCGCGCCGATCGAGGTGCCGTGCTACGCGAGCATGGCCAACGCCGTCAACGCGAAGCCGGCCTTCAAGGGCCGCACGCTGGCGCGCGGCGAACGCGCGAGGGTCTTCCTGGGGCCTGTGCCCGCCGACAAGCTTCCCAAGGACGCGACGCCTGGCTCGGTGCTCGCCGGGACGGTCGCGTGGGGCACCAAGGGCTCCACGAAGGGCGGCGGCGGCGGAGGGGCGTGCGCGGACCGGCGGCAGCTGTCGATGACGGTGGGGCCCAAGAAGCAGCCGAAGAAGAAGGATGAGGCGAAGAAGACGGACGAGGAGAAGAGCAAGGAGCAGGAGATGATCAAGAAGGCCATCGCGCTCCTGGGCAAGCTGGACCGGGAGGAGGCGGGCCAGAAGAAGTTGTTTGATGCGTTGGTGAAGGGTCTGGCCGAGGGCGACGACGCGCTGGCGGCTGCGAGCGAGGTGCTCAAGGCGAAGGAGGCGGACGTCGCGGACGAGGCGAAGCGGACGCCGCAGGCGCACCGCGCGGTGGTGGAGGCTGCGGAGGCGGTGCGCAAGTGCTGCGACGAGGCGGCCATGGCGGCGTTCGCGGCGCGGAAGAACTCCGACGACGAGACCGAAGACGAGAAGAAGCACGCGGAGAAGATGGCCGAGCAGACCAAGGCGTACGTCACGGCCTGCGAGGCCGAGGTGCGCGCGCTGCTGGAGCTGCACCCCGACGCGCCGAAGAAGGCCGCGGGCGCCGACAAGGACCCCGAGGACCCCGTGCGCGCGGCGTGGAAGCGGCTGCGCGCGTGGGCGGACACGAGCGACGCGAAGTACGCCGTGCTGAACGCCAGGGTGGAGAAGCGCGCGGGCAACACTGCCAAGGCGGTCAAGGCGCTGGAGAAGGTGACGGGCGGCGGGGACGAGCCGCCGACGAAGGAGGCGCTGGAGCTGCGCGCGGAGCTGTTCGAGAAGCTCGGGTGGCAGCACTGGGCGCGCGCGGAGAGGAGCCAGAAGCTGGCGTGCTTCCCGCCGACGCCGGACCTGTTCTGAGGGCCGCGAACTCGTTGAGAGCGAATCGAACAACATCAGCGATGTGATCCGGCATCTCTCTCTCGGCTCGGTCGCTGCCCTCCCCTTCCAGTGCAGTCCAGAAGCGCCCGCCCACTGACGCAGGTGCGTCGCAGCTCAAATAGGCCCCACAAGCTTCGCTGCATCACCACCTGTCGCCGCCCTCTCCTGCCGCGTGCCCCCTCCCGAGCGACCCGCACGTCCGCCAGCTCGCAGCCACCGCGTCACACGGCACCGTCACGGCTCCGACGGTCGCACGCGGTTCGCCCGCCAATTCTCCCCCCCCATTGCGTCAACTTCGGCATCCAACCGCTTGTTGCCCTTCGCGGACCCCGCCTCGCGCTTGGTGCGCTCCGCGACCTTGCGCGCCTCCTTCAGGTCCCGCTCGCTCGTCCCCGTGAACGCGGCCGGCGCAGGCCCGCCGCCGCCGTCGGCAGCGCTGGGAGTCGGCGCTCCGTCCGCGCCGGCGGCGTCGGGCGCCTGGGCGCGCTGCGCGCTCGCCTGCTCCACGCGCGCCACGTACGCCTGCTGCATCGCCGCTCGCCGCTCCAGCGCCGCGCGCCGCTCGCTGCAAATACGATTCGAAGGATTCCTTGTCGCGCCTGTCACCATTTTCATATATGTATTCATCTAGCTATTTATATTTATAGCGCCCGCAGCGACAGACATGGGCGTTTCGCGCGCGTGCGGCTTCGACATCACCTTGCGTTGTACCTCAGGGCCCCGTATGTGCTGAGGCCCATGAAGACAACAGATCCGATCGCAAACAGATACCGGAAGCGCTTGTTGTCGTACGCCTTGTTGTCCTCGACCCAGCGGAACAGCCACACCAGGCCCAGCACGACGGGGAGCAGCATCACGCCGAGCGCTGCGTCGCAGGCACGCGGGACGCGCACGTAGTTCGCGCACCTAGTTGTGCCGCCGTGACGGACCGCTCCGACAGGAAGGGGCCGCGGACGCCCACGAGGGCGTGCGATCACGAGCAGTGGGTGAGAGCGGTGCAGGTTGCTGATCGGCGCTGGAGGCGCTGGGGTGGTGTGGCGCACCAGGGGAGGGGTGGATTGGCCAGCCGAAGGCGCGCGCGCAGGCCGCTGCGACGCCGGCGCCGAGGCCGAGCTGCAGCATCTTGATGACGGCGACGAGCGAGAAGGCCCAGAGGGGGTTGGTGACGACGCGCGGCAGGGCCTTGGCTTTGCCGTAACCACCTGCACGGACTCGCGTCCCACGACGATGACTGGGCGGTTTGTATTGCCGCGAGCGAAGAACCAGTCGACGAGAGAGGGGCGAGACCTGCCTCGCGCACCCTCGAGGGCGGGAAAAGCGCGCTGCGGCTCCAAAGCATGCAGCCGCAGGAGTGCGAGCAAGACGCCGTGCGTCTGTGCGTGCTGCGCGTGAATATCGGGACCCAGGACGTCCGCCTCGTCTTTTCGCGGTGGTTCAGCCAGGATGCGCGGAGAGCAGGCGCACCCATCTGCTTGCCCGGTTCGTCGCCCGCCCTGCTGGCTTCGCCTCCCGCCTCCGCTCGCGCCCGAACGTGGCGTCTGGAGCAATTCATCGACCCCGCAGAATGACGACAGCCATCATCGCCCTCGGGACGCGGACGCAGAGCCGTGATCCCGCGCCGGAGAGCCCCAGGCCCTCGCAGGCTCGATGCAGACACCGTCGCTGCTCGTGGCGACGACGGCGCGCGCGGTCGCAGGCACGGCACGCCTGCGCGAGCTACCGCCGCACTAGCGTACATATCGCGCCCGTCCCGCCGACCACGGCACCCCGAGGACCCTCAAATATCAAGTAGAGTCACTGACAATTGTAATCGAGTGTCTCGCGACTGCCTCTTGCCTTAGCTAGGTCGCGCCTTGCTCAGCAAACTGCCCACGCGCAGCGCACGCCCGGGCCCCTCACCTCCATCCTCCACCCGCGACGGGTCAGACGCACATCAATCAACCCCCCCCCCTGACTCGTTGCGGCTCTCCACACAAAGCAGCACGCCCGAGGACCTGCGGCGGCGCACCCGCACCCGTGCCAACATCACAGCTACGCCCGTCCCGCCTCCTGCGCCGCGATCGCCTCTGCCTTCGCCGCCGCCGCGTGCAGGTCGGCGCGCGCCGCTACGTACCGCTCCAGCGCGTCCACGCTCCCCTCCCCGCCGCGCAGCTCCACGACCGCGCGCTCCGCCTCGGCAGCGCGCTCCTCCAGCTCCGTGCGCTTCTCCGCGAGCCGCTCGAGGATCGCAGCCGTGCTGTACCGTGCCATGATCTGCAAGAAACGCAGGGGGTGTTGTGGGGGGTGTTTTGAGCGACCCGCGGAAGCAGGCAGCCGAGACAGCGCGACGTCAGTCCGGACGATTGCGCGCGCGGCGGGGCCGTGGCGAGCGCAGGGACGACTGCGGACGATGACAAGCCAGCCGCGATCACCACCGGCGCGCTCCGGGCGCGCGCCCCCGCCGCTGCACCGCAGCTGCACGCGGCCTTGCATGCGCGGGCGCGGGGGCGTCGCCCACCTCGTCCTGTTGTTGCTGCAGCCCCTTGACCTCCTCCTGGAGCGGCACAAGCTCCGACGTCCGCACGATCTGGGCGTTGTTCCGCGCGTCTCGAATGTCCGACTCCACGTCCAGCACCTGCTGCGCCTTTTCGCGGTTCGCGGCCTGCAGCGACGCCAGGCTGCCGCGCCCGGCCATGCGCGCACGCAGCTCCTCTGCAAGGTCGAGAACTTTCTCGTCGTCCTTCATGAGGTCGAGCAGCGCGGTCGTCGACATCTTCGCGAGGTGGTCTTTGATCGCCGCCTGCGGGGAGACGCTCGGGGGGGGCGTCCCGGCCGCGCTGGGCCCCGCGCGTCCCTGAGAGGTGTACTCGACTCTCTGGGACGTGGCGTCGCTCCCCGCCGGTGACGCCGACGAAAGATTCAGCCTCCGGAGAGCCTCAGATGCGCTGCATCCACCCGCGAACAGACGCGGCGTTTCATAAGCGCTGTGGCAGGCCGGAGCGTGTGGACGACCCTGCGTGCACCTCAGGGCAAGCACGGCGTCGCGCGGCGTGACGCGTGGCTACCTGGGCCCGGCGTGGCGCGCTTGGTACGCTCCGCCGTTTCTGTCGCCCGGAGTCAGAGCCATAGGGGACGGCGGTCCGCGGCCCGCGAGCAGCGTGTAGGCTTCATCAGCTATCTCGAGGAGCCGCGTGGCGGGGTGCGACCAGCGATCGAGGGCCGGGAAACTCATCCGGCCGGTCGACGGGTTCACGTTGACGTGGTTGATCGCGCGCGTGACCATCAGAACGGGCGCGTCGGACGGGAAGCCCGCGGGCAGTGCCACCCGCAGCCCCGTGCGCAGCCCGTCGGGAGTTTCCAGCTGCAGGTCGTACGTGGTGCGGTCGGGCGACACGTGGAAGCCGGGGATGCCCGAGAGGAGCTCGGCGATGTGCTCCTGCCGGTCAGCGTCGCCGTACATCGCGCCCTGACCGGAGCTCTACTGCTATGTGGATGTGTGGGCGCAGTGCACCGAAGGGGGTGTAAATGCACGGGCCGAACTGCGGAGCGGGGCGCCAAGATCCGCGGCCTCGTCCTGGCAAGCAATGCGCGTTGGCGAGCGCCGGGCGGCGCAATGTCGGCCACGCAGAGTGACCCCGGGGGGGTCTGGGAAGTAGAAGCACACATGGGACGCCGGACAGGGTCGGACGCCCGAGCCCTCATCGTCAACGCAGTCCCCCGTCCAGCGCGATCGCCACGGCCCCTCCGACGTCCACCCGCCCCGCCCCGCACGAATCAAGCGCTCCTCACACCGCACCCGCTCACTTCTTCCGCGGGAGCAGCTCGACGTCGAACACCAGGTCCGCGCCCGGCGGGATCACTCCCCCCGCACCCCGGTCCCCGTACGCCAGAGCCGCGGGGATGTACAGGCGCCGCTTGCCACCCTCCTTCATGGGCGGGATCGTGCCATCCTCGCTCCCCAGGATCCCCACGTCCCAGCCCTGGATCACCTGCACACAGCGCGCCCGGCGCGCTCGGTCGTGTCGAGCCCGACGCGCCGTGGCGCGGTGCGAGCGGCTTGGAAGTGCGTGTCGTGGGGGGGTGTCGTACCTGCCGCACGCCGACGGTGAAAGGGAGCGGGCGGCCGCGCTCGTAGGAGCTGTCGAAGACGCGGTTGTTCGAGGCCAGGCGCCCGGTGTAGTGGCACCGCACGAGCGCGCCCTTCACCGGCGACGGGCCCGTGCCCTCCTTGGTCTCGCAGAACCTGATGCCGCCGAACGCGGGCTCGCCGACCTCGCACTCCTTCGCGCCGGCCTCGGGGGCGCCCGTGAGGGCCGCCAGGAGGGCTGCGGGGCGCGGCACGGAGGGCGTTGGTTGGCGCATGGTGGTTGAGGGGCGGCGCTGACGAGGACCGCGAGGCCGCCCGTTCGAGGACCGCGCCGAGCACGGGCGAGGGCATGCACTGAGGAAGCTGCTGGCGCGACGGTCGTGTCGCGCCGGAGTTCGCAGTTGCCGGGAGGATGTTGTGCAAGCACGGGCTGGACAGCATCGGTACGCACCTGCGGAGTACAGCGGCGCAGCGATCGTGAGGTCGCGGCGGTAGACCAGATAGTTGTTGTCCTTGTGCTGCGCCCGCGCCACCGTCCTGGCCTGCGACCAACGCGGGTGAGCGGACGCAGGGCTGTGTGGCAACGTCAGCTGCCTTTGAGGCCGATTCGCGGCTCGAGTCTCAAAGACATGCCGTCGATTCAGTCGCAAACGAATGTCGAGGCTATCAGTCATGCGTGAGCAGCACGCATCGACGTGGAAAGGGCGGGACCAGGCGCTCTCGGGGCGCAAGTCCTCACCCTGGGGCTGGCCACGCAGCTGGGCGCGGTGATCCTGGCGTTCAGCGAGAACATGGCGGCGGTTCCTCGGTCTCTACAGCAGCGGTGTGCGGGGTCAGCGCGCCCCGCGCCCCCCTTCGTAGCCTGGCCAAGGCGCTTCGCGGGGCCGTGGGGACGTCTCACGACACGGTGAAGGTGCTGCCCTGCCGCGGCATCGAGGGCGACGGACGGCGCGCGCGCGGGCCACACGCGCAGTGCGGCTGCCAGGTCGAGGCAGGCAACGCGCGGTCTCGCAGGCGTCTCCACGACGCGCAGCGGCTCGCGAAAGAGCAGCAGGAGGTAGTTCCTTGGCGTGGGGGGCCGGTCGAGGCTTCGCGTACGGTCACTCGTGATCTCCTGTGTCTCTGATAGGTTGCGCGAGCTAGGTGGATCGCGGCGCGGGGATTTCGCGCGCACTGAGCGACGGGAGGGACGGCTATCACACCGCCTGAAAAGGAGTAGCGTATCGGGACGGGTGGGCCACCTTCGACGGGGCGTGGCATTGCCGAAGAGGCACTTGCTTCGTGATGTCTACCATGCCACCAGGTGCGTCGCGGATGCGGCCAAGTCCGCCCACGGCGCCGGCATGGACCAGCCCGCTCTTCGTCTTGCTGGTAGCGAGCTGTGCGGGCGGCAACAGGGCGGAGTGAGCGCCGCAGGCGTGCACACTGCGTCGCTGAAGCGTACGGGGACCGACTTGCGTGGGCTGCGCGACGGTCCACACCGCGGGAGGCGGGCCCGCCCTGCCCTGCATTCAACAGCCGCGCGGTCCCTCGGCCCCGCGCAGGGAAGAAACGCAGCGCCGACGCTGGCGGACAAGACCCTGATGCCTCCGACCCCAAGCGCGTGCGCACGGACGTGGAATCTGCGCCCCTCGCAGCGCCCGCCCAGCCAGTCCAGCACCAGCAGGCAATGGCCCCGGCGGCTCCGCCGGCGACGAACGCCGCGCCAGGAGCCGCCCATCTGCCGCAGCCGCAGCTTTGGCCAGCTCCAGGCCAGCCGGACGGGAGCTCAGGAGCCCAGAACGGCGCGGCGCCGGGCGTCGGGGGGTGGAGCCCGTCGCTGGGCCCCAACCGGCTGCACGACAGCACGCGGCTGCACTTGCTCCGCCTCGACCTCCTCCGGGAACACCAGGAGTGGAAGCCGATGCAGCTCTCGACCGAGGACAAGGTACGCAGCCCACGCCACCGCCCATTCACTCCATCACCAGCACGCGGACACCGCGGGCGCCTCCACGCGCCGCATGGCCGCCAAAGCACGCCGACGCGCGCGCACCGGCCTGTCGCTCCCTCGAAGCACGGCTCCTGCGTGCCCCGGCCCTGCAGTCCGGCGGGATGGAGGTATCGAAGGATGGAATGTCGGTGACGTCAACCAAGGGGTTCCGCACGTGCCGGGCCATCGCGGGGGTTCACGAGGGCGCGTGGTACTTCGAGGCGACCGTGGACCACCTCGGCGACACGGGGCACGTCCGCCTCGGCTGGCTCACGCGCCGGGGGGAGTTACAGGCGCCTGTCGGGTATGACGAGCACGGCGTTGGGTACCGCGACGTGGACGGGTCGCGCACGCACAAGGCCGAGCGCGCGCCGTACGGGAAGCCCTTCGGCAAGGGCGACACCGTCGGCTGCCTGATCTACCTCCCGCCGGGGGGGAGGACAATGGAGCAGGCGCGCCGGGGGAGTGAAGCCGTGCAGTACAAGGGCGTGGCGTACGGCGTCGCGGACCCGCGCCCCGCGGAGGTCCTCAAGGGCAGCTTCGTCGCCTTCTCGGTCAACGGCGAGTGGCAGGGCGTCGCTCAGTCTGACCTGCTCGAAGGCAAATACTACCCGGGGGTGTCTCTCTTTTCCAAGCCCGGGGCCGACCCGCCGCCGAAGGTGACGGCCGCGTTCGGCCCGGACTTCAAGCACCCGCCCCCGGAGAAGCTCGTGGACCTCCCCGGACTCCCCCCCGACGTCGTGCGCGCGCTGGAGGAGCAGGCGGCGAAGCCTAAGCCTGCGAAGAGCGGCGGGGCCAAGAAGGGCGCGGCTGGCGATGCTGGGGCACAGGCGGACGGTGCGAAGCAGGAGGAGAAGGAGGCGGAGCCGCAGGGGCCGGTGATGGTCCAGCATGCGTTCCGCGCGGTGGGCGAAAAGCCTGAGAGACCGCCGCCGCCGCCGCCGCCACCGCCGCCGCCGCCGCCCCCGATGCTCGGCCCCGGGTTCCCGTTGCCCATGGCGCCGCCGCCGGTGCCCGCGGGGCAGGAACAGCGGAGGTGAGGCAGGCAGGCAGCGGCGGGAGCTGCTTGATTGCTCTCGTCGGGGCGGTCCCTGCGGGCCGGCGTGTGAGTCTGCGTCGCAGCCGCGAGCGCACGTGTCGGGCAAGGCTTCGGCGCATGCGGCACGGATGGCAAGGACACCTGAAACGTCCGCAACCCAGCAATGCTTTCGTGTGCGCCGTGCCTGTGCGCGCGTGAGCGGTGCTTTCCGTGACGCCGGTTCCCCATTGCGGCGCGGCACGCGCAGCCCTCGGCGAGCTCGTTCGTTTCGGAAGCGTCACACCCTACGCGGGCAGTGCTGCCGCGTGTCGCCTTCCGTCCGCCAGCACCCTGCGCAGACTGTCGAGCTTGGACGTCCGCAGGTGCGTCGCGAACGTCGCGGTCCCCGGCCCCGTCTCAGCCCAGGACCGCGACGGGTTCCCGGCCTTGAACGGCGGCGACAGCTTCGCCGCTTCCTCGATCTCCACCTTGGCCCTCTGCACACGACCCCTCGCCTCGTCGAGACGGTCGACGGGGTCCTCGTACGGCGGCCCAGCCCCCCGCAGATCCATCTCCAACACCTTGCGCGTGCCCGCCGTCACCGTCGGCTCGAAGGCGCGCCTTGCAGCGGCAGGGCCGCCGAACCGCGTACGCGTTGCAGGCTCCGGCGGGGGCGGAGACTTCGACGGACCTAGGCTGATCGCTCGGCCAGCAGTCTGCGCGAGCAAGCCCGCAGGCGTTCCATCGTCCGGCGGCGGGGCCCGGCGCGGACACGATGCAGCGCGCTGCTGTGGGTACGGCCGGCGCTCCGTGGCGCCCATGAGGTCCCCGAACTTGCGGTCCATCTCCTCTTCTCTGCGGCGCTGGGCGTCGTTGCGAGCCACGCGGTCCGCGCGCGCCTCGTAATCGTATTCGGGGTCCCCGCGGGGCAGGTTGCCATCGAGGTGGACGCAATACGCCGGCTTCGCGAGGTCCAGCGCCAGACGCTCGAGCTTCTCGATCGCTGCACCGCGCTTCTTGATCGCGTGCTTCGCGGCCTTGGCCGCCGCGCGCGCGCACGGCTCGCGGTACGCGCCCGAGGCCTTGCGGTGTGGCCGCGTGACGCTGGGTGCCAAAGACAGCTCGGACGACGAGGTGTCGACGGTCTCCGAGCGGCCTTCGTCGGCGTGCGGATCCTGGCTGCGTTCGACGAGGGGGCTGTCGCACTCGCACGGTCGCCGCGCGTCGTGCCGGTCCCTGGCGTGCGCAGGAGAGACAGCGCCAGGACTCGACTTCCGGCGCAGCTTCTCGCGCGCGTCCTGAAGCACGACGCGCCCGAGCTTGTCCTTGAGGTCCCCGATGTCGTACTGGAGGCTGCACAGACGCGAAGACCCGGGCGAAAAGATGCGCGTGAGACCAAGGTACAAACAAGAATTATCATCAATATAAGTGTTCTTTCGTTGCCACGGCGGGGTTCGCTCGGGTTCGCGCACAGAGCCGCGATGGAGGAGCTGTCACACTGGCGCGTGACAGCCCTCGCGGATGTGCCACAGCGCCCTGTGCCTCTCTGGGGCTTCACCACTGCATCCCAGCGTCAGCGGCGCCCGTACCTCGAGTTCTCCTTCGCCAGATCCTCCACGCGGCCAATGAACGAGTCCAGCGCCGCCCCCGAGTCCACACCTCCCCGCGCGGGCGAGTAACTCCCCCCTCCGTACGACTTGTACGTGCTGCGCGGCGGCGACCTTGCTGCCTCGTACGTCCGGTGCCCGCCAGCGCTCCTGCGCCCCATCGGCGACCCCACCCGCTGTCTGCTCCGCTCAATTTCCCTCTCCGCTGCCCGCAGCCGCTCCTGCACCAGCACCAGATCCTGTTCTGCCCGCGCCGCCCTGCGGTCAGCCGTCGCCGCCGCGTCCAGCGCCCGCTCGCGCTCCCGCTTCAGGTGCAAGATCGAGTCCTCGTACCGCGCCCGCACGCGGACGTCCAGGTCCCGGATGTGCCCCTCGTTGCGCTCACGTTCTTCATCCATCTGCCGCATCATCGCCGCCACCCGCTCCTCGCTCGACACCGCACGCGCCGACAGCGCCCGGATCTCGCGCTCCTTGTCGTCGTTGCTGCGCTCGCCCGCCTGCACCTGCCCCCGCAGCGACGCAATCTCCGCGTCCGCGTCATTCAAGCGCCCCTTGAGTTCCGCCAACAACCGCAAACTCGACTGCCCCTCGCTCTCCGCGGCCTCGCGCATCTGCGCCAGCTGCTGCTCCGCCACGCGCGCGCGATCGTCCTGCGCCTCCGCGTGGCCCTGCAGGTTCACCTGGCGCTGCCGGGACTCGGCCAGCTCGTCGCCGACCACTGCGAGCTCGCTCTGCGCGGCCCGCAGCTGCCCCGCGAGCTCGCCGTTGTCCTCCTCGGCGCGCGTCAGGGCGCGCTCGGCGTTCGCGCGCGCCTCCTGCTCCTGCTGGAGCACGCTGTTCAGGTGCTCGATGTCTCGCGACAGCCGCCCCTGCGCCTCCTCTGCTGCGCGCAGCGCTGCCGCCGACGTCTCGGCCTCCATCAGCGCGCGGTCCAGCTGCTGCTCGATGTCCTGCCGGCGCGATCGCTCGTCGTCGAGGTTGCGTCCCGCGGCCTCGAGGCGGCTCCGCAGGTCGCTCTCCACCGTCCGCGCGGAGCGCAGTTGCCCCTCGTAGTGCGACGTGAGGTCCGCACGGACGCGCGAGACCTCGGCCGTGGCTTCCTGTCGCGCGGACTCGATCTCCTGCCGCGCACGGTCCTGCGTGGTCGTGAGCTGCGTGCGGAGCTGCGCCACGACGTCGCCAGAGGAGGACTCGGCGTGCGCGGCCCGCGTCTCGGCGTTCCTGGCCTGCGCGGTCAGGTCCTGGTTGTTGCGGCGGGCGGCCCCGAGGTCGGACTCGAGCCGCGCGATCTCCTGGTCGCGCTCCCGGATCAGCCCCACGTTGTATTGGAAGTCACGCTCGACTTGCACCATCTGAGACTTGTACTTGTCGACCTCGAGGTCCCTGCGAGGACGGCGGGCGGGTGCGGGGGCGGCGTGCGTCGCAGCGCGTGCAAGTGAGGCCGCCCGGCGCTCTGCGCGGGCCCGCATACGCGACATGCTGGGTCGGCACCACCACGCATTGTCGCGCGATGCTCTGTGACCAGAGGGCAGTTCTGGCATGACATGTCCTCAGGAACTCAGCATGCGGCTCGTGTTCGTCCGCACCTCTCCTTGACGAGCTCCTCGAGCTCTCGGATCCTGTCCTCCAGAGCGCCCACTCGCTCCGCGGTCAGCGAGGCCGCCTCGCGCTGCCGCTCCCTCGCCGCTGTCCGCATCATGCTCGTCGCCCCGGCGCCGGTCCGTCCGGGCGACAGCGCGCCCGTGCCGTACCGAGCCGCGGTCGGAATGGGGCTCATGGGCAGGACCGCCGCGCGCGTGCCCGGCGTGCGCGGCGTGGCCGTGTACATCGCGGCCTCTCGACGACTGCACGATCGAGGGGCGCGGGGTGCCGTGTTTCGGCGCGCAGGTGGCGTGTGGCCGCTGTGCGGGGGGGCGGGGTCGGTGGCCATGCCCGGCACGTTGTTGAGCAGAGAGTGAAAGGACGCAAGTGCAGGCAATCAGCGCACGATGTGGGTCATTTTGCGGGAGGAATCGCATGTCGAGACTCTACATGTGCTGCTGAAGGGAAGGAAATGCGCGTTACTGGCCCCGGAAGGGCATACGGGGCGCCGAGGCTGCCCGGCAGATGCGCACCTCTCCGCAGCCCTCAATGAGCGTTACGCGCAGTGCTTGCGCGACGGTGGGCACGGTTAAGTACTGTATTGCGATTCTACGCTCGTGTGCTGTGATTGGTCCCGCGTCGACGCGGGGCAGCGCTCGTACCCCTCGTTTTTTTGGGGGGCCGACCGGCGCAGCGGCGCGCGCGGGTGAACGACGAGCTACTCACGAAGGAAGGCTTCGAGCAAGAGTGTTCAGGTTCATCCGTCGCACGAGCGGATGTAGGCCTGTGCGGGCGGCCCGTCGGTCCCACCACCCCCGTCTGTAGTCATGTGGGCCAAGACCACCCCTGCGCCGCAGGAGAGCGAACCCCGCGCCCATCAACGCCCCCGTCCAGTGATTCCTCGCAAGTCCCGCTGCAAGCGCGACGAACGTCACAAAAGTTGTGCTGCAGCGGCATCGCCCGCACATGTCATGTACGCAACGGCGCGCAGGCCGAGCGACAAGTCACGCCGACGAGTGAATGGGGAGACAGATCTGCCTGCCAGGCGGCCAGCAGCGCCGTGCGACGCGACGCGACCCACACGAAGCACGTCGATCACAATCACACACAGTTCTGTTCCTCCCTCCACAAGCTCAGTGGGTCAGCTGCAGCCCGGTCGCGGCGCCGCTCACGGGCTCACGTCCCCGGAAGGAAGGGCTTCTCGCGCGTCAGACACGGCGTGAAGTCCGGCGCGTCCGGCGCGGTGTTGATCTCCACGTGCGCGGGCACATCCACACGCGGCACCTCCTCGCTGCCCACGTAGATCACCCGCAGCTGCCCGGTGCTCGACGCCGGCATCCACGCGCCGCCGCTCGCCACGAAGCCGCACCCGCGCACGTCCACGCGCTGCAGCCTCGCGCACCCCCCGGGCACGCCCTTCACCTCAGTGCCGCTCATGGCCAGGTCGGTCAGCGCGCCGCGGCTGCTCTCCGGCAGCCAGTCGCCTGCGAGCTTGCTGTCCGCCACGTCGAGCAGCTCCAGCTGCGCCAGCCCATCCGGCAGCCGCACCGCGTCGCCGTCCTCGACGGTGTCCACGTTGCGCGCACGCAGGACCCGGAGCGACTTGCTGGCGCTGGCGGGGTACCAGTCCGGGTCGAGGTGGTTGTCGGAGATGTCGAGGATCTCCAGCGAGCACAGCCCGGCGGGCAGGCGGTTAAAGCCCGCGTCCCTAATGGTGAGTACGCGGAGGTTCTGCAGGGGAGGGGGGGGTTGCACGAGGGGGGAGGTCGGGTCAGGGCGATGGGCCGGCCCAACGCGCGCTGCGGACGAGTGGGCGCAACGGGCGTGTGCGACATTGCCAGCAAACGCACACGTCACCATGCCCGATATTGCCCTCGTGCGCGGCGCGCTGCTGGACAGCTGCACAGCGCTGATCCGTTGCGGGTCGTCCGCACCTGCGTCACGGCGTCTGGGAAGGAGAAAGGCCCCGCCATGTTCTTGCAGCCGTCGGCGTACAGCTCCTGGAGCTGAGTCAGGGTGTCGGGGATCTGTTCCATCGTGGTTTTGTCCATCGTGAGCTTTCGGATGCGCCGCGCTGCGCCGTCCGGCAGCCAGCTGAGCTCCGCCCGCCTCAGCGGCGTGCATCTCGAGACGTCGAGCTCCTCGATGCAGTCGAGGCCCTCTGGAATGGCAGCGACGTTCGAGCTCCGGACGCTCAGCTTGCGGATGCAGCGCCGCGACGACGCCGGCAGCCACGCGTGGTCGTCGTCGGGCAGCTCCAGCGGCCTGAAGCTGCTTGCGAAGGTGCACTCCTCCAGGCGCGACATGTTTGCCGGCACGGACCCAAAGACCATGCCGTCCAGGTGCAGCACGCGCAGGTTCGCGACGCTCGACGCCGGCAGGGCCGGGAGCTGGAGAACGGGTAGGTCGTCGACGTCGCCCAACAGCACCTCAGGAGGAAAGGATTGCAGCATCTCAGGCTCGACGTGGGTCTCGATCAACAGGTCCTCGAGGGCCGACAGCCCCGGCGGGATGCCTGGCAGGTCGAAGCCGGCCAGCGAGAGCTTGCGGATCTGCCCGCGCAGGCTCGGCGGCACCCAGGTCTCGCTGTCGTCGCAGTCCGCCCACAAGTACTCCAGAGTCTCGAGGGCCGGGCAGTGCGCAGGGATACGCGGGACCGGCATCGCCGACACGCTCAGCTTCTTCAGCTTGCGGCTGCTGCTCTCCGGGAGCCACGCGCCCTCCTCGTTGAGCGCGGGGCAGTTGACGAGGTGCAGCGTCTCGAGCGACTCGAGGCCCTCCGGCAGCGCGCCGACCATCAGCTGGACCTGGAGGTAGCGGAGCTTCGCCAGGCCGCCCTCCGCGAGGTACGGCACGGGGTAGTGGTCCTCCCCAGCTATGGTCAGTCTCTCTAGCTCTGGGAGGCTCGACAGACACGTCGGGACGTCGCGGCAGTTGATGTCGAGCTGCCGGATCGCGCTGTGCAGCCCCGCACTGACGAACTGCTCCAGCATCGCCATCGCGTCGCCCCCGTGCTGCTCGTAGGCCTCCTGGAGGTGTTTGGCATAGCCGATGCTGACGCCGACGCCGCCCACGCAGACGGTGCCGCGCGCGCAGTCCGGATACTCCCCCTTCAGGCTCCTCAGCGTGTCGAACAGCACGGGGCACAGGCGCCGCGGGTTCGGTGGTTGTAGTGCAGCGTGCTGCGCGGGAGGCTCAGGACCCGCGCGGCGCAGCGCCTGCTGCAGCGCGCGAGCGCCACGCGGTCCTTCTTCTCCAGCTGGTGGAGCACGGAGTAGAGCGCCAGGTCAGGGAGGTCCAACAGCGGGAACGGCTCGCCTGCGTGAGAGAGATGGCGGCGAGGTGCTCGTGGGGGGGGACGCGAGGACGGCAGCGAGGCGCGAGGGCATGTCGTGGTCTGGCGTGAGTGGCGGGGGAGAGAGCGCCGGCTGATATAGCAATTCCCGCGCGCGTCAGCGGCCGCGGAATGAGAGCAGCATCAGCGCACCTTCCGGCGCCGTGGACTCGCGCGGCGAGATATCCATGCCCGCCGTCAGATCTCTGAGTGCTCAGCGATCGATGGCAGCTCCGAGACTCTTGCTGAGTACGTCGTGCTGCGCGGCGGAGGCAACACGTGCCCACACAGCCGCCAGGTCGTCGAGGTCCGCCGGAGCTCGAGCGGAGGCCGGTCCGGCGCGAAGACAGCGCCAGTCGCTCACGAAGTGCTCGCCGCGCCCAGCCCGCCCGTCAAACCAAGCGCAGTGCGCGCCTGGTCGTCGGACTCGCCCAGGGTCGTTGGTGGAGTCACTGCAAGATGACGTCCAGTGCCCGTCATCGCGCGCCAAACGGCAGGCGGGGCGCGGCCGGGAAGTCGACGGCGAGCTGGGTCGACTTGCGGGGCGTGAGCGGCGGCATGCGACGCGACGCGACCCACACGAAGCACGTCGATCACAATCACACACAGTTCTGTTCCTCCCTCCAGAAGCTCAGTGGGTCAGCTGCAGCCCGGTCGCGGCGCCGCTCACGGGCTCACGTCCCCGGAAGGAAGGGCTTCTCGCGCGTCAGACACGGCGTGAAGTCCGGCGCGTCCGGCGCGGTGTTGATCGCAACGTGCGCGGGCACATCCACACGCGGCACCTCCTCGCTGCCCACGTAGATCACCCGCAGCCGCCCGGTGCTCGACGCCGGCATCCACGCGCCGCCGCTCGCCACGAAGCCGCACCCGCGCACGTCCACGCGCTGCAGCCTCGCGCACCCCTCGGGCACGCCCTTCACCTCAGTGCCGCTCATCGCCAGGTCGGTCAGCGCGCCGCGGCTGCTCTCCGGCAGCCAGTCGCCTGCGAGCTTGCTGTTTGCCACGTCGAGCAGCTCCAGCTGCGCCAGCCCGTCCGGGAGCCGCAGCGCGTCGCCGACGTTGCGGGCACGCAGCACCCGGAGCGACTTGCTGGCGCCGGCGGGGTACCAGTCCGGGTCGAGGTGGTTGTCGGAGATGTCGAGGACCTTCAGCGAGGACAGCCCGGCGGGCAGGCGGGTGAAGCCCGCGCCCTTGATGGTGAGTACACGGAGGTTCTGCGGAGGCAGGAAAACACGGGGAGGGGAGTGAGGGCGAGGGCCCGGGACGACGCGCGGTGTGCATTGGAGCGTGTGCGGCGTGCTCGCGGGGAGACACAGCTGCGCAACGAGTTTGCTCATCCGTCGGTCGAGTGCGTGAGCAGTCTGCGTGTCACCAGCGCAGTCATCCTGCGCCATGCTCGACACCGCTCTCGTGCGCGGCGGCGTGTTGCACAGTCGCACTAATGTGCTTCGTCCGCACCCGCGTCACTGGGCCCGGGATCGACAACGGCCCCGCCAGGTTCCTGCAGCCGTCGGCGTACAGCTCCTGGAGCTGAGTCAGGGTGCCAGGGACCCTGCGAATCATGGTCATGTCCATCGTGAGCTTCCGGACGTGCCGCGCCGTGCCGTCCGGGAGCCAGCCGTCGCTACGAAGATTCGTGCAATGCGCAACGTCGAGCTCCTCGATGCAGTCGAGGCCCCCCGGAACGGCGCTGAGGTTCGTGTGCCCGATGCTCAGCTTGCGGACGCAGCGTCGCGACGACGCCGGCAGCCACGAGTTACTGAGCTGCGACGGCTCGCCTGCGTGAGTGGGGAGAGATGAGATGGCGAGCGCGTTCGACCGTTGAGATGGCAGCGAGCTCGCCTCGATCGAGGCGCTCGTGGGGCGGGACGCGAGTACGCCAGCGAGGCGCGAGGGCATGGCATCGTCTGTTCCTCTGAGTGGCGGGGGAGAGAGCGAGCCTGCATCGTGATCCCCGCGCGCGTCAGCGGCCGCGGAACGTGCTACGGGCGGAGATCTCATTCGAGCGGCATCAGCGCACCTCCCGGCGCCGCGCGCCCGCGCGACGAGGTCTTCATGGCCGCCGTCAGATCTCTTGATACCGAGCGAGCGATGGCAGCTCCGAGACGCGTGCTTAGTAGGGGGAGAGCTCGGTGGTGAGAGCCGGAAGTTGTTGAGGTCCGCCGGAGCTTGAGCGGAGGCCGGTCCGGCGCGAAGACAGCGCCAGTCGCTCACGAAGTGCTCGCCGCGCCCAGCCCGCCCGTCAAACCAAGCGCAGTGGGCGCCTGGACGGTCCAGGCGGGACCCGTCGGACTCCCCCGGGGTCGTTGGTGGAGTCACTGCAAGATGACGTGGTCACGCAAAAGGAGTGGTGAGTACACCAGCGCACGTGCTGGCCGAGGGGGGGGGCTGCATGCGCGTGGTGGCAGCATCGAAGCCGCGGCGGCGCGGCGCAACGGAGCGAGGAGCCGTCCAGTGCCCGTCATCGCGCGCCAAACGGCAGGCGGGGCGCGGCCGCGGGAAGTCGACGGCGAGCTGGGTCTGCTTGCTGGGCGTGAGCGGCGGCATAAGACGCCACCACGCGCGGCACGTCGATCGCCATTCCAAACGCACAGTCCTGTTCCCTTGGCCACAGTCGTCCAGTGGCAGCCCAGCGGCGGCGACGCTCAAGGGCTCACATCACTCCCTCAAATATCCCAGAACGTCTTGCGTTCCAGACACGGCGTGAAGTCCGGCGCGTCCGGCGCGGTGTTGATCGCAACGTGCGCGGGCACATCCACACGCGGCACCTCCTCGCTGCCCACGTAGATCACCCGCAGCCGCCCGGTGCTCGACGCCGGCATCCACGCACTGCCGCTCGCCACGAAGCCGCACCCGCGCACGTCCACGCGCTGCAGCCTCGCGCACCCCCCAGGCACGCCCTCCACCCTGGTGCAGCACATAGCCAGGTCGGTCAGCGCGCCGCGGCTGCCCTCCGGCAGCCAGTCGCCTGCGAGCTTGCTGCCCACCACGTCGAGCAGCTGCAGCTGCGACAGCCCGTCCGGCAGCCGCACCGCGTCGCCGTCCTCCACGGTGTCGACGTTGCGCGCACGCAGCACCCGGAGCGACTTGCTGGCGCTGGCGGGGTACCAGTCCGGGTCGAGGTGGCTGTCGGAGATGTCGAGGACCTCCAGCGAGGACAGCCCGGCGGGCAGGCGGTTGAAGCCCGCGCCCTTGATGGTGAGTACGCGGAGGTTCTGCGCAAGGGGGGTGAACGAGGGGGGAGCTCGGGTCAGGGCGACGGGCCGGCCCGACGCGCGCTGTACACGACAGCGCGCTGCGACGCAAGCGCAGGCGCGAGCGTCTGCGCGCCCAGCGAGCCCAGCAGCAGTGTGCGACGTCGCCAGCAAACGCACACTGCGCCATGCCCGATACCGCTCTCGTGCGCGGCGCGCTGCTGCTCAGCTGTACAACGCTGATCCGTTGCGGATCGTCCGCACCTGCGTCACGGCGTCTGGGAAGGACAAGGGCCCCGCCAGGTTCCTGCAGCCGTTGGCGTACAGCTCCTGGAGCTGAGTCAGGGTGTCGGGGATCTGCTCCATCATGGTGTTGTCCATCGTGAGTTTCCGGATTCGCCGCGCTGCGTCGTCCGGGAGCCAGTCGTCGCTACGAAGCTTTGTGCACAATCTGACGTCGAGCTCCTCGACGCAGTCGAGGCCCCCCGGAATGGCGCTGACGCGCGAGAAGGTGACATTCAGCTTGCGGATGCTCCGTCGCGACGACGCCGGCAGCCAGGAGTGGCTGAGCTGCACGGACGCTTCGCGTCTGTGCGTAAAGGTCAGCTCCTCCAGCCGGGACAGGTTCTCCGGCACCCCGCGACAGAGCGTGCCGATCAGGTGCAGCACACGCAGGTTGGCGACGCTCGACGCCGGCAGGGCCGGGAGCTCGAGAATGTCATTGATGCAGGGGATACCCAGGTCGTCCTTCATGAGCAGGACCTCGAGGGCCGACAGCCCCGGCGGGACGACCGGCACGTTCTGTTGAGAGCCATGAAGCGACAGCTTGCGGATCTGCCCGCTCAGGCTCGGCGGCACCCTCAAGTCGCGCTCGTTGAAGCTCCACGAGTATTCTATCTTCCACGAGTACTCTATCTCTTCGAGGGCTGGGCAGTGCGCAGGGATACGCGGCATCGGCATGTCAAGCACGCCCAGCTTCTTCAGCTTGCGGCTGCTGCTCTCCGGGAGCCACGCGCCCTCCTCGTTGAGCGCGGGGCAGTTGACGAGGTAGAGCGTCTCGAGCGACTCGAGGCCCTCCGGCAGCGCCCCGACCATCAGCTGGACCTGGAGGTAGCGGAGCTTCGCCAGGCCGCCCTCCGCGAGGTACGGCACGGGGTAGTGGTCCTCCCCAGCTATGGTGAGTCTCTCTAGCTCTGGGAGGCTCGACAGACACGTCGGGACGTCGCGGCAGTTGATGTCGAGCTGCCGGATCGCGCTGTGCAGCCCCGCGGCGACGAACTGCTCCAGCATCGCCATCGCGTCGCCCCCGTGCTGCTCGTAGGCCTCCTGGAGGTGTTTGGCATAGCCGATGCTGACGCCGACACCGCCCACGCAGACGGTGCCGCGCGCGCAGTCCGGATACTCCCCTGTCAGGCTCCTCAGCGTGTCGAACAGGCGCTGCGGGCTCGCCACGGGACGGTAAAGGTGCAGCGTGCTGCGCGGGAGGCTCAGGACCCGCGTGGCGCAGCGCCAGCTGCAGCGTGCGAGTGCAACGCGGTCCTTCTTCTCCAGCTGGTGGAGCACGGAGTAGAGCGCCAGGTCAGGGAGGTCTAACAGCGGGAACGGCTCGCCTGCGTGGGTGGGGAGAGGCGGCAAGTCGCCTCATAGGCACTCCCGAGTCGAGTACGCCAGCGAGGCGCGAGGGCATGTCGTGGTATGACGTGAGTGGCAGGGGAGAGAGCGCCGGCCGGTATTGCGAGCCCCCGCGCGTCATCGGCCACGGAAGGCGCTGAGATCTCATTCGAGCAGCATCAGCGCACCTTCCGGCGCCGCGCGCCTGCGCGACGAGGTCTCCATGGCCGCCGTCAGATACCTTGATACCGAGCGAGCGATTGAAGCTCCTAGACGCGTGATCAGTACGTCGTGCTGCGCGGGGAAGAGCTCGGTGGTGTTGTTGAGGTCCGCCGGAGCTTGAGCGGAGGCCGGTCCGGCGCGAAGACAGCCCCGGTTCGCCACGAAGTGTTAGCCACGACCTGTCCGTTCGTCGAACTGAGCGCGGCGGGCGCGCCTGATCCCGTCCGACCCTGCTGTGGGTCGTGATGCAACACGTTGGCTGTCAGAGAGCGCATGGGCCAATTTCGATGGCAGCACTGGTGTACTCGGCGCGGCGACAGAGAGACGAGCGGCCAAGTACCCGCCGTTGCGCGCCCGACTCGAGCAATGCTCACATGCGCGAGCACGGCCGCCGCAAGCAGCTCCACAGCAGCAACTAGAGCTTCAATATTCCCTGCGTGTCCTTGCGGACGACCTGCGCGTGCGTCGGCGCGTCCTCTTGCGTCAGATCTGTTCGGAAGGCATACACCGTCTGCAGCCGCTCCGCGCTCGACGCCGGGAGCCAGGCCCCAGGTTCGAGCTTGTTGCAGTGGCACACGTCGAGCCTGGTGAGGTTCGCGAGCCCCGGGGGCACGCGCTCGACACACGTGCCCGCCACGCGCAGCGACGCAACCATCCCGCGGCTGCCCGGCGGCAGCCAGTTCTCCGCCAGCTTGCACCACGACAGATCGAGCTGCTCAAGGTGTTCCAGGTCGTCCGGGAGTCTCGAAAGGTTGCTCGTGTGCGCCTCGAGCACCTTGAGCCGCCTTCTGCTGTCCCGCGGCAACCAATTGCGGTCGAGATTCCTGCAGCGCAGTCGGGCGAGCGCGACGATTCGCCAGATATACGCAGCGCTAGTCTGCGGCGGTGGTCGAACCAGCCCGCCCCTGCAGGAAGGTGCGGTTTGTGCGTGCAGCATTGCGTTGTGGTTCACGTGTGGTTGTGAGACCCCTACCTGCAATGCGACACGTCGAGCACCTCCAGGGCCTCCAGCCCGCCCGGCAGCCGCGTGATGCGCGCCTGGCTCAGCAGCAGCACCCGGATCTGGCGTCCGACGCGAGGCGGCAGCCAGCGCCCCGCAAGCCGCTCGCACATCGCCGCGTTCAGCACGCGCAGCTCGCGCAGGTGGTCCGGAACCGCCTTGAGGTCCGTCGAGCACATGCACAGCGTGGTCAGTCGCCGCCCGGAGCTCTCAGGGAGCCACGTGTCCCGTGCCGCTTGCAGGTTGGTGCAGTAGCTCACGTCGAGTGTCGCGAGGCTCACGAGTCCCTCGGGCACCTGGGACACCTTCGCGCCCGTCATCTTGAGCTCGCGGATGCTCCTGCTCGAGCTCAGCGGCAGCCACGGCTCCTCGAGCCTCGTGCAGTAGGTGGCCTCCAGCACCTCCAGGCGATGCATGTCGGGCGGCATTCGGACGAACCCGGTGCCGCTGACGCGGAGCACGCGGATGTTTCCGACGCTCGACGCCGGCAGCCATCCGTCCGGGTCCAGCGGCGCCACGTGGGCGTTCCACTCGAGGGTCAGGCGCTCCAGCTTGTGCAGGCCCCGCGGCACCTGCGCGACGCCGTTCGTGCCGAGCATCCGCAGGACGCGCAGCGTGCCGCGCGCGTCGTCGGGGATCCAGGAGTCCGGGTCCTCGGCGCAGCACGACACGTACGACACGTCCAGCTCCTCCAGCGCCGGCGCCGACGTCGCGACCTTGGTGACGCGGTTGCTCATGGCCTCGAGGGAGCGCAGCCGCCGCGTGCTCGACTCCGGAAGCGGGAAGCGGAGGTCGATGCACGTGGAGATCTCGAGGCGCTCCAGGGAGACGAGGCCCTCCGGAAGCGCGGTGATCAATGTTCGATTCAGTTTCAACACGCGGAGACTGGCGAGGCTGCTCGGCGGGAGGAAGCCGACCGGACGCAGGTGGCACTGCGTCAGATCGAGCCACTGGAGGCGCGAGAGCCCCTCCGGCACGACGCCGACGTTGTGACACGCGAGCTTGAGGCGCCGAACAGCGTGCTGATGTCCGCGGCCAACGAGCAGCTGCAGCATCGCCCCGGCGTCGCGCGGCCGCTCGGCCGCCGCGCGGTACAGCGCGTCGAGGTGCTCGATACCGACGCCGACGTCCTGCACGCTAACGACCGCGCCCTCGCATGCCGCCCAGTCCTCCCGGAGTCTCTCGAGCTGCTGCCGGTGTGCCTCGTCCAGGAGGGCGGTGCACGAGTGCGGGATACGTAGACACGCAAGCGGCGTCCCGAGGACGTGCGCCATGCACTGACGGGAGCAGCTCGCGAAGGCAATGCGCTCTGGGCGCTCCAGACGGTCAGCGATGTCCTGGAGGACGCCCTGAGGGAGGTCCAGCAGCATGCACGGGTCCGGCGCCCCGTCCATCCACATGTCTGCGGGACGTGCTATCGTGGGAGTCTGCAGCGGGCCGGCGGGCCGCCCAGGTGCTAGTCTTGCAGAGTGCCTGGGTGGGGAATCCCGGCCTTCCGCATGTCTGCGTGTCCAGAGAGGCAACGAACGTGCTCCTTGGTATGTGAAGTTGCGGGACGGCTGAAGTTCGTGGGCCTCGAACGTAAGAGCGCACCGGGGACGGCAGCAACTGATTGTGGATGGATGGCACCGAGGGGACGTACCTGGTGCCTATACGCCGATAATACTCGCCGAGACCGACTCAACACGCCTGATTTGAAGCGTTGGGCACGCTTTGTATCGTCGTGACCCTCTCCTCAGTGCCCAGAGGGCAGGTGAAGTTGCAACTGGAGGTGGACGACGCAATTCCACACCCCTCCGATCTTCTCCGCGCACCACACCCACACACAAGACGAGTACAGTCCATGACCTGTCATGTCGCCCAAAAATCAGCGCAGCATACCGCCCCGCCGAGACGGACGGCCCAGACTGACCAGCACAACTCGGACGCGACGGGGGCTGGCACCGCCCAGATCGGAGCGCCGCGCCCCCACAACATCCTCCGGCAGCACAGCCGCGACCTTCATCGACGACCGAGCCTCGGGGGCACGTCTCGGGCAGTCCAGTCAGCCTCGCGTCTCACACGCCGGCCGCCCTCACGGCGCGAAGGTACCGCCCGTGATCTCGTTCGTCAGGTTCACGATGCGCTCCACCGCCGCCTGCCGCTCCAGCTGGAAGATCTGCATCAGGCGTGCACGCTCCCGTGGGTCCGTCACCGTCGCCAGCATCGCGGTCCGCTCGTCCTCCTTCGCCCGCTCCTCGTCGATCATCTTCTGCAGCTCGCGCTCCCGCTGCGGCATCTGCGGCGGCGGCGCCGGCCGCCCAGCGCTCGCCGGACGCGCGCCCGCGCCCGCGCCCACCTGCAGCTTGCCCGCGCTGCGCTTGCGCTGAATCTGAATCTGCTGCCGCACCTCCTGCTCCTGCTGCTTCTGGATCTCCGCGTACGACGGCACCGCGACCTTCGCGGCGCCGTCGCGCCCCGGCGACGTTCCCACCGACCGCATGCGAGCGCTCGCGGGGGCCGCCGACCACGGCCGCTGCACGCCCGGGGAGACCGAGGCGCGCGCCGCGGAACGCGCGGTGACGGGGCGGCGGCGCGGGGTGTGGATGGAGTTCGAGCTGAGCTCCAGAGACTCGATTGTCTTGCGCACCTCCTTGACGACGTTCGCGGCGCCGGCGGCGCGGTCGAGGCGCTCGACTTTCTGGCGCAGCTGCGAGGACAGACGGAGCGCGGGGACGCACGCAAGGCCGTCAGATCCGGCCAGGAACTCATGCAATGTGAGGCGTGCGGGAGGCGCAGCAATGACAACTCAAAGACAGGCGGCGACACGGACGCGTGCGCGACATGGTGCACACGGGAGCACGGAGGCCGCGCTCCCGGGAGGCCAGCGAGCCGCGCCTAACTAGGCGTGGAGGGCGGGCGCGGAGGGGGGGGTTGCACACCTCCTGCTCGGCGCGCGCGAGCGACTGCCTGGTCTCGCGGACCTGTTCGAGCGCGGCCTCCCGCTCCGCCTTGATCATGTCCACGCGCTGCATCTTGTCGTGGTACCGCCGCTCCAGCTCGCGCCGCCGCGCCGCCTGCTGCAGCTCCGCGCGGCGCGCCGACTCCTGGATCGTCGAAAACCGCACCTGCGACTGCTGCGCCCGACGCTGCGTCAACTCCTCCGCCTGCACGCGCCCGGGGGCCACAGACACCAACCGTCAGCCAGCAGGGCACCACACGGCGCCCTTGCAACACGCGTGCGCGCAAACCACGCCGCACCTCGCGCTGCAGCATCGCTGCGCGCTCCGTCTGCGCGTCCAGCTGCGCCTGAAGCTCCCGGCACCGCGCCTCCGCGGCGGCCTCCGCCCGCAGCTTCCGCTGGCGTCGCATCTCCTCCTCAGCCTGGCGCTGTGCCAACTTGCGGTGCGCCGCCCTCTCCTCCTCTTCCTGCCGCTCCCGGAGCACCGCCTCGACCTGCTCCTCGCGCTCCTTGAGCTCCTGGCGCCGCCGCTCCATCAGCGCCTCCGCCTGCGCCTTCGCGGCGCTTCGTTGCGCCTCCTTGCGCCGCGCAGCCGCACGCGCGCGCGCCGCGGCGCGCTGCTCCTCGCGCTCGCGCTGGCGCATGCGGTCCTCGACGTCGTGCAGCCGCCGGGTGTACTCCTCGACGGTGCGCTGCTGCTGGATCTCGGCGACACGGCGGGCCTGCTCGCGACGCTGCTCCATCTCGAGTCGCTTGCGCTCCTCCGCCTCGCGCTTCCGGCGGCGCTCCTCCTCGACGATGCGCTCGCGCTCACGGACCTTCTCCTCCTTCTCGCGCTGGCGCGCCTCGGCCTCGGCGCGCAGCAGCACGGAGCGCTCCAGCTGCTGCAGTTTGCGGACCTGCGCTGCCGCGACGTGCTCGGGCAGCGGGACGCCGATCCCCGGGGAGCCTGGCGTGCTCATTGTCGTCAGCGTCATTCGGTGCGGCCGAGGGGCCGCGAACGGGGCGGGACGACCGGGGCGCGGGCGGGACGACCGGTGTCACCTTCGCCTGTTTTCCTCGACCTGCGAGGGTGCAGTCAGGGGAAGACGCGACGTCGGTGGCGGACTCGAGCGGATACCGCGGGTAGCGCGCGCGAAGCCGGCGCGGGGCGGCGGCACCCGCGGCAACGGGGGCGACCTCCCAGGTGATGGCGAGGTGTCGTTTGCAAGCGCAAATCTCGCGGGCTCCGGGCTGAGAGTCCGCACCTTCCACCCGGGGAGCTCCCTCTGGCCTACGCAGGAGCCTTCGAGCGGCGGCAGTGCCCTGAACGGCTCCTCGACGCGGGCTGCGTCAGGTCCAGATTTCCAGGATGAAAACGCCGGCGCTCCGTGTGACGTGGCTGCACCGCTCTCGGACCGCGCCTCAGTGCACGTTCCGCCCGTGTTCTGTCCGAATCCGCCCGCAACGCGCCGACGTCTGCGTGAGCGCGCAGAACCGACGCGTGGAAGTCAGCGCCGTCGTTGGAGCTCCTCGCGGGCTCGGGAGCGGTCCGCTGGGGGCGCAGCAGCGCCGGAAACTTGTAGAAAACGGACACATGTATCACGTGGCTCCCCCAACACGCTCATTTGTGCCCCACGCGGGCGCTCTAGGCCGGTGCACTCCTGCTACAGGCATGAACCCTCGGTCGTTGCGCGGCTCCTTGGCACCTCAGTCCTGACTCAGGCGCCGGCTGCAACATTTCAGGGCGAAACATGCCGTACCTGGCAGGGGGGAGCAAGTCCGAGGTGTCAGACTGCGCAGGGGCTGGGAATGTGTCGCCAGAGAGTGAGGTGCTGCTCGGTGGTGCCGTGGGGGCTTGAGGGCACTGGGCTCGTGCGAGCGAGCACCCAAGCACTGCGCTGTGGCGTGGGCGGCCCGCGAGGCGGGCCCTCGGGCCGGAGCGCGGCGGGCGGAGCGGGCACTCCCTCGGGGGGGAACGTCGAGGTTCGGGCGGGCCGAACTCCGCGCGCCGACATCGGCGCGGCCGCGGGCGTGCCGCGGTGCACAATTCGAGATTTATTTGCGCGAGTGGCGGCAAGGAAGGCGCAAGTGCCAACATGCTGTCGCGGGTGTCGATCGTTCAGGTAAACGGACCTGCCTCCCGGGGTCACTGTGCGCCCGCGCGGCCCGTGCGTCCCCCCGGAGCAGCCCCAAGTCGACCAGCGCTGGCCGCCGCAGCGCTCACACCTCACGACTCTCTCTGGAGCGCGTGGGGCCTCCCTTGCCCTGCTCTGGCAACCCTTGCAGGGGCCCACGCGCCCCAGAAACCGTTTCTCGAACGAACCCGCATCCGAGGGGACAGAGGTCGCATTCGACATCCCACAGCGCGGACGCTAGCGTCCATTCGCGGCCCTCGCCGCCCACGGCGCCTGTGGTCCGAATGCTGCCTTGGACGGGCTGTCCTGCCCCGCAGGCTGCGGCTCATCGGCTGGCGCGCCGGCAACCGACCGTGAATGCGTTCTCCGCTCGCTGGCGCAGGTTCTGAAGAACTGGAACCTCCCTGAGGTCGGGAAGCAGGCGGCCTGCTGGGGCGGGGTGGCTGGAGGGCTCGTCTACTACCTCACGCGGCCAGACGCGGCGTGGTTCAAGAGGAAGTTCGGCTCCGAGTGAGCTCTCGCGCCGGCTGCCGCGACCGCAGACCCCGGTCCCCGCCGCGCGAACCGCGAGGGCGCAGGCAGAGGCAGTTGCCGGGCTCCTGTGAAGCCGCTGCAGCGCACCGCTCGCCCCACGCGCGTGTTCGACGTCACACAGACACCACCTCTGCCCGGGGGGACGCGTGAGGTTCGCGGAGCGCTCTCAGACGGCGGCCTCGCAGCCTGCTCCACCCTGTCCTGCGTGTACGACATGCACTTCCATGCAAACAAACCCACATGGGGACGAATGGCTCGATGTTCGCACCAGGACACGCGACGCGGGCTTGTCAGCGTCGGCGCCGCCCTCGGCGTCGTGCTGGGAGCCCCCCCGGCAGAGGGTCGTCGTTCGCAGCCCTCCATGTGTCTGGCAGCGGGCGCGCGAAAACCTCGGGGCCGGTGACGCAGGCGGCAGCGCGGTGCGACCTTCCGCATCACATCGGTGCTGGGCGCGGGAAACCGCACTTGCGTGCGCTCAACAAGCTACCCAGGCGGTGCCGGGCACCTCGAAAAGACCTCAAGCGGCGCCGGAGCGAGCAGCGGGCCGTCGAGCGAGCAAGACGCCCCCGGACGCGCGCCGCCTCACCAGATCTGGCCGTTGCCGTTCTGGCCGATGGTCAGCGACGTCGGGGGCGCGCTCGACCCCTCCCCTGACTCATTGCCCTTGGAAGTGGCGGGGAACGTTCCCAGGAGGCTGGAAGGGAGCAGCGAGAAGCCGTCGTGGTGCATGTGAGACAGGTCGGACGCCCCCGCGCCGTTGTTGCTCGCGGCGGGCGCGCCGCCCGCCCCCTCCGGCACAGGCGCGGTACCCTTGCCAGAGGCCTCCCCCGCACGGGGCATCAGCGGGCGCGAGAGCAGCCAGGACCCCATGCCGGGGTCGCCCTGCTGCAGCCCGCCGCCCAGCCCGAGCCCTGACGCGGCCATGTTGGACTGACCTGACAGGGGTGCTGCCGACATCCCCGGGGTCGGCATCGGCCCGAGCCCGAGCCCGATCGCACCCGGGAAGCCCATGTTCCACAGGCTCGACGCCCCGAACGGCTGCGACCCGCTCGGCGCCGGCGGGCCGCCCGCGCCGCCCGCCGCCGCGGCACCCGCGCCGGTCGCCGGCCGCGACGGCGGCGCGGGGGCGGCGCCTGCCCGCCCGGACGCGGCCGGCCGCGCCGCAGCTCAGCGCCACGGGCGCCGGCGGGGCGGCGGCGGCGGCACCGCGGCCCCGGCGGCCGCCGCGGCGTACGGCCCGCCCGCGCCGCTCCCTCGCTTGACGGGCGAGCGATCACCCCGGCCGCGGGCCGCTGCTGCGGCGGCGCGGCGTGCCCCGCTCGGCGGCGGCGGCGGCGGCGGCTGCACGACCCCGCCGCCCGCGCCCACCGGCACCGCCTGCAGCGGCCGCCCGAGCGCCGCGGACGCCCGTGAGACGATAAACGCCGAGCGGTCGAGCAGCGCCTGCAGCTCCTCCCGCGGCAGCCGCTCGAGCGCCGGGCCCTCGAAGCGGCCCTCGAGCGCCCGCACCTGCTGCTGCGCGGCCTTCGCGGCGCGCTCGTGCTCCGCCGCGCGCGCCTGGTGCTGCGCCGCCGCCTGCGCCGCCTGCGCGCCCTTCTTCTCGGCGTCCGCCTTCTCCTCCGCGAGCTCCTTCGCCTTGGCCTCCGCGGCCTTGAGCTTCCTCAGCAGGTCCTCGCGGTCCCGCTTCTCGCGCTCCAGCCGCCGCGTGTCCTCCTCGTGCACGCGGTGCACCTTGTCGAGCTGCGACTGCAGCGAACGCGCGCGGTCCTCGGCCTGCTGCCGCTCGCGCGTCAGCTTCTGCACCTCCTTCGCGCGCGCCTGCTGCTGCTTCGCGGCCTGCCGCTCCAGCTCCTTCATGCGCTCGCGCATGTCCTTGGACTCGGCGCCCGCGCGACTGGCCATGTCCTGCTTCTCGTTGCGCAGCCAGTCGACCTGCTTCTCGAGCTCGCCGGCCTTGCTCTCCAGCGACGACACCTTCTCGTGCCGCGCCTTGTCGGAGCGCTCCTGCAGCTTGTGCAGCTTGTCAACCTCGGCCTCAAGCTTGGCGCAGGCCTCCGTGGCTTCGCGGCGGCCGGCCGCCTCGGCGTCCACGCGCTCCGTGAGGCTCGCGATGCGGTCCTCGCACGCCTGCACCGAGCTCCGCATCGTCTCGTGGACGCGGCGGAGGTTCGCGGCCATCGCCGACATGTGCTCGCAGCACAGCCCCGCGACCAGCGCGGTGCACCCGGGGACCGCCGTGGCGACCCGCGCGAGCACGCTGCGAGACGCCTCGATCTGCGCGTGCGTGTCCACGCCGCCGGGCGACGCCGGCTGGAGCGCAGCCATCGTCGCCGCCGTCATGGCCAGGTTGACCAGGGACCGGACAGCCTCGCGCTGCGCCGGGGCCGCCGCGCCGTCCGACAGCGCGCCGTAGATCGCGGCGCCGAAGCGCTGCAGCCGGTCGTCGCGGGACGCCACCAGCGACTCCGCGAGCCGCAGCACGCCCACGACGCGCGGCGGCAGCGGAGACGCGCCGGTGGCGTCCCCGCCGACGCCCGCCGCGTCGCCCTGCAGCGCGCCGTCCGCCGCGAGCGGCCACGTGCCCTCGGGCTCCGCCTCCGACCCAGAGCCCTCCCAGTCGCCGTCGCCGTCGCCGTCGCCGCCGTCACCGGCGCCGTCCTCGTCCTCCGGCCGGCTGCTCCCGGAGCCGTCCCCGACGCCGAGCGACGCCCCGAGCGCGCGGAGCGCCACCATCGCGGCCGTCTCCTCCTCGTTCCGCAGCCCGGCAACGCCCGCCTTGCCGCCGCCCGCCTTGCCGGGGAGCGTCGAGCCCGCCAGACCTTGCACGCCCGTGGCCGAGGTGCCGATCGGGAAGCCCGGCAGCGCGGCGATGGTGAGAAGGGAGTCTTGGTGAGCGTCCGCGGCCGGCCCGGGCGCCCCGGCGCCGTCGCCCGCGGCGTCCTGGTCGGCGTTGGCGGCCTGGAGGTCCGTCGCGGATTCGTCGGTGGCGGCGCGGAGGGCTTCGACCATGGCGGTTTCGCTGAGCGCGCCAGCGAGCACCGCGGCCTCGACGGCGCGGAGCGCGGCGGGGAGCGTGCCCGGGCCTTGACTCAGTGCGTCCAGGATGAGGTCAACACTCCCCCGGGGGAGTGCGCCGTCGCCGCTGTCCGGCGCGACGCTCGCGGGCGCCTCGTCGTCGGCGTTGGCGTCGCCGGACTCGCTCAGCCGCAGCGGCTCGCCGCCGGCACGCCGGCTCGGCGTCGCTGGGGCGGGGGACTCCGGGACCACCCGCGGGGACTCTGGCTCCGCGGGCATCGGCGACGCGTCCGCGTCCTCGTCGCGGCAGTCGTTCCCCGTGTCCCCGCGGTGCTCGGGCGCCGGCGCGGCCCCCGCGTCCGTCGACGGCCCCACCATGGCACCCATGCTGTCTGCAACACTCGTCAGCAACGCGTGGGCAATGTCCGCGTGATGCGACACCGCCATGCGCAGCAGCCGCATGCCCTCCTCCGCGCCAGGCCGGTCCGCGGCCCCGCGGCTCAGCTCCCGCAGCAGGCTGGGCACGCCCAGCGCCGCCAGCGACGGGTGCTGGCTCGAGAGCTTGAGCACGAGCGCGACCGCAACGGACAGCTCCTGGCCCTCGAGCGCCGTCATGGCGTCGAGCGCGGCGCGCATCGTCGTCTCCGCGGCCTCCGCGGACAGCGTGAGCTGGCTGAGCGCGCCCATCGTCGCCGCGACGCTGCTCGCGCCCACCTCCACGATCAGCCCGTCCTCCGACCCGCTCGCGGCGCGCCCGTCGCCGTTCGCGGCGTCCGCGAACTCGGCGGCCGGCGTGGTCTTCGGGCTGTCCGCGAGCTCGTGGTCCCCAGAAGCCAGCCACTCGCACAGGCAGCGCGCCGCCTGCCCGTGCTCCGACGCGTCGACGAGCTTCGGCACGAGCAGCAGGATGTCCGAGAGCAGCGACCGCGGCGCCGACTGCAGGAGCGACGCCAGGCGGTGCGCCATCGGCGGCCGCGGCGCCCGGGGCGGCAGCGGCAGCTGCGACGCCTGCACGGCGTACGTGTCCAGCGTGCGCAGCGAGTGGATAATCAGCCGCAGGAGCGTCTCGCTCTGCTGCCCCGGCGACGCGGCGTCCGCGGCGAGCCGCTGCGCGAGCTCGCTCGCGCCCTCGCCGCCCGCGGACGAATCATCAGACGTCCCGTCGTCCGACCCGCCCGCGTCCCCGTCCCGCGGCCCCGCGCCGTCGCCGGCCTCCTGCTGCATCGCCGACATCACGCGCGCCGAGTTCTGCGCGTCCAGGCAGCACTCCACCATGATGTCGAGCAGCAAATCCACGATCGCGTGCTGCAGCATCTTGACGCCCACCAGCAGGTTCATCAGGTTCAGCGGCGACTGGCCGTCCGCGCCAGCGCCGCCGCCGCCGCCGCCCGCCTTCTTGCCCCCGGCCGCCACCGCCCCGCCCGCGCCGCCGCCCTCCTGCGCCACTCCCGGCATCAGCAGCCGCTGCACCTTGGAAGGGTCGTCTAGGTACACGCGCAGGCCGGCCAGGAACGACGCGACCGCGCTCGTGTCCATCAGGATCTTGTCGCGGAGCGTCGTCTGCAGCGCCTTGGGGTCCAGCACGGGGCTGTCCCCGCCGCCCTGCAGCCCCGCCTTGGCAAACAGCTGCTGGAGCAAGTCCTCCTTGCCTATCGGCTCGCTCTGCCGACGCGCGCCGGCGCCGCCGTGCGCCGCTGCGGCCGCGGCGACGCCGCCCTCGAGCACGGCCGCGACCGCGGACGGCGCGGACGGCCCCGCGAGCATCGCGGCGGCCACCCCGCAGGCGTGCGCGCTGCTCGACACCCCGCCCGCGTCGTCGTGCACGCCCGGGCCGGCGCCCTCGCCGATCGCGTCGTCCTCGGACGCGAGGTCCGAGAAGCACTCCTCCCACGGGTGCACCTCGATCACCTCGCACTGGAAGTGTACCGAGTCCTTGGACAGAAAGCCGCGCTTGGGGTCCACCATCTCCGGGACGCGGACGAACTGCAGGACGGAGTTGTTCCAGTTGCGCGTGCAGATGGAGCTCTCCTTCCACAGCGTCTTCTCGCTGTTCTTGTGGTTGACCAGCCCGATGCGGTACCGCAGCCAGTAGTTGCCCAGCGCGCCCTCGGGGGGCGCCGCCGCGCCGCCCTGCTGCCCCGCGCCGGCGCCCGCGGCCGCGGCGTCGCTCTCGAGGTACACGCACAGCGTGTCGAACGACTCGTACACCCCGAGGCGCAGCTCGCACCCGCCCGCCGGGAAGTACCGGCTGAAGATCTTGCGCGTCTCCATAATGTCCTTGAAGGCCGTGAAGTTCTCCACGCGCCACGTGAAGACGACCACGGGCCCGAGCGAGGGGCTCTGCGGCGGCGGGAGGTCCCGGTCGCCCCCGAACGTCGGCGGCAGCGACGGCCGCGTCGCCTGCGCGGGGTTGTCGGCAAAGTAGACGGCGCGCTGCACCTCGTCGACCGAGCTGCTCTCCTTCAGGATCTGCACCTCCGCGCTGAACACGACGGTGTTGTTCAGCAGCAGCCCCGCGTCCTGGTCGAACAGCTGCGTCAGCGTGATGAACTCCCGCCACCCCCAGTCCTTGGCCGTACGGCTGTAGCGGTTCTGGCTCTCCTTGACGACGCTCTGGTGGACGTCCGACTTGCCGCCCTCGGCCTTCTGGTTGACGACCGCGAGCTTGTGCGACACGAAGCACGACCAGTCCTGCGTCGTGCACCGGCTGTCGGTCACCTCGAGGAACATCGACAGGTGCATGGGCGGCTGGCTCTGGCCGCGCGGGTACACGATCAGGCGGCAGTCGCGGCCGCCGACTTGGAACCGGCGGCTCTTGATGCACAGGCCCGTGATCTTGCGCTTCTTCAGGATGTCCTTGAGCTTGTTGAAGTTCTCCACGCGCCACATGAACTTGCCCTGGAACGTCTCGCCGCCCGCGACGAGCTTGGCCTTCGCGCGGGTGGACCCGGGCGGGCCGAGGGAGGGCGCGACGCGGAGGAAGTTGCACGTCTCCTTGATGATGTGGAACGACGCCGCGAACACGGCCGTTTGCCCCACGAGGTACCCCAGGGAGGGGTCCAGGAACTGACTCATGGGCATGTAGTCGTTCCACCCGAGGGAGGAGTTGTCGCCCGAGGCCGAGTCCGACGTGAACCGCCCGTAGCTGTCCCGGTGCATGTGCTTCTTCGGGTCCTCCTGGTTGTGCACCGTCATGCGGAACAGACACCAGCACGTCTTCTCCGGCACGTTGGCGCGCTCCCCGTCCTTGGATTCGAGGCACATCGACAGGTGGTCCGACCCGGCGACGACCGACTGGTAGACGGACAGGCGGAGGTTGCACTCCGAGGCCGGGAAGAGCGGGGACATGATTTTCTGCGTCCGGATCATTTCCTGGAACAGCGGGAAGTTGTGCACGCGCCACGTGAACTTGCCCGACAGCACCTCGCCGCTCGTGGCCGACGCGCCGACGGCCATCGTGTCGTCCTTCACGAAGGACGCGTGCTCCGCGAGGATCAGGATCTGCGCGGCGGTCGGGAGGGGTCGGTGTGTGACGGCGACGTCGCGCCACGCTCACGGGGCGGAGAGTGGCGCGTGCGAGGCGGGGGAGGCGGCGCGGCGGGCGCGGGGCGGAGGGGGGGCTGTGGGGAAGGGCGGCGGGGGTGTGGCGGCGCGCGGCGGGACGCGCGCGGGCCTGTGGCGTGCGTGGGAGGCGCCGGGAGGCTGAGAGCGCCACCTGTGCGGAAACGACGATCGAGTCGCCGACCATGAAGCCGTCCTTCTTGCTAAAGACCTGGTCGCTAGGGGTGAAGTCGCACCAGCCGTGCGATTTCTTCTTCGCCGAGAACCTGCGCGCGGTGGGCGACGGAGCCCTGGCCTTGAGCGGGCGGTGCGACGGCGCGCGGGGGGCGCGGCGCTGCCCGGGGGCGCGCGGCGCGGGGCCGTGTGGCGGCGCTGAGCGGGCGCGGGGTGCGGAGGGGCGCGATGTGCGCGCGCCGGCGGCGGTTTCGGCCGGCAAGCACAGCCGGCTTGCTCTCGCTGGGGGGGACGGCGGATGCGCGCGCGTGTCGCGGGCGGGGCGTATGGCGGGGCGGATCCCCGTGGGCGGGAGCGGATGGTGCTTCGTTGGGGGGGCGGCGGGGTGTGTGCGCGGGCGGTTCTCACCGGTGCCAGGAGTCTCGAACTACTGAGCGCGTGGAGTCCCGCTGATTCTCCACCGCGAGGCGATAGGAAGCGAAGCAGTCCCATTTTGACGAGTTTCCCCCGGGATCCGTGACCTGGAGGTATATCGAAAGATATCCGGGCAGCGCTTGCGAGTCACCTGCAAAGTTCGCGACCCGATACGAGCGCCGTGGGCGTCCTGTTTGCCCTGGCGGGGGTCGAGGGGCCGGAACAGGTTCCCCCACGCGACGCGCGGGCGTCGCGGCCTCCTCGCCGGCCCGCGTTCGCCGCGCCGAGCACGGCTTCGACGTGCAAAGCGGAACCAGCGGCTCCCGCAGGCGCCCCGCGACAGTGCGCCGGCCCAAGCGGCGCGCTTCCGGCTCGACGAATTCGCCTGGGGCGCTTCCTGCTGCATCCGGCGCGCCCGCTCGGCGACGGGGCGGAACAGCGGCAACGGCCTGCGCCTTGCACGGCTGAAGAACCTCTGCCCACAGCGCCGCGCGCCGGATGCGGCAGCCGGCCCGGGCGAACGCGCTGCCACCGGCTGGACCACACGCGGGCGGCCACGGCCTCGCGGCAGCATCTACTTGCCCCTCGCGCCCGTCCGTGGGCTGCCGCGCCAGCGGGGCCCTCCTTGCGGCCGCTCGCGCCGCGCACGCGCCGCCAGGGTGCGACCCGGCCGGCCCCGCGCCTCCGTCGCGCCTCGAGCCACCTCTCGGGGCCGTTTCCGTACCCGCGGCCCCGTGAGCAGGGCGTGGGCGCACCTTTCGGGTAGAGGAGAAGCCGGCAGTCGAAGCCCCCGACCTCAAAGTACTTGCTCCACAGCGCCCGGCTGCGCGAGTCGTTAGCTCGTGGGACCGTCCACTTGCAGGTCGCGGAGTACTGGTCGTGTCGCTCCACGACCAGGCCTCCATCCTGCGACGGTCCATCGCTGGCGGTAGCCAGCTCCGTCGCGCCACTCATCTGACGGCGCGCCACATATGTAGCAACTGGTCTCGGTGTTGCGCCGCGGCCCCGGCGGACCGCCCTATGCGCCCCGCCACGGCCCCAGCGGCCGGACTGCCCAGCCCCCCGGTGCGTCCTGTGGCGCCTCGTGCCGGCCCGGGAGGCCAAGTTGCTGCGCCCGCTGCTGCAGCTGCGACCGCTCTACGCGCCCGCGCTCCACAGGCCACTCGGAGATCCGCGGACGGCACGCAGCTCTCGCGCGAAGCCTCGGCACCCGCGTTCGCACGGCAAGTGCGCTGCGCCCGCGCCGGCCGCGCGGTTCCGGGGCGGACCGCCTGTGCGCGAGCGCGAAGAGACATGGCAGTCGCGTGGCAGCTGCCGCGGTGCTGCCTGCTGCGCCTGCCGGCGCTGCGGCAGCGTGCGGGAGTGCCAGTGCTTGTGGCAGCCCCGAGGGGACGCTTCGGCGGCACGGAGCGGGCCTGCGACGCGAGCCGGCAGATAACCACGCGGCTGTTCGCCCAGGCTGCCGGGTCGGCCCAAGCGGCCCGGAAGCGCGTCAGGAAGAAGGTGACTGTGTTGCTCCCAGGGTGTCATCGTGCCCTGCGCTCGAGAGCGAGCCGCGACGCGGTTCCAGGTCGCGAGCAGAATGAACCGGGGCAGAACCCCGGCTTCGGCTGATCGAACCGCTGGGACGACCGTCTCCAGCGCCTCTGCAGCCAGCGTTTGGCTCGAGGTAGCTCCCTCCCGACGGGCGCTCGGGCGGCCGCCTCATCGCGCCGTGCGCCGCGACGGCGGTCTCTGCAGGTGGCGGACTCGAAACTAGACCTCGACGGCGTCGCGCAGGAGCTCAAGGACCTCCTGGCGTCCATGCCTCCCCCCGCAAGGCACGCCCGCTGCGCTCCCGGGTCGAGACCCCGGCGCATTTTTCATTTTCCAGCTCGCCCTCCACCACAGCAGCCAAGAATCGCCGCCGCACGCACCTCGCGCCTCCGCTCGGCGCGGCGTGGTCGCGCTTGTGCCTTTGCGCGCTGTCCGCGGCTCGTGTCGAGGTGGCTGACGCGTCCGAGACGGTGCCGGTGCGCAGGGTGCAAGTGCGGAAGGCGGAGTACCTCACGAGCAACACGGACTGGACGAAGTGTCCGGAGCCGGACAGGCCCGAGTTCGCAGTGATTGGCCGCAGCAATGTTGGCAAGTCGTCACTGATCAACATGCTCACGGGGCTCAAGTCCCTCGCGCACGTGTCGAAGGAGCCAGGGAAGACCAAGGTGCGGCTCGTTTGCGCGACGATGCGTCTGCGCCGCCAGGACCGCGTGACGTTTGAACGATTGTCGATCGAGTGGTGGCGCGAGACCGTCCCGGTTGTCCCGCGCGCGCTGCAGTGCATCAACCACTTTTCCATCAACGACGAGTGGTACCTCGTGGACCTGCCCGGCTACGGCTTCGCAAAGGTCGCGAAAACTCTCAGAGAGGTACGTCACGACTACCAACGCCGCCGCAGCGTCTTCGCGTGACGCCGCGCCCCGCGCCGGCCCTCGCAGAATGCCCATCGCTTTGTCAACCTCGCACGGTACCGATCTGCTCCCCCGCACGCAGCTCCTGCCGCCTGCACCGCGCTGCCACCGTTGCACGCTCCCGCGGGACCGACCCGCACTGCGCGCCCTCGCTGCAGGAGTGGACGGGCATGATCCAGGACTACCTGACGCAGCGGGACAACCTCGCGTCCGTCCTGCTGCTCGTCGACGCCTCCATCCCCCCCACGCGGGCCGACTTGGACGCGGCGCGGTGGCTGGGCGACGCGATGGTGCCGTACACGATCGTGTTCACGAAGTGCGACAAGAAGAAGAAGGGCGTGCCCCCGCACGAGGAGAACATGGCCGAGTTCAAGCGCGTGCTCCAACAGGAGGGGGACTTCGCTTCACTCCCCCCCAGCGTCGCGACGAGCTCCGAGACCGGCATGGGGAAGCGCGCGCTGCTGTCGTATCTCGGCCAGCTGCGGTACTTCGCGGAGGAGCAGGCGGCGGAGGTGGCGGCGGAGGAGGTGCGCGACGCTGCGGGGGGCGGCGAGGACGACAACGACGGGTGGGGGTGGTCCGAGGACGAGGAGGACGAGGAGGACGAGGTGGACGAGTTCGACAGCCCGGACAATCCGGAGAAGCAGAAGGGGCGGAAGGCCGGGCGTGGGCGGCGTGGCCGCGCGGTGTGATGCACGGGGCTCGCCGTGTCAGGGAGCAGGCGGTGGGGGGTTGGTTCGCGCGTTGGAGATGGCGTGCTGGAGGCGGCGTGGGGTGTGGGCGCGTGTGGCGGAGGAGGTGCGCTGAGCAGCTGCGGTGTCGCGGGGCGCGCATGGCGGCAGCTGTGTGTGCCGAAAATGGCGCCCGGGTGGCATGTCGTGACGAGGCCTGCCGCGCGGCGTGCGAGTACGTCCGGTGCGTTCCAGGCGACGGCGACATGCCGGCGCGGGCCCGTGGACGGCAAAAGGAGGGTGTTCCTGGTATTATAGCAATGACGTGGGCAGAGGTGCGGCAGGGGCGCATTGTACGTCGCGCACCGCCGGGCTACGTTAGAGCAGAACACGTCCTTCGTGTTGGACACAGTTGTAGCTCCTGCGCCTGCCTTGCCAGCTCGCCACAAGCTGCTGAAGGAGCTGCCGAAGAGACCGGGCCGTGTCCTGGGACGTAGCAGTCGCGCCAGACCCCGGCTGCGGCGCCACTTTGTGCTGCGTGGTTCGTCGGTGACAGCTGGCTGGTCTGACAGCACGCTCCCGGCTTCTGGGACGCGGGCGCGATGGCGTCCAAGCCCAATGCCGTGCCCCCGTACGGCCACCGCAAGGGCTACATCCCGCGGACGCCTGCCGACTTCGGAGACGGCGGAGCCTTCCCTGAGATCCACGTCAGGCAGCACCCGCGGCCTGAGCGCAAGGCGACCGGTACGCTGCCCGATGCCCGCCCTGGTCCTGACGGCACGCTCCGCGCGCGCTGCCGCGCTGCGTAGGCCGGGAAAGCGACGAACCGCGCTGGCGCACGCGAGATGAGCGGCGAAAGTCCACGTCCACCGGCGCGGATCGCGGCTGATGCCCTCGACGGGCCGCGCGCCGGCAATGTGTTGCCCATCGCTGCACGTCGCGGCGAGGGCGCGCCTGACGGATATTCCGCGATTTCCGCCGCCGCACCGCGCAGGTACCACGCTCGCGCAAACCGTCGCGGCGGACGGCAGCGTGAACTTCGGCTCCATCGCGCAGCAGGGCGGCAACAAGCACCGCACCGTGTTCAGCAGCTTCACGGACCTCATCCCGAAGCCGCAGCTGGCCACAGGCGACCAGCTCGTTCGACCAGATGAGGAGGAGGTCAAGGCGCGTGCTCCTGTCCAGTGGCGCCCCGCCAGCCCGGCCACGCAGCGCCTCCACTGCAGGACCTCTTTCCTCGCGCCAACCCTCCCCGCAGACCCCATCTGCCCGATACGCCCGCGAATCCAGCTACACGTTCACCACACCACCTTCCACGCCCCGCCGCACGCCGACGCGACCCCCCCCGGCCCGCCACCGCCCCTCGCAGGACACCGCGAAGGAGACGGCCAAGGCCCTGCAGCAGCTGGTGGAGAAGCGCGTGGCGGCGACGAACCCGAAGAACCTCCCAGACCAGGGCGGGTCCGCGCAGCTGATCAAGTACACCCCCGCGACGCAAACGGGCACGACAGGAGCCAAGCAGCGTCTGATCAAGATCCAGGACGCCCCGGTGGACCCCCTGGAGCCGCCGAAATTCCGGCACATGAAGGCCCCGAAGGGCTCCGGGTCCCCGCCCGTGCCCGTGATGCACTCGCCGCCCCGCGCGGCCACGAAGGCGACACTCGAGGACTGGAAGATTCCACCCATGGTTTCGAATTGGAAGAACCCGAAGGGTTTCATTATCCCGTTGGACAAGCGGCTGGCGGCGGACGGTCGCGGGCTCCAGACGACGCAGATCAACGACAACTTCGCGAAGTTCGCCGAGGCGCTCAGCGTCGCGGAGAGCCGCGCGCGCGAGAGCGTCAACATGCGGCAGAAGATGCGGAAGGAGCTCGCGCAGCGGGAGCGCGACCGCAAGGAAGAGGAGCTCCGTGCCATGGCTGCGCGCGCGCGCGAGGAGCGCCTCGGCGGGCCAGCCGCCGCGGCCCGCGTGGACGACGCGCCCCCCGCGGGCGGATACCCCCGCCGCCGGCCGCGCCCCGCGACAGCGGCGGCAGCGACGGCGACGAGCCCGCGCGGCGGGACGCCGCCGACGACGACCGCTACCGCCGGCGCGACGACGGCGCGTCGCGGGAGGACCGCGAGGCGCTGCGGCGGCGCGAGGAGATTCGCCGCGACCGGGCGCGCGAGCGGGAGCGCGAGCAGCGGCTGGCGGAGGCCGGGGAGCGCGGCGGGCGGCTGAGCAAGCTGTCGCGCGACAAGGACCGCGACATCAGCGAGAAGGTTGCGCTCGGGCAGGCCAACATCAAGAGGACGGGCGAGGCCATGTACGACCAGCGGCTCTTCAACCAGGACGCCGGGATGGCGAGCGGGTTCGCGGCGGACGACGCGTACAACCTCTACGACAAGGCGCTCTACGCGGACCGGTCGAAGACCTACAAGTGCGCAACTCACACCCACCCCCCTCACTTGCGTTGCGGCGAGCGAGCGAGTTGTTCCTGGGCGCTGCTTTGCGGCCTGTGCGTTGCGTCGTGTTCCTGGGCACGTGCCTGCGCCGCTGCGTGGCCGTGCGGGCCCGAAGCCGCAGGCGCCAGCACCACACTGGCACGTTGTGGGGTCTCCAGCGTTACCCAGGCCGCGTCGCCGTTGTTCACCGACGACCGCGCTCGCGTACGTGCAGGGCGCCTGCTGCGGGCGGGCCGGACGACGACCTCGGCGACGACGCCCCGGGGCGGCGCTTCAAGCCCACCAAGGGGTTCGCGGGGGCGGACTCGCCGACCGCCGGGACGAAGCGCGGCGCGGGGGGCGTGGAGTTCGAGAAGGCGCCCGGCGAGGCGGATCCGTTCGGGCTGGACGACTTCCTGAGCAACGCAAAGCGGCCGCGCACGGACGGGTAGTTGCAGGGGGTGTGATGGCAGGCCTGACCCAGAATCGGAGTGCTCGCACGGCGTCGGTTGCATGTGTCGCGGGGATGTGTTCGGCGACGCTGGCGTGGCGTACGCGGGCCGGAGGATCAGAGAGGCATCAGAATGGACCAGCGCGCGCTGCTGCTGCAACGCCGGTGCGGCCGATGGATGCGGTGGCCATGACGCGATGCTGCGGCCACGGTGGGTGTTCAGGCCGCCTCGCTGGGGTTGCAGCGTCGCGCCACCACAAGAATACAGTCTGCGAGCACCTGCGACACAGCCTGGCTGCCCACCGCATCGAAGCCCCTGTGCGTTGCGCGCGGAGAGCCCGCCGTGCGCATGTCGGCCCAGGACGCAGCTCAGGCGCCGCAACGCCTGCCGTCAGCCCGCCTCACGCCCACCAACGTCACGCATGCAACTCCTCCCGCCCCACACAGCCCCCGACCGCGCATCTCGCGCGCCCCACCCCCCAGCGACAGCTCCGACACGCCGCACGCAGCGCTCCTCCCGCGAGTCAGCCAGACGCTCTTCACACCCCCGGGGCCCCGTCCGCTACATGCGCACCAGCTCAACCTCAAAGTGCAGCGTCGACTCCGACGGGATGGGGCCGACGGCGCGGGAGCCGTAGCCGAGGTGCGGCGGGATCACGAGCCTGCGCTTCTCCCCGACGCACATGCCCTCGACGCCCTGGTCCCAGCCCTTGATGACCTGGCCCGAGCCCAGGACAAACTCGATCGGCGTGCCGCGCTTGAAGCTGTTGTCGAACTCGGAGCCGTCCTCGAGCGTGCCCTTGTAGTGCACCTGCGAACGAGGCAGGGAGTGCGCGTCAGGGCGGGCTGGAGCGGGCCGCTCGCGCGCATGCCCCCTGTGGTGGGCTAGTGCCGGTGCAGCACGGGGGGGGCGGCGCGTCGCAGAAGCGGCTTGATATCGCGGTGTGTGTTGGTGTCTCGTAAAGGGGGGCGCCGCGATCTTGATGGAGGGGGTCGGTGGGATTGGGGGGGCCCCAAGGGCTGGCTGTTGCTCTCAGGCACGAGTGTGCGCACCGCGACGCGCTGGCCGGGCTTGGCGGTGTTGGTGCAGTCCTCAGGGACGAAGGTCTGAACGATTTCCACGTCCTGCTTCGCGAACGTCCCCGGAACGACGCCCACCAGCAACGCCAGCAGCGCCACGAGGCAAACCACGCTCCTCTGCATCATGGTGACACGCTGGAACGCAACCGAACGACCCAGAACGCGCAGACTGGACTGGACGCGCGCCTCCGGGCGCCAACACCGCGCACCGGCAACCGACGCCGTGCTGCCAGGCCGACAGCGTCAGCTCCCGGCGCGCCTCACGAAAGTCCCCCCCCGAGCACGTCTCGGGGCCTCGCACCGCGATCGTTGCCGCACCGCACCCCCTACTTCCAGCTAGATCCTGCCAGGCACCGAACGGCGTTCCGTCCCGCAGTCCCTGTGTGCGATCGGGCGTGACCTGCTCCACTCCTGTCGCACTCCCGCAAGTCCGGGCCAGGACAGCGCGTCGCGATCCACACGGCCCGATGACCTCGCTCATAGCCTCGCATCGCCTCGCGGTGCGGCCAACGTCGTCGGCGTCGACGCCCCGTCGCGCCCAGGCCCCCTTTGCCGCTGCAAGGTATCGCTCGGATGCGACGTCCAGCCGCGTCGTGGCCGCGCGGGGCTCCCAGGTCTCGGCTGCTGCAGTTGCGGACGTGACGCGGCGGCGCACCATCGTCGCGCAGTCCGCGCCCGCGGGCCAGGCGACACCCACTGTGGTGGCTACGCGAGAGAAGGGGAAGAATGGCTCTCTGATCAAGGTGCGCTCTCGCGACGACCAACGCATTTCGCGATTTCTCGCATGCTGTACGCCAAAGCGGGCCGCGGGGGGGCGCGGATCGATCGGAGCGGCCACGCGCGGGACGCGGGCGCGGACCCTATCAGGGGGCACATCACCGAGCACGGGCTGCGTCGGTTTCGCGCGGTGTCGTGCAGGCGCTGCGGGCGCGCGGCATCCACGGCATCGAGCTCCCGCTCATCGAGCACTGCTACGCGGAAGACACGGAGGCCCTGCCTGCGGCGCTCAACGAGGAATGGGAGTGGGTCGTTGTCACGTCTCCTGAGGCCGCCATCGTGCTGCTCGAGGTACATCCCCCCCGCACAGCTCTGTCGCAGCTAAGAGAACCGCTGACGCGCGCGACACCTGCGTTTTCGCCCGCGTGCTGCGTCTCAATTCCCGGTGGCACCAGCACTGCATCCGATAGCCTCTGAACGCCGACGTGGCCCCGCGAGCGCCCCTGCAGGCCTGGCACGCAGCCGACCGGCCCGACATCCGCGTCGCTGCCGTCGGCGGCGGCACCTCGCGCCGCCTGGCGTCCGTCGAGGGCTTCCCCAAAGTGGCCTTCCAGCCCTCGCGCGCGTACGCGACGCAACTGTCCGCGGAGCTCCCGATGACCGACGGCGGCAACCGCCGCGTGCTCTACCCGGCGAGCGCGCGCGCCAAGGCCACTTTGCAGGACGGCCTGAGTCAGCGTGGGTTCGAGGTTACCCGCATGAATACATACTCGACGAAGCCCGCGGAGGACCTCCCCGAGGACGCACTCAAGCAGGCGAGTCACCGACATCACGCGCGTGCCAGCGCCGGCGCCGCAGCGGCGCGTGCCCGAACCTTGCGTGTGTTGCCCGGCGCCAGTGCAAAGATTGCTTTGCGCGGTGGCGGTTCGTTCGCGCAGGCGCTCGAAGCCAAGGTGCTGACGGTGGCGTCGCCGTCGGCGCTCCGGGCGTGGCTCAAGATCTCCGGCGGGCACCCCGACGGCATGCACGTCGCCTGCATCGGCAGCACCTCGGCCACGGCCTGCGAGCGCGCCGGCCTCGACATGACGCGCGTCCACTGGCCCCAGGACGCGAGCCCGGGCCTCGAGGGCCTCGTCGGCGCCGTCGAGGAGGCGCTCGCCGCCGCCGCCGCCGATGAGCCCGAGCCGGGGGTGAGCGAGGCGGTGGCCGACTCGCCCGCGCCGCTGGCGCCGGAGCCCGAGCCCGAGGCCGTCCCCGAGCCCGAGGCAGCCGCCGAGCCCGAGCCCGAGCCGCAGCCGGAGGCGGAGGCGGAGGCGGAGGCGGAGGCGGAGCCCGAGGCCGCACCTGAGCCTGTGGCGGCCGCTGAGCCGGAGGCCGAGCCGGAGCCGGAGGCCGAGCCCGTGCTCGCGCCCAAGCCGCAAATGGCTGCGGCGGCGGTGGAGGAGGCGCCGAAGCCCGAGCCAGTGGCGGCGGCGGCAGAGGTGGCGGCCGCGCCGCGCGTCGCGGCCAAGGCGGTGCGGTCGGAGAGCAGCGACGTCACGATGGTGTTCACCGGCGACGACCTCAAGTGCGCGACGTTCGCGGAATTCATGCAGCGGCGACAGGGCTGAGCATTCCCGCCCCCCGCTGCGCTTTGAATCACGTGGGCACGGCGCTGTGAGCCACGCGCTAGCGAAACGAACAGGTCGCCGCAGCCACGCGCAGCGGGCCTGGCCGCGTAGCCCGCGCGAGATCTTACGCTCCAGCGGCGCCCTCTGTGCAGCCAGTTCCCTCCTTGACACTTGATGCACTGAAAGGGCGCAACTGAGTAATCAGTACAACGAACGTGTCAACTGGAGGAGTGGGTGACGCGTTCGCTGACCTGCGAGGATCCTCTCTGCGAAGCAAGCCCCCAATGACGCCGAAGCGCGGCTGCGGCGCGACAGATCGTCACAGCCCTGACGCAGGCGCCCGGCGGCGCAGCATGCCAACACGCAGCGGCTCCCCGCCGCGCCCGCGCGCGTCGTGAGTCTCTCCGGCGCGCCCACCCGCACTCGAGGATCCTCGCCTGCCGTTCTTCACTTGGGCACGATGCTCCGCGGGTGCGCGCGCGCGCTGTCCCACAGCTCCGGGTTGATCTCCGTCGCGGCCTCGAGGTCCAGCAGCCACCGCAGCCCGCCGCTCGTCGGCCGCACCAGCTGCGCCGGCAGCGCGCCAGGAATGGCCTGCACCTCCAGCGCCCGCTGCGCGATCTCCGCCTTGCCCTTGCCCATCGCGACCACAAACACCTCCTTCGCGTTGTTGATCAGCGGCAGCGTCATCGTGATGCGCTCCGGCGGCGGCTTCGGCGAGTCCGTGATCTCCACAACCAGCTCGTCCTTGACCCCCACCTGGGGCCGGTGCGGGAACAGCGACGCGACGTGGCCGTCGGGCCCGATGCCGAGCAGGATGAGGTCGATCTGCGGGATCCCGTTCACGTTCGGGCAGGCCTTGGAGCCCAGAATGTCGCCCTGGTAGGCCTTGGCCGCCATGTCGGGCGACAGGTCCTCACGAATGGCGTGGATCTGGTCCACGGGGATGGCGGCGCCGTCGAGGAAGGCCTTCTTCGCGGCGCCGTGGTTGGAGTCCGGCGAGGAGTGCGGGACGCAGCGCTCGTCCGCGTAGAAGATGTGCCACTTGGCGAAGTCGGGCTTGGCGTCGAGCTGGTGCATGGCCGGGAGCGCGTTGAGGAGGGACCCGCCGGAGAGGGCGAGCGAGAAGGAGCCCTTCTTCGCGATGGCCTCCTCGGCGGCCTTGACGACGAGCTTCGCGAGACCGACTGCGTGTGGGCGCGAGAGGGCTGGCGTCAACCGACAGGGGGGCGGGCGTGCGGTGCGCAGGGGGGGAAGCGGGCGGGTTGGACCGAGGATTGGGTGTGGAGAAAATGTGAAGTGGGCGGTGGGGCGGGGCGGCGGGGCGGAGAGGGCGTGGCGGAGCGAGTCCGCGGGCGGTCGGGGTGGTGGCTGCAGCTTGCCTGCTCCGGCCTTGGCGTTGGTGAAGGTGGAGACCGCGACCTCGACCTCCGTGCCGGGGTAGTCGATGATCATCGGGACGCCCGTGCCGGGGCCCGTCGAGGTGGAAAGGGGTGCAACCTGCGCGCGCAAGCCACGGTACTTCCCGCCAGCTGAGGACAGCGCAGCTGCGGCGCCGTGCGAGCGAGAACCGCGCGCGGCGCAAGCGATCAGCGAGGACATGCGTTGCGCAAGCCACGTGGGGTCCGAGGCCGCGCCGGACGCGGCTGTGCTGGCCGCACGCGCCCGAGCAAGGGGCACCAGGGCAGCACACAACGCGACTTGCGCTCTTTCCGGCCCCTGCCGCGTCCAGCGGCGACCACGTCGGGGGCCTCAGCGGCCGGGAAAGTCCGGGGAGGCGCCGGGCGGCACAATTTGCGCGGCGCGCTCACCGCTCCGGACGCCATGAGGTGCGCTCCCATAACAGGGGGGATCCCAGACTCCCAGCGGGACTTCTCGATGACGTTGAACCGCTCCGAGTATCCACGCGGGGGCTTCGGGTAGCGCTGCGGGCAGGCGCGGCAGGGGGGGGTCTGGCGTGAGCGGGGCGCGGAGGGCAGAGGCCTGCTTCGCCGTCGCTGGCGGTTGCGGCCGCTGAGCGCCTGCGGCGCCCGCAACGGCGGATCCGGCGCCGCGGATCGCGAGTTCGCGAGGCAGGGGGCGGAGCGCACGTCGTCGGCGACCTCGGCGCGCGCAACGGTGCGCGTGCGGGGGCGGAGAGTTGACGTCGCAGGGCAGGCAAGCCGGCTGGCGCCCGCGAGGATGGCGTTCTGCAGCATGGGTTGCGTGCAACGCTCTCTCCGAAAGCGCACAACTGCCACGCGCGCCCGCGGGCGGCACCCCTCCCGCCCCCGCGCGCACCACGCCCCCGCCCCCCGCCAGCGGAGGGCCCCCCAGGCGCTGTGCGACCGCACTGCGGCGCCGGGCTCGAGGGGGGCGCGCGCGGGAGCGCCTCGGCAACCTGGGCCCGGCGCAGTGCTTGTCGCTGACGGCTCGTTCGGTGCGCGTAGAGGCGCTGAGCGGCTCCGTGGACGGCCGTGCGCGAGCGGCAGCGAGGAGCGCGGCCCCTGCGGCCCTCTGGGGCCACGTCGAACGCTGTTGCATGTGCCCCGCAGTTCCAGCGACCTGAGGACTCCTCCGCGTGCGCGGGCGGCCACGCGGCGGACCGACCTCCCGCCGCGTCGCCACGCGCACCCCGCACGCTCTCTCCGGCGGTCGCCCCGGCGCCGCGGAGCGTGGCTCGCCGGGCGGAAGAGCCCCCGCGCGCTACCATGGAGGAGATGAACCTGCCGCGCGTGCGCGACGCCGCGCTGAGCTTCGCGGTCGACGGCTACCCGACCACGTACCTCTCCGATGACGACCTCCACGCCGCGCGCCGCGGCTGGGGCGACGGCCGACTCAATCCCAAGGGCGTCTCCTTCAGGTACGGCCCCGCGCTCGCTCCCCCGGCCGCCCCCGCGCTGCCTCGGCGCCCCCCCGCGGCGCCCTCGGGCAAACCGTGCGGGCGTGAGCCAGCAACGTGGTGGCACGCTGCCGCGCGGCCCCGAGCGCCCGGCGGCCCCGCGCGGTCCCCGCAGGCACTCCCGGAGCAAGAGCAAGCCGTGGGAGGCGTCGATCAGCTTCATGGGCAAGAACCGCGGCCTGGGCTCGTACGCGACGCCCGACCAGGCCGCCCGCGCCTACGACTGCGCCGCGCGCATCGCGTACGCGGGCCTGCCGCTCGAGTCCCTCCGCGAGAAGCTCAACTTCCCCGACCACCTCGTCTACCCGCCCGAGGCGTGCCGGAAGGGCCTCTCCAAGATCCAGGAAGACCTCATGGGGGCGGAGGAGGCTGCCGTGGTGCTCCAGGACATCTCCTGCGTCGCGCCTGCGCCCGATCCGGCGGCCGCGACGCCGCGCGCGCGGCAGACCGGCGCGAGGAGCGCCGCGAACGGCGCGGCGGGGAAGCACGCGGACGGCGCGGGCGGCGCGGGGGCTGCGCCCGGGGCGGACGATGGAGACGCGCTGCCGGATCCCGAGGACGCGGCGGCCTTCGAGGAGACGCTCGAGGCGTTCCTCGCGCTGCGGTGCGGCCCGGAGCGCGACGAGGAGGCCGCGAACGCCGCCGAGGACGGCCCGCCGGGCGCGTGTGCCACCGCCAAGGCACAAGCGGAGCGCGCCGGGCCTGCGAGCGCGCGGCCGGGCTCCCGCGGCGAGGGCGCGACGGCGGGGCCTGAGGGCGAGGCGGAGGGCGCGGCGGAAGCGCAGGAGGCCGCGCAGGACCCGGAGCAGGAGCCTGAACAGGACGAAGTGCCGTCGCACGGCTTCCTCGGCGTCCCTGAGTGGCTCGAGGAGCACCAGCTGGCCACTACGGACGAAGGGTTCCTCGCGTGGGAGATGGAGATGCCTCACAGCAACATCAGCGGGCGCGGCAGGAGCGCCGGGGAGGACGCGAGGCAGGCCCAGCGCATCGACGCGCGCCTGGACGAGCTCGAACGCGAAGCCGAGCTCGCCGCAGACAACCCCGACCCGGTGAGTCCCCCGTACCGAGCGCGCGGCCTTCGCGCGGCCCGCAGCAGCACGCCACGCGGCCCAACTGCTGTCCTGCACGCCGGTGCTGCGCCCCGCACCTGCCGCGCTCCACGCAGCCCCGCACGCGCCGTCCGGCCGGCGCGTCCCCGCAGCTAACCTTTCCCCGCGCGTTCCGCGCACTCCACCCGCAGGACGCGCCGTACGTGCCGCGTTGGGGCGACGGAGGGGCAGCGGCGCAGCAGCAGCACGCGGGCACGGCTGGGCGGGTGTGGAAGGGGCTGTACCACCGCCCGAGCAAGAACCGGCCCTGGGAGGCCTCGATCTCGTTCCTCGGGCGCAACCGCGGCCTCGGGTCGTACGTCAGCCCCGAGGAGGGCGCGCGGGCCTTTGACGCAGCGGCGAGGCTCATCTTGCAGGGCCTCCCGCCCGAGGACATGGGCGCGCGGCTGAACTACCCGCACAGGGAGTTCCCTGCGCCGGAGCGCGCGGTGGCGGGAATCGAGCGGATCCGAGCCGACATGGACGCGGAGGGCATCTCCGTGCGCGACGCGCACTTGTACGCAGTGCGCGGGAAGGCGGGCATGCGGCGGCCGCAGGGCGCGGCGCCTGCGCCTGAGGACGAGGAGGACGGGGAGGAGGAGGCGGAGCGCGAGGCCGAGCGGCTGCCGGCGCGGCCCCGGAAGCCGGGGGAGTGGGGGGGGTCGGGGAAACGGCGCGCGTACGCGCCGCTGCCGGCGCGGATGGGGCAGGGGTTCTGGGCGGAGGAGGCGATGCGGGGATACCCGGCGGAGGGCTCGGCGAGCGAGGGCAGCGACGGGGAGGAGCCGTCGGACCGCGCTGTGGCGCGGTGGGGGGAGTGTTGTCTGCCGGAGGACAGCTGGGGGTCGATCCTCGCGAACGACGCGGGGTTCCGCGAAGTCACGTCCGCGCCGCAGGCGTCCGGCGCGGCAGCGCTCGGCGGCGTGCAGCTCCGCGCGCCCCCCGGGCCTCTCGCGCCGCCGCCGCCGCTGCCACTGCCGCCGCCCGTGCGCCCGCCGCCGCCAGCGCCCGGCCCCAGCGGCCTCGCGCCGCTGGTGCTGCCCCCCGGCACGCTCGTCGGGAACCGCTACCACACCTACTGCATGGTGTGTCACGAGAAGGGCGGCGACGGCCTCGTGTGCGAGAATGACCTGGACCTGTGCCCGTGCACGGTGTGCTGGGGGTGCCTCGGCATCGACTCGCTCGAGGCCAACTTCATCGACTTCTTCTACTGCCCGTCGTGCGTCGACCGGCGCGGGCTGCAGGGGCGGCACCGCGACGACGCGTCGACGCTGCCGTACGACCTCGAACGGCTGCGCGTGGCATGGATGCGCGCGAAGGAGGAGCACGACTTGCTGCAGAAGCAGCACGCGGCCGAGACGGGCGGCGTCGCGCAGGTGTGGGGCGCGCCGCTGCCGACGGCCTTTGCGATCGCGCCCAGCGGGTGCGCGGACGGGCGCGCCGCCGCCGGCGCGAGCACCGGTGCGGCGAAGAGCGAGCGGGCGCGGAAGCGCGCGCGCAGCCGGAGCGGCGCGGGCGCGCGCGGCGAAGGACGCCGCAGCTGGGGACGCAAGCAGGCCTGGGACGCCGGTCGCGCCGCGGGCGCTGACGGCGCGGCAGGCGCGCAAGCGCGCCGCGGAGGCCGAGGTTGCCGGCGAGGCGCAGCGTGCGGCCGCGATCGAGGAGGGCGTCGCGACCTCCGCGCAGGTGCGGCCCGCACAGGCCGACAACGCGGCGCGCCGGCGGCCGGCGAAGCGGGCGCGCGGCGCGCAGAAGGCGGAGGCGAGGGCGCAGCCAGCGCAGGACGACGAGGAGCCGCTCCTCGCGCTCTTCATCGAGCCGGACGGCAGCCTTGTCGTAGAGCTGCACGTGGTGCCGGCTGGGCCTCCGGGGTCGAGTAACGCCGCGACAGAGGACAACGCGGGGCACGCGAAGCAGCCAGAGCCGACGATCGCTCAGCGGCGCGGGCGCCGCGGCGTGAAGCGCCCCGCCGAGGCGCCCGCCGGCCCCGGCGCGGAGGCTGCCAGCAAGGCGGCGCCGCACGCGCGGCCGGCGGTGACGATACCCGCGACGTCGATCGACGGGATCGGGCCCGCAACGGGCGCGTCGGAGGCGTTCCGGGGCGCGCTGGCGAGCGACGCTGGCGCGGGGGCGGACGAGAGGGGGGATGTGTTGCGCGCGGCACCCAAGGCGCAGCGGCGGAACGGTAAGGCTCCGGCGGTCGAGGCTGCGAGCGTGCGTACGCGGGCGCGGCCGCGCCGCGGGGCGGACCCGGAGCCTTCGCGGGAGGAGGGGAGTGAGGGGGGGGCTCGGGCGGAGGGCGACGACGCAGCACCGCGGTGCGAGCGGCGGTGGGCGGGCGGGAAGAGCCGGTGCAAGAATCCTGCGGTCGCAGGGAGTTCGTTCTGCGGGAAGCACTTCAGGGAGGCGGAGTCGACGGAGCAGGACGACGCGGAGCCCGCGGGAGGGGGGGGTTCTAAAGCCGACTCCCCGGGGGACGTGCCGGCCGCGAACGGCTTGCGGCGGCCCGAGGCGTCCGTTGCTGGAGATAACATGGACGTCGACGCCGAGGCGGACGCGAAGCCGCAACCCCCCCCTTCACACCCCCCCGCCGGGAAACTCAACACCGCCGCGGCGCCGCCGCTGCCTGCGCTGCTGCCGCTGTTCGCGCCGCCTGCGCTGCCGCTGTTCGCGCCCGCGCCGAAGCCCTCGGCGGCGCCGGGGAATACCCCCGCGGTCGACGCGAGACCGCCCCCCCCGCCCATCAGCCTCGATGACGAGGAACCGGCCTTCAAACCCCCCCCCGCGCCGCACGTGGAGCTGCCGCCGCCGCCCCCGTGCACATTCTCGCCCATCAAGTTCGCGCCGACGGCCCCGGAGCCACAGGACGCGTAGGGCGCACTTGCCCACCTGGACGGCATCTCCTCACGGATGACGTAATCATCAACATGATGCGTCAGATCCACAAACACGGACTTCCCGCGCCGCACGGCGGCCGCGCAACACCGCCTAAGATTTTCACGCACGCCCATGTATTCCATGCAGCTTTCCCGCCGATGTGACGCGCGCACCGTCGAAGCGACTCACACGCATCTGCACGCGACGCCTCTGCGGGGCGCACAGCGCCGCACCCGCCTCGCCCTGCGCTACGCGTACAGCCCGGTCACCTCGCTCGCCGTGTCCTCCGCCGCCGCCTCGCCGCCGCCGTCCCTCGCGTCGCCTTGGTACACGGACAGCTCTGCCAGCTCGCCGACCTCCACCGCGGCGCCGGCCGCCGCCGCAACGGCGCCCCCGCCGCTCGCCTTCTCGTTCGCCTTGTCCCGCGCGGCGCGCAGCACCTCGACGCGCGCCGCGACCAGCGAACGCTCGAACACGAGGAGCTGCCGCGCCGCCTCGAGTGACGCGAACGAGTGGTCGACGCAGTGCTCGAGCGGGGTGCCGTTGAGCTCCTCCGCCGGCGCAGCGCCGGAGCCGCTCGCGCCGGCCGCCGCGACCGGCAGCGCTAGGCCCTCGAGGACCCCCAGGGCGGCTACGACGGACGACGCCTGCGCAGGGGTTTCGATGCCGGCCAGCTGCGGGCGCCGGCCCTTGAGCGCGCCCGCGATCGTCTTGCTCATCTCGGCCCAGCACTGCGCAGCGGGGGACAGCGCGGGGCGGTCAGCGTGACGTAAGGAAACGCGTGCAATGAGCGGAGGGGGGTGTTCGACGCCTAAGAGTCCGACGCGACGAGAACCGGGGAGCCTGCGCGCAGGCCGCGGCCCTGCCGCTCTCACTCACCCTGTTCAGCATCGCAATGCCCCCCACGGGCACCCCGCGCGCCATCTGCTGCAGGGTCCGTTCCCAGGCTGCCGCCAGGGGCTGCCCCGGCAGCAGAAACACGACCATCACCGACTTCAGCTCCAGCAGCAGCGCGGCGACGTCCGACGCGTCCTCCGCCGCCTTCAGCGCCCGCCGCCACGCCGGCCGCCGCGCCTTCCACGTGGGGAGCACTGCGCCCCACGGAATCTCCTCCTCCAGCGACAGCGCCTCCTCCCGCGGGCCCCCGAGCTGGTCGCGCCCGCGGCCGCGCGCGGCGCCGGCGCCGCGCCGCCTCCGCCGCCGCCGCCGGCCCCACCGCCGGCCCCGGCGCCGCGGCCGCTGTGTTTGTTGTTGCCGCCCGCGCGCCGCGCAAGGCCTCGCTCGGCCGCCGCGGCGCGGTCGCCGTGGTCGGAGGAGACGGTCTCGGAGGGCCGGTCGTCGTCGTCGTCGCTGCTGCCGCCGCTCGCGGACGCCCCCGCGCGGTCGTCGCCGGAGTCGGGCAGCGAGGGAGACTCCCCCGCCATGTTGACGTACGACGGGCGCGGACGGCCCTCGCGGGACCGCCCGGAGTCGCCCGGCGCGCGCGCCGACCCGGGCGCCGGCGTCGGGACCTGCGGCTCCTCGATGCCGCACAGCTGCGACGGGAAATGCGAGTCGCGTCGCGCGCCAGGGGTCGGCATCTGGCCAGGGGTCGGCATCTGGCCGGGGGTCGGCATCTGGGCGCCCGTCGCGAGCGGCGAGGGGCGCGGGCGCACGCCCGCAGCGTCGTGCGCGCCGCCCTTGGCCTTTGGTCGCGCCGCCGGAGCCTGCGGCGGTGGCATCGAGTTGTTGCCGTTCGGGGCGTCGACGGAGGGCGCGGCGCCGCTGCCGCCGAAGGCGTGGTCCAGGCCCTCCGGGTTGCTGTCCGGGACGTGCGCCGGCGCGGCCGGAGCGCCGTTGTTCTGCGGCGAGCGGACGGCGGATGGAGGCGCCCGGGCGTCCGTCGCGGGGGCGGGCGCGGGCGCCGATGCGGGCGCCGGGCTCTTGGGTCGGCTGCTGTCCTTGTGCGCGGCGTCGCCGTTGGTTGCGGGCGCGGAGGGTTCCGCAGCAGGCGGGCTCTTGGCTGCGGGAGTGCGGCGTTTCTTCGGCGACGTCTGCTTCTGGGGACTCGACGACGCCGCTGCGCGTTTCTTGTGCGAGGGAGAGCCGTTCGCGTCCGGGTCCGCGGGGCTCGGCGCCTTGCCGGCGTCCCCGGCCGGCCTGGAGGGCGAGGCAGCGGTTTGCTTCGCGGGCGCTCCCGCCGCGGGAGAGGCGGCGTTTGCGTCGCTCTTCGGCTTCTCTGAGGTAGTTGCCGCCTTCTGCGCCGGGCTGGACGCTGCCTGCGCGGCGGGTGGCGACGATCCGGGCGCCTGCTGGCCCCCAACCGGGCCAACGTTCGCCGCTGCTGCGCTGGTGAGGCTCTTGAGCGCCGCCGAGATGTCCATTCCGGCAGACGCGACCATGGAGGCCGTGGACGCGTTGGCGCTGGCGAGCATCAGCTGGCGCTGGTACGCCTGCACCTGGGCTGCGTAGGCTTGCACGGCCTGGGCCTGCTGCGAGGCGAGCCGCAGGGCGTCGGGGCCCGCCATCAGGTTCATGGGCGAGGACTTGGGCATGAACATCCCGGGCATCCCGAACAGGCCCGCGGACCCCAAGCCCAGCCCGGGGAGCGAGGCTGGCGGCAAACTGGAGCTGGAGAAGCCGACCGAGCCTGCGCGGGCGGCGGGGAGGGGAACTGGCGCTCGGCGGCCTGGATTCCGCGCGCAGCGTTGTTCGAACGGGGGCGGGATCTCGCGGGAGATCTGGCCGCGACGCGAACGCATGCGCGTGGTGCACTCTGCCTGCGTCCGTGCGCGCGAGTGAGGCCGCGCACCTGGCATCATCTGCGAGTTTTGTAGCAGCTGGTTCAGGTTCGGCGCGCTCGGCGGCGCTCCGGGCTGCGGGGCCCCGCTCCCGCCCGCCGTCGCGGCCTGGAACAGCTGCAGCGTTGGGTTGGGCGGACGCAGCTGGTCAGACTGGCCCGCTGGGCTCGGCGCCGCGCCCTCCTCCTTCCCCGCCATATCAGCTACGCTTCCGGCCCCCGCCGGGCCGATCCCACGACCGCGGTGCTGCGGATCCGGGGGGCGTGAGACGCTGTGAGCTACTGCGCGTTGTCAGCGCGATCCACTGCGGCGCGTGCGTCCGCGGTGCCTCGAACTGGACAGGGCGCGGGCGGACGCGGCCCTGAGTAGCGTCGGCGCGCTCGGAAGGGGCTCCGGGGGCGTGGCGCGCGACCTGACAGCTGGTGCGGGAGGCCTGCTGCGCAGTCCTGCGGCCGAGATGGGCCGGCTGGCGCTCCGGTGGACGGCACTGGGCGTGATCTCTTTGAGAGACAAGCGGACGACTCGTTGTGGGCACGTCGTGGAGCCAGCTGAGCTCCGTCGTCTGAGAGCAGGCTCTCCCCGCTGTTGCCGCGCACTTCGCGCGAAACGAACCCATCGCGCGCTGCGAGGGTAGAGAACGAGAGCAGCTGCCACAGGACGCTGCGAGAAACTAGCCAGAGCTCCCCATCACGCGACGCCAGGGCACTTCGGTCCTCCGCTGCGAGGCTCGCGCGCCCGCCTCCAGCGGGCTTCCTAGCCCCGTGGGAGCGGAGGAACGATGGTGAAGCTCAAGAACAAGTCACACTACTCGCTGAACCCGGCGGACCGCGAGCGCAAGAAGCAGCGGCGGAAGGAGATTGAACGCAACCGTAGGGAACGCAAATTCAACCGCGATGCGAGCAGGCACGGCCCGCGGGCCCCTCCCGCCCCACGAGCTCCCCTTCGCCTCCCTCGCGCGTCCGCGCCGCGCCACGGCGCCCCCCCAGCGCACCGCGCGCCCGCCTGGTTCGCGCGCGCTCCGCGTCGCCTCCCGCGCCCACCGCCGCCCGCCCGCCGCGCGCACCGCCGTGCAGCAAGAAGGACAATCCAGAGGACCTCAAAGCCGAGCTCGAGGAGCTCCTCGGCAAGGAGGAGGAGTCAGGGAAGCTCAACCAAGTGGACCGACTGCGAAAGAAGGTGTTGCAGGACCAGCTGAAGATCGCGATCAAGGAGCAGCACCACGCGAGGACAGGCACGGACACCAGCAAGGGCTTCGACCCCGTCCTCTTCAGCCGCGCGCAGACGGGCGCCGCGGAACCGAGCGCCGCTGCCGTCGACGCTGCCGTCGCCGCTCCGTCGCCTGAGGCCGCGGCGCCCAGCGCGGACGCCGAGCTCCTGCCGCCGCCCGGGCGGCCGTTCGGGCTCCTCCCGCCGCCCGCCACGGCGCCCCCAGCGGCGGCGGCGATCGCGTACGGGCGGCCAGCGATGCCGCCGCCCATGCGCCGCCGCCCGTCGCGCCGCCGCCCCCGGGCGGCCCGCCCGCGCGCCCAGCGATGCCGCCGCCCGCTGCGCCGCCCGCGCAGCCCGCGGGGGAGCCGAAGAAGGTCAGCGCGGTCATCGGCGCGAGCAGCACCGTCGTCAAGGCCCACGAGGACAAGGCGCTACTGGCGTTCGTCCCGGCGCACATCCAGGCGCAGAGGGCCGGCGTGAAGCGCGCGCCGCCGCCCAAGGCGCCGCGGCGGCCCATCGCGGCCGCCGGCACGCCGGTGCCGAACGCAGTCGACCCGATGCTGCCAGCGGTGGATACGGCGCCCGGCGCGGCGCCGGCGGGGCCCTCGGCGGCGCGTGCGTCGAGCGCGGGTGCGGGGAAGGGCAAGGACGACTACGCGAAGTTCCTCAGCGAGCTGGGTGAGCTCGGGGCGTTTGAGTGAGAAGGGGGGGGGGTTGGGTTCGCAGTGGCGCTGGAGCCGCCCGACGGGGCTGGAGCCGGCCCTGATGTGTATATAGTATTCGGTGAGCTGTTGCCGTGACCGACTTGAGCGCATCGACCCGTCATAGCGCCAGCTGCGTGTGGTGGGGTGCGACGGAGGTTGCTTCGCGACGCGGCCTTGCTCGAACTCCAGCTGATCTCATCGCGGCCGGTCTATGGAGCGCTCGTGGAATGTCGCTCTCCCGTGACACACTCCCCCGCCACATCTCGACCACCGCGATGCGCAGCCGTCACGGCTTGCCTGCCATGCGCGGCGTTCAGCACACCGCAGCCCTGCGCGCTGACTCACTCATCCTTGCCCGTGCCTCGCGTCACAGCGCTGACGAGCCCACAACGCCCTGCTGCGCACCATCACACACACGCGCACACGCTGAGTTCACTCCGCCTCCGTCACCACACGAACTCCCTCATCGGCGTCGTGCCGCGCTCCTCGTACTCCTGCTTCGTCACCGCGAGCCCCGCGAACTCCCCCGACGCCCCCAGCAGACTCCCCCCCCGCCACGCAAAGGTGTGCGGCGACTCCGGCAGCGTCAGCTTCAGCTCAAACTCCTGCGGCACCAGCGGCCGCAGCTCCGCCTCGACGCGCTCCTTGAAGCCCGGCAGACACGCCATGCCGCCCGTGAGCACCACCGACCCCCACAGCAGCCCATGCAGCGCTGGCGGGCAGCGCTCCACGGCTTGCAGCACTGCCTCCGCGACGCCGCCCTGCTCGATGCCGATGTCCGAGGGGCTGAAGAGGAGCTCCGGCGCCATGAAGCGCTCGTTGTTGAGCGTCAGCACCGCCTCGCCGTCCGCGGGGGGGGGTCCGCCGAACTTGTGATCCTCGCTGACCACGTGGCCGTACGTGTTGAGGAGGCCGTCGGGCAGGACGTAGCTGAGGGCGTGCGGGGAGCGCCGGACGGCCTGCGAGGCCTTGAGGTCCGCGGCGACGTTTTGGGAGTAGAAGCACACTCGATCTTTGATGTGCTCCACAAGATATACTTCTTCCATCATGTTGACGCTCCGGTAAGATACCAGCTCCTTGAGGTAGTTCGTCACGGCGCGCGAGCCGACGTTGACGCGCGCGACCCCCGCCTGGACGATCCTGCGGCCCGGAAGGGGCGAGGGGACGCGCAGGGCGCGTTTCGCGTCGGCGACTGCAGCCGCGTGGCCCGTGTGCGGACGCGCTGCTGCAGCGCGCTCGCGTCGCGCGAGTGGAGCGCTGCGGTGGAACTGACGAGCGGCGGCGTCGTGCTCTGACACACCATGTGCGTGCATGTGTGTTTGTTGGCGACGCGCACCTCTTGTCGAAGATCGGCGCGGCGTGCGTGAAGCTGAACCCGGCGTCGACCACGAGCGCGCACCCGGCGTCCTTCGCGGCCGTCTGCCCGCGCAGCGTCCGCAGGTGGTGCAGCGACAGAGTCGGCGCTGGGCAACAGTAGTACGACTGGAAGCCGAAGTCCTCGAACACGACCTGGTCCATCGTCTCCCTCAGGGCCGGGAAGTTCATCAGCGGCTCCGTGACGACCAGCGAGCACTCCTTCGTGTCCACCCCGCAAACGTGGTCGAAGGCGTGCGCCCACACCTCCTGCTCCATGTCCCAGTTGACGACGTACCCGCGGTCTATCGGCCTGCGCGCCACGTGTGGTGTGAGTCCATGCGGTGAGGCGGCGCGGAGGGACTGTGGGCGTGCGCGGCGGCCGTGCGGGGCGTGGAGAGTGGTCGCTGTGCAGTGTGGCGCGCAGGCGGTGCAGGGCGGCGGGGGGCGGACCGTTTGAGCGCGAGGGACGCGAGGTCTTTGCAGGAGTTGACCGCGTCGCCTACGTAGGCCTTCTTGTCCGCGGAGCTCCGCGCGACGCAGTTTGGGAACACCGCCCTTGGCTCCTTCTCTCCCGCGAACCCCAGCTTGCAGTTGCCGCCGCCATTGTCCAGCACGATCACCCTCGAGCCCTGCGACGCGTCCGCCGCGCCCTTCGGCGGACTCATCCTACAGCGCGCCCAAAAGCGGCGCCTGGCGTGCTACGTGACCCTTCGCGCGCCACTGCGCCCGCCCACGCGACAATGACGCCCACTCGCCCGGACCTGAGCCGCCCCCTTTATCAGTTCCGCAGCCTCGAACGCCCTCTGAGGTCTCTGCCCGCGGGCGACGCCACAGCGCCCGAGTGAGTCCCCAGTCGCTTCTAGCCCCAAGCCGCTACGACACGTCGCTCCGTGTAGTTCGAACCGATCGCCGGCGCCTTCTTCAGACAAGCAGCTGCCCCGCGCGAACGCCGCGCGCCCAATTTCGCCCCTCTGTGGGCCAGCGCGAGGGCTGAGTCATGCTCGTGCTCCCGCCCGACTTCGGCGGGCGCTGCGGGGCAGCGGGGGCGGTCATGGGGCTCGCGGGCGCCTGTGCGGATCATGTGGCTTGTGACCGACCAATAGCGGTTACATATTGCCCGTTCTAGAGGCTTCTCGTCGCACCGCGGCGACTTCCGTGCGGTTGTAGTAGACACGCCGAGAACTCGCGTTTCGTGGCGCCGGCGAAGATCTCCACGCGTCCAGACGTGGTTCATACTTGTTCCGAGGGCCCGCGGTCAGGCTCACGGCAGGGCGACCCGTCGTCGAACTGCACGGCGGTGAAACGAAACCCGCTCCTTCATCGCCTGCCCGCGGCCGCACCGGACAGGACGCGCGGCTCTCTCTGGCTGACGCTGGCGGGAAGGATTCTTTCGCCGCGAGCCGGGCGACCGCCTCGAGCGCGAGTCCCCGCAGCGCCGCCAACCGAGGGCTGAAGTGCTGGAGGACATACAGCCGCTTTGGCACGGGGCGCGGTGCGGGGGCCATGGCGTCCCACACCCACGTGTGTAGGCTCTTCCGGCCACAGGGATACACGTGCCTGGGCGCCACTAGCCCTTCGCGGCCCCTGACCGCCCCAGGCGCCCGGTACGGAGCACTCCCTGCTCAGGGACGCCGCACCCTCACGCGGCGACACGCGCTCACGGGACCTCGCGCAGCCCAGGTACTTCCCCCAGTCACGTTCTCGCCATGCAACGCGCTCTCCTCCGCGAGTACCCTTTCCCTCGCGAGGAATCCCCTCATCAACACTGGGCCCAAGTCCTCCAGCAACAAGCCGCGTTCCTGGCGCCGCCTCCCACGGAGTACCCTGCGCGCGGCGCCCTCCGCGCGCTTTGATGCTCTGCCGTCCCCGGAACCCCCTAAGCGGACCCTCATCACGCCTCCACGCGCGAACACGCCCTCCCGCAGTGGCACAAGGCTCTCATTGCATCAGTCCCGGCACGCCCGCCACGCGGCCCCACGGCGCCCCCTCACCCTCCCCCGAGCTACGTCCCTGCAGGTCGAGGCCGAGGTCAGCGTCACGGCGCCACCACCTGCCCCACGGACGGCGAACGGCGGCGCGCCACGACCGCGGTCGCTGCCGTGGCAACGCGCAGGGTCCCCGGCGCGCAAGCTGTCCCCCGCGGGGCGCAAGGACGCGCCCGCACCGGCCCGCAAGCAACCTCCCGGCCCGCCGGACGTCGCCGCGCCGCGGTTCGTCCAGCGCCGGCTGTCGGTGACGCCGATGCGACCACAGCGGCCGCAGGTGCAGCAGCAGGGGCCGAAGGACGGCGCGCAGGACCGCCACCGGCTCGACGAGCAGGAGCTGGAGAAGCGGGAGAACCTCAAGCAGGCCCTCGAGAAGCTGCGCGGCGCGGGGGGGCGCATTGGCCTGGGCAGCGGCGCCGCCGAAGGCGTGCGCGTCAACCGCCCCGCCAACGGCCACGACCGGCGGAAAAAGAAGCCCCCCGCGCACGCGAAGCGCTCCGTCGCGGCGACGCACACCGGCGGCAAGCCGCGCCCCGCCGCGGTGCGGCAGCGTGCGCACAAACACGCGCGCCCCGCCGCGCCGGACGACGTCGAGCTCAGCGAGATGCTCTCGAGCACGCGGTCGTGGAAGCGCGCCGCGGAGTACCTGGCGATGTCGGCTGAGGGCCGCCTCATGGGCCCGGAGGAGTGGCGCGCCCTCAAGGCACTGCACGGGCTCGAGGAGGAGTGGCGGCCGGCGGTGTCGATGCTGTGGCGGGAGGGGTTCGACGAGAAGGACCTGGAGAAGCTCCTGGAGTCCCGGCCGCAGCTGTTCTCGTTCCGCGCGTCGCTGCTGAAGTCCCGCCTGGGCCACCTGCGCAGCGACCTGGGCTTGACCGCGGACGAGGCGCGGCGCGCGGTGCTCAAGTTCCCGCGGATCCTCGAGTACCGCCCCGCGCACACGATCGAGCCGCGGCTGCGGTTCCTGGAGGCGCAGGGGGTGTCTGCGGGGGGTTTCGTCAAGATACTGCTGCGCGCGCCGCAGGTGCTGGAGCTGTCGGTCGAGAACACGCTCGCGCCGCGCGTGCAGTACCTGCGCGACCTCGGGCTCACGCGCGCGCAGCTCGGCAAGGTCCTCGCGCGGGACCCCGTGGTCCTGACGTACACGGTGGAGTCGATGCAGAACCGGGTGGACTTTTTGAGGGGGGGTGTCGGGCTGACGGAGGCGCAGGTCGCCGAGACGATCCACAAGCACGCGCAGGTCCTGCACTACCGCGTCAACGCGATGGACTCGCGCCGGCAGTTCCTCTCCGCGCTGGGGCTCTCGAGCGCCGACGTCGCCGCCGTTGCCACGCGCCTGCCACAAATCTTCTCCCTCGACATCGAATCCAACCTGCGACCAAAGGTGCGGCGCGCACGGCGCCTGTGCTCGCGGCGACGCGGCATCCGTCTCGCCCCGCGGCAGGCACGTTGACACACGTACGCATGGCGCTGTTGTTGTTGTTGTGCAGGTGGAGTACATCACTGGCGCGATGGGGTGCTCTTTGGACATAATTGTGGCGTTCCCTGGTATTTTATCGCTGTCGCTGGTGCAGCGGATCGTGCCCCGCCACCGCTATTTGCGCAAGAGGGGCATCGAGCTGCCCAGCAAGCTGTCGACGTTTGGCAACTGGCTCAAGTGCACCGACAAACAGTTCGCCGCCAAGGCCGGCGGGACCTTCGAGGAGTTCATGGCCTTCAGGAACGCAGTCGTCGCGGAACAGCTCTCGTCGCAGCTCTGACGAACGAACGCACCCGCACAAACACCACTACCACCCTCTTCAGCCGAGTATGAAAACCGAGCGAGCAGAGCAGGCGCTCCGCGCGGCCACCGGTAGATTGCGTGCGCGCAGATTGTGTGACGCTGCTGCGTCCCGCTGGAACGCCGCGTCGCGTGCGGCCCACGGCTGTGTCGATCGGTCACGTCTCGAGATGCCCTCGTCAAGTCGAACACACCACAGAGGACCCCGCCGCGTGTCCGCGCCGGCCCTTCAGCGCAGCGTCTCGCAGTCGCTCTCGGACAATTACAGCTTCGCTTCCCACCGCGCGCGCGGTCACGGCCCCCGCGATGCAGCCGAATCCGAGCCCTGGCCTGCGCAACCTACGCGTCGCGTTCCTGAAGGACGCCGGCGACCAGGCGCTCAAGGAGCGGCGCCTGCGCGACGCCTGGGAGGCCTACACCGAGGCCCTGGAGGCGCACGGGCAGGTCAAGGGTCCCAACGACGTTGTCAGAAACCTCTACGCAAACCGCTCCTTGGCCCTCTGTAAAGCGGGCCGTCACCAGCAGGCCCTGGACGACGCGGAGCGCGCCATTGCGGTCGATCCGGAGTGGGACAAGGGCTACTGGAGGGCGGCCGCGGCCCTCACGGCGCAGGCGCAGCACTTGAAGGCACTCGAAATGTTTCGAGCTTGCTTCCCGCTCGCCCCGGCGGCCTGCCGCGACCACGTGCGGAAGACCGCGCGGTCCGTCGTCTCCAGGATGACGCGGAGGGAGCTCGGCTACGTCCTCGTCGACCTGCTCGCCGGAAACCGCGCCTCGATGTCTCCGCCAACGCTGCAACTCGTGTCGAACGAGGAGATGGTCGAGGCGGCCTTCGAGTACGTCAAGGCCGAGCTCGTGCGCGAAGAAGAGCTCGCGCGGCCCGCAACGGCCCAGAAGCCCGCCGGGGACCTCAGGGCCGCGCTCCTCTTCTGGACCCTGCACGGGATGCCACGCTGCTGCGCGCTGCACCTCCGCGCCGAGGTCCTCCTGCGCGCCCGCTGCTTCGTCCAGGCCCGCCACGACGCGAGACACGCTGCGCGGCTCATGTCGGACCACCTCAACCGCCTCTCGGCGCCCAACCCCAACACAGGGGGCGACGCACTCGTTCCAGAGGCCTGGCCGGGGGCGTCCGTCGACGAAGCGCTCAGCACGCTCGCGCAGGTGCTGCACGTCCTCGGGCGCGCGTGCCTTGCCGCGGCGGACGGCGAGCGCGACGACGGCCCGCCGCTGTGTGCTCCGGAGGCGTACGAGAGCCTGCTGTGTGCCGCAGCGCTCGATCCGGGCGACGAGGGCCGCCAGAAGCTGCTCACGCGGGCAGCAGAGGCGTGCGCGCCGGCGGAGCGCGACGCCGTCCGGGCGTGGTTCGACGCGAAGCGCCCTGACGTGGTGATTGTTGTACCACGCGCTGCGATGTCAGACACGGGTGCTCGGGAGTCTGACCGGCCCGGCCCCGACGCCGCGGACCGCGGGGGTGCGCGGCAGCTCTGCGTCGAGCTCGCGTTCGCCCGCGCCAGGCCCGGCGACGCCACGGCGGAGGCCAGGCGGTCGCTGCTGCAGTGGGCTGCTGCCGAGGTCGAACCCGCGGCGGGGCGGCCCGCCATGGGCACGTGCGGCCGCGTACGCGACGGGGCCTTCAGAGTCCGGATCCTCGCGGACCTGCCTCCGGGTGGCGACACGGAGTTGTTGCGGCGTGTGCGGAGCTGTGCGGCGGCGTCGTTCAACGAAAGCGACGTGGCGGCGCCTGCGCGCGCGGCTCTGGGCGACGCGCTGCCGTTCAGGGACGGCGCGGAGGATGGCGAGAGGTCGGGGGCGAGCGCTGCGTGGGAGGAGCTGCTGCCGGACGTTGGCGCGGCAGCGCGGGCGGAGGAGGTGCCGCTGGTGCCGGAGCGGCCTCCGAGGGGGCTGGAGATCGAGCTGCCGGAGCGAACGTACCGTGTAGTGGCGGCGGACGGCCGCGAGCTCGAGACGCGCGACCGCCGGGGGTGTTTTGCGCTGTCCAGGTAGAAAACTCACCTGACACCTGCAATAGACCTCTTTGTTGCCACTGGATTCGCGCTCGTCCGTGTCCGGTGTGCCACCGCCGACACAAGCAGTCGCGGTGCTGCTCCTCGGCCTCTGCGCCACGTGGCCTGAGTCATGCTGTGTGTCTGACATCCCGCAGGGTGTATTACGACGCCAGCGAGAAGCAAGAGGAAGAGGCGTGGATCGAGGTGGGAGACGGCTCCTGCCGGTGGCGGCAGACGACCTCGGAGGTCGTCGTCGGCGTGCTGCGGTGCCCCACGGGCACGCGGGCCCGCGACGTCGCCGTCGACATCGCCCCCTTCCACCTGAAGGTGATGGCAGCAAACCACGTTCGTTACGTATTGCTCGTGCGGTTCCCGCTGCTCCGGGCGCTCGAGCGACGCCGTGCGCGTGCGTGCGACTGCGCGCAGGTGTGGCACCGGGTCACGGGGGAGGTGTGGTTCGAGGGGGAGTTAGAGAGGGGTGTCGTGGTACAACAGAGCGTCTGGGAGCTCAGCGACGAGGACGCGCGGGACGTCGGGGACCGCCGCCGGCTGCCCGTGCTGACGATCTACCTGCACAAGCTCAACACCGAGCTCTACGAGGCGCGACACCCCCCTCGCCTTCACCGTCGCAGCGTGCAACACATGTGCGCTCAGGAGCGAGCGCTCCGTCCGGCACGCATGCGTTGTGCGGGCATCGGCCTCACAGCTGTGCGCGCGTCGAGCCCCCCCCTCCTTCGTAGTCGTGGTGGGAGCACTCGCGCTCGTGGTGGCCGCGCCTTCTACGGCGCCACGTGGCGATCCAGTTCGACGACGACGTGAAAGACTACTCCGACCTCCCGGCGGGCATCATGGACGAGCACCTCCGGCGCCAGGCGCGCCAGCCCGGCCCTCGCATCCGCGCACAACCCTCACCACGTCGCGTCGTGTGCGACGCACACTGCGCGGCACGCAGAGCTCGCCGCTGGGCGCGACGCGCGACGGTCCGCGCTGTGTGCAGGCGCTCGAGGGCGCGGTGGAGCGCGTGCGGCTGCTCGAGTGCGACCGCCGCAAGAGGCTGGACGCGCTGGAGGCGCGCCGCAGGGTGTCGCGGTACGAGGCGTTGTGTGCGCTGCGGCGGCGGCGGAGGGAGCGCGGGCGGCCGTGACGCCGCCAGCGGGGGCGGGGCGGGGCCGCGAGGGCGCGCGAGGTCGGCGGGGTCGCCTGCAGGCACGGCCGCACTGCAGCCAACTTGGTGTGTGGCGAGAGGATGGGAGGGGCGAGGGAGCGGCGCGTGTGGGGCGTGCCACGCGGAGCCGCCGCAACAGATGGGGCTGAAAAATATAGATGGGGGGATCGGCGGCGTGTTTGAGCGGTTCCGTGCACTATATCAGGACTTGGCCCGAGAGCAGGGGGAGCCGGCACGCGCTCCCCTCCCCGAGCGTTCGCGCGCAGCTCGCTCGCGGAAATGTATACTTGGAATTCAGTGGTCGCGGCCGCATGCACGCGTTGAGCCCGGTCGCCCTGTGTCGTCTCGTCGCGCGGGGTGGACATTGGAGGCCTCGGCTCGCAGAGGCTCCGCCCGGGTTTCTTCTCCCCCTGCGCCGTCCGGCACGGCCACTCCCGCACCCGCGCTGCCGCACGTGAAAGCTCGAGCCAAGCAGAGATGATTGCCGCGCGCACCACCGCCCGCCCGGCCACGTTCGCCGCGAACAAGGCCGCGAAGAGGTCCCGGGCGAATGCGCCGCGCTTCGTGCCGAGGGCCGCCGCTGACGACATGCAGGTGTGCCGCACGCGATCTACGAGGCGTTCCCCGTCGGCCTCGCGCCCGGAGCGCCTCGCGATGACCGCGAACGCGCCCCTGCTGGCTCCTGTCGTTGCGTGACGTATTCGCCGCTCGCGCGCCCCGCAACGGTGGGTCCGCGCAGGCAACCCGCTCTCCCGACTTCTTCCCTCCCGCGCAGATGACCGGCCTGGTCTTCGAGCCCATCGACAACGAGGTCTCGCGGGAGCTCACCAGCGTCTCCAAGGCCAATGCGGCCGTCGACTCCCTCGCGCGCGTCGACCTCCACCCGGAGTGCGAGGCGGCCATCAACGAGCAGGCGAGCACCCGCACCCGCCTCCGCCGCGCCCGCGCCGGTTCGCCCCTCCTGTACCGCCTCCGCCCGCGAAAGCTGCCAGCCACCGGCCAACTACCCTCCGGGCCGCCCGGCGCCCCGCCCACGGGCCCACATTGCCAGATCCCGACCCCTGCGCGCGCGCCCCACTTCAGATCTCCCCGGCCGCGCGCGCGCCCGCCGCCCCTCGCCCCGCACCGGCGCCGCGCGCGCCCCTCGCGCGGCAACTGCACCTGGCAGTCCCTCCAACCGTTCCGCGCGCCCGCGACCCCTGCGCCCGCAGATCAACGTCGAGTACTCCGTGTCGTACATCTACCACTCCCTGTTCGCCTTCTTCGACCGCGACAACATCGGGCTCCCCGGGTTCGCCAAGTACTTCAAGGCGCTGTCAGAGGAGGAGCGCGAGCACGCCGAGGGCCTCATGGAGTACATGAACATCCGCGGCGGCAAGGTCAAGCTCATGCCGCTCGCCGCGCCGCAGGTGGGCCCGCCGCGCCGCCCCCGCGCACGCCGAGCCCGCCCCAACCGCTGCTGGAGCCGTTGCGCGGCCGCCACGCGTGCATTGCGCGCCCGCACCGCGCCGCCCGCCCGCACATTGCCTCTCGTCGTCGCAGACATCCGTTTCGGGCCCGTTCCAACCGCCCCGCACCGCCCCGCGCGCCGCACGCAGACGGAGTTCAACAACGACGGCAAGGGCGAGGCGCTCTACTCGATGGAGCTGTCGCTCGCGCTCGAGAAGCTCAACTACCAGAAGCTCATGGGGCTGCACCAGGTCGCGGACAAGCACGGCGACGCGCAGCTGTGCGACTTCGTCGAGGGGGACTATTTGCAGGACCAGGTGGAGGACATCAAGAAGACCGCCGCGTACGTCTCGCAGCTCCGGCGCGTGGGCAAGGGCCTCGGCGTGTACCAGTTCGACCACCAGCTCGCCGAGGCCGAGTAAGCGGCGCGCCGCGGTGCCCGCTTGCCCCTGCCCCTGCCCGAGACCAGAGCCCTGGGCCGCTGCGCGGCGGCTCGTAGGCGTTGAAGTTGCGAGTAATCGACCTTGTTAGTTGCGGTTTGGTGGGGTGGTCGCGCGCCCGGCGGCTGCGCGACGCTGCGTTGGCGGCGCGCGGACGCAGAGTGGCTCGGCGATCGCGCCTGCCGCGGTCGGAACGCCGGCGCGCGCGCGGCTGTGTGACAGGTCTCAAGATACTGGCGCTCGTGTCGCGCGGAGGAAGTCGTCTGCCGCGCAGTTCCGGTCGTCACGAGCGGATCCGCAGTAGTGTGCGCGCGGGACCGTAGCAGTGACACGAAGTTCGAACCGTCGGTGAAGTTCGCACGTTCGCGGCTCGACGCATGCGAGCCAGTCCAGTACGCGCGGATGGCTGCAGCCGCGCGCTCGGCCCTGCGCGCACGTGCCGGACAGCACCCTCTATGCAGCACAGCAGCAAACAGCCGACCGGCCCCGCCGCGGTGCCGTTCCCTGCGCACGGCTGGCACGCGCCGCAGAGAACATACCTGTGACCGAGACAACCGCGCACCGGACCTCGTGAGTCGTTTTGTGTCAGAGCTCGTCACACGCAGCCCGCCCTGTTTCTACCGAACCACGCCGCCCCTCCCACGCCCCCGCCTACGACCCCAGCGCCTCACCGAGGATATCCAGCAGCTCCTGCTTCCGCTCGTTTCCCTCCAGCTCGATGTTCAGTTCCCTTGCCATTTTTTTCAACTCCTTGACTGTCATCCGCTCCGACAGCGGCGACCCCTCCGCGGCCCCGGCCCCCCGCAGCGGCGACGCCGGTGTCCGCGGACTCGTCGGCACCGTCGCCTCGCCCCGCCCCGGCGCCGCCCACTCCACGCCTGGCAACATGCTCCTGCCCTGAGGCGACCCGACGCCCCCCCACGCCACCTGGTGCACCAGCGACCGCACCTCCTCCCGTACGACCGCGCGGACGTCCTCCGGCAGCCGCGACAGCCGCTGCTCCATCGCCGCAACCCTCTCGTCCACGCTGCTATACTCCCCCGACTCCCCCCCTCGCTTCAGCGCCCTCCACAGCGACCACGCGGCCGCGCACGCCCCGATCGCGATGCCCGCAAAGCGCACCGCCCAGCGGAACGACAGGCCGAGGGGCGACCACACCCCAGCCGTCACCGCCGCTCGCGGCATGGCGCCCGCAACGGCAGAGGGGAGCGGGAGCCACAGCGACCCGCCCGGGTCCGCGACGAGCATGAAGTGCAGGCTGTGCGCGAGGTGCCGCTCCGCGAGCAGCGTGGCCGCCACGACGGCCATGAGCGGGAAGCGGAGCCCGGCAAAGCATGGCAGAGCGCCCGCCGCCCACGCCGCCAGGAGCGCAGCGGTGTAGGCGAGGGCGTCCTGCCAGGAGTGCTGCTTGCCGAGCACGGCGGTGAGCAGGGCGGAGGTGCGGTCGATGTATGCCGAGAGGACGTCGACAGCCTGCGTCAGGTGGCGCTGCTTGTCGCGCATGTGCTCCGCGGCGGCCGAGAGGTCCGTGAGCAGCTTCGAGGCCGTCGCGGCGTGCTCCGTGGACTCCTCGCGCGCCGCCCGCATGCTCGCCTCCATCCCTGCAACCAACGCCAACAACGCACCCATGAGCTCGCTCGCGCGGGTGTTTCTCCCGCGAACCGCGCGAGCACCTGGATCATGCAAGCAGGGCAAGCCAGCCCACCGAGGGCGCGCCACGCCCCCGGGCCAACGTCGGTGAGTAGAACAATCCACCCAACAAGGACCCCCCCCTAACATGTACAGCGCGCTCCGCGCCCCGCGAGGAGGTCCCCGCACCTGACACCATGGCCCGCAGCGAGTCCGCGTGCGTCACGATCGTCTCCTTGAGCCCCGCGTGCGCCTCGGCCACGGAGTCCAAAGACCCCCGCACCGCCGTCAGGCTCCGGGCCGCCGCGAGCGAGGCGTCGCCCATGGCCTCGAGGACGTGCGCGGTGTCCTGCCGCCAGCTGAGCGACTGGACGTACGCGCACATGTCGACTATTTTCAGCTTGAACTGCGTGAAGAGGTTGAAGTCGAACGAGCGCCCCGAGGTGCACTGCGCGACGGAGGACGCCCGCGGACACGCCGCGCCCCTGCGGCCGCTGCTCACGAGGTGGCACGACAGCAGCGCGATCGCCAGCCGCGCCTGCTCGTCCTCGGACAGCGCCTTGCATGACCCCTCGATGTTGCTGCGGGCGGGAGGTGGAACAAGGGGTGACGCGGTGCGCGGACGCGGCGGGTCGGTCGAGGTGTGTGGTTCTGGCGCGGAGGTGCTGGGGCGCGGCGGGTGGGCGGCGGCAACGCGCGCGGTGGGGCGAGCTGGCAGGGTGAGAGATGGCCTCGCTTGCCTGACCGCCTCGCGCCAGCACGGGCTTCCGATGTCTCTGTATGTCTCGATGAGATCTGCACGCGAGGCACGTCGGTCGCGTGATGGCGTGGGGGTGGTGTGGGCGCGAGACCTGCGCCTGACGCACCGAGTCCCATCGAGGGTGGCCGCGTGCGTGGTAGGCCGCACCGTCACGCAGATCGGCGTCGAGGTGGTGGAGCACGTACCTTTGCCGGCGTTGATGTTGATGTCGAGCGTCGCCAGCGCGCCCTCGGCCTGTATCGCGGGATGCGACGGTTCCTTTTGTTTCGCCTCTCTGGCCCCGAGACCGGGAATCCTCCACGCCCCGACGACGGTGCTGAGGACCAGCACTATGAGGGCCGCGGTGGCCGCCCCTGCCAAACGCATCGTCCCCGGCAGACCTCACAAGTGCTGTCTGCCAGCGCCTGCAAGTTCAGGCACGCGCTGCGGAACGGCCCCGCTATCTTCGCTGCATACTGGGCGATGACTGCGCCGCGTGTAGCATGCGCGACCGCCGCGCCGCCCCAACCTGCCCTCCCGCCGCGCGACGAGTCCCCGGCGAGAGGTCCCAGGTGCCGACGGCGTTGGCCACGTGGACACGGAGCGAGCGACCGCGCGCAACATGCGAGCTCGCCGGAACGTGCCTGCCGCACACTGCAGCCGGAGGCCCAGCTCCGGGGCGCCCTGGAATCCATCTTGCGGTGCCGCGCCCCCTGCGAGCCACAGACTTGTGCTGAGGACAGAGCACCCCGGTCGCGCGACGCGAGAGGAACGGCAGGGGCTTTCTCAGGCAGCGCTATCGAACACAGTGCACAGGAGGACTCGCCGGCGGACGTGCGGGTGCAGTTGGAGGCTGGGTGCGGCTGCCGTCGCGTTCCCGCCTCTGGGAGAGACCTGGTGCAAATCATGAGCTCGAAGAAACGGAGCCTGGCGTCCGCAGCGGCGGGAACGGTGCGTTCCGGTGATCGGCATCGACGTGCTCGCTGCGAGACCGGGCCTCCCCGCCGCTGAGACGCCTTGCGCGCTACGCGGTCGACCGCTCTGGCCCGAGAGCTCGCGCGCAACAGGCACGCTCCGTGAGCGCGGGACCAGGCGGGCTCGTTGCCGGCACGGCGCCGCATCGACTCAGCGCTCTCGCACACGGCCTCGGGCTCTCCCGTGTCGGCGGGGCCAGCCTGCGAGAATCCGTTGCTCCTCTTGCACAAGAGGGAGCGCCACCGCCCCCTGCCGCGCAGATGAACCTGCAAGCGATGATGTCCAAGGCGAAGAAGAAGCCGAAGACCGCAGTCAACATACCCATGCGGCTGTTCGAGGCCACGACGGTCGTCGACGACCGCCTGTGCTCTGCAGACGTGAACTTCTGGCGCCAGCAAGCGTGCGACCCCCCCCCCGCAGCGCCCAGCCCGCCCCACCGCCACCCACGCGCCTCCTGCGCGTTTTCTCGCCGCCGCCAGCGCCGCACCCACCCGAGCCACGCGCGCGTCACAAGATACCACTTGCCATCTTCCGTTCCCTCCAACGCAGGGGCCTGTACAAGATGAGCGACCGGAAGAGGCGCGCCCCGGCGCCCGTCGCGCAGGCGGGCGCCCGCGAGCCCAAGAAGGAGCGCAAGCGTCCTGAGTCGGACACTGACAGCAGTTCAAGCTCGGACAGCGAGAGCGAGGTTTCGGACAGCGACGACGAGCGCGACGTGTCCGAGGAGGCCCGCCGCCGCAGGTCCGACGCCCTTGCCGCCCGCCCGACCGCTGGCCGCGCGAGCGTGAGACGGGGACCAGCGGCGCGAAGCAGAAGGGGATTCTCGAGTGTTGCGCGCTTTTGATTCCGTGGTTGCAGGTACGAGATCATCATCGGCGGACTCGTCGGGCGCATTCGCGGTTACACGGGCTTCCACATGTTCGTGCCGCCGATTCGCCTGCAGCACGCGCTCGCGACGATCGCAAGGTGAGCCGCACCGTCAGCGCCAACACGCGCGTGCCTGAGAGCCCCGCGCACCCCATCGGCCCTCTAGCTCGCACGGACACCGTGACCCGGACTGCCGGCGACCCTCGCACGCCGCCGTTAGCCCGTGTCGAACCAGCAGCAATCAACGCACAAACATGGGCCTTTCTCTCAAACGGTCAATTAACATGTTGGCAACACTCACGACCCAATCTGACAATCTGTTCGTTCCCCGACCGACCGCTTGGGAGCCGGCCGCCCCTCCAACACCCCCCCGCGACACCGACACCCCCCCTGCAGCTGCGGGAAGTTTCATCCCAAGGAGTGGTCGATCCCCGTGACGCGCGAGCTGCAGTGGGAGGCCAGCGCGGGCCTCCTGGAGCTCCTGCGGTGCTTTCCGCGCGTCCAGGCCGTCAAGGTCGACGGCGCGCAGGGCCTGGCCGTGCGCGAGGACGCCGCAGTGTGGACGCCGATGATCGCCGAGGTGCCCCTCAAGGACTTCTACGACGCGCGCGAGGGCACCGCGATGGACGCGGCGTGCACGCTGGGGCGCTGCGTGGGCAGCCTGCTGCGCACCGTGCAGTCGGCGTGGCGCGGGATGTTCCGTAGCGACGGCTCGCAGCTGCTGGTGAAGCCGGGCGACCTCGAGGCGGGGGGCGAGTTCCTGGAGCCGTACTTCGCGCTCGTGCTCGAGGTGCTCGAGCAGGACACGCGGGCCTGCCTGCGCGCCGCGGCGACGCGCAAGGGCGAGGTGAGCGCGGGGAAGCTGCTGGAGATGGGGCTGCTGTGGCGGTGCGTGTCGGAGATGAACGCGCGCGGGTTCGACGCGGAGAAGGGCTTCGTCGAGAGCTTCATCGACTCCCCGACGGTGCGCCACCCCGCCAGCCGCGCCGGCTGCGCACCTTTCATTTCGCGCGCCGCATGCAGTCGCGGGGCCTAGTGACGACGCGTCCGCCCGCGTCGGCTCACCGGCTGCCTGCTGTGTGTGTCCGGTGCAGCTCGGCGGCGGTCGTGGGAAGACGCGCACTCTCTTCAAGGTGTTATTGGAAGTCGTCATTCTGGCAACAGAGTGCCTCTCGCGCGAGTCCGGGGTGGCGCAGCTGAAGCGGGCGGACCGCGCGTTCGACGACGCGCGCGAGGGCGACCCCGACGCGGACAGCGAGGACGAGAGCGACGACGAGGACCTCTCTGCAGAGGAGGCGGCGCCGCTGTCGGATGTCAGCCGCGCGAAGACGCTTGCGGAGCGCCTCCTGAGGCTCCTCGTGGAGCACATGGGCGCGATGGAGGAGTGCCGGTTCTTCACGACGCAGTCCGAGGAGGGTCTCGGCCGCAAGGTCGCGAATATGCGCCTTCAGATTGACGCCAATATTGCGCACCAGCTCTTCCTGCCTGGGCGGCCGACGACGCTGGAGACGTGGCGCGCGGTGTTCGGCTGCGTGGGTCTGGCGGGCGTGCCGCGTGCGGCCGCGGCGCTGTGGGCGATGCGGCGCGCGAAGCGCAGCGCGGAGGACCGGAAGATGTGCAGCTCGCTGATAGACCTGGAAGAGGCTCTGGCGGGGGCCATGGACTGGGAGGGCGCCAGCGAGGCCGCGGCGACGCACCTGCGCGACTGTCTGAACTACATGGCGTACGACGCCGGGTGAGCGACGGTCAATCACTCCCCGGGGGGCCACGCAGGGCACGTTGCACTCAGGGCGCCTTCGGCGCCACCTGCGCTCGCTGCGGTGCGGTCTGCCCTGGTCCGACGTCGCGGATTCGACCTCGCGCAACGAGCTGCAGGTACAACAAGGGTCCGACGTACATCTTGGGCGAGGAGGGCGTCGTGTGGATGACAGCGCAGCTGTGTCTGGCAGCGGACGCCGCGCAGCACTCCCCGATCCGCAAGGTCGCCGAGCAGTGCCGCGAGATGATCTTGGGCGGGTTCATCGACGGCAAGGTCGCGGAGATCTGGAAGGTGCGTGACGCGCGCGCAGCCGTGTGTTGAGCGATGTCGGGCCTGTGTCGTCGCATCGCGTGCACGCTGCGCGGCCACAGCTGCGTGCGTCGTCGCCGTTGGCTCCCACACAAGGCTCGCCCGCCATGAGGTCTGCGAGAGCGGCGGTTTCCAGCAACCTCCGTCGATTCGGACATGCGAAGTGAGCAGATTGAACTGTGGTTGGGTTTGATTCCGTACTGCACGACGTCGTCTTCATCCGCAGGAGGCCAGGAAGCTGGGTAAGAGCCCGGCCACAGAGAGGGGCGCGTCTGCGCTCGCGGCCGCGCGCCTGTCGCTCACCAACGTCAGGCAGCACATGGAGCGCACCAAGAAGACGCCCGTCCTGAGCATCGACTGACGCTGGACGGCGGCGCGCTGCCTCGCGCGCGTGTAACGGAATGCGCCGTCACGAGTCGCGCGTGACAGGTTCGATTGCGTCACGTCCCTGCAAAACATCCCCTTGCAACTCCCAGGAGTGCCCGCGAGTCCGAGTCGCGTCTGTTTACGACGTGAGCGAGGAGGAAGACGCGTGCTGATGCTTCGCGCAATCGTAGCGGACATGCGACCCCTTCATACAAAGTGTCAATCACATCATGGCACATATTCGAGTATCTTTCAACCGAAACTCTTCGAACCTAGCTCTGTGTCTTCCCCCCCTCCCCCCCCGCCTCCAACCGCGGCAAGGAAGAGGGTGCGCGCCCGAGCGCGCACGGCCGCGGGCACGACCGCCGCGGTGAACGAGCGTCAACCACCCTCAGATTAATGCAACTTTATATTGGCATGAATGCATATTCACGCTTAGCTCAAGCCCTCCATCACGCACCGGAACCGCCACACTGCAGCCCGGTCCCCGTTTCGCGCCGCTCTCAGAGGTGGTGTTCCTCGATCCTGTGCAGGTCGCCAACGCCCGTGTTCGACACGCCGCCGCCCTGCCCGCCGTTGTGCGTCGCGCCCTCCCTCGCCACCGACGTCCCGGGGGTGTCCGGCCCGGCCGACACCGCGCCGTCCACGGTGTTGCGCCAGCGCGACATCCCGCTGCCCTGCGACACCCCCAGCGCCGAGTGGCCCGACCGCGCAATGCTATTGGTGCGCAGGGACGCGCTCCGCTTGAAGCTCGCGGACGCCGTGAGGTGCCCGCGGTTCATGCTGTTGCTGCGCGACACCGACCGGGACTGCGGCAGCTCCGACACGTGGGCTTCCAGGCCCGCCAGCTGCTCGAACGCCTCCATCATGCGCCGCGTCGCCGTGCGCTCCGCCATCAGCGTCTTCAGGTCGTGCTGCAGCCGGGGCACCGCGTCGCAGATGACGCCCAGCGCGGAGATGTCGACCTGCAGCGCCAGCACCTCATCGATAGCAACCACCGACGCCGTGCGCGTCTGCTCGCCCATCAGCCCCATCTCCCCGATGACGTCCCCTGGACCACGATGTGCGAGCGTCCGCAGGGCCTGCCCCGCCGCGCTGCGCCGCGAGTCCGACGCCTGCAGCAGTCCGCCGAGCTGGCTGGCGTTGCGCACCGCGCGAGACACCATCCGCTCGTACGCCTTGTCGCCGTGGGCGCCACCGAACGACAGCGCGGGGGGCAGCGAGTGCCCATCCGACGAGGCGATCGCCTCCTTGATCTTGGCGGCGTCCGCGTCAGACACTTCTACTTTTTCTATCTCCGAGTCCTGCATATCGCTGTCGAAGTCCATATTGGCCAGCCCCGCCAGCCCGCGCGAGAACGGCGTATCGTCGTCGTACAGCGCGTGCCGGTCGAGCTTCCCGCTGACGTACCGGCCCATCAGCGCGCGTTTCTTGGCGCTGGCGTTGTTTGCGCTCAGCTCGCCCAGGCGCGACGCGACGGGCTTGATCGGCGCGCGGTCCTCCTCGGAGACGTGGTCCTCGTCGCTGTCGTCGTCCCTGCCGGTCAGGACGTCCGCCAGGCCCGCGCTCGGTCCCGCCGACTGGGTTGGCATGAGCACGCTGGTAGCCTCCGCGCCGGCGCCCGGGTCCGAGTCGCCCATCGGCTCCATGTAGTTGCTCACGGTCGCCGTCGGCTGCCCGGGCGTCGACTTCGCGCCCACGCCTCCCTGGGTGGGCGCTGCGGAGCTGGGCGCCTCGAAGCACTTGAGGACCTCCGCGGTGCCAGACACTATGAAATACATAAGACGCGCCTGCTCGCCCTCCTCGATCAAACAATCCCCGGGCGCGAACTTGCGTCGCGGCACCAGGTCCTCCCCGATGTTATCCAGGATGTATTCGATGGTGTCCATGAAATCAAGAGTGGGTTTCCTTCCGAAGCTCTTCCGCGTCTGGGACTCGCGGCGCGCCGTCAGCGTCTTCCGCAGGCTCTTCACCGACTCCATCGGGTCGCGCTCGGCCCCGCTCGTCATGCGCGGGGAGTGCAGCGACTGCGACGGCGACCCCATGGCCGCCGCCAACACCGCCCGCTCGCCGCCAGCACCGTCCATCGACCACTTACGCAGCAGCGCCTTCGCGCTCCGGCTCTTCGCGGCCGGCGTCGCATCCTCCGTCTCGGACACGTGCACGACGAGCCCGCGGTCCGACCGGATCGCCCGCGGCGTCGCGCAGACCACAGGCGCTGGCGGCGACTGCGGAGTCACGGGCGCCGCGGCCGACGCCGCGTCGCTGCTGGACCGGTCCTGCGCCGGCGTGGCCTCGCCGGCTGCTCCGTCGCCGAGGGTCTCGTCGACCGGCGCCAGCGTCTCGCGCATGTTGAAGCTGCCCGAGTGCATGTTTTCGTCTTCAATCACGCTGTTCGCGTCGAAGACCGACTCCTGCCGCAGCTGCGACGCGGCGTCGTCGTCGCGCCCCGTGACCCACGGGTGCACGATGACGTCCTCGATGGTCATGCGCCGGGAGGGGTCTTTCTCGAGCAGTCCGACCAGAAGGTGCAACACGTCTGGGGAGAGCGCCACGTCGTCCGGGATGTCGATGTTGTCCTCCGCGATCGCGTCCATCATCCGGAACATCGTCATCCCGCGCTCCCCGAACGGCAGCCGCCCGAAGAGCATCATGAAGAGCGTCACGCCCGCCGCCCACAGGTCCGCCGCCTTGCCCGAATACTCCTCGCCGCGGCAGATCTCCGGCGCCAGGAACGCAGGCGACCCGTGCGTGTGCGTGAGCCGGTCCGAGCCGCCCGGGGGCAGCACCGTCGCGCTCCCGAAGTCGCACAGCCGCACCAGGCCGTCCGAGCCCAGCAAGAGGTTCGCCGGCTTGATGTCGCCGTGAATGACGCCGCGGTCGTGCAGGTAGTCGAGCGCGTCGATCAGCTGCAGGAAGTAGTCGTTCGCGGTCGCCTCCGACAGCCGCTCCGGCTCCGCGCCGTCCTCGACCTCCTCCGTTCGCATCTGCACGGGGCCGCCCTCGACGTACTCCATCACGCAGAGCACGTGCTGCGCGGACTCGTCGTCGATGATCTCGTACAGCTGCACCACGTTCGGGTGGTCGAGCGTCTTCAGCACGCCGGCCTCGCGCTTCAGGACCGCGGACTTGTCGTGCCGGGAACCCCGCATGCCCCCGCCGGCCATCAGGCTGCGCCCGCGCGAGTTCTTCCCCTGCAGGGCCTTCGAAACCAGCTTGATTGCGACGAGGGACTGGTCGACGAGGTCCAGGCAGAGCTTCACGTCGCCGTGCGTCCCGGAACCAATGGTTTTGACCACTGCATAGTGGTTGAAGAATCGCGCGTTGGCCTGCGCGTGCGACGGCGGCCCGATCGCGCCGACCGCCAGCGACTTGGTCTCTTCGCCCTTGCCCTGCCGCAGCCGCGACCCGAGCCGCGAGATGCTGCCCTGCGACGCCAGCGGCCCCGCCTGCACGCGGCTCCCGCGCGGTGTGACCGCAGCGCCCGGCTCGGCGTTGCTGCGCATCGCAGGTGCGTTGCTCATGGACTGCTCGCGGATGAAGTGCGCGACGTCCTCGTACGACGAAATGCTGTTCTCCTGCACCACCTTGGACACGTTGCCGCCAAGAAGACTCTGCCGGGAGCCCTGCTCGGGATACTCCCGTTCGTACGCGTTCGCGCGGTGGCGCGCGTGCGCCGCGGCTTGCGCGGGCAGCAGCGCGCCCGAGCTCACCGCGCGCGGGCCCTCGAGGGTCCCCCGCGCCCCCTCGTTGTGCGAGTGCGACTTGAGCCTCCCGTCCGTCTGCGCGCGCACCGCCGCCCCGCGCGGCCGCTCCACGACCGTCGTGCCCTCCGCGTCGCGCATCACGGACGACTCGTCCACCTTCTGCAGCGCGGGGTACACGCTGGGACCCCCCCGACCCCCCCCGTGCGCGCTGTTGTCCTCCACCGACTCCTCCCCCGCCGGCCGCGTCGTGCGCTCCGAGCCGCGCGTCGGCTCCGCGAACCGCACGTGCGGCGACAGCGGCGGGCTCATCGTCCCCACCGCGCTCGACTCCCCCTCGAACTCCCCCTCCGGTTGCACCGACAGCCGCATGTGGTTCTGTCCCTGCTTGATGTTGTTCACCAGCGCGCTCACCAGGCCCCCCAGCGACCGGTCCTTCCCGTCCTTCCCGAAACTCTCCTGCAGCGCCTCGAGCGACAGCCCGCGGTCCTCCTGCATCGAGAACCGCCCGCCCGACCGCGGCGACATCGGTGACTGACCGGACGCGCCGACGTCCTCGGGCTCGACGTCCGGCGGCGGCGGAAGGAGCACGCCGACGGACGCGCCCTTGCGCGGCACGGGCCGCGCGGGGCCCATGCTCCCTGACTTGGCGAACTTCCCCGACGCCGCCTTGCCTTGTGTGGCCATCATCGTCGCGCGGGACGAGAGCATGCGCTCGGGGGCCTTTCCCCCGCCGCCGGCGCCGCTTCTGAGCGCATCGCCGTTGCGCCCCGGCGCGGTGTTGCGCGTGGGCCCGTTCTCGGTGAGGCGGAAGCTGCTGGTGTTCTTGGGCTTTGGTTCGGTCTTCCTCGACGGGTGCGGGTTGAACACGCCGCCGTCCTCCTTCCCGAGCACGACCGCAGGCGCGAGGTACAGCGCGGTCTCCTCCCCGACCGCCCCGCCCCACGGCAGCAGCACGGACATGCACACCTCCCCGCCGTCGCCGGTGAAGCAGTTCGTCTGCAGCGTCGTCTGCTCCAGCGGCGGCGGCACCTCCACGAGGTCCTTCAGGAGCCGCACGGAGCCGGGGCTCGACGGCCGTTTCCCGAGCGACGTATGTCGCCCCGCGGTGTTGGGCGTGGACAGCGCCCCTGGCTCGCCGCGGACGCTTGGCACCAAGGAGCGGCCGGACGTGTTGCGCGACAGCATGCGGCTCCGCTGCGACGACCCGACCGACGAGATCGACCCCGCGCGGGGGATCGACCGCGACGACCGTTCGAGCGCCCCCCCCTTGCCCAACATCCCCACCCCGCTGTGCTCCAGGCCCTTATGCGAGCCCGGGCCGGACCGCCGCGAGCCGCCGCCGACCGTGCCGGCGCCGCCGTGCGCGGACGCCGGCGGGGACAGGTTGCTCGCGCGCACGTGGCTGTGCACGATCCGCGGCCCCCCCGGGTCCGCGAGGTGCCGCGACATGCGCGTGCGGAACCCCGGCACGCCCGCGGGATGCTTCTGCGCGTGCGCGTGCTCCGTGTGCGTCTGCGCCGCGCGCCCCGTCGTGCTGCGGGAGTAGAACACGTTGCGGTCGTTGACGCGCCGCAGCATGTCGAGGCCCTGACTCAGGTCGATGCCGACGGAGCCGGCCTTGGCGCGCCGCACGACGGGCAGGGGGCGGTCGTCGACGAACTGGTTGGCCTCGGCGGCCTGGGGGCTCTCCCGGAGCTCGCGGGCGTTCTCGATGACTGGCGAGAGGGACTGCTCGTCGGCGTCCGGGGGCGTGGACGAGGTCTCGACGCGCAGGCGGACTTGCGGGATCGGAGAGGGCTCCGCGGTGACGTTCTGGCTCGTGAGGGGTGTGTTGTCGTCGTCGACCTGCCTGCTGGTGTTGAGCGCGCGGCTGGATGTGGTCGCTGCCGCGATCGCCTGCTTCTCCGATGCCTTGAGGTTGCCGAACGTCTTGTGACGCTGCGTTCCAGGAGGGCGCGGCGCTGGGACGTGACGCGCAGGGGTGGGCAGCGGGCGATTTCGCGCGCCTCCCTGGGCGCTGAGGGGGGGAGCAGGGTCGCTGGGCAGCACGAACGGGACAACCGCGACGGCTGCGAGCGTCGTGCGCGCGCTGCGCACGCACGCGGGGCCGCGACCACGCCACAGCGCCCGCCCTGGCAGCCAGTCGATGCCGGCAGCTCCCGGGGGCCGCCCGGCGCCGCGACGTTCGAGCAGGCGGCCGCACCTGTACTTGACGAGCCTTCTCAGACGTCAGGGACTGCGTCTCCTGCGCCGGAGGCGGCACGGAGGACAGCTGCCGCGAGCTCGGGTGCATCGCTGAGACCCGGTTCTTCGTGGAGCGCCGGCTCTTCGCGCTCATCCACGGCCGCAGCGTCAGGTGGCTCCCGGCGACACTGCAGAGCGTGGGGCGCCGGGAGAGCCCGTCTCGGTCCACGCACGCGCGCTCTCTGGGCCGCTCTCGCCCTGACCTGGAGCCACGCTGCCGGGCAACTACCGCTGGGCCCCGGCACCGCGGCGCGCCGACACGGCGACCGGCGCGCCGAGCCGCAGCGGGAGCACGCAGTCGGGCGCGTGGAGGCCAGCGGCGCCGCGGGCGCCCGTCGCGGCTGCGCAGCGGCGGCGCAGGGCGCGGGCACTAGCGGGAGGGAGCGTGCATGAGGGCGCGCGCTCATACGCCCTGTGCGCGCGCTGCGCGGCGCTGCGTGCGCGGGGGGAGGTCCTGGCGGATCGGAGGGGCGCGTGGCGGGGCTGCGGGTCGCGCGCCTGCTCGGGCCGGGCGTTTTCGCGCCGGTGCCTCTTTCATGCATGCCGTCGCCATTGGCGTGGTCGCGCTTCTTGGCCAGGTACTCAGCGCCCCTGTGCGACCTGTCGGCCGCCACAGGGGCGCTGCCGGTGTTCCCCATGGCCGCTTGCGCCCGGGAGCCGCGTCACGGCCGCGCGTTCACTCCCAGCGCCGTGGTCCGCGCCCACCTCCGACAGGACATCGCGCCCCTTGGTTCGCCAGTGTGCGCTTTCGACGCCGCTCGGGGATACTTGTCGCGGCGTGGGTCTGCGCAGCGGGAGGGCGGGCGCCGATGACGTGCGATCAACACTGGAGTGGCGCTTGGGGGGCAGGGGGGCGGGCACGGCGCCGAGCGTGGGCCGCGGCTCGCGGGCGGCGGCTGCCTGGCCACGGCCGCTGGATCGCGTGTTGGAGGGGCGCGGAGACGCGGCACGTGGGGGACGGGCGCGCGTGCCACGGCGCGACGCAGGGCCTACCTGGCCCGTGGCAGAGCTGGATTCGGGGCCTGAGAGGGGCTCAGGGCGGGTGCGTTCGACTACTGCAATGCCATTGGCCGAGGCAGTGCCGCGTCGCGCGCCCTCGACGCTCGGCGCCGCGGTGCGAGGGGGGCGTGCTCCAGCCCTCCTGGCCCGACGGAGCTCGGGTGACCATGGATTAACCGCGTCGACAGAACGGTCGTACTCTTTGAATTGAGAGCGTCAACCTTTTCGCGGATACACCCGTGCGAGGACGGGGAAAACACGGCGCGGGACGGCAGTGTGCCTACGAGGTGAGTGTGTGTGTCTGCCGCTCAGGCTGCGAGCAATCGAATCCGTCGGCCGGGCTCCTGTGCGACGAACGGGGCCTCCGCCGCCGGAGCGAGCCCTATTCGTGGCGGTCCGCGAGCCAACCGGCCCAACAGCCACGTCGCCGTTCGGAGCCGCAACAGGGCGTCGCGAGTGCGGCATGCGCTTCCGCCAGCTCCGCGAGCCCCCCTGTAGCGGCGAGGCTTCGTCCCGTGTTCCAACCGACCATTTGGGCGGCCACCGAACCCGTGCTCTTCCCGCGGAGACGCCGCTAGCAACTGCTTTGCACAACAAGTGGTAGTTCTTCGCTGTGGGCCAAGCGATGCGCGTCACGCTGACACGGCCGAGCGGAGGAGCGTCCCGGCTCGCCTGATGTCACAGCATGCGGGGCGCCCGAGCACCGGACCGTGCGGCGCGGTGCCGCGACGTTGTTGCTGCATTTGAACCTGCACAACCCGTGCCAGCGTGGCTGACCGGACACGGTTCCACGGGCGAGTGGAGGGATCGGCTGGGCCCGCTGTGCGCCGCGGGTCACGCCTTCCGGGGTCGAGTAACGAACACATCTTGAAAATCTCTCTCATCTTGCACGACAGGCACTGTGCCTGACCGTAACGGTCCACCGTGCGTGCGCCGGAAGCCCGTGCCGCCTGCGCGTTGCTTCTGAGGTCTTTCGTTCCGGGTTGTCGCTGGCGGCGAAAGCGAGCCCGCCGAGCGACGCGCACAATTTGCGCCTGAGGGGCCTGCCAAGGTGCCGCCTCGCCCATGGTCGTCGCCGCGCCTCACACGCGCCTGGGACCCACAGGTCCGAAGCTGTCGCGGGGCTGCGCTTCTTCGTCCTCTTCCTCCTCCCGCGCTGGACCCGCATCATCAGCGCGTCTCTGTGCGGAGAGCCGCCCTGCCTCCTCTCGGAACCTAGACGGCCGGGTAGTCTCGATGCTCGACCTGCATAGGGCAGCCACGGCTCGGGCGAGCTAGCGTAGTGAACCCCCTTCCCGCGAGGCGGTGTCTCTGCGACAGTAAAGAGTGAATCACTGCTGCAAGTGCACCCCGCTGTCCGCCTGGCAAGCGCCGACGACACCGCGGATGTCGTGTTTCCGCACAGGCTGGAGCAGGCAGGCCACGTGGCGCTGTGTTCGGGGTGCGGCGGCACGTTGCGCGGGTGCGTTGCTGCCTGTCGTACCTGAGGACCGCGCTGCCGAGATGGTCGAGAGTGGGCGCCGTCGGGCCGCCGTGTCGCCCAACGGGAAGGGTGCCGGCGCGAATCGAGCCCGCGGCGTTCGACGCCAGTGACGCGTGCGAGCCGGTGCTGATCGAGCTGGTTGCTGCAACGGGCCGCGGCGCCGAGGGCCTGTCCGCGGCCGAAACGTCGTCGCTTTGCCGCGGCGCCGCCTCCGCCAGATGACCTTGATGCGGCACGCCGCTCACCTGATCGGCGTGCGCGTGCTGCTCCGCGGCGTCACCCGGGGCCGAGAGCCCTGCGCCACACGACGCCGTGGAGCGCTCCGGCGCGAGCGGTGACTGCGGAGCCGCCGCGCCGTCCTGTGACTCGCTCGGATGCAGGGCCTCTCGCTTTTGCAGGCGTGCGATCTTCAGGGCCCTGCCTTGCGAGACCATGCGTTGAATGAAGGAGATGTTGCCGCTGCGGGTACCAAGCTTCTGTGCCAGGGCCGCCGCCGCCGCCCACCGCAGCTTCGCCCGGCGCGCGACCGACGCGTTGCTCGCCCGGTCCGGCAGGCCCTCGCGCGGGTCGACCCCGTCCTCGTGCACGCGGTCGGCGGCGGCAAACTGCACGGCCCGCTTCGCCACTTCCACCTGCTGCGTCTCCACAGACATCCTGACGACGTCTGCGTCCCTGACGCTCGCCGTGGAGGCCCTGCTCGATGCCGCCTGCTTGACGTCCGCCTCGACGCCGCCCGCGCGCTGCAGGCGTGCGGACACGTCGCGTCGCAGCAGCAGGAAGTTCACGAGCTTTCCCGGCTGCGAGAACAGCACGAAGAGAAGCCCCACGATGCCGCCGATGTCCCCGAGGAGCGTCCAGAGGTCCTTGACCGGCACGAGGCGCACCTCGACGAAGCTGCCGTCGAGGCGGAAGAGGTACCGTGCTAGCAAGTCCCCCTGGGGCTGGGAGACGCTGAGGAGCTCGACGTCCGCTCTGTCCCAGGCGAGGTTCTCGGACGAGATTACGGGGAGGAAGCTGAAGATGAAGCTCTCCTTGATCACGGTGGTCCGCCGCACCGACACGGCCACTTCATTTACGAAGAGCGGCTTCGATTGCGAGGTCAGGAAGCCGACCCTCTGCGCGCGGAGATCCTCGAGGTCCGTGTTCCACGTGATCGCGTTCGTGGGCACCTGCTCGGACCGCATGAGCCCCACCACGAAGCAGGAGTACACGAGAGCGCGGAGCTGCGGTGGCGCGTCTGCAATCTTCGTCCAGTTCACCCGAGCCTCGATCGCGACCTGGGCGAAGCTTCGCGATGCGAACAGCGTTCCCTGCGAGATCGCACAGCGGAAGGTCAGGCGTTCGGACTGACCGGAACAGCGATGTATCGCTGCTTCGGCGGCAACGCAGGTGCTGTCAGCGGCAACACACGGACCACACGCGGTCCACTTGCCTGCATGTGCGGAAACTGCGCCACGTTGCTGTCGCAGGGCACGGCCCCGGGCAGGCGGTAGATGCTCATGGGCTTCTCCCCGTCGCCGAGCTCGAACGGCAGCGCCACCAGCTCGGGCACCTGGTCCTTCGTCGGGTCGGCGCACGCAGGCACGATCCGCATGACGCGGATGACCGCGCCGTCCGAGTTGACGATTTCGGCCGGGGCCAGCGGCAGGTCGATCTCGACGGTATTGACGCTGGGTCTGTCGCCGCCATCCATCGCGATCTCCAGGTACTGCTGTTTGGCGACCAGGTAGATGGTGCCGGGGGGCAGGAGGTCGATCGGGCCGACGATCGTGGCCGCGAAGGCGACGTTCGATTCCATGGAGGTCCGCGGATGGTAGGCGTAGTCGCTGACCGAGGACGTGCTCTCGGACGCCTGCATGGGGTCTGTCGCGAAGCGATACAGCCCGTATCCTGCAAGGACAGGCGAGGCCAATATGACCGGTCGTGAGCACGTGAGCTCCGAAGAGTTCCTCGCGCGTCGTCAATGCGGCGCCTGGCCATGTGCGCAGTTGGGCGGTGGGGCGGGGCCGTACCGATGAAGAGAGCGATGAATGTGAGGTAGGCGACGCCCAGACTGAAGCCCCAGTACGTCCTGTACCCGCGTTCGTGCGGCACGTACTCGAACGGGTCGAATGGCGGCGCACGCGCTGGTCTCCATGGGCCTTCTGCCACTGAGTGAGACGACAAACTGGGGGCGCTCGCCCGGCTCGTCATCCCCGCGCGGCGGCGCGGAAGCCTCGCCATAAGTGCTCACGTTTGTCGAGGCAGCATCGGTGTCGCTACGTGCGCCTGTAAGGCGGCACTGCTGGTGAGTTGACTGCCCTGCTATGGTTCAATATGGTATCAATTGAAGTGATACCACGACGTTGCCTGATTCGTTGCTCTAATTCGAGCTACGTGCACATGTCATGCGCATCGCACGTGATGAATGCATCTGTAGCGGCCCGGACTAGCGCTGTGCACCACGCTGCTCTCCTTCATGGCCCGCCGGGTCGCAGGCGTGCGCCGGAATCTTCGCTGTTTTATGGGAAATGCGGAGACTGATGCGTGCTGCTTGCATCGCGAGCCTGAGATGCAAAAGAGACCGAAATTCCGGCGCAGCGGGCAAAGCAATGAGTACCCCCCGCACTGACTCAACCAGCAGCTCACAACAAGCTGCCCGAGCTGACTACGGCGATTCGCTCAATCAGCCCCTCCCCGATGCTCGCCGCCTCCGCCAGCGCCGCCGCCGCGTCAGGCACGACCAGCAGCTCCCGCGACTCCCCCCCGCCGCCCGACACCAGCGGCACGCACGCGTGCGCGCGTGCGGGGTCCACAGGGGCCGGAACGAACGCCTCGGGGCGCCACGACACCCCCACGACCCGCGAGCCGCCCAGGAAGTCCGCCCCGAACGTCGCCAGGTGCCCCAGCCGGTGCTGCAACAGCCCCACCAGGGTGCGTTGCGGATAAAACCCGATGAGGACGTCCTTCCGGAGCCGCTCGACGTCCGCGCCCGGCACATCGACCACCGCTGCCGGGAACGCGCGCAGCATCGCGCGCGCGCGCTTCGCCGGCGGCGGCACTGGCAACACCCCCCGGCCATCAAGGAGGCCCCGCATGGCCGTGCCAGCGCCCCCCGGGCCCGTCACCGCGCTGCAGGCAGCAGCCGCGCCCGAGGGGAGGCCGGCGGGCGCCTGCAGGGCGCGGTCCGGGTGCGGAAGGGCCTCCTTGCGCAGCACGAGGAGCGCGTCAAAGTCGCGGAGGCTTGGTGCGAAGATGCGCAGCGGTGGCGGCGCGGAGGGGTCCCCGGTCGCGGCTGCCTCCAGTGCCGCGAGGTCGTCCGCGGCCAGCGCGGCCATGCGGGCCACGACTCCCTGCGAGGGCGTGCTGCCGGTCCACAAGTCGCCCTTGACGTCCCCGGGGACCGCGATCAACATCCCCCCCCCCGACGGGTCCTTCGCGCGGTCCTCGAGCGCCGCGAGCGCCGTGCGGTACGCGTCGCTTCCGAGCTCGTTGCGCGGGTCCACGACGAGCGGGCGGGCGTGGAACGGGAAGCGAGCGAGCAGCGACAGCAGTGTGCTGAACCCGCGCAGGCGTGTGGCGGGCGGCGGGGACGCGGCGGGCTCGCAGAAGACGTGGCAGGCGAGGAGCTCCCAGACCTCGTCGGGCACGTGCGGGGAGAGGAGCCGCGCCGCGGCCCAGCGTTTCGCCAGGCGAGCCACCGCGGGCATGGCGGGGTGTTTCTGGCTGACGTACGCGACCGTGCCGTGCAGCCAGAGCATGCGCGCCACCGGCGTCGCGCCGTGGACGCCGCGGAGGACGGCGAGCGCCGGGTCCGGCGCCGCGGGCTTGCCAGTCAGCGCCGCCTTTTCCGCAATTATGTCTTCTCGATCGGTGTTCAATATGAGGCGGAGGGCAAAGCCGTCGACGAGCATGTCGACGCACGGCTCGGACGCGCGGAACGGGTGCCCGTACGCCTCCTCGCACGCGCTACCCAGCTGAATACCAAGCGCCGCGCGCATCTTGAAATACGCTTCGGAGTCCTCCGGCCACTTGCCCGACCCCTCCAGGCTCACGAGCACCTCCACCGGGTCCGCGCAGCGCGGGGCGCCGCGCCCGCCGCCCTCGCGCGGGCCGCCGAGGAACGGGTGAGGGGCCGGCGGGAACGGCGCGGTCCCGCGCAGCGTCGCCGCGAGCGGCTGCACGGACAGCACGCGCAGCGGCAGTGTCGCCAGCGCCCGCAGCTGCTTGGACAGCTTGTCGACGGCAGCGTCCAGCATCGCCGCGTTGCGCTCGGCGCTCGCGGCCACGACGTCGTCGCTGGACGTGAGCGCAGCGTCGAGGCACCCGGCCGTCCGCACCGCCTCGGTGTTGGCCCCAATGTGGCGCTTCAACACGTGCATGACGATCTTGTCCGGGATCGCGTGGCGCTCGCTCGGGTCCGTGTCCCACACGGCGGTCTCGACGATTCTGCCGTCCTTGAACCGCCGGAGCTCCGCCCGCTGGCCCCAGAACTCGCGGAAGGCCCTGGCGGCGACAGCGTCTTCGGGGGACGGGCCCAGGTCGACGCTGCGGGCCAGATGGGCGCTGTCGGCGAGCACGCCGACCATCAGGGGAGCGGAATCTGGCGAGGGGACCGCCGAGAGCGCGGCGCTGCCTCGGGCGGCCGCTTCAGGGGCCCGGAGCCCCCGCGGGAGGCACACGACTGCACGCGCGCGGTCCGCCAGTCCCTGCGTCAGCAGCTCCTCGACGCGCGCCTCCTCCGCAGCCGACGACGGCAGGTCGCCGGACACGTCCTGTGCGCCCCCGGCGCCGTCGTTCTGCTGCGGCAGCGTCACGGCGTAGGCAAAGTCGTACCGAACGACGACGGGTTTCGTTTCCAGGAAGATCGCTTCGAAGGCCTCCTCGGGCGACGCGGGCTGCGCCAGGGCACGCACGGAGGCGGCGGCTGCCAGCGAGGCGTGCGCGAGCGCGGACCGCGAGAGGGGCGCGAAGATGTTGACGAAGCCTGTCGCGTCCAGCAACACACAGGGACGGTGCGCGCGGTGCAGCGCGAGCGGGGCCGGCGACGCCTGCGTACGGTGGTGGACGGCACCGAGGGCGAGGGGAGGGCGTCGGTGCAAGAGGTGATGTTGTAGGTGGAGAGGGGGGGGGTGTTGAGGAGGGGGGTGTTTTGCTTGCCTTGGCGCCCTGGAGGTGCGTCCTGGGCATTTCGAGCCCGGCTTCCATCGTCTTGATATCCGCGAGCAGCTGCAGCACCGCCCGCATCATTTGCAGCGGCATCATTGCGCTGTGCAGCTTGCCATGCAGTGCCTGGTGCACCGCCAGCATCTGCGAGCGCAGGACACAGACCGAGACAATCAGCCCCCCGCCCCCTCGGATGCGGTCGCCAGCCACAACGGCAGCGCGCACGCACCTGCAGCATGAAGCCCGTGACACCCCCGCCCCCTCGCGGAGACACCCCCGCCTTCCTGCCCCACACACGGAGCAGGACGACGCAGTCCTGCAGCCCCCTGCACTGCTTCACCGCCAGGTGCACCTGCCGAAGCAGCTCCGGCGCCAGCGCGTCCCTCAGGAGCGCGTGGTTGTACACAGGAGTAGGCAGCAGCTCCGCTGCTCCTTCCGCGCCGTTCGCGTCCCGCGCCGCCCCGGCCCCCGCCGCACGGTGCGTCCTGACGTTGTTCCGGTCGGGCCCGAGCCTGCTGAGCGGCAGCGCCGCCACGGGGGGACGCACGGACAGCCGCACCGCCAGCCCTGCGCCGCGCGTGTGCACTGCAGCTGGCGGGCGCAGCAGCAGCGCGGGGCACCGCGGGTCACCCGCGAGCACCGTCCACGACACTTCTCCCCACCTCTCGCTCTCCCCCGCGCCAGCCGCCGGCCCTTGCCCCTTCCTGACCCCCCCAAACAGACCCCTCAACACCCCCCCCAAATACACGGCGCGCTTCGCGTGGAACTTGTGCGAGACGTGGTCCTTCGACGCGAGGACGGCCTCGGGGAGCTCGAGCGACACGTCGACGTGGCAGTCGGCCCCCGCGACCGCGGTGCGCGGCAGGTAGCTCCCGATGACGTCGACGGAGGTTGGCGGCGCGAACTGGAGCTTCGCGTCGGTGGGCACGGGCGACCGGAGGCCCTCGACGTAGCCCGCGACGCCGCACGACGCAGCGCTGATCTTGCGCGCCGGCAGCGCGAGGATGGCGTCGCGCAGGTCACGCAAGTAGGCCTGAAGGGTCTTCGTCCGCGCATAGTCGACCCTGGCTTCGTCGAGGAGCGCGTTCGCCTGTTGAGGGAGCGGCGGGAAGAGAAGCGTGAGGTCGTGGCGGTTTTTCAAGACGTGAGCGTGCGGCTCGTGTGCGCTGTGGCCGTGGGACAGTGTGCGCTTGCCTCCAGGCGCATCAGGGCGGCGTCCGAGGCGTCCACGGACGACATGAGCAGCTCCTCGTCGTCCCTCCCGAGCCTGCGCATCCGTGGACCGTGCGGATCCTCGCCCGGCGCGTCGTCGTCGTCGTCACCTGCGGGCAGCGCAGGAGACGGGTTGGTGTCTCCCTGCAGGCCGAACAGCGCCTTCGACCCCCGATTTCTCCTACGCAGCGCTTCGCTGCAGACACGAACATGCGGCGACGGGCGTGGAGTGCTCCCGGAACGGGTGTGCTGCGCGGCACTGGGTGACGGCCCACCTCCGCTGTCCTCCTCGTCCTCTTCCGCGCCCGCGCGCCCGCCATTCTCGTCTTCCTCTACATCCTCGAATTCACCGTATATCTCCTCGTCCGAACCGCCAAAGTCGCTCGGGAGCGACCCTGCGTCGTCGGACGAGCCCATCTCTCCCCCAACTCACTTCCGACTGCACCGCCGCCGCTGCGCACCGCGATATTCACGACATACACGCAGCGCTGCACCCTCCCAACAGCGAACTTCCCCGCCGGCGCCAGCAGGCCGCCCCCTGACGCCCAGCGCCGCGGCAAACGCGGTCGGACTGCCCTTGCGTCGGGCCGCAGGACCTTGTGGCGGCCCGGGCTGGGCCGCGGGGGGACAAGGGCCGGCGCGGCCGCCCGCGCCCGGCGTGCGGCGTCCAGTGTCAGCTGGGGTCCATAGGAGGTGGCTCGTCGTCGTTCGCTGCTACTCGGGGCGTTGCATGCACACTGGGCAGCACACACGCAGCGTGAAGTTGGCCTGCTGAAGGCCCCCCGCAAGGATGGCGCTCAAGGACACGCTGGACCTGATCCGGAAGTCGCGGATGCCGATATACCTCGGCTTGACGATCTTCGGTCGCAGCCACATGAAGGACGTTTCCGTGGAGGCGGCGCGCATTCTGTACTTCTCGCTCCTGGCCATCAGCGTCGTCGTGAACCTCTTCCTGCTCAAGAAGATCAACGGCATCGACGACAAGAAGCCGGTGAGCCAATGCAAACGCGTCGCGGCGCCCTGGCATCGCGTCAGCGGCCGTCCCGCCCTCGGTGTTTCCACGCTGTGGCGAAAGCGCCGCCCACGCCGGCAGGGCGTCACCCCACGCGCACTAGCGTGCCCCAGCGCCGGGCCCAACACGCGCGCGACTGCCTCGCAGCTCTGAGAGTGCGCATCGCGGTCGCACGAGGCCAGATTTTCACGTTCGCGCGACGTGACCTGATGCCAATGGCCCTTGGGGGCCGTTGCCGCCTCGCGCGGGTCCGAGTTGCGCGTCCGCCCGCGCCGTGCCTCGCAGGTGAAGACGAAGAGCCCACAGGGCGAGACGACGACGGTGACGGTGCGCGAGTATGACACCAAGCAGGTCCTGGACGGGCTGCGGAGCCAACTCATCAGCGTGGCGATCGTCTGCGTGCTCCACTTCTACAAGGGCATGCTCCCGCCGATGCTCCTCCAGGGCCTCATGATGCCCTTCGGCATCCTCGACAACAAGATGTTCCGGTGCGGCCCCACACCTGCATCACACACCAGCGCCAGCGAACACGGTCAACACCCGCACACGCCGCGGCCGCACACGGCACCTACGCCTGCACCCGCGAGCCCCACGCGTCGCACACCCCTCCTCAACCCCCCCCCCACCTCCTGGCGCCCGCAAACTCGAGTCACCGCAACACCCCCGCCCCTGACGTCCGCTGCGCCGCCCGCCCGCGCGCAGGATCCACGTCGTCGGCGAGCACCCGTCGGAGGACCTCGCGCGTCCGTTCAAGGCCGGGGGCCTCATGGAGATGCTGCAGAACATGAACCCTGACAACCAGGTGGTGACCAAGGGCAAGAAGAAGGACGGCGAGAAGGCGGCCGCGTCCGGGGAGGCCCGCGAGGCGCCCGCGGGGGGCGCGGAGGCCAAGGGGGGCGCGAAGAAGCGCAAGGCGAAGCGGGCGGACTGAGGGGGGGGTGTGATGCCCGCGAACGCCGGGGGGAGTGCCTCGCGTGGGTTGAGCGGTGCGGGGGCGAGGGGGCGCGGCGGCGCGTGGTGAGTGGTGGGTGGGTGGAGTGTGACTCGTGGTGGACGGCGTGGCGGGGTGCGGGGGGGTTTGTGGCTGCTGAGTCAGGGTGTGTGGGGGGTTGAAGTCGGACGGTGCAGGTTGGGGGGCGCGGGTGGGCTCCGGCGCAGAAGCGGAGGCGGGGCGCGTGGGCCGGCGGGGAAGCAGTCGTCGAAGGCAGCGCTCAGGCGGGGCGAGGTGGTGGGGCATGGGCAAGGTTTCCCAGTGGCGGGCCCTCGCGCGGTGGTGGTACGTTCAGGCTGAGGGATACGTCTTCCAGCACTGGAAGGAGCTGGTCTTCCCTAGCAAGATCCCCTCTCGATTCGAGACCAGGTGCGTACTGGCGGTGCAAGGCCGGCAGCACAGTGCGCCTCGCCTGCCTCGTTTCGCGCGTTGAGCAGCTGCAAACCGCGCCTCCAGGTCCAGAAGTAAGTGAACAATCGCAGGCGTAGCCGACATACGATCGCAGCCCCGCCACAACGGACGAACGCGCTCCCTGCCATCTGCGAGTTTCTCGCGCCGATTTCTCGCCAAAGAGACGTGCGCCTGGTGCCTGTGCTGCAGGCTGACACAGATATCGTACAAGGAATACTGGTGGGTCCGGCGCCACCTCGCAAAGCGACAGACGAAGCAAATCTGGGCCAATTTGTTCCTTGCTGTGGAGCAGGAGCTCCGACGCGTCAGAGATTTCGCGTCCGCCGTCCCGCGCGTCGTCCGGCAAAAAGCCCTCGAGATCCAGGACGGCTTCACGGAGTCCGACGCGCCCGCGAACCGGGCCGAAAAGGACGCCTCGCAGGCGGCGACGCGCCACACTGAGCGCCCGGACGAGCCCGCACGCCCGGACCCAGCCGCCGACTCGACCCTCGGCGACGAGGCGGCCCGCCTGCGCGATGCAGCGGCGACGACGGCGTCGACGCTCGCGAGTGCGGCACGCGCCGCCTTTGCCAGCGGAGAGGTGCATCGCGCAGCGGAGGGTGCTGCGCGCGAGACGATGCGGAGCAAGGAGATGCAGCAGGGCATCGCGAACGTGAAGTACCTGAAGGAGCAGGGGCAGCGGGTGGCGGCGGAGGCGGCGCCGAGGTCGCGGGAGCTCGTACAGGGGTTTCTGCAGGGCTACAAGAAGGGAATTGCCGACTCCGAAACGGCCGAGAGCCCGATAGACGGGCTGAAGCGGGCGCTGCGGAGGATCGAGGCGGACGACGCCGCGGAGCGCGCCGACGCGGCCCCGCAGAAGGAGGGGAAGCCACGAGATACGAAACAATAACACTTGATTTGTTATTTGTTTGTTTTGTCCCCATATCGCCGGGAGAATCCTCGCCACGGAACGATGTGCAGCCTGCACTCAAAGCGCTGCGCAGCCTGGCCTGCGTATCAGGACCGATCTAGCCCTAGACCCCCCCCTGACTCAACCCTCTCGACGGACTGTCAGCACCACCTTGCCCGTCGTCTGCCCCGACTGCAGCTTCGCGATGGCCGCAGGGGCGTCCTCGAACGGCATGGTCACGCCGATCTCGGCCGGTGCGAGGTCCATCGCGAGCAGTTCGTCCACCATTCGGCCGAGTTCGTCCACTTTGTCAAACATCCAAATAAGATTGAACCTGCACACGGAACCCAGGTGTGAATCTCTAGTCTTGGGGCACCATCACGCGGAAAGCCCGGCAGGCGTGTGGCGCACGATGGCGCGGCGAGCGCGCGGCTCTGTGGGTTGTGTGGACGCGGCGGGCGCACCCCATGACGCTGCGGTTTTGTCCTGGCAGCGCGAGCGGGTCGATGCGTGGCCGCGTGAGGTACTGCCACGCCAGACGAATCCAGCCAGGCTTCCCGCCCTTGGGCGTCATGTCCGCAGCGCCGTACACGACGTACCTGCACAGAAAGATCCACACAACTCAGGCATCACCAGATATCCGGCGACGAGCTGGCGCAAGTCCGGGATGGCGCGACTGCGAGCACCCGCGCACCTGCCGCCCTTGGCCACTCTGTCGAACCCGGGCTGCATCCACCCCCCCAGCACCGCGTCTAGCACCACATCGAACCCCTCGGCACCAGCCTGACTCAGCACGCCGTCCAGCTGCGCCCCGAACTCCCGCGGGGTCTCCCGGACCACGACCTGCCACGGCTGCAGCCACGGCAGCTGCTCCAGCAGCCCCGCTTTCTTCGCCTCGCTCCCCACTGTCCCCGACACCACAGCCCCCACGTGCCGACATATCTTGGCCGCCCACTGCCCGCACCCGCCCGCGAGGCTGTGGACCATCACGGCGTGGCCCGCACGGAGACCGCCCAGCGCGACGAGCGCGTAGTACATGGTCAGGGCCTGCACGAGACAGGCGGCGCCCTGCGCCACAGACCATGAGTCAGGAATGGGTCGCAGGAGCGCTGCGGGGGAGACGACGTAGTCGGCGTACGCGCCGAAGCGCGTGCAGCCCATCACGCGGTCGCCCGGCCGGAACGGCACGTCGCCGCGTGCGCTCACGACGCTCCCGGCGAACTCCAAACCCGGCGTGAAGGCGCCTTCTGGGGTGGCGCCGTACAGGCCCAGGACGGAGAAGACGTCGGCGAAGTTGAGGCCGATGGCCTCGACCGCGACGAGGACTTCGCCGTCTCCGGGAGCGGGCATCGGCTGCGGAAACGCGATCAAGAGATGCCGTCGTGGGACGGGATTGATGCGCCGTTGCGACGCTGGCCTGAGACCTTGGACAGGAGCGAGTGCGGCGGTGTCGATCTGACCTGCGTCTCGAGCTTCATGTTCGCGACGTTGCCGGCGGTCAGGACCCAGGCGCGGCGCGTTGTGGGCAGCGGACTGGCCTGCTCCTCGGGGGGCTCTTGCGACATGGCCCGGTCCTGGGAGGGCCCTCTGCGGTCCGTCGAAGAGTGTCTAGCTCTGGATCGAGGTGGACACCAGCGTGTCGGGGAAATTCGAGCTGGTTCAGGCCTGTTCGGGCGTAGGAGAGAGGCAGGGCGGTCTGTGCGCCGCGCAGCGCTCTGGACGGGCAGTCTACGGTAACGTCCGTCCGCCCACGTTGATAATGGAGGATGAAGTTGCATGCGAGACATGTGTATTGATGCGATTTATACGTCTCGAGTCCGGGGCATCGGCAAAAACAAGTGACGGTGCCAACTTGACGTGTCTAAGCGTCGGCGCGTTTCTCACGCCACAGGAGGAACGCTTGATCGCGACAGCTGGCGACGAGGGGGCGGCAATGTGCGACCAGTGAGTTCCAACGCGCACCTGTGTGCCCCCCCCTGAGACTGTCTGCCTTCGGACTCACAAGTACTCTGGGTGGGTTGGGGGGGTGGCGGCGCTACCCCTCGACCCCATCCACCCTTCAAATCATGGGTCCGAGGGGGGTCGCCGGCACCCCTCGGCCCCCCCCATCCACTCGATATTTGGCATGGCCCCGAGGGGCCATCTTTCCCGGCAAAGTGTGCCGAGCAACAACAACCTGGACCTGGACCAGCTCCTATCGGGCTTTCCGGCACGCCAAGGGTCGCCGACACCGTGGTAGATGAGCATCGGCGTTGCATTTCGGTCACAGCGCGCATGTCCAGGGGCCATGCCCCAAGATTTGCGCTGTGACACATGTCATGTTGTACATGTCCGTTGCCTCGAGTGCGAGACGGGTCTGTTGAGCCCCTCGGTCGACTCCCTTCAAAGTTTCATAGGGTCACGCGCGCAACACCCCCGAATCTGCAGCGGGCATCGGCCAAAGGAGCTTCTGCATCTTCTGGCCTGTGACGACGCTTTCTTGCTGTCGCTCCTTGGCGATGGCTGCAGGATCTCGTCAGCATGCTCGGGCGCAATGTGACGGCCGCCGTCGGGGTCGATACATCGCGGAAGACTGTCGTTTGACGTTGACATCATGCCCACATGGGGTGGAGCCAGCACCCGTCGACCCCATGCACCCTTCAGCGCGCGATGGTGATGCCGGGGAGGGGCAATCTGGAGCTCGGACCCCTCGACCCCATCCATCCAAATCAGGCCAGCCCCCCAACCCACCCAGAGTACTTGTGAGTCCGAAGGCAGACAGTCTCCCCTCGTGGCGCCAGTTTTCACAAACACCCCCAGGGGTGTTGACTCAACGGGGCGCGCTCGATCGCATCCAGCTCTATCGGCTGCTGTCGCACAGCACACCTCTGTCCGACACCGGCACAGGCACCGGTCCCACAGCACCCTGCGACAACAGCTGCAGCGGCCCCACGTCCGTCGTAGCGAGCGTCCTCAGCTCCATCGAGTCCATCCGCGTGGCAGCAGGCGAAGCAAACACGCCCAGCGTGCCCTTGCTGTCGCTGTCGTGCGACAGAGCCGCATGCGTCACCACCGCATCACCGGTGCGCCGCAGCAGGGCCATCGAGACGCCCAGGACCGCCGCAAGGACCGCGGACGTCGCAGCTGTCGCGCCGAGCGCCACCAGCATCCCGCCGACATCGTCGTCCGCGTCGCGCATCACCACGACGCCCAGGAAACACTCTGCTATGCCTCCGGCCAGCGCGCCGTAGCCAGTAACGCGGTGCGCCAGGAACCACAGCGTGCGGTACCGGTGGTCCTTGCCCGGCCGAATCTTTCCGATCAGCACGTTGGCTGCTCCGGCCGCAACGACCGCCCAACCGAGGACGCGGTGGGTAGGGAACGCAAGCCCCTGCGCGCCCGCGCCGCCGTTGCCCTTGACGACGATGAGCGCGACGGCCGCGCCGCCGAACACCGGGCCTAGGAACGCAGCAGCGCGGTGCACGTCCATCCAGAGCGGCATCGTCGTGACACCAGTGCACCCACGGAAGCCCTGTTTCAGCGCGGCAGACGTCACCGCGACGGGGAACAGCACGACGAAGCCGAGGAGACCGAGGATACCGTGCGCAACGAACGTCGCGTGCAGCGGGTGCCCGGTCGACCCCGTCGCGCCCGTCACCAGGTTGAGCGTGAACCCGCCATCGACGGTGTGCGTGCGGAACGCACCCTTCGCTGCTCCGGCCGGCCCGAGCGCGTACAGCATGTTGTTTGCACCGAGCGGGTCCAGCAGCCGCGGGGCGCCCTGGCTCAACCGGCGCCGCGCCGCAGCCCCTGCCCCTGCGGTACCAGCAACGTGAAACTCCATGACGTATCGGCCGTTGGCGACGCTGATCGACGCCGAGCTGAGAGCGACTTCGGTCGTGGGCGTCACGCCGCCCGCGCTCCTGCCGTCCATGCGGTAGATGCCCACGTGGGGGGGGTCGTTTGAGCCTGTGTCAGCCCAACCGATCACCGCATACCCAGGCACCATGGACCCCGGGGAGTCCCCCCATCCAAGCGATATGTAGCTCGTCTCGGGGCCCTCGATCGCCATTGCAGGAACCTCGTTCGGGCTCTCTGCGCGCGGAAGCATCCAGTGAATGGCGACACCAGCCGCTACCGACTGCATGCAGTCGTACGCCCTCGTCGCACCCTGCAGCGTCGACGCTGTGCACTTCGGGGCGGCTGGAGCTTGCCTGTCCCCCGATGCAGGCGTCGTCGGCGCGGCGCCGCCCGTGTCAGGCGCGCCTTGCTGCCGCTGTGGCCCCTGGTTGGGGCCCGCTGGCACCGCGTCGGCGAGAACGAGCGTAAGATCGAAGCCGCCCTGTAGCGGGTGCGTGCCGAACGGCCCCCCGGGCGTGCGTGAGGGTCCGACAGCCCAGAGCATATGGTTCAGGCCATTGGAAGACAACAGCTGTGGGAGACCGGCCTGGGCGCGGCGCCGGCCCCCGGCAGGCGCGACCGTGAACTTCATGAGGTAGCTGCCGCTGCTGGCCTCGATGCTGGCGTCCGTGAGCGCGAAGTCGGACGACGGCTCCACGCCCGCGGCGCTGCGGTCCGACATGCGGTACGCCCCCACGTGCGGTGCGACGCCCAGGGCGACCCAGCCGATGACTGCGTACCCCGGGAACATGAGCCCAGCGCGGTCCGTCCATCCCAGTGAGATGTACTGCGCGTTCGCGGGGCCCTCAACTGCGAACGGAGTGCCTCCCGACGCTGTCGGCCACTTCCAGTGCACCTTCACTGACGGCGACGGCGCAAGCATGCAGTCGAAGCCATGCGAGGCTTTCAGCGTCGACGCCGTGCACGCCGGCAGCGACGGCGCCGCGGGCGCAGCCCCGCCAGCGGCAGGCAGCGTTGCCGTTGCCGTTGGCCCGTTCGTGGCCGGGACCTGCGTGGCGGCGACCGCGACCGTGCCAGACACCGTCATCTGGAACCCACCCTGCCGCGGGTGCGTCGCGAAAGAGCCCTTGGCGCCGTTCGCCACCCCGTCCGCCCAAATCATGTTGTTCTCCGCAGTCGCAGAAAGCATGCGGAACGCCGGCGCGTTCGCGCGCGCCGGGTCGATGGAGAAGCGCATCACGTACCGCCCACCGGTAACGGAGATCGACGCGTCCGTCAGGGTCACCTCCGAGGTCGCGCGGACGCCGCTAGCGCTGCGTCCGTCCATCTTGTACATCCCAACGTGCGCCGCAGCGCCGTCGCGCGCCCATCCGATCACCGCGTAGCTGCATGGAGAGGCGGTGAAGTGGCGAGGTTGGTTGGCTCGATCACCGGGCCAATCATGGCATATTTGATCGAGTGAAACCCCAGTCTTGTTTGAAAGGGTGCGAGTGTGCTGCACGTCGTACCCGTTGATCATGCGCCCTGGGGAGTCGCTCCACCCGAGCGACACGTATGCGCGGTCCGCCGGCGCCTCCACCGCGAACGCCATGACGCCGTCCGCGCCCGGGGCCGCCCAGTGCACGTCGAAGCCGGGAGTTGCAGTGTGAACGCACGCGTAGCCCGCGAGGGGCGAGGCGGTGCAGCCCTGCGCTGCGACGGCGCCGCCGTTCATCGCAGCCTCTTCGTCGTCGGAATCCTCGCCGCGGTCCGCGCGCGCCACGGGCGCGGCCAGCAGGAGCACGAGAAGTAGGACGGATGAAATGGAGATCATGGTTTCCTGGTTCTGAAACCAGTGAGGAATCCTCGATCTTGGTCGGCGCACGGGCTGTTGAACGCGGCCGCGTGCGCGCCTCCGGGGACTGTCTTCACGCCTGCACGGCGCGGGCACGAGGGAGCGCGGGGGTTGTGATCATGCATGACAGACCAGAGCAGCAATCGACCGCGGCCCGGGCAGTGCTGCGATGGGCGCCGCGGACGACACGGCGCGACGCGGCGAAACATCGCCGCGGCGCGGGAGTGGGCGTTCGGGGCCGTCGCGGGGCGCGGCGTGCCGCGAAAGCCGTTGAAGAGGCAGCGGGCGCCGTGCAGCGCCGTCGAAAAAGGTCTTTTGCGCGTTAGAAGCGCATGACCGGCACGATGATATTCATGGAAAGCCGGCGGCGGGAAAATTGCGGCGTTCGAAGCGGGTTGCGGAGCGCTGGCCGCGGCCGGGCGCATGGTCGATGGGGCAGGCGGAACGGGGCGCTTCGGCACCCGCGGAGGAGCGACGTGGTGCCTCACGGGAAAGGTAACATGTCGGAAATGGCCAAAGGAAGAAGAATTGAGCGCCAGGAGTGGCACTCGGTCCCCCCAGGCGGCACGCGCTCCCCCAGGGGCCCTGTTACCCGGTCACGGCGAGACTTGAGCTCAGAAACGCACCTTACTTGCCGTACACAGAATTTCGGATATATTCTCGAGCACTTGTGTGCGGCGTCGCGCCCCACCGTGCCCTCGAGCGTCCGTCGTCGGCCTGTCTTGCCCGACGGGTTCATGACGACATTGGAGCCCGGCGCGCGCACCCGTGGAGCGGGCGCTGCGGGTCGGCACCGCGATCGATCTCGCGTTCATGCAAATGTCCGCCCAAATTGCCGCGGTTTGGCCCGTACACGGCCGCACGCGTCGCGCGGGCCGCGAGAGCTGTCGAGGGAGCTCTGCCGTGCCAGAAATCGCGGGAATCCTCGTTGGGCTCTCATATCTTGTCGAGCGCCTCTTTGGCCTTAGACACATGTGTGACAGCGGCGTCGAGGCCGACCGAGGCTCCGTCGACGTCGCCGCAGCCGGCCTGTTGCACGGCACCAACCGCCTTGCTCAGACCGCCCTCGATCTGCGCCCGCACAGCGAGACTCTCCGAGTGAGTCGCCGCAAAATCGTGATGTTTCATCGCAGATCATCGAATAGACGACCGATGCAAGTATCGGCGCGCATTCGCTGTCGAAACAAAAGAAGTGCAACAGCGCGGCCGTTGTCGGGGCATGCGTCACCGTCGCACCTGTTCCAAGGCAGCCAGCACCTCGCCCTTCTCCACGGGGCTGCAGAGCGCCGCGCACATGTTCGACACGGCGCCCTCCGCGGCACCGAAGCACCCCAGCGCCGCCTCGATGCTCGCAACCGCCTGCTCCGACTCCAGCGCCGCGCCCGCCTTCAAAACGGCCAGCATCAGCTTCTTCATCGTAGCCTCCGCAGCCTGCGCGCAGATCAGCCGCACCGACGCTCGTCCACGCCCCCTGGCGGCGCAACACACCCCACACGCATACCTCGTTCCCTGCCACGGCGCTCCCCCCCCGCGGGCCCGCGCTCCGCACCTTGCCGAGCGCGTGGCACGCCGCGCGCGCTGCGAGCTCCTCGGGCGTCGCCTCGTCCTCGTCCAGCTCGACCAACTCGCACCCGTCCTCGGGCGCACCTGCATCGATCCGCTCGCCGCCGCCGCCCTCCTGCGCCGCACCAGCCGTCACGCGTGCGCGAGTCTCGGTCATCCGTGCACGGGAACGCCAGCCCGCGGCCCTCTCCAGGGGGGGACGGGGGGTTCCAGCGACGCGTGAGCGCGAGGCGGGAGGGCCTTCGCTGGCGGCTGCGCTCACCTGGCACATGTCCTCCAGCTCGTCCAGGTCCGCGGCGACGCGCTTCAGCACCCGCGCGCACGACCTCGTCACGGCGCCCGCGTGGTCGACCGGCATGCCTGCCACTTGCTTGCAGGCGTCCCAGCACCGCGCGACGTGGCCCCGGATCGCCTCCGCTTCAGAGCCGGTGGACACCGCGGTGAGGAGGGAGCTGAACGCGCTCTTGGCGGCGACCGCGCCGTCGTGGACGGCCTGCCGCAGCTGGGAGCGTGGGCGGGAGCCGAGGCCGTGCAGGCACGCAACGACGTGCAGGAGGCTCTGCTCGACCTCGGAGACGAGGGAGTCGGCCTCGTCGGGGGTCGGAGCGGGGCCGGTGAACAGCAGGCCCACCTGCGGAAGTACAATGTATGTGACGTCCTTGTGTCAGGGAACGGGCCGGACCTGGGGGCGCGGCACCGCGGGGTTCGAGCGGGGCGTCGCGTATGATGTAGCTATCTGTGAACGCAATCGGATTCGCGGATTCAGGCTTGCCTTGGTCGCTGCGGCTTCCGCCCTCTGGGCAGCAGCCTTGAGGGCGGGCCTGGTGGTCCGCTCGCCCTCCTGGGGCGGCCAATCTGGCTGCAAGGGCAGACACATCGCATCAACTGTCTCGTCGAATGCGCGTACGCGGTCATTTATCCTATCCACGACACTCTGCATGGCTGCCGCTTGCACCCCCTGCTCGGCTGCGCCCCGAGAAGCGACGAATTATCAGCGAACGTGAGCCGAACGAGTGACTTTGCTCCGTCGCTGCGCAGCGCTGCCGTAGACGTGCGCGCCGGAGCCCTGGGGGGAGTCAGCGCGGCCTTTCAGAGACCTTCCGGGAGTGCCCCGCCTGTGTCAGCGTGCACGCGCGCACGGGGCGCACTGGGCCGCCTCGTGGCCCGCCCGGCACGCTGCCGCAGCGCACAATACCCCGCCGGTGCTCAGGCGACGGGGAACCCTCCGAACACGTCACACAAGCCCCGGGTGAGCCTGTGCCCCTCCGCACCGCCGTTCGCGCCGAACAGAGCGGTTGCACGCGCTTCGGCAACGCCGAAGCAATGGTCATCGCGTTCTCTAGGTCTCCGTGGCCTGCCCGTCGCGTTCGGTCCCGCGCGAGGCCTCCTGCTGTGTGGGCATGGCTGCAGAGCACACGGGCCGACCCTGGTCACGGCGGCGTGCTGCACAGCCCCGCAGCAGGCTCGCGCGGCGCAATACGTGCCTCTCACGCGCCGCATCACGTCGCATGCGTCTTCGCAGGTCTCAGCTGCGCACACACAGCGGAGCGACCTCCCCGGAAACCGTGCTGCGCTCCCGCGCCTCCCGCACCGCCGCGCGGCGGAGCTCGTCAGGCGCAGGAGGCAGGGAACGAGATGGTCAACGTCCCCGCGGGCCGCCATGCCGCGGCGGTGAAGGCAGAGGAGCTGCAGATTAAGCTGCAGGTGCGCCCGCGCACCCTCCGGCCTCGAACCCCGCTCCCCGCCCGCACAAGCGTCAAACCGCACGGAAACCCGCCTCCGGCGAGAGGACAGCACCGCACGTAGCGGCCGTGCCTCGTTGCCCGACCTTCTATGGCTCTCTGGGCCCGCAGCGGAGCACCTGCCAGGCTGCCTGCTGTGTCGCGGAACACACGCGCGCCGCAGCCGGTCACCGCGCTCCGAGCGCTTCACGCGCTTCCTGGGCTCCTTCGCAGGCGCTGGACGTGTTCGAGCCGTACAACCGCGCGATGCGCGAGACGGAGGAGGTGGTGAAACAGTACGGGGAGGCGACGAACGACCACAGCCTGGCGCTGACGGCGGCCAAGGCCCGCGCGACGCAGCTCCAGCCGTTCAAGGCCGACCTCGAGAAGTCCGTGCAGGCCATTTTGAACCGCGAGGCCGCGGAGCAGGAGCGCGTGCTGGGCCGGGAGGAGGAGCTGATCGAGGAGGAGGCCGCGGAGGTCGAGGCGCAGCTCAAGCAGCAGGAGGAGGAGGCCGTGGCGCGCGTGCAGGACAAGCAGATCCTCGCGAAGGAGCTCTTCCGCGCGGAGAACCTCCTCCTGCAGCAGCTCGAGCGCATTGCCCAGGAGCGCAAGACGTCGCAGGCCGACCTCGCGCTCCGGCGCGCGGACGAGGCGCGCAAGGCCGCGGACCGCATCGAGGACCTGCGCTCCGAGCAGCTCCGCGAGGAGGAGGGCATGCGCCGCGCGTTCAACGAGTGGCGCTACGCCCGGCAGGCCGACGCCGCCAAGCAGCGCCAAAAGTACATCGACTCCACGGACGCGAACAAGGCGCAGCTGCGGAAGATCGTCGAGCAGGCCAAGGCCGCGGCCGAGGAGGCCCGCGCGCGCGCCACGGACCACACGCGCGTCGTCCGGCAGCGCCAGATGCGGAAGGAGGAGCTCATCGCGGAGTTTCAGGGGGCGCGGCAGAAGGCGGACGTGGCGCGGGAGGCGGCGGCGGACGCGCGGGGCACGTACGCGCGCGAGGAGGCGGCGCTGAAGGCCGAGGTCGACGCGTTTCTGCAGGAGCGCGAGGAGCGGACGACCAAGGCGGACCAGGGGGAGGTGGACTTCCGCGAGGGGATCGAGCAGCGGCGGAAGGAGGTGCAGGCGGAGGCGCGGGCGAAGCTGGAGGAGCTCAAGCAGCAGATGGAGGAGCGCACGGGCAAGCTGCACGACACGCGCGAGGAGCACGACAAGGCCGAGGAGGAGCGGCGCGCGGCGGAGCTGGACATCGCGGGGCGCATCGAGCGGCTGAAGGAGGGGTACCAGTCGGCGAAGACGGAGGCGACGCAGTTCGAGAAGGACGCGGAGCAGCGGCGGCAGTACGCGGAGCAGGAGCTGCAGCGGCGGCGCGAGGCGCTGCGGCAGCACGACGCGGACTTCGCGACGGAGATCCAGACGATGCGGCGGGAGGCGGAGGAGGCGCACGCGGCGCGGCTGCGGGCGCTGGAGGAGGCGAAGACGAAGACGGACCGCGAGAAGGTGGAGGCGATCGAGCAGGAGCGCGCGGCGATCCAGCGGCGCGTCAAGGAGACCACCGCGAAGTTCGACAGGCTGCTCGAGCAGCAGATGGTGGTCGTCGCGAACGCAAAGGCGGGCCTGGAGGCGCAGAAGATGACGATGGAGAACGTGAGTGCGCCGCGGCCCGGCCGCCCTGCGTTGGGAAGCGGTTGTGCGCATGGGGGGGGTTCGGGCCGAAACGCCGGGGGTTGCGTGGTTTGTTGTGCAGGCGGAGCGGTCGGTGTCGCAGATGGAGAAGCGGCGCGGGAAGATGGTGACGCAGCAGGACGCGCAGTGGGACGAGGAGAAGGGCCGCCGCGAGAAGAAGCTGCAGGCCCTCAAGGCGGAGTGGGACCGCGCGAAGCAGGAGCTCGACGCGCGGAAGGCCGCGATGGGCGGGAAGCACGACCGGTACTTGGCGGAGCTGAAGCGGGAGCACGAGGAGGTGAAGGGCACGCTGGCGGAGCAGACGGCCAAGCACGCCAAGCGCAGGGAGGACCTCCAGGCGCAGATCGAGGCCGAACGGTGCGGACGCGGGACGTCTCGTGGCCTGCGCTGCGCGCGAGGCACTTGCGCGAGCCGCACTTGGTGAAGGAAGGCCAGGTCGGACGTGTTTTTGTATGTCATGTCATTGTTTGTCTGGGTGGCGTGTGGCGCAGGAAGAAGTTCAAGGAGGACTACGCGAAGCGGAAGACGGACCTCGAGGCGCGGAAGGCGGCCGCCGCGGCGGCCCTCGAGGCGGACAAGGCGGCGGAGGAGGCCCAGGAGCCGCTGGACGTGGCGGCGGCGGCAGCCGACTCCATGCAGGCGGAGCTGGAGGGGCAGATGCAGGCGCTGGACGCGGAGCGTCGGCGGGTGCGCGACTTCGAGGACGGCGCGGAGCTCCTGATCGGGCAGGCGGCGCAGGAGATGCAGCTGCAGATACAGCAGCTGCAGGAGGAGACGGACATCAAGTTGGCGAGTCTCAAGGCGAAGCTGGACCAGGAGGTCAAGGAGGCGGAGGCGGACGCGGCCGCGGGCGTCGAGGACTGCACGCGGCGGCTGCGGATGGTCATGGAGCAGAGACAGACTCTCGAGGAGACCCTGTCGGACCAGGAGGAGCAGGTGGTGATCCTGAGGGCGTCCGCAGAGCAGCAGACCGCGCTGCTGAAGCCCGAGCTCGGGCTGCTGTCCGCGCAGCTCCTGCCGCGGGACGAGGTCGCGCGGATGGACGCAGAGATCGCGGACGGCGTGCCGGTCGGGGACCGCCTCAGGTACAACGCAGCGTAGCACACCCCCCCCCCGTTGCGCGGCGGCCGCGCCACGAACGCGCGAGGTAGCACGCGTCGGTGCGAGTGCGCCCCGGTTGCGTGCTGCAGTCGCTGAGACACCCCTCCGCGTCCCCGCGTTGCCTCGCAGCAAGCGCGTGCAGCACGAGGCGGCGTCGATCCACGCGCTGCACGTCCAGATCCAGATGATCGTCGCGGAGGCGCAGGCGGAGGCCAAGGCTGTCGAGTTCGAGGCCAAGCAGCTCGAGATGCAGGTCGCGTGGCTCAAGGACGAGGAGGAGGACCTCAAGTCCCGCGCGGAAGGCATCAAGCTCTCCACGGTGCGCGCCCCGCGCCGGCGTGCGCGTGTGCTCGTTTCTGCGAGCGCCGAGGCTTTGACTAGCATCGCGAACCCGTGCGTGTGTCCTTGGGTGCACTGCGTTGCAGGAGCGCATCGTGCAAGCGAAGACGCAGGCGTACGAGACGCAGAAGGAGATTCTCACGAGCGACGCACTCGAGGAGCGCAAGCGGCTGCAGGCGGTGCACTCGCGGAAGCGTGTCGAGCTGCTGTCGCTGCCGAACGAGCGGAAGCACCTCCTCGCGCACCTCACGTCCCGGCTCGAGGAGTGCCGCACGCGCGCGTACATGGTCGACAAGTCCCTCTCGATGCTCGCGACCAACGTCAGCTACAGTCTGACGCGGCAGGACAAGGACAAGATCGTCGACTTCCGGCGGCTGCAGCTCGAGTCCTCGCGGCTCGCGGCGGAGGAGAACAAGGCGGTCGTGAAGCTCGAGGCCGCGCTGAAGGCGCGCATGGAGGAGGCGCTCGCCGAGGAGGCCCGCACGCTCGGGCAGCTCAAGACGCGCATGATCGCGCTGGAGGCGCAGATCGCGAAGATTCCCGCGGACTCGGCCGAGGCGGAGCGGCTGTTCAACTTCCTGAGGCACGTCGAGGAGCAGAAGGCCGCGCTGTACCAGGAGGCGGGGCAGCTGATGGCGGAGGACGAGAAGCGGTACCTCGCGGAGAAGCGGAAGCGCGAGGACGAGGCGGACCGGCCGCTGGCGGCGATGCGGCGCGAGCGCGACGACGCAGCGAAGGCGTTCGAGTCCGCGAAGGCGTCGCTGGCGCGCGAGACGGAGCGGTTGAAGGCGCTCGAGGAGCAGGCGCGCGACGAGCTGGCCAAGGCGCAGCTGGAGGACGCGCTGCTGGAGGCGCAGCGGAGGGCGGCGGAGGAGCAGGAGCGGCTGGAGGAGGAGCGGAAGCGCGTGGAGAAGGAGCTGAAGGAGAAGCACGCGATGCTGGAGAAGCAGGCGCGCGAGCACGAGCAGCGGATGCGCGACGAGGCCAAGGAGATCGACCAGTGGCTGGAGGGCGAGGAGGAGGAGGAGCGGCGGCGGGAGATGACGCTGGGCGAGCTGAAGACGTCGTCGGCGCAGCGCGTCAAGGACCTGGAGGCGGAGGTCGCGCGGCTGGAGAAGGCGCGGCGGGAGCACCGCGACGCGGGGACGTCCGAGCTGATGCAGCTGACGACCGAGCGCGACAAGATCCCGCAGGACGTGCAGTACATGCAGCGGTCGATCGACGAGTCGCTCAAGCTCGCGCTCGCCGCGCTGGACGCGGAGGCGCAGGAGAAGGAGAACCTGGTCAAGGCGTGGCGCGAAGACAACGAGCTGTTCGTGCAGCAGGGGGAGAACCGGCACAAGACGGCCAAGGTGCGGCTGCGCGGGTTCCGCGACCGGCTCGAGGAGCTCGAGGCGGCGCGGCAGGACGCGGAGGGCGCGGAGCAGCGGGCGCGGGACGCCATGGAGGCGGCGGTGGCGGCGTGGGAGGCCGAGGTGGAGGTGCAGGCCGAGCTCGACGCGCAGGCGGCGAAGATGGAGGCGCGGCACGGGGAGGCGGACAAGGGGGCGGAGGAGCGGCGCGTGGCGCTGGAGCAGCGGCTGCAGAGGAAGCTGGAGCGCATCTCGTCGGTGCTGACGGAGATCTGCGCGGCCAAGGAGGAGGAGCTCGGGCAGCAGATCAAGCACTCGCGGACGGAGCTGACGAGCCTGATCGGGCGCGTGGACGGCGCGCTGCAGCAGCGGCTGCAGGAGCTGGGGGAGTCGGAGAGGGAGTCGATGGTGTATTACGACGCGGCGGAGAAGGCGGCGCGGGAGGAGACCGAGGAGCACAAGCAGTTCGCGCACAGCGCGCAGGCGGAGCGCGTGAAGCAGCGGGAGCGGGACAACAAGGACGCCGCGCAGGAGCGCGAGCAGACGCGCCGGGAGAACGCGGACAACGACGCGCGCGCCAAGGCGCGCTACACGAAGGAGATGATGAGCATGGAGCGCGCGGTGGACTCGCTCTGGCGGTCGCTCGTCGAGACAGGTGCGGGGCGGCGTGCGCCGACATCCCGGCGGCGAAGCAGCGCGCGTGCGTGTTTGCGTTTGCGTCACCGACGTTTGTTTTCCGTGCCTCCCGTGCCCGCAGTCGCCCGCGAGGACGCGCAGCTCGACGAGGAGCGCGAGCTCGAGGTGGCGCGCCTCAAGGCCAAGGCGGAGCTCGAGGCGGAGCGCGACCTTGCGCGGCGGAACCGTTTGTTGCAGGAGAAGTACGAGGAGGAGCGGCGGCGCGCGGAGGAGGAGACGGAGCGCATGCGCGCCAAGGTGATGGAGGACCTGCAGGCGATGGAGGCTGCGGCGCGCGCGAGCATCGAGGAGGAGGTCCGGCGCATGCAGATGATCCAGATGGCGATGCAGCAGGAGGCGTTTGCGCGGCTGGAGCTGACGATGCGGGAGAAGATGCTCGAGGTGGAGAGCAAGAACCAGGACGCGGCGACGCGGCTGAAGGAGATGATGGACCAGGAGGCGCAGCGGGCGCAGAGCATCGTGCAGGAGACCATGCAGCAGAAGCTGCAGCGGATTGGGGAGGCGTGGAAGTCGAACGCGGCGGCGGGCGCGGCGCAGCGGGACGCGGTGGCGAGCGGGGCGCCGGACGCGGAGCTGAAGAAGTACGAGGAGGAGCAGCGGGCGATGGAGGCGGAGCTGCGCGCCATCGAGGCGGAGATCGCGCGGCTGCAGGGGGGGGAGTGACCGGACAGGTGTGGCGGAGCGGGCCGGGAGGGCGACTGTGTGACGGCTGGTGCGATAGGGGGGCGTCACGCGTCAAGTGGTCGTGTCTCGCGCCGCTCGTTGGCAGTCACCAGCAAAGGGCACACAAGGTCTCGCAAACAAGTCGCGAACGACGTGCTTGAAGTGGGCGGTACGGCGGCGGTGGCTCGTCTGTCCGCGGAGTGGCGCGGGTGCGCGGCGCCGCGGAAGCCATTCGAGCGCCGCGAGTGCCACGCAACGCATGATGAGGCATGAATCTGCTCTTACATGGTCGCGGGGCGATGTGCCCTCGCGCTCTCATCGACAACTGCTAGCGCTATGCACAGGGACCCACGTTTACGCGAAGAACGCGCGGTGCGTGCCGGCCTCGATCACGGCGAGCGCCACCAGCCCCAGCATGGCGGCGCGGCCGTTCAGCACCTCCGTGTCGCGGTCGAAGGGGCCCAGGCGGGCGCGGCCGTCGTCCAGGCCGTTCAGGATCGGGATCAGCGACGCGATCGAGAAGATCGCCATGGTCAGCGGCACGGCGGCGCCGGCCTCGGACGCCTGGCGGAAGACCGTCTGCGTCGACTCGTGCGACCCGATCTCGGCGCCCATGGCCGCGACGAACGCGAGCATCGACAGGCGGCAGTTGATGAGCTCCGGGGCCGGGCCGCTGAACGCCATGGCCTCCTTCAGCGTCGGCGGCTTGGGCTTCGGCTGCGGACAACGTTGAAGGCGGCCAGAGGTCCAGTAAGCACACGGCGCGGAAATCTAGAGTCTTGAGCGTGCGTGGAGGGCTGTTCCGGCGTTCATGTGTGCGTGAGATGCCGGGGCGGTTCCGTTTGGGGCGGTTCGGGGCGCGGTGACGCGTGTGCGGGGCGGGGCGAGTGTTGGTGGCCAGGGAAGCACCTGGTGGCCCTTGAACTCCGAGGGGGCCGGCATCTCGACGGGGGCGGCCTCGGGGGCGGAGTTGGCCTCAGCGGCGGCGGGGGCCTCGGGCTTGGGCTCCTCCGCGCCCTCAGTGGCGCGCACCTGCGGCAAGTAGGAGAGGGCGCTGCGTTGGAGGGCAGCCGGCGCGGAGCGGGCGTTTCACGCACATGTGGAGGCTACATCGATGTGCTGGTGGATGTTGAGGGTTAGGAGGGTCGGTTTCTGGCCAATTCGGCGCGGCATTGCGGCGCAGCGCGTCGCGCGGACCCCAAGTTGTTCTGAGCCATGAACGGGGAGGGGACCCAGTTGCGGCGGGTGCGCGACTCCCGGCGATCAATGTCGTTGCGTTCTGGAACGCTTGAAACGCGAGAAGTCTGTTTACGTGCATCGCTTTGGGTTGCGTACCCGCACGGCGGCGCGGCGGGCCACAGGGGCCGAGGCCTTGACGGCAACCGCGTTGGCGAACTTGGCGGCGATCATCTTGGTGTGTTTGGTACGCGACGAGGTGAAGTCCGATTGAACGAGTCGATTGTGCCGTGCAAGCGCCGCCGACGACGCCCTAGAGCGCGGACAGCGGTGGGCCACGCATCGCACCCCCCCGACTCCCCCTTGGGGCGTTCCACCGGCCTGCACGCGCCCGCATCGCCGCCCGGCGCCTCGGAACGTCCGCAGTATTTCCACCGAGGCCGTGGGCGCGCCAGCTCACAGATTCTACGCGCATGTTCGCGTCACGGGCGGGTGCCCTGCACTGAAGCACACAACAGGGCGGCGGGACGTGACGCAGGGGGCGGAGCCCGCTGGCGCTCGCCATGGGGTTCGCGGCGGTCAACGTCAAACCGGAGGCCACGCCGGTACGTCAGCGCGACCGCGTGCTGCGCTGCGTGCCGCCATGCCTTGACTTGCAGTGTGTCATCGGCAACGTGGAACGTTCCCGCGCCCCGCACTGTGGGTCGCTGCGCTCCGGGGTGCACGGGCGAGGTGTTGGGCGCGCGGAATAGCGCACGCCGCCGGATTGGCGCCCAACGCGCGCCGTCGGGCCCCGCCGCGCCCATGGAAAGCGCAGCGAATTCTGCGAGCGCTTTTTTCGTGGGATTCAATTGCAGCTCTCGCGCGCTCACTACTGAGTGATTTCTGTCGTCGCACGAGGAGCTGACGCGGTCGGGCGACATCGTGCCCGCGCCCGCCGCAGAGACAGGGCGGAAATGCGGCGCTCCGGCGCACGACGGAGGCGCGGGAAGCTGACCTGGAGACCCAGGCGGCAGCCGCGACCGCGCTCGCGCGACGAGGCGACGCCGGCGCCGCGAAGGCGCTGCAGGACGTCCTTGCGGACCCATACATGCAGCGCGTGGCTCCGGGAAACCGTGGATTCGGCGACGCGGTCGTCCAAGCGAAATACACTGCGCTCAAGGCCCTCGGCGCCGTATTGAGCGATGCTGGCGACTTGCAGGGCGCCCTGCGGGCGTACGGGGAATCTCTCCGTATCGACAACACAGACTGCGTGCTTTGGGTGCGTCTCGGGCGCGTCGCTGAGCAGGCGGGCAACTTCGCCTTGGCGCGTCACGCTCTGGAGAACGCCTGGCGGCAGAGCGCCGCGGGCAAGATGCTCGCGTTCGAGCCCCTGAAGCGCATCCTTGGCCAGATCGGAGACGAAGCTGCATTGGAACGGATCGTTCGGGCCGCGGGCCGGCACGGCTTGCTCTCGGCTGCTGGCCCGCCACCGTCCCTGGCGACCCTGGCAGTTGCGCCCGCCGCATCGCCGGCGAGCCGCAAGCGCCGCTCGAGCTGGGGGCACGCCCTGCAGCCACCAGCTCCGAAGCGCCATCGCCTCAGTGACGTGCAGCCGCGGCCTGCGCCCAGCGCGCCCCGCGTGTTTGCACTCGGCAGCTACCGCGAGCCGGCCGCGCCCGAGACGCGCCGCCGCCGGGTCATCGCGCTCGGCGCCGACCCGACGTGGGACGCGTTCGTCCAGGCGACGGCGAAGGCGCTCTCGGAGCCCGAGCCGGCTGTGCCTGCGACGGGCGGCAGCGTGGTGTACAGCGTGTCCGTGCGCGTCGCTGACAAGGAGGTGCTGCGGGTCGGACCGGCGGACGAGGAGGAGGACGCTGCGCCCGCGCCGAGCGAGCCGGCAAGCGGGCCGAGCGGCGGCGGGGCGGGAGCGGCAGTCGGCGCTGTGTCCAACGGACCTGACAGCAGGGGGCGCGCGGCCGGGTCGGGCGGCGGCGACGCCGTGACGGGCGGCAGCGGTGACGACGGGGACAGCGGCGACGGCGACCAGACGAACGATGGCGGCGATGCGGGTAGCAACGGCGAGGGCGGTGGCGATGCTGCCACCCCCGAGGAGGCGCAGGGCGGTGGCAGGGGCCGCGGGCGCCGTGGGAGGGGCCGGAAGCGGGCGAAGGTCGCCGCGGCGCCGGCGCGAGTGTCGCAGCGCAATCGTGCGCGGGACCAGGCCGAGCAGGGGGGGGAGTCGGAGGGGGGGAGTGGCGGGGAGGACGAGCGGGGGGTGCGGCTGCCGGCGGCGGCGTGGGCGAGCATGATCGCGAAGCTGGGGAAGCTGTGCGGGGTCGCGGCGGGAGCGGCGGCGGCGGACGTGGTGCTGTCGCAGGGGGCAGCAACGCCGCCGCCCGGAACGGAGGGCCGTCGGAGGCTGGTGCGGATGTCGCCGGGGTCGTGGGCGGTGCTGGCGGACGCGGTGGATGGAGCGTGGAGCCTCGCGGGCTTTGCTTGGGGGGTGTTGGCGGTGTGTTTGCTCGACACCCCTGCTGGCTGGACGCCGACGACGGAGACGCGCCGCGCGCTCGTCGGCATCGCGGAGGCGGTGGCAAGCAGCGTGGCGCTGCCTGTGGAGGCCCACGTCGCCCTCGCGGAGCTGTACGTCGACCTATCAAGGGCGGGAACAACCCGTGGCGGTAGCAACGCTGGGAGCGGCAGCGGGGCGGAGCACCGTGCTGCCGCGGCACGCCACGCTGCGTCCGCGACCGCGGCCCTCGCGCGCGGGCGTGACGCGATGGCTGCGTTCTGCGGCTCCGTGGCGGGCAGGTGGCGGCCTGCGTGGTGCACAGCAACTGACAGCGAGGCCGCGCACGCCGCCGTCGCCGGGCTGCGCGTCGCGTTCGTGCGCGCGCTGCTCGCGTACGACGCAGGGAAGCTCGAGGATGCGCAGCGCGTGCTCACCGCGTGCCTCGGCTACGTCGAGAAGGGTGCGGTTTCGCTGGACGGCGCCTGGGCGCGCGCGCCGGGGCCGACGCACAGCGACGTGGTGCCGCGGGCGTCCAAGGAAGCGATGTCGCGGGTCCTGCAGTCGATCAAGCTGCGGCTCCTGGTCGGAACGCAGCAGGAAGAGACGGTGGCGTCGCCCACGCCGGTTCGCCGCGGACTTGCACAGCTGCGATCGCTCATCGACACGACTTCGGGACGCCCGCCGCTCGCCGAGATGGACGCGGACTCCGAGCTCTTCGGGCGCACCGTGGCCGACCTGAAGCAGGCCGTTGCGTCCGCGGACGACCTCTCGGAGTCGGACAAATGCCGTCTGTCCGTCATGGCGGCAACAGTCCCCCTGTGCGCGTCGCTCGCGGACGAAGACAAGATGGTCCAGGCGGCGGTGGTATGGGCGCGTCCGGACGCGCCGGCGCCGGCGTGGGCCCGCTGGGCGCGCGAAGCCGCGAGGGATCTGCAGCCTTTTGCAGCGAGCTTGTTTTCTGCGGCCCACGGCGCGCTGTCGGACCAGGACCGCGCGGTGCTCGCGCAAGCGCGCTCGGGGCTGCTTCGGGCAGTCGCAACGGTGCCGGCAACGCCGCAGATGGAGGACACGGCGTGGCAAGTGGAAGCTGCATCGAACGCGCTGAGCTGCGTGTTGCTGCTGTCGCTTGCGGATAAGTCGGTGGCGAGGAACGCGAGCAAGGTACGGCGATGCGCGCAGACGATCCGGGTTCGCCCGCGGTGCGCCGGTCCAGCACCGAGCTGCGCGCGTGGAGTCCCTGAGTCCTTGTTTGTTCTTTTCCAAGTGCAGGTTATCAAGATGGCGCTAGGTGTCGTGCTGGCGGCGCACGTGTCGCCCTTCCCCCCCGCGCTGACCGGCGTCCATCGCCTCGCCCTCGACGTGGGCGCGACCGTGATGAGCGTGTACGAGCAGTGCGTGAGTGACATGCAATCTGCAGAACCATCACCGGCGCTCACCCCCGACCACGGCAAACCCCTGACGCAAGAGGACGACGGCGACAGCGACAGCGACGGACCCCTGGACAGCTCCGCGCTGTGCACAAGCTTGCGGCGACTGCGGCGGCCCGAACTGCATGCTCTGCGGCCGTGGTTGACAGCGCTCGTGTCAAGCGCTGTCAACACCGTCAGCGAGGCCGACATGCGGGAGCCGCCGGAGGTCGCGGGGCTGCCGTCCGAGGTGCTGCCACCAGTGACGCCGCTGTGGTCGCTCGGCGGGCCGGCTGAGCGCGGCGGCCGGCACACCCTGAACAACAACGTGGTCATCGGCACACAGCACCAGGACGCGCGGCTGTACAACGCAGCGGAGGTCATCGCAAGTGCGTGCTCCCTCCTGGATTCGTGCAGCCGATCCTGCCCGCCACGACCTAGATACACGCATGTGCGCAAAAACATGATTACGTCTCGGCATTCCTTTGTGTTTCCCTCAGCCCACGTTTCCCTCAACCACAGTAACCACGCAGAACACCACCCCGAACGATGCACACTCACACACCGACCGCCGCTGCCAACATCAAACGACCGACGCCGTTCCCCACCCCCAACCCCCCCCCTGCAGCAACCCTCCCACGCACGCACGGCCGCCTCATGTGGAGCGCCGTCACCGCGCACCTCGACGCCGCGGACCCCTCCGTCGACAAGGTCACCGCCCTCGAGGGCGCCGGCTCCCCGTTCCGCATCGCCGTCCTCGCCATGCTCGGCACCAGCGCCATGGGCCTGAAAGAGGCCCTGCAACGCTGCGCAGAGCTCGAACTGCGCATCACCGCGCTCCTGCAGCACGACGGCGGCGCGGACGCCGTCGCCAGCGCCGTGCGCACGTGGCCCGCCGCGTCGCTCGCGACCTCGGTGGGGACCTCCGTGCTGGCGCCTGGGGTGCAGGCGCCCGCGGCGGTGCGGCCGGAAGCGGCGCAGGGAGCGCCGTCGGCGCTGCCGGACGGCGTGGAGGAGCTCCTGCGATGGCACGCGGGCGCGGGCGAGGCCGCGGGCGACGGCGGGAAGGAAGGGTCCGGGGGGACTATTCTTCCGGGGACTGTCGACGTGTCTGACATGGAGGCGCTGGCGGAGGCGTGCGCGCTGCAGGGAGCGGTGCTGGCCGCACGCGCGAAGTCCAAGCGCGAGCGGGAGCGCGCCGCGGCGCCGGACCGCGTGCTGGCACCGGCGCTTGGCAACCTCATGCCAGCCGCTGTCATGTCGAACTCCCCTGGGGGACAGGTGCGTGCGTGCGGCGCATCGTGGGTGCCTCGTATCGTGGGTGGGGTTCGTCGAACCTGCGATGTTGGTTCGGAGGTCTGATTGTTTGAATCGAGGTATGGATTCTTGATTGTTGTTTCGTGCAGGAGGAGGCACCGGACGCGACGCAGGCGCCGGCGACGCTGTCGACGCCGCTGCGGTGGATGGTGATGGCCATCGCGTGCGCGCCGTGGACGGCGCACGGCTGGGCGGGCATGCAGGCTATTCTCGGTGACCTTGCGCAGCACATGTGGGCGGACGGCGTGGCCGTGCTGGCGCGCGACCCGACCTCCATCCGCAACGCCCTCGGCCACAAGTCCTACCTCGCCGAGTTCGACGACCTCCCGCGCCAGCTGCACGCCGCGAGCCGTCTTCTCAATTGGGCGGTGCTCTGCGGACGCATCGCCAACGAGGTCGCGGCGCGCTGGCGGAGCCCCGGCTCGGACGCCGCGCTGCGCAAGGAGCTCGGGGCGCTGCACCGGCGCCAGCAGATGATTCTGTTCTGCGCCACGCGGACCGGAGCGCCTTTCATGGGTGCAAAGGGGTACCCGCGGTTCCCGGTCCAAATCCCGTACGTGCAGCCGGGGACCCGCGCGAAGATGCTGTACGAGGCGCTCGCGAGCTTCGCGGCTGCGCAGCAGCACCTGCCGCCGCCCGCCGGGTCCACGGAGGCCTGGTTGTTGCCGTTCCTGGCAGGGGTGTGCGCGCTCGACCTGTGGAACAGCAAGGCCCGCGGCAGCCCGGATCCGCTCCCGTTACTGTCGCAGTCGGTCCTCGCGAGCTGCGAGCGGCGCCGGAACAAGGGCGACCACGACGAGAAGGGCGATGAGGGCGACACGGCGACGGAGAATGCCGACGATGCGGCTGCGGCGTCGCCGCCGCTGCTCGTCCCGTTCCACGCCCTGCACGCCGCGCGCTTGGACGTGCTGCTGATGCTCAAGGACAGTCCGAGCGGCGCATGGCACGCGAGCGCGGACATCGCGGGCATGCTGCACTCGGTCGCGCAGGCGGGCTTCGTCCCGGGGGCGATCACGGCCAAGGACAGGGACGCGATGTGGGGCGAGGCTCTCAAGGACATCCAGGCCGCGATGGTGGGCATCCTGGCGTCGCAGGCGCGTTTCTCGCCGGCGCGCGCCACACTGGCACGCTGCATCGCGGCCCGCGGCAGCGAGGAGGACATCTCCGAGGCGGCGGAGCAGCTCGCGGTCGACGGCGGCCACGTGCTGCACACGTTCACGCTCCGCGGCCGCGGCGCGCGCAGCGGCGGCCCGACGCGCGTGCTCGTGACGCCACATGAGTGGCTCACGAGGACCTTCCGCGGGGCGCAGATCCCGGCGGAGGACGGCGGACCGTCGCCCGGGCCGACAGCTGGCTCGGCGGGCCTGCGGCCGGAGCGCCTCGAGGGGGGGTTCCCTGCGCCGGGCGCGAGCGGCGTCGGGCTGTGGTGGGCAACGTCGGCGGGGCAGGACACTGTGGCGCTGCTGGTGCAGCTGCTCGTGGCTGCGGACCGTGCGGAGGAGCTCGTGGACATCGTGGCGTTCTGGCACGGCACGGAGACGCTGCAGCAGGGCATGGGGCTGCGCGTCGAGTTGCCGGTGTACGGTGCGCGCACGGACCGGCCGCCGCGACTCTACGACGACCTGATGTTCGGCGCGCTCGGGCTCGCGGCGTGGCTGGTGCGTGTACGATGCAAGCAGGAGCAGGACACGACTGTGGAGAGCCAGGACACTACAATTGAGGTGTCTGCGTCTGAAAGATTGGTGAAATTCTATCTGGCGTGGGCGCACAAGTGGGAGGCCATGAGCGGGACGGTCGCGCACGCGATGATCACGGCGCTCGGCGAGGGCACGCCGCGGTCCGGGTCCGAGGTAATCGAGGCCGCGATGCGCGAGGCAATCAAGCCAAACTGGGCTGACGCGGGACGCTGGTGGCCTATCACCTGCGTGGCGAACCTCGCGCACCGGGCGGGGCTCGCGAGCCCGCCCGGGCCGGACGCGCCGCAGCGGGACAAGATCCAGGCGCTGGAGGAAAGCGGCGGCGCTGCGTTCCTCAAGCTTGCGTTGACGTACCTGGACAGGACTCTGCCTGAGCTTAAGGACCCGCTGGGGCGGCTGGTGTCGCTGCTGCCGGAGATGCGTGGGCTGGTACCGCCTCCGCCGGGGCAGGCGCCGGGGGCGTCGAGTGCGCCGCGTCAGGGGGAGGTGTTGTACCCTGCCGCGGGGCAACTCCTCGTGAGGTTCCACGACATCGTGCTGGCGGGCGTGCGCGCGGCGCTGGGCGAGATGGATATCGACTTCCTCGGCGTGCCGGTGACGCTGCTTCCGGACGCCCCGTTCCCCGCGCCCGAGGACGAGGCCTGGAAGATATGGGAGGACTGCGTGGACAGTCGGAAAACGAAGACTTCCGCGACGCAGCTCGACCAGGCCCTCCGCCCGCTCCTGCAGAAGCTCGACAGTCTGCGCGGCCGCCTCGACCTCGACTTCGTCGCCCGAGCCGTCGAGCAGCGCGACGGCAAGCCCTCGGAGCTGCAGCCTGTCGTTGCTCGCCTGGTGGTCGCGCTGGCCGTCTCCGGCGCCATCGTCGGCACGATGAAGATCCGCAGCGAGGCGAACGAGCTCCGACAGGAACTCGCCGCCGAGCGCAAGGCCGCCGAGGACGACGGCAAACCTGCCGCCGCCGTCGAGGCGCGCACCAAGCCCCTGATCGAACGCATCGAAGAGGCGGACGCGGTGTGGCACCGCCTGCACGGCATGATCGGGCAATGCCGCACGCTGTACAACGATCTCAAGCAGCAGGGCGACGTGGCTGCGGCGCCGGGCACGTGCCGGCTGGAGGCCAACCCCCTGTGTAGTCTCGGGGCGCGCTCAGACGCGGCGGTCGTGCTCGCTCCGTTCAAGAGCAGCCTGCGGGATCGTCTGCGGCGGCTCGTGGACGCGCTCACGAAGCCGCGGTGCTGGGGCGCCCGTGACAGCCTGCGCGTAGGAATTAAGGCGCGGGCCCCGGCGCGACGCACAGACGCGGGGGCCGCGGCACAGGAGGCGCCTGACGCGGAGCCTGCAGCGGTGGGGCGCGCGGGGGCGCGCGGGGCGGCGCGGAGCCCCGCGGACACGGATTCGCGGACGGAGGCGGCCAACATCGTGATCGAGGTGCTGGACATCGTGTGCAAGGCTTCGAGGGGGGCGCTGATGATGGTGAACGAGACAGTCATCGCGGCGGGGCCCGTGCCGACGCGGTGAGCGCGGAGACACCGCGAGGGGCGGGTGATGGAACCATTCGTGGTTCATGTTTCATGGCAACCAACAAAAAGGCCTTTCAAGCGAAGAATGGGGGAACCGTGTGCGCTGGATGCGGAACAAGCGCGTCGCACGGACCGCGGCCTGTGACGACCCGCTTCACATCGTCAACGCCTCCAACGCGCCGCCTGGACACACCCGCCCCCAACAACAAACCCCGCCCCGCGCCCCCGCCCCGCGCCTGCCCCGCTCACTCGTCGTCGCCCGCGGGGTCGTCGTACTTGCTCTTCTTCTTCGCGGGCCCCTCCTCGTCCGCGTCGTCGTCCTCGTCAATGTCCTCGCTCTCAGGGTGGTCCTCCTCCTCGTACTCCGCCCCGTCCTCGCCCGCGTCGCCCCCGAGCAGGAACGCCGTCCCGGGCTCGTCCTCGTCCTCGCTCCCCTCGCCCTCCTCGTCGTCCTCGCTGCTGTACTCCTCGTCGTCGTCGTCGTCGTCGTCGTCCGGCTGCTCTGCGGCACCAGGGACCGGGACCGGGACCGCCGGGTTGCCGCCGTGTAGAGACACATACACGAAGACGCGTGCGCAGCTGATTGAGAGGACATCCATGCTCGACACGCGTGGTTTCGACGAAAGCAGGATCTACACAAAACAGCGCGCCACGATGGCTGGCAGGTGCAGTCTTGCGCGACCCCCTCGTCAGACGACCAAGCTGTATCCCGCACGCCCTCGGCAGCACGGGCGTGCAGCCGCGATAAGGCGCCATGCCGAGGGCAGCCGCAACACGCCCCGTTCAGCACGGTCGACGGTGCGAGCGGGCCGCGTGCGGCGGGAGGGGGGTCGCCAGCACGGGCGCGGGGCGCGGCGCACCGTTGCCGTCCTGGTCGAAGCGGTCGAGGTACTGCAGTTTCGGAAAGACCTCGAACAAGGTCTCCCGGTACTTGTCCGCAGTCTGGACCGGGTTGTCCGACAGGTCGAGCTCGCGGAGCGGGAGGCCCTTGAGCGCCTTGATCTCGTCCATCGACGCCACGCGGTTGTTCGCCAGAATCAGCGCCTCCTGCACGCGCCACGGAGCGCAAGGCGCAGGCTGGTCACGGCCAACGCCCGGCGCCGGGTCGCTCGCAGGACGCGACGGGGCGCCGCGCCGCGCGCGAGCTCGGGGGACCGCGAGCGTGCGCGTGCGGCCTCGCGAGCGCAGTTCTGCCGCGGGGCGCACCAGGCTCGCCAGCTCCTTGAGCGGCGCGAGGCTGGTGATGTGGTTGTCGGTAACATCGAGCCTCTCGAGCTTCTCGAGCTTCGGGAAGCCCTTCAGGGAAGCGATCTTGCTCCCGACGAGGTGGAGGACCTTCAGGCCGGTGTACTTCGCGAACACCTGCGCGACCACGGGCGAGTGCTCGTGCTGTGGCCGGGTGCGGCAACGGCGCGGAACAGCGGCCGCGCCCGCGCGTCAGGCGGCGCTTCAACGCGCGGTGCTTCGCGGGACCAACGAAGCCTAGCCGTTCGCGGCGCAGACGCGCCGGTTCGCGGGCCGGGTGCGCCGCGCGGGAGTCGACCGCCAAGCAGCGCCAGCGGCAAGCGCACGGCCGCGGGGGCGCACCCCGAGGTCCTCGATCTTGACCTCCCCGAAGATGAGCTCGTCGACATCCTTCGGCGCCTGGTCGCCGACCCGCGCCTTCTCCTCGACCGCGAAAGGCCGCATGGCGCGCGCTTTCAAGCAGGGAGAAACCACCTCCGGCCCGCGGGCACGCACGATCGAACGGCCTGTGTCCGGCTCGCCGGCAGCGTCTCGAAGCTCAAGGGCACGGCGCGGAAGACGTTCTGCGGGGTGCGAGCCCGCGCTGCGCCCAAGAAGCGGCGGACCCTGCACACCGTGCTCGGGGGGCGGGTCCTGCCGCGCGAGGCCCCGGTGCCCCGCCGCCGTCTGCGGGGCCCGTCGCGCGACGCGTCAGTGCCTCGAGAGCTCCGAACAAGGTCGACGCGGCGTCCATTTTGTCGTGTGAGAGCGGGGCCGCGGGAGAGAGAGCGCTGGGGTTTGCCCGGGTGCGCGGGAGCGCTGGGGGCGGAGCGTGCGGGGGGCGGGGCGCGGCGTGATGGACATCGCCGCGGTGAGGCGCGCGGAGGAGGCCCTGGAGGGTGAGGCCCCGGCGGATACGAAAGAAGTCGCGCGACGTTCATTGCGCCGCCGTTCGATGCCCGCTCGGCCCCGCGGTCGGCGAACTCGCACGCGTTCCCGGGCCAGACACTCAGCGAGGACGGCACCATGCCCGAGAGGCACGGAACTCTGCACGCAGCGCTCCCTTCGCGTCGCCGCGGCCCGCACTGCATCCCCGCCTGCCAGCTGGTCGCTCGCCCGTGCCCGGTGCGCCCGCCCCGGGGCCCCGGGCGCCGCGGCCGCGCGACGCACGCAAAGCAGCGTCCTCCTCCTCCCACCGCCGCACCGCAGTTGCGTTCGAGATCTCGAAGATCCTCGACACCGGGCTGGACAAGGAGACCCTGGCAGTGCTCATTGGGCTCGTCGAGGCCGGCGCGAACCCAGAGGCGCTCGCATCAGGTGGGCCGCCCGCTGCCCCGCTCCGCAGCGCCGCGAGCCCGCGGCGCCGGGCCTCTGAGCGCCCGTCGCGCGCCTGCGCCGCGGCGCGAATGTTGCCGTGCGTTGGATGCCCCGCGCCCGCTGACAGCCCGACGCCGCGTGTTTCCGCGCCCCCGCAGTGGTCCGCGAGCTCAGGAGAGAGGCGGCGGCGCTCACGGGCCAGCAGCAGCCAGCGGCGGGCCCATGAGACCTGGGAGCGTGAGGTTGGACGTGCGCTCTGATAGATCGCTCTAGATCGACAGCGTGGCGGATGACGGGCGCAGGACGGCGCGCCCAGGGCCGCGCGCGGCTCCTGTGAACGGGTTCATTCCTCTGGTGCCGCGTCCGCGTCCAGTTCCGCCCCAGGGACGGCTTGCCGGCAAAAGGAGAGTGTGCGTCTTGCGCTGGCAGCGACGTCGCGGTGGGTCGCGGGCCGCGGTGCGCGGCGGTGGATTCGGGCGTGGGCGGCCGCAGCGGCGGCGGCCGGAGCACGCGCGGGGTTCGGCGCGGGTGGCACCACCGTGGGGGGTCTTACGCGTGACCGTCCAGTGTTCACGCCCTCTTTGGGCCGGTGCGCGTGCCCGCAGCGCAGATTCGATCGAAGAGGACCGCGGATCCACGGCCTTTGTGTTTCCTCCTTGCTCGCCGTCCGCACTGCCCGCCACTGGGCCACCCTGCGGCGCGAACGCGAAGTGCGCCCAGGACGATCGAGGCGGAGCTGCGCTCTCGCTGAGAATCTGCGGGACATCGCGTCCGGAGCACCTTGTCTTTCCACCACCTGTCGTACATTCGCGACCCGCGGGATATTCTCGCCGCGCTGACTCGCGGGGGCACCGCTCATCAGTGAATCCTCCAGGGCCCCGCCCGAGCCCCAGCGGGGCCGCAGCTCCCGGAGCCGTGGCGCTGCCGGTAGCTGAAGACGCCCGGCGCCCAGCACGTCGCCCGGCCACGCCCCGCGCCCCTGAATTGAGCGAGGGGGCCGCACAACCAGCACAGTCCCAAGCGTGGCGCCCCCCTGCCAGCCTGCAAGCGGGGGCGCTCGATCGCAGATCTAGAACTGTCGAGCAGTCCCGCTCGCCGCACGCCCGCCGGATTCGAGGAGCGCAGCCGGAATGAGCGCGGCGCAGCAGGAGCCCAAGCCCGTGGGCACAGTCTTGACGAACCCGCGGCAGGGCGTCAAGAACAACGGGTGCGCCCATGCGAGCGGCCCCGCGAGGCCCCATTCCACCCGCACGCGCCCGCTCCGCCCGAACCTCGCGCCGTGCGGCCCTGCGCGCGCCCGGTGCGCGCCCCTGCCACCTCACCTCACCTCCGTCGCGGGCCCGTGGCGCAGGCTGGACAATGAGCAGGCCGATCTCATCATCACCGTGGGCGACGTCTTCGTGTCCTCGTCCTCGGGGAACCGCTACGTCGTCGCGGACATGCTCGGGAGCGGCACCTTCGGGCAAGTGGCCAAATGCACCTGTGCTGAGACCGGGCGCGCGCACGCCGTCAAGGTCATCAAGAACCTCCCGGCCTACTACCACCAAGCCCGCGTCGAAATCGGCGTCCTCCAGCTCCTCAACCAGCGGTTCGACCCCCACGACAGGTGCGCGCGCCCCCCGCTCCCCCTCCCGCCCCCGCCACCCCCGCCCTCCCGCGCGGGCCTCCCGTGCGCCTCCGGGCAGCGACACCGCCGGCTCCCGCGGACACAGTGCCCCCCGTGTCGCCTCCGTGCCCGCCCTGTGCTCCACAACGCCCCCCGTCCGCGCGGTCAAACGCCTCGGCACCACGCCCACCCGCCCGGGCCCTCGCCGCGCACACCGGCCGCGACGCGGCGTGCAATCCATTGATTCACCCCCCGCCCCCTCACACCGCTCCCCTCCTGCCAGACCCGGCCCTCGGCGACCGTCGCGCGCCGCCGTGCGCCCCGTGCCGACGCCCTGAGCGCCACCCGCTGCCCCGCCCCGCGCTGCAGGCACAACCTCGTGCGCATGGAGGAGTTCTTCGTGCACGAACGCCACCTCTGTATCGTGTTCGAGCTCCTCTCCCTGAACCTCTACGAGCTCATCCGCCACAACCAGTTCCGCGGCCTCTCCATCAACCTGCTGCGCGTCTTCCTGCGACAGGTGCGCGGGCCCCACCCCGCCGCACCACGGGCCCCACGGCGCCCCGAACGCCCCGCAATGCACCTCTCTGCCTCGTACCGTGCCTGCGCGCGCGCCGCGCGGCCCCGCGGACCGCGCGCGCGAGCTGCGGGGCTGCAGTGGCAAACCGCCACTGCAGGCTCGCAGCCGGCCGCGTGCGCGTTCGCGGTGCCCGCACCCACGGTCGGCCTCGCCGAGCGCGCTCCAGAGAGCCCCGTGCGCGGCGTCGCGGCCCACGCGCGGCGCTCCGCGCTACGTTCGCGCGCCTGCCTGCACGGCGCCAGCTCGGCCGACCCGCCCCGCTCCCCGCGTCCGGCGCCGCGGCGCAGGTCCTCGACGCGCTGAGCGTCATCCGCGAGGCCCGGATCATCCACTGCGACCTGAAGCCGGAGAACATACTCCTGCGGTCTCTTGACTCGGGGAGCATCAAACTGATCGACTTCGGCAGCGCGTGCTTCGAGAACCGCACGGTGTACTCGTACATCCAGAGCCGCTTCTACCGCTCCCCGGAGGTCGTCCTCCGCCACCGCTACACCGCCGCGATCGACGTGTGGTCGCTGGGGTGCGTGGCGGCGGAGCTCTTCCTCGGCCTCCCGCTCTTCCCGGGCGCCTCCGAGCACGACCTCATGGTCCGCATCGTCGAGATGCTCGGGTGCCCGCCCGACGCGATGCTGCGGCAGGCCAAGGCCACCTCGAAGTTCTTCAAACGCGCCGTGCCGACGTCGCACTCGGACCCCGCGCCCGCCTGGGTCCTGCTCACGCGCGAGGAGTCCGAGCTCGCGCAGGGGCAGGCGTGCCCCGCCGGGAAGCGCTACTTCAAGCACCGGTACCTCAAGGACATCATTGCGTCGTACCCGTACAAGTCCTCCCTGACGCAGGAGGAGGTCGCGCGGGAGCGCCAGCAGCGCGAGGCCTTCCACGACCTCCTCCTCGGGCTCCTGCAGCTCGACCCGGCCAAGCGCTGGACGCCGTGGCAGGCGTTGCAGCACCCGTTCGTGCACGCGCAGCCGCTGCCCGCGGGCGGGCGCTGGACGCCGCCGCCGGACCCGGCGGTCGCTGCGGCGGCCGCGCAGAACCCTGTGCCCGAACGCGCGCCCGCGGACCCACGGAGCGCGGTGGCGATGGCGCCCGCGGCCGGCTCGAGCGTGCCCACGTCGAGCGCCGCGGCGGCCATGTCCTGGCCGGGGCCGATGGCGGCCGGCTTGCTCGCCGGCGAAGCGCAGCAGGTTGCGGCGTCGCAGGCCGCTGCGCAGGCGCAGCCGGCGGCCCAGCAGCCGGCTCCGCAAGCGCAGCAGCAGCAGCAGCAGCCCTCGCAGGTGGTGCACGGGTTCGACACGCGCGTCCCCGCGACGGCGCCGGTGCCGATGCCGGCGCAGGCGCAGACAGCGATGCCGCCTGGTATCAACCGCGTCGCGACCGGCGACCTGGCGTTCAGTCTGCCGGCGGGCCAGGGCATGCACCAGCAACTGATGGCGACGCACGGCCCCGTGACGGCGCCGATGGGCATCCAGGCGCAGCAGCCGCCCGGGCTGATGGCTGCGGCGGTCAGCGCGCCGATGCCGGGCACGAGCGTCGGCACGCAGCAGGCGCTGCACGCGTCCGCGTTCGGTGCGCTGTCGTCAACACCGTCGCACCCACAGCACATCGCGTCGCCCATCAACGCCGCGGGCGCCGCGGCGATGGCGGCCGTCGCGGCGGGCGGCACGAACCTCCTCCACTCGCGCACCATCTCCGGCGTGGCGGACGCCGTCAACCAGGGCCATCCAACGATCGGCTCGTACCAGCAGGCGGCGATGGCGGCCGCCGCGAGCGCGGGCTTCGCGGCCGCGACGGGCCTGCAGACCACGCAGGGCTTCCCCGTCGTCAGCGCGCCGAACGCGTCGCTCTACGTCGCGATGTCGCGCGGGCAGCCCATCGACGCTGCCGAGGCCGCCAGCGCGTGGGCCGCCACCAACGGCGGCGCCGGCGCGCGCGGCGCGGAGCCCGTGCGGGCGTCGAGCGTGTCGAACCGCGAGCAGCAGCCGCGCACGTCGATGGACATCACGCCGCGGCCGGAGGACCAGGTGGGCAGTCCCGGGGATTGGAACCCGCTGTGGAGCGAGGACCAGCTCCTGGAGGACGCGAGCAGCCAGCGGAGCGTGAGCAGGGGGTCGTCGATGCAGGGCGCGAGCGGGGCCGCCCACGGGGGCAGTCCAACGGGCGCGGGCGTGGCGCAGGCCTCGCCGCCGGAGGGCGCGGGCGGCGGCGGGCCGTCGCGGCTGGCGCGGGTGTCGGGGCGGCCGACGGTGCGGTCGCGGGACAGCCCGCTGCCGAACATCGAGGAGACGGCGATGGAGGGCGAGGCGGGTGCGGCGCGCGGGGAGGCGCCGGGGACGTACGAGTACCCACGGCACATTGACCAGGCGCAGCAGCGGCGCACGGGCGGGGACGACGACGCGATGGACGAGGACGGGAAGTGAGCGTGCGCGCTGTGGGTCGAGTGCGGGGGGGCAGTGCAGCGTCGGCGCGGCTTGGGCTAGGACGGCGCTGTGATGGCTCGCTCGGACCCTGCTGTGGGTGTGTGAGGGAGGGGAGAGGGCTGTGGAGCAGTGCGGTGTGGTTCCACGAAGTGGTTTCTACGTCAATTACTACTTTACGTGGTCAGATCAAGAGACAGACATGCTAGAGAAGTATAGATAGATAAATATGTAGATACATAGATAAATACCAGTATATATATTCTATACACATACTACAAGTTGCTGCTTTGCAGCGACGTACTGGCTTCGCAGCAGCTCTCTTCGCGAGCCCTCGCATGGAATCGGCTTGCTTCTGCGCGCGCGTCCCGTGGAGTTCGCGTCCAACCTCACCGGGGGGGGGGCCGTTATTGCACGTCGTCACAGGGGTTCCAGGGTCCCGGGGACTCCCCGCACCGCCGGCGGTGGGGACTCCGGACTCGGGCCCCGGAGGGCGATGTCTGGGATCGTTGATTTCTCCGCACCAGCCGCTTGTTCGCACCACTGGCAGGCGCATTCTGACATTTTTTCGGGATTCGCCCGCATTTTTTGCGAGCACCGAGGCCAAGAGTGCATGTACTACAATTTCACCCGCAGGCGGCGATGAATGACGAGCAAATGCACATATTCTCGATATCAGTCGTCGCTGCTACCATTTTCCGCATCATCGCACGCTTGAATTGCGGCTAATCGCGCGCAATCGGCCGCTTCGCGCGTCCTTGAGAGACCGTGCTGGCATCCCGATTTCAGCCACGGATGTCACAGTTCCACCATCGCGATGGCCTATACGTATTAGGTCCCGCCCAGATTACCGAAAAACGCGGCGCGAAAGACTTTTCATGGCGCGTACGGGCAGCACGTCCCTCATCGGCCGCTCGGACTCCTTTTCAGCTCGCAATGAGCGCTTTTTGCGGCGTCCACTGCTCCCCAGCGTGATCATCCTTTCCAACTCTTGCGAGATTGATGATCGAAGTTGCCGTTTATGGGCCGTTCTGACGCAGCGAGGCGACTGTGAGCTGCATTTCACTCAGAGATGGCAAAACAGCGCCGTTTTGGCTCGGCGCACTGCAAGTTCCGGGCGCGGAGCGAAGTCAATCGCTGTGAACGGTCCCACATGATCTGAAGTTTCAGACCGCGGCGGTAATCCGTGACCGTGTGCCCGCCCAGGCGCACGAGAAGCCACGAGGCGAGATTCCAGGGATTACCAGCCTGAAAATGGCAGCTGCGGCACACACCTGCGGTCGGGAACAGGATTACCACGCGGGTTGACATGTTGAGTACAGAATCGTTCGTGTGATGTGCGCGAGGGGTCGCAAAACTGCGATCACGCGATGCGCCAGGCACTCGAGAAGGCAGGAAGCAGCACTCACTCGAGCCAGGCCCTTCTTCAGTGAACCAGCAGTCGAGCCACCCCGCCGCGCCACGCAGAGCGCTTGCCGCGACTCGTTTTTCCGCCCCGGCCCGTCTCTCGGACATGAGGACCACGGTTCACAGCGCGGATGCGTCGCCCTGTCCGTCAGCGGGACGAACGGCGGGGGGGGAAGTGTTGTTTGGCCCAGTCCGGCGTCCCCACACCGCTGCGGCGCCACGATGCGTTGCAGGGCCCCGCAGCAGGGCCAGAGTCACGTACCGTGGGAGTCTCCGCAGCCGCGCCCCCCTCGCGACCCGCAGAAGGGCCGCTCCTTGGTGACAGTTGAGGTCCAGGTCGTGCGTGCTTTCCTCGCCTCCTTGCGGCGGCGCCCCGCAAACGCGCAGTCCGCGGGCACCATGGGTTGCGCGGGGTCCAAGGAAGAGGCTCCCGTGCAGGGCCACGGCGGCGGGCAGGCTGCGTCGAAGGCGGCCGCAAAGGCGCCGGTGCTGCCCAAGGCGCCTCCCGGCGACAACTGGCGGGACGTTCCGGTGCCAGGCATCGAGGTAGCCTTCTCGGACGTGGCCTCGATGCCGACGTGGTCGAAGGGCGGCAACGCGAACAGCATGTACGGCCTGCTCGCTGACGGCCCCGACGAAGACAGCGACGGCGCGAAGACCAAGGACATCAAACTCCAGACCGCGCAGGGGCGCCCGAAGACCTTCACTGAGGTGAGCTTCCGCGCCGCGGCGCCGCTGGCCGCGCAGCCGCGCGAGCGACCCGTCCCGGCGGCCGCCGAGCGCAAGCGTGTGCCCTGCGCGAGCCACGGCGCCCCCGCAGCGGGCGGGCTGGAGCCCCCGCGGGGCCGTGTCGCGACAGCGAAGTCCATGCATGCGACGGCTCTGCGGTCCGCTCGATGCGGCGCGCAGGAATCAGCGCACGCGGCGCACTCGAGGCTATGTGTGGTGCAAGGAACGGCAATGACCATCCCGTACAAGATCATGGTGGTCCTCGACGGCGCGAACGACCCGCAGCAGTCCAAGAACGTCGAGGACATCGTGCAGGGGGCGTTCGACAAGATCAACGACCACTGCAACAACTGGTGCGCCGCTGCAGATGCAACCACCTGCTGCTGGCTGGCGCGCCGCGCCCGCACAGCACGCGCTCCGCTTCGAAATCATTGCCTCTAGCATGACCACGCCACTCGCCCGCCTGAACAGCCAGCAGCGCTCCACATGAGCCCCCCCGCCGCCACCGTGGCCGGCAACAGACAGCTCCTGCTGGCGGAGCGGCGCCCTGGCACCAGGCGACGCATCGAGGGCGCGCGAGCGCTTCGGACGCGCACCACGTGGGACCCGACCGTCCTCACCAGCGCTTTTCGCGCGGAATGCGTGCGCAGGAACCCCGACTCGGAGCTGGAGAGGAAGATCAACAAGCAGGGGGGGGTGTCGAAGCCGGTGGCCGTCTCCCCGCTCCTGGGGCGCCTCCTCGCGGTCGCGGAGCAGTGCGTGGCCCTCACGAACGGCCGCTTCGACCCCACGATCCTCCCCGTCGCGCGCACGTGGCGCCGCGCGCTCTCCGAGGCCGGCCAGCCCCCGACCCCCGCCGAGGTCAGCCACCTCAAGTTCGCCGTCGGGTGGCAGAAGAACGTCCAGCTCAGCGCCGACCGCTCCTCCGTCGCCCTCCGCAACGCCAACACGCGCCTGGACTTTTGCGGGATCGCCAAGGGCCTGGCGATCGACCTCATCTGCGAGGACCTGCAGCGCGCGGGGTTCAACGACGTGCTCGTCGAGTGGGGCGGCGACCTCCGCGGCGTCGGCCAGCACCCCGACGGCCGCCCCTGGCGCACCACGCTCGTCAAGCCCCCCCCGCTCAAGCCCCTCTTCAAGCTGTGGAGCGAGAAGCGCCTGCGCGACGCCGTCGCGCCGGAGGACGCCACGCTCTTCGCGAAGGTCGAGAGCTGCGCGGTGGCCACCTCGGGCGACTACTTCCAGCTCCACAAGTTCGGGTTCCACCACATTTACCACCCCGCGCAGCGCACGCCGATGAAGCTGAGCGACGTGGGCGTGGCGTCGGCGTCGGTGGTCGCCAAGTCGTGCGCGGTCGCGGACGCGATTGCGACGGCCGTGATGGTGTCCGGGAACGTCGACCACGCGCAGCGGCTGCTCAACTACCTGGTGCGCGAGGGCGAGGTGCTGGGGTACGCGGTGCTGACGCGGCAGGGCGACCCGGTGGTGCACGGCGACATGTTCACGTACGTGGGCTCGCGCCCGGTGTCCCGCGCGGAAAGCCGCCAGCAGACGGCGCGCGGGACCCAGAAGCAGAACCCCCTGCAGGAGAGGCTGCTGTGGGCCAAGCTGGAGAGGGCCACGGAGGGCCTGCCGAGGTGCGCCCGCGACGCAACGCAAGGGCCGGCAGAGCGACGCGGGGCGAGGGACCTCGCGCGTGGTTTCTGGCTCGTTGCGTGCACTGACTCCCTCGTGGCACAAGGTGAGAGCTTTGGCTTGGCTTGCTGCGCAGGGCGTACAAGGTCAAGCTGACCCGCGCGGACGGCAAGGGCAGCGTCGGCATCCGCACGTTCGACATGTGTTCCGCGGCGCCGACCATGTGCTCGGCCGTCGTGAAGCAAGGCTCGAAACTCGGCAAGGTTAGCGTTGGCGACGAAATCGAGGTCACCATCCCCGGGACCGACGTGAAGGTGATGTGCAGCGTGCACACCATCACGCCCGGCTGCTGCGACGAGAACGACGTCCTCATCATGTCGGTCGAGGCCGTGGAGGGCAACGTGTGCACCGGCAGCGACGTGCGCTCCCGCATGAAGGCCCTGATGGCCGCGTTGCCGATGCCCGTCTTCCTGCTGACGTACATGGGCCTGGACCGCAGCATGCACGCCATCACGGCGTCGTCCGTGCGGCTGGCCGAGCCCGGCTGCGTCCTGTTCAACGTCCTGAAGGGCAGCAAGGCCTACCTCAGCATGGAGGGCCTCGAGGGGAGCACCGTCGCGATGCACCTGCTGCACGAGGGCATGGAGGCAATGGCGACGCAGTTCGTCGGCAACACGGACTTCAACTTGGAGGACTTCGAGGGACGTTACGGCAAGCACGTGGAGGTGACGGAGGGCGGTGCGGTGCTGTTCGAGTCGGGCGTGACGGTGGTGTGCAAGGTGGCCAAGGTGATCGACGCGGGCGACCACGCCGTGGTGATGGCGGGGATCGACGACGTGACGCAGGGACACATCGTGATGCAGCCGGAGAACATGCTACTATACTGCCAGCGCGCGTTCTGCCGCCTCAAGGACCTGCCGCAGGACGTGCCGGTCGAGGGCACGCAGTGAGGCCGCGGGGCGTGGCGTGCAGACCGGACAGACTGCGGTGGCCGGAAGCGCTGCAGGGCGCCCTGGGGGCTCGATTCGGCGCTTGTGATAAACTTCAAGTGATTAACTGAAGTACGACAGCTGTATCTGACCCAATGCGAAGGCGGAATGTGCTGGGCTTCGACGAGCGCACAGAGTGGCGTTCGCAATTTCGTGCACGGTGGCTGCCAGACGTTCACTGGTCACTGCGACCCCCGGTGAACACGATTTCCCTGCTTTTGTATTTCAGTCGAGATCGTTCTTTCGTCTAACCGCGACCCCTACATGCGCGCCAGCAGGCGCGGGTACCTCATCCCCAGCAGCCCGCGCACCGTCGCCGTGTGCGTGATCGTGTCGGTAGACACCAGCCAGTGGTATCCCATCCTCCTGCGATACCCACTGGACCGCATCCTGCGGCCCAGCGTGCGCCCGTCGCCGCACGCCTGCTCCGATATCGCCGCCATCGCCACCATCCAGCTCACGCGGTCCACGGCGCCGAGCCCGCCGGCGCCCAGCGTCGACAACGCCTTGAAGTCATAGCACAAGGCCTCTTGCAATGCAGTTCCCGCCGCCTCGATCACCTCCGCTTGCCGGACGACCAGCTCGGCTCCGCCGAAGCGTGGTGCGGCCGCCGCGGCGCCGTCCGGGCTCGCCGCGCCCGCCAAGCGCGGAACCAGCTTGGACACGTGCTCAGCGACGGCGGTGCTTGCTTCTGCTGCGAGCGGCTGGCACGCGATCGCGTCCCGCGGAGGCCCGGCGTCGCAGCCAGCGTCCTCGAGCACGCGCTCCGCCTCCGCGACGTCCCTCTCGTGCGCAGCGACGGGCGTGGCGTCCTGCCCCAGCCCGAACGCTCGCATGCGCGCCCACACAGCTGCCCGGCCCAGGCCCATGCGGAACGGAACGGACGGGCCGGACACGCCCGGACACGCGTCGCGGTACCGCGCGAGCGAGTCGCACGCAGAGAGCGCGTCCGTCGCCTCCGCCAGCAGCGCCAGCGCGTCGTTGCTGCACCACCGAGCCCCCGGCTCGCCGCGCACGGCTGACGCCGCGAACGGCTGCTCCGGGAACGCCCCCGCGCTCGACAGTACGATCCTACACGGCTGTAGAGGCTCCTCCGCCGCCGCCGCCTCTTCCACCGTCTCTTCACCTGACACAGGCCCAGAGTCCCCCTCAGGGCGCGCTGGGCCGTCCGGGGCGTCCGCGTTCGCTCCTTCCACTTCGCCCAGCTCGGCGGTAGCATCCGCAAGCCCGCGTGCGGGCTCCTCGGGCGCGCTGCGGCCTCTCCTGCCGTCCCTGCGCCGTCCAATGCACGCCATCTGCGCCTTGTTCCTTGCGGCCTGCGCAGCCGCCGCAGCCGCGACTTCCTCCCAGCGCGCAACGAGCGCTGAGGCGACCGACTGCTCCGCGGCCTCGATCGCGCAAGGCGAGCGCTCCACGTCAGGGGCGGCGAGGTTGACCTGCGCGTTGGTGTCGTCACGTGCCGCGGACATCGCGGCGGCGACCGTCTCCCAGGCGTGCGCCAAGCTGCAGCCGTCCGCGGTGCGCAGCGACCGCACGGCGCGCTCGGCCCCGCCCCGCGCCCCCAGCCACGCCTCCGCGGCCGTCAAGGCCTGTCGCAGGTCAGACGCTGACACAGCGGCCAGCTCGTCGATGACCGCGAACGGCACGGCGCGGTCCGCGGCGCCGCAGACCACTGCGAGGCGCCGCGCGATATCCGCGTGGGACGGCGGCGCGAAGCGCAGTCGCGGCAGAAAACGCGCAGCGACGTCACGCGCTGCTGACGGGTGCGCGTGCCGCGCCGTGAGGATGATCGGGCGCTTCGTGTTGTGGATCAGGCTGGCCAGCGCGGCCGCGAAGCCCCGGTCGTGCTCCGCGAGCACGTCAATCTCCTCAAACACCACCGCAGTCTTCGCACTCTGTCGCGACTGCGTCGCCTCGCCGACACGCTTGTTGACGCTCGCGCCGTCGCGGGCGTTCGCGGGAGACACCTCGATGAGACGGTACCCGAGCTCCCGCGCGACCGCCTGCACCGCGGCGGTCTTCCCCGACCCGGCGGGCCCGTGCAGCAGCAGTGCTGATGACCCCAGCGCCGCACACGGCAGCTCGCCGTCGCTGTCGTCCCCGCCCGCCGACGGGCTGCGCGCGCGCGGCAGCAGGCCTGCTCCGAAGTCGTCGTCGTCGCTGTCCGTGTCCTCCAGCCGCCTCCGCCGCTTCCGCTTCCCACCCGGCGCCGCTGCGCCCGCCGCGCCGCCCGCGAGCTTCTCTCGCTCCATGCGGTCCGACCACGCAGCGAGCCACCTCCTCAGCTGCTCAGCTGGCCCTGCGTTGCCGCACACGTCCGCTGCGCAGCTCGGCGCGTACGCGTCCGTCCAAAGCAACAACTGCGCACCGCCCGCCTCTGTCCCCGCCGCGATCGCCGCTGCGGCGTTGCGTTCGTGCGCGAGGCAGCGCGCCGCGTCGACGCCCGACAGGAGCTCCGCCCGGACTTCCTCGGCGGTGCGGAAATCCTCGTCCGGGAGGTCGCCGGCGTCGATGTTGGAAGCCAGCGCCGCCGACGCGCTTTCGATCATCGCGGCGAACGTGCAGGTTTCGGAGGGCTCGCACGCCGCCGGCGCCACGCTGCTGTCGCGTGCGGTCGTCGGCGCCACTCGCGCGAGGCGGAATCCGTCGACTTGCGCCGGCAGATTCGTTGGGGGCCTTGGGGGGCTGTTGACCGGTGTCAGGTGGGCGGGGAGGGCGTGGACGCCGCCGAGCGGCGCGCTTGATGCCCCGACGTGGATCGGCGGCATGAAGGACCAGGGCGCGGCGCGGTCGGGCACGGCAAGGCCCGCGTCGCCGGCGGCGGCGCGGTCGGCGGCTGCCTGTTCGCGGGTGGCCCGCGCGGCTGCGGCCTTCTCCGAGGCCTGCGTGAAGAACGCGTGCTGCTGCCGGCCCTTGTTCATCATGGCCGTCTCCTCCCTGCTGCGCGCCAGTTGCTGCAGGACCAACAACGCAGAACGCGTCGTTCAATCTCAGACAACAACAATGCAAGACACCAATCGCGCTTTCGCGTTTGCGAGGTCCATCGATGCGGAACGGCACACGCGCAGTCTCCCGCACCTTTCGGAAGTCCTCCCGCTCCTGCTCGCGCCGCAGCTCCGCCTGCTTCCGCTCCGCCGCCTCCCGGCGCCGCTGCTTCTCTGCAGCAGACAGGAAAAACGCCGCCTTCCCCTCCGCCGCCACCACCACGCACTCATCGTCCGACCCGGCCTCCGCCTTCCCACGCCCGCCACGCCCCTGCCCACCGCCGCCCTTCCCGCCCCGCCCGGACACCGCACGGCTCGACCCCTGCCCGTTAGCGCCCCCCCGTCCCGAACCTGCACGCGTCGCCCGCTTCGGGGCCTGCCGAGCCCCCGCTCCGCGCGTCTTCCCCCCGCGCTTGAACACCGGGGCCTGTCGCGCCGGCCTGCCCGCGTCCTCCACTTCCGCAGCGCCCCCCTCCTCAATGGCAATGCCATCAGACGAGTCTTCGTCCTCCGTGACGTCGTCGTCCGACGCGCCCTGCGACTCCTCGCAGTCGGCGTCGTCATCGCCCGCGCGCTCCTCGTCCTCCCACTCGTCCTCCGCGACGTACTCGACCAAACACGCCTGGGCGCGCCTGCGTGCCTCCCGCACAGGCCGCCCCGCCGCTGTCACCTCCGGCGCAGCTCCGACGGCCGCCTGCGCCTCGTCCTTCATCTCCACGCCGCCCGCAGGCACGCCCGTGGGCCCCTCGGCCCCCTCCTCCGCCCTGGCGTGCTTCTGCTGAACTTCCCGAGCAGGGACGCTGACAACCGCTGCAGGCTGCTCGAGCTGGGCCTCGTGTTTCTCGGACGCCTTCTCTGCCTCCTTGGCCGCCTTCGCGGCCGCGCGCTGCTTCAGCCGCTCGATCTTCGCGGCCTCGCGCTTCGCCGCCTGCGCCACCCGCGCCGCCTCCTTCGCCGCGGCTTTCTCCGCCTTCACGCGCTCCTTCTCCGCGGCCCGCTCCGCCCGCTCGGCCTCCCGCGCCACCCGCTGCGCCTCCTTCGCCGCCGCCGCCTCCTCCTCGCGCCGCCGCCTCTCCTCGGCATCCAGCGCCTTGCGTTGCGCAGCGCTCATGAACACAGGGCAAACGTTCGCGGGGGCGCTCGGCGCGTGCGGCACATGCGCGGCCTGCGCGGGGCGTTCTGCCGGCTCGCTCGCGGCTGCGACGCGTTTGCTGCTCGGCACGTCCTGAGCGGGCGCAGCGTCGTTGAGGTCGCGAGGGCGCTTGGTCGCGGAGCGCGGGTCGCTCGCGGGCGTCGCAGCGTCTACTGGGTCGCCGGCGGGCTGCGGCGAGGGCGCCGGCGGCCCACGGACGCTCGCGAGGGACGACCGGGTCATGTCGACCACGACGTTGACGGGGGAGTCCGTTGCTGTGTCAGACACGAACAGGACAGGCCCCCGCGCCGCCGCCGCCGCACGCGCGCTGTGGTGCGGAGGCGAGGCGAGGCACGGGTCGTCCTGCGCGGCGTCGGTCGGCGCGAGCGGGCAGCCCGTTTGCTGCTCAGGTGTGTTGTCGTCGCCCGGCGCCGCGGGTTCGGGCTGGTCGTTCGGCGGCCCGGCCTCCGCTGCGGGTTTCGGCTGGGTCGGCTTCGCGAAGAACATGCCGAGAGTCGCCTGTCCGCGGCCCGGCGCGGGGGCCGAGCGACCGCCGCGAGCGCTTCTGTCGCCCGCACGGCCGGCGCCGGCGGTGCGAAGAGGCGCGGGCCTCGCGGTGCTCTCCTTATCGACAGCATCGATGCGCTCCTTCGCCCTCGACGGCGGCGGAGTCACGCTGTCGTCGGGCGGGGGCGACCCGCCATTGCGCGCGCCCTGCACCGGTTTTGCGCCCGTTCCGGCTGGCGGCGCAACCTGCGGGTCCGTGCCGCCGTGCTCGATCTGAGACGGATCCATGAGCTGCGTCGGACTGCCAGTTGAACGCGCTGACGGCAACGAGTGGCGCTCCGCTCCGGCACTTGTCCGCGTGCGTGGGACCCAGGCGTCCATCGGCGCCAGCCCCCTACGCACTCTGCAGCGGCCACAAACGGGACGCTTAGAGCTATCAGGAGGACTTGCGCACAGAAAGACACGAATTGATCGCGCGCAGCGCCAACCAACGGGCTGAAACGAGCTTGCCACGATGCTATTGCGTCGCATGACCGGTACGCGCGAGAATTCTCGCCTGGGGCGATCTCATCGAGTGCATGCGGACGCGTGGTCGAACGCCGCGCCCGCGGTCAGGTCTCGAGGCGCTGGGCGCTGCTCTGGACGGCAAGTTTGGACGGCGGCACATAAGAGGCAGCCGTCGCGTGCCCTCGCGGCTTGATCCGGTGTGAATTGCACAGGACGGCCTTGCTGTAGCCACGTTACCTCGTAGCGGCCACGAGAGGCGGCGTCGCGGTCGTGGTGGGGCGTGGCAAGCTCCAGGCTCACCTGAGTGACGACGCTCGCTAGGCCGCACCGCAGTCGCCAGTCACGAACTCCGCGCGGGCGCCCCGCGACATCGCACCATTCGATCCAACCTTTCGAAGCAAACGCCCGACTTTCGCGTGCACGCCTCACGCGGTCCAAACTGGCCGCTTGGCGGGAGACAGCGTCCAAATTGCCCCTCGCCAACCTCCCTCCAAGGACCCCCCACACACAGCTCCGGACGAGGGCTCCGGAGACGCTCCTCGACGTGCGCCCCGCCGCCGCAGCGCTGCCGCCCCGCACGCGTCCGCATCGACCGCGCGGCTCTCCCCCGCGTGACTTCCGCAGGCGCATGATCATGATGACAGCCGAGAGAGTGACGCACATGATGTACGGAGCTGAGCGGTCGCTCGTGGCGCCCGCCGCGCCCAGCCGCTCCGGTCTCGGCCGGCGTGGCAGCCCGGTCGGTCAGGAGTCTTCGCGCTCGCTCGAGGTCGCGGTGCGGGGTCTTGGACTCACAGTTTGAAGCCCGAGTGGATGGCCACGACGCCCATGGTCAGCGTTTCGTGCGACACCGCGCGGAACCCGGCGCCGCGGACCTCCCGCGCGAAGTCCTCGGCGTTCGGGAACTGCCGAATGCTCTCGACGAGGTACTCGTAGCTCTTGGCGTCCCCCGCCACGGCCTGCCCGATCGCGGGGATCACGTGGAACGAATACGCGTCGTACGCCTTGCTCAGGAACTCGTCCTCGACGTGGCTGAACTCCAGACACAAGAACCTGCCCCCGCGCTTCAGGACCCTGCGCGCAGACACCGTTTCGCGACGCGAGCTCATCGTTCCCGTGCACACAGCACGCCGCGGCGCCGCGCGCACCCTTCGCCCGCGCACACGATCGCCCGCCCGCTCGTCCGGGGCCGCACCTGTGTGCCTCCCGCAGCGCCTTGTCCCGTCGCGTCACGTTCCGGATCCCGAACGCGACCGTGTACGCGTCAAACTCATTGTCCGGGAACGGCAGGTTCTCCGCGTCCGCAACGGCCCACTCCACGTCCACGCACCCCGTCTGCTGCGCCCACTCCCGCTTCCGCCCCACCTCGAGCATGTCCTCGTTGATGTCGCTCACCACCACGCGCGACCTCCCACCCGCAGCCCGCTCCGCCTGCAAGCCTTCCGGATACGCGTTGATCGCGCGGACCACCCTGCTCGCGATGTCTCCCGTGCCGCCTGCGTCGCCGTCGTGACCGGAGCGCGCGGGCGGTAAGGGCGCGCCAGCGGCGGCATGTAAAGCTTCGCGCGGGTGAATGGCCCGTGGGCCTGCATGGCTGTCGGCGCGGAAGGGGCGGGTGTCCGGGCGCGCTACCTGCGACGTCGAGGTGCGACATGCCGCGGAAGGGTCCGAGCATGTCGACGACCTGGTCCTTCCAGAGGCGGTGCAGTCCGCCTGACATCAGGTCGTTCATGACGTCGTAGGACGGCGCGACGGACTTGAAGACGTCGCGGACGAGGGACGACTTGAGGCCCTCGGACACCATCTGGAAGCCGAAGTCGACCATGCGGTCCGACTGCGGATGGAACGGACGACAATGCAAGTTGGCCCAGGGCACGAGGGAGCCCGCAGTGCAGGCCAGATTGGTGGGTGTCAGACCACTGAGAGGACGGATCAGGCAGCATAGAGGCGGATTTTTGCGTTATGTGCGCGTAAACCTCAGCATCGCGAGCACGGGAGCCGGCAGACTGCAACGCCGGTCGAGCGCGGCGGTGCGAAGCAGCAAAAGTCGACGGCGGCCCCGTTTTGCTCGAACGTGTGACACGCGGTGATTGGCTGTGCGTTCGTGCTGAGGGAGTGGGTCACCTCTGACCGGGAGTCGCCCGCAGGCCCCCTGCGCTCCTCGTGCTTGCGGTGCGGACCCTCCCCGCTGCCGCTCTCCCCGGTCGTGGCGAAATCTCGGACTTGGATGCCGCTGATACACGCGCAGGCTGACGCCGGAGCGCGCGAACACCGCGCCAGGCGCTCTGCGGCGTGCCGCAGGCCCACGAGAGACATCACGCCAGCGCTGAGCTCCGACGTCACAGGAAACTAACAATTGAACGTTGTCTGCCTTCGAAGAGATCGGAGCGAAATGCAGGGACTGGCTGGCAACTTCGACCATCGAACCGGAGTTCGGACGGTCACGCGAAACGGCACCGAGTCCCCCAGCACCCGACACACGACACTCCCCACCGTCGCAGCGCCGAGAGGGCGACTTTGGCCAGTATCGACGCTCTACGAGTACGTCCTCCTCTTGCGCGCTCGAACGAGGCCTGTGTTCGATTCTGCCTTCGAGAATCGGACGCAGCGGCCGGAATTCCATTCGAAGGTTGTACTGTCTCTTCATTGAGTCCTCGGTGGTCGGAACAAGAGGATCCTCCGCCGCGTTTCGTCCTGATGCTGCCCCCGCGGTTCATTCGTCGGGAAGGGCGATAGTTCGCGGCAGGGCGGTGCTACGTGGCATCGCCAAGAGCCATGTGGAGGTCGACTGGCCGCGGCGAGGATCGTCAAGCAGACCGCACGAGCTGGATGCAACTGACGATGTGTACCCTGATCGTATGTGCCGTCCTCAGGGGTTGGCGGGCGACCTTGGCGGCGGGGGACGGCGTCGACACCTCTCAATGTCTCGGGTCCTCCTGCGGCGCTTCCTCGCCATCTCACGCCGCTCGCCGCGAGTGCACCGCCAGGACGAATTCAAACGAAGCTCGGAGAACCGTCACGCGAGCCAGCCCTGCAAAAACGAGGGTGAGAGTGCTCAGACAGTGTCGCACACATCATCATTTGCGTTTTCCGGGGCGCTGTGGGTCAGTCTTGCGTCGATCGATGCCCCACACGCAGCTTGACTCTCGTGCACATCCACGGTTCCAGCCCCTACCCCGAGATCGGGGTCGTGGGCCTCAAGAAACCCCGAGATCTTGTGTTGTCCTCTCAGAGCACGCCACCCCTCGTTTCGCCTACCGCGCAGGTCAAGCACCGTGATGCACGAGGCCTCCTGCAGAGCGTCGAGGCAGAGGTACTTCCGCGGCCCCCGTCTGGACCCGTGGCACGCCTTGCGCCGCGCACTCCGCTCTCCACTCTCTCAACGCCCTCCTCGTCCCCCGGCGCAGGATCTCGCGGTCAGCCGCGCGGTCCGCGAGTTCTGGAGGGGCTGCGAGGTGCGCGTCACGTACGTCGCGGGGCTTCTGACCGCCCCAGCTGTGCGCGACAATACGGGCCGGAGCAGCACGGGGCAGGACCCTCGCGCGGCCGCGTCCCCGATCTTCCGCGCCGAAGTCACGCTCAAGCGCAGCCCGCTGTACGTGCACCCTCTCGACAGCTGGGCGATAGCTTGGACATTTCAGGTGCGGCAAGGATATTGCATGTCGAATCAAAAGCCTCTAGAAGATTGAAATTCACATCTCGAGGCCGCGACGAGGCACCCCCGCTGTGGTGCCCGCTGCGCAGGATAACGAGAGGCTGCTCGTTTCCACGGACTACGTCAGCGGCGCCCGCATGTTCGATCCCCGCACCGGCACGTGGGTCTACGACGCCTCCGAGGACGCCCGCGCCACACGGGGACGGACTGCGCAGGCCCCCGCGAGCAACGTCACTGTCGAGCTGTACAGTCCGCTGCGCTCGCCGGCAGCGCCGCGATCGAGCGCGTCGAGCCTGGCCAGCGCGGCGCCGGACGCGGCGTCTTCGATGGTGCTGTTTCCTATGCGCGGCGCTGGCCGGGCGCTCGGGCTCGGGTTCGCGCCGCCGGGTGCGATGGTGTTCAACAACAGAGCGTGCACGCAGTCACAGGACCCCGAGGAGGACGAGGACTGCGTCAGACCCACGGGAGAGCTCCAACTCTCATACTTTCCGTACGACCCCGAGTCTCCACCACGAGACGTCGCACTGCATCGCGCCGCTCGATGACTCGCATCCTCAACGCGCGCAACCGCATCCGCCCCTGCAGGGTCGAGCCGCTCCGGTCGCGCTTCGGAGCGCCAAGCCAAGGCGCGACGAGAACGTTGTTCGCGGTGACGCTCGCCAACGTCGGCACAACTCCGATCCCGCTGTCCGACGTACGGCTGTGGTACTGGTTCGCCGGGAACGCCACGCACGCCCCCGACGCGGGCATGTACCGCGGGGACTGCGTGGACTTGCGTCTCGGCACCAACGAAGAGGGCGGCAGCTGCCGCAACGACGACGGCTCGGACGCCGTGCTCAGCCGCATCGGCAGCGGCGATGGACCGATCGATCCGGGAGCGGCGTTCGTGCTCGAGGTCGCCTTCAACACGACAGACGCCGTCCTGGCGCCGCGTGACGCAGAGACCGGCGCGGACGGCGGGAGAGCGGTCCAGCAGGCGCTGCTGCTGCTATCGCTGGAAGCCGTTACGACGGGCAGGGGGGGGGTGTTGCTCGACCAGTCGCGCGACTACTCGTTCTTGAACTCGACGGTGATTGGCACGCGCGGCGGGATCGTGACGCGGAAGCTCGAGGACAATCCGCGGCTCCCGGCGTACGTCGTAGCGCGCGTGGGCAGAGAGGAGACGCTCCGCCTCGCCTGGGGCCTGCCGCCGGGGACGAGTGCGTGCGCGCAGCGCGACGTCCCGCCGGGCTACGTGTGCGGGGACCCGAGCGCGCCGGAGTCGTGCACGCTCGTCGCGACGTACTGCTGCGGGCCCTCTGACGACGACGGCACTGTCCTGGCCCTGCGCGTGCCGTCTGACTGGCAGGCGCGCGTGCGCGCAGCCAGGCCAGCCCCTGGCAACGTCGGTGCGAGCGATGAGGACGACGGAGGCGCTCCGGCCACGGAGGTCGCGCCGGACATCACGCAGGTCGAGAGCGGGCGCGTGGCGCAGGGCCGGCCGCGGTGGCTCGTGCCGCTCGCTGTCGCACTGCCGATAGCCCTGCTTGTCGCCGCCGTTGTCGCGGCGCTGCTCGTCCGGCGCTGTCTCGCGCGCAGGAAGAAGCAGAGCGGGATCACCGTCCCCCCTCCGCTGCCGTCTCCGCGCAAGGCGCAGGACAGCGGCAGGCCCCCGACGCCCGCTGGGAAGGAGAGCAGTCGAGGCCGCCGGAGGTTTGTGTTTGATTGGGACGCCCCAGATCCAGAAACACCTTCGAACCAAGAGTCCGAGTTCGCGCTGGACTCCGACTTCGGGAGGCGGTCGGACTCGTGGGTGCCGCCGTGGATCGTCGCGCCGGTCGACCGCGCGGCCACGCCGATGCGCCCATCGCTCGCCGTCCCGCGGATCAGCGTGCCCCCGGGAGCGCTGTCGAGCCACGGCGACGTCACCTCCACCATGATGGACGAGCTGCTCGCTGCCGCGGGCGGCCTCGGCGGGCTCGACGGCGCAGTGTCGCGCGCCGAGCCTGCTCCGGGCGCCGCCAGCCAGTCGAGACCTGACGACGCCGCACACACCAAGGACCTCCCGTCTGATCCCACACAGCTGGTCCAGTGGCAGCTCGACGCGAGCCTGCGCGCTACCGACGGGTCCGAGGACGGCGAGCGCGGGGAGGGGCCGCAGCTGCACGAACTGGAGTTCCTGCGTCGGGTGGGGGAGGGGTCTTTTGGAGTGGTGTTGGAGGCGATGTGGAAGGCGGGGGAGGGGGTGCAGCGCCGCGTGGCGGTCAAGCTGCTGCGTGCCGTGGCGGCGGTGTGCAGCGACGCCGCGGGGCACGCGGCGGGTGCCGTGAATCTGGAGAACGAGGTGAGGCTGCTGCGGGCGGTGAGCGAGGAGAGCCAAGGGGCGCGCGTCGTGCAGTACCTAGGGGGCAGCAGCCGGCCGGTGCCGTTTCTCGTCACGGAGTTCCTCCCGCGCGGGTCACTTCACGGGTTGCTGCGGTCTCGCGCGTCGGCGGCGGCCAAGTGCGGCGCTGGGAGGAGAGCCGGGGGGCTGTCCGACGGCCAGTGCATGACGATCGCGTTCGACGTTGCGGACACGCTCGCGGCGGTCCACATGGCGCACCGCGACTTGAAGCCGCAGGTGCGTGACGCCCCAGTACCGTCGCAGATGAACACGGCGCCGCCGCGACACGCGCCGCCAGAGCTCGCCCCACATTCTGCGAGACGTGCAGAACCTTTTGGTTGCGGAGGACGGGCGGGTGAAGCTCGCGGACTTCGGCCTGTCGCGGCAGTGGGGCGCGGACGCTCTGCTGAGCTCGGTCGCAGCGAGCCACAACGACGGCACGCCGGCCTACATGGCCCCAGAGACCCTCCAGTCGCTCCGTGTGCACCCCAAAGGTCCGCCACGCCGCGTGCGCGCCACGCCGAAGCGATCAGCAGGCCGTGATGTGCGTGTTGGGTTGCCCTTGATCTCCATGGTGCCCGATTCGCCGCGCAGGGGACGTGTACAGCCTCGGTATGCTGCTCTGGGAGTGTTTCTGCGGAGAGCCGCCCTGGAGCGGCCTCGACCCCTACCAGGTTATGTACCAGGTGGTCATTGCGGGGGCCCGGCCAAAACTCCCCCCGGACACCCCCCCGGCGCTCTCAGCGCTGATCCGCAAGTGCTGGCGCGCGGATCCGGACCACCGGCCCTCGATGCCGGACGTGGCGTCCTTTGCGGCGCGCATCCTCTTCGAGCAGTCGGGGGCGTCGCCGTGCGCGAGCAGCCGACGTGGCGAAGTGCCCGCCGTGCCCCTCCCGTGGCCGCCAGAGGAGGGCTTCGCGGACAGCGACGTGTGAGCCGCGGCAGGTGTCGTGGCGCGCAGCGCAGCGCTGGTGCAGGTGCTGTAGGTCAGCCCAGAATGAGCTCGGCATGCGTCTGAAGGTCTGGCTGCCCACAGCGCGAGAGTCGCGCGCAGCTCCCGTTGTGCCAGTGCGGTCGGGGCTCACGTCGACCGCTTCTTGTCCTCGTTTGCCCGCCTGCTGTACGCCAGGTCGGACGTGCGCACGACGATCTTGTCCCCGGGGGCGATGTAGTCAGGCACGGACAGCTCGTGGCCGCCCACGAGCCGCACACGCTTCGCCGCCTTGTCCACCCTGCACGGCCGCGAGCGCAACAACGTCAAGGCCGGCTCAAACAAATGTACGTGGTCCCGGCTGACCAGACCGGGCAGGCATGGGGGCGCGTGTGCTTACGAGGACCCGGTCGATGTGGGCGGCACCGTATCGACCTCCGCGGTGACGATGTCGGGCGGCACGACCCCGACCGGCACCCCGTCGTGCATCCGCAGCCCGACGCGGACGCCGTCCGTCATCAGCGGGAGGAGCGGCCCGAAGAGGTCCCCGTCCAGGGGCGCTAGCTGCTCGAAGGTCTCCTCGTGCATGGCGTGCACGCCCTCGCCGTCCACGTACAGGATCGTGTGCGGCTCCACGGGCACGTCCACCTCCTCCACCTGCGTGCTCGCGTCGCAGGTGTTGCGTTTGTTGCTTGGGCGCGACGCAACGGTGAGCGCGGCGGGCGGCGGCGAGGCGAGGCAGCGGCGGGCGGCTGCGGGTGTGCGGAGGGCGGCGGACGCGGGTGCGGCGAGAGCGGGCGCGGCACCGAGTCAGAGGAGGAGAAGGTGCGCGAGGCCTTGGTCCCGGTCTTGATCTCCTTGAGGGCGAGCTCGACGTTGCCCTTCTGTCGCGCCTGCAGGAGCGGAGCGAGCGAGGCGCCGCGGTGTGCGTGCGGTAGCAAGAGCGGTGAGAAGGGCGGCGTCACAGGCACGGTGGGTGGCGGGGCCGCTTGCCTGGCCCTTCTTGTGCGTGGTTGAAGCCACGATGTACATCGTGCCGTTGTCGACGAACACGGATCCCTTCTTGAGGTCCAGCGCGCGCGTTTTGATGCCGCGCCCCTGCGCCGGGCTCGGGAAGCCTGGGATCGACGCGGTAGGCCGACTGCTCGCGACCCAGGAATGAACCCTACTCCAGGCGCGGATTGACAGCATCCGACGGTTGGCCATCGGCACCGCAGCGGCGTGGGGCGCGGAAGACAACGAGGCGCCCTGGGCAGCGCAGGATGACGCCAAACAGCTCCCGAGTCGCTCATAGATTGCCGCTTGCGGCGCCCTCAGGAGCACACGGTACGTCGACCGCGTCATGATGCCGAAAACGTCCGTGGATCGGCGGATTTCGGGGTGCGTGAGTGGCTGGGTGCTCCCCGGGGACCAGTGGCGCGAGTGCGCTGCTTGTAGGGCTGAGTTTCAGTGCTCGTGGGATTCCCAGCAGCAGTACGTGGCTGAAGTGCTCGTGCGACCGCCGGGAAGAGCCACTTGTGGGCCCGGGATGGCAGTAGAAGAGGCTAGAATGAGAACCAAGCGCTTGTTTGAGATACCACGAGAGTATAAGTCCTAAGAATGGAATCACAAGATCATTTTTGAGGTTTCCATGAATCGACTGATCGGAACGTCGCCCACTACGCAAAGCACAAGCCGAATCTGTGCTGCACAAGGCGCTGAGACGACGCGTGCGCCTAGATCTCACGCGAAACATCCACCGAACCGCGATTGAAAGACTCATGGCTGCCCCGCGTCGCAGTGCGCCCCTCACCGACGTCACGGACGCGCAGCCGCCGCCCTGTGCTCCGCCACCGCACCCTGGTTGCCGGGGGCGTGGGCCGTCCGGGCGACCGGAGCCGATCTGAACGGCCGTGGCCGGATGCATGCCCATCGTCAATGCTCCGACGGAGTGGCGCCCGCGGCGGGCGGCCGGGGCCATGCGCGCGCGCGGCGCAGTCGGACGGCCAGCGGCTGACTGGGGTGGTTGAGGGGCGCAGCCGACGCGGGGCGCGGCGGATCGAGGGCACGCGGCGCCGGGGGGGTCGCCCAGAGACGGATCTTCCTTTTCGGAGGCATTGTGCGCCACAGCGACCCGTGGGGCGCCGTGAGGCAGCGTTCAACGTTGTAGGTCGGTCGTTTCGTGTCGCATAGCCCCGCTCACGCGAAAATGTGCGGGATCTTGGCCGCGTACGGCCTCACCGGCGACCCGGAGAAGAACCGCCGGCTCATTTTGAGGCTCAGCAAGCTCCTGCGGCACCGGGGGCCGGACGGCAATGCCGTCTACGTGAACGCCGAGCACGGCGTCTACCTGGCGCACGAGCGCCTGAACATTGTCGACGTGACGGACCATGGCAGGTGAGCCGGTCACGCGCGTTTCCCTCGCCGCGCACGCGCGCTGCGGGCGCCTTCGGCCCCTCGGCTATCTGCGCTCCACGTGCGGCCCGCATGGCATCGCCCGCGCCTGCCCGACCACGCGTGCGTCCTCTCTCTGTTCGTTCGCAGGCAGCCTTTCACCATGCAGACGCCGGAGGGCGAGCTCGCGTGGCTGTGGTGAGTCCCGCACAGGAATGCGGCTCCGCCGCGCTCGCCGCTGATCCATTCCTCGCGCCAGTCGGACGCAGAGATCCCCACAGCCACATACATGCTGCCAAATGCGACCGCGGACCGGGCGACGCAGCCCCCCGCCGGCACATCCGCCGAACGTACCTTTAGCTAGTCCTCGAGCCACCCGCGCCCGAGCGTCGCGCTCCCGCCCGCCTCCTCCCCGCAGCAACGGCGAGACCTACAACCAGTGGAACCTGCGCGAGACGGTCCTCAAGGACTGCAAGTTCCTCGAAACCACCACCTCGGACTCCGCCGGTGAGCACACCTCCTCCCGACGGGGAGATCATCATCAAGAAGGGGGAGAGGGACGAGCACGTGAGGGCGCCCCCCCGCCCCCGCGAGCGCCCGCGTCGGTCGCGCACCGCTGCCCCGAACTCCCCCCCCCCCTTCCTGCTCTCGCGCGCGCAGGTGTACATCGTGAGGGAGGGCAAGGTGGCGGTCATGCGGGACCTGCCGGACGGGACGCAGGAGCAGATCGTGACGATGGGCCGCGGGCACGTGATCGGCGAGCGCGTGCTGATCAACGACTCGATGCGGTCGGCGGACTGCGTGGCCGGGGGCGAGGTCCGGTGCATCAGCCTGCAGAAGCACCACTTCCTGATGATGGAGTCGCCGATCTTCGAGTGGATGCTGGACTACGAGATCCTGACCTCGGTGGCCAACCGGTCGGAGTACCTCTCGCGGTTCAACATGGAGCTGGCGCTGGACGCGTTCTCGCGGGAGATCTACACGCAGGGGACGCACGTGGTGTCGATCGGGGAGGTGCCCATCAGCAGGCCGTGATGTGCGTGTTGGGTTGCCCTTGATCTCCATGGTGCCCGATTCGCCGCGCAGGGGACGTGTACAGCCTCGGTATGCTGCTCTGGGAGTGTTTCTGCGGAGAGCCGCCCTGGAGCGGCCTCGACCCCTACCAGGTTATGTACCAGGTGGTCATTGCGGGGGCCCGGCCAAAACTCCCCCCGGACACCCCCCCGGCGCTCTCAGCGCTGATCCGCAAGTGCTGGCGCGCGGATCCGGACCACCGGCCCTCGATGCCGGACGTGGCGTCCTTTGCGGCGCGCATCCTCTTCGAGCAGTCGGGGGCGTCGCCGTGCGCGAGCAGCCGACGTGGCGAAGTGCCCGCCGTGCCCCTCCCGTGGCCGCCAGAGGAGGGCTTCGCGGACAGCGACGTGTGAGCCGCGGCAGGTGTCGTGGCGCGCAGCGCAGCGCTGGTGCAGGTGCTGTAGGTCAGCCCAGAATGAGCTCGGCATGCGTCTGAAGGTCTGGCTGCCCACAGCGCGAGAGTCGCGCGCAGCTCCCGTTGTGCCAGTGCGGTCGGGGCTCACGTCGACCGCTTCTTGTCCTCGTTTGCCCGCCTGCTGTACGCCAGGTCGGACGTGCGCACGACGATCTTGTCCCCGGGGGCGATGTAGTCAGGCACGGACAGCTCGTGGCCGCCCACGAGCCGCACACGCTTCGCCGCCTTGTCCACCCTGCACGGCCGCGAGCGCAACAACGTCAAGGCCGGCTCAAACAAATGTACGTGGTCCCGGCTGACCAGACCGGGCAGGCATGGGGGCGCGTGTGCTTACGAGGACCCGGTCGATGTGGGCGGCACCGTATCGACCTCCGCGGTGACGATGTCGGGCGGCACGACCCCGACCGGCACCCCGTCGTGCATCCGCAGCCCGACGCGGACGCCGTCCGTCATCAGCGGGAGGAGCGGCCCGAAGAGGTCCCCGTCCAGGGGCGCTAGCTGCTCGAAGGTCTCCTCGTGCATGGCGTGCACGCCCTCGCCGTCCACGTACAGGATCGTGTGCGGCTCCACGGGCACGTCCACCTCCTCCACCTGCGTGCTCGCGTCGCAGGTGTTGCGTTTGTTGCTTGGGCGCGACGCAACGGTGAGCGCGGCGGGCGGCGGCGAGGCGAGGCAGCGGCGGGCGGCTGCGGGTGTGCGGAGGGCGGCGGACGCGGGTGCGGCGAGAGCGGGCGCGGCACCGAGTCAGAGGAGGAGAAGGTGCGCGAGGCCTTGGTCCCGGTCTTGATCTCCTTGAGGGCGAGCTCGACGTTGCCCTTCTGTCGCGCCTGCAGGAGCGGAGCGAGCGAGGCGCCGCGGTGTGCGTGCGGTAGCAAGAGCGGTGAGAAGGGCGGCGTCACAGGCACGGTGGGTGGCGGGGCCGCTTGCCTGGCCCTTCTTGTGCGTGGTTGAAGCCACGATGTACATCGTGCCGTTGTCGACGAACACGGATCCCTTCTTGAGGTCCAGCGCGCGCGTTTTGATGCCGCGCCCCTGCGCCGGGCTCGGGAAGCCTGGGATCGACGCGGTAGGCCGACTGCTCGCGACCCAGGAATGAACCCTACTCCAGGCGCGGATTGACAGCATCCGACGGTTGGCCATCGGCACCGCAGCGGCGTGGGGCGCGGAAGACAACGAGGCGCCCTGGGCAGCGCAGGATGACGCCAAACAGCTCCCGAGTCGCTCATAGATTGCCGCTTGCGGCGCCCTCAGGAGCACACGGTACGTCGACCGCGTCATGATGCCGAAAACGTCCGTGGATCGGCGGATTTCGGGGTGCGTGAGTGGCTGGGTGCTCCCCGGGGACCAGTGGCGCGAGTGCGCTGCTTGTAGGGCTGAGTTTCAGTGCTCGTGGGATTCCCAGCAGCAGTACGTGGCTGAAGTGCTCGTGCGACCGCCGGGAAGAGCCACTTGTGGGCCCGGGATGGCAGTAGAAGAGGCTAGAATGAGAACCAAGCGCTTGTTTGAGATACCACGAGAGTATAAGTCCTAAGAATGGAATCACAAGATCATTTTTGAGGTTTCCATGAATCGACTGATCGGAACGTCGCCCACTACGCAAAGCACAAGCCGAATCTGTGCTGCACAAGGCGCTGAGACGACGCGTGCGCCTAGATCTCACGCGAAACATCCACCGAACCGCGATTGAAAGACTCATGGCTGCCCCGCGTCGCAGTGCGCCCCTCACCGACGTCACGGACGCGCAGCCGCCGCCCTGTGCTCCGCCACCGCACCCTGGTTGCCGGGGGCGTGGGCCGTCCGGGCGACCGGAGCCGATCTGAACGGCCGTGGCCGGATGCATGCCCATCGTCAATGCTCCGACGGAGTGGCGCCCGCGGCGGGCGGCCGGGGCCATGCGCGCGCGCGGCGCAGTCGGACGGCCAGCGGCTGACTGGGGTGGTTGAGGGGCGCAGCCGACGCGGGGCGCGGCGGATCGAGGGCACGCGGCGCCGGGGGGGTCGCCCAGAGACGGATCTTCCTTTTCGGAGGCATTGTGCGCCACAGCGACCCGTGGGGCGCCGTGAGGCAGCGTTCAACGTTGTAGGTCGGTCGTTTCGTGTCGCATAGCCCCGCTCACGCGAAAATGTGCGGGATCTTGGCCGCGTACGGCCTCACCGGCGACCCGGAGAAGAACCGCCGGCTCATTTTGAGGCTCAGCAAGCTCCTGCGGCACCGGGGGCCGGACGGCAATGCCGTCTACGTGAACGCCGAGCACGGCGTCTACCTGGCGCACGAGCGCCTGAACATTGTCGACGTGACGGACCATGGCAGGTGAGCCGGTCACGCGCGTTTCCCTCGCCGCGCACGCGCGCTGCGGGCGCCTTCGGCCCCTCGGCTATCTGCGCTCCACGTGCGGCCCGCATGGCATCGCCCGCGCCTGCCCGACCACGCGTGCGTCCTCTCTCTGTTCGTTCGCAGGCAGCCTTTCACCATGCAGACGCCGGAGGGCGAGCTCGCGTGGCTGTGGTGAGTCCCGCACAGGAATGCGGCTCCGCCGCGCTCGCCGCTGATCCATTCCTCGCGCCAGTCGGACGCAGAGATCCCCACAGCCACATACATGCTGCCAAATGCGACCGCGGACCGGGCGACGCAGCCCCCCGCCGGCACATCCGCCGAACGTACCTTTAGCTAGTCCTCGAGCCACCCGCGCCCGAGCGTCGCGCTCCCGCCCGCCTCCTCCCCGCAGCAACGGCGAGACCTACAACCAGTGGAACCTGCGCGAGACGGTCCTCAAGGACTGCAAGTTCCTCGAAACCACCACCTCGGACTCCGCCGGTGAGCACACCTCCTCCCGCACCGCCGCCCCCGCGCCCGCCCGCGCCGCCCCGCTCCCCTCGCACGCTCCCCTCAGATCTCGATATCCCGCCCGGCGCCCGCTCCGCCCCCGCCGCCCCCGGAGCCGCCCGGAACCGCGACCAAAGCGCCGCAGTGGATGCATGCCTGTCCGTGGCAGCGCCGCGGGGCCGTGCCGGCCGTTTCGAGGGCCGCGGCCCCCCGTGCGACGCCAGCAGCGCGAGCCTGGCCCGCCGCGCCGCACGTCGCACCCACTACAGCGCGGGAAGGCGCTCGACCGCCGGCGCCGTCGCCCGCCGGACACCCGGTCGTCACCGACCCGTCCGCGGGCCGTCCCGCGCGCGCCCGCCCGCGGGCGCCCACGCAGCGGACCTGGCGGCCGCGAGAACGCGTCTCATCCGTGCCATTCCGCGCCGCCCCCGCGCGCCGCCCCCCGACGGCAGGAAGCTCCGATTACCCCACCGCCCTGCACGTTTCGCCCGCCCCGCGGCGCGCGCGCGCCGGCTCCGCGACGCAAGCGGCCCCCTCGCCCTCCCCATCGCTGCCCCGCACCCACCTGAGCGTAACCACGCCGCTGCCGAGCCCCCACGCGCCCGGCGGTTGCCGTCCCCCGGAGCCTCAAATGGCCCCGCGCGGCGCCGCGCGCCCCTCGCCCGCCTCCGAACCGCCCCCGGCGCCCCCCTCGCGCCTGCAGTGGTCGGCCCGCTGTACCTCCTGGACAAGAACTTCGCGGACGTGTCGAACCACATGGACGGCCTGTTTGCGACGGCGCTCTTCGACGCGCGCTCGAAGGAGTTCTTCGCCTCGCGCGACGAGATGGGCAAGGCCTCGATGTACTGGGGCCGCGGCGCCGACGGCTCCGTCTGGGTCTCCTCGGAGATGAAGGCCCTCCAGGTGGGCTCCACCTGCACCGCACCACGCGCGCGCAAAGCCGCCCACGGCACCAGCGAGCGCCCGAGCGCCCGAGCGGCCCGCTCCCGCCCCCACGCAGCACGCTCCGCCCGCGCGCCCCCGCAGGACGTGTGCACGGAGTACCACATCTTCCCCCCGGGGCACCACATGCACGTGCCGCCGGGCGCCAAGGACCCGGTGTTCCAGCGCTGGTTCACCCCGCGCTGGATCACCGACCCCGAGTACATCCCCACGCAGAAGGCGGACACGAAGGTGATCCACGACATCCTCGTGAAGGCCGTCGTGAAGCGGCTGATGACGGACGTGCCGTTTGGCATCCTGCTCTCCGGCGGGCTGGACTCGTCGCTCGTCGCGGCGATCGCCGTGAAGCACCTCAAGGAGGCCGAGCACACGTACGCGATGAAGAAGCTCAAGACGTTCTCGATCGGGCTCCCGGGCGCGCCGGACCTCGAGGCGGCGCGCAAGGTCGCCGACCAGCTCGGGACGGACCACTACGAGTTCACGTTCTCCGTCGAGGACGGCATCGACGCGCTGCGGGACCTCATCTGGATGATCGAGTCGTTCGAGCAGGTCCGCGCGGCGGTGCCGATGTACCTGCTCAGCCGCAAGATCAAGGCCATGGGGACGAAGATGGTGCTGTCGGGCGAGGGCGCGGACGAGATCTTCGGCGGGTACCTCTACTTCCACAAGGCGCCGAGCGCGGAGGAGTTCCACAAGGAGACGGTCCGCAAGACGTCGCGGCTGCACCAGTGGGACGTGCTGCGCGCCAACAAGAGCACCTTCGCGTGGGGGCTCGAGGCGCGCGTGCCGTTCCTGGACCGCGACTTCCTGAACTACTGCATGGACGTCGACGCCGCGGACAAGATGATCGACATGTCGGACAAGCCCGACGGCGTACACCCGCGCATGGAGAAGTACCTCCTACGCAAGGCGTTCGACACCCCGGACGACCCGTACCTCCCCGCGGAGGTCCTCTGGCGGCAGAAGGAGCAGTTCAGCGACGGCGTGGGCTACAACTGGGTCGACGGGCTCAAGGAGTACTGCCACAAGGTGGTCACCGACGACATGTGGGCCAAGCGGGCTGAGCGGTTCCCGGAGCACACCCCGCGGACGCGGGAGTACTACCACCTGCGCGACCTGTTCGAGCAGCAGTTCCCGGGCGCGCACGCGCTGGAGACCATCCCCAAGGGGCTGAGCGTGGCGTGTTCGACGCCCGAGGCGGTCTCCTGGGATCCGGAGTGGGAGAACCTGCACGAGATCTCGGGGCGCGCGGTCAAGGTGCACGACTCGTCGCACGGGTTCAAGTCGATGGACGCGATCAACGGGGCCCCCAAGGTGTCGCCCGCCGCGCTGGCGTGACGCGCAGCAGCAGCAGCAGCAGCAGCAGCAGTGCCGGCGGGGCGCGCTGCGTGGTGTGGGAGCGGGGGAGGGATGCTGGGAAGGGGGGGTGGGGGTGTATCTCGAGTCAGTTGGATGGATGTATGCACTGCGCGCACTCGATGCGTTGCAACCCAGGGAACGCGCCGAATCAAAACCTGTGACGCCCGCGAGATGGCCGTGCGTGCACAACGCGTAGCAGAGCAAGCGCGTCTCCTGGGGGTTGCGTGGTATTTCGTTTCGTGCGCGGGTGGTCAATTACTACTCTGCGTGGACGAAATCGAGGGTGCGGCCAAGCGAACAGCGAGAAGGACGTTGAATGATTGCCGCATGCGCATCGTCAGGCGGGGTGCGGACGTTCGAGCTCGACAGCGCAGCAGAAGCACAGCCCCACCGCAGTGCGAGCAAGGCGCCGCCAAAGCGGCGCCGTGCAGCGCAGTTGCGGTTTGGTCCAAGGCCGGGGCACTTGTACGACGCTCTCGGCCGCCCGACTTCCCGGCCAAACGGACCATCGGTGACGCGAGTGCGCTGCCGAGCGTACGATGCAAGCCATGCACACAAAGGCGCGCGGGGCGGCAGCTGACTCGTTCAACGGGTCACACGCTGGGGCAGGCGCGGCGTTCGGCCGCCCCCGCACGGTCCCGCGCGGCATACATTCGTTTCGTCGCACTTAGAGCGCGGCGAAGTAGTCCTTCGAGCCCTTGGGGTCCGGCTTCATGGTCGCCGCGCCCGGCGTCCAGCCAGCAGGGCACACCTCGTCAGGGTTGGCCTGCACGTACTGGATCGCCTGCAGGGTGCGCAGCGTCTCGTCGACGTTGCGGCCGAACGCCAGGTTGTTGATCTGCGCACACGGGAGCCGCGGGGGGGGAGTTGATCGACGCAACGGCGCGACGCAAAGGGGGGGGTGTTGCGTGCGAAGCGGTGCTGCGCGGCGGCGGCGGCGCGCGCTCACCGTGGCGTGCTGGATGACGCCCTCGGGGTCGATGATGAACAGGCCGCGGAGCGCGACGCTGTCGGGCGCGAGGACGCCGTACGCCTTGGAGATCTCCTTGTCGAGGTCCGACACGAGCGGGTAGGCGAGGTCGCCGACGCCGCCCTCCTTGCGGTCGGTCTGGCACCACGCGAGGTGCGAGAACTTGGAGTCGACGGACACGCCGAGCACCTCGGTGTTGAGCTTCTTGAACTCCTCGTACTTGTCCGAGAAGGCCGTGATCTCCGTCGGGCACACGAACGTGAAGTCCAGCGGGTAGAAGAACAGCACGACGTACTTGCCCTGTGGGGGGGGGAACGGGGGCGCGGGGGGGGTCAAGGGGGGCGCGGTGCGGTGGGAGGGTGCGCGGAGGGTTGGAGGGGGGGCCGCGGAGGGGTGTTGGGGGGGGAGTGCGGGGTCGGTCGGGGCCGTGTGCGCGGCTGAGGCGTGGTGGGAGCGGCAGGGGCGCGGCGTGTGCGGGGAACGGGGGCTGGTCGTCGCGGGGGCGCGGTGGGTGCGCGGCGGGTGGGAGGTGGGGCCGATGGCGGGGAGGGCGGAGGTGCGGACGGTTGATATGTGGGTCCAGGGGGCGCTGAGAGCGAGGGGAGACCAGGGCGGGGGGGCAGGGCGGTGGCGCGGCCGCGTGACGTGGCGTTGGAGCGGGTGAGGCCCATCGCGGCAGAGGCTGTTTTGGCCGGCGGCGCTCCGTAGGAGGGCCGGCCGCAGCGATTTCTGCGACAGATGGCCTGTACGTGAATTCTATCATCGGTTCGGGGCGCCGAACCACAAGATCAAGGCGAGGAGGAGCCACAGCGGCGCAGGCGACGGATGCTTCTTCGAGGCCAGGGCCTCACCTCCGACGCGTACTTCGACAGCTGAACGCTGATGAAGTCCTGGTCGAAAACGGCGTCAGCCGTGAAGTCCGGGGCAGCGCCGCCGACCAGCGGCGTGTCGCAGTGCGCCTTCACGACGGTACGGCGGGCCGTGCGGGTGGCCTTCGGGGCCGCCGCGCGCACGCGGGCGCCGTTGAAGGCCGAGCGCCTGCGGGAGAGCGCGATTGCGGCATGCGGTTGAGTCGTCTCTGCGCGCAAAATACGCAATGTGCGCCGCACCGTCGCGGGGCAAGCAGGGCACTCGAGGTCCGCACCTGAGCGCGGCGGGGGCGACGGAACCAGCGATCGCGTGCATTGTGACCGTGACCGAGACGAGCAGGATGCCGCGGCCGCAGCGTGCGCGACCCCGTTGAGGTGCGCAGCGGGACGCTCACGCCCCCCGCAGCGAGATGCTCCTGGTAGAACTATCACCGGCCCAGCTCGCCACGCCGGCCGCAGCGCGCGCTACAGTGCCCCGGCGTAGCGCTCGTCGCGAGCAGTGTCGTTTCGCGCAGCTAGAGCGCGCCCCGTATCGGTTCCCGCCCACGGGACGGCCCTCTAGAGGCAGCAAGAAAACGCCGCGAACCGCGCCCCACCGGGTACGCCGAGGGCCCCACCACGCTGCAGGGCTTCCGTCTACTCGAGTGCCGTCTGCTGAGGGGCGAGAGATCCGGGGACTGATTCTGGAGAGACGCGACGGGGCCGAAGGTGCGTTCCTGGGCCGGCCCGTCGTCGTGGAGCGCCCGCATCGGATTTGCGCGGCGGTCGCGCCGCGCCTGACGCGGAGCTGCGGATATCGATGGCCGAATCCACCGAACGTCGCGGGAATTCGCGCCGCTGGGCGCCAGCTACGCGCATCATCAGCACCAGCTCGGCCTGCCCGCAGCTCGTACCGTCACGCGGCGTTTCAGCCGCCGTTGCCCTGCGGACCGCATCCGCAACGCCACCGGCCGCCCGACCAACCGCTCTCGCGTCCGCTCCGCGCGCCGCCCGCCGCCGCTCGAAGCGGAATTCCCCTCGCTTGCTGCGCCCACCTGTTGCTGCCTGCGGGGCGCCTCGCAGGCTCCCATGCGTCCCCGAACGGCGCGCAACAGTCGCCCCACGCACACAGCGGTCCCCACCTCTCGCTCTGTCTCGCTCCGGAGCGCTCAGGACGTGGTGTTCGCCCCCACGGCACATTGCCTCCATGTTGTTGCCATGCCTGCTTGCCGCGCCCGCTGCCGACCCCTCCGGCGCCCCCGCCCCTTTCCCGCTCCGCAGGTCCTCGTTGACGTGGAACCTAGTCCCGGGCGCGCGTAGCGGGGCCGTAACTCCGCCCTCGCCGGCCGCGCAGACGCGCTGGTGTGTGCCCGCACGCAGGGCAACATGGAGCGCCCACGCAGCAGCGTCACGCGCAACGGCAGCAAGGCGCTGTCGCGCGGGAGCGTCGGGATTCCCGGAAGCGCGGCCGGGATGGTCGACGCGGAGAATTTCCGCAGCCACAAGTTTGCCGAGCTCGTGGCCCAGTGGGTGGACTCGCGCAACAAGCAGTCCATGAACGAGACGGGCGGGCTGCCCGAGGACGTCCACCTCCTGGAGGAGCTCAACATCACCTCCGCTCGCCCCATGACCGCGGTGGAGCCGCGCACCGCGGACCTGCGCTACGGGAGGGACAAGGAGGTGCGTCCGGTGACGGTGGGGGGCCGGCGGCGGCAAATGAGCTCGCGCGAGCTCCTCGACAAGCTGCAAGGTACGCGTCCTCGCAGCGCGTGCGGCGGTACGCGCTTCGTGCTGCTCGGTGCGGCGCGTGAGACATGCCCGGCAACGTCCCGCAATGACGTTGCGCCTCGGTCCGACTTGCGGCTTGCAGGGGACGCTGCGGCCCCGAGGGCACCTGCGACGGTGAACGCCTGGGTCCGGCCGCCGTCGAGCCGGCCGAGCACGCGCTCCGGCGGCGCCGCGTCGCGCCCTGAGAGCGCCTCTAAGCACTCGGCTGGTGCGGACAGGCCCGCTGCGCCCGAGGGCGAGGGCAAGGGCGAGGTCGAGGTCGAGGGCGCGGTGGAGGACGCGTTCAGGCCGCCCCCGCCCGTGTCCTCGACGCAGCCGCCGAACCGCAAGCTCACGTACATGACGACGAACCAGGCGACGTACGGTCTGCGCGACGTGCCGGGCGACGCGGACGTGTACGAGGGGATGCTGCAGCTCACGGTGCAGAAGGAGAGCGAGAACAAGCCGTGGATGACGCGCTCGATGTGGGGGGATTCGCTGAAGAAGGGCGACCTGTCGTTCTGGAAGCGCACGTGCCTGCGCTCGAGCTACCAGGACTTCACGGAGAACATCATCGACCCGGACACCGTCGAGGAGGTCGAGGCGAAGGAGAACCTCCACCGGTACATCGGGACGTCGCAGACGTACTTCGGCGACCTCCTGAGCAAGGAGAAGGCGGACGACGTGGCGCGCAAGTTCCTGGCCGCGCCCGTGGAGGAGCGCGACAAGATGCTCGACGTGATGCGCAACGTGCACGCGGCGGTGCAGCCGCACAACCCGCCGTACATGAGCACCACGCACCGGGACTACCGCGTCCCGGGGTCCTTCGTGGACCGCGAGCTCCAGGAGCTGGAGAAGCGCGAGACCCAGTACAAGGTGCACGGGCGGCCGCAGACGGTGGAGCTCGCGAAGCGCAGGGTGCCGCAGAGGATCCGGACCGCGAGCCCCGAGCCAGCGCCGGCGAAGATGACGCGGCTGCAGACGGTGCGGAGCCTGGCGGCGGGGCAGACGGGGAAGAAGAAGCTGGCGCCCGAGACGCTCAAGTCGCACTTCCAGCTCACGTGGGGCGGGAACACGGGCGAGCCGCCCGAGTCTTCGTACGCGGAGCACTTCAACAAGGCGCCCAGCACCGCCGTCGCGGCCAAGCGCGACAAGGCGGAGAACTGCGACCCGTGGGCGTTCCCGACCTGCCCGTTCGGCGCCGTCAACCGCCACACGCGCGCCACGCGGGACCGCGACCTGTACGTGCCGCCGTACCTCGTGCTCGGCGACACCAACAAGTGAGTGTCCGCAGGACCGCCCAGACACACCACGTGCTGCCACACCCTGTCGTCGCCCAGCGAACTGTTGCGGCGATCCGACTGCCTGCCGGCTGGCTCTCTTGCGTGGTTCTGCAGGCCGAGGAAGGGCGCCGGCCGCACGCGTGCGAGCACGACGTACGACACGTCGTACAAGGGCGGCATGGCTCCGCGCAACGACCGCCGGCTCGCGGTGCAGGGCGCGGCGGCGCTGCGGACGAGCAGCGTGCCGCTGGGCAGGAAGGGCATCTGCATGACGTCGGGCACGGGGAGCACGACGTACAGGGCGGAGTACGTCAAGAAGCTGGACCCCTCGGACCGCGCGCGGCGGATCAAGCAGGCGCAGCAGCTCAAGGAGGCGCTCGCGAGCCCGTCGGTGCCGGTCGGGGCCGTGGCGCCGTCGCTGCCGCCGTGGTGGGACGACTTCAAGAAGAGCCAGGCGTTCTGATGGGGGCGACGCAGGGTGGGGCCGGGCTGGTGGCGCGTGTTGGTGTTGCGAGTGGCGGCTGGGGAAGGGGCTCTGTTGCGGCGTGTGGTGTGACGGCTCTCTGCGCTGCTCCGCGAGTGAAAGGTGGGCGGGTCTTGAGGGCCCGTCCCACCCGGGGGGGGTCCTAGAGTTGTACTGTGTACGACTCCCGAGGAGTGGGCGTCTGGCGAGCGCTCAACACCTGGTCCCGGCCGCGTGGTTGTGCGCTTCCTGCGCTCCGCGACGGGCGGTTCTCGTGGCTCACAGCTCGTATTTGCAGCGGGGGCCTGTGCGTTCTCGCGCACTGTAGTAGGTGCGCTGCTGCCCGCAAGAGCGGATGGGAAACTACTTCAGCGTCTCCTACTGGCTTGGGTGGTCGAACGATCAAGGGAAGCACGCATCATGGATCAAAGACAAGTACACAACGCTCGACCAGGTGCGCATTCCCCTGCCCTGCTGAGGTGCGTGCGCCGCCGCGCCAAGACCACCATTCGTCCTCAAATGGACCTCGCTGGAGATGTCACTATCAGAGTCTTCCGCAGTCGCCGCGAAAGTGACGAATGATGGCTGCAGATGCCGCACGGCCGGCCAACAGATACACCCCCACGCCGAAACTGGCACCTCCGTACCGCCCGATTCCCCTTCCTTCAGGTGCAATGTGCGCTCAAGGACGCAGGACTGGAGTCCTCGAACCTTATCGTCGCGGTAAGACCCGGTCAAGCCCGTCTGCCGTCCTCCCGCGGTGGACTTGCAACTGCCAGGCAGCTCTCGCAGGCGCTCTTGAGCCCTCTCGAGCGCTCCCCACCGCCGCACAACGCTGAGCCACCGTGCAAGCGCAGATTGACTTCACGGCGAGCAACACCTCGCAAGGCATCGAGTCTTTCGGAGGCAAGTGCCTGCATGAGATGTCCGACGTACCGAACCCGTACGAGCAGGCGCTGGGGGTCGTCGCGAAAACGCTTTCACCCTTCGACGAGGACGGGCTCATACCGATGTACGGGTTCGGGGACGCGCGGTGCCACGATGCCAAGCTGTTCTGCCTCAACGACGCCAACCAGCCGTGCCAGGGCCTCGACGAGTGCCTGTGGCGCTACCGACAGGTCTCCCCGCACGTCAAGCTGTCAGGTACGGCTGAAGGCACGTGCCGGGCTGGCAGGAGGTCGCACGTGCATCACGTCGCCCTGGAACTGATGACGCACCCTGCAAACACCCGAAATGATGCAACCCTTCAGCCATCTCTGTTGTCGCTGCCGGCGCTCTTGTCGCTGCCGCCGTCCTCGTGCTCGTCGTCCACGGCAACCCTGCGCTTCTCGGGCGTGATCTTTGCAGGACCAACCTCTTTCGCGCCGGCGATCTACGAGGCCATGCACACCGTGGCCGAGTCCGGCGGGCAGTACCACATCTTGCTGATCATCGCCGACGGCGCGATCACGCGTGCGAGCTCGCTGCCTGCCAGCAAGCTGTCGCCGCAAGAGGTCGACACAATCGACGCCATCGTAGCCGCGTCCGAAATGCCGTTGTCCATCGTGATGGTAGGCGTAGGAGACGGTGCGTGCGCGAAGTCCGCTCGCGACGCGCCCGCACGAGAACGACACGGGATTTTGCGCTTGACATAGCATCCGCAAGAAAAGAACCGTCCCCTGGCTGGCAGCATGCGTACACAGCACGTCGTCATCTCTCCTCCTCCGCGCTCGCAGGGCCGTGGGACCAGATGCAGGACTTCGACGACAAGATCCCGCAACGCAAGTTCGACAACTTCCAGTTTGTGTGTCTGACTGACGTGGTGCGCAAGTCCTCACGCGGCCGGTCGTCGGCACTCGCGGAAGGCCAGCTCCCGGAGGACGTTCAGGCGGAGTTCGCCGTCCAGGCCCTGATGGAGGTAGGCAGCCCCGCCGGCCCCAACTCCTTCACCAGCGCGCGGGCCCTCCGCGCGCCAGCTCAGCGCCCACGTGCCACCCTACTTCAGCGTTGTGGCGTGCGTTTGGCCACGGGTCTGACTGCAAGTGTGACCCCATGTGCAGGTGCCGGAGCAGTTCGAGGCGGTGCAGCGACTGGGCCTCCTGGGGCGCCGCACCGCGCTGCCCCCGAGCATCCGTCGGCTGCGGAAGCCCCCGCTGCCTCCTCCGCGCGGCGCGCCGCCGAGCGCGGCGGTGCGGGACGGCGAGGGGACCGGTGCGCAGCGAAACGAGGGCGCCACTGCTGCTGCCCCGCCGAGGTTCGGGACGGACGTGGAGCGGTGGTTCGAGTGCCCTATCACAGCGGAGGTCATGAACGACCCCGTGACTGCGGCGGACGGACAAACGTGCGCCCGCAGCCACCTGCTGCCACGACGTCTCCGTCCTGTGCTGCTTACTGCTGACGACCGCACAATGCTGGCCCCGCTGCCACGTGCAGGTACGAGCGGTCGGCGATCGAGGCCTGGCTCAGAACGAGCCGAGTGAGTCCCCTGACCGGCGCGCGGATGCCGCACCGCAACCTCGTGCCCAACCACCAGCTCCGCAGCATGATCATCGAGTGGCGCGAACGACAACCATCCATGTAATGGACAAGCGAAGCGAAAGGGGTGGCCGAGAGAGCAACGGCGCGGTGGAGTACCCGCGTCATGTAAATTCAAAGCAGCGAGGCGCCGCGCCATCGCGTGCCGCGCTCGCCCTCGACAACGCGGCAAGGACGCGTCCACGGTGCGCAGGATTCACAGTTCCCGCTGCAGGAGGTCGCTCGCGCGCAGCCGCTGCTCCCTCGTCCGCCTCGCGAGGTCCTGCAGCCGCGCCAGGTCCGCGCCGCGCACCCCGACCACCCGGCCCGCGAGGTGCGTGGGGTGCTGCGGGTCCACCAGCTTCTTCAGCGGCTCCGCGAGCTCCTGGCTGAGGCTCTCGAGGTCCTCAATGCACTTCTGGTCAATCCCGCCGCGACCGTCCATCACGTACTCGTACCCCGACGCCCCGTCAGGCAGCGACACCCCCCCTCCGAACTCCCTCAGGAACGGACTGCCCATCATGTCGACGTCCTCGGACGCGTCCCGGCGCCTCTTGACTGCCTCGACAATGTCCAGGTACTTTTGCAGTTGGCTGAGCACGGTCTGCAGCGCCGACTCCGCGAGCTGGACGAGCAGGAACGCGTCGCGCTCGCGGTCGGTCGCGTCCTGTGCCGCGGCCGCAAGCTGCTGCGACTGCTCCGGGCTGAGCTGCGGAACCTTCCCAAGGTTGTGCACCACGCGCATCGCATCCTCGCGCGCCTCGAGCGTCGCCTCGGCGTCCAGCCCGACCTGGTGCAGCAGCCGCGCCATGTCCACCATGCTCGGCGGCGGCGCGAGGTCCCCCGGGGGGGAGTCCCGAATCGGCAGCACCAGCCGCGACGACGCCATGCTGGTCATCCGCGCGAGGTACCGCGCGAGGCTGCACCGCATCTCGAGCACGCGCCGCCGGATCCGCCGCGACGCCGCCAGCTTCTCCGCGCTCAGCTTCTGGCCGCGAGTCTCCAGCAGAGCACGGATGTACCTCGACCCGCTGTGCTCGTCCCGGCAGCACAGCTGGCGCGCGAGGGTGAGGACGGCGAAGTGGAGGTCCGCGTGGCGGTGCAGGTCGGGCTCCTGCAAGCGGCACAGCAGCGACAGCACCAGCCCGGCCTCCTCGACGTCCGCGTGCCCCCGCTCCCACCCAGCGGTGGACCGCACGTCGCCGGCGTCGTGCAGCATCCGCACGAGCGCGCGGGCGTGCGCGGCCGCGAACTCCCCGGCCTGCCTGTGCAGGTCGTTCGAGTTCGGCAGCGCGGCGAGCATCGTCACCACCAGCTGCAGGATTGGCGTCGTGATGCGCTGGAGCCGCTCGCGCAGGCTGCGCCCCGGCGTCGCGGCCATCGCGACGGCCGCCGCGTCCTCCGGCACCAGGTCGAACGCCTGGCAGCTCGTGAGGTGCTGCACCGCGCCTGCCTCGAACAACTGCAGCGCTGAAGCAGTACGCTGGCCCCACACGTCGCCGCTGCCCACCCCGCCGCCGGGCTCCGCACGCGCGTGCGCGAGCGTGAGGAGGAGCGACAGCTTCGCCTCGAAAGACTCGATCTCTGCCCTAGAGTCGTCCGGCGCCAGCCTCTTGAGCGCGTGCACCGAACCGTCCACAAGACGACGCAGCACGGACCGCGGAAGGTCGCTCTCGTACAGCTCGCGGGCGAAGGACGGACACGCCGCCGCGAGCGCGGCCGTGAGGTGCAGCACCGCCGCGCGGTGGTCGGCCCGCGGCAGTGTGGCGTCTTGGCACAGCTGCCGCGCCAGCGCCTGCGCCCGGGCCGCAATGACGCGGTGGATGCCGTTGTCGAGCTTGGCCTGCGTCTGCGCGAGCGACACGATCGTCTCGGCCTGCGGCGCGAGCTCCTCGAGGACGCGTGGCGCCAGCTGCGGGCCCCGACAGTAGTGCAGCAGGGACAGCGCTGCGGTGTAGATGGGCACGCGCACGGCCTCGTTCTGGGGCATCTCGAGCGCGAGGAGCTGGCGGAGGAGGTCGCTGCACTCCTCGACGCCGAGACGGCTCTCGATGAGGCGGTGGGGGTCGCCGCTCGCGGCGAGGGACGCGGCGCGGGCGCGCGAGGCGCGCAGGTGTGCGAGCAGGGAGCAGACCGCGCGGCAGACCGGCGGGGCCACGCGGTGCGCGCCCGCGGCGTCGCTGCGGAAGAGGTCGTCCAGCTGCGCGAGCGTGAACGACAGAATCCTGCACGCACATCCCAGAGGGGGTGTATTGTGTTTGCTACTACTACTACGCGGACAGCGAGCTCGAACAGGCTCTCCATGGCCGTCGCATGTGTATGCCAGGGCACAACGGCGCCCCCGTGGCTCGAGACGGCCTCGCCAATGCGTGCGAACGACGCATGGACCCTCAGCCCGTGCACCACACCACTCACGAGCGACAGAGGGTGGACGGGTGCGTTTGTATGAACCACGCACCTGAAGATCGTCTTCTGGGCGTCCTCGCACCCCAGCGCCGCCTTCAGCGGGCCGTCCCGCAGGCACACCGCCACCTCGAGACACGCCCTCCACGCAGCCAAAAAGCGCTCCCGCTCCGCGGACCCGTGCTCCCACAGCTCCTGGTCGCGCGCGGCGCACTCAACCTGCGCCTCGACGTCCGGCGCGAGGCCCTGCCCGCCCTCCTGCAGCCGCCGGAGCAGCTCCGGGACGTCGACATCCAGCAACACCCCCCCCGCGTCAGCACGCCACACCCCCCCCGCCTCCACCGGCCGCCGCTCCCGCAGCAGCGCCTGCGCCTGGGCCACCGCGGGCCCGGCGTCCGGCGTCGCCGTCGGCGCCTTCTGCGCCGCGTGCATGCCCACTCCCAGCAACTGCAGCACTGCGCACGACCGGCCGTCCTCCTCGACGCCCGCGAACAGCCGCTGCAGCACGAACTCCGCGCTGAGGCGCTGGTCCTCGCCCGCAAGCGGATCCGAGTAGTACAGCTCCGCGGCGAGGATCTGCAGCAGGCACGTGCGCTGCTCGAGGGCCACGTTGGCGTACACCTGCGCCCGCGCGTCGAAGGGCGCGCCGGCGTCGACCTGGCCAGGCGTCGGGAGCAGCGCGGGGCCCTCGCTGTCGTCGAGGAGGCCCGCGAACATCCGCGGCGGCTCCGCGCGCAGCACGTCGAGCGTGCAGTCCCGCGTGCGCGTGTCGCGCAGCAGTGCGCAGACCAGCGCGAGCAGGTCGCGCAGGAGCCCCGGGAAGGCGCTGAGGCCGGGGTTCTCCGCGGCGCGCTTGATGAGCACGTGGAGGGCGTTGTACTGCGTCCGCGGGTTCGCCAGCCCGCTCCCGGCCAACACTTGGAACCCAAGGAGGAGGTGGGAGAACGTGGGGAAGGGGTGCGTGACCCCGGAGCGCAGGAGCGACACCGCGAGCGCCGCGCGGCGGTCCCCGTTGCTCAGCGACTCGTCCATGCACCCCGCGAACCCGTGCACGAGCTCCGGGAGCGAGCTGCAGTGCTGCGCCAGCACCCCCACGAGGTTCGCGACGCGCTCGACGGTCGGCCCGGCCACCTCGAGCGCCGCGATCTGCAGCTGAGGCTCCAGGCTGTACCGCACGTACTCGAAGAGCGTCGCGAGCGTCCTGCGCTCCTGCAGCAGCACCGTGTCGAGGGTCTGCAGGAAGGGTGCAGCGCCGCGGCTGCTGTAGTCTTGCGGGGGCAGGACGAGGGCGCTGGAGGGCCCCTGCGGCCCGGACGGGACGCCGCGGGCGCCGAAGAAGCCGCGGTCGACGTCGAAGGCGGCGCGCAGGACGCGCAGGGCCTCGCGAACCGCGGCCTCCAGGCGCGGGCCCTGGTCGGAGCGCTCGCGGATGATGTGCAGGCGGTCGCAGCCGACGCCGGCGATCTGGAGGAGCACCGACATCGCGGGCCCGCGCGAGAGGATCTCGCAGAGCACGGTGAAGCCCGGGTGGCTCTGGTCCACCGTCGCGGGATCTGCAAACGAACGTCAAAGCACGAGGAGCGGTGGTGTCGTCACTTGAGAAGCCCAGCGCGGTGGCGCGCCGGGTGTGTGGGGGCGCGCTGGAAGGCGGGGCGTGTCGCACCTGTGCGCTGCAGCATCGCGAGGCAGAGGCGCATGTGCTTGAGGCACTCGGCGGCAACGTCCCAGCGCTGCACGTCGTGCTTGTAGTGGCGCTGGTACAGCTGCGCCAGGTACCCGCCGTACTCGCGGCTGGTGCCCATGAAGAGCTCGGTGCACTGCCGCATCTTGAACGCCTGCTCGGCGCTCCCGTCGCCCGCCGCGAGCTGCTCTGCAACAACGTTGACCATGGAGACGAACGCCAGCGACACCGTGTACTCCCCGAACTGCGCCTCGGGGTCCGCGATCATCAGCGCGATCTCGCGGCACATCCCCGCGCCGTCCGCGCCGCCGTCCGCCCAGATGTCGGACAGCAGCTCGCTCGGCGAGAGCAGCGGCACGCCGCCACTGCCCTTCACGCCCGTCCCGACCAGCGCGCCCACGGCCTTCATGAGCGCGGCCTTCAGGTCCGGCCGCCACGCGCTGCGGCACATCATCGAGCACAGCAGGCGGTCCGGCTTCTTCCGCAGCACGCGCTCGAGAGTACAAATGACCCGCTCGTTCGGGGCGCGCTCCGCCATGCTCTCGTACTGCGACAGCACGCCGTTGCGGATGACCGCCGTGAACAGGTCTGTGTACCGCGCCAGCCCCTGCTCGTCGTCCTCGTCGTCGATTAACTCCCCCTCCTCCGCCTTGTGGTCAGCCAGCGACATGACCTTGGCGTACACCGCCCACGACACCCCGCGCTCCCCGCCGGGCGCGCCGTCCGCGCCGAGCCGGTCCGCAACCCACTTCGCGCCACCCGGGGACCCCGCGAGCGCAGTGAGCACGGGGAGCAGGCCCAGGAGTGCGGCGGGCGACGACGGCGCCTCCTCTTCCAGCATTTCGATGAGCGTCTCGTACTGGCGGATGCGGTCGTCGGCCGGGTGGCGCATGGGGCCCTCGCTGAGCACCGCGAAGAGCGCGGCGAGGAGCGACAGCAGCGCGGCGAGGTCGTCGCCGCTGCCACGGCGCGCCGGGACGATGTCCATGGCATCGGCGCTGCTCGAGCGCTCGCGCTCGATCTCCGCGTCGATGAGCTTCTTCGCGAGCTTCGAGCCGGGGCGCCAGTCCAGGAAGCGCGACAGCAGGTCGTGCAGGACCTCCGCGTAGGTCTGTTGATGCGCGGGCAGATCGTCCCGGAAGTGCAGCGAGGACACAATCTGCACAAGAAACGGGCGCAGAGGGAGCGTGAGCCCGCGGGAAAGAGCCACCGCGGCGTACGCGGCGTTTCCATGCACCAATGCACGCATGCCACACCAGCACGGCAAGGGGAGTCGTCGCGCGCACCCGTGCGTTGAGGAACCCGAACGCGCCGTTCTCCGCGGCCCTGTTGAGCTCCGCGCTGCTGTCCTGCATGCCCTGCTCCCGCGCCTCCAGCGTCCCCAGCGACAGCAGCAGCACCCCCGTCAGGCCCCGCAGCGGTTCGACCTTCCCCGCCTCCAGCCTGCGCTCCAGCCCCTCGCAGCATGCGCGCACCACCCGCGCCGCCGACGCCAGCTGCTTCTCCGTCTCGCCCGGGTCCTCCAGCTCCTCGCGCGGGGGGCTCAGCAGGCACAGCACCGCCAGCAACACCACGACGAGGTGGTGCTCCGCGGTGGGCGCGTCGTCCGCCGCGTCGCTCTTCTCCGCGTCCTCCGCCGCGCGCTTGACCGCCTCGGCGAGCGGCGCGAAGAGCTCCACGATCGCGCGGACGTCCGCCTCGCTCTTGCGCACCTCGTCGGGCCGGAGGTGGCACAGGTAGAACAAACACTCCACGAGGAGGGTCGTCTCAAGGCGGCGGAGCTGCGAACGCGGCACCGTCGCGCCTTGCGGGTTCAGGACGTCGGGGAACGCCTTTCCGGCGCCCGCGGGGCCGCCGCCCGCTGCGATGAGCTCAACGATCTTCCGTAGCAGCCTGCGCGTGTCCGAGGGCGCGGGCAGGGTGAACGATCGACGTGGCGGCTGCGCCCGAGGGCTGAGCTCGCCGGGGAGCGCGCGACGCCCAACGACAACGCGTGGCAGGTGTGCGTGGCACACAGAGGGGGCGGGGGCGTACTTGCAGCGTCCGTCGGAGTCGCGTTCTTTGCAGAGTTTGCTGTTGAGCGCCCGGACGTCCTCGAGCGCGGCCGCGGTGTCGAAGTCGTCCATCTCCTGCGCGTCGCCCAGCGGGCCCTGCGCGCGCCACCACAGTGTCGGCAGCTGCGAGCCGAGCACCTCGTACTTCATGGCGAAGTGCAGGGCCTCGAGGACCTCGCGCCGGTCGTCGAAGTAGATCCCTGCGTCGAAAATGCGCACCGGGCGCCGGGCGTTTGCGCGTCGCCAGCAGACTAGCGACGCAAATGGGGCCGATTTCGCACGGACGTGCGCATGTAGGGCGACCGACGGGAGCGGTTTCGTGGGTGTGACGAGGCGGTAGAGAGACGGCGCGGGGGCGCTGTGTGCGGCGCCGCGGGGGCGAGGTGCACACCTGCGGCTGCCTCGCACGACAGATCTCCGCGGTACTCGAGGGCGCGCATCAGCAGCCGGACGCATTCCGCTTCGTTCAGGTCGAGCTCGTCGGACAGGTCCACCATCTGCGGTTGAGCCCACGGGAACGCGGAGGTGGGGCCGGTGCGAGTGCACAGTTGCTCCCTTGGGCGGGAGGGGCGCTGGGCGCGGGGCCTCGAACGCAGTGGTGGCGCCGAGCATGTCGGTCGCCTGTTCAGGCGCTGACGCGTTCCGAAAGCCGAAAATCAGCCCTGCGCGGTGCAGGGCAGGCTCGCGACAGACCGGCAGAGGCCGAAGCAGCGCGTGGGGCGGCGTCAGGGCGAACTAGGTGGCGCCACAGTCGTTGCGCGATGTGGAGGAGGACGTGGTGTGATCGCAGGCGGCGAGCGTGCAGTCGGTGGGCTGGAGAGCGCGCACGGCCGAGGTGGTACCAGCGCCGTCAAAAAGCCGGGAGCTCACGAATGCGATGTCGGGGTCGTCGTCCAGCGGCTGCTCCACCCCGTCGATCTCCAGCTTCTTCTCCTCCAGAATCTTCTTTCGCAAGGCCTCGTCCCTCCTCTGCGTCGCGTACAAGCCGACGAGTGTTACCGCAGAGCAAGCAGCGAGCGCCGCCCGGCGCGACACTCGCGTAGCAACATCCGGCCGGAGCCCCTTTCGCATGGCCAGCGACGCGAGGATGGCGAGCGAATGTTTCCCGCCCCGAGCCCCGCTGCCCCGGCACCGGTCATGACCGCCGCCAACCTCTTTTGCGCACCTTCTGCCCCAGCAGGTCCAGCCACTGACTCCGCAGCGCGCTGTGGCATCTACTGATACCATCTCGGTGATCCGCGCTGAAGGCGTGCACAGACCGCGCGCTTTCGAGCCAGTGGACCAGCTCCAGGGCCTCGCTGATCATCTCTGCCGCCCCCTGCCGCGGCGAACCCGCCCAGTCTCTCTATTCTCTGGACTCCGAGAGTCGCACGATCCCGCCCACGGCCTCGGCGTGCAGTTGCGGGCCAAGTCCACCTCGCCTGCGCCCCATGAGCAGCAGGGAGCCCGCCGTTGTTCTACTGTTTGAGAGCCCCCCACCCCCCCACGTCAGGGGGGCCTGGGCCGAGCACCGAAGCCCGCTGCGACCAGCGGCGCGACGCAGCGCATCGACCACGCCAGCGCGTGCCTCTCAGTCGCAGCTCGCGTGCTCCCCGGTGTCGGCGGCCTCAACCTGGTGTCGCCCCGTTCTGCGCACCGCCGACGACAGCGGCCTCAAGCACGGCGTGGATCGATGCCAGCGGCGGCTGCGGGGCTCCACTACCGACCCAGCGCCCACGGGGCACGCCACGACGGCGCATCAACGACAAGCTGGCCGTTCCGTTTCCCCACGGACCTCGTGTGACCACGGATCCAGGGACAGCCGCAGCGCCCCGTCCGCGCTCAGCCTTGGTCAGCCGCGCTCGCCCGCCAGCCGTGGTCACACCGCGCGGGGGTAGAGTTGACGGGCTGCCCCAGCCCTCTGCAGCGGCCGCGGCTGCCCTCTCGTGGACGACGCGCGGCACCGCCACGCCATGGCAGAGGAGGCGGCACGAAGAACAGAGAGCTAGCGGAGTCCGAGGGGGCAGTGGCAGGACACGGGGCGGCCAGGCTGGGCGCCGCGTGCGCTGATCATGAGCACAGCGAGCGTGCTTGCTGGGGCCGAGGAGAGATCAAGACGGGGTGGCCGAGAGCAACGATGGCGGTGGAGTACCCGCACGCTGTGCTGTCGCGGTGCGCGTCACACGCAACACAACAGCACGTGCAAGTCCAGACGCCAGCACTCAAAGTGTTAATTGACCACCCGCACGGCTAGGCCTGCACTCCAACTGGTGGTTCCGTCAGACCAGCCCTCGCGGTTCCCCGCGCATCACATGTTGCCCGCGCGCGACGTCCAAGCTCGCCCCACGGCCCCTTGCCTCGACAGCAGAGGAGTCGAAGGGCCTGCTCAGGCCAGCAACGCCGCGACCTCGCCGCTGCCGCCACGATTCCGTTCTTAGTCTTAAGGATATTCCCAGCAGTCTTTGTGTCTCGTTTCAAGTCCTGGTCTTGCCTCTTTGTGTCTCGTTTCAAGTCCTGGTCTTGCCTCTTTGGTTCTTAGTTGGGCTCCGGCAGAAGTGCGCTGTGCACTGCGCCGCAGGGCTCCGCCGGCGCCGCGCGGACGCTCCAAGTCTGCTGTGCGGCGATCACGGGTCCTCTGGCCCCGACGCATGGCTGCGAGTCCCCGTCGGCCTCTGAATCTGCTGTCGTTCCGCCGCAGCGCCGCCCGAACGCGTACGCGCGTACGTCACTTGCTTCTTCGACTGCAGGAGCCGCCCACCGGTCGTCTGCTGCCCGCCCTCTGTGGCGCGGGAGTCAGCGCCAGTGCTGGCACTGGCGGCGTCTGTGCCGCCTGTCACCCTTGCGACAGAGCGGGCTGCGCGCGACCCCTTCGGCGTCATGAAGCCCTGGCTGTGCTCCTCGCCCTCGCTCACCGCGCTCAGTCCGGCCGACTGGTGCTCCGCGTCAGTTCCAGAGTAGTCCTCCCCGTCGACGTTGTTGTACCTCTTGAACGTGCTCAGCACGACCGCGTGCACGTCGACCGCGTCCCGCTCCTCGTCGTTGAGCTCGTCCGAGTCCGTGACGCCCCCCGGGTCCGCGAACCCGTCCACCTCCGCCGCGTGCGAGTGCCGCGTGGGGGAGTCCCCCGCAGTCAGGCGCCCGCTCGTGCCCGTGCGCCACGACGACCGCCCGACGCTCGACGACAGCGTGCGCCCCGCGGACGACCCCGCCCGCAGCAGCCGCCGCCCGCTGCTGCCCGCCGACGGCCGCAGCGCCGGCCCGCCCGCGCTGCGCTCCGTGCGCGACCGCTGCCCGTGCGACCGCGCCGGGTCGTCGTCGTCGCTGTCGTTCTGCTGCGACTGGTTCCGCCGCAGCGACCGTCCGCCGGACCCCGCCGGCGTGTTCCCCAGCGACCGCACACCAACACCACCAGCCATGTGCGTGTCCGAGTATCGCACAGCCTTCGCCCCGCGGTCCTCGAACTCGTCCCGCAGCGTGCCGCGATGCGACGACACCTGCTGCGGCTCGCGCTTGATGCCCAGCGCCTCCTCCATCCGCTCGATGTCGACGGCGGAGCGCTGACGCGACCGCTGTCGGGTGATGGTGCTACGGGACTGGCTGACGGAGCCGGGCGTCATCTGGTCGCGCGACCGCGACGGCGCGCGCCGGATGCTGCTCGAGAAGCCCTCCTCGGAGTCACGCGACTGGCCGCGCCCGGAGTGCCCGGCGGAGCGCGCCTGCGTGACGCTGCGCGCAAGGTTGCTCGGTGTCCGGGACCGCGGCACGGTGCCGGCGCCGAGCAGGTCGCGCCCGGAGTCCCGCTTGTGCGCGACGCGCTCTTCGGACAGGTCCGACCCGCTGCACGTACAACACGCGCACAACAACCACGCATCAACCACGCAGCCCTGAGAGCGTCCTCAGCGCCGATAAGCGAACGTACTCCAGGTCGATTCGTTCGCTGTGTGCGCAGGGATACCGAGCAAGGCAGCGAGCGGCCCCTCCTGCAGCGAGCTCGCGCCTCCGCAGCCCGGGGGCGCTGGAAACACCAAAGGTGGCACATGGGCGACAAAGAGGGAGTGCCGCACCTTGCGCGCGAAGCCGCCAGGACACGCGCGGCTTGGTGCGACCCGCGGAGGTCCGCGTCCGCTGCCGCCCAGGACGCGCCCTTCCCGCGCGAGACCACCCGCTCCGGGCGCGCGCGACGCTCCGAGTCGTCAGCCCCGGGCGCTCGCGCGTCGAGGTGCCGGCCCGAGGGCTCGCGCTCGCGCAGCTCCGTGGTCAGCCGCTTGGAGCTGTTGCGGCGCAGGTCGCTCCCCGGGCCGCGGCGTGAAACACTCGTGCGGCTCTGCTCGAGCAGCCGGCGCGAGTCTGACCGCGCGTATCCCCCGGACTGCGGCGTCGTGACCATGCGGTTGCGGAGGGAGGCCGACCGGCGTGTGTTTTGTAGCCGGGGCTCTCCGACGTGCTGCGCGGCGAGGGCAGGGGCGTTGGCGGTCGGTGCGAGCGTGGCGCGGTGCGCGCGGGACGGCGCTGGGGCGGCGGCGCGGCGGGGCGGCGGCGCGCCGCTTCTGTCGCGGCCTTGGCGAGGAAACGCGCGTCGACGCGGCGTCGGTGCGTGCGTGGCGCGCTTCGGGAGCACTGGTGTTGGTTGCTCAGAGCTTGCGGCGCTGCGCCCACGAGGGCGCCCGGGGCGCCACTGGAGGCCGAAATTCGAGGCAAGCGCATGGAAGCGGGTCCACAGCGACACGGCGGACGCGTGTAGACCGGGGCTCAGGCGCAGAGAGGGCTGAGGAGGTGCGGTGGGCTCAAAGCGCGCCCCTCGCGCGGGGCGAGCGGCAGAGCGGCGGGCTCCGCACCCTGGGACGTCCTTGCCGGGAGTCAAAGCTGGCTTCCGACCCGATGGACCGCGTCGAGATCCGCTGTGGCGTCATCGTACGCATCTGCAGCACACAATTCAGCACGCCGTCGTTGCAGCGGCTCGCGCACGCGCGGGCCCCGACCGGCCTCGAGCGGGCTGCCTGAAAGTAAGGGCGCGCAGGGGCGCGCAGGCGGGCCGGGGACGCACCAGGCGCTGCGAGTTCGAGAACCTGTATTTCTGAAGCTGGTCGCCCTCGGCAGCTATGTCTCGCGGGGGCGGCGCCTGGCGCAGCGCGGGCTTCGAGCCGCACAGGAGGAGACTGATGCAGAAGGGCAGCTTGGTGTCCTCCCGCTTCGGCGACCTGGGCGCCGCGTCCGGGTGCCCAGGCGGGAGGGCGTGGTTGCTGGTAGCCATGACAGGCCTCGGCGCGCCTGGGACCCGAGAGCGGCTGCGGGCGCGGAAGGGGGGAGGCGTTGAGGAGAAGGGCTTGGCAGGGGCCTGCCGGGCATCGGCGCGCCCGGCGCGGTGCGGCGGTGACGCTGGGCGCGTGGCAGCGCCCTTTTTGCTGGTGGCCGGCCCCGGCGCACTGGTGGGTCGCAGGGGGGGGGGCGGCGGCGCGGCTCCAGCATGAACGGGCGCGCGGGGTTGCGGGGGGCGAGCCGTGCCTGTCGTGGAGGGCCGGCCCGGCACGGGCGGCCGAGTTCAGGAGCAGTGCTGCCCCCGAGTACGTTGCCCCATGCACGGGACGCCCGCCGAGCTCTTCGGATGGAGAAGCCACGAGCGCTCCCGATGCAGTCGTGCGCCACTGTGGCAACCGCGCTCCACACGGCGTGCATGATGCTGCGGGCCACCTGAGCTGGTGAGGGGTCCACATGTGTCCGGCGCGCCAGCTGGTCCGCGAGGTGGGTCGCGGCCGGGCGGTCAGCTCGTCGAGGCATGCACGGCTGTCGCGCGAGGCGCTCTTCCGCGAGGATCCACCCAAGCAACACGCGACATGGTGAGGGCAAGCACAGCCACCGTGGTGCGGAACACGCCACCGAGGACACCGTCCGGGGGCGGCGCGAGCTGCGCGCACGCCGCTGTTCCCTGCACCCCGCAGCTGCTTCCAGCCTCGCTGTCACGCCAGCACAGGTCACAGCAACAGCTCCGCTGCCTCCCAAACAACGCACGGATGCGCCTCACGCGCATCGACGCGAGCGCGGTGCATGACACGCGCGTCGGGGCGCGCGACGGGCCAGGGCCGGTCCCCCGGGGGTGTCGGGAGTCAAGTCGGGCTCAGAGCTTGGCGGCGAACGACAGGCCGGCGTCGGCGAGGTCCGCGGGCGCGGCGGGCTGCGCGACCGCCACCTTCTTCATCAGCGCGTTGTCCTCGGGCGAGCCGCCCTCCAGGAACGCACCCACCACCTGCATCCTCGTGCGAGGCAGCGCGCGCTTGTGCAGCTTGCAACCGTGCTATCCTGCAGTGCGTGGGCGGGCGGGCTGGGAGGCGGGTGCAGACGCGCACCTTGCCACCGTCGACCCAGTAGGCGCCCCACTTCTTGCTGGCGCGGTCCCCGAAGTGCACAATCGAGCCCGCGCTGTCGCCGTAGAACTGCCACGAGAGGTCGAACACGCGCGAGTAGAAGAACGGGAGGTAGTCGTACGCAGGGGTCTTCGGGTCCACGATCGCTGCACCGCACGCGCGCACGGGCAGCGAATGAGTCGGCCAACAGCCCTTGCGTCCAGCAAGGGCCGCGGGCGCTCGGGGCCGGGGGGGTAGCGCGACACGGATACATCCGCGCCATCACGCGCGATCGTGTGTGCGCCCTCGCGCGGGCGTCCGCGTTCGGGCTGTCTCGCGCACGGCGGTCATGAGCGCTACAAGGCGACCTCTGTGTTGGCGCCGTGGGGTGCCGCACCGTTGACGGCCTGGATGGCCGAGGCGCGGGCGTGCGTGACGTGCTCCTGCCGCACGATCTTCCCGCCGTGGCGCAGCAGCGGGAACGCCGCCACGTCCCCCACGGCGTACACCCCCTCGCAGGCCTTCATCTGCCCGTCCACCTTCACTCCGCCGGCCTCCAGCGCCACCTGCCCCTCGAGCAGCTGCACGCGCGGCCGCGCGCCGACGCCCACGACGACCAGGTCCGCCGGGAGCGTCCCGCCCGACTTGAGCTTCGCCGTGCCCACCTTGGTGGTCCCCGGGGCCGCCTCCAGGCCCACGACGAGGTCGCCCTTGACGAGCTTGATGTTGTGCTTCGCGTACTGCTCGGCGTACCACTCGGCCATCGAGGCGTCGAAGAGGCGCGCCATCATGTGTGGTTCCGGGAACACCATGGTGATGTCGACGCCGTGCTTGCTGATCGCCGCCGCAGTCTCCATGCCGATGTAGCCGCCGCCTGCGCACCGCGGGCGGGCGGCGCAGGGTCGCGCGGGGCCGGGAGCGCGTGCGGAGGCGGCCAAGAGCTGTGTGCAGTTGCAGGCATGGCGTGTCGCGTGCGGCCCGCGGTGGCGGCGTGGCGTGGCTGCGCGAGGTGGAGGGGGGCGGCGGGGGGGCGGTGGGGCGCACCGACGCAGACGACCTTGCCGCCCGCGGCCTTGACAGCCTGCACGGCGGCGTTGATCTTGTCGGCGTCCTTGACGTCGCGCAGGTACAGGACGTTCTCCAGGTCCGCGCCAGGGGTCTTGAAGTCTGCGCGGGGGTGCGCGAGTGAGGAGGTGGGCGCGGGCGTGGGCGCGACGGCGTGCTGGACGGGAGGGGCAAGGCTGGTGCAGCGTTGCTCGCCTCCGATGTGATGTGATGCGAGAGAGAGGGCTGCGCAGGCGGAGCCCAACAACAGCGAGTGTGCAGCGATGCGACCAGGTGAGGCGGGTGCCGCCGCGGCACGGCGGGGGAGGCCGGCAGCGTACCCGCCAGCGTCGTGGAGCCGCAGCCGGTCGCGTAGATCAGGTTCTCGAACGTGAACGTCCCCTTCGTGGTCTCAATCTTCTTCGCCTTCACGTCGACGCTGCAACGCAGGTGACGTGCACGCAAGCCGTCTCGATGGCGTCATTGCAGCTACCACACCCACGCTCCTCGGCCAGCCCGCGAGACAACGATGCCGCGCTCCAATGCGCGTGAATGACGCCGCAGGGGGGTGGTCAGTCCCTTGACATCGGCGACGCGGGCCAGTTCTCGCGTGGCGCGGGACCCACCTGGTGGCCGTGCAGCCAAGCACCGTCTTCACGCCGTTGCTGTCGTACCACGCCTGGTCCTGGCGCTCCCCGCCGCCGCCCACGCACGTGTGGAATCCTGGCAGACGCGCCCACGAGCCCTCGGGGAACAGATACGCCTTGCTCAGTGCGGGCCTGCGCGAAAGCAACAGCCCCGCCTCACCACGAGTCTGGAAAACGCCGTGTCGCCGCGCGACGGAGCGATAATACGGACGCGGTGCCCCGCGATGGAGGTCGGGAGCCATGCGCGAGCGAGCAGCGCGCGGGGGCGGCGCGGGCCGCGTCCCGAGCGGGCGGTGCGGCCGCCATGCTCACCTCTCGTACGGCAGCACGTCCTCCTCGGAGATCAGGCAGACGTCCTTGCCGAGGCCGTGCTTCACGAACTCACGGGCCGCGTAGCCCGCGGCGTTTCCGCCGCCCAGGATGACGTTCTTGAACGCTCCCGCCATCGCGCACACGTTTCGCTGCTCCCTGCTGGGCGCGTGCCAGAAAGCGCGGACAGCTCCGCGTAGGAGAATGATTGTGGGGAAGCGAGCTGCGCACACGGCAGTGAGGACGCTACCGCGCGAAATGGCCGCGCGTGGGCGTGCGCACTCCCGCTCAGGCCGCGGCGGCACGATCCGATGGTGGCCGGCGGAGGGGTGAGGTCCTCCGACAGGCCCCACCGCGCGGGACATTTGGTGGCGTGCGGCGAGGACCGGCGTATATCGAGGAGAGTGGTAGTGGCGCGGACATCGCGGCGCACTGGAGGCGCGAGGCCCCCGCGTCCCGTTGCGCGCGGCGAGTGAAGGTGGAGGGGTGCTACGCTGCCCGCGCCGGCGCCCGCGTCAAAGGGCGCCGCGCAGGACCCTCCGGACGCCCGGCACGACCTGGCGCGCACGAGCCTTCGCAGGGCGAGCAGGTGCGTCGTTCCGCCCGCGTTGGCATCGGCGACCTTTCCAGCGGAGGCCAGCAATCGATCTCGCGCCGTCAGGCGCCGGAGCGTCCTCGCTCCGCTTTGTTCGGCGCACATGCTGGAATTATAGGTCTAGTCGAGCCGGGTCGCGGCAAGTTCGGTGCGAACCATGCTCGTGCCCGTCCGAGCGATCCGGCGGTCGCAAGCACGACGGTCCAGTTCGCGCCCGTCACCCGCGCGCTCCGAAGCAGATCTCCGCCCTCGTATTCCGCAGACACGCAGCTTATGTCACGATGGGCTGTTCGGCGAGCGTCCACGCGGAGAATCCCGGCGATTCCGGCGCGGACGGACCCCACCACCCCTCGCCCATTCACCAGTACCGGTGCACCGTACCGCGGGCCGCGCGGGGCTCGAAGCGGAGCATGGACACGCAGCGTACGATAGATATGGCGCTCCGGGGACACAGGGACGCCGAGGAGACGCTGTCAGTCTCCGCCCGGCCGCAACATCAGGACACAGCGGCGACAACGAACAGTGGGCGTCTGTCGCTGAAACGCGTGCACTTCGGCCCCACCTCGCCCACCGACTCCTTGGGCGGCCTCACCAGCAACCAGTCCGACGGCCTTGCGCCCTCTGTCGCCTCGAAGGGCGCGGCGAGCGGCCAGCTTTATGCGTCATCCGTGCACGCACTAAGCAAGCTCTCCGGGGACGATGCGCGCCAGGCGAGCCACCGGCGAGCTCGCAGCGGGATCCCCGCGGGTTCCCGGCGGCCCGTCGCGACGGACGGGTTGTTTGGAATCTCACGGGCGCTGACTTCCCCCGACGCGCGCGGCGGGCCGGGAGCGCGTCTGTCGTCCGTGATCTCGCTGTCGTCGCCGGACGCGCAGAAGCTGATCAAGAAGAGCGACTGGGCGACGGTCGAGGAGGCGGTCGACGCGATGGGTCCGCAGTCCAGCCACGCGCCGACGCGCGGCAGGGAAGTGAGCCGCCTGGCGGTGGGGCTCGTCAAGGGCGACCAGCCGACGGAGTTCCTGAACAACTACGCCGTCGTCAAGTGGCTCGGCGCAGGTGAGGTCCCGCGCGGCGCAGGCCGCTCCCCACGCCGCCGCATCGATCTGTGCGGTGCGCGCTGTCCATGTTGAATCGAACCGCCGGCCTGCCCCCGGAGCACCCGTGCAGGCTGCTACGGCGACGTCGCCCTGTGCCTCGATCTGTCTCCGGGCAACAACGAGCTCGTCGCGGTGAAGCGCGTGTTCAAGGAGGAGAGGCAGCGACGACAGGGAAGCACCCCCAACAGAGGCAGCCGCCGCTCCAGCCTGGATCGGAAGCCAAGCAAGGCCGAGGTGCGCTCTTCCGCACCCCTCCACCGTCCAGTCGCGACGCACGGCGCGCCGAAACGCTCACCACCGCGCCGCATCGCTTGCGTCGCCGTCGAGGCCCAGCCCCACGCTACCGACCTGACTCGCCTCGCACGGAGCGTCCGCCCGGGCGGGTGGCCTCCGCGTACCTGCGCCGTGGCTTCACGCCTCGGCGCGGGCCGCCACTGCCGCGCAGGTGCTGAAACGAGAGGCTGCTTTTTTGAAAGCTCTGGACCACCCGAACGTGGTGAAGCTCGTGGAGGTCATCGACGACCCGAAGCGGGACTTCCTGCTCTGCGTCATGGAGTACGTGGCAGGGGGCGAGCTCATCAAGGGGGGGGTTCCAGGCTCCTCGACACGCGACTCAGCCCTGAAGCTGGACCCTGACGTGGCTCTCATGTACTTCCGCCAGATCCTGCAGGGGCTCGAGTACATGCATGCCCAGGTCAGGACCCAGGCGCCCCCTGGCTGCTGAATCACGGCCCGATCGACGAGGCCCCGTCCATGTGCATGCACCCTCGCTGGCACGTGCCTCCCCTCACTTCGGGGGCGCTCGCCTCGGTGTGCACGCAGGACATCACGCACGGCGACATCAAGCCCTCGAATCTGCTGCTCTCCGCGGAGGGCCGCCTCAAGATCGCGGACTTCGGGTGTGCGATGCACGGGGGGGTGTCCCGCCCCTTCCGCTCCGCATGGGGCGGCACGCCAGCCTTCATGCCGCCCTGCCAGTCCACCGACGACGCCGCAGAGGCGTCTCTAACGGGAGCTGAGGCCGATCTGTGGGCTGCGGGCGTGACGCTCTACGTCATGATATTCGGAAACGTTCCGTTTGGCAACGCAGCCATGACGTCGTATCAGATGTACGACGCGATCGCCTCGGACGAGCCCGCACACGTTCCGAGGGACGTTCTTGGCGGCGACTGCGCGGACCTCCTCGCGATGCTGCTGGAGAAGGACACCGCGACGCGTCGGCGCTTGATCGCAAAGCTGAGCGCGGGCGGCGCTGGCCAGGAGGGCGCTGCGGCGTGCCCGGTGTCGGCCGTGCTAGCCCACCCGGCGCTGCTGCGAGCGGCGGAGATGTCGGAGATCCTCGAGTTCGGCCGCAGCCTCAAGCTCGTCGGCGCGCGCCGCACGTGGGGCCTGAGTCCCCCGGGGGAGTCGTCCGACGGCGCGGGCCTTGTGGGCGTGCGATGGACCTTGAGCGAATCGCCCCGCCGCCCCAACGCAACCCCCGCCGACAGGAAGGGCTCCAACGGCGCGCCCAGTGCGCTGACGCGGCACGGCGAGCTGAGGGTGGAGCTGGACACTGACGTGGCAAAACGCCTCGGGATCCCCGTCATGGCGGTGCAGCCGGGCGAGATGATCGTCGAGGAGGGCACAGAGGGCGCCGAGCGGATGTTCGTGGTCCTGGAAGGCACAGTCGAAGTGCTGCGGCTCGCGACGGTGGCTGCGGGGGGCATGAACGGCGCCCCGGCGCCGAAGACGCCGCGCGGCAGCGTGTCCCGGTACTCCAGCGGCATGCTGCGGCCCGGGTTTGGGCGTCAGCTCCGGCGGGGCTTTCGAGACGGCAGCGGCCTGGGCGACCTCTCAGATCAGGACAGCGTGGCATCTGCAAACAGCTCCTCGGTTGCGGCGAGCAGCCTGCGGACCTGCGAGGCTCCGCTCGTGCCGGCTTCGCGAGACACAGGGATGGCGCAGGCGAGCAGCATGTCGGCTGCGCGTCCCCGCCACGTTGAGCGGCGATTGCAGGCTGCGCACAGACCCCCTAGCCTGCGCATCAATCTCGCGTGCCTGCCCGGGAACGCGTCCGAGACCGCCGCGTGTGTTGCAGCGCCACGTCAGCCGCCGCACTCTGCCGGCGGAGTCAGGGACCTGGCCGCGACGGGGGGTCTCACCGCTGGCAGCGAGGACGCTGTGTCTGCGTACAACTGCGCCGCGGGTCGAGACCAGGACCGGGACGGCGGAGCAGGGCCCAGCCCCGGGCGCACAGCGACGAGGTGGCCGTCGCACCACACGGCGACCGACGTGTCCGCACCGGCGAGCCCCGCCGTGAAGGTATTCGCGCGCAACGAACAGTATCGGGAGTCTCTCGAGGCCCTGGTCCAGACGGCAATCTCCAACGCATGTCAGCTGGACCGCACGCTCTACCTGAACAACATGGCGGTCGGGTCGCTCTCGACGCGGCCCCTCGGGGGCTCACTCGGCGCGACGATGCAAGCACGCGACGACGGCGCTGCGGCACCGCCCGGGCCCGCGCAGAGCGGAGACGCTGTCGCGCCGAGCCTCCAGTCCACTTCGGGGAGCTGCGCGGCGGGGGAGCGCGTGGACGCGGCGTTCCGCGTTGTTGCGCGCCGCGGGCCGGGCGCGGTGATTGGAGAGGCCGTGATGTTGGGGGCTGCGAGCAAGAGGACGTCGTCGGTGCGTGCGACGACTGCGGTGAAGCTGGCGGTGATTGACGGCGCTGCGCTGCGCAGGCTGTTCGGCGTCGCACCGGAACTTCAGGTGTGCGATTACGTACCGTGCTGCCGCGCTTGAATGCTCGCGACCTCGATGAATCCTTCCTTCACTTGCACCCCCCCGCGATCTTGCTGCTGGACCCGCGTGGTCACCTCCCGGATGCCCCGCTGTGCACTCAGGCTTCGGCCCGTGCTTGAATGATTAAAAAAACACAAATAAGATTTTCGTGCCCATCGGAAGGTCGCTTGCTTCTCCCGCTCCGCAGGCGCGCCTCCTCACCCTGTGTGCCAGCCGCACGGCGGTTCGGCACCAGGCCGAGGCCCTCGAACGCCTCGCGGGCCTGCATCGCTCTCTGCACGGCAACACCGCCACGCGGTGACGCGCAGCCAACCACAACGCGACGAAGCGCGCCCACCGCTCCCATCATCAAGCACGTAACTCGCCCGCGGCGCCCAGCGGCCGCACGAGGCCCGCCGACGGTCGCTGCGGGCACCGTTTCATCCGCGCGCGCTCACAGGGCAGCCCGTTCCGCGCCGCAACAACACCTGCGCGCCCTTGCCCACAAGTCATTCGTTCGTTCCCCTTGTGAGCCGGAGCACGGTGCGCGCGTTGGAACCGGGCCGTCAGCGCCCCTCCGGAAGAGCCTTGATGCGTGCGCACGCGATGGCCGAGTCCAGGGGCGGGAACTTGAAGACGCAGATGTCGTCGTCGAGGTAGAGGACGGGGAACTTGGAGAACTGCGGGAAGAACGCCAGGCGCCCCATCTGCGTGATGACGTTGTCGGCGCTCGAGCGCGCAGCTGCCCGCGACGCGCTGTCGACGTCCATGCGCAGGCTCTCATCCGGGTCGTACCAGAAGTCGTTGAAGTCCACCTGCACGCAACGCCGCACCGAAGAGCCCCTGAAGCCCTGCCAGATAGTGACTGACTGCGTCAGCCCTGGGACAGACACAGCGCAGCGGGGGTGTTACGCAAAGACAGACAGACTCGTGCGCCGGCGGCGGGCCGCCGCGCGGTGTGCTGTCGCGCTCGGCGCCCCCGGCCCCGCTGCGGGCGACGCACCCGCACGGTGGTGTCGTCCTCGTACGAGAAGGTGCCCGCGGCACTGAGCCAGCCCGCGACCTTGCCGACGCCGGGCAGCTTGCCCTCGAACCGCACGTTGGACGAGATCCGGCTGCCGTCGAGGTGGTACCTGATGGGCGAGAACCGGATTCCGACCGGCTTGGAGAAGCCCGCGATGTGCGGCGCGCTGAACACCTGCCAGCTGCCCTGCCCGATCTCCGACGCCGAGTAGCCTGCGCGCAGCGGAGAGCTCGCGTGAGCGGACCAGAGCTCAAGGCGTGACGATGGAGCACCGCCGGCGGCATGGAGGGCACCTAGGGCGCCAGAGATGCACCAGGAGAGGGCGCTACCTGGGCTGGATGTCGGGTTCTCGGCGATCAGGGCCTTGATGTCGCTCTCGAGCCCGATGAGGTCGCTGTAGACATCACACCCGCTGTCCACTGCCTCGCGCACCTGCACAGCGAGGCGACCTGGTTACAACAGTTGCTCGAAGCCATCGCGGACCTGGCTCCGTGGGACCGCAAAGGATCCTACTGCGCCGCGGCGTCGATCTCAGTTCCGAAGCATGCCGTCGAGCATGCTCTGGCTTGTACTCGATTTCTCCGCGCAGCCGGCGAGGGCAAAGCCCGGAGGCACTCACTCTGCTCTTAGCACTGCTCGCGGCTCGGCAAGCCACAGGCCGTGCGCGGGGCCGCCTGTGTCCCTGGAGAGCGACCTGCGCGCAGTGCGCGCGCCGGCTGGTCTGTGCGAGCGCCTGCATGGCGCCGCGACGCGCGGGTGATTCCAGGGTCGTTAGAGCCGCGCTTGTCAACGGAGACGACGGTCGTGTCGGTCACCGCGGTCACGAGAAGCAGAAACTGCGGCCCTGCCGCCGCGCGCCCGGGAAACCAGCGCTGCAGGCGCCTCCTGGGGGTGTCGGGGCGAGTTGCCTTGCCGCACCGTCTGCCAGCACCGTGGGACGTCCCTGGCTCCATCACGCCGCCGCGCCGCGCCGCTGCTGCACCGCTTTGCGCAGGGGAGATACAAGAGGCACCAACGACGTGCGAAGCGCGAGGATTTCGAGCGGCGCAGACGCGGGACGAGGCAGTGAGCGGCAGTGTGTGCGCCCGCGCAGGCGGCCTGTCGCGCCGGCCGCCGAGGCTTCAGCCCGGCCGCGCGTGTAGAACAAGCGCTTCTGCGTGTGCGCATGATAGATAGGCGGGTGAGGTGACAGGATGCCGGGCCGGCTCACTCTCAAGAGGGGCAAGCTGCTCCGGAGGTTCGGGGAGAACCTGTACCCGCGCACGTGGTTCGCACGCACGCTGGAACGCATGGGCAAGAGTCCGATGGAGCTCAAGAAGGCCAAGCGGAGGAGCGCGACCATCAAGAACCTCGAAATCCGCGAACGTCTGTCCTTCCGGTGCGCCCCCGCGCACCGACGCCCCGCACCGCGCTGCCTCGATCCGCCCGCGGCATCCCGCCCCCAGACGGCCCTGCGAGCCTCCACGCGCTGAGCGCCGCGGCACATCGACCAGCTGCGACGGCGCAGACGCTGTGTGGGCGCGTGCTGAGGCCCTCGCTCGTGTTCGGGTTCGCGCGGCGCAGGAAGAAGATGCAGACCTGGTACGGGCGCAAGTATCACGGCTGGGCGCCATGGCTCGAGCAGCGCGCGGACCAGGTCATGGTGCGCTCGGGGCTGGCCGCGACGCTGCCCGCGGCACGGCAGCGCATCAATCACCGCACCGTGTACGTGAACGAAGAGCCGATCACGAGCCCGGGCGTCATCCTCAAACCCGGCGACATCCTCACCGTCGCGCCGCTCCGGAGCGTCGAACGGACCCTCCCTGAGGCGCTACGGGGCGCCGCGGAGCAGGTCAGCGCCCCGCATCTCGCGGGTCCGGCACGGACTCCCCCCTGGCCCCCACCAGCAGCCCGCAGCCCCGCACGCGTCTTTCCGGCATCGCCCAGCACGCCCTCGTCGCACGGCTGCGACGCTCGCCCCCACCGCCACCGCGTGACCGTCCACCTCTCGCCGCGTGGCTTGCAGCACCAGTGGCTCAAGCTCATGTGGACGTCGCTGATGGATCCCCTCGCGATCCGCACTCACAGCGTGCTGCGCACCATCTTTCCGGGCATCCACGAGCAGCTGCAACCTGACGCCAGCACATGGTCGGGGAACGCGGCGGCCGCGGAGCGCCGGCCAGAGGGCCGGCGGGGGGGCGCAGGCAAGCGTCGGGGCTGACAGGGGCGCGCGCTGTGACACGGGAGACTGGCCGACAACTCGCGGAAACGGGTCGTGACAGCGCGCACGCCCCGTGGCGGGTGCTGGCCCGCAGGTGGTGCGCACGTGGCGCGCGCGGCGACGTGCGCCGGCCCAGCGTACGGCCCTCGTCGGCAACGGCGCAGTGGAAGCGCGGTCGTGGTTCGGAATGAACCGCAGCTCGTACGGCGTGCCTCAGAGCTGCGGTTCATTTTGACACATTGGTCGGTCGGTTCCCCAGCGGGGAGGTTCGGGCTGTGCCGGGGCCGCTTCCTCACGCGCTGCCTCGCTCGTGCGTGCGCCTCTGAGCACCGCCGGCCTGCCACGACGCACATCGGTCCTGTTCGCGGCGCGACTCATGGCATCACACGCGCAGTGCTGCATGCCCGGGCTCTCGCCTCGCAAGCCGCGCCCCGCGTCCGCGCATGCCTGCCGTGCGCAGGGCTGCCCGCGCTCTGGCGTCGTGCACGCACACACGGTCGCGCGCACACGTCCTCCGCACGCACAGGCTGGCGCGCGCCTCGCAGGCCCGTCCGCACCTAGTGGTGCGAGGCGGCCTTGCGCAGCATGTTCTTGTACGACATCCAGCCGACGGTCAGGCCGAGCAGCGGGGCGCCGATGCGCACGGCGGTGGCCAGGGCCGACGGGCCCTTGTAGGGGTTCCACGCAGCCATCCTGCGGACGCATCGCGGGCGTGCAGGGCGTCTGTATGCGGCAGGTGTGGTGACCATGCGGCGGCGCGGCGGGCGGAGGCGGGGGACCGGGCGGGGCCGGGTGCGGGGCCGCCCCCTGTGCCGGCGTGCGTCTTGCCTGTTAAAGACCTTCTGTGGCGTTCTGGTCGTAGACGTTGACCTTGAAGAAGTCCCTCAGCTTCTCCTTGACAAAGTCGAGGTAGTTCTCCTTGACGAGAACGAGGACGCGTCCGTCGGCGTTGAGCTGCGCGTGAGGGGGCAAGGGTGGTGCTCAGGACGGCGCTGTGGGTGGCGCAGCCGCGCGCCGCGCGCGAGAGAGGGTCTGCCGGGGGGCGGAGAGTGCGGCCAGAGGCGCTGATAGCGAATGACGCATTGTGCGGACGGTGGAAGGCGTCTGTTGCGGTCGTGCCCTGAACGGCGCCGGGGTGCACACCTCGCCGTACCCGGTGACGAGAAACCTCTCGGAAGCCGTAACTTCGTTGTTAAGGTTTTCCAGAAACGCTTGCGTGGCCGTGTCGCTGCACGGAGGCGCGCGCGGGAACGATCGACAGCTTTCGCACGGCAAGCACGCGCAGTCTGAGACGACTCGCCGCCACGCGAGCGCGGGACCAATGAGCTGACTTCATGACCATGCCATTGCGCCGACGCGCCGGCGGGCAAGCGCGGCTGGGCGTCGCTCACAGCGCGCAACTCCACGGGCAACTCACCACTCGATCAGAATGAGCTTTTGTCCCTCAGATCCGGCTATGCGCACCATCGACACCGCACGAGTGGCCCCACCTCGCGCGCTCTGGCCTTGTGCCCCGCGCGCCCCGCCGCGGGGACTCCCACTGGCGCCCCCTCCCAACGCCGCGGCACGCAGCGGGCCGCCGCTGCAACGGCTCGCGCCCGGGCGCCGGCATGCATTCGATGAAGCTCTCCTCGGCGGGCACCTGAAGCAGTGTACGCCGGATCCTCGCAGCCTCGCAACACACAGCAGTGCTTTCTGGGACCTGCCCGGTGGTACGGGTGACTAGCGCGGCGACGGGCGCGAAAGGAGGAACGGAGCGGTCATGTCCGCCATCGTCAGCGCAGTAGAGAAGTTTCGGAAGGATTTCCCTGGACCGCTACGGGTCGGTGTCGGCATAGATGGCAGCGAGCTCTCCGAGAAGGCCTTCGACGTCGCGTGCAGGTGCGACGGGGAGCCGCGAAGCAGCCCACCCGGCGGAACACGACCAGAACAGGCCGTCAAGGGCCGTTTCCTGCCCCGCGCGGCCCCGCACGCGCCGCAGCGGCCTCTCGCGCTCACCGGACCAACAGATGCCACATCCGCCTGCCCCACCGCCGCGCCGTGCCTCGCCCCCGGACGCCCGCGTCCCGCGGACATGTCGAGTGCGTTCGCGGGGGCCCGCGTCCGCGGCTGCGCGGCGCCGGAGCCCACGGCGTCGCCTTCTTCCCCCCCAACGTCCAGGATCCTACACAACGAGCGCGGGGACCGCCTGTACGCCATCCACGTCGCAGCGCACCGCAGTCGGGTTCCTGACCCTCTCCATAGCGCGGAGCACCTCCAGGCAAGCCGCTGCCGCCCCGCCCCGCGGCCCCGCACCGCATGACCTCTGGCTCGTCAATGCACGCGTCGCGGGGGCTGCATGCGACCCCTTGCGCCGCGAGGGGAGCGGCAGGGCCGCATATATGTGCAAAGAGCCGTCCGGGCCCCGTCTTGTCTCGACACCACGCCAGCAGGCGCCGGGGTCGCCGTGTTTCGGTGCGCGATGACGCTGGGGCCGCCCCGTGCGCCCCGCCGCGGGGATCCCACGCGCTTCCGTCCGTCTGTGTCGCTTGTGCGTGCAGCGGAGCTTCGAGCGGCGCGCGTACCATCACCGCGCGACGATGACGTTCTACGCGCGCGAGAAGTCTGGCACTGACACCACAACGGGCATTTTGTCGGCCCTGGCGGAGGAGCTGGAGCTGGACCTCCTTGTCGTGGGCGCCTTCGGCCGCAAGGGCGAGAAGGTCGAGGTGCTGGGGAGCGTGGCGGACGGCGCGCTGCGCAAGAGCAACTGCACGGTGGTGGTGGTGCGTACCACGAGCTACGACCTGGAGAACAGCAGCGCGTGGACCCTCGCGGTCGACGAATCGAAGACGTCGGTGCACGCGTTCGCGGCGATCGTGGGGCGCTTCGCTAAGAAGGGCGACAAGATCACAGTGATGCATGCGAGCTTCAACAGGGACGGCGGGAAGGTGCTGGCGCCGTTCCAGCACTGCCTCGAGCACGAGTTCAAGGGCGAGTACGAGGCGGACACGGAGTTCTGCAGCATGCCGTACGCGGGGCAGAACAGCGTCAGCGCCGCGCTCATGAAGTTCGCCACCGACAAACAAACCGACTTCCTCGTCATGGGCATCTCAGGTGCGCCGCGACGCACATGCGCGACGCTACACGCTTGCCTTCTGCCGTCGCGCGGGCAGGGCGCTCAGCGCGGCCCCGGCCAGCCGTTTCCGCGCAGGTTGGGGCAAGGAGAAGCTGGGGAGCGTCAGCGAGGACGTGCTCATGCTGTCGCGCGTGACGGCGATCGCGATCAAGGACCCGTACGAAGTGCGCGCCAAGCGCGCGGAGCGGCAGCCCGAGCTGATCAAGAACTGAGCGACCCCGCACACACAGCGTGCGCAGAGGTCGATGTTGGGCGTGGGTGACCCGGCCTGGCGCGCCGCACCAGCCTTCCGGGTAGCGAACAACGGTCGGGGGCAGGCACACCCGATCACACTGCGGGGGGGGTGCTCCTAGTGTTACGACGCCAGCTAGCCGTCCATCCGCTGCTCCTCGCGCGCCATCGCAGCGCAGATATTGTCAGCGATGGCTTCCTCGCTGTCCGGCTGCGACGTGCACACCTTCGGCACCCCTATGCGCACCCAAACGGTGTCCCAACCCTCCTGCTTCAACCCCGCCTCCACTACGCGCTCCTCCAGCGCGATCCGATCCGGATCGTCCAGCAGCAGCGACCTCTCCTTCCGCGGCAGCAGCAAGCACTTCCGCCCGTCGCGCGCCCGCGTCACCGTCGCGAGCACCGGCACCTGCGGACGCAGGCGTGCGCGGTCGCCCCACGTCACCACCCCGCCCATTCGCGCCCTGACGTCGGGCCCGAGCTGCTCTACAGCCCGCCGCACGGCCGGCGCGACCTCCTCGACCGCCGCAAGCTCGTCCTCGTTCCGCAGCGGCGCGCAGTCGGAGAGGACCTGTGCGTCGCCATGAAGTCCCGAGCCCAAGCCGACGCGGAGCGCGGCGTGCGACGACCTGGGAAGCTGCTGACTGGCCGTCGCGATCGCGTTCAGAAACGCCCGGATCCTGCGCTGTTTCTTGAGCGTCTTCTTTGATTCCAGGGCAGGGATGGGGGCCGTCACCTGGCGCCTTTCGAGGCCGCGCCAGAACGCCTCCACGTAGCCTCGATAGGGTTCGAGGGCGATGCCGGTTGTCCCCCAGAATTCCTCGTTGTCGCCCGCCACGGCCGCCGCGGCCGGCAGCGTCCTGGCGAGTTCGAGGAGGGGATACAACAAGCTGCCCTCGCCGTCGCCGTCGTCGTGGGCGGGCCGCGAGCGCCCGTCCGCCTGCTGTGCGTCGCCGTGGGCAGTCGCACGGCGGTTGGCCGGCGTGCGGCGGGAGGGGTGGGCGCTTGCGAGCCCGGGGACGCCGCTTGCGACGAGTTTGATGAGGGCCCGGCTCAGGCGACGGTCCTCGGGGGGGTCGTGCGCGCTCAGCGTGATGAACATGGCGCAGGCATCCCGGATGCTGATTCGCTGCGCCACTGCCGGCGTCAGCAAGCCCGCAAGGCCCTCCCGCGCGCCGTCAATCGACAAGGAGTAGCGGGATATGTGCGTGGCTAATTCCAGCAGCGCAACGGCCTCCCCCGGCCTGTGCCTCGGGCGCGCCAGCTCTTGCATAAAGAGCTCCCTGATGCGCTCGGCCGCGGCGTTCGCGCGCATCGCGTTGCCCTCGTCGCGCAGGCCGACCAGCTGCAGCAATCGCCGCAGCAAGCTGGGCCGGACCTCCAGGTCCGGGCGCGACAGCATCTCCTCGACGAGCGGCACGCCCGACCCCTTCAGCACGCCCCGCATCTCCCCGCGGGGCGGCACGAACTTCGTGAAGACGTGCATTGTCATCACCAGCTTGCGCGTGCTCATCGCCGCGAAGCCCTGCGGGGTCTCGAGCTGCGACCCAGGGGCGGACACGGCGCTGTGTGAGCGTCGAACGCAGCGTGCGTAGCGCGTTCGCGGGCTCCCAGGGCTCTGGCACCTCGCGGGACGCACCATCTCGATCGCGCGCTTCAGTGCAGTGACGCCGTTGCCTTGGGAGACGCCGTAGGATCCGACGGCCTCGATCAAGCGCTGGAGCGTCTGTACGACAGCTTCGCAGTCCTCGGGGGTCGCTTGGTCCACGGGAATCCTCAGGAAGGCCCCGGCGACCAAGCTGTTGATGAACGCTGGCGGCAAACTCAGTTGCTTCTGATTGCACCTGTACAGGAAGCGCTCCACCTGCGACGACTCGCACAGCACATCCGAACGATTCATGCACCGTTGCGACGTCTCGAACGCCCTGCCAGCCGCGCGCAGCGGCGAGCGGACGCACAGCAGGTCCACGTGTTTGCCGTTGGGTCGCGCGGGCGTTCCACGTACCACTTGGAGGTCTGGGAGGACCGCAACCTTCGATGGGTCCATCTCGGCCTCGTGGAACATCGTCTCGCTGTCGAGCACCTTGACCATCGCCGCGACCAGATCGTCAGGGTCGCGCGTGGGCAGCCGCAGGGTGAGCGCGCGCCCGAAGATGCGAAACGCGCTCGAGTACGGCGGGTCCTCGTCCAGAAAGTCCTGCAACATGAAGGTGCCCGCCGGTGTCAGTGTCGGCCCGCGTGCCGCCCCGAGGTCGACCCGCCGCGGCTGTTGGTGCGTGTGTGTGTCGGCGGCAGTTGCAGCGCACCTTGGGCCGGAAGCGGGTGCGCATGAGCTGAAAGATCACGTCCCCCGCGTTCCGCATGTCGTTGCAGACGTCCTTGGCCGTCTGGACGTCCTCGGGCGGCAACCCCGGTTTCACGATCAGGTTCCTGGCACTCAAAAACACCTCCGTCACTCCCCTCAGCGCGTTGTCGACCGAGACCGGCCGGAACCCCCGCTCCGCGCGCTGCAGATCGAGGCCCTTCGCCGCGAGCTCCGCGACGCGGTGCTTGAGCTCGTCCACGCCCTCGAGCCCCCGTGGAGTGATCACCCCATCTGCATGAAAGCGGGCTGTGGAGGACGCGGTGGGGCGGCGCGGACCTCGGCAGGCGGCGCGAACGACACGCCGCCCCGGGGCCGACGTGGGTCGGATGGCAGCAGGGCGGCGTGGGGACCGGGGCCGCACCGCGCGCTGCAGACCGGCCCAGTTGACGTATGAGGACCCCGAGGTTGATAGTGTCGAGCTCCCTTCCGCCCGCCTCGATGTCGCCCGCGACCTGGATCAGGTCGTCGATCTGCCGGTTCCGCATGATCTGGTGCGTAGCATCTGCGCAGCACACACACACTTGGCAGCGCCTTTCGCTCCACACGCGCGCCCGCGCGCGGCCGACGGGCAGCGACGGAGCCGAGCACGCGGAGGGGGCGGCGGGGCGGCGCACCTAGCGAGCTGTCGTACTCATCGCTCGTGCGCCAACGCCCGCGGGCCTTGCCGCGCATCCCCGCGCTCACCGTCCTGCCGGCCTGCGTTCTCTTCGTGCCCTTGAGGACCACAACTTCCCACTGCCGCTTCCTGGTACTCGAGACCTCCAGGGCCTGCTCCCTCGCGTCGCTCACGCGGGGCTCCTGCCCGCCCTCCACGCCGCCCTCGTCCTCCCGACCGCTCGGCTGCGCGGCCAGTTCCTCCGGGTGATGCAGCTGCCGCGCAGGCGCCGTGTCGTGCACGTGGCGCGAGAAGGTAGCGGCGAGGCCATCCCACCCGCGCCCGGGGGCGCCGCCCGGCTGGACAGCAGGCCCGTGTGGTGCCAACGCCCGCGCCGCAGCGCGCAGGACGCCGCCGAGCCCGCGACGCGCAGACATGATACCGGTACTATTCAGCTCTCATGTGCCGTCGCTCTATCCTGCGCACCGGGCCAGAGAGCGTCGGCATGCGTCGCGGTGTGTGTGCCAGATGTTCGTGCTAGGGTCTAGGGGCGTGAAGCCGCGCGACGCAACACGGCGACGAGCTGCGCAAAGAAGCGGTAGCCAGGTTGCTCTGGAGCGCGCCAAAGGCGCACGGGATCCTCCCGCGAGGGTCCCGGGAGCGTGCGGCCGCGGGGAAGTGTGGACTGCGCGTGGCGGGGCCGCACCGTCGTCGCGCGAGAGCCACCGACGCACAGAACGATCGTTTCCGCTTGTGTTTCGGGGGAGGAGGCTTGAAGGACTCCCGAGCTGTCCGCGGCGGCCGCAGCTGAGCGCAAATCACACCTAGAGCGCGGCCCCAGGCCCACGCGACATGGTCAGGTCCGACGGGCGGTCCACGGGGCTCGAGCGGTCGGCGCCGACACGGCCGCCCGCCGACTGGACGCGACGCATGCCGTCGTCCGTGCCAAGCTGGTGGAGCACGTGATTCGGTCAGCCTCCGACTGCTGCGTTGAATACCGCGTGCTGATTTCCGCAGCGCACGGCGCACGGCGCGCCGCGGATCTCGGAGCTCTTTGCGCGGGCACTTCGGCTGCATGCAGCCCCACAGCGGCGCGGGCGACTGGTCGTGTCGGTCCGCGACTGACGCGCTCCCGCGATCTGCCATGACGCGCTCACACCTCGGTCTCTGCGATGGCCGCCAGGCCCCCCTTCGCGAACCTCACGACAATGTCGTTGAACTTCGCCGGCTCCTGCAACGCAGCACTCGCACCCACCGTCAGACGCGCGCGTCGTGATGTCAACAACGTCGACTTCACCAGTCAGACAGCCCCGCGGGCCGCACCTCGATGTAGAGCCAGTGGTTCGCGTCCCGGAAGACCACCGTCTTGCACCGCGGCACGAGCCGCTCCACCTCCCGCAGGCCCTCCATCGGGAAGCACCCCGAGTGCGCCCCCGCCAGCTCCAGGCACTCGAACGGCAGCGTCCGCAGCGTCGGGCGGTGGTCGATCCCAGTGTGGTCCTGCATCAGCGCTCCGAGCTTCGCGCCGTCGCACTTGAGCGTCTCCGCCTCCAGCACCGCCGCCACGTCGTCCGGCACGGGCAGCGTCAGGCAGCACTCTGCGTTGCCCTTCGCGAACGCTCGCATGTCCTCGAGGAGAACCTTGCGCAACCCGTCGACGGCCGCCTGGTCCGGGAGACCCTTGCTGCCGTGCTCCCAGCCCGGGATGCACGTCTGCGCCGGCGAGGAGAGCAACGGCGTGACAAAGGTCGATTGTCGTCGCGGCAAACAGGAACACGAAGGCAGAGGGGGAAGCGACCGGTGTGGCGGCTGCCGTGCGCGCGTGCTGGATGTCGAGCGGGTGGTCGTCGCGTGGGGCAGCTCGCCTGGAGGGGTGCTTGGTCGACGAGCACGGCTTTGGCTACGCGCTGTGAGCCCGGGAAGAGCATGTGGTGCTGCCAGATGATGGCGCAGCCCATGGAGGTGCCGACGGCGACGACGTTCGTGAGGCCGAGGTGTTCGAGGAGGTTCTCCATGTCGACGGCGAGGCGCGAGACGGAGAAGCCGTGGTCGGTGTGCGAGCTGTCACCGTGGAACCGAAGATCAACGGCAATCACCTGCGAGGTCGGCGCCGCGACGCGCGGTCGGACGCGCGACGAGTGCGATAGCTCTGACGTCCCTCGAGTGCCATTTTGGTCGTGGTGTGCGCCATCGCGCGAACGGGGCGCGAGATAAAGGACAGATAGTTAGGATGGGATTTCCATGTGATGGTTCGTGTCTGACCTCGCATTCTTGTGCCAGGGCCTCGATGTTACGACAGAAGTACCGGTGACTGCCGCTCCAGCCGTGTAGGAGCAGGACCTTGGGCCCTGCAGCGTTGCCCGTCCGCAGGAAGCACAGCTTCGCGCCGTCGTTCGCGCGGATCGTCTGAAGCTGCTCCGAACTCATGTCGTGAGAGACGCACTACTACTGATGCCTCAAGCGGCTCGACTTCCCTGGAATTCTCCCGAACGTTTCCTGGGCGGAGTAGGACTATGCAAGGCACGCCTGTCTGACCAGAACATGGACGTGTCCTGAAGATTGGGGCCCTGGCAAGCGAACAGTGCAATCAGCCAGGCATCGCGCCGCTCCTCGATGGCGGCCACTGGCTGTCCAGGCCCCGGGCCGCCCGACAGCAGAGGAACACCTCTCCCCCCGCACAGCGCGCAGGTTGTGTGCCGGGCGTCAGGTCAGGGGGCTGCGACACCCCTGTCAAGCACAGAGCTGACAAGCACCTCCGCTCCTTGACGTCCTGACTCTTCGGCGCGCAGCACCGGCCCGGTGAGCACTGCGCGATGGAGGAACCCCAGGCGCGTGAGGCGTGCACGAACGACAGGGACTCTGCCGAAGCCGCGCTCGCCGAAGCAGTCGACGAGCAAACGCAGGCGCTGCGACGCGAGGCTCTGCGGAAGCGCCAGGAAGCTCAAAATGAGATCAATAGGCAAGCTCTTCATGAACCCTCTTGTCGTGGCGTACACAGCGAGGGGCTCGCATCTCACGCGGCGCACCGAGGCAACCGTGCTGTCAGAGACCCGCCGTGACGCCGCGGACGCCACACCGCGCCCCCTAGGCACGCGCAGCCTCACGGAGGTACCCTGCACCTCGGGTCTCTCGAGCGCCGAGCAAACAGCGCCGGCCCCTCGTGCGACACCGACGCAGATCCCAGCGGCTGATGGAGGAGATGAGGGTCCGCATGGCGTCCATCCGGGCGATGTCGACCAAGAGCCTGCGCGCCAACCGGGAGAGGGAGCGGAGGGAGCTGGAGGCGGAGGAACGGCGCAGACGCAGCGCGGAGCGCGCGGCGCAGGGGCCCACGATGGACGACCTGCCCGAGGACGTCCTGCTCGCCATCATCGGCAAGGCGCGGCCCCGGCGCCAGTGGAGCTGCGGTGTTTGTTTGTCATCGTGCCTGACGCTAGCGTCCATGCGACATGGCAGGACGCTCGCAGGGTGCATCGCATACTGCGCAAGATGGGGATGCGCCAGCACCGCGGGCCCGTGCGAGGCCGCCGTCCTGCGCCCTGTGGGTGTCGTGTGCGTCGACGACAAGGCAAGGCAGCACGACAAGACGTCTGACAAGTAGCAGCCTGCGCTTGTTTCTGCAGGTCGGGGACGCGAAGACGCTGCAGAGTGTTGGATCGACGTGCAAGAAGCTGCGCGAGCTGGCCGCGTCCGACACGGTGTGGCGGGAGGTGTGCTTCGCCACGTGGGGCGCAGGGGGGCCCGGTGAGAGGCTGGACGAGGTGCCTTGCTTTGGACACATCGTGCGCGCAGGAGGGCACCGTGCAGGTAAGCTGCTGCTCCTGGAACGCGTACTGGACCCACCGGATCGCCACAGAAGAAGCAATCGACAAAGCGATGAATTAATAAATTCATTAATTCCGATGACTGTGCGTTTCAACGGTGCCTGGATTGCAGTGCGCAACCCAGCGCATAGTACATCACGTGCTCGGTTCCGCACATGTCGATCCTCTCCGAAACCCCCCTCCCCTGTTCCGGCGCAGCGGTGCTGCCAGCAGACACCCCCCAGGAAGGCGCGCCCCCGCCGGCGCCCGCGCCCGCAAGCTGGCGCGCGGTGTACCGCGACAGATGCGTCGGGTGGGCCACCGCGCTCGAGCAGCTCGAGTGGCTCCAGCGCAACGGGTATCCCGCAGACGTCTCCGGGCGCGCACACATGGCCGAGCTGTGCGTCGCACTCTCGTACCTTGCGCTCGCGACGCTGCCGTGCCCCGGCGCAGCCTCGAGGAGGGCGCACGCGTCGAGGCTGGGCGCCGTCGAGGCCACAGCGGCGCTGTTGGGGTCGGGTCATGGGCTCCTCGTTGAGCAGGCCGCGTGCGCGCTGGCGAACCTGGTGAGCGTCAGTGGGCCGGTGCGGACCCAGGCAATGATGTACACCAACCACGGGCGGACGCTTGCGCCGCGGCTGGCGTCCGGAGTGCCCGGAATCGTGCGGGAGGTGTCGCGGCTGTTGGTGGGCCTCTGGGGGCCGCAGACGGCGGCGCTGTCGCACGGGGATGCGCTTGCGCTGGATGCTGGGAGCGGTGGAGGGTGGAGCGCGGGGGAGGATGGCGGGGAGGCGTGGCGGGAGCTGCTGGCGCGGCGGAGTGGGGATCCTGGGGTGGGGAGGGGTATTGCCGAGCTGGCGGGGGTGTTGGAGGTCGGCGGCGACGCGGAGGTGCCGGCGCTGGGGCGGAGTGCGTGGCGACCCGAAGGACCGCTGGAGGAGCACGAGCGGCGCGTGCGGGAGGTGTATGAGGCTGTGTGCGCAAGTGCAGCCGAGGGGAGGAGCGGGGGCCTGGCGGAGGCCCTCGATGGGCGCGCACTGATGCTACAGCGGGTTCCAGAGGTGTGCGAGGCGGCTCGCGGCGGGAGCTGCATGGGCCCGAAGGCAATCGAGGTCAGTCGCACTCCACCCTACGACTGTGCTTCACTCGACAGGCCTGCGCGGGCGTCGGCTCTGATGTACTGCCCGACGTGTTCTCACTGTCATCTCGCACTGCCCGGCGCGTGCAGGGCGGGATCTGGGCCGTCCAAGAGTTCTCCACCTACGGCGACCCCATGTCTGTCAGCGTGCTGGAAATGTGGCCCGAGTCAGGCGTCCAGTGCACGGGCCCCGACGCCAGCCCCACCGGCAAGTCTGCTGCGCAGAAGCTGCACTGCCGGATCGTCGCCATGCGTTCGGCGGCCCTCGCCACCACTGCCGCCGAGACACCGAGCGGCAACGCGCCGCCCGAGAGCCCCGGCCAGAGCTGGCGCGACGACAGCGGCGCGGGTCCGCGCGAGCTGACCGAGGGCACGTGGCAGACGGGCGAGCGGCTGCGCTGGCAAGTGCACGAGGCCGTGTGCTGGGGCAACGGGCGCTGGTACATGCACCTGCGTCGCCGGGAGGGTGCATGGACGCACCGCCTGGTGTACGGAGGCTGGAGGGACGTCTTTGGGGCGTGGGGGGTCGTCGGGGAGCGCGTGCGGGCGGACGGTGTTGTCGAGGCGGGGGCGCAGGCCCGAGGGCCGCGCGTGTTCCGCCTGCACTGGCTCGGGCCGGGCCGCGACACCCTGAGGTGAGGTGTGAGATGAACATAGCAGTTGCGAACGAACACACGCGCAGGCGAGTCTGGGCACGGCGGTCCGCGCGGGAGATGGCAGTGTCGAGCAGGTGCAGGGGGATGATGCACAGCGTTGGTCGGCACCACCAGCCGTACCTGGCCCGTGTGCGACCGAGTCCGTGCTGGGTTGTCCCGGCGCGCAGATCCGGGACCGCCGCGAGCTCGTTGTCCGGCAGCACGACCTCAGCGATCGTCTGTACCCTGCCCACAGCAGAGGCCATGTGCGGCTGTTGCGGGGGGCCTGTGACACCACAGCGCTCCGTGGTGCGTCACACGCGACACCACACGCACGTTCCGAACTCTTGCGTGCTAGCAAGCAGCTCTGTGTTCAGGCTCCGTGTTTTGGACAACGACGTGTGCCTCCGTGCGGGGGGCCCTTCCCTCAGCTGACGTCCGCGCCGTCGGCGTCCGCGGGCACGAGCGCGGCCATGCGTTCGCCGTACCTGTCCTGGTGCGCAATGCGCTTTCGAAGCAGCCACGCGCGCTCCTCCCGCCACCGCTTGGCGTGCTCCTTCAAAAGAGCCTCCGCGGTGGGCTGCTGCGGTGCTGCCTCTCCGTCGCCCCTGCGTTGGGTCCTCAGGTCGGTCGGCATGAGGCACGAGGTGGGGGTTGCGCGCCGCGTGCGGCAGGCATGTTCGTTTGGTGCGCACCGTTTCTGTATCGCGGCGTCGATGGCCGCCTCGGTGGGCTTCTTGCTCTCCAGCGGGTGCGGCAGCGGCGGTGCCGCCGGCCGGGGTGCTGGAAGTTTCGAGGGGGGTAGTCTGGGGAGGTGTCGTGTGCCAGGGAGCGGCCTGACCTGTCCGTCGGGGTCGTTGTGCAGCCAGGACCGCATCATCGAGTACAGCGACGGCGGGTGCTCGGGATCGTCGATGCGCACAATCCTGCACTTGCCAAACGAGAGCACTTGCACTCCCAACAAAACACGTCAAGGCGCGCTGATTTCGCGTCAGCCGGACACAGCTGGCCAGCGACGTGGGCACCCTCCGCGCCGCAGGCCATCCGGTTGCCAGGGCACACGGGCGGCGCTGATGGCTGGAGCATGCCACACTGTTCCTGGGGGGTGGGCGCAGATGTGGTGGGGGGAGGGCAGCGCACCGGTCGTCGATGGTCAGCAGCGTCCCGCCCAGCTCCTCGTACCCGCTGACCGGGCCCTGTTCGTCGGGGGACGCGGGCCGTTTCACGCCCGTGTGACCCTGCAGCATCACGTGGCCGTTCGGGACCGCGTCGGCCGCCCACGATAATGTGCCCAGACGAAACGAAGCAACGCTGCGATCTGACGATCAGCGGAGCGTGGGAGCGCGGATTCAGTCCCGCAGGCGCGCGCACGCACCGGTGAAAAAGGATCCATGTCAGGGTCTCGGCCGGGCGGGCCCGGCGACCGTCCGGGGTTGCCGCTGCCCCCGCCGTTGTCCATCGACGTCGAAGGTCTGTCCCTCCGGCCATGCTGGCGCCCGGACTCCTCGTCCTCGCTCGCAGACTCGAGCCCCTCCTCGTCTCCCGCGGCGAGGTCCGCCTCCGAGTCCCCCATTTCCTGTCGATCGTCTCCCCGAGTCATCCTGAGCTACGACGCTCCACCAGCGCCACCCAATGCCAGGTCGATGCCCCGCAAGACCTCGCTGGAATCTCAACACAGCACGCAACAGGCCCGCGCCGCGCGCGTAGCGGCTCAATGCGACGGCAACCGTGTGTTACGGCGGCTGCTTGCTAGCAAGTAGCGCGCACGTGGGCCGCCGTGCCGCCAAGCGCGCTCGCAAAGGCCGTGCGGACCAGTCGGACTTGGCGTGCTTTTGAGGGGGGTTTCGGTGCGTTGCTGCCCCACAAGGGCCCGTGCTGCGGCGCGCCCGGCCACTTCCGGCCGCAGCACGGCCGCGGCTGCGTCGTGAGGCGTCGAACGTCCCCGCCGAGAGCCGAGCGTCAACCCAACGCACCCCAGAAGACACCAACCCTCTCTCGTCGCACACGCCATCCGCCGACGGCGAGGAATGCAGCGCGGGCGCGTGGGGCACCCGGGCCGCGGCATCGGGGAGTCCGTCGTCGCGGCGCCGCCCCTGGAGTATCGTCTGGCGCGCCTGCACGTGAGTGTTCTCCCACACACTGCTTCAGGGTCGCAGGGCCGCGCGTTCCTCGATCCAGGCGCCGTCCCGCTGCGCAGCGCAGCTTGCGCGCGCGCGAAGACAGGGCTCCGGCTGTACCGCGCGAGCGCAGGGAAATCCACGGAGTTTCGGGGCAATAGCTGTGGTTGTTGCAAGTGAGATCATGTGTGGGAAGTGCTTGACGGTCATCGCGTTGGTGCGTGTCTTGCAGTTCGAGGGGGAGAAGCTGATGACTGAGATGATGAGCAGCAAGCAGGAGCTGGGGAGGGGCATCAATGCGCTGGATACGCGCCTGATGACCCTTTGTCGCAGCCTACAGGAGCTGGCGAGACAAGCCACCGCCCTCGAGAAGGACGGCGGACAGAAGTGGCGATGAGGCGCCCTTCTCGATGCCACGTCGCGCGCAGTTGTGCGCAGAAGAGCTCCGTGCACGCGTCTGGAGAGCTTGCATGCATTGATCGCGCTACGCTCGGTGTCACGTTGTCTCAGGGACAACGTTGAGCCGCATTGAAGACGTGCCATTGTCCTATCCAAAGCCCGAACGCCGCCCTCCCTGCGTGAGTGGTTCGGAGCAATTCCCTGCGTCAGGAGTTGCTGGGATACCAGTCCTGGTGCACGCGCTGTGCGACCCAAAGGGCCCGCGCGTCAAGGACGTTGTGTAACTTATAGTCGCCTGACTCACCCCGCCAACGCAAGACCGCTCGAAGCGCTCCACGAGCACGCATTGCCGGGTCCCGCTTTCGAGCCGCGTGTAGCTCGCAACGCTGTCTCCGCGAGCTCCTCCCAGGCAAACATCCGCAGCGGCAACCAGGGCATACGCACCTGCTGGTACAGCGCGCTGCCCCCCTCGCCCCCCACGCCGACGAGCAAGCGTTTAGGAGTGCAGCTGCTTTCGCCGCCGTGTCCCCGCGGGCAGTGGCCGCTGACCTTCCGTCGAGGCCCGCACGGCGTCACGTACTCTAGCGTCACCGGCTGGGCTTGCGCCGCGTTCGTGCGGGCGCGTTTCGGCGACGGAACGCCCGAGAGAGCTGTTGCCCGCGCTTTGGAGCGAAAGCTGCGCGGGGGCGTGCAGGGACGATCCCTGTGCCCGAAGGGGCAGCACACTTGATAAAGGCGTGATAGAGGGGCGGCGGAGATGGCGGACGACGCGGTTGCGTCCTTCACGGTGATGGTGACGGGCGAAGTGGAGTCTGCGGAGATACCAGGGCAAGACAACGCGTATTGCAAGTACCAGCTGGTGCACGGCGAAGACTGGCACCTCGTCTCGGGCATCCAGGACGCCATCTCTCAGACCTGCCGTAGCGGTGAGCGCCAAGGCCCGCCAACACCTCCCACGGGCTCGCGCTGGCACTTGCCAGTGCACTGTGGCGCGCCCTCGCCTCGTGCGAGGGCCTCGACACCCCACTGGCCTTTCCCGAGCCTCAATCATCATATATCGTACTGTACGCACTGCCCAACCGCACCAACTGCGCCTCTACCATCCGCGGGCGGCCCCTCTGCTGATCCGCAACGCCTCCTTGCGGCAACGCACCCGAGCACGCGGGGCCCCGCGGATCCCTCAGCCCCCGCCCCGCGGCCTGCCTCCGCCTGCAGCGCCGGTCGACGGCAACATGCGGCTCGTTTGGAACTTCCCAGTCGACGCCACCTTCAAGAGCTACAACCCGTTCGGGTGGCCCCAGATCGTGCTCAGCGTGTACGGCGTGGACGGCATGGGCCGCGAGGTCGTGCAGGGCTACGGGTGCACGCACGTGCCCGTCACCCCCGGGCAGCACGCCGTCAAGGTCCGCCTCTTCCGGCCAGCGTCGTCGTCGGGCATCCAAGCCTTCATGGCGTGGCTCATGGGACAGAGGTGCGCCCGCGGCCCGAGCCCCGCGCCGCCCGCGGCCAGGCCGGAGGCCGCACGCCCCTCCCGCTCCTCGACGAGCAGTCACGAACTTCGAGGGCTGTTGCTAATTGTTCGTACATATATGGGTGTGTTTTTCTCGCCCTGGGTTGCGAGGGTCGTCGCTCTGTGCTGCCGTGCGTGTGCGCAGGCCCGAGTTCAACGACCCGCTGTTCCCCGCGAGCAGCGAGGGCCGCGAGGTCACGCGGGTGCAGTCGGAGGGGTTTGCGACAGTGCGGCTCAACATCGCGACCAAGGGCATGGCGCAGTTCGGGTTCGACACCGGCGCGGACTGACTGTGATCACAGGCACCCCGACGATCGACTCGGCCGCGGTCCGTCTCGCCGCTATGAGTGTTCTTGTCTCCGGGCTGCTGTGAGCGCTTGCTGCGCGACCGCCATGAGAGCCACGACCGCGGTGTCCGTCGTGAGCGTGCGGCCGCCGAGCGTGGCTCGTGTCCAGCCCTCTGCCTCGAACAGGTCCAGCTCAGGCGGCGTCCAACCCCCCTCGGGACCTATTGCCAGGCAAACACACCCCCCGGGCTGCGCGAGCGTCCCCGCGCTCGCTGGCGAGCTGAGCAGCTCGTAGAGGGTGTGATCAATGTTGTCATCGGGATGACAGAGGACCTTGACGACGGGCGGCGCGACGTCTCGCTCGGGGGCGCGCCCGCACGCACTGCGCCAGCCCCACGTCCCTTCGCGCGTGCCGGTTGCCAGGCGCAGGGCACACTTGAGGCTCGGAGAGACCAGGATCTCCGGGACCATGCAGTCGCCTGCGCAGTTTGCGTCGATGCGCGGCACGAGGCATGATTGAGAGTCGGTACATGTGGACTGGAAAGTCCCGCATGGCCCGCAAGTACGCGTGCTCGCAAAGCGTAAGCCCGTGACGCTGGATCGAGCGCTTCAGGTGCATGCGTCGCAAGAAGAGCTGTTGAAAGCTTCATCAGACGAGCAATGCCATGATGACTTACTGTCGTCGCGCACCTGCTTGCTCCAGCCCCTTGATGACCTGGTCCATGACCGACTCCGAGCCCATGATCTTGGCCGTCAAGTAGCCCCGCTCGACGCGTTCCGCGCCCGACACGACCACCCTGCGACGCTTGCGTGGGCAACACATCGTGTCGCATCGCGACGCGATGCGAGAAGGATGGATGTCTCATCCAAAGCTCAAGCACACTCTCCGCGAATGTGGGGGAAGTTCCGGCGTTGCTTTCGTGGCGGAATCGTCCAGCACCGGCCCACTCGGCAATTTCACCTGTCGCGTCCGCAGCTGGATACGACGCAGGCAGCTGGCAGGGGGGCGCTGACCTCCGGACTCCGATCTGAACGATCTTCTCAATGAGTCTCCGAGCCACCTTCGGGCGCGGGCAGGCCAGGAGCAGCACTAGGGGCGGCGGCGGGTCCGGGGGCGACATCGCTGCAGTGACTCGCAAGCACACCGCGCCCTGGCCGTGCTTGCCCCTTCCGTCCTCAACAACTTCCGCCAGTCCGATACCTTCATCTGTGAGTATGCCGCAGGGATGGTCAAGATGCTACGAACGGGCGCTGCTAGCTCCGTACGACGTGCTGATGGTGCACCGTCTCGTGGCCTCCGCCCGCGCCGACACACGCCCGCGGCGGCCGTAAACCGCGCTCGAGAGATCGTGATTCCACCGAACATGCAACTCACCTAGCACACCAACTCGCACGTCGTCCCCGCAAGCGACACCTAGCACCTGGTGCATATGCCGCGCCCTGTCATCATGCGCCGGCAGCACGAGGCCCACCGAGCTCCTCAGCCGCGCTCCCTCCTCCGCATCGAACAGGATGCGATTCCGCGCCACGCAGGGTCGTCGTGCCGCTCCGCGCCCCGCACGGCAGCCCAGGGGCACTCGAAACAGCCTGGCAGCTGTCCCGCCACAGCTGCCTCGCGCCGGGGGCATCGCTGCAGACGACTCGACCAGCAGCGGCCTATGGATGCGCTGCACAAGGACCGTCCAGTCCCGAAGCAATGTCCGGGGGACACGCACTTGGTGCAACAACTAAAACTGCTCGGTCTGCCTGGGCGGCACTGTTCGTTTATACCACCTGCCAGCCCGTTCCCGCTCTCCACCGGCACCGCGCCAACACAGGCCACTCTCACGTGGTGACACAAACGTCTTCCCCGTCTCATGCGTCACTCAGTTGCATGATGATCATCACACCTCCTCGCGGCGCCTGCGCGCGAGCTCCTCCTCCATCATCCGCATCTTCGCCTGCAGCGCGCTGTACTCCCGCTGCAGCGTCTCGAGGTCCTCGTCGTCGCTGTCCGCGTCCTCGAGCTGCGACGCTTTGTGTGCCAGCTGCTCGTGCCCCAGGACCACCGCCGCTTCCGCCGCCGCCTTGATCGTCGCCGCGTCCGCAGGCTCCACGTCCTCCGCGATGTTGTCGTCCCCGAACTTGAACACCACCGCGTCCGGCTCCGACTGCGCCTTGACCGCTGCTGCCGTCTTCGCTGCCGCCTCCGCACGCGCCCGCTTCGCGGCCTCGGTCTCCGCCTTCGCGCCCCTCGCGGCCTCGGACACCGCCTTCGCCGCCGCGCGCACCGACGCGGCGTCGGCCCCCCCGTTCGAGTGCGTGTCGGGGCTCGGATCCTCAAACGAGAACAGAAGGACCTCCTCGTCCTGGCGGAGCTTGGGCTTCTTCGAGTGCGCAGGCTCGGCCTTGCTCTCGGCCTCCACCTTCTCGGCAGCCTTCGCCCGCGCCTGCTTCTCCGCGGCTTCCTCGGCCTTGGCCTTCCTGGCAGCCTCCGCGGCAACCTTGGCTTGCGCCTTCTTCTCTGCAGCCGCGTCGGACTTGGCCTTCCTGATAGCCGCGGCCTCGGCCTTCGCGTTCCCATTCGCCTCCGCCTTGGCCGCCGCCTTGGCCTTGCGCGCCTCCGCCCGCGCCTTCCTGCTGATCTTCGGCTTCTTCGTAGCCTCCGCCTTCGCCATGGCCTCCACCAAGGCCTGCGTCTTGGCCTCCGCCTCAGCGTCGGCCTTCGCTATGGCCTCGACCACGGCCTTCGTCTTGGCTTCCGCCTCAGCATCGGCCCTCTCCTTGGCCGCTGCCTCTTCTTCCGCCTTGGCCTTCGCCTCGGCCTCAGCCTTGGCCTTCGCGGCGATCTCGGCCTCCGCCTGAGCCCGCGCCGCAGCCTCGGCGTCGGCCTTGGCCTTGGCCGCCAGATCCGCTTCCCGCTTGGCCTGCGCCGCAGCGGCGGCCTCCGCCTCCGCCTTGGCTGCCGCGGCCGCCTCCGCCTCGGCCCGCGCGGCGGCCTCCGCCTCGGCCTTGGCCTTCGCGGCCGCCTCGGCCTCCGCCTTGGCCTGCGCCGCCGCCTCCGCCTGAGCCTGAGCCTTCGCAGCTTCCTCGGCCTTGGCCTTCGCCGCGGCCTCGGCGGCCGCCTTCGCCCTCGCGTCGTCCTCCTCCTTCGCCACTTCAGCCGCGGCCTCCGCCTTCTCGTCCGCTTCCGCCGCCGCCGCCGCCGCCGCGTCCGCCTTCGCGTCCGCCTCTGCCGCCGCAGCCTCCGCAGCCCTCCGCTCGGCCTCCGCGGCCGCCGCGACCTCCGCCGCCTGCTTCTCCGCCGCGTCCTTCTCCTCCGCCGCCCGCTCCTTCTCCTCGACCTTCAGCTTCGCCACGTAGGCATTGAACAGCGCCAAGCGGCGCCGCTCCCGCACCGCGCCGTACCGCGCGTCCTCCCGGATGCGCGACCGCACCTTCCCCCACGACGTCCGCGCGTCGATCGCCGGCTCCCGCAGCTCCGCGAGCATCTTCACGTAGTCGCCCTCCGCGGCCTCCTGCTCGCGGCGCACCTCCTCTTCGCGCGCCACCTCCTCCTGGACCGCCGCGAACACCGCCGCGCGCCGCGCGTCGTCAAACAGCACGAACGCGCTCTCCGGAGCCGCGTCCGCCGGCGACAGCGCCGCGTACCCCGCCTGTTCCGTCAGCGCGGGGTCCGCCTTGGCCTCCGCCCACGTCATGCTCTCCACGCGCGCGCCCAGCGCCGCCCGCAGCACGTCGCGCAGCTGCGCCTCCAGCTGCCGCACCTGCGCCTCGCGCCGCTCCTGCCGCGCCGTCACCACCGCGTCAAACAGCTCCTGTTTCTTGGCCTCCACAAGGCTCGCGTCCTCGACGCCAGTGGCCTCCGGCTCCGACGCGGCCACCTCGAGCACGGCGTCAAACAGCTCGACGTCGACCGGGGCGAACCGCTCGTCCTCGGCCAGCCGCGGCAGCACGTCCGCCAGCGCGAGCTCGCCCCGCTCTGCCGCCGCCACGTCGGCATCCGTCATGTACTCGTCCAGCAGGACGACGAAGTTCGCCGCGGCGTCGCGCGCGCGACGCTGCCCCTGCGCGCGCTCCTGCACGCGCTCGGCCTCCTCGATCAGCCGCGCCGCCGCGCTGCCCGTCGTCCGCATCGCCGCCGCCGTGAGCTTGAGCCCGTTGTAGATCGCCGACACCCACAGCGGGTCCTTCTCGCGCGCGGCCTCGCCGGACTCGGCCTCCACGACCTCCGCCTCGGCCTCCACCGAGCCTGCGTCCGTGCCGCTCGACGCCGACCCCGAGCCCGACCCGGTTTTGGTGGACCCGGACTTGGACCCGAAGATACTCCCCCCGATGCCTTTCAGCATGGACCCGGCGTCGTCGATGGCGCGCGAGAGCTCGGACTGGAGCGAGGAGAGCTCCTGCTCGGACGCCGCGAGGCGGTCCTCGGCCTCGAGCAGGTCGTCGACGACGTCCTCGCCCGCCTGCACGCGCTTGGTCAGACTGTCCACCTCCTCGGCCTGCTTCTGCGTGGCGAAGATCTGCGACGTGTAGCGCGTCTGGAGCTCCGAGACGCGGTCCTGCATCGTCTGCCACATCGTCCGGCGGCGCAGCGGGGCCTCCTCGCCCGCGGCGGCCTCCCCCGGCGCGCGCCCCTTGGTCTCGACGGCCTGGTTGACGATGAAGCGGTGCTTGAGGCCGTGCTCGCAGGAGAGCCGCTCGTCCTCGTTCCCGCCGCGCATCTCGTCGAACACCCACGTCGGCGCGCCGTCCGTCGTGGCGTCGATGCTGCGGCTGCGCAGGAGCATCTCGGCGAGCTCCCACCCGGCGCCGCCGTCGCGGTCGAGGATCTGCGTCTGCGAGGCCGGCAGCACGTGGCGGTTGCGGCGCCGCCAGCGCGCCAGGTCGAAGCTGCACTGCCGCATCCCCTCCCCGAACGCCTTGATCCCCTTGGGCGTGCGCAGCGCCGGGACGGCGAGCTGCATGAGGATCAGCCCGACGGAGTAGCTGTCGAACTTGTCGGGCTTGTACTGCGCCCAGAGGAGCGGGCCCATGAGCGCGGCGATCGGCTTGGCTGTCGCGGCGATGTCGGGGCTGTCGATCGGCAGCACGTACTGCTCGGGCGCGCAGTACAGCGGGTCGAGGATGGTCTCGCGCGGCGTGTAGTTCGTGCCGGAGCGGAGGTCCGCGCACGCGCCGAGGTCGATGAGCTTGAACCGCTGCGTCCGCTCGCACAGCAGCAAGTTGGGAGGCTGCGCGGGGCATGGGGGTGGAACACGGAGCGCGTCAGGGCCGGTGGAGCGGGGGGCGCGGTGCGGGGGCGTAGGGCGGGGAAGGTGGGGCGCCGCGGGGAGGGGCCGCGGGGGCGATTGGCGGCAGTTGGTTGGCTGCGCGGCGGTGATTGGTGGGAGGTTGCCTTGACGTCGCGGTGGACGAACCCGGCCTTGTGGAGCGCGGTGAGGTTCTGCATGAGGTGCTTCACGACCGTCGCGGGCACGGCGGCCTCCTTGATGCCCAGGTCGCGCGCGAGCACGGCGAGGCAGTCCCTTCGCCGGAAGTAGTACTGGAGCGTGTTGATGCCCTCGAGGCGCCACACGAGCCAGCGGCCCGCCGTGAGCCGCGAGGACCGCGACGGCGGCTTGTCGACTTCGAGATACCTGCGCCGGCGGGGCCCGGGCGGCGGCGGAGGTCAGTCGGGGCGCAGCGAGGCACGCGGAGTCGAGAAATCTTGACCAAGTTGCGCGCGTGCTTTCCCGAGTGCACGGCCGGGTCCGCACCCCATGAAGTCCGCGCAAGCGCCCGGGCACGCCTGCGTGACGGCCACGTTGAGCGCGTGCTCCATTTCGCCCATTTCCGCGGCGCCAGACACCTGGCCGCGGACCCGCTTGAGCACGACGCGCTCCGAGGTCGTTGTGCCGGCCTCGGGGTCCGCGGACGGCACCTTCAGGACGCCCTCGAACACCTGCGTCCACGTGGCCGCGGGAACTCGCACGTCGCGCGCGCGGTGACACAATGCGGCAGGGCCAGGGCTATGGCAACCGCAATCCACGTTGCGCAAATGCCGCCGCGCAGGGGACGTGCCTCGCCGAAGGAGCCCTGGCCGAGCTGGCGTCGGATCGTGACGTCCTCGGGGTCGAAGCACGCGCCCATTTTACCGCGCACAGCCGCGGAGGCGGCCACCGCCCGCTGTGCTGGCCGCGAGCCGCGCCTCCAAGGGCGCTCCAGGGCCGCACGGCACGGCCGCGGACGCGCCGCATGGCCAAGCGACGAGTTCGGGCGACTAACTGGCCGGGTAGCCGCCCTGCACGGCGTCACGCCCCGCAGCAGCATCCTGTTCCGCACAGTCGTGTTGTGGCGCGCTGGTGATGAGGTCTTGCTCCGCTGCGGCCGCTCCGGCGTCCTCGGCGGCTCAAAAGCTGCTGTCAGGGTAGCCTTTGATCCTGCCTCTCGAAAGGGGCGTGTTTCGGGTCCGAGGTCCTGCGGTAGGGGGAGGAACGGCCGCTTAAAGTGTCCAGCCAACAACCTCATTTCGCGCTCGCTGCGTCGCGGGCGTGCGGGCCACGGCGCGCGCGCGGTGCGCTTGGGGCTCTGTGCGTCGGTGCCGCTCGATCGAGGACCCCGGGGGAGGGCCATTGTCCCGGTTGCGCGTGTCGCCGGCATCGGAGGGTGCCTGGCACAGCATTGGCCGGGCCATCCGCCGCGGCGACGATCGAAGCGCGGATCAGGGGCGTCGCGTAGTGCGAAAACGACGCAATTGGCGCTCTCGGCGCTGCATTACGCCAGATCACGGGCCGGGCAGCGAGCGCCGGCGACAGATGCCCGCCCTGCCCTACGAGTGCGTGGCAGTGCCTCGACACGCACCACACACACCGCGCGACCCCACCACTCACCGGGTACGATACGTATCGACGTAAATACGGACCCGCGAGATCCCGCGGCGCTCCACGGACCGCCGGCCCCTGCAAAAGGGCGTAGCCACGGGCCGCTGCACGCGCCCGACCGCCTGAGAACGCGCTGAAGCACCCGCTCAGCGCGAAGACTGCGGTTCGAGGTTGCCGGGACGCGGGGTGCGCGACCGGCAAAATGCTCCGCTGCCCGCCGCCCGGGTGACCCGGGGGTCGTCTCCGTGACGCCCCGGCAGCGCGGTCCCGACGCCGTGGGCGCCGCCCGCGAGCGCGCGGCGCAGTCTCGCACGTTTTTCGCGACGCGCGCACCTTCTCGTCGGGTCGGGGGCGCGCTCCTCGCACCGCCAGCGTCGAACGAGTCTCGCGTTCATCCAAGTCAGCGCCGAGCAGCCCAGGCAGCGCGGGCCGGCGACGAGTCGCACCGCTTCACGTCCGCTGGCGCAGCCGCAGGACAGACAGAAGGCTACGCTGTCATGACAATGCGCGAGGATGAGGAATATCCGGACCAGGCGAGCGCCCCTGATTCCCAAGGACTCCCCGCGGCCACAGTCGCGCCCGGCGCTGTGGGGCGGCAACGGGGCGCAGAACTCCCGGCACTGGTGCTCGTCACGCGCCGCGCGTGCCCAGGTCGCGGCGTCGTGCCCCGGGCGGCCGTCGGTGGCGACGCACTTGCCCGCTGAGGCCACAGAGCCGGCCCCGCGCCCCGCCGAAGGGCCCAATCCGCGGACCTGCCGCCGAGAGACGTTCCCCGTGATATCTGGGACGTCCTGGCGGGGCTGACGGCCCGGCGCCAGGGCCTCGCGGCGTTCCCGCGCAACCTCTCAGTTTGCCCGGGCTGCCGCCACCTCCCTCAGCGGCGCGCGGCGGCCCCGGCCCGCACCGGCTCGACGGCTCCGGCCCCACGAGGCGCATTTCGACGCAATTCCCGTCCACTCAAGCATTTAGAAGGAGCGGCGGGCGCCCGGACGGGCTGCCACGCGCAACGGCCCGCCTGCTGAGGCTGGGGTCGCACAAAGGGGGTGGCGTCACGACTCGTGCGCCTTCGATGCCGGTCCGCGCAGGTGGAGGAGCGGCTGGTGAACGAGGAGTACAAGATCTGGAAGAAGAACACGCCGTTCCTGTACGACCTGGTCATCACGCACGCCCTGGAGTGGCCCTCCCTCACCGTGCAATGGCTCCCGGGGAAGGAGGTCTCCCCGGACGGCGACTACGTCAAGCAGGCGCGCACTCCCCCCAGAAACGCGCAACTTGGCCCGGTCCCGCCGCCTCGGCGCCGGACACCGGCGCGTCGCGCGCCAGCTGCCCCGCAAGCGAGCGGCTGCGAGAGCGGGGCGGTGGCACGGCCGCCGCCCGCCCGTGCGCGTCCCCGAGCTCGTTGCTCCGGCCGCACGCCGATCCGGCCGGCCGGACCCGATCCCTGACGCCGCAAGCATCCCTGTGTGCAATGCTGCGGTTTTGCGGTTGAACCTCACGCGGGGACACGGCGGGAAGCGCGCCGCGAGGCACGGGCGGCGCGCCGCAGGCTCCTGCGACGCCCGGGGCCGCTCTGGCGCAGCTGCCTCCTCGACGCTCGCGAGCGGCGGCGGGCGTGCTGGCCGGCTGCTGCGTTGCGGGTCGCTGCGACGTTGACGGCCCTCCTGTTCCGCCCTTGCGCGCCGCAGAGCCTGCTGCTTGGCACGCACACGTGCGACAATGAGCAGAACTTCTTGATGCGCGCGGAGGTGTCGCTGCCCACGATCGACACGGAGACGGACAACCGCGCGTACAACGACGAGGACGGCCAAGTCGGGGGCTTCGGGGCCGCGGAGGGCCGCGTGCAGGTCGTGCAGCAGATCAACCACGACGGCGAGGTCAACCGCGCGCGCCACATGCCGCAGGACAAGTTCAAGATCGCCACCAAGACCCCCTCGTCCGACGTGCTCATCTTTGACTACTCAAAACACCCCTCCAAGCCCGAAGCCGACGGTGCGCGCGCTCCCCGGCCCCCGCGATTGCGCGATCGACCCCGCGCCGCCTCCCGGCTCGGAACCCGCGCCTTCGTGCCCGTAGCGCGCTTGTTTGTGTGCTTCAGCTGGCGAATGTGCGGCGTGGTGCTGCTGCTTCGCGCAGGGATCTGCCGGCCGGAGATGCGTCTCAAGGGGCACAAGCAGGAGGGTTACGGTCTGTCGTGGTCGCACCACCGCCCCGGGTACCTCCTGTCCGGGTCCGACGACGCACAGATCTGTCTGTGGGACATCAACCGCGGCGCGGGGAAGCCGAACGGCGTGCTGGACGCCATGTCGATCTACCAGTGCCACGAGGGCGTCGTGGAGGACGTGGCGTGGCACTCGCAGCACTCGCACCTGTTTGGCAGTGTGGGGGACGACCACCGGCTGGTCATCTGGGACACGCGGCAGACGCCCGAGCGCGCGGCGATCATGACGGTCGACTCCCACTCGGCCGAGGTCAACTGCCTCGCGTTCAACCCCGTGAACGAGTACATTCTGGTGACGGGCAGCGCCGACCAGCAGCTGGTGCTGCACGACATCCGCGCGCTGGACCGCAAGCTGCACATCTTCGAGGGGCACAACGACGAGGTCTTCCAGGTCGGGTGGATGCCGGGCCACGAGACGATCATGGGCTCGTGCGGCGCGGACCGCCGGATGCTGATTTGGGACCTGGCACGCATCGGCGCCGACCAGTCGCCGGAGGACGCCGAGGACGGGCCGCCAGAGCTGCTCTTCATCCACGGCGGGCACACGAGCAAGATCAGCGACTTCGCGTGGGACCCCGAGAGCGACTGGGTGGTGTCGTCGGTCTCGGAAGACAACGTGTTGCAGATTTGGCAGGTGGCGGAGGAGATCTACGACAACGCCGACGCGATTCCGGTGGCTGCGGCGGCGCGGGCGGCGGCGGAGAACGCGGCGAAGGCGAGCGAGGAGGCGGCGCGCGAGGCGGTGACGCGGGCGAAGGCGGACGCTGAGACCAAGGGGGCGGCGCAGGCGGAGGGCGCGGCGGGCGGCGGGGAGGGCGCCGGCGGCAGCGGGAACGAGGAGCCGTCCGCGGAGGCGATGGAGGCCGCGGAGGCGCTCGCGGCGCCGCAGGACGAGGACGAGGAGATGGCTGGAGACGAGTAGGACTCCAACCGGGGCTAATGTTCCTTGTAAAGATGAGGATGTGCGGCGATGGCGACAGATAGTACTTCGCTGACCCACAGGCACCCTCACCGCGAGGATGCTTGAGCGACCGAAATGGTGCGGCAGACGAGACTCACTCCACCACGTCGTTGCTCGGCCACCCCTTTCCTTGGTTATCGTGACCTCCGGTGTGACACGTTTGTCACACTGCATGTTCAATACACGTCGTGTCTGCCTTGAAAGTGTCTCTTGCGGGGCGCGCTGCCCGGCCGTTGCCGAGTCATTATGATTCATATTGTATATCTAGGCAGCTTTCAAGCCGCTTCAGCTTCCCGGCCTGCGCTTGTCGTCCACGCACAACGCCTGCAGCGCGTGCAGCAGCTTGAAGCGGTGCCCTGCCCGCCGCAGCACGAGCTCCGTCTTCAGCGCGGCCGTGAACGCCACTGGGTCGTGCGCTGCCGCTGTGCGCAGACCAAGCAGCGCCCCGCCGTCGATCTCCTCGCGCCGCACCGCCGCGGTGAGCCACGGCATCCCGTTGTCCCGCGCCCACTCCTCCACCTCGCTGACGTCCCAGGACACCACGTCCGCAAAGCACGTCTCCGATCTCAAGTTGCTTCTGCCGTGCTCGAGCCGCGCGATGTGCTCGGCGGACCCGCTCGGCACATGGGCGCTCATGTACGCTGGGGCGACGTTCCCGGCCGCGTGCAAGGGCGCCGCTCGGTCGGCCATGTGCGCGTGAATGTCAACCGAGCTCAGCGGCCTGCCGCTGTGGCGCAGGCGCCCCTCTTCGAAGGCCTCGCGGTATCCGTCGCTCTCGTCGTCCTGGCCGGACACGGTGAGCGCGATCGTGTGCAGCAGCGCCTCGAGCCGCTCCTGGCGTGCGCGGCGCGACTGGTTGGCAGTGAACAAATCGTAGTACATCCGGGAGCCGCAGATGACGCCGAGCCAGCCCGACGGCGCCCAGTCTTCCATACGGACGGGAACGATCGGCTTCTTGAGCTGGAAGGCGTACTGCGGACACGGGAGACGCAACCAGCCATGCAGTGAGCGGTTGGGGCCGCCTGGATGATGGCGAGGCGGGGCGGACGTTCACTTGGGGTTGCGCCTGCTCGGCGCTTACCTCGGCCTCGAGCCGGCACGCCTGGCTCTCCTTGTACCCGCGGCTGTAGCAGATGAGCACGACTGAGGCCTCCTCAATGGCACGCGCCATCGCCTCGAGCGTCGATCCCCGCATGCGATCCACGTCGACCCACGTCTCGTACCCGCGCGCCTGCAGCTCGTCCCGCAGCAGCAGCACGTCCCCCTGCGTCTGCCAGTTGTAGCTCAGCATGACGTGGCCAACGCCCACCGCCGCGCTGCGCTGCTCCACGCCCCCCGACGCGAGCGACACCGGATCCGACCACGCCGAGTCCGGGATCAGCGCGTGCGACTGCTCCAGCGAGGACGTTGCCAGCGAGCTGCTGTGCGTCGCCAGCACGTCCCGGAAGTCCGAATCTCCGTCGTACATGCCCAGCGTCCACAGGCACCCCTTCAGCGCGTTCGCGAGGAGCTTGCCGTCCTCGAACGTCCAGCGCGCGGACCTCCCGGCCAGGTCCTGGAGCCGCGGCACGAGCGTCGGGTGCTGCAGCACTGCCTGCCGGTTCTCCTTGAGGAAACAGAGGTTCCAGCACGTGCGCACGGTGAAGCGCTGGACCACGAGCGGCTTGTGGTGCTTGCCCTCGAGGATCCGCGCGATCAGCTCCACGGCGCCGTGCCGCGCCAGCACCGCCTTGTTCGTCTCGTTGATCGACAGTCGAGCCAGCCCTTGCACCAGCTTCCAGACCGTCCAGGTCTGCCCGAGGTGCTCCCTGCCGTCGATCGCGGCGTCGAGCGTGGCGAGGATCTCCACGACGACGGGCTCCGCGATCATGAGCGTCGGGTCGTCCTCCTCGCCCCCGCTCAGACACGCCAGCGCCGTCGCGGCGTGCACGCGGGTCGACGCGTCGCCCGACGACTCGACCATGGCGTGCAGCGCGGAGGGCACGTCCCCGGAAATGAGCTGGGTGTGGTTGTTGCGGTTGTGCGCCAGGTTGCGCAGCACCGCCGAGGCCCGGGCGCAGACGTTGACGCGCGACCCCAGCAGCTCGCGCGTGTGCGCGACCTCCGAGTTCGCGGACCCGACCGCGTCCGCCTGCAGGGAGTGAGCTCGAGCCCGTGGGAGTCGTGACATTGCCGCCGACAGCGCTGTCACGCGGGAAGTTGCGTGAATGCGGGGCGGGCGCGCACCATGGCGGTCTCCTCGTCCTCGACGAGGTGAGAGAAGCGCACGAGGACGGGCAGGAGGCCCGCGTCGATGATGGAGGCGTGCGAGCGGAACGAGAAGGCTGCCATTGCCGCCAGGAGATACAGCATCGCGGACGTCAGCCACGGGTCGTTGCTGTACTTGACTTGCAGCCCCAGGGCGCCTGCTCCTCCGGATGGCGTCCCGAGCTCCCCCAGGAGACGCGCCACGAGGTGCGGGACGCGCTGTTTCGCGAGGTACACCGCCATTGGCTCGTTGCGATATACCAGCGCCTCGAGCGCGCAGAAGGCCGCTCCGAAGCCGGTCTCTGCGAGCATGAGCAGCGCGTCATCCAGACCGGCCGCGCGCGCTGCCGCTTGGAACTTCTTCCGGGAGTCTAGAGTGCCTGTGGGGAACGAAGCAACTGAACAGGTGGGTCACCGGCTCCTGGAGGGTCGCTGAGAGGCGCATTGGATCGTCGAGCGCGCGGAGATTGAACGCCATGACTCTCATGGGGTGCGGGTGAGCAGACATGGAGGGGTCGGGTCGGGACGGACCTGTGCGGACGCATCTGCGCACCCACAGACAGAGCTTGACGGTGTTGGCGCGGTTCACGTTGGTGACGCCCTGGTCGTCCGTGTCGCAGGCGGTCGCGAAGGCCTGCGGCAGGAGGCGGGCAAAAGCAAGCTTGTGAGTTCGCCGCTAGGACGTTGGCTCGTCCAGGATGACTCTAGTGGTGAACCACTCGCGCAGGATCCGCCGAGCGCTGTGGACAGCCAGACGTACCTTCATCACGTTGACATACGGCTCGAGGTCCTCCACCGTCGCCGCCTCTGGCACTTCCCAAGTGATTTCGTCGATGTTGGCCATCGCCACGTCTCTCGCTGCTGAACGACAACAGGGCTCGCGCCGCGGAGAACTGTGCGTCGCTGCCGGGCGGCGAGCGGCCTCGCGTGCTCTCGCCGATGCTCTCGTCCACGGGGCCAGCCCCGGGCGCGCATGGACGCCCCACATGCTGCGCCAGGCTGCGCTCGAGCTCGGGGCGTTTGCCCGCGCAGGCTGGTCTGCTCGACCGTATGCTCAGGGCGTTTGCCCGCGCAAGATGAGGAGGAAGGTGCAGTCTACAGCACGTGCGGATCGCAGCCAGCAGCTGCGTGTGTTAGGACGCGGGTGCCGGGAGAGTGCCACTATGGGACCCTGCACAACGCAAGCGGCGCGACACGGCCTGTCCACGCGTAGTCGCCGCGGCCGACTGTCAGCGTCGGCGCACTGTGCGCCGGGGCGTGCTGGCGCCCCCCGTATGTCTCCTCCCTGACTCCGCACAATCTGGTTGCGTCTGATAGGTCCTACTGTCGTCAGGTACGACACCTCGCTCACGTGGCCCGCGGGCGCGCAAGTCGATCCACCGCCGCGCGCGCGCACACACACAAGCGCCGGCGACTCCCCGGCGCTGCACATCCCACGTCCGCCGCGAAAATGGACCTCGTCACATGAGTACATTGACTGGAGACGCGAATCACGCGTGTGCCTCCGTTGCAACTGGCTTCGTCACGCCCGCGCGCCCCCCCTCGGTCCGCGCGCGCGGCTGCGGCCCGACGATCATGAGCAGCGCGGTGAGGAACGTCAGGCTCCACACGAGGGAGGACGCGAGCGTGCCGACGACGAAGAAGGCCATGCGCTGGAAGAAGAGCAGGCGCGTGGCCACGAGCACAGCCGCGCTGCCGGCCGTGGTTGTGCAGGCGGACACGACCGCCATGCCCAGGCAGCGCAGAGCGTCGCGCGTGCGGGCCTCCCGGGTCGGCGCGGGGCTGTCGATGTACCCCATGACGATGTGGGTGCCGTAGTCGACGCTGCGAGGCACCGCGGGGGAGACGAGACCGGCGATGAGACTGCATCGGCTGATGACACAACAAAGGCAAATGCAATAAATAAGTGTAATGGGTTTGTGGGGCGCAGCGCACCTGAAGCCGATGACGAGGGCGACGGACACGACCTCCGCGAGGCCGAGCTTGTAGCCTCTCCAGGCGACGGCGAGCGAGCCCACCACGGTGCACACGATGCCCGCCACCATGACGGCCACGCACGTCGCCAGCACGAGGCTGCGCGTCAGGAACAGCAGCACGATCCACGCGAAGACGAGGACCAGGAGCATACTGCGCACAAGAGTCGCGACGGGACGGACGAGGTCGCGATCGAGAACGAGACACAGGCAGAACGCGAAGAGAGATCAGAGAAGACAGCAGATCATACATGACTTGACAACCTTTCGTGTAAAATAGCATGGAATCCCGGTCTTTTTCGGTTGATTCCCGGGTACACCGTGGCACGCGGATCCATGCTCTGGCTGGCGCGCACAGGCACCGTCGGGCACTCACTTGAGCTGCGCGAACCGCACGAGGGCGTCTTGCGTCCGCATGACAGCAAACTTGTGCCCGATCAGAACCTTGACGCCCTTCGCCCCGACCGGCGCCTGCGCCCGCAGCCTGTCGCGCACGTGCTCGAGGTCTCGGTACACCGCCTGCGTCTCCGCCGAGGTCTTCGCGTCCGCCCCGAGCACCAGCTTGTTGACGAAGAACGGCAGCACCTTTGCCGGCTCGGTGGCGTTCATGTCGACGACGACGCCCGTCCTGATCTCGTCCGCGAGGTTGTGCGAGCGCCAGAAGAGCTTGACCTCCGCCGCGAAGTCCTCGGGCGACAGCCGCCCCAGCAGCTGCCCAGCGTCTTTCTCGCCCTTGTGATACTTGTCTTGTAAGTGGTCCTCCAGGGCGCGGAAGAAACAGGGGATCGGGACCTCCTTCTCCTCCACCGCGATGATGTTCGTCCGCGGCCGCACGAGGTTGACGCCGTCGCACAGCCCCGACGTGCACGGGCCAAACGCTGGGTCGACCATGGCCCCGCACGCGTAGAGCATGAACCCCTGGACTGAGGGCGACGAAAAGTCGAGGTCCTCGTCCAGCATCACCTGCGCGAAGCGACACGGCGGACGCGGACGGTGCGGCCGAGCGGTGATGAATTCATTCGGTGATGAATTCATTCTGTGTGGGGGAGGCAGGGAACGCACCGTGCCTGGATCGTCCGTGTCCCAGAACGACTTGCCCGTTCTGTCCATGCCCTTGACACCCCACACGAAGCGGACCGTCGTGTCCGCGGGCTTCTCGTACGGCCCACCGCGCCCCAGAAGCGCTAGAAACCTGTTGAACATATGGCTGTCGTCGAAGAACGACTCCTCGAGACGGTTGTCGCCCTCGATCTGCAGCACGTGGGTGGCACCGTGCCACAGCAGCACGCCGAACCCCAGCACGATCGGGAACCGCAGGACGCGCACAAACGTCGCCCAAGGTCCGCCCAAGAACAGCCCGATGCCTGCTCGCGCCGCGTCCGCAGCCCGCGACGTCGCGTGCAAGCATTGCCCCACGCAGCCGCAGCGCGACCCGCCGTGCGGCGCCCGCGCCTGCGCTGCCCGCGGCGCCCCGTCCCCCACCAGGGGGGTGTCTTCCGCATGGTCCCCCCCCTCATCGCCCGCGCCCGCGCCCGCGCCCGCCGCGGGCTTGTCCAGCCCAAACTGCGCCATCTCGACGATGTATGTAGACGCGAGCGGTGCGGGCCGCCGCGCCGCCCAGATCGCGCAGGCCGGCGTCAGCAGCGCGACGGTGCACGCCCACAGCATGCCGAATCCGATGCTGCAGAACGCGCAGAACGACGCCACCGCGACGCGCTTCGTTACCGCCGCGACCGCGAACGCCACCGACGTGCTCAGCGACGTCGCGAACACCGACCGTCCCGCCGCCGCAGCCGCGTGCTGCACAGTGGCCTTCCGCTGCGCTCCCGGCCGCTCCGCCGCGAGCGCCTGGGCGAGGAAGTCGAAGAAGACGAACACGTCGTCGGCGCCGACGCCCAGGAAGAGGAAGACGGCGACGAGGTGCGTCACTTCGAAGTACGTGATTTGTGCTACATAGCGAAAGACAATGTAGGTGAGCGGGAACGCGAGGACGCTCGCGCACGTGCCGGCGAGGGTGACGAGGAGCGAGCGCGTGTGGAAGAGCACCCAGGTCGCGATGCACGCCATCGCGATGCCGGACATGCGCACGTCCTCGAGCGCCGACCGCTCGAGTTCGTGGAAGAAGAGGTTGACCGAGAACCACAAAACCTCGACTTCCTTTTCGTCCGCCGTGCCCGGCGCGTACGCGCGGTACAGGTACGGCGACCGCGGCCACCGCGCCTGCGCCTCGATGCCCGTCACGTTGCGCAGCACGGCGTCGACGTCCCTCTCCGCGTGCCGCCACGTCAGGGCGTTCTGTCTCGACAGGGACTCCCCCGGCTTGAACCCGGGGAGGGGCTGGCCGAACGACAGCTGGGACAGGAGGTGCTGCGAGTGGATGTTGTATGTCCCGAACCCGCGCTGGAAGTACCAGTAGAACCCGTCTTCGAAGTACAAGTCGTCCGTCAGACCGATGCGGTTGGCCAGCATGTCCCACGCGAGGTCGCCCGCGGCCTGCGCGGGGTCCTTCTCGTACACGCCGTACCCGTTGTGCAACGCGCGGACCTGCTCCACCGACCGCGGGAACACGAAATTCGCCAGCGACCTGCAGCGCACAAAAATGCATGCTCAGGTTGTTGTGTCGAGGCACAAGTGGCAGATCGGCGTCGCTGCGTCCCGGTCGCGGAGCACCGGCGCGCGGGGTGGCGTCGGGCTCACTTCGGTCGCCGGCAGCCCTCGTCCCGCCCCCAGCGGTCGTACTTCCGCAGACAGTACTTGTCCCACGACTCCAGCATCAGCGCCGGCTCCTCGACGCGCCTGACGCCCCGCATCTGGTCCCACTGGATCATGTCGCCGCTCTCCGACCTGTACGCGAGGAAGAACCGATCGTCCCGCGGCAGCGACCGCTCCGGCACGTCATCAACGGTGGCGCCGCCCTGGTCGCCCGTCGTGCGCTGCATCCACAGCGCCTCGGCGTCCTTCATCGCGCGGTAGTCCAGGAGCATCTCGTCGCGGCCGAAAATCGCGAAGCGCCAGGCGTCGGGGTCGATGCCCCCCGTCATCGAGGCGATCCCGCTCGACAGCCCCAGCAGGGACACCAGGCTGAGGACGCTGAACGCCCCGAGCAGCACCCGCCACGGCCTGTCGTAGCACACGCCGGCGTACCAGAACATGAAGCGCCCGACCGGGCCGCGAGGAGCGTCCGCGGCGCCGTGCGCGCCCGTGGGGCCGGAAACCATCGGGCAGGAGGTTAGCTGCCTTTACGGGCCGCGCAGGCTTCGCTCCGCACTGTCCATGCGTGGACCGATTTCTTTACGATCTGGTGAAGTCGTGGAGAGGCTTGTGCTTGGCGGCACGGGCCCGCGGGCCGCGCGATCGCGCGGCCCGTTGCAGACAGCACCTGCGCTCTCCCTGGTCACCTCAGAGGGGCCGTGTCGTGGTTTTGTCCCTCAGTGCAGCATTCAGTCTATGTTCGAAAACTGAGGGGTGTTTCTAGTGCGCAGTCGCGCCCGCCGGGGGAGAGCAGCGGGCTTTCTGGCACTCTGGGAGCTTGCGCTCGACGCTCGCGCGGGCGCACTCCGTCTGAGGGGGCGCCTGCTGTTCAGTGACGACTTCCCTGTCCGCACTGCCCGCGCATGCCGACTCGGGGGCGCCAGGTCGCGCGTGGCGGACAGAACGAGCACCCCGTGGGAAGTGGGAAGTACAAGAGCCTGGACTCGCGGCACAACAGGGCGCCTGGGCAGCATTGCGCGCCAGAAACCCGAGACGCCTCTGAGGAGGCGGTCGTTTGATCGTGACAGAGTCGCCCAACGCAGTCCGAAGACACTGCGGGGTGCTGTTGCTGCGTGCGTCAGAAGAGGCCGCGTGCCTGCCGGGCTCGCCGCTCTGAGGTGAGGGCGCCGGTCGTGCGCAAGCTCGAGACTATTGTCGGTCACTCGGCGTGCATCACGGCCTTGACTTCGCTCTACAACGCCCGGCGAAGAGCCTGTTGCGCTGTTGGCCCACGAACGCCTCGTCGCACTTCCAGACGCCGGACAGGGCTCTGCCGCCACTATGACGGCCGTTATTGCTGGGAATACACTGTTTCTACCTTGTCAGTGCACTGTTGCTGTCAGTGAGGGTCGTGCTCCTACAGGAAACGCCGGCCACAGGGCAGGCAAGTGGCTGCCAGTTCCCGCTGAGACGAGCGCCCGGCCCGTCCGCCGCGGCCCCGCAGGTTGCTGTATATCTAGTGAGGATGTCTGTGGGAAGCGTGATTGCGGGCGTCGCCGCCATCATTGGGCGCATCATGGTGCTGGTCCAAGATGACAACGACATGAAGGGCGAAATGAAGTACCTGGTGCCCACCATGGAGCGCCTCCAGGCAAGAACACAAGCGCGCCCGCCCCGCGCACGCGCAACCTCCACTCCGCCTCTGTCCGCCGTGCCGTATCTCACGCAACCACCTTCCACCAATGTGGTCCCGGCCTGACCGCCAGCCGCCGTCGCCGCTGCCCGCTCGCGCAGGTCGTGCTCAACGAGGTCGCCAAGTGCGCCGGGGAGGGCCCCAGGACGGACGACAACGCGGTGCTGAAGACGTGCCTCGAACAGCTGGATGAGACACTCAAGTCCACCGAGAAACTCATCACGCGCTGGAAGAAGTCCTCGACGGTGCGCGCGAGACCCGTCCCCACCGCCTCGTGCGAGCGCAGCCGGGCGGACAACCCCCCCCCCCCGTCGGTCGATGCGATCTGCCGCGTGTGGACGCAGAGGGTCTGCCACAACGCCGCGTCGCGTGCGGTGCGTTGCAGGTCATGCGCGTGATGAAGTCCACGCGCTTCAAGCAGAAGTACTCGCTCCAGATGGCGCGCCTCCAGCAGGCGCTGTCGATGCTGAACGGGGCCAACCTGAACATGAACCGGCAGACCAAGGACGAGGTGGAGAAGGTCGGGAAGCAGCTCTCCACGCTCGACGTCCACATCGACACCAAGATGGAGGAGACGTACGGCCGCGTCGAGGACATGATCGCAGGTCCGCCCCAGCGACGCGCCCACGCTGCGCTGAACCGCGCAGGGACCCGGGGCCGTGCCGCTGCCGGCGTTGCGCTGCATTGCTGGCGCGTGGCGTTGCGTGTTGCTGGTTGCATTTATTGGTATTGGCATTGCTGGCTATACTTGCCATTCTCGACCAACGTTTGTGTATGAGTGGGTGGTGTGTTGCAGAGCGGCTGGGCCCCCAGGCGATCAAGGACGCCCTGGTGGCGGCGGGCTTCATGCCGCAGCACGGCGTCCCGAAGGACGAGCTCGAGCGGGAGAAGTCGGACCTCGAGTCCATGCTCAACGAGGCCAGACTCCAGAAGGAGAAGATGGAGGAAGACCTGCTGTCTCAAATGATGGCCGTCATCGAGATCTCCGACTCCGGCCCGGGCGCGGGCTCCTCCGCGCCCCCGCCCGCGGCCCGCCCCGCCGCCAAGCCCGCGGCGAAGCCCGGCCCCGCCGACGACGCCCAGACGCTGGACTGCGGCATCTGCTGCGACACCTTCACCGCGGAGGGCGAGCGCACGCCGCGGATGCTCCCGTGCGGGCACACCGTGTGCGAGTCGTGCTGTGGCCGGCACTTCATCCGCCACATGGAGTGCCCGCTGTGCCGCACGCCCGTGCAAGCCCGGGGCAAGGCCAAGGAGACGGCCGCGCAGCTCCCGAAGAACTTCTACGTGATCCGGATGCTCGAGGACGAGGCGGGGGGCTCGCGCCTCGCGCGGAAGTCGGCGCGCGCCAAGGCGTCGCCCGAGGCGATCGAGAAGAAGCTGCGCGACGGCGGGATGATCAGCATACTGGAAGACCTCGATCTCATGATCTCCAAGTGCGTCCACGCATATGGATTCCCTTCCGCCGTTCTCTCGCCCCTCGCCTTTCTGCCCCCGCCGCACCGATCGCGCCGCGCTCACACCTAGGCCACGTCGTCGCGCTCCACCGCTCATACGCGCGCAGAACGTGATCGAAAGCGCGACACGCCGCTGTCTCCATCCGCGCACACCGGCCCCTGCCCCAACGCCCCCCCGGCCGCCACACCCGCCGCAGGGAGACGCTCGTGAACTGCGCGGACGAGCTCGGCGTGTTCTCGGTGCGCGACTTCGCGGAGGAGATCGACAGCGACATGCTAGAGGAGCAGGGCATGCGAAAGGTGCCCGCGCGCAAAATCATCCGCGAGGCGCGGCTGCGCGCGGGGCTGGAGCAGGCGACAGAGGAGGAGCGCCGCGAGGAGGCGCGGCGGACCGCGGCGGCGGTGGGGGGGCGCGCCGGCGGCGTGAGCTGCGTGGTGGTGACGTCCAGCGACCTGGCGATCGCGATAGCGAAGGACCCGTTCGGCGGGCTGAAGAAGGACGAGTTCGCAAAGAAGCCGTTCCAGGTGTCGGCGGGCGACCGGATGGACGAGCTGCAGGAGGCTATTCAGCGCGACACAGGCGTGGCACGTGCGTACATCCAACCCCCCCCCCTTTTGCGCGTTTGTCCTGGTCCGATGACGCCGTGCGGTGGCGGAGGAATGTGTGCGTGAAGAGTGCCTTCTTGACGACCACGAACTCGGATCTGCCTCACCGCCAGTGCGCGTTTGTGTGTCATGCAGCCTCTCTCCAGCGGCTGTGGCTGATGGCGCACAGCGGCTCGCAGCTCGTCGTCGACCGCCCCCTCGACGAGCGCGACCTCAGGATGACTGTCGGCGAGCTCGCCGCAAGCAGACACCCCCCGGTGCGTCTCCAACACCCCTCTCGTCACTCACGCACACCCACCGCGCCGCGCCCTGCCCTCCCGCCCCAACACAAAGCACCCCACCCCACGTCCTCCCCGACCCCCCTCGCGCAGGGCAACCTGACCATCTTCCTGGAGCTCACGGAGGGCTACGTGTCCTTCCTGGCGAAGGAGTCCCTGCGGCTGCTCTTCATCAAGACGTACGACCCCGTCGAGCGCTCGATACGCCTCGTGCGCGCCGTCGCCGCCGACGTCAGCGCGCCCGTCGAGTCCATCGCCATGTCGGTCGGCTCATACCTCGCCGACTCCCCCTTCCCGACTTACTCCGCGCTCGGCGCCCCCGGGTCCTCCCCGCACGGCGTCCTCTGCTTCCGCGAGCACCACTCCAATGGCCAGCCCGCCCTCGAGGGCGTCCAGCTCCACGCCTCCATCGGCCACGCGCGGTTCAACAACGGCGACTTCATCATCGTGCAGCAGGCCTCGCACGGAGGCACCGCCGCCGACTTCTTCAACCAGAAGACCGGCCTCCGCGCCACCGTCCCCGACCCCTCGCGTGCATTCGGCGCCGCGCACTCCAGCGGGAACTGGTCCATGGGCGTCTCCTCCCCCATGGGGGGACCTCCGGGGGGGGGTATGTACGGAATCCCCTCCGGTCCCGCGCCCGCGGGCTACCCGTCGTTCCCTGCGCCATTCGGGGCCCCGCCTCCGGGCCGGGGACCGGCTCCGCCCGCGTACGGCTACGATCTGCAGCCACACGGCGGCGACACGAGGGCGGGGCCGCCGCCGCCGGGGATGCCGTACGGCGGCAACGACAGGTATCCCAACATGGGGTATCCCCCTGGCGGCAACCAGCCGCGCGGGGGCGGCGGGCAGCGGTACCCGTCGTACGGTCTGTAGATGTTTGCGTGGTGGCTTATGTGGCGTTTGTGAGCGCGAGATCGATGGGGTCCTGGGTTGAGGTTGCGTGCTGGCTCCGTGGGTGCGAGCAGGGTGCGTGAGGGCTGATGGGCTGCCCGCGTGTGCGCGAGCTCGAGCAGGGGGGCCTGATGCATGGTGCGTCAGACTTGCGTGGCAGTGTGGGTTGCGGCGGCGAGTGGCGGCGGCCGCAGGCGACGCAGACTAGTCTCGACGTGACGCACGGTCGCCTTCATCACAAGGTCGCTGTCGCTCTCTTCAATTACGAGGGTCGCTCTCTGCAAAGCAACCGTCGCACGGGCAGGGCGCTCGACGAGGACGCTCAACCATGTCGGAAAGCGACAAAATCGCGCAGTTCATGCAGATCTCGGGGGCGGCCGATACGGACCGCGCCAGGTTCTTCCTCGAGAGCTCGAACTGGGACGTGAACGCTGCTCTGGCGCAGTACCTCGACGACCCGGGGGCTGCCACGGCGACGACCGCGCCTCCAGGTGTGCCCCACGTCGTACATGCGTCTAAATGGATCGCCTCGGGCGGTCAGCCGCGCATGTCGGCTGGCCGCGGACCCATGCCCGGCCATGAGACCTTGGCCGCACCTAGGCGGGCGTTGCTCCGGCGCTCGCGCACATACCGCGTAGATCTCGGACCGGAGAGGCGTCCTCTTCCCCCGCCACGCCCTCTCTGATCCACGATCCAAAGAAACGCCACCTCGACCCGCAGTCGGCCTCCAGTCCTCCTTGCTCCGCACGCTGCCCAGGCCGCCCTCACTCACCGACGCGCCGCAACCGCTCCCGTGCTCGCTCCTGCAGTATCGGCCGATCCTGCGCCCGCCCTTCCGTCGCTCGTGCCGCGCGCTGTCCGGGAGGGCACGGTTCCCCGCCCCAGCGCCCAGCGCACGGCTCCGCGCGGCCCGCCCGCCGGCGCCGCGCGTCCCGCAGCAGGTAACGCACCCGTCACACCGCACGCCAGCGCCAACTGCCCTTCTCGCGCGTCAACAGAGCAGTCGATGCTGCGCACCTCACTACCAGCTCCCTGGCTGCTGTGTGCAGGAGGGCCCCGCGTGATGGGGCTTTCGGACATCGGCAGCGGCGGTGGCGGCGGTGCGGGCATGGGCGGCTTCCCCGGCCTTCGCTCTCAGTCCCCGGGGGACTCTGAAGACGACTACAACGAATACTACGCAGGTGCAGACCCCTCCACACATTTGCGATCGACAGCCCGCGTACACATGTCCTGAGACGCTCTGACGCTCCGCAGAGCTCACACACAGCCCGCCAAGGCCGCACGGCAACGCAAACACCGCCCCTGTGCCAGCGCACAACCTCAGCTGCCACGCGCCCCACCTTGCTCCGCAGGCGGGCAGGCCAGCGGCGTCGCAGTGCAGGGCCGCCCCGAGGGCGGCCGCCCCGAGGGCGAGAACGTCGACGAATACTTCGACCGCGTCCGCCAGCAGCAGTTCGCGCGCGACGGCACCGACGAAGACCTCGCACCGCGTCGGCCGGGCGCCTTCCAGGGGCGTGCACACAAGCTCTCGGCGCCAGACGACGCGCCCGAGGAGGCGCCCGTGGCTCCGGCACCGCAGCAGGGCCCGCAGCGTCGCGTGATCACGTTCTGGGCCAACAACGTGTTCACTGTGGATGATGGCGAGCCCCGCAGCGTGGAGGACCCCTCCTCTATCGCGTTCTTGAACGACATCGCGGCGGGGCGGGTGCCGCGCGAGCTGCTGCAGGGAGGCGGGGAGGTGGACGTGCATTTGATGCGCAAGCCCGAGGACTACGTGCCGCCGAAGGGCGCCAAGGTAAGGGGGGGAGTTTGGGGTGTGTTGTGGCACAGCGAGGGAGGGAGTGCCGTGTTGCGTGAGTGTGCCGGCGTTGCGGCGCTGACTTCTTCTGCTGTCGTGGTGGCGGCGGTGCATCGCACCGGCCACAGTTAGGCCGCACAACGACATGTGTTTGTTTCATGATCCTGTGTTCATTTATTCATCATACACAGCCTTCTTGAACTTGCGGGCCCCCTCTCTCGCGCGGCCGGGCTCGGCAGCAGTGCGGTGCATCGTCGTGAACATCGCGGTCGACCTCACACCCCCCCTCGCCGTCCGTCTCTGTGCAGGCCTTCAAGGGTGCGTCAAACAAGCTCGGGGGCGGCGGAGAGGCCAGCGGGTCCGGGGCAGCCGTGGCCGCGGAGAACGCGGTCGCCGCAGGTGGCGAGTGGGAGGGCGCGGACCCCAACAAGCCGACGACGAAGCTGGCGATCCGCATGGCTGACGGCTCGCGCATGCAGGCGACGTTCAACCTGTCGCACACCATCGCTGACGTCAGGCGGTTCATCGCGTCCGCGCGGCCCACGGAATCGACGGTGTACGGCCTGCGCGGCGGGTTCCCGCCCAAGCCGCTCAACGACAACGCGCAGACGATCGAGGCCGCAGGCATCGCAGGCGGGACGGTCATCCAGACGTCGTCGTGACGCGGCGGGCTGGCGGTCGCGCATCGGGAGTCGGCGAGAAGGAGGTGTAACAATTAAGGAGCGAACGTGCCTAGTGGTGGCCCTGACGCCGCAGGCCTGTGCACGCGCACGGCTTTTCGCGCTGACGGGTCGTGGCTCCGCGGACCGCATTCCGTGCGAGAAATCGGCGACTCTGAGCTCGTTTGACAAGACAGGAATGCTCATCAGGGGCCCGCATTCGGTTCTCCGCCCGGAGGACACGTCTGCCTGACCATGCAATTACACGTCGTCGAACTCGTACTCTTCGGGATACGCGTCTAGCTGCTGCTGTTCCAGCCCGCCCCTGCCCGCCTGCACCTTCTGCAGCTCCGCCCTGCTTTCCCGTGCCCGCTGATGCATCAGCGCCCCCAGCCCCTGCAGCAGCGCTGTCACGCGCTCTCGCGCGCGCAGCTCCGCCTCCAAGCTCTCCTCCACCTCCTGTGTCGCAGCGGTGGGGCATGGCTGCGTCGCGACGACACGCGACGCCGCAGATCCAAAACACGCCGTGCAGCTCATTGTGCACGCACGTCGCGGATTGTGCGCTCGCTCGGCGAGTCAAGACCCACGTATTTTGAGCACGTCGCGATGGTCATCGTCCGCCGTACTGTCGCGTCGTCGTTTGCCGCTGAGGGGGGTGTATGGCACATGCAAACAACATCGAAGTGGCGCGTTTTTCGGAACTCAGCGGCGCGGCAGGTTGTGGGACACGCACCCTGAGCGCCTCATGCGCTTCGTTGACCTGCGCGGCGTGGTACGCGCCGTCCGCTTTGCGTTTCGCGGCCCCCGCTTGTTGTTCGTGCTTGCACACGTCCTCCAGCGCCCTGGCTATCGGCCGCATGACGTCCACCGCAGTGGCACACTCGATGCTCAGAGATTTGTGCGGACTCCCGGGTGGCCGCGGCGCGTCCCTGGCTGCGGCCATCTCTCGCTGGAACGCCTCCCCTGTGCGCACCATGCGGGAAATGGCCGGAATCTCGTCAGGACGGGGCCGCCACGGGAGCACGGAAGGACGCGTGACGGGGCGAGCTGCATGTGCGTCGTCTGGATCCGTTGGCGCGTGCGTCTCACCGGGCGCAGGGGGCGGTGCTGCAGGTGGAGCGGGAGGTGTGTGTGTCGGGGCGCGCTGGGTGGGCGCGGCCGGTGCCGCCCTGGGCTGCGCCTGGTGCATGCTGGTGTCCTTGAGCATCTTGATCAGCGCCTGCGTGCCCGAGTTCCCGAAGAGCTGGCGCTTCACCCACACGTCGACCGTCCGCTGCACTTTCGCTCGCACTGCGGGGTCCGCGCTCTTGAGAAGGCCACGCGTGCGGCGCATCAGCGGCCTGCAATGCAACCCAGTTCGACGACCATGGGTTGCGGCAGCAGATGGCACCGTTGCGGCACGGGGCGCGGTGTTGAGAAAGAGCCTGCAGTCGAGAGTGCGCTGCTGCGCGTGGTGGCAAGCACTCACTCGTAGAAGCTGCTGCAGTAGTCCTTCAAGTTCTTGGCCGCCGCTTTCTGTATGACATCGTTGGCCAGGTAAAGCAGGCTGACCTGCGCCTGCGGAGAAGAGCGCCCAAACTCCTCGTCCCATATCCTCACGACGTCGGAATGCCTGCGACCAGCCACGCACGCCACATCTCGGTCAGGCACATCCTCACGCGCCGGTGCACGGCGCCTTCGCCGCTACCAGCACGCCCCGTGGGCGCTCAACCGACCAAGTGAACATCACAAGGCGGCCAGACGTCGCACGCGGGGCGCCGCGCTCACTTGTTCTTGAAGAACATGCAGTGAGCCGAGAGCCGCTCGATAGAGTCCTGCGTGGCCTTCAGCCCGCGGAACTTGTCGCGGAGAGCTTCCTCCTTGAGTGCCATCGAGCACAGACCACCTCCGAAATCGCCGCCGGGCGCGCGCTGGCGGTACCGGAACTGGCCTCTCGCAGGTCCGGCTCGATGCAGACGAGCCCGCGGGCGGCCGTCGCGGCTGGGCCATGGTAGAAGCAGCGTGGTGGTCAGGGCGCCCGTCGCACCGCCGTGGGGGCGCCCGCGGGGCGTGCTTCGGTGCGTGGCGGCCTGCGTGGGACGCAACAGTCCGTCTAGGCCGAAGAGGAGTCTCGTTTCGCGCCGAGCAGAGAGGGCGGCGATAGGGCGGGAACCAGAAACTGCTCGCCGGAAGGCTCTCGCGCGGGCTGCTGAGGGGCCGAACTCGCACGCGATATGATTCCGAGGGGCCCGTAGCACGTTCGGTCTGGTCTTCGCATCAACGCGGCGCTCAAGGCCACGGCGGAAGCAAAAGCAAGATGAATGATCCTTTTCGCATCTCCAACGGCGTTTCGGCCGCCGTTCCGCCGGCGCCAGGGTTCGTCCGTCGCCTCTCTGGCTCAGAGACGCGTCAGGAATGCATGGCGTGCGGCGCGCCGGCCGCCGTCGAGCTGTTGTACGGCCCTGGCGAGGCAGGCAGTAGTGAGCGCCTGCAGCTGGGATCCGCGGTCAACGTGGCGGGACGAGCACTGCTCTGCAGCGTGGAAAGCGCCGAGCAGCTGCGGAAGCGCTTGGAGGACCAGCGCGAGGCGCTGGCGAAGAGGTCTCGCCCGGTAAGTTGCTCCCCTGGGTGGGAACGCTGCTGGCCGGCGCAAGCGAGCTCGGGGCACGACTCCGCCGGCACGACTCGCCGGAGAGCAAGATTCATGTCTGGGTCGGGGGCGGCTTCGAAGCTCACGCCGCGTCATGGGTCCGTTCTGCGGAAATTCTCTGCGCAGCGTGGGGATGCCGCCCGTCCGACGTGCAGGAGCCGCTCTCGGCACCGCTGCTCCGCTGCCTCCATCTCGCCTCTCTCACCGCCGCACCGCGTGCCCGTCTTGCCTCGCAGGGCAGCTCGCCGGAGCCGCGCGCACATAATGTTTCAACCCAGGACGAGGGGGCTCAGCGCAACGGTCCCTCCGCCGAAACCGTCGAGGGAGAGGACCCGTTGGTGCAGCGCGTGGTCGGGCAGGTCGAGTGCAACGCGACGCAGGAGCACCGCCCGCACGGGCAGCAACTCGCCCCGGCACTCAGTTTGCCGTTGGAGGCAGACACGCCGTCTGAGGCTGGTGCTGCGTCCGAGGTTTCTTCCGAGGACGACATCGCGGAGCTCTTCGCGCCGCAGCTGCAGGCCACGCCCGCGCGGGCCGCGAAACGGAAGCACTCTGCGAGCCCTGCTCCGTTGCCGTGGAGGGCGCCCTCCCGCCAGCGCGTGGCGCCGTCGCTGGCCGAACGGCTTCATGATATTCAGGATGAACTACACGAGGTGAAGGAGGGCCGGCGCACGAGTGAGGCGAACTTCATCGTCAAAAAGGCCCTGCGCGCCGTGCTCGATGTGCTGCCCGACGAGGCCTGGGCGAGGCCGCTGGTCGATCGATCAGCGCGCAGCCTAGGCGCACAGAGCTTCGTGAACCCGGGCGGCGCGGTCGAGCAGGTGAAGCAGACGGGCGACTTGGAGAATTCAGAACTGCGGGATCTACAAGAGCTCCTGGTGAGAGCCCTCGCGCATGCATGAGAGGCCCGCACCGTTGACACATCGACGCGTGTATTGTCGGCCCGCGTGTATTGCGCCCTGCTGCCAGAACGCGGGCGCGACGCGGGAGGAAGCGCGTATGATGCTTTGCAGCGGCTGCATGGGTTCAACGAGCCACGCGACGCCGCGCCGTTCCTGGAGTCGATCGAGTCGAAGCTGCGGGCGGATGCGTTCAAGCGGGGGTGGCTCACGCGCGAGCCGGACTACGTCCACACGAAGCGCTTCATTTGGCGGGAACAACTCATTGCCGGGTTCCCGGACTGGGCGGGCGCCGCGGAGTCCGCGCTGGCTCTCTTGGAGGCACTGGATGTGGACGGGTCTTTGTCGGAGAATGGTAAGCTCGGGTTCTCGCTCGCGGAGAAGCACTGTCGCCTGGGGCGCAAGAGCTGGGCGGAGCGCTTCGCACGCGTCTGGCGGCGCATTCGCTGGACCTGGGACCATATCCCGTGCTCGGCATGTCGACCCGGCATCGGGCCGCGCTCGAGGGAGTGGGCGGCGCGCATCGAGAGGGCGAGAGACGAGTGCGACATCGAGGCGCTGAAGAGGGGCATCCTCTGGGTCCTGGACGAGGCGCTGCGGCCGGGCGCGCGGGTGCGGAAGCGGATCCCGTCCGAGATGGAGGGGCGCAAGCCGAAGGTGAAGCCGAGCGAGCTCAAGCGGCTGCAGAAGTGGACCCAGGCAGAGGTGCGCACTGCAGCGTCGAGCTGCCCTGCTCGCCGGTCATGAATCCGATACGACAGTCCACGCGCATACCGCAGCGGCCGCCCCGACCATGCGCCGCGCAGCCGATCGCCCCCCGCTCTCACACATGCGCCGCAAAACGTCGATCTCGCCTGGGCTGTTCTTGCGACCACACGCGACTTGCGCGTCGCCGTGCGGCTGGCCTCGCAGGAGCAAGAGTGGCGGAGGAACCTCCGCGAGTGCCGCGGTCCGATCCGTCTCGGGAACCTCGTGTGGCAGCTCGACACAAAGCACATGGACTATCAGGAGTATGCGTCCTCCGATGACGACGACGACGACGACGCGCCCCGCCGCGTGAGCTTCTGGCTGGCGCCCACGAGGCCGGGGTCTGAAGCCTCCCCCGAGCGGAACACGGACCGCAGCGGCCCCGGGGGACCGTCGAGCGGCGCGGCAGCACGGATGGAGAGCGAGGGCGTGGTGGACGACCGGTCTGAGAGGGCGGGGGGCGGCGGTACCGGGGTGGACGTTCCGCGCGTGAAGACGGAGCCGCAGGACGCGCTCGGCGTGAGCGGCGCGCCCGGAGGGCAAGCTCCACTGGGTCAAGAGCACGTGGGCGCTCTGGGCGGTCGGTGCGGTGCCGCCAGCTCGGCCACGCCCCCCCGCGGAGCCGTGGCCGGGCTGCTGGCGGCGAGAGGGCTGCTGAAAAGGGGCTCGGTTGCGCCGGCGGGCCAGGAGGCTTCGGGGCGCGGGGACGAAGGTCCGTCTGAGGTGGAGCAGTCGGGCAGGGCGGACGCCGCGGCGCTAGGGGCACCGAAGATGCGGGCGCGGAAGTCGACGCTGGGCCCGCGGGACGAGCTGCCGAGGGAGAAGATTGCGAAGGCGCGCAAGTCCGCGGCAGCGTGGAGCGACGTGAAGCTGGAGCGGCTGCGGAAGAAGATCGAGGCGCTGGAGAAGCGCGTGCCGAACGCCAGGAAGAAGAAGAGACTGCGGCCGCGCGTGGTAGAGCTGTGGCCGCCGGGGCACGCGTCGGACGGCGAGCCGTGCATGTCGCCGCAAGACAACTGGTCGGCTGATGCGCCGGACACAGAGTCGGACGACGACTCCGCGCACATTGTGGTGAGAGGACGACGCGGCCGCGGCGTTTGCACCTCTCGGTTTCTGCTCCCTCTCAAGCGCACTTGTATGCAGGAAACAGTATTGAATTACTGTCGTGTTTAGTTTGTTCTCATGGTCTTGTTCGGTGTGTGTGGCCGCAGATGAGCGACGAGGATCCGTGCGACGTGCCGATCTTCAGGCTCGGCGCGGAGGTCCGCAAGCGCGCGGTGCCGTCCGCCACGTACACGTGGCAGGCAAACATCACGTGCACCGCGCTACCCAAAGACGTCGGCTACGAATACTACATCCCGTTCAACGTGTACTTGGAAGACGTGCAGTCTGACGCGGACGACGAGAGGGAGTCAGGGGACGACCGGCGCGGCGGCGGCGGCGTCGGGGGGCCCGGTCCGAGCAACGGCGGGGCGCCAGGCAGCCGCAAGCCACGTGGGGGGCGCGGGGGAGGCCGTGGGGGCTCGGGACACTTCCCAGGGCGATCCGCGCCGCGCACGCGCCCGGCGAGTGGCGCAGGGGCATCGAAGGGGAATGGTGGCGTGCGACGGCGTGTGTGCGGGGCGGCGACGGTGGCGGAGGTGGAGCCGTCTGTTGTTGCGTCGTCGGAGAAGCGCGCGGGCGCGGCACCGCGGCGGCGTGTTCGCAAGAGTCTGCAGCGGCCGCAACCGGGTCGGGACGCGCGAGAGCTCGGTGCGCAGCCGCTTGGCATGTGGCACGCGGGGGGCTGTGGGAACGCATTGCCCCCCCTGGCAGGCCCAGGGGTCGACGCGGTCGGCGGCGTCGCGACGGCCGTCGCTGCGCCTGCTGCCGCCGTGAATGTGCTGCCATTCCAGCCCGGCAAGCTCGCGGCGCTGCCGGCGTCGGTGTCGGCGAACACGGTGCACTCGGACGACACAGTGATGCAATGCGCGGCGGAGGATGAGGTCGGCTCTGCGGAGACGCTGGCGACGCGCACCACGTCGGCGCCACCACCAGCGGCACCGGCTGCGCACTACTCAGCGGCGGGGGCCGCTGCTGCTGAAAAGCTTGCCAGCGTGTGTGCGCGCACTATGAAGACCACGCAGGAAGGAACACGCCACGCGACGACCTCACCGGGCGCCGGCGGGCAGAGCGGCACGGGCGCTGCAGCGGGCGGGGGAGACGGCGGGTCGGCTGCGCGTGCTCCCGCCAATGGCAGCAGCGGCGGCGCACCTGGCGGTCAAGGCGCAGGGGGCAGCGCGCAGCCTCGAGGGGGAGGCGCTAGAGCAGGCAATGTCGGGGAGGCGCCTGCGTCCGAGCAGGAGGAGCGCGGCAACCCCTACTGGGTCAACGAGAACATGGCAGTCGTGTGCATTAGCTCTTCGTCTGAGGACGAGGCTGCAGGGACGGCCCGAAGGCGCGGAGAGGGGCCGGCTGGCGGAGGGCAGCCGAGCCGGCGACAGGTGCCGCCCGTGGTGGTGGTGACGCTGTCGGACACTGATGAGGAGATGGAGGGCGCTAGCGACGCGCCGGCGACGCGGGGGGGGGGGACGGCGCCAAGGCCCGCCGACGCCGAGGTCGGCGCGGCGCCGGCGACCATGGCGGCGCGGGAGGCACCCGCGGCGGCGGACGAAGGTGTGTCGGGTCAGGGCGCGGCGAATGCCCCCCCTCGTTTGCGAATGCTCCCCTTCATTCGCCAAGTGCCGTCGCTGGTTGCCAAGACGGCACGGACGCCGCTGCCGCCGACGAGACGCAAAGTGGCGAAGAATGTGGGTCTGGAAGCGGGCCTTGCAAGCCTGGGAAATCCGATCGAAGTTGACGACCGCGACAGCGACGACGATGGAAACAGCCACCGGGGCGAGCAGGGTCCAGCCATCGGCGGCGCTGGTGGAGGTGGCGGCAATGCGCGTACGCCTGATACTGCTTCTGATCGCGAGCAACAACTGGCCAAGAAGACTGCGTGCGGCACAGTGGATGTGCGCAAGGGCGCCAGCAGGAACTCTCCCGCAGAGCGCGACGGACACGACGACAGCCGAGCTGTGTTGCCCGACTGCGTTGCGACGGAGAGAGCAGCGGCGGGCGGCAGCAGCGGGGACGACGAGCTTGGCGAGGACGGTGGGACGGGCTACGGTGCGACGAGAACTCCCCGGCGCCGCATGTTCGCAGCGAAGACAGCGCGAACGCCGGCGGCAGAACCGGCCCCGGGCAGTCCTCGGCGCTATCCCCTCGTCACCAAGGCGGCGCGGGGTCCCCCGGCTGTGGCAGCGCGGCAGGGGCCCGCAGCAGAGAAAGACGCGCCGGTCCGGGGCGCGGCCAGGTCCCCGCAGCGCTACATGCTCGCCACCAAGGCGGCGCGGACGCCGCCGGCTGGACCTGTCGCGGAGGACGACGGGGCCAGGTCCCCGCGGCGCTACATGCTCGCCACCAAGGCGGCGCGGACGCCGCCGGCTGGACCTGTCGCGGAGGACGACGGGGCCAATACATCTGGAGACGGCAGCGGGCATCAGAGACGAGTGACGGACCAGAGAGACTGGCTGCCGATGCGCATCCCTGCACCGGGCGGTATGCGGTTCGCAACGAAAGCGCCCCGACCAGCAGCACAGGCCGCTGACCCAGCAGGCGGGAGCAGCAGCGACGAGGACAACAGCGGTGGGGACTCTGGGGCGGAGGCTCAGGCTGACGATGCGCGCCTGACTGCGCGGCGAATGCTTCCCGTCGAGGACGACGAAGACGGCAGCAACGCGGACGGGTCGCCGAAACGCCCTCCGTCCCCTGGCGCCCGCGTCCTCCCAGCGCCCCCTCCTCCCGTCGACCTGTGCGAGGAGATCGACGTTTCAAGCAGCGAAGAGGGCGACGACGAGCTCTACGACCGCAAGGTGAAGCTGTCGGTGGACGTGGAGCGCGAGGACGGGTCCCAGCCGCTCTGCACTGAGTGCGCACGGGTGCAGCCGACGCTGATGCGGGCCGACGGGACGCATCTGTGCGTGGCGTGCGCGCCGCGGTGGCTGCGGTCGACGGCCGCTGAGACGGCGCAGAGCTGCTGTGTCTGCCGTCACGCACGCGTGTCGCCTAGCTGGATCAAGCAACCTGTCGGGAGCGGCCTTGTGTGCATGCACTGCGCTTGCATGACGTCGGCGCTCCTGCGGCGCCGCGAGTGTGCGTGTGGCGCCACGTCCGACGCGGCCGAGGACGGGCGCGCGCACGTGGCGCTGACGGACGACGGGGAGGCCGGGCAGTGGGTGTGCGACAGCTGCGTGGACGCGGTCCCGCGGCCGCCGGGGCCGGGGTGCCTGGAGTGCGGGCGCACGAGCAGCAAGGGCTGGGTGCCGGATCCGCTGCGGGTGCTGCGAGGCCAGCCGTGGGGCCCGGATCGCCTCTGCATGGAGTGCCTGCCTGAGGCGGTGCAGAGCGCAGTCTGCTGCTACCGCACATTGCTGAGTCAGAGACTGTCTGATGCGAAGAAGCCAATGTCCCTCGCGCTCACGGCCCGATACCGCTTCATGGCGGCGAACCGCGAGGAAGCGGCCGCCCAGCTGGGCTCGGAGGGACCCGGCGGAGGAAACATCACGAGGGTGCTGCACCAGATGTGGAACAAGCTGAGCGAGTCTGAGCGGCAGGAGTGGATCGCGCGGGCAAGGAAGGATCGGGAGAGGCAGGTGGAGCTGCGCGAGTCGTCTCCCGGGTCCGGTTCCGGCAGCCACGGCAGTGGTCCGTCGGATGTCGCGCAGGGCGCAGCGAAGAAGCTGCCGCTCAATCACGCTGGTGACGCGGCGGTCGCTTGCCCTGGGTGCGGCGAACGCGCGGCGTCCACGCTGGCTACGCGCACGAAGCACTTGAAGCCGCTGTGCGAGGCGTGCGTGCGCGCGTGGGTGGAGGTCGTGTGTGGGGGTCTGGTGTGCTCTCAGTGCAGCGCCCGGGTCGACTGGGACAAGGTGAACAAGGAGAACAAGGAGGCGATCAACCCAGGCGATGGTCGCGTCGTCTGCATTGGCTGCGCGCCGGGCACCGGGCGCGCGAAGCGGCAGTGCCGCCTGCAGCAGCCATCTGGGCTGCAGCAACCGGCGGCGAGGCACCGTGCGCGCGGGAACGACGGCCTTCCGGGGTGCATCTGCGACAAGATCCGCGGCGAGGACACCGGCGTCGGCAAGGCTGGGGAGGCGTTCAGGCTATGGAAGTTGGACAATCCTGACACGTGGTTGGCGCAACACGCCGACTGCCTGTGGGAGGCGATGCTGTTGACGGACTGCATGCCGCCGACGCGCCTTCAGGTCGAGCGCATCCCGGGCAAGGGCTGGGGCCTTGTCGCGCGCGAGGCCATTCCCAAAAACAGCTTCGTGATGGACTTTGGCGGAATATTGATGGCGGAGGACAAGGTGCTCGAACACGACGCGCAGGTGTCGTACCGGCGGAGCGTGCACTCGAACAACTTCGAGATCTGGTCGCGCGACGTGTCGAAGAAGCTCATCCTGGTGCCCACGCGGTATGGCAACGCAGCGCGTATGATGAACCACGCCTGCGCGGACGGGACGATCGACTCCGGGTACCAGAACCCGTGTCCGCGCGCGATTGAGAAGCTGCAGCGGCTCGCGAAGGAGCTGGGCATCGATAGCGAGAACAAGCGGGCCGATCCGAACAAGATCCCGGAGGGGGGTATTGTTCCGCCTTATACCTACCTGAGCGCGGCGGACCACATCGACAGGTTGCGCCGGCTCGGGACGGGCAGCGTGCTTCCGGACCTTGACAAGCTCCGGGAGGACGGCCGCGCCACGGGGTGCCGCGCGGCGCTCCGGAAAATCAACTGGGAGGCCAAACCGGTGTTTTTCACGGTGACGGACGTGCCCGAGGGGGCGGAGCTGGTGTACAACTACAACATGAAGCTCGACGACGGGCGGTCGCAGCACGACGTGGGGAAGAAGCGCTGCAAGTGCGGCGCACCGGGGTGCAAGGTGTGGGTGCTGTAGTGCAGTACCGCGGGGGCTCCCAGGCCTCGCGCTGGTCGTACGGTGCTGTGAGACGAAGCTTGGCGTGCTGCGGTCTGTCATTCACGAGGCGTCGGGATCTGAGAAGGTCGCAGCGCGAAGTGGCAGTGCATGTTGTTGCGTGTTATTCCACCTGATGTCTGCGTCTGTTGCGCGCCCGAGTTCGACACCTTGGTCTGCTGCTGGTCACAATCTGTGGGTTCGTGGCCCTTCGCCGTCCGCGCTCCCTGCACGCCACGCAACACATGCAGCCCCAAGCACGGAACACCTCTTCACGTGCAGAACCTCATCACGCGCCAGCACAGCAAAAAGACACGCTCGCACCGTCACGTCGCGCCTCGGCACGGAGACGTGCGCCGCCGGAGCGCACGACGCAAGTTGTCGGTCGCAGCCAAGCAGCAGCAACAGGAGAGGAAGAACCACCATGTACGAGTCAGCCGTACCTCCAAAAGCACCGCCGGGCGTGGGACGCGCGGAGGCGGGTACCGGAACTGGCCTCTCGCAGGTCCGGCTCGATGCAGACGAGCCCGCGGGCGGCCGTCGCGGCTGGGCCATGGTAGAAGCAGCGTGGTGGTCAGGACGCCCGTCGCACCGCCGTGGGGGCCGCCCCCCCGGGCGCCCGCGGGGCGTGCTTCGGTGCGTGGCGGCCTGCGTGACATGGCAGTGTGAGACATCCGCAGCGGCTGGGGCAAGCCGCCCTGCTTGCCGCTCAGCGGAGGGAGTGGGGGGCGAGAAGGAGGTGCTCGCCGGAAGGCTCTCGCGCGGGCTGCTGAGGGGCCGAACTCGCACGCGATATGATTCCGAGGGGCCCGTAGCACGTTCGGTCTGGTCTTCGCATCAACGCGGCGCTCAAGGCCACGGCGGAAGCAAAAGCAAGATGAATGATCCTTTTCGCATCTCCAACGGCGTTTCGGCCGCCGTTCCGCCGGCGCCAGGGTTCGTCCGTCGCCTCTCTGGCTCAGAGACGCGTCAGGAATGCATGGCGTGCGGCGCGCCGGCCGCCGTCGAGCTGTTGTACGGCCCTGGCGAGGCAGGCAGCAGTGAGCGCCTGCAGCTGGGATCCGCGGTCAACGTGGCCGGACGAGCACTGCTCTGCAGCGTGGAAAGCGCCGAGCAGCTGCGGAAGCGCTTGGAGGACCAGCGCGAGGCGCTGGCGAAGAGGTCTCGCCCGGTAAGTTGCTCCCCTGGGTGGGAACGCCGCTGGCCCGCGCAAGCGAGCTCGGGGCACGACTCCGCCGGCACGACTCGCCGGAGAGCAAGAGTCACGTCTGGGGCAGGGGCGACTTCGAAGCTCACGCCGCGTCATGGGTCCGTTCTGCGGAAATTCTCTGCGCAGCGTGGGGATGCCGCCCGTCCGACGTGCAGGAGCCGCTCTCGGCACCGCTGCTCCGCTGCCTCCATCTCGCCTCTCTCACCGCCGCACCGCGTGCCCGTCTTGCCTCGCAGGGCAGCTCGCCGGAGCCGCGCACACATAATGTTTCAACCCAGGACGAGGGGGCTCAGCGCAACGGTCCCTCCGCCGAAACCGTCGAGGGAGAGGACCCGTTGGTGCAGCGCGTGGTCGGGCAGGTCGAGTGCAACGCGACGCAGGAGCACCGCCCGCACGGGCAGCAACTCGACGAGAACCACAGTGCACCGCGTGAAGCCACACCGTCGGAGGACGGCGCGGCGTCCGAGGTTTCTTCCGAGGACGACATCACGGAGCTCTCTGCACCGCAGCTGCAGGCCACGCCCGCGAAGCCCCGGCCTGCGCAGCCACTGTACCAGGAAATTACTTCGCCGTCAGACACGTCGTCGTCGGAGGACGGCGCGGCGTCCGAGGCGTCTGGCGAGGGCAACATCGTGGGTCTCTTCATACCGCAGCTGCAGGCCACGCTTGCGAAGCACGACCCTGCGCAGGCCACGCCCGCGCGGGCCGCGAAACGGAAGCACTCTGCGAGCCCTGCTCCGTTGCCGTGGAGGGCGCCCTCCCGCCAGTGCGTGGCGCCGTCGCTGGCCGAACGGCTTCAGGAGATTGCGGGCGAACTGCACGAGGTGAAGGAGGGCCGGCGCACGAGTGAGGCGAACTTCATCGTCAAAAAGGCCCTGCGCGCCGTGCTTGATGTGCTGCCCGGCGAAGCCTGGGCGATGCCGCTGGTCGATCTGCGCACATTTCGCGCGCAAAGGGTCGTGAACCCGGGCGGCGCGGTCGAGCAGGTGAAGCAGACGGGCGACTTGGAGAATTCAGAACTGCGGGATCTACAAGAGCTCCTGGTGAGAGCCCTCGCGCATGCATGAGAGGCCCGCACCGTTGACACATTGATGCGTGTACTGTCGGCCCGCGTGTATTGCGCCCTGCTGCCAGAACGCGGGCGCGACGCGGGAGCAACAAGCGCGTCTGATGCCTTGCAGGCGGGGCACGGGTTCAACGAGCCACGCGACGCCGCGCCGTTCCTGGAGTCGATCGAGTCGAAGTTGCGGGCGGATGCGTTCAAGCGGGGGTGGCTCACGCGCGAGCCGGACTACGTCCACACGAAGCGCTTCATTTGGCGGGAACAACTCATTGCCGGGTTCCCGGACTGGGCGGGCGCCGCGGAGTCCGCGCTGGCTGTCGTGGAGGCGCTGGACGCGGACGGGTCTTTGTCGGCGATCGGCAAGCTCGGGTTCTCGCTCGCCGGGACGCACTGTCGCCTGGGGCGCAAGAGCTGGGCGGAGCGCTTCGCACGCGTCTGGCGGCGCATTCGCTGGATTTGGTGCCAAATACCGTGCTCGGCATGCCGTCCCGGCATCGGGCCGCGCTCGAGGGAGTGGGCGGCGCGCATCGAGAGGGCGAGAGACGAGTGCGACATTGAGGCGCTGAAGAGGGGCATCCTCTGGGTCCTGGACGAGGCGCTGCGGCCGGGCGCGCGGGTGCGGAAGCGGATCCCGTCCGAGATGGAGGGGCGCAAGCCGAAGGTGCCGCCGAGCGAGCTCAAGCCCCTGCAGAAGTGGACCCAGGCAGAGGTGCGCTCTGCAGCGTCGAGCTGCCCTGCTCGCCGGTCATGAATCCGATACGACAGTCCACGCGCATACCGCAGCGGCCGCCCCGACCATGCGCCGCGCAGCCGATCGCCCCCCGCTCTCACACATGCGCCGCAAAACGTCGATCTCGTCTGGGCTGTTCTTGCGACCACACGCGACTTGCGCGTCGCCGTGCGGCTGGCCTCGCAGGAGCAAGAGTGGCGGAGGAACCTCCGCGAGTGCCGCGGTCCGATTCGTCTCGGGAACCTCGTGTGGCAGCTTTACACTCAGCACATGGACTATCAAGACCTTGAGCCCTTCGATGACTCCGACGACGACATCAACGACGACGCAGCCCGCCGCGCGAGCTGCGGGCAGGTGCCCGCGAGGCCGGGGTCGGGAGCGCCCGCCAGGCGGACTGCGGACCGCAGCGGCCCCGGGGGACCGTCGAGCGGCGCGGCAGCACGGATGGGGAGCGAGGACGTGGTGGACGACCGGTCTGCGAGGGCAGAGGGCGGCGGTACCGGGGTGGACGTTCCGCGCGTGAAGACGGAGCCGGAGGCGACTCATGACGTCAGAGGTTCGCCCGCAGAGCAAGGTCTGCGCTGGTCTGAGCATGTGGGCGCTCTGAACGGCCGGTGCGGTGTCGCCAGCGCGGCTGCGTCCCCCCGCGGAGCCGTGGCCGGGCTGCTGGCGGCGAGAGGGCTGCTGAAAAGGGGCTCGGTTTCGCCGGCGGGCCAGGAGGCTTCGGGGCGCAAGAACGAAGGTCCGTCTGAGGTGGAGCAGTCGGGCAGGGCGGACGCCGCGGCGCTAGGGGCACCGAAGATGCGGGCGCGCAAGTTGAATCTGGGGCCGTGGGACGAGCAGCCGAAGGTGGCGACGGCACGCAAGTCAGCGGCGGCGCCAATCGACGCGGTGATGCAGGAGGATATCGCGCCGGAAACGCGCGCGCCTCACGCCGGGCAGAAAGCACTGAATCAGAAGGAGAAGCCACGAAAACAGTCGTGCGTGGTAGAGCTGTGGCCGCCGGGGCACGCGTCGGACGGCGAGCCGTGCATGTCGCCACAAGAGGACCTCTCGGCGGACGTGCCGGACACGGCGTCGGACGATTCTGCACACATCCTGGTGAGAGGACGACGTGGCTGCCGCGTTTGCGCCTCGTAGAGTCCGCTCTCCCTCCTGAATGGCAAGTTTGTTCTGGTCTATCTTTCGTTCTCATGGTCTTGTTCGTTGGTGTGTGTGGCCGCAGACGAGCGACGAGGATCCGTGCGACGCGCTGATATCCATGCTCATCCCGCAGATCCGCGAGCGCGCGGTGCCGTCCGCCACGTTCACGTGGCAGGCAAACATCACGTGCACCGCCCTACCCAAAGAGGCTGGTTTCGAATACTATATCCCGTTCAAAGTAGACCTGGAAGACGTGCAGTCTGACGCGGACGACGAGAGGGAGTCAGGTGACGACCGGCGCGGCGGCGGCGGCGTCGGGGGGCCCGGTCCGAGCAACGGCGGGGCGCCAGGCGGCCGCAAGCCTTCTGGGGGGCGCGAGGGAGGCCGTGGGGGCTCGGGGCAGTTCCCAGGGCGATCCGCGCCGCGCACGCGCCCCTCGAGTGGCGCAGGGGCATCCAAGGGGAATGGCGGCGTGCGACGGCGTGTGTGCGGGGCGGCGACGGTGGCGGAGGTGGAGCCGTCTGTTGTTGATGTTGCGTCGCCGGAGAAGCGCGCGGGCGCGGCACCGCGGCGGCGTGTTCGGAAGAGTCTGCGGCGGCCGCAACCGGGTCGGGACGCGCGAGAGCTCGGTGCGCAGCCGCTTGGCATGTGGCACGCGGGGGGCTGTGGGAACGCATTGCCCCCCCTGGCAGGCCCTGGGGTCGACGCGGTCGGGGGCGTCGCGACGGCCGTCGCTGCGCCTGCTGCCGCCGTGAATGTGCTGCCATTCCAGCCCGGCAAGCTCGCGGCGCTGCCGGCGTCGGTGTCGGCGAACACGGTGCACTCGGACGACACAGTGATGCAATGCGCGGCGGAGGACGAGGTCGGCTCTGCGGAGACGCTGGCGACGCGCACCACGTCGGCGCCACCACCAGCGGCACCGGCTGCGCACTACTCAGCGGCGGGGGCCGCTGCTGCTGAAAAGCTTGCCAGCGTGTGTGCGCGCACTATGAAGACCACGCAGGAAGGAACACGCCACGCGACGACCTCACCGGGCGCCGGCGGGCAGAGCGGCACGGGCGCTGCAGCGGGCGGGGGAGACGGCGGGTCGGCTGCGCGTGCTCCCGCCAATGGCAGCAGCGGCGGCGCACCTGGCGGTCAAGGCGCAGGGGGCAGCGCGCAGCCTCGAGGGGGAGGCGCTAGAGCAGGCAATGTCGGGGAGGCGCCTGCGTCCGAGCAGGAGGAGCGCGGCAACCCCTACTGGGTCAACGAGAACATGGCAGTCGTGTGCATTAGCTCTTCGTCTGAGGACGAGGCTGCAGGGACGGCCCGAAGGCGCGGAGAGGGGCCGGCTGGCGGAGGGCAGCCGAGCCGGCGACAGGTGCCGCCCGTGGTGGTGGCGCGGTCGGACGACGCTGATGAGGAGATGGAGGGCGCTAGCGACGCGCCGGCGACGCGGGGGGCAGGGACGGCGGCGCGGGAGGGACCTGCGGCGGCGGACAAAGGTGCGTTGGGTCAGGGCGCGGCGATTTCTCCCCTTGTTGGCCAAATGCGGCCGTGGAGACGCAAGGAATTCTCGAGTTGATGATTGCAGATATTTTCGGCGCGGTTTGGCCCGGGCCGGCGCCGGCGCCGACGAGCAGCACCTCTTCCGAGGGCGATGCAGACGACGACAGCCAAGCCGTGTCCCCCGACAGCGTGGCTGCGGGGAGAACAGCAGCGGGTGGCAGCAGCAGCGACGACGAGCATGGCCAGGACAATGGGTCGGGCCACCGGGCGAGCCCTCCGCGGCGCCGCATGTTCGCAGCGAAGACAGCGCGAGCCCCACCGACAACTGCGGCACACACGGAACCCGCAGCGGTGCAAGACGCGCCGGTCCGGGGCGCCGCTAGCTCTCCGTGGCGCCATGCGCTCGCCACCAAGGCGGCGCGGACGCCGCCGTCCGGACCTGTCGCGGAGGACGACGAGGACAATACATCTGGAGACGGCAGCGGGCATCAGAGACGAGTGACGGACCAGAGAGACTGGCTGCCGAAGCGCAGCCCTGCACCGGGCGGTATGCGGTTCGCAACGAAAGCGCCCCGACCAGCAGCACAGGCCGCTGACCGAGCAGGCGGGAGCAGCAGCGACGAGGACAACAGTGGGGACAGCGGTGGAGACTGTGGGGCGGAGGCTCTTGGGCAAAGGCTCACGGGCGGAGACGATGCGCGCCCAGCTGCGCGGCGAGTGCTTCCCGTCGATGAGGACGACGACGACGACAGCGACGCGGACGGGTCGCCAAAACACCCCCCGTCCCCTGGCGGCTCCCACTTCTTCAGCTTCCTCCCAGCGCCCCCTCCTCCCGTCGACCTGTGCGTGGAGATCGACGTTTCAAGCAGCGAAGAGGGCGACGACGAGCTCTACGACCGCAAGGTGAAGCTGTCGGTGGACGTGGAGCGCGAGGACGGGTCCCAGCCGCTCTGCACTGAGTGCGCACGCGTGCAGCCGACGCTGATGCGGGCCGACGGGACGCATCTGTGCGTGGCGTGCGCGCCGTGGTGGCTGCGGTCGACGGCCGCTGAGACGGCGCAGAGCTGCTGTGTCTGCCGGCACGCACGCGTGTCGCCCAGCTGGATCAAGCAACCTGTCGGGAGCGGCCTTGTGTGCATGCACTGCGCTTGCATGACGTCGGCGCTCCTGCGGCGCCGCGAGTGTGCGTGCGGCGCCACGTCCGACGCGGCCGAGGACGGGCGCGCGCACGTGGCGCTGACGGACGACGGGGAGGCCGGGCAGTGGGTGTGCGACAGCTGCGTGGACGCGGTCCCGCGGCCGCCGGGGCCGGGGTGCCTGGAGTGCGGGCGCACGAGCAGCAAGGGCTGGGTGCCGGATCCGCTGCGGGTGCTGCGAGGCCAGCCGTGGGGCCCGGATCGCCTCTGCATGGAGTGCCTGCCTGAGGCGGTGCAGAGCGCAGTCTGCTGCTACCGCACATTGCTGCGTCAGAGACTGCCTGATGCGAAGAAGCCAATGTCCATCGCGCTCATGGGCCGATACCGCTTCTATGCGGCGAAGGGCAAGGAAGCGGCCGCCCAGCTGGCCCGGAGGGGGCGCAGGAAGGTGCAGGGCAGGATCTCACAGAAGCTTTCAGAGATGTGGAACAAGCTGAGCGAGTCTGAGCGGCAGGAGTGGATCGCGCGGGCAAGGAAGGATCGGGAGAGGCAGGTGGCGCTGCGCGAGTCGTCTCCCGGGTCCGGTTCCGGCAGCCACGGCAGTGGTCCGTCGGATGTCGCGCAGGGCGCAGCGAAGAAGCTGCCGTTCGATCACGCTGGTGACGCGGCGGTCGCTTGCCCTGGGTGCGGCGAACGCGCGGCGTCCACGCTGGCTACGCGCACGAAGCACTTGAAGCCGCTGTGCGAGGCGTGCGTGCGCGCGTGGGTGGAGATCGTGTGCGGGGGTCTGGTGTGCTCTCAGTGCAGCGCCCGGGTCGACTGGGACAAGGTGAACAAGGAGGCGATCAACCCAGGCGATGGTCGCGTCGTCTGCATTGGCTGCGCGCCGGGCACCGGGCGCGCGAAGCGGCAGTGCCGCCTGCAGCAGCCATCTTGGATGAAACTGCTCCATCCGCAGCAGCAACCGGCGGCGTGGCAGCGCGCGCGCACGGAGGATGCAGGGGACGGCCTTCCGGGATGCACTTGTAGCGAGGTCCGCGCAGAGGACATCGGCGCCGGCAAGGCTGGGAAGGCGTTCATGCGATGGAAAAAGAGGAACCCCAACACATGGTTGGCGCAACACGCCGACTGCCTGTGGGAGGCGATGCTGTTGACGGACTGCATGCCGCCGACGCGCCTTCAGGTCGAGCGCGTCCCGGGCAAGGGATGGGGCGTCGTTGCGCGCGAAGATATCCCAAGAGACAGCTTCGTAATGGACTTTGGCGCTGTAGTGATGCCGGAGGGCCGGGATCACAAGCACGAGGCGCGCGTGTCGCACCGGCGGAACATACACGAGAACAAATTCGAGATCTGGTCGAGCGACGTGTCGCAGAAACTCCTCCTGGTGCCCACGCGGTATGGCAACGCAGCGCGCTTGATGAACCACGCCTGCGCAGACGGGACGATCGACTCCGCGACCCAGAAGCCGTGCCCGCGCGCGGTCAAGAAGCTGAAGCGGCTCGCGGAGGAGCTGGGCATCGACGGCGAGAACAAGCGCGCCGATCCTAACAAGATCCCGGAGGGGGGTATTGTTCCGCCTTATACCTACCTGAGCGCGGCGGACCACATCGACGACCTGCGCCCGATCGGGACGGGCAGCGTGGTTCCAGACCTTGACAAGCTCCGGGAGGACGGACGCGCCCCGGGGTGCCGCGCGGCGCTCCGGAAAATTAACCAAGAAGACAAGGTAGTGTTCTTCACGGTGAGGGACGTGCCCGAGGGGGCGGAGCTGGTGTACGACTACAAAATGACCATCAACGGGCAGTCGCAGCACGACGTGGGGAAGAAGCGCTGCAAGTGCGGCACAGCGGGGTGCCGGCAGCGGATAATGTGATATCTGAGCCAGGCGAGCTGTGCTGCGGTCTATCAGCCACGAGGCCGCGGGATACGAGAAGGCCGCAGGACTTGTAGGTCAGCGAAAGTTCGATGACAGCAGTGGCAACGCACTGTTCCAGTTGAGATTGAGGTCGCGATGTCTGCGTCTGTCGCGCGCCCGAGCTCGCCACCTCGGTCTGCTGGTAGTCACAAGAAGGAGGGCCGGCGAGCTAAGGGTTCACGGCCCAGAACGCGCACATTCCGTCGACACCGACAGAGATGAGGGACCGCCCGTCGCTGCTGAACGTGACGCCCGTCACGTAGCCCGCGTGCACCTGCGCGCTCGCGAGCAGCTTCCGCGCCCGCGGCTCCACGGCCCACAGCCGCACTTCGCCGTCCGCGCTCCCTGCACGCCACGCAACACATGCAGCCCCCATGACGCGCCAGCAACAAAGGAAAGCACGCTCGCAACGTCGCGTCGCGCCTCGGCACGGAGACGTGCGCCGCCGGAGCACGCAATGCGCGTTGTGCTCGCAAGCCACGCAGCAGCAGGGAGAGCGTGCGCAGGCCAGTCGGACCTGTTGCGAGCATCGTCGCGGATGGGTTGAGGGCCGCGGATGTGATGTTGTCCTTGGCGGCGTCCTCCGTGATGTCGAGCGGCTGCGGCCGCCGCACGTCCCAGTGCGTGATCCGGCGGTCCGCGCCCACCGCGAGCAGCTCGGTGTCTGACAGCTTGACGATGGAAAAGATCCCCCCCGATGGGGAGGTGTTGTACGACACGCGCTTCTCGTCGAGCGCGTTCCACGTCATCACCGAGCGGTCCTTGCTCGCGGACACCACGTGCACGTTGTCCGACATGCACACAATCGCCGTGACCACGTCGCTGTGCTGCTTCATGTGTGCCACCATCTCCCGCGTCGCCCAGTCCCACACGCGCACCTCCCCGCCCTGCCCGCCCGTCGCCACGAACTGCCGCGACGCCGGCACCGAGAGCGTCGAGAGGCCCGTCGAGGACGCGTTCGCCACCGACCACTTCTGCACCATGCCTGACTTGCCCAGCACGCCCGTGTCGAAGCAGCGCAGCGACCCGTCCATCCACCCGCTCACGAGGTCGCGGCCAATGAGCTGCACGCACAGACACGCCCCCGCGGACGCCGGCGTCTCCGCGCTCCGCAGCAGCCGCCCCGACGACACCGACCACACGTGCAGGCACCCGTCCGCGCCGCCCGTCGCCACCTCCTCCTCCGCGCCGTCGAGGTGGCAGCAGCTCACGCCCGTCACGGGCCCGCAGTGCGCGTTCATCACGACGCGGTGCGTCCACGTCTGCGTGTCCACCGACGCCATCGTACCGTTGGCCAGCGCGCACAGCAGCGACCGCTTGTCCGCGGCGAACGACATGGCCACGATCGGCGCGTTGATGCTGTACTTGACCAGCGGCTGCGGCTGGTTGACGACGTACTGCGTGATCGTGCCGTCCCCGCCGCCCACGAGGATCTCGCCCGTCGCGGGGTGCAGGTCGACGCACGACGCGCCGCCCGAGCACTGCGGGACCGAGCCGAGGAGCTCGGCGTTGTCCGCGTTGACGACGACCACGTCGCCGGAGTTGGACGCCGCGAACGCGTACGCCCCGTCCGCGGTGAAGCAGCAGTCCTTGAAGTCGCGGTTGATGTACTTGAGATTCACCTTCTGCAAATCCACGCGGCCTGCAGGGCGCAGCGAGGGGCCAGCGCGGCGCCGTGAGGACCTCAGCACCGACCACTCCTCGGGTCCGCAGCGGTGGCTCCCTCACGTTGCAACAAGAGAGACCTCGGGGATTCTCCCTCCTCATGGTTTGTTTGTCTCCTTCTCACCTGTGTAGGGGTCGAGGTAGTACATGTAGAAGACGTTCTTCGCGACGCCGCAGATGCGGTACTCCCTGCCGCTCGCGCCGTGGTTGCACGGGCTGAAGGACAGCACGAGGTTGTTCGTGGGGCGGATGTGGGGGTTGGCAGTGCCCACGATGCGCCCGTTCGACACGTCCCAGACGATGATGCGGCCGTCCTCGCCCGCGGACACGAGCAGCCGGCCGTCGTGCGAGAACGCCAGCGACGTCACCAGCTTGTCGTGCTCCGACAGCCGGAACCTGCGACCAGGAGGAGCCGCAACGCGAGTTGGGAATTCTCGACTCAGTGTGCGAGCCGGGGCGAAGGAAGCGCCCGGCCGCGCCGCGCGACGCCGGCCGTGGAGTCGGCGCGGGGGGCGCGTCCGGCGGTCGCGGGCAGGCGTCGCGGTGCCCCGGAGGGCGGGCATCCTCACTTGATGGCGCCGGAGGGCAGGTCCCAGACAAGCACGTCGCTGTTGGTGCCCATCGACCCGCTGGCTGCCGTCACGCCGTCCGGAGACATCGCGAGGGCCGTGATGAGGTCGTCATGGCCGCGGAAGAAGCGCGCGGGGGGGCTGCTGCCCTCGGTAAACTCCACCAGCGTGTGCCGCAGCGCGCACAGGCATTTCCGCGGGTCCGTCGGGTGGCAGGCTATCCCACGCCGGAGGTTGTTCCTGCGCGGGCGTGCCGGGCCGCGAGCGCGGGCGCGGTGGGCGGGAGGCGCGACCGCGCGTGGCACAGCGCGCACCAGGGCATGCGTGCGGGTCGGCTCGCGGCGCGCGGTCCCGACGAAACAGAGACATCGCGCGAGAAGGTTCTGTCCTACAGGCGGTTCCGGAGGGCGATTCCGGCGGGGATGTCGCTGCGTGCAGTCGACGAGGCGCTGAGGAAGCAGCGGCGGTGCCTGCTGTGGGCGCGGTTCGATACAGACGCGGTCCGCGGAGCGCGCTGGCGCCGGCGCGGGACGCGGACGTGGAGCTGGTTGCGCAGGTGCCCGAAACCAGCAGGGAGTCAGGCGGCGTCGGGCACATGGGGGCCGCGACAGCTGAAACCGTCGAGGCCCGCGTGCGCTCGCACCGCTCCTTCGTGGGGAAACGTCGCGATCTGGCAGGTTTGGGCGACCACACTCACTCGAACCCGTTAGCGTGGATCAGCTGGAGGGTCGCAGAAGGGCCCGTCATCGCGCAGCGCGCTGCCCCTGGCTCGGCTCCCCTCACCAACGCTCCGGCTGCCTCACGACACCACGTCTGCCCTCTGAATCGTCAGCCTGAGCGGCTGTTGCTGTCCGGGCGGGCCGCGAGCGTCCAGCAAAGGCGGTCCGGCCACGCCGCGTTTCGTCGTGGCCATGACAGTGCTCCGTGAAACTCCCCGCGCTGCGTTTCGATGCCTGCGGGCATGCTGGGCTCGCCTGGCGGCCCCGCCAGGCAACTCAATCTACACGAGCGTCCCCTGGACAGTTTTTCGTGCACGTCACCGCCGCGTCCGCGGCCTGCAGGCCAACTTGAGAATCTGCACTGCACCCGCGCAGTCGTCGTCGCAGTGGGGCCGGCCTCCCGGCCGCGACCGACATGGCCGCACTGGTGTGGGAGCCGACAGTCAAGCTGCAAGTGCGGCATTTGGTGTCTGCAGGGTGGGTAGTTCGTCGCCCCAAAGGCGTGCGGTATGCCGACACCTTCTCGGTAGTCATACCCGTGTGCGGGGACTCGGTGGACTGGGAGGTGTGCTTCGACGCGAGCAGGCCGTGGCTCGCGCCGGACCTCGTGCTCAGGCCTCCTGGGTTCAGTCCGTTGGGTGCCCAGGGGAGCCGAGTGCCGGGGCTGCTGGCGAGCTGGGACGTGTCGGACGAGGGAGCCCTCACGCGGGTGCTGTCGGCCGTCCTGGACGAGTTCAACGAGTGGCAGGCGCGATCAGGTTGGTGGACGCCTCGCGTGGTCGTTGCAGCTCGTGTCGTTGCACTGCAGCTCGTGTGCACCGAGGGTGAGTTGCGCGTCAACGGTCTGACCACACGCGGCCCGGCGCGCGCATGTTGCAGTCCGTGAGAACGCAGACGAGCGGCTGGCCATGGAGCTCGCCACCCTGGACGGGCTGGAGGGCCTGCAGTGCGCGCTGCTCCCTGCCCCGGGCGCTCCGGACCTCAAACGCGCAGTCCTCTCGGTTCCCTTCGGGTACGTCCGTAACAACTGATATCAGAATAAAACCCCAGTCCGCATGAAGAGACCGTTTTGCACCGCCACGAACGGCATCTCGCTTCTGGTGTGCAACATCATCGCACCCGGAGTAGCCCGGCGCAGACGCCACCCGCTGTCCGCGCGTCTCCATGCAGGGCGGACGCGCTGGCCGTGCTGGCGACGGCGATACAGCTCCGCGCTGAGCGCGAGGGCGGCGTGCAGGGTCAGGAGACCACCGCGGCGCTGCAGGCCGCAGCCAGGGCGACCGGCGCGAACGCGTGGCCGCAGCTCACGCGGCTCAACGCGGCCATGGACGTGAGGAAGCAAGGCAGCTCCGACGCGCCGCCCGCCCCGCAATCACGCCTCGTCCTGCACGCGTCAGCGCCGCAGCCCGTCCGCAGCGCGCTCCTCGACTTCAAACTCCCGGACTGGCCCGAGGGGTCCATGTTCGTCGAGTACGTCGCCAGCGCCGAAGCCAAGCTCGCCGAGGCACGCCCCCCCCAGACCAACTCCCCCCGCTTTCCGCACCCGCCGCGCAGCGACCTCGAAACCGCGCGTCTCGCCCCGGCGTGCCGCAGTTCGCCCAGACCGCGCTGCACCGCGCCGAGACGGGGGCGCCTGCGAGCGTCGGCGACGTGGCGGCGCAGGACGGCCTGACTCAGGCGCTGAAGACGTTCTACCAGCTGGCGGACGTGCAGCCCCCCTACCCGGGCGACGGCGGGGCGCGCGTGGTCTTCCAGTACACCGCCGATGACGGGACGGACCTCCTTGTTCGCGTCGTGTACCCAGAGCCATTCCCGCACGTGAGCGTTTCACCCCCCCCCCATGACAAGCTTGTTTCGAGAGGACACGGCTGGCTGGGCTCGTCGGGGCGCATGAAGCGGCCGCTGCGCCCTGTCTGTGCCGTGCAGGCGCCGCCGCAGTTCACGCTGGTGAACGTGCCCGGCGGCAGGGCGGTGTTTCCTCCGGGTGGGTTTGCGCTGCCGTCGCCGCCGTGGTCCCCTCGCTGGCCGTACGACGAGGCCGCGGGGCGCGTGTTTCAGTGGTTCACGACCGAGGCGGAGAAGGCCATCAAGGACGCACCGAAGCAGAAGGGCCGCGGGTGGGGCAAGGTGTTTGGGGGCGGGGGCACCAGCAACGCCGGCGGCGCGGACGCCGGTGCCAGCGGCGGAATCATGGGCGAGTACCCTGCCCTCGGCGGGGCGTCTGCTGTTCCGGCGACGGGCGCGGCGGGGGCGTGGGGATCGGGGCGTGCGGGGCTGCCAGCGTCGGTAGTGCAGGCAGGGGCGGGGCAGGCGGGCGCGGGGGCGGGGGCGGCGCGGACGGGGGCGGAGCAGCGGCGGCAGTCAGCGGAGGAGGACATCACGGACATCCTTTCGTAGCGGCGGGCAGCGGTGGGTATTTGTGAGCCTGTGATGGCATCAGCAGTCGAGCACGTGGTTGGCGGGGGACTCGCGCAAGGTGGCTCTGACGAACGGCGTTGCCGAGCGTGTGCCCTTGCAAAGCTGGGGGCGCCGGGTCAGCCTCGTTTTGGCGTCTGGTCTGCCTGGGGAGGAGAGTATGAGTGGGGGACTTGAACCGCTCCTGGAGCGGCGATTTCGGGCGGGGGCTTCGCTCCCGGGCGGCAAGAAGCGCTGGAGAGTGCTTGAACGGAGCGCAAAGGGCGTATTACGCCCGAGGCGAGCGCACCTAGTGCTGGGCTGAGTGGAATCTGCTGCCGGTCCGCGCGGTCCAGCGGGGGCGTACTGAGCGGGACCTCCCGCCTCTCGTTCATTTTCGGGAGCTTCTTTGCAGCGTGGCAGGTCCCGTCGCGGGGAGCGGTCCCTAGGGGAAGGGATGGCAGAGCAGAAGAGCAGGGACAAGTATGGGTCCCTGACGGGCGAGAGCGTGCTGAAGCAGCGCTCGACGATGCGACAAAACAGCGAGGAGGTGATGCGGCGACGCGCCGAGCTCATGGCGGAGATGGCGGGGCCAGGCCCTGCGCTGAGCGCGAACGGCAAGCTCCCCACGCACCCAGTGCTTGGTGGTTTCGTCGCCCTCGCGTTGCTGGCGCGGCACCGCGTGTCAGTCCGGGCTCAATCGACGGAAATTCAGCCGATGATTGTTCATTCCACGCCTTGCTTCATTTTCGGCGGCGTTTGAGCCCTCCCGCGCCCTGGCGTGGCAAACTTGGTCTCAGCAGGTGACGCGGGAGGAGCTGCGCGTGGGGGCGCTCAGCTGAAGGACCTGTGCCCGGACGACAAGGCGAAGATATCCCGTCTGATCAAGCAGGTCGCCGAGCTCACCAACACCACGCGCAACCTGGAGACCCGACTCAGCGTTCAGGCAAGCACGGCCCTGCTCGCGCGCCGGGACGGTCAGCCTCGCGAATCGGCCCGGACGACACTCCTGTATCGATGACGCCGCCTGCGCCCGCCTCCCCCGCACGTCTCGCTCGCAGCGTCCCTGCCAGTGTGCAAGCGCACACAGCAACCTCGCCCCATCGCCTTCGCAGGAGAAGGAGCACCGCTCGGTCGTCAAGGTCCTCCAGGACCGCAACAAGGAGATGGCCCAGATGCACGCCGTCCTCAAGGCCAAGCTCTCACAAACGCACGCGCTGGCGAAACAGTACCAGGCGCTCGCGCAGGCGCGCGGCGCGCCGAACAAGGACGCCGCCACCCTCACCGCGGACGCCCCCACCGCCGCGGACGCCCTCCCCGAGCTGCCCCCCGAGCCCGCCACGGACACCCCCGCTGACACCCCCCCAACGACTGACGTGGCACAAACCACGGAAGGCGCGGAACCGGCCGCCGCGGACGTCCTCGCCGCAGAGGCGGAAGCCGATCGCGAGCGTCGCGAGCTCGCCGACCGCCTCGAGCGCGCAGAGCAGCGCCTGCGTGAGCTCGAAGAGAGGAGTGTCGCCGCGACGCCCGCCGCCACGCCGGCCGTTACGCCGGCCGTCACGCCCGGGCCAAGCGCCCCCGAGGCCGGGGGATCGTCCACGCCGCCGCGCACGTCGGTCACAGCCGCCACGCGCACGTCGCCGAGCCTGCCGCAGCTGACGCTGCCTGCGCCAGAGGCTGGCGCCGGCGGGCCCGCGACGTTCGGCGCGTCGTCGGTGCTCCTGCATCGGCTCAACTCCGGCAACGACGCGGAGCGCCACGCGGCCGGCGCCGCGGACGCCCCGCAGTCGCCGTACCTGGCGTTCCCCCGGGGGAGTGGCGAGGTCGCACTCCCCCCCCGGCCGTCCGCGAGCCCGACCAAGCACGGCGAGGTGCCGCGCGCACGCCCGGAGTCGCCGTGGCGGCGCGCCCCGGGCCACAACTGGGGTCCGCTCGATCCAACAGAGATTGCAAGCCTGGGACATCTCATCGACGAAGTGGAGCTGCTTGACTCGGGGGGCGAGGAGGAGGACGAGCACGCCGTGCCGCGGACGCCGGTGCACCGCGTGCGGGACCGGAGGCCCGCGGGGGACCCTGGGAGTCCCCTGGAGGAGTTGGGGGGGGCGTGGCCGCACCGCAGTGCTCGGTCCGGGCGCCGGAGGTGCGTTCGAGGGGCCGGAGACCCCGCGGAGGATGTGGGGCGGATGGCGGAGGTTGCGTGCATGCCCGGAGCTTGGCTGGGAATCGCGAAAACACGACTCACTGTAGACTGCACGTCATATCTGTTGTGCAGGATACGCAAGATGGACTTGCCGGAAGGGTCCATCGCGGATGAGGAGACAAGCGCGCCGGCTGTTGACTCCGCGGCGTTCGCGGCGCAGCAGCTCGCGGCGCAGGTGCTGGCCGCGCAGCTGGTGGGCGGGGGGGACCGCCGCGGCACTGCACGGCAGCGGGAGGCGCACGGCGCGAGCGGTGGCCACAAAGGCAGGCGGGACCCGAGGGGTGGGCTGCTCCTCCGCGGCTGACGGCCCCCTGGCTGCGCGTTGCGTGTCAGACAGGGGAGGGGGGGGGTTTGGGTGCACCTCGCTGGAGTTGAGTGCTCGCAACGGTGCGGGATGCCGCAGTTTGTGTGACTAGTAGATTGAGCGCTGTCTCGGCACAGCTGTTGACTAGGTGGTTCGAGGCCTGCGCGGCGGCAATTGACAGTTTTCGGACGGCTTTGGGAGACAGCGCAGGGGGATCCACTCCTGCTGGGAGGAGGGGCCGAGAAGCGTCGTGCGGCAGGATGTTGAGCTCCTGGTTCGGGTCGACGGTGGACCAGGATGTTCGCGACCCCGACCAGAGCGCGCACGGGTCTGCGTTTTGGGTGGAGACGTGCTCGGCGCAGGAGAAGCAGATGGCCGCGAAACTGAGGGCCCTGCTGGAGACAGAAGGCGCGCTGTGCGAGTCCGACTCCGACGAGTACGCGATGCTTCGCTTTCTCCAGGTGCGACCGCCACCCGCTGCGAGTGCACTGCCAGCTTGCGTGTGCGGTGATCGCGCTCGCTGCGTTTCAGGAGGAGGAGGACGCTTCCTTCCTCCTCCTCCTGTTTTTGCTTGATATATGGATACGGCATGATGTTCAGATAGTCAGCCGTACGACGGGGGCGCTTCAAAGCCCTGTATCCACGATCGTGGCCTGCACGCGGGCGCAAGGCTGCCAGCACGCAAGCGAGCCGCGCCCGTCATGCGGAGCCGAACGCCCTGCGCATCCGCTCCGCGGCGATTCCCCGCATCGGGCATCTTGACGCCTCTTTGCGCCGCGGCGTACTGGTCAGCCACATGCGACACCCGGGGGGCGCGCGGCCCATGGATGGTGCTCAGCGCGACAGGCATCATAATTTTAATTATAATTATTCGACTGCGTCCGCGCAATGCAGGCCAGGAATTACAAGCTTGACGAGGCCGCGAAGATGTACCGCGACATGGCCGCCTGGAGGAAGCGCGAGGGCGTCGACGACATCCTCAGCACGTTCCGGTGCGCCCAGACGCTGCACACGGTGCCACCGCCACTCACGCACGGGGTCGCGGGCCGGCCCTGACCCTTGCACGCGCGTCCGAGGCCGCGCAGGTTCCCATGCATCGAGCAGCTCCTGCAGCTCTATCCTATGTTCTACCACGGCGTCGACAAACTCGGAAGACCAGTCTACATCGAACAGCTGGGCAAACTAGACGTGAATGGCGTGCTGAACCTGACGACGCTGGAGGACTTCCTGCGGTTCCATATCTGGGGCTGGGAGTACCTCCGCAAGCACCGCTTCGAGGCGGCGTCGCTGGCGGCGGGCCGGCGCGTGTACAGCAGCACCACCGTCATCGACCTCGACGGAATTGGGATGTCGACGCACTTCTCCTCCACGCCGCGCCAGTTCATGCAGGTGCGCAGACCGCTCGCGAGGCGGCTCCTCGCACAGCGCCCCGCGAACACGGCCTTCGCCAACCCCCGGTGCCGCGCAACCCCGCGGACGAGCGGCTGACCCCGTCCTTGCAGACCGTGGCGAAGCTGGACCAGGACTTCTACCCGGAGCACCTGGGGACGATGATCCTGCTCAACGCGCCGATGGTGTTCAGTGCGATCTGGGCGATCGTGAAGCCGTGGCTGCAGGAGCGCACGCGCGCCAAGATCCACGTGTTCACGCCCTCGCAGACGGCGGCGGGGAAGATGTTTGGCGAGGGCAGCACCCTGGCGCCGGAACACCTCCCCGCGTTCCTCGGCGGCACGTGCGCGTGCCCGGGCGAGGGCGGGTGCCGGAAGGCGGACAAGGGGCCGTGGTCGGACGCGAAGGTCCTCGCGCGGATGGAGGAGGAAGGGAGGGGCGTGCGAAGCGACGAAGTCCACTTCCGGTACTGACGCAAGCGCAGGCGACGCAGTGGGAGGGAGGAGGAGCGACCCTGGCGCTGCGCCGGGGCGATGTGACGTTGGGCAGGGTCTGTGGCTCGGCTGCGGGGACAAAGCTGCGTTGTCGAACAGCTGCCAATGTGTTTGGAAGATTACATGTCGCGATGCCCTGGGCCTGCGGCCCCGAGCCCCGCGGAACATCGGGCTTGGTCGCTTCGTCTGGCCCGGTCTACGTCTACAGTTGAGACCTGCTGTTGACGGCTGTACCGGCCTTCCGTGACCTAGTTCGCACAGTACTCATACCGCTCCGTCTTTCTTTCTGCTCCAGTGCACCCCGGCGCTGCGCCGCCCCGCCGCCGATCACGTGAACGGTGGCACCATGCGCCAGTCGTCGCGGTTGTTGCACGCGACATGCCCGAATGACAGGTCGAGGATGTTCCAGCCGCGCCACTGCGCGCCATCGTTGAGCGAGACCCACGACTCGCGGAAATTCCCCCCCCAGAGCCCGCTGCCGAAATTGTCCCTCCACTTCGTCGTCGTCCTCCGGTAGTACATACCGGACGGCATCTTGATGTGGCCGTCCCAGTGGATGTGATAGTAGTACGGCTGCCCCCAAAAAATATATTGCGAGTGGAAAAACGGGCACGCGCCGGTGATGATGACCTCTCCCACGGTCTGCACCCCCGCGTCCCACGCGGGTCTGAAGCAGGTACTTTTCGGGTAGCAGCCTCCGAACATCCACCACGGGCACTCCCAGTTGCAGCCAAACGGCACAGACGGACCCTTGGAGGTGGCCAGCGCCGTCATCGTCAGGACGGCCTGGTTGCGCAGGTAGGCCCTCTCCAATGTCAACCCCCTCCAGGTCGCGGACTGGTGCACCGTCATCTGCGCGCCCATGAGGTGCACCTCGGCCTTCCCCAGGTTGGCGACAAAGTCCGAGACCGGGAGCGGCAGCAAGTTGGCGGGGAACAGGTTTGCGAGGTTGCAGCCGACGCTGCCTCTGACGGGCGGGTGGTGGCCGGACTCAAGGTGGAAGCCCACGCCCGCCTCGCCCTCGCAAATGAGCACCCCCGCGCCCGCGGTGATCCACATCACCATGTCGGGATTTCCGTCGCCGTTGTAGTCCTGACAGTCATCGAGCTTGTACCTCACGAAGAACACCTCGAAGTCCAGGTCGACCTGGCTCAGCACGCACGACAGCATCCTGCGCGTCCCCGGGTCCTCAAGCGACTCGTGCAGCGCCGCGATGCCCTCCGCGAGCTCGTCGTCGCCCGCCGCGGCCCCCAGCGCGCGCCGCACGGCCCCGGCGCCGCCCTCGGCGGCAGCCACCGCAGCGTCCGCGACCGCGCTGTCCAGGTCGCCCGCGGCCAGTCGCCGCAGCGCCGGGTGTGCGGCGGGGTGCGGGTGCGCCAGCTCGATACCGTCCTCCTCGTGCAGCTCGAGCACGCGCCGGTACGCCTCGACCATATCCGGGAGCGTGCGTGCCTCCTCGAAGGCCCGCCGCGCGCCGCGGCTGCGCTCCAGGCCCTCCCTGTACTCCGGGCGCGCGCGCACGAGCGGGTCGAAGATCTCCGCCACCTCCCGCTGCGTCATCGAGCGCCCGGCGTTCGGCGCCTCGCGGGCGTCGCGCAGCGCCCCCTCGGGCCAAAACGGCTCCTCCGCCTTGAGCGGCGTGGCGTACGCGTCCAGGATCTTCGGGAGCGACGCCTGCAGCGCGGCGGGCAGCCCCGGCTCGGTGGCGTTGACGCACGAGCCGCCGGCCGCGAGGGCCTCGAGCTTCGCGCGCTCCTCCCCCGCGCGGTCCTCGGTCAGCTCCGTGATCGAGGAGTACTCGACGAGAACCTCGGTGATGGTGTTGTACACCTCGAGCACGGTGCCGTCGCCGCCGATGAGCAGGTCGAGGCGGACCTCCTCGACGCCCTCGGGGACCTTGCCGTCCGCGAACGCGTCGGCCTTCGGCACCATGGTCGCCTTGACGCGGAAGCCCGTGCCCGTGCGGGGCGCGGCGAGGGCCTCCGTGGTGGCCTCGTCGACGCGCAGCGAGTAGATGCGGTCGAGGTCCGTCGTGGAGGGCACGTCGCGCTCGTGGCAGTGGAAGTGGATGCCCTCGTAGCCGGCCGACGGGACGACCTGCCACGTCGACGCCAGGGCCGCGGTGTTGTTCGTGAGCTCGAACTCGGTCTGGTTCGGGTAGGCGGCGTACGTGCGCGCGGAGAGCACGAGGTCGCCGACGGCGACGACGTGCGACTTGACGGCGACCCAGCGCTTGCCGTTCTTGACGGTGACCCCGGGGGACTCGTTGCACACCTCCTGCATCGCGGGCGGGTTCGCGGGCGGCAGGACCGTGCCGTTCGCGAGCGTGATCGACCCGTCGCCGACGAAGTTGCCGTCCTCGTCGAACACGGTCTGCGCGGGGACGCTCGTGCAGATCTTGCACGCGTCCGCCGGGTTGCCATCGAGGTCGAGCCTGTCGCACGGGTGGTACACCGTCGTCTCGGCCTCGTACTTGGACGGGAGGCTGACCTCGGGCACCTTGACCGTGGCGCCGGAGGCGGAGGTCGCACCAGCACCGTTCAGCGCGTCGTTGAGGAAGTAATTGAAGAGGCCAGACACGAACGCCGACTGCAGGCGGCGGCGCCCGCCGGCCGCCGTGACCGGGAAGCCCGCGCTCTCGAAGACGGTGGCGACCGAGGTCTCGAACGTCAGCTGCACGCCCTCCACGACGACGAGTCCGACGGGCGTGATGAGCTGGATCACCGAGGCAGAGTCCCCCCGGGGGATCCTGGCGAAGCCCTGCACCTGGACGTGGAGCGTGGCGCCCGAAGGACTGGTGACCTTGAGCGTCTTCAGCTCCGCGAACGCCTCGTCCGGCAGCGCGCTGTCGAGCGGGCCCTCCTGGCTGGACGTGGCCACGCGCAGGGGGTTGCCCGTGGAGCGGTCGACCAGCTGCCCGCCCGCCGACGCGTGCATCTCCGTGTTGGCAGTCTGCAGCGGGGCGCCGGAGTGGCGGTCGACCATCACCCCGCCGTCGACGCCGACGTCCTTCGTCAGCTCCACGACGGCCCACACCAGGCCGAAGATCGCCGACAGCGTGAGGGTCAGCAGCAGCACCGCCGCGATGGCGATCTTCTGCGCCGTCTTGCGGCCGCGGCGCTCGCGCACGAGGGCGCGGATCGCGGCGGCGACTTCGTGATTGTCCAGCACGTTGGACCCATCCACGTCAAGCTCCGCAGCCTCCCGCCGCAGCTGCGCGACAGGGTGGCGGAGCGGGGCGATGACGCTGCGCACTCGCGAGCGCCGACCGGCGTGCCGCGGAGGCCGGCCGGGACGTGGCAGCTCAAGGCACCTTGAGACAATTGGCTGGGGGGTTATGAGTCTGACCACGCGTGCTGCGCAAGGTGCTGGTACACGTGGTGCCAGGCACGCACCTCTGCGGGCAGGATCGAAAGGGGGATGCCGTGGGTGAAAGTGAGACGCTTGGGCACATCCTTGCTGATGTCGCTCCCTGCAGAGCATCCACGAGAGGTAGTCGTCAGCCGCCGACATTCGAGCTTTCGTGCCAGCGCGGTGCAGGAGCCGCTTGACCGGTGTGATGCGAGGATCATGCCGGACGAAGCGATGTCTGCCATCTGATGAATCATGAAAAGAAAGAAGCACGTGTCCGTGTGTGCGCGCGCGGCCTCAGGAGGCCATCGGGTGCGACCCACCGTGCAGAGACTCCGAGCACGAAAACGTGTTGCTGTCCCGGGTGCGAGGCGTCGGCGCTTGAGGCTCTCTCGCCGACTTCGACATGGTTCCTGGGGAGCGGTCCTCTGGACCGAGGTTGCTGCGCGAGCTCTGCCCCCGGGGTGGCTGTCGTATCAGAAATTGATCGTGCGACGAACGCCCTGCAGGAAGGCACGGCTCGATGCGAATGAGAAACGTGGTGGTCGACACACGCCGTGCTCGTCGAGCCGTCTCCGCAGCGCCGCCCCGGGGACGAACTCGAGCGGAACTGAATCGAAGAAAGCGCGCCGACATGTCTCGAAAACAGTGTGGAGACCTGTGATCTAAAGGATGCGCCTGCTGGGCAGGCGCCCCGCCTCGCCCCAGAAGCGGCTAGGTCATTGGCGCGGCCGCGCGCGCGACAGCGCGACGTCCCCCCCCTAGGTGCACGAACTTCGCTACATATCGTACGTAGCGGGTTTCGCGCAGAAAGTGCCAGGGTTAATGCCAGGATTGCCCGCGCGAGGCATGGTCTATAGGAGCACTTGCTAGGCTCCTCCACGCGCGCCGTCGGCGACAATCGCGTCGTTCACGCACGCCGGAGCAAGCACTTATCTGTCCATTCGGGTCGTTGGTTGCTCGAGCCTGGCACGAGCAGCGCCTGTCGACGGGGGCGACCGCGCTGAAGCGATGCGTAGGCACGGCGGAGCTTGCGATTGGGGGCAGCTCGGCTCGTTCCGGCTATCGGTGCGAGGGGCAAGGGGCATGAAACGGGAGCTCGACTGGTCCATCGCGCGCGTACACGCAGGATTACCGCGGGGCGCGATCACTCACCTAGGCTTGGAGGCACCGCGGCCCGGTGGCGCTCGCGCGAGAACGCTTCGTCCCGCGCCTTCTCCAGTCCCACCTGCTGACGTGTGTGCCGCCCACGGGCTCCCGATGAGCTGCGCCGAGGCGGTCCGGCCTTCCTGGGCCGCTGCTCCAGGCCCCCTGACCCCTCTCGGCTCAGGGTCCCTCGGGCAAGCCCCATGACGTCCGGGCGAGCCCGAATCTTGCCATCAGCACGGTGTCGCTGCGGTAACAACTTCCATCTGGTCCCATGGACAACGACTGCCCGAGCGGCGGGCGCCCCCTGGCATGTGGCGCACAGCACCGCACCACGACGCGCGCGCGCATTCGCTGCCACCTGGGCCGCGCCCCCCGCCACGACGCGCGCTCGTGTCCGGTCCACGTCGTTCCGCCAACACCGCCCCAGACTCCCCCCTATCGCAGCGGTTTGATGCTCGAGTTGCCCCACCCGCGCGGGTTTTCGTCCTTGAAGTCGTCGAACGCGCGCTTCTGCCGCAGCTCGTCCTCGTCCTCGCTGCTGTCCGCCTCGCGCGCCCGCCGCGCCCCCTCCGCCGCGTCCGCCCGCGCGGCCCGCTCCTCCGCGTCGCGCACCTCCCGCTCCGCGTACTCGCGGAGGCTCATCGTCGGCGCGTTGTGGAACGGCTGCAGCACCGCGCTCGCCACCATCTGCTCCCGCCGCGCCGCCACGTCCGCCGTCGACCCCTTGAGCGTCGGCACGATCCCGCGCAGCTTCTCCAGCACCGCCGCCTGCGCCTCCCCGCGCTGCATGCGCTCGCCGCGCGGACCGACGACGACGTCCTCGCGCGGGGCGCGGTCTCCTCCGTCCCGCGCCGCGGCGTGCGCGAGGATCTCGACTTCCTGCGCGAGGGTGGCCCGCATGTCGAGGGTTGTGATCACGGCGCCCTCGATCGCGAGCAGCCAGAGGTCGCGCTCGTCCTCCTCGTCCAGGTCCGGCGCGTCCTGCGCGTCGTCGCCGTCGCCGGGCCGCCGCGTCAGCGCGCGTTTCGCTTCGATCGCCTGCGGGGCACGTCCGCGTTGGTGCAGCGCTCGAATCAGCACCAGCGGCATGCGTCGCGTGGCGGTGCGGGGACGGCGTGGGCGAGGGCGCGTCGGGGCGGAGGGGGCGCGCGGCGGCGTGCGTTCTCGTCCCGGTGGAACGACGTGGGCGCTACGACGCGCCGGAAGTCTGTTCTCGAGGTTTGTTTGTTGTGCGTGGGGGATATCTTGGAATCGGGGCGGGGCGGGGACGCACCGCGAGCCGGCTGTCGATCTCCCGCGAGCGCTTGAAGCGCGCGATCTTGTCGTTGCGCGCCTGCACCGGATCCTTCTTGTCGTTCCCCGCAGCGCCCTCGCCCTCGTCTGCGTCCTCGTCCAGCCCCGCGGCGCGCGCGTAGACCTTCGGAAGCAGCCGCATGCGCTGCAGCTGCGAGAGGAAGAGCCCCAGGATGGCGCCAGCCTGTTTCAACGCGCCTGACCGCGCCGCCGGGTCCCTGCAAGGGGGCCAAGAAGACAACAGCGCGTGAAACGCGCGATGCGGCAGATAAACGGCGCTACAGGCGACCATATCACGTGTCCAGCAGAGGTGTGTATCGTGTGCGGTGGAGGGCGCACCTCTCGGTGGTCTTCGCGAGCAACTGTCCGAGGAAGAAGCTCAGGAGTAGGTATTTGAGGTGCGCGGTGGCCACGTCGTCGACGTCCTCGTTGGACGAGAACAGGTCCGCCTTCCGCACCAGCTCACTACACCTGCGCGACACGAGACCCGCCGGAGCGCGCTGGATTGAAGCTCTGCGCCTGCCCTGAGGGGTTGCGCACGGCCGCGTCGCTGGCTGCGCGCTCGAGCCAGGGTATCTGCTCGTGGTCGCGGGGCGGTGGACTGGATCGCTGCCTGTCCAAGGGACGGATCGCGACGCTGGAGCGAACCAACGAGCGGGACGAAAGAGGCGCGGCATGGGCAGTTCGTGCTTTCTCCCGTTCCCGGCCACGCGTCAGACGCCCAATGCAGTCCGCATTACTCACGCACGTCTGCATGTCCACACGACGCGTGACGTGCTTGACGGACAAAAAACATGTGCGGGGATGACGCGGCAGCGCACCTCTTCACCAGCGCTACGGCATCATCGAGCTTGCTGCGCGTGTCAGGGTCTGAAGCGGGCCAGTCGTCCGCCTCGCGGACCAGCGACCGACACTTGTCGAAGACAAGCGACAGCGGCGCGCCCTCGGCGTACGGGTCGCGCTCAGCCGCCATGGCGCTGCACCTCCCACTAGCTGCTGTCAACCGCTCCGCGACGCAGAAACCAGCACGGCGGCGAGACCACAACCACAGGAGTGCGCAATGCCGCCAGGCCGCAGCCCTGAAGACGCGCGCCGCCGTTGCTCGCGCACCCCGCGACACGGGGGGAGTTCCCCATTCACACCCCCGGAGCAGCCGTCTCACGACCCCGGGCACAAGCGCGCAGCACGGGCCTTGCCGGACGCGAGCGCAGGACGCCGCGGCAGCAGCGATTCATTCTCGTTTTCGACGGCGTGCTCACATGTGGACCTATGGTGTGCTGCCAGGCGTGTGTCCGCGACGCGGGGCAGCTCGGGAGCGCGATTGTGGTGCGGAGGCGATCAAACCGGGTGGCTGGAGCGGCGAAGAGGAAATGACATGTTAGGAACGAAGAGGGGGGGTACTAAACGTGGCAACGGAGGAGGTGTACAGTCGATGTGGCCTGGCTTCTCGGGTCCTGTGTTTCTTCTGGCCGCACCGTTCGCACCCGAAGCGCAGATCGGCGGGCCGTCTAGCGGGGAGTTGGCGTGCGTTGCGGCGTGGTTCTCGGGAAAGCATTCGCTGGCACCCGCCGGCCGCGACGGGCTGGCACGCCGGGCCGCTCGCACCGTCCTGCCTCGCAGCTCCTGTGCGTGCGTATGTACAGGCGTCACGCGTCCAGGGGCGAATATGTAGACGCTGCGAGGCGGAGGGAGCTGTGCTGTGTGTGCCGCGCTCAGTTCAGGGAGGCGTGGCCGCCAGGCGTCCCGCCGCTCGCGGCCGGCAGCACGCGCAGCCGCGCGTCCGTCCCCTCGCCGAGGCGCTCGCACGACAGCCCGCACTCGTGCACCAGCGCCGCCTGCACGCGCAGAACGTCCGCCGACCGCGCCAGCAGCTCGATCCCGCTCGCCGCCTGCCCCGGGTCCGCCGCCCCGAGCTTCTCCACCGCCGCCGTCACCTCCGCGAGCGCCTCCACGACCGCCCGCGGCGGCCGCCCGAACCCTTTCGGCTTGCCGGTGATCTGCGCCCAGATCTCCTCCCCACTGCGCCGCCCGGCCCCGGGCACGCCCGCCGCCGCGCCGCCCGCCGCCGCCACCGCCGCGTCCGCCGCAGCCGCCACCGCGGCGTCGCCGTTCCCGGCCGACGCCGTCAGCTCCTCGTCCGCCGAAGAGTACCAGCCGTCCAGCGAGCCCTCCGTCGCCGCCGTGGCGGCGTCGCCCTCGTCCGTCGAGGCACGCGCGGCCCGCGCGGCGCGCGCCCGGGCCTGCTGGAACTGTCCGCCGGCGCTGGGGTCCATCCCGAGGAGGATCCGCACCGCCTTCTGCAGATTCGACTGCGACGAGCTCTTCACGGCGTAGATGGGCACGCCAGCGCTCTTGGCCGCGCGCTTGAGCCAGCCGCTGGCCTTGAGGCGCGACCGCAGCGCGAGCACCGCGTCCGCCTGCGCGAGGTTCGTGGTGACGCCCACGCGCCCGCGCATGCCCATCCGCCCCACCGCCTGGCTCAGGTCGCGCCCCTCGACGTCCATGAGGTACAAGAGGATGCCGTTCTCGTCGATGACGCCCTCCTCGGACAGCGACGGCGCCGCGTCCATCGCGCCGCGCCCGCCGCCGTGCAGCGCGCGGTCCAGCTGCTGGTACGGGTCGCCGCCAAACGCGCCACCGTGCGCCGCGCCGCGGTCGCCGACGCCCGCGGGGAGCCCGGGGATCGTCGCCAGCGCGTCGAGGTGCGACCCGGGGTCCAGGCCGGCCCCGGCGAGCAGCTCCTGAGTCAGCGCCGCGTCGTCGGAGGAGATGCGCACCTCGCCGCCGCCAAGCTGTTCGCGCAGCTCCACGGGGGGCTGCTCGCCCGTGAGGACGGCGTCGACGGCGAGCGCGATGTCGAGGTGCACGCGCCACTTGTCGCGCTGGAGCATCTCGACGGCCGCGTCGAACGTCGGCGGCGCCTGCCGCTCGAGCACCGACTTCTGCACGCCGCGCCGGCGGGCCTCGTCGTCGGAGAGCGTGACGGCGGAGACGCCGCCGATGAGGTCGCTCAGGGCCGGGTTCTTGATGAGGTTCTCCAGGAAGTTGCCGTGCGCGGTGGCCACGAGCTGCACCCCGCGCTGCGCAATGGTGCGCGCAGCGAGCGCTTCGAGCTCCGTGCCGATCTCGTCGATGATGATCACCTGCGGCATGTGGTTCTCGACGGCCTCGATCATGACGCGGTGCTGCTCCGCGGGGTCCGGGACCTGCGGGGAGGGGCGCGCTCTCCGTCGTCAGTGGGGGGTGTTTCGAGTGCCGGTGGCGGGGGCGATCGCTCGTCGTGCGTTGCGAGCGCGAGTGGGAGCGGGGCGCGCGGCTGTGCGCGTGTGGGAGCGGCGGTGCGGTGCGGCAAGAGCGCGGACAGAGTGTGCGTGTGCGCGCGGCGTAGCCCACCTGCATGCGCCGCGCCATGCCGATGGCCGGGTGCGGGATGTCCCCGTCGCCGCCGATCTCGTTCGAGGTGTCCACGATCACGACGCGCTTCCCGCCGACGTCCGCCAGCATGCGCGCCACATCCCGCAGCGTCGTCGTCTTGCCAGATCCCGGGCGGCCCAGCAGGAGCACCGATCGCCCCGCCTGCGCGCCACACGCGAGCGGAAGAGCCAAGCAGCGTGAGTCACGCCGCACTTGGCGGCCCCAGCGGCCCGGGACGGCGCGGAGCATGCCCCTGGGGGTGCACCACGGCGTGCGGCGCCGCGCCGCCGCCGCGGCGTCCGGCGCAGCCGCGCGCGGCGGGGCCGTGCTTCTCACCTGGACGATGTCCGCGACCATCGCGGCGCTGCCGGGGATGGACCGTCCGACGCGGCAGGTGAGCCCCACCACGTCGCCCACACGGTTCCGAATGCAGGAAATGCGGTGCAGCGTGCGGTCGATCCCTGCGCGGTTGTCGCCCCCGAACGTGCCCACCTGCAGAGGCATCCGCTCGCGGGTCGCACGCGGTCTCGCGGCCGCGCGGCGCGCGCTGCGTGCCCTGGGCAGACCAGCTGGCCACGCACAGCGGCGCGCGGCGCGGGGCGCGGGGCGCGCGCCAAGCCGGTCGCGCCGCGCAGGGCGGCTCCACGGGCCACAGCACGCACGGCCCACGCGCGCCCGCCCGGGAACATCGCACAGGCGCGGCGGAGGCGAGGCGCCGTGCGAATCCCGCTCAGGGCTGGATGCCACGCCCTGGCGGCCCCGGCGCTGGCGGCGCGTGACACGCGTCCGAGGCACGCTGCGGGCGCTGTGGCCGCCGAGGGGGGTCCGGGGGGCGCGTTGGGTGCGGGCGGGCGCGCACCTTGGAGTAGGCCTCCTCCAGCTCGTCCTTGGTGATGGGGTCGTCGCTGAGGACGAGGTCCCCGTCGCCCATGCGGGCGACCGGCTTGCGGCCGAGGTCCATGACGACTTCGACGAGCTGATCGACCTGGGAGTGGCCGGCGAGGATGCCGCGGACGCGTTCGGGGAGGAGGGAGACAAGGTCCTGAATCTCCGCGTGTTGGCGCTCGCGGTCCTGGTCGTGCATTTTGGACCAGTCCTCAGCCGGTTTGATGATGCGGGCCTTGCGCTGGGTCGTGAACCCGGGCGCCGGCGCGCTGGTGTCGGCGAGCCCGCCAGCGACCCCATGGGGCATCTGGCCGAGGCCGATCGCGTGAACGCGGCGGTGCGAAGATGGGCGCGCCCTGGTGATAATGCTCGCGCGCAGGCGCGGCGTGGACGCGATATGGAGCCGCATGGCGCCGCAACTCCAAAAAAACCTAGCGCGAAAATTCGGCCCCGGCGACCCGGCGCTTTTCACGCGGTAGGGCGGCGCTATCTACGCGCACAGCGGGTCCTTGAGAAGTGAGGACCCCGCTGGTGACGCCGCGGCGTTCAGGTCGAGGCGCACGGCGCTCTCTCGGGCAGTCAGGACGATTCAACACGTTCGCAGCCCGGGGGCGGGAATTGTATCCTCAAAGAAGCTTTCCGCTGACCCAATGCGTTCAGGAGTCCGCACCGCACCGCGTGAGTGGCCGGGTGCGCGCGCGCGGGGCCCACACAGCGCCGCGGCACGCATGCTGATCTCACAGGGGGACATAGGGGCCTAATTCGGTCCTGGTCCGAAACGACGCGGCGCACAGGGGCCGAAAAGTGCCCCGCGCTGCGCGCATCGTCGAGGAGAGGCTGCGTGTCGGCTGGCGTACCGGGGAAACGCGGAAGCGCGGCGTGCGGGGGCCGCCACGCGCTGGCCGCCAACGGCCCGTGCGCGCGGACCCAAGCGGCCGCTGGGGGGCGTGCTGTCAGCGCGGCGGCCGGAAAATGCACGACAGGCGGGTTCGCGGCGCTGTCGGCCTGCGTCATCGTGAGGCGCCGCCGGTCCCGCGAGTGGCGCTGGAGGTAAAGTCGCTCGTGAGCGGGCGGCGAGGCCTCCCGCACTGGGCGCGCAGGTCGCCACCCGTTCCGCAGCCCAGCATGCACCAAGTGCGACACGGCAAACACACACGGAACCAACGCGGGGGGGCGCAGCACCGCTGCGTGGCGCGCGAGGGCACGTGCTGCCTCCCGCGCCTGCTGCCCTCAGCAGCAGCGTCCCCCGAGGCCTTGAAACGCTGGGCTGCAGATGCGTCCACGTCTCGGGGAGCACCGTGGCCAGGAGTCCCGGCGCGTGGGAGCCACGCGGCGGAGCAGGGTGACACACGCACGTCCCAGGCTCAACTGGGAGCTGCCAGCGGGCTGATTGATGCGGGTGCGGTCAGCGCGCGAGCAGCGCGATGGCTCGCCGCGGGAGGGCGCGCGCGCACCGAGCGCGCACGCAGCAGCGACCAGCGCGGCGGTCCGGCAGGCGTCGCACGCGACGCAGCACGCGCCACGACGGGGGACGACGCGGCCCGCCGTGCGCGAGCTCCTGCCTGCTACGCTCCTGCTATAGCCTGCGCGAGCGACCAGATCTGCGCGCCGCCCGTGCGCGTCGATCCCGGGGTCCTGTCTCGCAGTTGAGGAGGGATTTCACCTGGCAGTGCTGCAGGCGGCATCGCGCGCTGCAGCGCACTGAGCGTCTCGAACGCCCGTCGGCGCGCGCAGGGGACTTGGGCACCGCACGCGATCCGCTCGAGCGCGGCCGGCATCCGGCGCAAGCGCGCCCTGCGCTGCACATCACCTGCGCACTCGCGTGGGTGCAGGGAGACACCGGAAGGCTCCCATGCCGGCTCCCATGCCGGCTGGGCGCGACAGGTCGGTTCCCCCGTCAGCGTTGGACGGGCTGGTGGCCCACCCCTCGGGGGGACAAATGGCATGACACGACTGTGCTCGGCCTTCATTGCCGCCCCGCACGGCGCCGCAGGCCCTCCGCGAAGCAAGCCGAGCCGACGATGTACGTTTCGACCTCGAAGACCGCCTCTTTCGCGGGCTGCACCGCCCGCCTGCAGGCCCGGCCGGTCGCGGCGAGGCGAGCAGTGGCCGCCCCCATCGAGTGCCGGTACCGCGGCAAGGGGACCGACCTGTCGAAGGTAGAGAGCTTCAAGCGCCACACCAACGACACGGGCTCCCCGGAGGTCCAGGTCGCGAAGATGACGGCGCGCATCACCCAGCTCACTGCGCACCTGAAGGAGCACAAGAAGGACTACTCGTCGCGCAGGTGCGCCGTGGGCCCGCGTCAGATAACATCCGTGTCTCAGCAACGCGCCGGCCACGAAACATTGCCGGCATCGCACCCCCTCGCGGTCCTCCGCGACGATGAGACCGCGACCGGCGAGGGCCGACAGCGGCCATCGTGGCCCGCGTGCGCCGTTGCGACGCCGCGTCCCTGCGCTTTGAAATGAGCTCGATGCGCCCGCGTCGCCGAACGCGCCCCAGGCGAACCGTCGACGCAGCCATCCGTGCCTGGCCTTGCAGCCATTGTCTGCCACCACCGCGCCCACGCACCCGCGCAGGGCGCTCCGCAGCCCCTGCGCCCGCCAGCTCCACGCACTCGCACTGTGGATCGACGGCGCGCCCACACATTCCCTTGGCGCCCCCCCCCGACGCCGCGAGCGCACGCATCATCCACTGAGCGCAACGCTGCCGCCCCTGACGAGCCCCTTCGCGGACACCGCTGCGCGCAGGGGTCTGGAGACGATTCTGGGACAGCGGAAGCGGCTGATGGCGTACATGTTCCGCACGGACAAGGAGGCGTACGCGCGCATGGTGACGGAGCTCGGGATCAAGGACAAGCTCTCCATCGCCGCCGAGTGAGCGCGCCGCACGCGCCCGTGCTGGCGCCGCCATATAGTAACTCGATACAGGCGCAGCACGGACGCGGGCAGCCACCTGCGGAGGCCCGGGGCGAGCCTCGCGTGTGAGGGGCAGGGAGCAACAGCTGTGTGCGTCGCCGCCCCTGCGCGTCAAACGCACGGCCGAACGGATTGTTCTCGGGTCCGAAGCGCGCGTTGTCCGTCCTGGAACGGCGCAGCGCCGGCCTAGGGCCCTTGCGCGCGCGCTACAGGGCCACGATGAGATGTGCGGACATATCAGTGTTCACCACACGCTCGACCACGCACAGCGGAGCCGGATCGCTGGCCAGCTTCAGTCACACGTGCCACGCCACGGGCGCCCCCGTCAGCCGTTGCTCGGCCCGGGCGGGTGCAGCGCGTCAACGCCACTGCGGTTTGCTCCCGGCAGCCTTCCACGCACCTGGCGACGGCCGGGGGCTCACCGCGCCGGACCCCGGCATCGGCAGCGGTATCAGCCGCCCGCCTCCATCCGCCCCAGGCGACCACCCCGCTCGCGCGGGCGGCGCAGTCGCCGCGTGCCCCATGTGGCGCTCCGCGGACCGCCGGCCCGTCGACGGCGTGCCGAGGCTCCCAGGAGACAGCTTGTGGCTCCTCCAAGCCCCAGGCGTCCCCGGGGACGCCCCCTCGCGCGGTGACGGCGCCGCGGGCGTCCAGCCGCGCGGCGAAGGGAGCGGCGGCGGCGTCGCACCTCCGCCCCCAAGCCTCGGCGTGACGGGCGTGATCTCGTCGCTCGTGCGCATCACGCGGCGCGCACTGCGCTCCACGGCCGCGACCGTCTCGATCTGCCCGCCCTCTCTCCGCGGCGCGGGCCGCGCTGCGTCCGACGCCCCCCGCGCGCCGTCCGGATGCGCCGACGACGACTGCCGCTCCCGGGCGGCCTGCAGGAGCCGCTGCACGAGCGCGGGGTTCTCGACGATCGACCCCGCGCCCGCCTGCGACGCCCCAGCCTGCGCGGTCTCCTCCCGGCTGTACACCCGCGGGCGCCCGCGGGTGAGCCTGCCGCCGGAGCCCGCCAGCGAGGGGCTCGGGGGCGACTCATGGCCCTGGTCGGACCGCTCGCTGACGGTCACCGTCCCCCGGGGGGACCTCGCTTTGAGACCCCCCATCATCGCCGCACCCTGCAGCTCCATCGCCTCGTGTCCGTCGACCGTGAACCGCTCCGGCTTCTGCGCGCCGCCGCCGCCGCGCGCGGGCCTGCCCGCCCCGGCAGCGCCCGCCTCCGCCCGCTGACTCAGGCCCAACTCCCCCAGCGTGGGCGACGCCATGATGCTGTCGCGGAAGAAGGCCTCCAGCGACAGCAGGTCCGACGGGTCCGTCACGCCCGCGACCGCGTGCGACACCACCGTCACGCGCACGCCGTACCCCGAGTCGACCACGCGCTGGAGCTCCTCCTCCTCCTGCCACGTGGCGCTTGCGTTGCCCGGCAGGTTCGCGAGCAGGTGCACGAAGCTCGCCGACGTCGCGACCGCGCTCAGGCTCCGCAGCCCCTTGTTCTTGCGGCGCCTGCCCGGCCCCGCGTCGCCCTCCGCGGCCACACGGCGGAAGCCCGTCGCGCTGCCGTCGCCGTCCAGGTCCACCTCGACCCAGGACGCCCCCCGCCACCCCTTCTCGACGGCGCACGCGAGGATCGACACGGGCGCCGTGTGCAGCCGCAGCGACCGCAGCAGGGCGGACATGTCCTGGGGCCCGAAGAGCGGCGCGGTGACGGGCAACCCTATGACGCGTGCGACGCGCGTGCCGCTCTCCTGGACCTCCTTCATCGCGCGGTGCATCATCGTGAACATCGTGGGCGAGCCTCTGACGCCCGGGGGCCGCCTCACCGCGAACGCCGTGCCCCCGAATGTCGCTGCAGCCTCGAGCACTGCTGCCGAGTCCGACACGACGACGACCATGTCCAGGTGGTCGCAGAGCGTCGCGTTCCGCCACACATGGTGCACCAGTGGCTTTCCTGCGCAAATCAGCGGGGCGCGGGCCCGTGGCGTCAGCGTGTCGCGCGTGGGAGGCCCTGTGTGCCCCGGTACGCGGTGCGTCGCAGCGCGGGCCGGCGTGCCTGCCATCATGGAGAGGGAGACGCCCGAGAAGCCCGGAAAGTTCCCTGGAGCGCACACGACGCCGAGATTGATCGGACCGATCGATCTGCGCGCGCTCTGACGACGAGACGTGGATTCCGCTCCCTGCAGCTCCGCACACCGCGCACGCGCCGTCAGCGCAACGTCCGCCGCAGCGCGCCCCGCGCGGCTAGATGCGGCATGCAGCGGGGCAGCGGCGCCGCCGGAAGGGGCCGGCAGCGTCTGTGCGGGCTGCGCGAGGCCCTTTGGTGCATTGGACATCCAGAGAGCATCGGGCGGTCACCTCGTCTTGGGAGTCCTCGAATTCGTCCTCCCAGTCGCTCGCCTCCTCGTCCCATTCCGACTCCGAGTCCTCGTCGTCCCCGCGGCGCAGAAGACCCAGGAACGCGCCTGCACGCGCGAAGAGTGGCGTTTCATCAGGCGTGCGGGTGCGGCTCCGGTGCGCGCGGCGCAGCGGGCGTTCCGGCGGCAGCGGCCGGGAGCGGGCCGAGGAGCCGGTCTCGGGAAGGCACGGAGCTGCCCTGGCGTGAGCCCCGCTCGCTGTCGCAGGGGAGCGCCCAGCCGGGCCACCGTCGGCGCTGATGGCGCGCAGGGCGCTGCCGGCCCCGTTTCGACGCGGTTTCCGAGCGGCCCCAGGCGTATCAAGACCGTGACATGCCGGCGGGGCTGCGACGCTGCCGCGCGGCGGGGTTTCCGAGCGAGCCGCCGAGGCTGCTCCGTGTCTCGCGTGGCGGGCCAACGAAGCACCAGGCGCTCGCACCTGCCGCGCGGAGCCCTAGGAAGGCGATGGCGACCTGCTTCGCCTTCATATCTACCTCATAGCCTCACCCTCGCCGCCTCGCTCTCGGCCCCATGCTCCAGCCGAGCCACCACCACCCCCAGTCAACCTGCCCAGCTGCACCCTTTCCCAGCGTCGTCACGTCAGGCTAGGCACGATATGGCGCTCAACATTCCACTAACGCGTTGAACGTGGAAGAAGTGGGTCAGGATGCGCGGTGTCTGCGCCCCCTGAGGTCGGGGGAGAGCACATTCCGGGGCGTCGTCTCCGGGAGGCGTGTGAGGCAGTCAGGGGGGCGTTCTTCAGCGCCACGTCGTCATTTTGTGGCGTCCTTGGCGCGAAGGGCGTTAAATGGTAATGAATTGCGAAGTGGCGCAACCGTAGACGTGTCGTGACGTTCCGAAGAAGCCTGCTGCGCTGTTGCTGCCCTGCGCACTGCCTTGCAGCTCTCGCGCGGGTCGAATCGTTGGTGACCGCCTCTTTTCCTCGCGGCTGACCCTTCTCCACCATTCTCCTGGGGCATCAGAACCTCAAGCCGTCGGAGCAGACGCCGCATCTCCACGGCTGAGGAGCAGGACGGGCACAGTGCTTGCGAACGCCGGCTGCTCCCGCGCACACCCCATTCGCGACGCGTCTTGGCCAAAGCGACGCGTCTTCCGGCCGCTGTCCGGCGCACAGCAACGCGCGCGGCGCCATGGCCGGCGCGGCCGCCGATGCGACGCAGCAGGGTGATGGCGGCAACAACACCGCCGTGGAGGAACGACCCGGCGGTCGGGAACCGGATGCCGACGAGGACGACGAGGTCGAGGGCCTCGAGTGGATGCTGGGCTTCCTCGAAGACCCCGAGCACGGCCCGGCCGACCTCCTGCGCCACAGGTTCCTATCCAAGGCACGCAAACACCCCCCATCGCCCGCGACAGCGCACGGGCACGGCGCGCACGCGTCCTTGGGTACACCTGCGGCGCCTGCTCGAGACCTAGCGTCGCCGGCGGCGCGAGGAGCAAAAAGCAGCGTGCTGCGGCGCTGCGAGTTGTGTGCAGGTCGGGGGGCGCCCTGCGTGGCTGGACCCGTGCAACCTTCCGGCGCCGCTCCAGTGCGGGGTGTCGAGCAAGCCGATGGACTTCTTGCTGCAGGTGTACGCGCCCGTGGACGACGTGGACGCGGCATTCCACAGGTGCGCTCGGAATCGTCCTGCCGCGCCTCATGGCTCCGTCGCGCGTCGTCAGTACGGCGCGGCCCAGGCTGTGCAGGCCGAGCGGACGGTCGGACGCGGCGATCGCCCTGAAAAGGGCCAGGGCCGGTTTTCCATTCGTGAATTCCTATTTGCTGGTCATTGTTCGCTGCAGGACTGTGTCGCTGTTCGTGACGCGAGACGGTTCCCGCGCGGCGGAGCGCGGCGCGGTGCGCGCCTTCCGGTGCCAGCTCCCGCGCAGCAACCCTTTCTACTCGTCGGAGCCCCCGGGGGAGAGTGACCTGACACCCCCGCCCCTGCCCGCGGGCACGGCTGCGCCGGACGACCGATGGGCCGTCGCACAGGCCGAGACCGACATCGCCGCAGGCCGCACGTGCACCGCCGGCGACCCAGAGACGGTACGTTCGCAACTCAACACGCCACCACTCTCGACACCAGCTGTCGCACCCACCCACCCTCATGCAACGCCCAACGCCCACCGCCCCGCCTGCCCCGCCACCGCAGCTCCTCCGCATGCTCCCAGAGAGCGAGCTCGTCGTCGAGCCCGAGTCGGACTACCCGTACGAGGGGGACCCAGAGGTAGAAGCCGCGCGTCAGGCCTACCTGCGTCAGGGCGACCCGTCCGACGCGGACCTCCCCGACTCCGACGTGCGGTCCGTCGAGGAGCTCGAGGGCATGGCCGAGCGCGCGCACTACGCCGGCTTCCAAGCCCGCATCGCCGGCGCGCCCTCGCAGGTCCTGCGGTACTGCTTCGAGGCCGGAGCGGCGCCGCTGCTGCCGTCCCCGCGCCCCCCTGCGCCGAAGGACGTGCCTCCGTGCCCGGCGTGCGGGGCGCCGCGCAGGTTCGAGTTCCAGGTCATGCCGCAGCTGCTGGCGCGCTTACACTTGGACCCGGAGGACCCGCGCGGCCTGGACTTCGGGACCGTGGTGGTGTACTCGTGCGCGGCGAGCTGCCCCGGGCCTGCCGCGGACGGCGGCGGGTACCGCGAGGAGTACGTGTGGGTCCAGCCCGCATGACAGACATGGGGTGCATGGGCTCGCGCACGTGACGAGCGAGGTGTGAAATCGTTTTGAGCCGTTGGCGCGGCGAGGCAAGGCTGCCTCTGGATCGCCAGGGACGCCGAGGGGGGCTTCGGAGGGTCGTTGTGTCAGGTATGCTGTTCTACCATGAAGTTTGGCGGACTTGCGGTACTTTGCGGTTGCTGGGTGGAGCAGGTTTGCAGGCTGCGATGGTGGGGTCGCCGTGCTGTCGGAGAGGCGCCACCTGCGTGGCTGGGCGGTGACAGCGCGTGACCTCGTGAGCGCAGGTGCTGGAACCTCGGCGGGCGCCCTGCACGGGCGCGTTGGCGCCATGGTGGCTGTGAATGGGGTTCTGCGTGACAAGTCGTGGAAGTATGCGACGAGGACACCTCTGTCGCTGCCAGGGCGCGCTGCAGTCGCGCTGCTCTCTGCAGCTGGTGCACTTATGGATCCAAAGCGCGCCGACCTCGTGGCGGGTGAGGTTTCCTTGTCAGCTGCCTGAGTAACATGTACCCATGCTTGCTGTTCGCGACGTTATTTGTCCGGCCGGCTTCGTCCCCCGCGTGCATGCTGCACTTGGCCTTGGCTCCACTTCAACCTGGCTCTCTGCCCCGCACGGCCTCCGGACTGCAGCCCTGGGGGAGACCTCCGGAGGGGACAGTTTCAGGCGTATGCGCGACCGGATGCTGGCGTCCAGCACGGGTCGCCAGATCCTCGAAGACAGACCCAGGCACGCCACCCCCTGCTGCGCCCCGACGCTGCCCGCCGACCGACCGACGCGAAATCACCCTGGCTGAATCGAGCCCAGGCCTGCCAGATCTCATCGCAGGATCACCAAGGAGTTCATGGAGCGAGCAGCGCAGCTGCCCCCCAACACCCTCGGCGGGGCCTATGCATCCTTCATGGGCCGCCGCGGGTTCGACCCGGACGAGCGCGCGCCCGTGCGCTTCATCGATGACGACGAGCTCGCATACGTCGTGCAGCGAGCGCGCGAGGTACCGTCCTGGCCCGCGCCCCTGGCGTCTTGAAACACCACTCCGTTCATGGCGGAACAGCGCGCCCTGATCCGAACCTGGCTGATGCCCCAACAGTGCGGCTGCTACGCCCGTGCCTATGCTCGCGTGGGAGCGCCAGATCTGAGCGTTTCCGATGATCACGTGGTGCGCAGGTGCATGATTTGTGGCACGTGATGTTTGAGTGCCCTACGACTGTCCTGGGGGAGCTGCAGCTCAAGGCGCTCGAGTTCGTGCAGACCGGCATGCCGATGTGCGCGCTCTCCGTGCTCGGCGCGCAGACGCGCCTGCGGGCGTCGGACCGGCAGCTGCTCTGGTCGACGTACGTGCCGTGGGCGGTCCGCGCGGGGACGCGGTCGCGCGACCTGATGTGCATATACTACGAGAATCACCTCGAGGACGACCTGCAGGAGTTCCGGGCGCGATTCCGGATCGAACCCGCGCCGCGACGACCAGACGCCCGGCCAGGCTGGTAGAGGCCAGGACTGTAGCTCATGCACTCGCGTGGCGCCGCGCTCGCCTCTCTGTACATTATCACAAGCCGTGGCGAGCGCAACAAGCCCCGACGCAACAGCGGCGCACCACGACCTGATCGCGAATCGCGAATCTGCAATTGGTCGCATGTGAAATTCGCGCGCGTGCGAGATGAGCAACCATGTGCGACCACCTGGGGGCGCCGCGGCTATGCCGCAGCTCCCTCCTGGTCGCGTCTCGCCCACACCACGCCGGCCTCCGCGAACGCCGCCTCCATGCCCTCCCCCGGCGCAGGCAGCGCCGCCACACACGCCTCCGGGGCACTGTCCAACGGCGCCCCGAACCCGCAGCCCTGCCACACCTCCGCCGCTGCTTCGTGCATCCGCGCGTGCCGCTCCGCGAGGACCGACAGGTCCGGATGATACCCCCCCCCCACGAGGCCCGCGCACGGCACCCCACGCGCCGCGCACTCATCAAACACCATCGCGTCCCGCCGACTGATGCCCTCGCACGACACCGAAAGCCGTCCCAGCCTATCGTCCTGGTGCAAGTCGACCCCTGCGTGGCACATCAGGCAAGGCAGTCCTTGCTATTAGCAGAGGGCAGCCGACGGCGGCACACGCGACGGACGCGGCGGCCAGGGGACCACCTGCGTCGTACAGGACGAGGTCGGGCTGGTAGTGTTCGAGCGCGGTCGGCAGCACCCTCGCGAGCTCGCCCAGGTACGTGCGGTCGTCCGCGTTGTCCGGCAGCGCGACGTCGATGTCCGACTTCTGTTTGCGCGCGGGGAAGTTGCTGGCGGCGTGGAAGCTGACCGTCGCGACGGAGTCGTCGCCCTCGAAGATGGCCGCCGTCCCGTCGCCCTGGTGCACGTCCAGGTCCAGCACCAACACCCGCGCCACCGCGCCCTCCCGGAGCAGCGTCCTGCAAACAACCTCGGACGGGGCTGTTCGAGCACGCTGTAACCCGTATCCTGCGGCGACACGCGCAGTGTACGAGGCAGCAAGTCATATTTGACAACGTGTCTGACCTGGCGGTGATTGCCATGTCGTTGATGAGGCAGAACCCCGAGCCCGCGTCCGGCAGAGCGTGGTGCGTGCCGCCCGCGGTGTTCGTCGCCATGCCGTACGTCAGCGCGCGCCGCGCCGTGAGCAGCGTGCCCGCTACCTCCCACAACGTGCGCCGAATGAGCACGTCCGTCCTCGCGACATCGCCGAACCCTATCCGCCTGACCTCCGCGTCCGTGAGCGTCCCTGTGCAGCAGCGCGCGGGCAGGTGCGGTCAGGTGCGCCTGCGGGCGCAGGGGGGACATGCATCCATCGGTGACCTAGAGTGCGTCGCGCAGGTTGGTTGTTTTCGCACCCGTGATGAATCGTCGAGCGTATCCTGGCTCGTGAGCGAGCATGACGTCGTCGATACCGGGCAGCACGGTCGGTCGATACGAGTGCTCCGGCGCCGCTCGCGACGTGGCGACCAGGTGTTGCCAAATGGCTCTGAAGGCGGGCATGGGGAACGTGTGCGGCTTCCCGCCGGGTCCCTTCAAGCGGGGCGCGCTGTACTCTTCGTGGTACACGACGGGCACCGCTGGAAGATAGGCCGCGCGTCCTGTACGCGCGCCGGGCGGCTGCACGTCGTGGGCCGCGCAGGGGGTCGACACACTGCGCGTCGCCGCTGCGGGGCCGGCGCGGGAGAACGCGCAGGGAGACGAGATGAACGATGATACTGCCGCCATCGCGCGCGTTGCAGGCGCGCGCAGGGGCATGCGGGCTCGCAGCTGCAGCTTGGCAGAGGCGAACGTGTGCTGTGCGCGCCCAGGCCTAGCCAAAAACTCGCCGCAGGGTTGTCCGCGCTGGGGCGGATACGAGGAGAGAGAGCCCTGCCGGGGCTTGGTGTGTTCGTGTGCTGCAGACCACGAGTCGGGCGCACGCGTCCCCACAAGGCACGCAGAGAGAATGCGCTCTCGTTCCCGAAGCGTGGAGTTTTCCCCCCCGTTTCCTCGCTACCTGGAGCTCTGGCTCATACTAAGGATGCGCTCCGTCCCAGTTCTCTGCACATCACGCGCGGGCGACGTCAGGCGGACCCCCGAAAGCCCCAGCTCAGATGCTCAGGGCTAGGTGTCGTCGGAAACGGCGCACTTCGATCCAGAACGCATCCAACTCTTCCCTGTAGGTCCAACCTGCCGCCCTCGTGCCCCTGGCTGCCTGCGCAGTCGCGGGGGGCTGACGCAGTCGCCGCCTGGCAAGCAGCCTGAAGGCCCCGAGGCAGTAGAAGCGGCCCGCCGGTCGACAAGGGGCGGCCGCGGCGTCCACTCCGCGCCTGACCTGCTCGCAGCCTTCATCCTGTGCTAGCTGATCATCAAGATGCCTGTCAGCTTCGCCATGAACCGCATCGCCGCGCCGGCCCAGCAGATGGTCGCCCGGCCGCGCCTGGCCGCTCAGACCCGCCGCGCCACGCGCCCGGTGGTGGTGAAGGCGGTAAGTTGCCCAACGATTCCCGCCCGCGCGTGCCGTCGCGCCGCGAGCCCCCACGGAGCGCCCGCGCTACAGGATGGCGAGCGATGCAGCCTAGCTCGAGTGGCCCGGCGAGGGCTCCCGCGGGCTCGATCGCGGGGCGGATGCCTTCTCGCTGTATCGAGTTCCGGAATCGTGCCACCGGCACCCTCCCTGCTGGCCGCGAGCACCAGGGACTGATGGGCACCGGCTTGCTACCCCCAGTGCCGCGTCTGGTCGTCGTGCGGTCAGCGAGGCCCTCGATGCGCGCACGCGGTCTCTCGGGGTATCCGTTGCGAAAACGCCGGCGGCCCGCGGCTGGCGTCGCGCCCAGTACGGATGCGCAGAGCTGCAACGGGGGCCTGCTTTTGCGGCGCTTCTCGCGCGATGGTGGCTGGATTTCATCCGGCGCGAGATTTCCGGCCCCCTCAGTGTCGAAAACACCGGGAGCGTCACGTGCATTCCGACCCCGCAGGCCGAGAACGTCGCTGTGGGCCAGGCCTATGCCGCTGCGCTGCTCGACCTGGCGCAGCAGAAGAACGCCCTGGAGGCCGTCCACTCGGACATCGACGCGCTCGCTGCGCTGATGAAGGAGGACGAGGGCCTGGCCAGCTTCCTGGCCAACCCGATGATGGACGGCGACAAGAAGAAGCAGACGATCAAGTCCATCGGCAACGAGGTGCGCGCGCGAGCAATCTGACGACACGACCCGCGAATCCTCCGTCTCTCGAAGCCGCTCGCACGCGACGGCGACGTCAAGCGCCCGCGCAGCCACGCCTGCTGCGTCTGTCGAGCGGCCTTCATCGGGCCCGCGCGCCCGTCCCAGGGCGCGCGACGCGTCGTCCCGCGCACCACTCGGGCCTCATTCATTCGAATCCCCGCGTGGCCGGACCTCAGCGCCTCCGGTGCCACCGTCGAGGCCGGGGCGGCAGGATACTGCGCCCAGTGCCCGTCCGCCCCTGCACGGCCCCCGCCCCCTGGCCGCGCCTGCCGACACGCAGGGCCCCGCGATGCGCTGCCGCCCTGCTCCTGCCCCTCCTCCCTTGCGCTCCCCGCCCCCAGGCCCGCCCCACGCCGCCGCGCCCCGCTGCCGCTCACCGCGCCTAGCACCCCGCCCCTACCGACCCGCAGGCCGGCTTCAGCCAGTTCACGACCAACTTCCTGCTGCTGCTGGTCGACAAGCAGCGCATCGACGCGGCCCCCGAGGTGTGCGAGGCGTTCGAGAGCATGTACTGCAACATCACGGACACCCAGGTGGCCATGGTCAAGTCCGCCGTCAAGCTGGAGCAGGAGCAGCAGTTCATGATCGCCAAGAAGCTGCAGGCACGTCCACCCCCGCGCGCCGCGCCTCACGGCCCCGTCCCAGGCCGCCGAGGCCGCGCACTGCGCCACTGTGCACCGCATCCGTCGCTCACGGCCCGCGGCTGGCCCCGTGCGCGTCCCGCAGGAGCTGACCGGCGCGAAGAACATCAAGCTGAAGCCGGTCATCGACGAGGAGCTGATCGCGGGCTTCGTCGTCGAGTACGGCTCGTCGCAGATCGACCTGTCGGTCAAGGGCCAGCTCGACCGGATCACGTCGGAGCTGACCGCCAACAAGTCCCTGGCCTAAGCCGGCGACTCCCCCGCGCCCGTGTACCGGAAGGGCGGGATGTGGAGGGGGCGCGGGCCACTCTGACGCGGTGGATGCGGGAGACATAGAGAGCTGGAGTGGCGCACCTGCGCCGCGACGGCTGGGGGAGCGGCTGGCGGGCTGCAACGGCTGGTAGGACGCCTCGCGCGTTGCGGGGATTTTGGTACGGAGGCGCCGCGCTGCGGGGACTGTGCTCGCTCTGTCCGCTGAGGCACGAGCGAGCAGGGACTGCGTGGCGCGGCGGCGCAGCGCCTGTGATCGGGTCGCACAGGGCGCTGCGGGAGCACCGCACGGGCGTGTCACACGCGGCCCAGCATCGCCGCACCCGACCATCCAGACCATGGCCTGCTGCCGCGTCTCATGCTTGCAAGAGGGGGTGTTCGTTTGGGGGTGTGGTATGATCCCTTTTCGCATGACAGGCCACGCGCGGGGGACGGCGATGACGAGGAGAGCTGAGTAGCCGTCGGCGCGTCGCCACACAACGCGGACAATGCCGCAGACTCAGTCACCGCTGTCACCCAGCCGGCTGCCGACACCCCCTGGTACAAGCAGCCTAGGACGGGGACCAGCACTTCGGCGCGTCGGCTGGCGGGCGTCGTCCAGTACTCGCGCGGCTCGCCGCGTTGTTGCTGACGACGCCCGCCACTCACTCACTCTAACTGATTGCAGGTCAGAGCCTTACCTTGGCACACGATGGCACGCTCACATGGCAGTTCGCGCGAGTACTCCTAGCACGCTGCCGCCTTGATCAGGACGATAGCACACCCGCATTTCGTTTCGTGCGCGGGTGGTCAATTACTACTCTGTGTGTCGTGTTGTGCTGCGCCGGGCCTCGAACATGGGGCTTTGGCGCAGTGCCAGCTGAGAGCTACCTCCCTACTCCGGCCTTCAACCGTCGGCGTAGACGAGCCTGCCTCCGGCTAACTGACTCCGCCGTCTCACGTCCGTGGCTCACCGCCCGGCGTGCTAGGAACGCGCAACTTAGGTAGAGCTCTCCCCGTCATCGTCGCCCTCCCGTCGTGGCTTGATTACTGCATCCTCGGTCTAGTTCCGCACCCCACCCTCTTTTCACCCCCAAAACCTCTCACCATGCGCACTCCAATCGGTCGCCGACGGAGGAAACGGCTCCAAGCAGCGTTGCGTCTCAGCGACCAGGCCGGCACCGCCGAGGCGCGCACGCTGCGTGGCCACCTTTCGAATGGCACCCTGTTCCACCATGTCGCAAATCTAAATGACCACGACCCGAACTTTCGACCCAGCATCACGCACGCACGCCGCATCGCGGCCGCTATTGCTCCGCAGGCATCTCCCCGTGCCTGGCCCCCTCCTAGCCCCCACCACACACCCTCCCACCCCGCCTCCGCACTAGCCCCTCGACCCTACTGGGACTACGTGCCCCGCGACGAACGGGCGCCCGCATACCCGCACCCGTGCCCCCCACCGAGCGCTCCTTTCCCACCGCCCCCGCCGGCGCTCTCGGACCTCGCCGCGCTACCATCGGTCACGGCAAACCCCCCGCTTGCGGCGCGCGGGGTTGTCTATGTCCTCTTGTGCCGGAAATACCGCTTCTTTTACTATGTCGGGGAGACATACCGCACAGCGATCGAACGACTGCAGGAGCACTTTGATGCAGCATTCACGCACCATCCGAACGCCGTGCACACCCCGCTTTACGAGTTTATGCGACGAGTGTGGGCGCAGTCGCCGAACGGCCATGTCCCGTGGCGCGACTTCACCATCGTGCCCCTCTTTCGCATCAATTTCGCACGCCAGGTGCCCATCCCGCCGGCGACTAGCCCGGACGCTTTGAAGGCCTGGTTCCACAAGTTCCGCACCTACTCCCTGGCCTGGGAGCAGACCATGATACGCTGTCTGGGCTCCACATACCCCGGCGGCCTCAATTACTGCAAGGGCATGTGGAATTTCGGCTACGGAGCTGGCCACTCTGATGCTGCCCCATGGCCTCTATCCCCCCTGGCGTTCCAAATCGCCGCTGACCCCCACCCCGTAGCGATCCCCCACAACGACTTCCCCGTCCCGCCCGGCCCGAGTGGGCTCCCAGCGCTGGCGACCCTCTTCCAGCCAACGTTTGCCATCTCCTCCACGCATCAACGTACCATCCACCTCGACGCTGACAACTGCCTCACAACTACGGCACCAGCGTTGTCCCTGCCCCCCGCTATCGCAGGCATGTCTCCGCGCCTCGGTACACGCGAGTATATCTACCAGACTCGCCTCCTTCTTGACGTTGTTTTGTTCCGCCGCGCCGGCGACACAGAGCACGATCATTGGAGACGCGCGGTGAACCATTGCACGGCAGCGAACATCGGAAAATACCTCTTCTCCCTCCATCACTGCGTGTCGCACATGCATCCCGATGCGCTTAACCTGGGTCTCGACGAGCCCTTTTACACACAGCAGATGTTGGACAGTGCCCGCACCGTTTTGCAGGCCGCCATCAACCACCACTACCCTCCCGTCGCAGACATCGACCTCGGGAGCCGTACCCTCATGATCCACGACTTCCCTACCCCCCTGGCTAGCCTCGCCCCCCTCGAAACCCTCGTCAATAATGATGACTTTCTCAACCTCTTACCTGAGCGTATCCGCGAAGGTATGGATGGCTTGTTTCTGGTGGCCCCGCGCTATTCGGTCAGGTTTCCACCGCTGTCGCGCTCGGTGTGCACGCACAGCGGAGTTGCCAAGTTTGCACGCAGTCGCCTGTACGACATCATGGCGACGCAGTGCGACTGTGCGCAACACCAAGGACCGGACCTACGACGCCACTTCACGCTCGAGGACCCCTACTGGCAGATCGACGGCGAGCCTGTGCGGCACCTCTGCACGCTGGACCCTGCTGCGGCGGGCATCCAGAGCACCGCGTACCGCCGTTTGTTCGCCGTCGGCGGTGCCAAGCACCGACACGTCCCGGAGCTGCACCAAGCCACGAGCGCGACCGTAGCTAGCATCGTTGAAGCCTACCAGAAGCCGCTGCTCGGGTGGACGAAACGCGTCAGCAAGGCCGCCGACATGGACGCGGCAGCGTGCATGCCCGGCTCGAACATGGGGCTTTGGCGCAGTGCCAGCTGAGAGCTACCTCCCTACTCCGGCCTTCAACCGTCGGCGTAGACGAGCCTGCCTCCGGCTAACTGACTCCGCCGTCTCACGTCCGTGGCTCACCGCCCGGCGTGCTAGGAACGCGCAACTTAGGTAGAGCTCTCCCCGTCATCGTCGCCCTCCCGTCGTGGCTTGATTACTGCATCCTCGGTCTAGTTCCGCACACCACCCTCTTTTCACCCCCAAAACCTCTCACCATGCGCACTCCAATCGGTCGCCGACGGAGGAAACGGCTCCAAGCAGCGTTGCGTCTCAGCGACCAGGCCGGCACCGCCGAGGCGCGCACGCTGCGTGGCCACCTTTCGAATGGCACCCTGTTCCACCATGTCGCAAATCTAAATGACCACGACCCGAACTTTCGACCCAGCATCACGCACGCACGCCGCATCGCGGCCGCTATTGCTCCGCAGGCATCTCCCCGTGCCTGGCCCCCTCCTAGCCCCCACCACACACCCTCCCACCCCGCCTCCGCACTAGCCCCTCGACCCTACTGGGACTACGTGCCCCGCGACGAACGGGCGCCCGCATACCCGCACCCGTGCCCCCCACCGAGCGCTCCTTTCCCACCGCCCCCGCCGGCGCTCTCGGACCTCGCCGCGCTACCATCGGTCACGGCAAACCCCCCGCTTGCGGCGCGCGGGGTTGTCTATGTCCTCTTGTGCCGGAAATACCCCTTCTTTTACTATGTCGGGGAGACATACCGCACAGCGATCGAACGACTGCAGGAGCACTTTGATGCAGCATTCACGCACCATCCGAACGCCGTGCACACCCCGCTTTACGAGTTTATGCGACGAGTGTGGGCGCAGTCGCCGAACGGCCATGTCCCGTGGCGCGACTTCACCATCGTGCCCCTCTTTCGCATCAATTTCGCACGCCAGGTGCCCATCCCGCCGGCGACTAGCCCGGACGCTTTGAAGGCCTGGTTCCACAAGTTCCGCACCTACTCCCTGGCCTGGGAGCAGACCATGATACGCTGTCTGGGCTCCACACACCCCGGCGGCCTCAATTACTGCAAGGGCATGTGGAATTTCGGCTACGGAGCTGGCCACTCTGATGCTGCCCCATGGCCTCTATCCCCCCTGGCGTTCCAAATCGCCGCTGACCCCCACCCCGTAGCGATCCCCCACAACGACTTCCCCGTCCCGCCCGGCCCGAGTGGGCTCCCAGCGCTGGCGACCCTCTTCCAGCCAACGTTTGCCATCTCCTCCACGCATCAACGTACCATCCACCTCGACGCTGACAACTGCCTCACAACTACGGCACCAGCGTTGTCCCTGCCCCCCGCTATCGCAGGCATGTCTCCGCGCCTCGGTACACGCGAGTATATCTACCAGACTCGCCTCCTTCTTGACGTTGTTTTGTTCCGCCGCGCCGGCGACACAGAGCACGATCATTGGAGACGCGCGGTGAACCATTGCACGGCAGCGAACATCGGAAAATACCTCTTCTCCCTCCATCACTGCGTGTCGCACATGCATCCCGATGCGCTTAACCTGGGTCTCGACGAGCCCTTTTACACACAGCAGATGTTGGACAGTGCCCGCACCGTTTTGCAGGCCGCCATCAACCACCACTACCCTCCCGTCGCAGACATCGACCTCGGGAGCCGTACCCTCATGATCCACGACTTCCCTACCCCCCTGGCTAGCCTCGCCCCCCTCGAAACCCTCGTCAATAATGATGACTTTCTCAACCTCTTACCTGAGCGTATCCGCGAAGGTATGGATGGCTTGTTTCTGGTGGCCCCGCGCTATTCGGTCAGGTTTCCACCGCTGTCGCGCTCGGTGTGCACGCACAGCGGAGTTGCCAAGTTTGCACGCAGTCGCCTGTACGACATCATGGCGACGCAGTGCGACTGTGCGCAACACCAAGGACCGGACCTACGACGCCACTTCACGCTCGAGGACCCCTACTGGCAGATCGACGGCGAGCCTGTGCGGCACCTCTGCACGCTGGACCCTGCTGCGGCGGGCATCCAGAGCACCGCGTACCGCCGTTTGTTCGCCGTCGGCGGTGCCAAGCACCGACACGTCCCGGAGCTGCACCAAGCCACGAGCGCGACCGTAGCTAGCATCGTTGAAGCCTACCAGAAGCCGCTGCTCGGGTGGACGAAACGCGTCAGCAAGGCCGCCGACATGGACGCGGCAGCGTGCATGCCGTACATTGATGCTATACTTGCTGCTACGCAAACGGCACTCCAACCCGCTCTTCAACCCGGGTTCCGCCTTCCATGGCCCCCGCCGCTGGCGGACATTCAGCCCGACGATCGCGTGGCTCTGCGGCGAGACGCGACACGCCTCACCATCACGACCATGGACAAGAACGCCGGGAATTTGGTTTTCGTGTGTCGGCGCGCCTACATCGAGGTCCTCCTGCACGACCTGCACAGCAACGACGCTTTCGCTGTCAACGAGCCGGCAAATGCCAACATCACGCATGCCAGGCACGTGGTGAACGTCGCTAACACGACGGAGGCTATGTTGGACAACCTGCAGCTACCAGGAATACGCACCGAACGCGAGTGCGGTGGTCTACCGCACTACTACGGGACGATGAAGCTTCACAAGGCCAAGGTGGACGTGCGGTACATCTCGGACTGCTCGAGCGACATCACGCGCCCCGCAGCGCAGCTGCTGACGAAGGCCCTCGGCGCGCTCATGTGCCACGCCACCCTCGTGGAGGTCTGGAGCTCCATCTTCGACGGCGTCCCGGAGGACCTCTGCAGCAGCTTCGCGCCCTTCTTGGTGGACTCCAGCCGCGGCATGCGTGACATGGTGACCGCGTATCTACATGACAACCCACCACGCTCAGCGATACATGCTCAACAACCACCTCTGCTGCTGGGCGCCGACATCAAGCGGCTCTACACGCACATCCGGCACGAGACGAGCGCGGACCACGGGACCGGCCTCATCGACTGCGTCATCGAACACATCGACGCTGTTTTTGCACTGCATCCAGGGCAACACCTCCTGATCGACTTGCAACCCGCGTTTGACGCGAGGGAGACGTGGTGGTGGGTGGCGCAGCTGCCGGACGCGGACGGCATGGTTGGGAAATGGGCACCGAGCATCGAGCAACTTCATGGTCTCGTGCACATCCTCGTCAAACGCGCCTACGTGGTGTTCGGGGGCGTCGTATATCACCAGACCTGCGGTGTGCCCATGGGGCTCTCGGCCTCCCCCCACCTCGCGAACTGCTACATGTTCCGGCATGAGCTCGCGTTCCTCTGCCAGTTTCGCGACCGCTGGTTGAGCACTGGCGACGTCGCTTGGCTGAAGGTCTTGGGGTCTTTCCGTTATTCCAGGCGCTACATCGACGACAATTTCTCTCTCGCGAACGCACTGTACCGCTACTTCAACACCCACCCCCGCCCCCCCACCCCGCCCCCCGAAACCCCGTCGTCGATCGTAGATCTCATCTCTGGTATACATAACATGTACCCCCCCTGTCTTGAGGTCGAATTTGACGCCCCAGCGAACCCGCTCGACGGTGTCTCCTTCCTAGACCTCCGCGTGCGTCCGCATCCCGAATATCAGGGCTTCCTCCTGATCTCGCACTATGACAAACGCGGTCTGTTTCCTGAGAACATTCACCTCATACAGTACCCCCACGCTTCGTGTGCGCTGCTGCGACGACACCTTTACAACATCGTCCGCACCGAACACATCCGCGTGTCCAGCGAGGTGACTGACCGCGACAGCTACGTAGCCAAGATGTCGGCCATGATGCGCTACATGCGTACGCATCGAGGTTACTGCATGCGACAGGTCCTGGCGATCCACCGCGCCGCCTGCCGGACGCACCCGAGCCCGCATTTTGGCCCTGCCACGCCGGCGGGCCTGGCTGACCTCGTGCGTCGCCACGTGCAGTTTGCAGACCATACTGGCCAACCTGCTGACAGGGCGTGCCCGGCGCCCTGCAACTCGTCACCCTCATACATGATCCCGGCGCTGCGAAGCTGGCTCGGAACTATCCAGCCATGCCCGCACACATGACGCACTCTGTTACCCCCCCGATGTTGACATGTTGGCCATGCGCGTATTCCGTGGCCGCTAGACCGAGGTATGATCCCTTTTCGCATGACAGGCCACGCGCGGGGGACGGCGATGACGAGGAGAGCTGAGTAGCCGTCGGCGCGTCGCCACACAACGCGGACAATGCCGCAGACTCAGTCACCGCTGTCACCCAGCCGGCTGCCGACACCCCCTGGTACAAGCAGCCTAGGACGTGGACCAGCACTTCGGCGCGTCGGCTGGCGGGCGTCGTCCAGTACTCGCGCGGCTCGCCGCGTTGTTGCTGACGACGCCCGCCACTCACTCTAACTGATTGCAGGTCAGAGCCTTCCCTTGGCACATGATGGCACGCTCACATGGCATTTCGCGCGAGTACTCCTAGCACGCTGCCGCCTTGATCAGGACGATAGCACACCCGCATTTCGTTTCGTGCGCGGGTGGTCAATTACTACTCTGGGTGTGGTGTCAGACGCGGTGCAGCTGCGGGCACAGGGCGAGGAAGCCGACCACTCCGGCGCCCGTGGCGGTGAGGAGCGCCGCGCTGAAGCGGCTCCGGAGCATCCCGGGGAGGTCTGGGAGACCCATGTAGTTGCACACGGCGTGGGCTGCGGCCACCGCCGCGACGGAGCGCAGGGCCAGCAGCGCGTGCGTCGCGTACATCCCGAAGAGGTACGTGTAGCAGAACTGCAAGAGCGCGGTCGGCTAGCGTCGTTGCGTCATACGAGCAGCTGGCTGCTCCGGCTCGGCGCATTCGACCGGGTACGTTCGCGCCGGTCGTGCAGCTGAGTTGCTGCGGGTGGATCGCGGTGGTCGGGCGGATCGGAGCGGCGCGCCCACGGCGGGGGGGCGTTCACTTGCCTGCACTGCCGTCTGGGTCACTGCAGCCGAGGGCCGTGTTCCGTACAGGGTGATCCGCTCGTAGAGGTGGTGGAAGTGCGCGGCTCCGAAGAAGAGCGGCGTCAGCGCCACGGTCTGGCCGTGGCTCAGGACCCCTGTCATGCCCAGCAGCGGCACCATGCACGCGCGGAACGCCCACTCCTCGGTCACCGGCGCGATGCACAGGTCCCGCGCTGCCTGCCACGGCGTCCGCCTGTCGAGCAGAGCCCACGCCAGGCTCTCCCCGGCCGCCCGCGACCGCCGCCGCGCGGTCAGCTTGGCGACGACGTAAAGGAGGATCGGGCCGGCGTACAGGACGCAGACGTGCGCGACCGCCGCGAGGACGGGCAGCAGCCGCCTGCCCTGACGCCCGAGCGACAGCACGTCGAGGGTGCCTGCGTGCAGGCCACGCGAAGCGCGGTGTACAGCTGATGCCTCTCGTCTTGACAGCCGCGCTCGTCGTGGTGGATGCGCAAACGGATGCTGCGGGGGGCCGCGTGACGTGTGTTACCTGCGAGCCCGGTCGTTTCCCGGGACGCGTAGTGCACTGGAACCCACGTGAGGGCGCAGGCACACAGCACCGCTGCAGCGCGGCGCTTGATGGCGTGGTCGTCCTGCCTGCTCGCGGGCGGCCCGGACTTGCGCCGCGGCGGCCTGACGTACAGGGCTGACACGTACACCAACGCGATGAGGAGACACAGGAGCAGCGCCGTGGGGAGAGAAAGGGCGCGCGGCACCTGCTCGCCCATGGCTGCGCTCCTGACAATCAGTCCGATGTAAGTGGTTCGAAAAATGATGGTCCAGGTCTCAAGCCCTCATTTCATGCTCGCGACGGCCCCCGCTGCAGCACAGTTGGGGGGCCCTGTGCAACCTCGCGAGATGTGGGGCAGGCAGGGGTGTTATGCTCCGATTTGAGGGACGTCTTCCTCTCCAGATGGATTTCTTTGAGATGACAACCTCGCGCGGTATCTGACGGTGCCGCTTCAGGCGCTGGACGGACAAGTGTGACGGCGCCCAATGCACCTGGAATGCGCGCCACGCGTGTTGGCACGGGTGCCGCGATCGGGGGGCAGGTGCTCGCGTGCACAGTGATGCAACGGCCAGCAGCGTGGCGCGTTGTGTTTGCTGCTGCGGAGGGGGAGTGAGCCCGCCCCGCACAGGAGATCCCCGGCACGACTCAGGGCGGGACCTCGGTCGGGCAGGCACGCTGACATGACCTGGGCGAGCCACACGGCCACCGCACTGTTGTCGATAGCCTGTAACCCGGTCTATCGTGGCCGCGCCGACACGGCAGCGCGTCGAGAGGAACAGCCTGCTGCGCGCACGCCTTGAGGCGGGGCGCGATGGCGCCCGCTGAGCGGGACCTGAACTCGCCTGCGGCACAGCCGCGGAGCGACCGAGTGGACGACGAAGACGCGCCCCTGATCCAGCGCACAGCAAACGGCGGGGATGCGCGCGAGCGCCGGACTCCGTCGGCCGCGAGCAGCGAATACGACCCAGATGCAGACCTGCGGCGGCCTGAAGGCCTGCCCGAGAAGGATCCGTTCCGCACAGAGGTGACGCGCCCCGCTGCACCGCCAGACGTGGGCGTGAGGTGCGCTTGAGGCAGCAAGGCAGGGAGGCGCCGTGCGGCCGTCGCCGTCGCTCCAGGGCCGAGCTGCCCCGGGCGGCTAGCCTCGCTGTCGAGCCCCGCTTGCGCTGACGTCCCGCGCATCGAACGGGCGGTCGCAGGTGGCGCGGTGCGTCAGGCTCTCGTGGCCTCTAGTGCTGCAGAATTTAATGATGTACGCGCTCACCGTGATATCCATCGCGTTCCTCGGTCGACTCGGAGCCTTCCAGGTACTATCGGCTCGGACCCCGTGCCGCGCGTGCCCTGAAACTCATCTTGTCCTCGGCACGGCGAGGCCTGGACGCGCCGGGAGAGCGCTCGAGACCCGCCGCGCGCTCGTCCCCACCGCTCGCAGCTCTCCGCCGCTGTGTTAGGAACCTCGTTGTACAATATCACAGGACTCTCAATCATGGTGGGCCTCTCGTCAGGGCTGGAGACGCTCTGCGGGCAGGCAAATGGCGCAAGGCAGCACCACCTCCTCGGGATCTATCTACAGCGCTCCCTCCTCATCATCTTTACCATCTCCTTGCCGATCACGGTGCGCACGCCCACCCTCCTGCGCGCCCGAAGAAACACCCCCCCGAGCCGTGCTTGCCCACTCTTGCGTGTGCACGGCCGCGCCCCTCACCGCCCGAGCCCCGTGCCGCCGCTGCAGATCATGTGGACGCAAGCCGAGAGGGTCCTCGTCTTCCTCGGCCAGGAGCCCGCGCTCTCTAGGCTCGCCGCCCGATACCTCCTGTGCATGATTCCCTCTCTGTGGCTGGCAGCGGCGGGGGAGTGCCTGCGCCGCTACCTCATGGCCCAGGTCCGCCACCCCCCACCTCGCCCACACGCGCACACCGCACCAGCGGCGCCCTGCGCGCCCAAACCGCCCCCCTGACAACCACAGCAACGATGCCGCGGCCTTGCCGCACACGTGCGCCGCCGCCCCGCTGCCCGCAGTCCGCCGTGAAGGCGCCGATGTTCATCGTCGCGGGCAACACGGCGCTGTCCCCGCTCGTCCACTACCTGTTCATCTTCAAGATGGGATGGGGGCTCTACGGCGGGGCCGCCGCGGTGCTCGTGGCCAACCTCGGGTCCGCGGGGATGCTCGCGGCGTACGCGATCTGCTGGCCCGGGTCGCACCGGCGCGCGTGGCCCGGGTTCAGCGCCGACGCCTTCCGCGGGTGGGGGGTGTATTTGCGGATCGCGGTGCCCAGCACAGCGATGCTGGTGTGCGAGTGGTGGGCGTTCGAGTTCGTCCTCCTCGCCGCGGGGCTCCTGGAGGATCCCGACGTGGCGCTGTCCGCGATGGGCCTCTGCTTCCAGGTGACGTCGCTGCTCTACATGGTGCCCCTGGGGCTGGGCGGGGCCATCTCGACGCGCGTGTCGAACGAGCTCGGGGCGTACCGGCCGCAGCAGGCGCGGATGGCCGCGCTGGTCTGCGCGGGCCTGATCGTGCTGAGCCAGGGCAGCATGTCTGTCATGGTGATCGCGCTGCGCCAGTACGTCCCGCGGCTCTTCACGTCCGACCAGCGCGTGATCGACCTCGCCGCGAAGTGCCTCTTCCCGCTCGGCATCTCCGTCATCGGCGACGGCCTCCAGTGCGTGCTCTCCGGGCTCCTGCGCGGCTCCGGGAGGCCCGCGCTCGGTGCTTACATCAGCCTTGCGACGTACTGGGGGGCGGGGCTGCCGTTCGCGTGGCTGTTCGGGTTCCACTTCGGCATGGGCGCCGTCGGGCTGTGGGTCGGCCTGGCGTGCACGACCAACCTGCAGGGCCTGGTTGTGTCCGGCGTCGTGGCGTTGGTGATGGACTGGGAGAGCGAGGCCAAGCGGGCGGCGCGGCTGGTGCGGGAGGCGTCCGTGCACAGCCTCGGGCGGCTCCAGGCGGACGGGAAGACGCTCGGGCAGACGCTGGACGCCGAGCGCGGGCAGCACCCTGCGTGGCGGACCAGCGGGGCGAGCGCGGGGGGGGGTGATTCGACGAGCCCGACTCGGCGGCCGCTCGAGGTCTGAGCGGCGAGGACCGGCGCGTGCGCGGTGGTGCAGTTGTAGATGTCGTAGGTTGGCCGGCGCGCATGTGTCTGAACGACGTTTGAGAATGATCTTTCTTTTCACGTCCCGGAGCCTCATGGCCTTCGAGGCGAGATGCGACACCTCAGGCAACAGACCGTCGTTTCGTGCGGCCCTCAGCAAGCTCGTCCGCTTCGCGACCGTCAGACCGTGCGTGACTGCTAGGCACGGCAACTGCGGTGCATGATCTCTGGCCCTCCTTGCTGTTGCTTGCTTGCGCAGCGAGCTCTCCCCCCCTCCGCCGCCTGGCTGCGCGCTAGATACCGGTCAACGCCGACCTGACAGCCATGTTCGCGCCCGCATCGACCGCCAGCAACACTCACACGCGAAGCCGTCATGCCTGGTCCGCAATCGGGTTCGCATGGACCGTAACGCGGTTGATGCGGATCTCCTGCAGCGGCCGGTCGTTCGCTCCCACCGGCACGCGCTCCATCTTGTCCAGCGTGCCCATCCCGTCGATCAGTTGCCCAAAGAGCGTGTATTTCCCATTGAGGTGGTTGTGCGCCTTGTACGCGATGAAGAACTGCGAGCCGTTCGAGTTGGGCCCCGAGTTGGCCATGGAGAGCGTGCCTCGTCGGTTGTGCTTGAGGGACTCGACGATCTCGTCCGCGAACTTGCCCGTCTCGGACGCGTAGATGCTCCGGCCTCCCTTGCCGGTGCCCGTGGGGTCGCCGCCCTGGACCATGAAGCCCTTGATGTTCCTGTGGAAGATGACGTTGTTGTAGTAGCCCGAGGCGCACAGCGCGAGGAAGTTCTCCGCCGTGCGGGGACACTCCTCGCAGTACAGCTCCAACTTGAGGTCGCCCAGCGTTGTGTGCAACGTCACCGACTACAAACACCAGCGCACCGCAAACAACTGTGCCGTGAGATCGCGCGAGAACAGTGCCTGGGACTGAATCGCCGCTCAAACGCGGAAGCGCGCGCCTGAACAGTCGCGAGGTGCAACACGCGGCAGATGGCCAGAGACGCGCAGATGGCGCGGCCGAGAACGACGGCTGGCATGCTGTGAGTACTGTCAGTGACCTCGCGCTCACCATGATTGGGAGTAACCGCTAGGGCGCACGTCGCAGGAAGAGACAACGGTGCGGTCCCGTTCGCCTCGTTCGCACCCTCCCTCCCCGCAGCCGATTCCCCTGGAGGTGTCCCCACGCAGATGTATGCACTCTCACGGAGAGATCTACGTGTGGTGCTTCCGTGTGACGCGGGTGTCGACGGCGCGGACGGGGATTCTAGTTGAGAGATGCAGCTAATGGCTTGGGCGCGGGTTCAAGGTAACAGAGTGACGCTGAAACTCACGCCGCGTCTTCTGGTTCGCGATCCTCGGTCATGGCCGGCGCGACTCGCTGGTTCGACCACTGTGCGCTGCGGTACACACGATCATACTCGCATAGGGGGCCATCCCCTGCTAGAAATCTTCGTCTCCAGGCGTGAAAAGTGTGGTCGCGAAGCAACACCGCGCGACCTGCTGACTACCTTCTGCCGACATTCATTGGGCGGTTCCCGCGATACGAGCCTCAGCTGAATCTCCCTCGCGGAGAACAGCGCGCATGAACTTGGTGGCGCCGGCAGTGCCACCAGGGGCGCCGTGCGGGCATCATTGAGCGTTTCGGGCGTAAGCAGCGCTTTTCCGGAAAACAGCGATCCTGAGCGTTCTGTCGCTTTCGCACGGCGCGGCTCATGCGGCGGACACGCTCAGATTGCGCACTGAAGCCTTGGAAGCCCCAGCGGCGCTACCACCTTTAGGCACGCGTTTCTCCGCGATTTCATATTCCCAGGCGCCCATACTTCGGCAACGGATCAATGAATGTTAGGACACGAGGTTTTGGGGGTCGAGCATGTCCAAAGCTCGCGACAGAGAATCCCGCCCCGGGGCGAAATACACGCCTGGAGACCAAGCCAAGTGGCCCCCTATGGGAACCGGTCAGCGAGGGTGTCTTTCGCCTGGCGCCAAGGGAGGAGACGTCGGCGACAGCGCTCTCCCGCGCAATGAAGTCCATGTATCACGGCGCAGGCAGGATCGGTCTCACTCCCTCAGGTGTACGAGACGCACTGCGGCGCGACGTCCTGAAGCGGTTGGGTGCACTGCGCCGTTCCCGCCCCGAGGGGGCCGGTCTGCACGCAGACTGAGCGCGAAATCACGGGCACGTTCCAGCAGTCCAGAGAGATGGCATCGCCGGAGGTCGAGGCGTTCTTCGCTGCGTGCCCTCCCTCAGGGACACCGGCAGTGCCCGCAGGCGACCCCGGCTCGGCTGTGCGCGCATTCCTGCGGCATCACAGCTCCGCCGAAGGCGAGCTGAATCGACCTGTCGTCTGCGTCACGTCCGGCGGCACGCAAGTCCCGTTGGAGAAGAAATGCGTCAGGTTCATCGACAACTTCTCAGCAGGTACAACAAACCACACCGCTCGATCCTCAACACCCCCCGCCTCGTTCTCCGGACGGCGCTTGACTGCTCGGCCAATCGGCGCCGTGCGCAGCGGACATTGCATGCATTCGCGAGTGCCCGTAGAGCAGCGAGTGAGCTCACACTGGGACGTGTGTGTGTGTGTGCGTGCGCGCAGGAACCCGCGGGGCGCGCAGCGTCGAGCAGTTCCTCGAGCTCGGCTACGCGGTGATCTTCATCACGCGCGTCGGGTCGATCCAGCCCTTCTCGATGGGCCTGCCCGCCGTCGATGCCTACCAGCGACTGTGCACGACCATCCAGCCCGCCGACAGCGCGGACAGCGCGCAGCCGTGCGCCGCGTCCTTCGACGCGGGCGACGCGCAGGCGATCCTCGAGGTGCGCGCGCCGGGCCGGACCCAGGGCTCGTTGCGGCCACGAGACGTGCCACTTCTCGTCGCGCGACGTGACGTTCGCTGTTGCCGCTCTTTGTCGCCGCGCAGGAGATGCGTGCGATGCGCAGGACGCAGGACAGCAGCTGCCTGCTCACGCTGCGCTTCGCGACGCTGTTCGAGTACCTGGTAGTGCTCCGGTGCGTCCGCAGATATCCACCGGCAATCAATCACACCACCACGCCTGAACACGTGATCGCTGCTTGCACCTGTTTCTCCGTGCCCGAGGTGCGCACCGTCCGCTACGCTCGCTGACGTCTAATCGCCGCGCGGTTCCCCTGCAGCGCCGTCGCGCAAGAGGCGGGGGGGTATGGCGCAGGTGTGGCGTTCTACCTCGCGGCCGCGGTGTCTGACTTCTACATCCCGTGGGCCAGCCTGACGGAGCACAAGATCCAGTCGCGCGACGGCGGGCTGTCGATGGAGCTGAGCCAGGTCCCGAAGACCCTCGGCGAGCTGCGCAGGGTGTGGGCGCCGTCGGCGTTCGTTGCGTCGTTCAAGCTCGAGACGGACCCCTCGATGCTGGAGAGCAAGGCGCGGGGCGCGATTGAGAAGTACGACGTGCACGCGGTCGTGGCGAACCTGCTGCACACGCGGCACCAGGAGGTGTTCGTATACAATGGGGGGAGTGCGAAAACCGACCCCCCGGAGCACGTGCAGCGGGGGGAGGACAAATGCGTCGAGGTGCGGCTCGTGCGAAGCATCCGTGACATGCACTTGGCGTTTTGGAAAGGCGGCGGCGGGTCTTGAGCCCCGGCGTGCGCTTGTGAGGTGCATGTCAAATAGCGCACGTGGGCGTAGAGAGACGGTCAGCGCTTCTTCGCGGTTCACAAACATTGCTGGGAAGCTGCTATCTGCTCTGCTTGGGTTGTGGTCGAGTAATCATGGCTGGCTGATCGATCAATCGCAAAACTTCGATCATCGGGCTGTTCAATCTCTCTCTGTGCAAAACTGACCACCTGCGAGCGCCCCGCTCGCCGCGCGCCTGGCCTCTCGCCCTCTGCGCTCCTGTAGGCTACGCGAACTCCTCTTCGACGCACGTCCGACGGCTCGCGTCGCGCGCCGACCCCGCTGCTGGTGCGAACGTACGGTGTGTGCTGCGCTCAACCCTGCGACTTGACCGAGCCGAGCCCGCCGTCCACGCCCAGCACCTGCCCTGTGATGAACGAGTTCGCGGGGTCGAGCAGGAACACCGCCGCGCGCGCCACCTCGTCCGCCTCGCCAATGCGCCCCAGAGCATGCATCGCCGTCGACGCCTTCAGGGCCGGCTCGCTCGAGGTGATCTTCTCCGCGAGGCCCGTCCGCGTGAGGCCCGGAGCGACGCAGTTGACCCTGCGGTGCGCGGCGCGGACTGGGTGTGAGGAGGGCCAGGACAAGGCACAGAAGTGAACGAGGGAGGTTGTGGGCGGGTGGCGGGCTTGCCTGATGTTCTTCGGGGCGTATGTGGCGGCGCTGCTCTTCATGAGCCCCTCGACGCCGGCCTTGGCGGCCGCGATCGCCTCGTGGTTGGGCAGGCCGTGTTTGGCCACGGCGCTGGAGAAGAGCACCACGGAGCCCCCGCCGGACTTCATCATCGTCTTGATCGCGCCCTTGCTCACGTTGAACGCGGAGAACAGGTTCGTGCGGACCACGTCGTCGAAGTCCTTCTCACTGGTCGCGTGGAGCCCGCGCAGCAGCACGTTGCCCACGCAGTTCGCCACGCCGTCCAGGCGGCCCATGTCCTTCGCGGCCGCCGCGATGGCCTTGTCCACGGCGCTCGCGTCCAGGGGATCCACCACGGCCACGGCGTCCGCGCCCGTCTCGACCGCGACCGCGTTGGTGCGCGCAGGGTCCCGTCCAGACACCGTCACGCGGAATCCCTTGGCCTTGAGCTGCCTGCGAACACGCAACCTCAGAGGAAAGCATGCTCGCACCAGAACTAAGCCACTGGCCGAAAGAAGCGACGGACGCACGTCGCGTGGGGGCCGTCGTGCTCGATGCCTACCACCAAAGACACAAAACGCACGTCGGCCTCTTCCGCTCAAGACGCGGAATTTCCGGCACACTACAGCGCCAGGTGCTCCTCCAACACATGGGTGCTCGCTGGGAGGCGCGAACGCGGCCGTGATGGCGCCAGGCGTCGCGTTGCGGGGCGCGAAGCAATGCGTGGCTCAGAAGGGGAGGGCAGCCGCGGAGGGCGCGAATGTGCCGTACAGCGGCGCGTTCAGTGGCCGTGAGGCACGATGATGCGTCAGGGAAGCCGCGTACCTGGCCACCTGCGCGCCGATCCCGCCCGTGGCGCCGAAAATCATAAAGGCTGGGGCGTCTGCGGGCGCAGTGCTAGGCTCGGCCGCCCCCGCGGCCGTGGAGGAGCCAATCTGGCGGATGCGCGTCGGGTACGCCCCAGCGGTGCAGGACTGCAGGACGGACGAGGTGTGCACGGTCGCAGCTGGGTAGAACCGCTGGAGCGGCGCTGAGGTGGCTGCGGGCAGCGCGGCTGCATGGAGCGGGGCGTGCGGGGCCGCGGGGGCGGCCACGCGGGTCGCGCAGCGCGCCACGGCGCCTGAGAGGGCACGGAACATGTGAGGAACCGAAGAGAAGCCCTGCGCGAGGTGCCCGACGGAAAGCACGCCGGTGAGGCGGCTGTGGAGCTGAGGGCCTTTTGCCGGCTGCCTGGCTTATAGAGCGTTGATGGCGAGGTAGTTCTCGAACTGGGGAACGCCGAGTACTGCAGGGAGGGCGTCGAGGGCCCGTGATCAGCGCTCGATGCTGGCCAGCCGCCGCGGACGCCTGACGTGTCCAGCTGCCTGACTGGGCGAAAGGCCCCCACAAACGACCCCGGACGACGCGCGCAGCTCCCACCCCGCGCCGCGCGCCAGTCCGCCTCTCACTCGCGCGATCGGCGCCTCGCGCCCGACGTCGGTCTGGCCAGTCAAGGACCAACGGCGTCTCACAAGACTCTGAATCACGATATGCGGCGCCTACGCACGGCCCCGAACGAGCAGGCCGTGCACGGGCGGCGACACGCCCCCCGACGCATGCCGCTGCATCAGGTCCGGCAGCAGCGCCGCGCACAGCTCCTGCGGGTGCCGGGACCCCCCCGGCTCCAACAGCCCCTTTCGAATCGCAGTTCCGGCGCTGGGCTCGAGCGGGCAGCCCTCGAAGTGCCGCTGCCACAGCGCCCCCGCTACCGCGCGACAGTACAAGTAGCTGCGAGCACGACAACGAAAGGCAGCAGCGGTGAGCGCGCGTTGCGTACGCGAGTGATTAGGGGCCACGCTTTTGGTGCTCTGCGGCCTAGACGCCGCACTGACCTGTAGTAGATCCCGCCGTAGCCTGTCAGGTGCGGCAGGCGCAGGTACGGGTGCGCGCCCTGCGCCATCGGTGCCACCATGTGGCCCTCGTAGAGCCGCGCAGACGCGTCTTGCAACGTCTCGCCCCCGCGTCCCGGCGGGCCGCCCTGCCCCGCGCCGTGCGCCTCCATATCCAGCAGCGAGAAGAACACCTGCTGCTGCAGGTCCATCCCCGCGAACGCCTCCGACGCGGCGAAGTGTCGCTCCAGCACCTCGACGGGCAGCGGGTCGCCGGACGAGCGGTGCCGCGCGAACGACTGCACGGCCGCGGGGTCCCGCGCGAAGTGCTCCCACAGGTGCGACGGCACCTCGGTCCAGTCGAGCGCGCCGCGCGTCCCGGACAGGTGCTGGAACTCGGTGCGCGACAGGGCGGCGTGCAGGGCGTGGCCGAACTCGTGGAAGAGGACCTCGAGCTCGGAGAGGTCGAGGCGCGTGCTGGCGAAGTTGCAGACGAGCGCGACGACGGGGGGCTCGAAGGCCGCGGCGCCCCCGGGCGGCGGCGGCCAGGAGCGCATGCGCCCGCAGCGGATCATGAACGTGGCCGCGCCGGCGAACTTCTCCGGGCGCGCGGTGAGGTCGAGGTAGATCGTGGCGAGGCGCTGGCCGGCGGAGCCCTGCGGAGCGTGTTCGACGAGCCCGAGCTTCTTGACGCCAGGCGCCCACGACTCCGAGGACGACACGGACTCCTCCTGCGGCGACACAGCGGCGTGGTGGGCGCGAATGGGTGGGAATGCGTGGCTCTGGTATTCTTGGACGACGCGAAGCGTCTGAAACACCGAAATGAGCCTGCACGGAGGACGAGGCGTCGTTCGAAACACCAGGGGTCGCTCCGGAGGAATAGCGGGCGTGCGGCCGGCGCGCTCGCGCGGAACGCACGCGCTACGGCCGCGAGCACTCTGTCGCACCTTCAGGTCCAGCCCCATGAGCCTCTGGAGCAGCATCGACAGTCCTCGCACGCACTGATCGACGTGCAAATACTCCGTCGGGTCGACGCCCAGCGCGGCCCGACTGCCCCGCCTCGACCCGTCCAGGTGCGCCTCTGCGAGCGCGCGCGCACGGTAGTACCCCACGTCCCACCACGGCAGCTTCGGCGGCCGCCCCCGCGCCGACGGCCCCCGCCCCGCGGGTCCCTTGGCCCGACACAGGCCGTAATACTCCCCCTTCGCGCGCGGAAGGTTCTCCTCGCTGAGCCGCAGGAGGAAGTCCATCACCGCGGCCGGCTCCCCCGCGAGCGTGTCCATCGCCGCGGTATGACACGCAAAAGACTTGTACCCCAGCATCGCCGCGATGTCGTGTCTGACCTGACGCAGCTCCTCCAGACGGGCGATGTTGCCCTGGGGGTTGCGGTTCCCCGCCTGGTACGCCGCGCGCCGCACCCACTCGCTCGACTCCCGCGCCATCACGGCGCCCAGCGTGCCCGGGTCCAACACAATGTCGCGCCCGCCCCACCGGAGCCGCCCGAGCTGCCTCGGGTCGCACAGCGCCCGCGAGATATCGACCTGGAGCTCCTTCTCGCGGTGCGTCAGGTCCGCCATCCGGTCCGCGTCCCGCCCGGACAGGTGCACGCCGCTGCGCTCGAAATCACGCAGCAGCAGCATCCCGACGCGCTCGGCCTCGTCGGTCCACCCGTCCGGCGACCTGCCCGCGCGATCGCGGCCCTTGGCCGCGCGGTGCGCCTGGACGGTGGCGAGGGCGCTGCGTAGCGACGTGTAGAGCCCGCCGTTGACGTTCAGCGAATGCACGTACTGGTTCAGGCGCGTGGACGTGGCGTGCGCGGCCTGGCGCCACGCAGGATCCGTGTGCACCTGCGCGGGACGGGAGCGGTGGAGACGGCGTCGGTTGCTGCCCAACACGGGGGTTGCCGTGTAGCTGGTGGGAGAATGAGGTGCCGCGAGCGCCGAGGAGTGGGCGTGATCGCGCACCTCCATGCACAAGTTCGAAGCGTCGATGACGCGGCATATCTCGTCGGAAATGTCGTCCATTTGCCGCACTACATGGGGCCCGGTGTGTGGGCTGGCCATGATGTCCGCAGCTATAGCGTCGCACGCGCGCTCCGCGCCCTCCGCGAGCCGCATCCAGTCCGAGGGTTCATGGAGACCCTCGATTCCGAATAGTCCCGGCCCCGTCGCCCGCGAAATCGACGGAAAACCGCCGAAAATTCGCCTCCGTCCCTCCGCCACCGAGGTCCTGGGCCCGCCCGCATGCCCCTGGGCACAGCCGCTGGCGCCCCGCACGCCGTCGACGCTGGCGAGTGCTGTAACATGCCAGCGCGCGACCAGCGGCCTCAGCACCCTCACGCAGCTCCCCAGCCCACGCATACTAAACCCGCTGCACGTTGGTGCCGTGACGGCACGGTGGGCCGCTGCACTTATCCCAATAAAACGAGAACCGACTTCTTCGCATGCAGAAGTCTCCGTGCAAGCGGAGAACAGGCGGAATCGATGCGCAGGGCGCGACGTGGAGCCTCCAGGAGGTGTCCGAGGCACTGACGGCTGCTGCGGGCCCCTGCGCCGCCTCTTCGGCGCCGCACGGCGCGCGGCGCGCCACGGCGTTCGGCAGCGACGTAGGCGTGCAAGCGGAGGAGAGAAACTGAGAGTATCGCACGGGTTCGCTGAGACAGACGCAGCGCTTCTCCCGCCGCGCCTTCTCTGAGGCTGCGGTGCGGTCCAGGTAGCCCCGCGGGGCACGGAACCGCGTCGGGGCGATCATGAACTGGCAGTTCACGAACCTCCTCGGCGCGCCGTACCGCGGGGGCAACACAGTGATGCTCGGCCCCCATCTGTTCAGCCCCATTGGGAACAGAGTCTCGCAAGTAGACCTCGAACAGGGAACGTCGAGGTAAGCCACCGCGACGAATAGCCGGCCGACCATGTGGCGGTGGTTGCGAGCTATCCGGGCGGTATCAACCAGGCGGGGTCGCGCAGCCATTCCGGGGCAAAGCACTGCCGGCGGCCACCGTCCCAGTGGGCGCGTGTCTAGCCTGCCGACGCGACGTCGAACGCTACCTCCGGCCGTGCACGTCCGGCACGTTCCACACTCGTTCTCTTGCGCGTCCGGCGGCGTTTCGGCCAGGGCACGCGGAAAGCGGGCTCGCCGCGCTGCACGCGAGCGGCCTCCTCCACCTGGGCCGCACGCATGCTCAAGCCGGTGACTAGGGCGCCGCGTTCGTGCAGGACGCTGCCGTTCGAGAACCTCAAGACCATCCGGTGCCTGGACGTCAGCCCGGACGGCCGCATCCTCATCTCGATCGACCAGGACGGGCGCGCCGCTGTCTTCAACGTCCCGATGCGCGTCCTGCTCCACAGGTTCACGTTCAAGAAGCCCGTCCAGGCGCGACACCCGCCGCCGCACGGAGCCGCCCCGCCGTGGCGCGCGCGAGCCGCCAAGCGCTGAAACTTGCTTTGACAAACACCGTTTCGAGGTTGTCGTTGCTTTCTTCGCTGCATAGTAGCTGGGTGCCGAACGGAGAGGTCGCCGCCGCTTTCCGTGCAGGTCGTGCGCTTCAGCCCGTGCGGCAGGTACATCGCGGTGGGCATGGATCGTCTGGTGCAGGTGTGGCGCGCCCCCGGGGGACAAAAGGAGATCATGCCCATGCACCTGCACCGCACCTACGGACAGAGCAGCGCCGACATCACCTGCCTCGCCTGGAGCCCGAGCTCGACGTTCCTCGCCGCCGGTTCCAAGGTGAGTTCGCGCGGCCAAACAACCACGAATTCATCATCTTTGAATCCTCCCTGTGCTATGGCTGCTCAAGGGGCGCTCGTCGCCGCGTGACGCGCGGGCCCGGCTGCACGTGCGCGCAGGACCTCATTGTGCGCGTGTTCTCCCTTGATCCGATCGAGGGCTACCGCGTGCCGGCGCTGGGGGGTCACCGGGAGAAGCCAGTGGCGGTGTTCTTCACGGACCCGGCGGCGGACACGACGGGGGCGCGGCTGATCACGGTGGCCAAGGACGGCGCGGTGCAGCGCTGGGCGTACGACGCCGAGGCAGGGGAGGCGGAGCCGGCGGCGAAGCGGCAGAAGACGCTGCCGGGGTGGGGCGGGGGCGAGGAAGAGGGGGGGAGTGATGAGGGAGCTGAGAAGGAGGAGGAGGAGGAGGAGGGGGAAGGGAGCGAGGACAGTGGGAGCGAGGGTGCGGGCGAGGGGAAGGAGTCAGGGGGGGAGTGGTTCGCTGGGGGACGGTGGAGGCTGGTGGGGAAGCACTTCTTCCACCAGTCCGCCACGAAGACGAAGTGCGCCGCGTTCCACAGCGGGACCGGCCTCCTCTGCGCGGGTTTCTCGACAGGTGCGTCGTCGTCGTCACTCGCGCCCACACACACTCCCGGAGCAACGAAGCGCGCGTCACGCGGTCCAACGCGATTTTCGCCGCTGGCTTCCCTTGAACTCAGCCACCCTCGCTGTACCTCCCCCCCACCACCTTGCAGGTATTTTCGGGCTGTACGAGCTCCCAACAGACCCCCTGGGGGAGTTCCGCGAGCTCCACCTGATGTCGATCTCCCGCGCGGGCATCACCACGGCGGCGTTCGGCCCCACGGGCGAGTGGCTCGCGCTCGGCTGCGCGCACCTCGGCCAGCTCATGGTCTGGGAGTGGCGCAGCGAGTCGTACATTCTCAAGCAGCAGGGCCACCACTCCGACGCCGCCTGCGTCGCCTACTCCCCAGACGGCACGTACATCGCCTCCGGGGCGGACGACTGCCGCGTCAAGGTCTGGAACGCCGCAACGGGGTCGAACTTCGTCACGTTCAAGGACCACGCGCAGCCGGTGACGGCGGTCGCGTTCCTGCCGTCGGGGTCGGGGGTCGTGTCGGCGTCGACGGACGGCACCGTGCGCGCGTTCGACCTCGTGCGGTACCGCAACTTCCGAACCATGGTCGCGGACAAGCCCGTGCAGTTCGTGAGCCTTGCCGTGGACCCCGCTGGCGAGGTGGTGTGCGCGGGCACTCTCGACACGTTCCAGATCTTCGCGTGGTCGCTCAAGACGGGGAAGCTGCTCGATGTGCTCGAGGGGCACGAGGGGCCCGCCGCGAGCCTCGCGTTCAACCCCATGCGGCCAGTTCTCGCATCAGGTGTGCACGTGCAGCCATTTGCTCGCGCCTCCCTCACAGCCACCGCCTGCAGTCTGTCTCCACTTCCGCCAGCGTGCACCCGCTGCCTTTGTTGTCGCAGCGCGTGACAGCGGCCCAGGTGCAATCACACGCTCGAGTAAAGCAAAACCGTCGAACAGAATCCACAAATCCGAAAAAGAACTGCTCTTTGTGTTTGCAGGCTCCTGGGACAAGACTGTCAAGTACTGGGACATCTTCGAGTCCAACCGCGGTTCCGTCGAGTCGCTCCAGCACACGCACGACGTCCTCGCCCTCGCGTTCCGCCCCGACGGGAAGCAGATTGCCTCCTCCACACTGGCGGGCGACATCTACTTCTGGGACGCGGCGGAGGCCGAGCTGCAGGGCATCGCCGAGGGCCGCCGCGACGTCGCGGGCGGGCGCTCGGTCGCCGACCGCCGCGCGGCGGGCAACGCCACGTCAGGCCAGTGCTTCACGTCGATGGTGTACTCCGCAGACGGGACGGTGATCATCGCGGGCGGGACGTCGAAGTTCGTCTGCATGTACGACACGCAGGACCGCGTCATGCTCGCGCGGTTCCAGCTGACGCTGAACAAGGGGCTCGACGGCGTGCTGGACCAGCTGAACTCGCGGCATCTGACGGACGCGGGGCCACTAGAGCTGATCGACGACGGCGGCGACGACAGCGACGACGAGGGCGTCGCGACGCGCGGAGGGGGCGCGGCGCGCGACGCCGCGGCCGCGATGGCGCTTCCCGGCACGCAGGACGCCAGCCGCGCGCCGTCACGCATCCGCGCGCGCTGCGTGTCGCTGAGCCCCTCGGGACGGTCGTGGTGCGCGGCGACGACGGAAGGGATCATGGTGTACAGCCTGGACACGTTCACGAACTTCGACCCGACCGACCTGGAGGTCGACGTGACGCCCGCGGCCGTCCGGGCGGCGTTGACGCAGGGAGCGTGGGCACGCGCGCTGCTGGTGGCGCTGCGGCTGAACGACCCCGGTTTGGTCGAGCTCGCGCTCGTGAGCACGCCCGCGCGGAACGTCACGGGCGTCGTCGCCGCGATACCGGTCCAGGCGGCCCTGAAGGTCCTGAGCGCTGCTGCAGAACTTGCGCTGTCGAGTGCGCATCTTGAGTTTCTGCTGCGATGGCTGCGGGCGCTGCTGGTGCAGCACGGGCGCGAACTGCAGACGCTGCCGCGCGCGGAGGTGGCGCCGACGCTGCGGGCCGTGCAGCGCGCGGCGGGCAAGTGGGAGGGCCTGTTGACTCCGCTGGTGGAAGGCAACTTGTATTCTCTCGAGTACCTGTCAACGGCTCCGATCGAGGCGCCATTGAAGGAGGGGGAAGAGGCCGCGGTGGAGAACGGGGGCGTGGAGGCCAGCTGACGCGGCGTGCGCGGCGTAGACACGGCAGGGGGAGTGTGATGAATCTCAAGCTGATACATGGGTGCACGGCGTGGGTGTGACTTCGCCCCGATCAGCTGGTTGGTGCCAGGTCCCGGGGTGACAGGTGCGGTTGGGGTGCGTGGGAGGTTGTGCGCAGTGCCGTCTTTTGGGGAATGTGACGCGCTTTTGAGGGGAGTTGGCGCGGAAGAAGAAGCCAACCCGTGGGGCGAGCGAGCATGATCGGGTCCGCGAGCGCTGCACTGGCCATACTGCCTCTGAAACTCGTTGACAGATCGACGTTTGCTATCACGCATACGAGCTGTTGCAGGTGCCGGGTGTGGCCGGGCCCTCTTCTGTGCTGAACCAGAGAGCCGGGAGCCCGCAAGTCGGTCGTTTGTACGTAACTTTCGTCAGGATTCGATCGTCGCTTGACGGCCGCCCTACGCGTTCCGTGCCGGCGTGGACCCGTGCTTTCCGCAGCAAGAACCAAGAGGCTGTCTGAGGTGCGATACTGCCTACAACGACGCGACCGATGCGACACTCGATGGATAACTGACCGAGGAGCACCGCAGTAGCAAAGCTGTGGCGCACACACGTCCCTCGCGACGCGATAGCGCCTCTGACCTCGTAGAACCTGACTGGTCCTCCCTGCGCCAGTGCGTTGCAGCAGCGCGGCATATTTAGCGACCAGGCAACTCACATCATCCTGCCCTTCGTATGCAGCGTGACAAGATCGCGACGAAGCGAGCGTTTCGAGCTCTGTGCGCCCAAAACATCACAGCCACGCTCGCAGCGCGCTACATGGGGGGGATTGACGGCGCCGCGAAGGCCGGGCCTCTCGCACGCTCCAGCAGGGCGAGGCGCACCAAGGCGAGCGCGGCTCCGCGGGCCGCACACCCTCAACCGTCTAACCATAAGAGCGCCAGCGCCGCACCGCGCTCACCGGGCACGCTCTGCGACGAGACGATCAAGGAGGCGGTCGCGCACCTCCGCGCCTGCTGCCCGCGCCTCCGGAGCGTGATCGATGCCAAGGGCGCGGACGCGTGCGAGCGGCTGGTTCCCCGGGACGCGCCGCACTTTCCCGAGTGCTTCGCGGCGCTGTGCAAGTCCGTCGTCAACCAGCAGCTCAGCGTGAAAGGCAAGCAACGCAACACCCCCCCTCCTCCTGAACGCAACACCCCCCCTCCTCCTAAACGCAACACACGCTCTGCGTTGCCCATGCAACCACGCGTGCACCTGCTCAGCCGGCTCGCGTACTGCGTGCCCCGCTTCCGACCAGCTCAAGCCTGCGCGTCGCCGGACCGTTGGCATGCAGCGGGCGCGACGATCATGGGTCGGTTCGTCGAGTTGTGCGGCGGGGCGGACCGCCTGACGCCAGAGGTCGTCCTCGCGCTGGACGTGTCAGACCTGCGGTCCGTCGGGCTCTCGCAGCGCAAGGCGGAGTACATCCAGGGCATCGCGGCAGCCTTCCAGGGGGGGGAGTTGTCGAGCGCGGCGTTGGCGAGCGCCAGCGACGAGGAGTGCATCGAGATGCTGGTGCGCATCCGCGGGCTCGGCGTGTGGTCGGCGCAGATGCTGATGATGTTCTACCTCGGTCGGAGCGACCTGCTTCCAGTCGGGGTGAGTCGATCACACCTCAATTGAGAAACCGAGACTGCCGAGGCGCCGGTCGAGAGTCCGTGGCGCAAGCTGCGGCGCGGTTGTAGCGGTGCCGGTCCCCGATGCGTTGCCGTGCCGTGCTGCGCGTCGTCGCAGGACCTCGGCGTGCGCAAGGGCATGATGCAGTTGTACGGTCTCAAGGCCCTTCCCTCTCCGAAACAGATGGAGGAGATCGCGAGGACGTGGGCGCCGTACCGCAGCGTTGGGAGCTACTACATGTGGCGCATCCTCGAGAACGCCCCCGTGGGTGACGAAGATGGCGCGGGGGGGGCTCAGCGGAAGCGCCGGGCGGGTGGGGAGGGGCCGGCGACGACCACGAAGCGGAGAGCGAGGGGCGGGACTGCGGAGGAGACTTGAGGCGACTGTGAACGCGGGTCGCTGAACTCCGAGCTCGAGGCGAGCGCGCAGGAGCGCCGCGTGGGGGAGCGTGGGTGGTCTTGGAGGTGTGCGGTTGGGGGGCCGTACGAGGGAGCTGGCCGGCGCGAGACAATGGGCCGACGGCGTGTGATGTGTGCAAGAACCGCTTGCGCGCCGATACGCGGGAGTTCTTTGAGTGTAGCAGCGCACGCAGCGGCAGACTGCAGGCGCCCTGGCAAGGAACAGGCGTCTCCGCTTCGCCACTTCCGGACGCGATCGGTGCGTTTCAACCACGTCACAGCGCGCAACATGATCTGAAGTTTCTCTGCGCTTGCACGGTGGTCTCATGACGTCTCCGTTCCGCTGAATTCGATGAGATAAGAGCTACAGAGGGCAGGTCGTTGCTGCGCCCCCACGGGCAGCAGCCGCGCCAGACGCGTGCAACGCCTGCACACACGTTGTCGTCCGAGACTTTCTGCCCAGTGGGGGACGCGATCCTGGCCGATCGTCGCCTCTCGAGCCCCCCGCGCCTGCAGAGGATGTCTGGCAAGAGGACCAGAGCCGACGCTTCGCCGCCCAAGGGCTCGACGTCGCGCGTCGGGAACGTGGTACCTGGCACCCCGGCGAACACCGCTCGTGACCCCAGGCCGGTTGTCGAGGAAGGACAGCCCGCGAAAAGGGCTCGCGCTGTGCCAACAACCAGAGATGGCAACTGGCTCCTACACCGCCGCGACCCGAAGGACCCGTCCTCCGTGTGGAAGATTGAAGCCGCGCCTGGTGTCAAGGCAGGTATGATCGCCAAGGGAGAGTCGGTCATCACCGCGGACATGACGCGCCTGGAACACGTTGACATTTCCGTCGACAAGTTCGACCCAAGCAAGACTTGGGGGAAGGACTGGCTGCCCAAGGCCGTCGCTGGGAACATCGAGGTCCTCAAGGCGAAGCGCTCGAAGCTCCAGGTCGTCCCGGGGGAGATGTCGGCGCTCGAGGAGCTCGACCTTGCAGGGTGCAGAGAGTTGACGGGGGCCCCGCTGCCAGAGTCGTCGGCCAAGAACCTGCGCAAGCTCGACGTTTCGGGGAGTTTCAACGACGAGAAGACCGCTCTGAAGCTGCCGGCGGGCATGAAGGCGCTGGAGACGCTCAAGATCATGCATCGAACCTTGTCCAAGGACTTTTTGCCGGAATCGAGCGGAAAGAAGATCAAGGTGCTCGACGCAAACTACAGCACGAATTTGAAGCTGCCGCCCGGGATGGCGGCGCTGGAGGAGCTCGATGTCTCTGGCTGCATATCCCTCGACGATGAGTGGCTGCCGCCGTCGTCTGGGAAACGCGTGAGGCAGTTGCAGGCCGTTTCCTCCCAGCTCCAGCGGCTGCCCAAGGGCATGCTCAAACTTGAGGACCTCGACGTGACTGAGTGCCGGCGGCTCGACCGCGACTTTCTGCCCACGTCGTCGGCGAAGAAACTGCGAAAGCTGCGTGGCAAGGATAGCTCGATCCAGGTGCTGCCTGAGAACATGGATGAACTCGTGGAGCTCGACCTGACCAAGTGCGACAAACTGGAGAAGGACTTCTTGCCCGCGTCGAGTTGCAACAATTTCCGCGTTTTCAAGGCCAACTAGCTTCCGCCGTTGCCCCCCGACCCCCTGCCGGCCGTGACTTGTCACGTAACACTCGTCACCCACTCACGCGCCATGCCTCTGGTATCTGGGCGCGCAAGTCGCGCCGCTTGCGCCCTTCGCGCGATCTCGCAACATTCGACGCGACGCCCGCACTTTTTCTCGCAGCCTTACGCACACTACACAGTCGTCGCACCTCTCACGCACCCCATGCTTGGTCGGTGCGAGCCGCTGTAAACACATCCGCCACGTTGCACTGCTCACACGGCGCGGAAAAGCTCCTCCACCTCCTCCGGCGACGGCCGCAGCTGCTCGCCATGACACCGCTGCACCAGGTCCTCCAGCTGCCGCACGCACCCGACCAACCGCTCCCGCAGCTGGCCCCACACGCGCTCTATCAGCGCCGGCGACGACGTCTCGAGATGCTGCTCCACTTTCTCCCGCAGCGACTGCAGCCGCCGCTCGGCGCCGCGCAGCGCGGGTGCGAGGACGTCCACGACGTCGTCGTACGACATACCGGGGTAGAAGACAACCTCGGCCTCTCCGACGTCTGCAAGGCAGCGGCGAGGGCCGGGAGACATGAAATGCTGAGTTCTATGCAAAGCTAGGCCCTGACTGCGAAGAGGCGTGATGCAGGGGGCGGCCTTGTGCGGTGTCTCACCGGCGACGAGAGCCTCGAGGCCGCGGGCCTTCGCCTCGATGGGAGCGAAGCCGCCCCGGTCCATGAGGTGGCCGACGTAGTCGCGCTGACAGGCGTCCTCGACAGCACGGCAGGCGCGCAGGACGCCGTCGAAGGGCTCCGACGACTGCGCGATCGCCTCGAGGTGCCGCGTCGCGAAGGCGTAGTTCTCGAGCCGGATCCGAGCCTGGCGTTTCCTGCAGAGAAGAACCGTGAAACATAAATTGATCAATCGTGGTATCATGGGCGTGCCGGGCCTGCACCGCCCAGGAAACGAGCACCACGGCGTCCGCGAGATCGTCGCGCGCGGGCGCGGCCAGCGACCGTGCAAGCGCTGCGCGGCTCACTTGTCAGCGGCGGCTGCCTGTTCCAGCGACGTAAACACCGCGGCCGCGAGCCGCACGAGGATCCGGTCCGCCAGCAGCCGCGGCGGCGTGTTCGGCGACGACAGCCCCGTGAACGACGCGACGAACTGCAGCTGTCCGAGCGACTTCTCCCGCCGTGCGCTGCTGCCTGGCGGCAGCCCAAGCCCCTCCCGCAGCCGCTGCGACGCCGCCGCGCCGCCGCCGGCGCTCGGCGCCGACACCCACGCCTCGGCCGCGAGCCGCTCGAGCGCGGACACGCCGGAGCCCCCCACGAGCGTCACGCGGATCACGGGCGGCCGGAGCGCGGGGGAGTCCTCCGCAGCGCGCCCCGAACCCCCCCCCGGCGACGACGGCGAGCCCGGGCCCGCGCCGGCCGCCCCCGTCCGGCCCTGCGCGTGCTCGTCCAGCAGCGACAGCGTCCGGCGCGCGAGCCCGAAGAACCGCACCAGCGCCGGAAGCACCCGCGACTGTCCCTGCTTGGTACGTGGCGGCAACACCTTGCCCAAACTCGCCTCCTGCGCGGCCGCGGCGCGCTCCAGCAGCTGCCGCGTCGCCACGCCGCTGATCTGCACGAAGTCCCGCACGACCTCCGCGTCCCGGTCGCCCTCGAGCCGCTGCGCCCAGTGCGAGAACGTCGCAGCCAGCGCCAACCCTGACAGCGCGTCGCGCGCGACCGCAATGGACAGCGCGCGCCCCATCTCGTCCGGTAGCCCGCGCGTGAGCGCCGTGAGCAGCGCGCGGTCGTGCTCCGACGGCGTCCGCCCCCCGGGGCTCGTCGCAGACCGTCCAGAGTGCATCGGGGACCCATCGGCGCTGTGCGTGTCCACGGTGTCGCGCCGCGATGCCCGCGGCGTCTCGCCCGCGGCCTTGTCGTGAGCGTTCGCGCTCCCGAACACCTCGAGCACGCCTCGGCACGACAGCAGGAGGTCCGGCACGAAGCGCTCGAGAGCGCCGTGAACGAGCGCGTCCTGCTGGAGCGCGGTGGCGTGGAGTTCGCCGTCGTCCGCGTCGCCGAGGAGATCTGCGGCGTCGGGCATGCTCTGGAGGCCCGCGGCGTCCCAGTCGTCGCGCTGTGCGCCCTTGCGCGACGCAACCCGCTGCAGCATAGGTTGCGCGGAGGGCACGAGGCGGAAGCCGGTGCTCTGGTCCGCGGCTTGTGGGGGCGGGGGCTGGCCAGACGTGGAGTCCGCGGGGGGGCGGTCTTCGGACGCCGCGCGCAGGGAGGCGGTCAGCGCAGCGAGGTAGGTGCACAGGAGGGTGTTGAGCTGCGCGCAGGCCGAGTGCTGGAGGGATATGGACACGCTGCTGTCCAGCGTGGTCAGGAGCGGTACCTGCGGGGACGGCCGGAGTGTTGCGCGCTGTGACGGAGGTTGCGTGCATCGTGAACGATGATTTAGTTTGGGGGGGTATTGCGGTGTGCATGCGGGTCGTGGCGGGGTTGCGCACCAGCGGCGCGAAGCTGTTGAGGTCGGCGAAGATCCGTCCGATCGACGGCGCGGCTTTCGCGTTGATCCGCGCCGTCGCCATGTTGACGAGCGCCGACACGCGGCCCCGCACGGCCTCGGCAGCGCGGTGCACGAACGCGTCGCGCACCGCGGCCATGTCCGAGCGAAATTCCCGTATGAATGCCACCTGCGCGAGCTCGGGCGGGAGACCCTCGGGGGGGTCTCCACTCGACTCTCCCCCCTTCTTGCTCGTCTCAGCGTTCGCCTCCGCCCCCGGCCCGATCTTCGCGAGCGCCGGGTTCGGCCGGCAGCGCCGGAGCGCGGAGTCGAGCTCCCAGCCCGCCGCGACGATCTCCGGGACGAGCCGCGGCTCGAGGGGCGCGGCGGTGAGCATCGCGCGCTGCCGCTGGTCGAAAGATGTGATGTTCAGGAGCTCGGAGATGCGTTCGAGGAGCTTGCGGTGGTTCTGGGACTGCGTTTCGAGGAGGTTGTTCCACGCCTCGATGGTCGACACGTCGCCCTGCATGTGCTTGAGCTTGACATTGAAGATTCCCAGCCACTGTTCAAGGTCTTCCAGCGAACCCTCGCTGACCTGGATGGTGTGCGCCACGCGCGAGGCCAGGTCGCCGCCCTCGAGCGCTGCGGACACGCAACACGCGGCGAACGCTCGCGCCAACAACCAAGCCACGAGACACACCCAGACAAATACGAAAATCAGACTGCAACCTCGCATTCAAGGATCGACTGCAGAGACGCGAGTCACGTTGGGGAGCGGGCCGCACTTGCGTGCACGTTCGCGGCCTCCAGCGCCACGAGCTCCTGCTGCAGGCGCTGCCGGAAGGTCCCCAGGGAACTGACACCCATGTCGAACACCCCCATCAACTCCTCCAGGTCCCGCTCCTCGTCCTCCGACAGCAGCGCGCGGCCCATCGCCCCCGCCGCGCCCTCCTCCGCCGCCGTCTCGCCGTCCTGCGCGGAGACAACGCCGTCTGCGCGACCAAAAAGCACAAGGGGGGGTCTTGCACCTCGTAGGACCAGTTCGTGAGCGCGCGGCGCGATGCACGCTGCGACACGCAAGGGGACGTGGCAGCGGAGGTGCGGGGCAGCAGCCGCGGGAACAGGGGGGTTGTTTCGGCTGTCTGACACACCTTTGGATGCGGCGGCGAGGACGGCCGCGACGTCCGGGTCGGCCTCGTGGAGGCGCCACCAGGACTGCATCTCTGCGGCGTGGATGCCCTGGAGGGAGGTCTCGCGGTCCTCGAGCAGCTTGATGGCGTTGAAGATGAGCGAGCACAGGCGCAAGCGGCTGGTCTCGTCCTTCGCGACGAAGCTGCCCTTCTCCTGCGAGGAGTAGTACGAGCGGGCCTTGCCCGAGTCCAGCGTGAGGCTGATGAGGTACTGCCGGCTGTATGGCGGTGATGGCGGCGCGCGCTGGGTCCGCGAGCTGGCAAATGCAACCTCCTTCACCGACATACTGCACACCAAGAAGGAGGCACGATGAATCTTTCACGTAATGCGCATCTCGAAAGACTGAGGAAGAGGAATTCGCGATGGTTGCCTCTCGAGAAGGCCGCTGGGCGCTGTGACCGGAGGTGTCGAGTTGGGTTGCCTTGGCAGCGCTCCGCGGCTGGGTGTCTCGCGACAGCGCCGCGCGGCCATCATTCCTTGCGGTCGAGACGTCACCGCATGCGGTCGTCAACCCGCGAGATCGGCCCGCGCGTCGTGGCGCGCCCGCGTGAGCAAGGTGCGCCAACGTGCTGCCGAGGCAGCCGCGCGGCCTCCGTTCGTCGCACCTGGTCAGATTCGCCAGCGTGATCGACTTCTCGATATCATACTGCGTCTTTCCGCCTTGCGTGCTGAACTTGAACAGGTCCAGGCGAGCACGGTACTGGCTCGTTTCCGCTCCGCCAGCAGTCTCGGGCCGCAACACCAGCGCCAGGAGCCTGCATTCCCACCACCACATCCATGCATCAGACCTCCATAGCACCATCTGCACGCAGGGCGCTCCCGGCAACCACACGCGCCCCGCACGGCCCACCTGGGCTTCGGGGCTTGCTCCCCGCTGCGGTGCAGGCTCTTGGCGATGGTGTGCTGCGCGGGGGGCTTCAGGATCTCGTACACGCCCACGAGCAGCATCCCCTGCTCCTTGGGGTACAGCGCCGACACCGCCTCCGCGTGCCCCTCCTCGCCGATCTTGATCGACGCCTGCCGCTGCAGCGCGGCCGCCATGGGCCTCACCATGCCGCTCGCACGCGCAGCCTACGCGCGCATGACCGCAGAAAGGCCGCGCGGACTGCGGCCGTGCGGCGGAAGTGCGCGCCGGGTCCGCGCGCGGGGATCCTCGAGCCCACGTGGGGGTCGAGTCATCGGTAGAACAATGCAACCCCCCCCGGGTAGAAGCACACGTCGGGTCGCGCCGGTGGAGCGACCGCCGCCCGACAAGCGAGCAGCTCGAGTGTGCGCGGCGGCGGGACCGTCGATCGCGTCACATATTCACGTCGCCACATCCGTTGGCGCCTCGTTCGAATTCGAACCACCCAAAACAGAGCTCCAGCTGTTCCCGCGCACCACACCGACACGCCGCCTCCCGCACCCTCCGCCGGCCCCTGCACCGCTCCGGCCCCCGCCCCCCTCGCCCCCCGCGCCCCCCGCCCGGCCTCCGACCCCCCCCCTCGCCTCCGAAACACCCCTCGACCACACCTCCCCCCCGCCAATCTCCCGCACGCTCTTCCCGCGCGCGCACCCGTCAAAGGCCGTCCTCGGGGCCCAGGCTCGACTCCGAGCACTCCAGCGCGCGCTCCGCGTCCGCCGGCTCGTCGCGCGACCCCTCCGCGGCCCCGTCCGACCCGTCGACGGGCACGGTGGACCGCTGCTGGGAACTGAAAAACACCTCCCCCGGCAGCGCCTCCACCGCGCCCGCCGCGGCCTGTGCGGCGCCGTCGCCGCGCCGCGCCGGCCTCGCGCCCGCGCCGCGCCCGCCGAGGACCTCCGCGAAGGGCGTGCTCAGCTGGAATCGCGCGGTGCCGGACACGAGCGATTCGTCCATGTTCCTGCGCGCGAATATCGCACGAACGAAAGCGTGAAACCAAGCGCCGAGGGCCGGAAGTCGCGTTTCTGGTGTGGAGGAGCAGCACGCGCGGAGCAGGACGAATTTATTCCGCGGCGCGACGCTCAAACGGGGGCATACCTGAAAATTGGAAGCGCTGAGCTCTCCGGCGCTGGCCTGGTCGTCCGGTGCGAATACGGCATCCTCACCACGGCGTACGGTTCCTCTGCGCTGGTGTCGCGCTGTGCGACGTCGCCGGGCCGCTCAGCCGCGCGCGCGGCGGGGCTGAACGCGTTCTCCCCTCGGGGCGTTCCAAAAGCGCCTGCTGTCCCGCCCGCGCGCGTTTCGCCCCCGCCAGTCGCGTCCCGGGGCGTCTGTGCGCCGGTGACCTGCGGCGCGGCTCGCCCGCGTGCGTCGCTGGTCGCATCGGAGCGTTGCGGCGAACGGGAGCGTCGCGGCGCGACGTGCGGGCGCGTTGACGGGGGCTCGGCACGGAGGCACTCACTTTGGCCGTAGAGGGCGGTGCGGAGCCGGGCTGGAGGGCCAGGGACTGCGGCGTGTCGGCTCCTGCTTGGAGGTCCCGCGTGGGCCGGAGGCGCTTGTAATTCTCTTCGTCGTCGGACGCGCTGAGCCCGGCCTCGAAACCAGCGCTCACGACCGCACCGGGCGCGCGGTCCGTGCTGCTGCGCTTCCGCCGATGCTGGCGCCGCCCCTCCGGCAAGCCTCTTGTTCGAGGGGGCATGGCGGACGGTCGCGAGCGGCGAATTTAGCGCCGTAGCGGCGCGGGCGGGCAGGGCGGGAGCTCGCGCAATTTCACGCTTTCAACGCTCCGTTTGACCGCTCCTGGGCGTTCTAACCGCTATGCTCGCCCCTACCACGCTCTACTACGCGACGACATACGCCTTGTGCGGGCGGCGGGCACGCAAACGCGAACATGAGCCGGTGCGGAGTGGCGCGCTGAAAGGTAGAACACCTGCAAAGCGGCGGGAACTTTTCGCACGACTTGCGTCCTCGGCTGGCGTCGCTGATGCGCGGAACGTCGCATGGGGGCGCGTCTGGGTTGCGAAGAAGTCGTTCCGGTCGAGAGAGGCGCGTTCGAAGCGCTGGTTGCGCGGCGTTGCGCGCCTGCTGGAGGCACATGGGCAGAGCGATTTCACCTCGCCGACGTTCGAGACCGCGAAACGGGGCTTGGACCGTGTGTGTTTGCCAGGATTGCGAGCAGCCTGCGACGCCCATGTGTTGGTCGCGGGTGCCGTGCGATCCGCTGCTGCGTGCGGTGCCGCAGGGCCGCGGAATCGGCCCGGACGTTCCCGTGACGCGACACGCGCAGGCGTTCGTCGCGCTGATCGCGGCATGCGGAGCGTCGACCGGCGGCCGCGGTGCGCAGGGAGTGTTGCGTGGGTCCGTCGGTCCCGCTCTGCGCCCCCCACGGCACCGAGCGACGTCGCGGAAAGCGCGGCAACTGGACTTGAAGTGAGCTGTGCTAGGAAGACGGGAAAAAGAGCCTCACGCTGGTCTGCTTCGGTTGCGTGCGACAGCCGAGGCGACGCGATCATACAGCTGGGCATGTTGACACGTGGGGTGACAACGTGTGCGTTGCTCACCGGCCCGCGGCCAGGGGGTTGACCGTCGGGCAGCACTCAGCATCGGCAGCTGGCGTCCCGAGGGTCTGCGGCAGGAAATCACGCTGTCTGGGCTCAGTGACTGGGCATGGCTCACACAGTGATGGTCAGGTCGTCCGCACGCCCGCAGTCGTACGCAGCGGCGAAGATGTCTGCGGCGTACTCGCCCGGTGCGCCCCGAAGGACCAGCTCGCACAGCGTGCGGTTGGACCGGACAGCCCGCGCAAATGCGGCGCAAGCGATCGCGTCGAGCTGGCAGCCGGGCAGTTCGAGGGTTCTGAGCGTGGAATTCAGGCACAGATCGTGAGCAAACGACGAGACGTCATCCTGCCCCAGCCGGAACCCCTGGATTCGGAACGAGGCGAGGGTGTGATTCTGCCGCAGCAGGTGTCCGAGGCTGAGACTGCACCGATCGTACCCAGCCGCATCTTGGACGAGGGAGAAGCTTTCCATGCACTTGTTGGACTCCAAAGCGCGTAGCACCGCATGTAGAAGCCCACCGTTATGATTGTAGCATCGCACGGCCAGAGCCTTGAGTGCCGTGCGGCTGACGATGCCCTCGATGCAGCGCCATTGAGGGGCGCGGAGTGCGTCGCGACGCGCGTGTAGCGTCAGCGACTCCAGAGGGTGGCCGAGAATGACGTCATCGAGGTCATCTTGCGCGGCATCGAACTGAAATGCTGCGAAGGACACCCCCAGGGTGTTGAGCTGGGGGCAGGCCCGCAGCAGGCTCGCGATCTGACCCCACTTCAGCACGGCGCTGCTCTCAAGCTTGAGTGTCCGCAGACCCGCCAGCTCGACCTCGTCGAGAGCTTCGAAGCAGGCAAAGGACGTCGTCGCTGTGACCGCCTGCATCACCGCCGGGACGTCCCAAATGTCCACCAACCGGTCGGCATTCAAGGCCTTGGCGATGGCGCACCAGCTGTCTGGGTAGTGAGCGGGCCGAAAGGGGGCGCTCGACCCCATGGGGCTGAGAGTGAGCTCGAGCGTCGCGAGGCCTGTATTCGACTGCAGAGCAGACGCCACCACCGGTGCGCAGATGTTTGCTGCTTCCTCCTCACCGCTCACGTTCACCGACAACAGCCGCAGGTGCTGAAGACGCGCGTTCGTCTCCAGAGCGCCCACGATAATGACTGCGCCCGTAACGCTCACGCCAACGCTGCCCAGGCTGAGCCGAACCAGCCGGGGGTTGCGTGCCAGCGCAGTCGCCAGGTGCTCCGCGCCGCCGTCGCCGATCGCGCAGCCGTCCAGCACCAGCTCCCGCAGGCAGCTGCTCTCCAGCGCGGCTGCCAGAGCTGCGGCCCCCGCCTCCCTCACGCCCGTGGACGCCAGGCACAGCACCCGCAGCACCGACGATTTCAGCACCTCCGCGATGTGCCCCGCCGCCTCGTCGTCCACGCTGCCGTCGCCCGTCAGGTCCAGCTCCTCCAGCGCGCTCTGCCCCACCAGCGCCGGCGTCAGCGCCGCCACACCCGCCGCGCCCAGCGCGTTGCCGCCCAGCCGCAGCACCCGCAGCGAGCGGCTCTGCGCGGCGCCCGCAGCGATCGCCGGCATCGCGCCCTGCCCGATGAGGTTGTACTCCAGCGACACCACGCGCAGCTTCGGGTGCACGGGCAGCACCAGCTCTCCGATCAGCTGCGCGCCCGCCGTCCCGATAGCGCGCCCAGCAGGACTCTGTGGGCCATTCATGGACGCGGGGATGGACAGGTCGAGCTCCTCGACCGTGGTGTTGGCCCGCAGCGCCTCGCACAGCGCCCGCACGTCCTCGTAGCCCATGCCGTACCCGACGTAGCCCAAGTGCGCCGCGCTGATCTTGACGAGCTTCGGGTCGTTCGCGATGAGCCTCGCACACAGCGCCGACATCTCGCTGCTGACCCAGCCCTGCCACTGCTCGCGCCAGCGCGCCAAGGCACCGTCTTGCTGCACGGCGACTTCGGCCGGTCCTGAAACGTTCCCGGTGCGCATAGCGTTGCGGTCGCTCGCGATCGTTGCCTCGAGGGCCGCGACCGCTGCCTCGAGGGTCGCAACCGCTGCCTTCTCGGCGTCCAGCTGCTCGCTGAGCGCCGCGATCTGCTCCGCCATCCGCGCCTCCGTCGCGTGGACCTGTGCCATGATCTGATCTTGCAGCGTGCTCTGGCGGTCGGCGATGTCGCGCAACGCCGTGTGCGTCGCGTCGAGCTGGCCCTGGCGGCTCGTCCACAGGTGCTCGACGAACAGCATCATGTCGTCCCGCGCCACGTCGCGGAAGAGAGCCGTGACGCTGTTCGCCGACAAGAAGTCGCTCGCTTGCGGGTCTCCGGCGCCGGCGATGTGCTGGTGAAGACGCTCGAAGGACGCCGTCTGCGAGCAGGTTAGGCCATGCGCATGGGTCGGGCCTGTTGCCGCGTGCGGGCGAACTTGCAGCTGACGGTGGTGTGTGAATGCGCACAAGGCGCGATTCTCACCAGGTTTGCGACGATGTTGTCGAGGACGGGCGCGTTCTCGACAGGCGCGGTCTGGTGGAGGTAGAACCGCAGCACCGTTCGCGTCCGCTCCGCGAAGGGTGCGAACAGCGGCACCGCATCCTGCGCACGTTGAACGCAGATAAGGTTGGCGGCGACTCGCAGGCGCAGGAAGCGTGTCAGAGCCGTCGCGCCGGAGCTGGTCGCACCTGCGCAATCTGGCAGTTCTCCAGCGCCGAGGCGCACTCGTCGATCACCCTCAGCGCCGAGAGAAAGAGCGATCTGTCGACCTCCATGGTGGAGATTCTCGCCGTGAACGGTGGGCTGCATGCTCAAAAGGCGGCACAGTAGGTCGTCTCGAGTCAGTACAGACAGAGAGGACGATGCGAGACGTCGCGATCTGCTGCCGACGAGTGGAGACGGAGCAGGCTCTCAAGCAAGCTCTCGTGGCCTTCGCCGCGCGTGCCTCACGTTGCAGGGCGTGTGCTATCGACTAGACAATCAGTCACGATTTGGTTTGCCTGCCCCGGCACACAGGCCCGGCTCTCGCGACCCTCGGGGACCGTACCTTGCGTCGAAGCACTTGCAAGGGATGGATGCGCTCGCGGAAACGATGTCTCCGACCGAGGTGGGCTCCCGCAGAAGACCGGTCGAGCTCTGCGTGGTGGCGCTGCGGCGTCGCCAGCCCGCCAGAATGAGGCCAAGGACGTGGGCAGCGCCATGTGAAAAACAAACGCGGGAGTTATACCTGACGTGAGGCTGAGCCGAGGCGAGCTTGGTCGCCGGAGGCGCGAGTAAGTATGGAGTACTTGGGGCAAGCCCAGCCTGCTTCTGAAGAGGCTGGCGTTGGCGCGGGGCAAAAGAAGGGACGAGACTGTCGACGCGGCGCAGGCGATTGCTTTTGGGGCGCCGGTGGCGGGCACGCCCGGCCGGCGTGGGACCCCGGTTGCAGCCAGGCTCGTTGGCGGCGTTGTCGCTCCTCTCGCAGGTGCAGCCAGGGAGGAAGGGTGGTCGTGCAAACGGCGCAAATGTGATGAATGAATTGTGGGGCACGCGAGACGCAGCATGATCGACTCGACCACGCGCATCACGACGGTCCTGCAGGCACGAACGAGTACGATCGAGTACCTTCTGGTGTGGTTCAATCATCAACGGATGGCGCTTAAGGCGTGCGCGACCCTGACGACAGGAGCACAAGTGTCCCGGGGTGCGACATGCGGTTCCGAGCGGTCGATGCAACGCGCGGGGGCGGACGACACGGACCTGGGTGCGGCTCACAGGACGATCTCCAGGTCGTCCGCTCGGCCGCAGCCGCACGCTGCGCTCCAAAGGCATTGCACGTTTGCATGCGCGCCCCGGAGCACCAGCTTGCACAGCGTGCGGTTCGACCGGATCACGGGCACCAAGCAGTTGATGCCGCTGTAGCCGCCGCTTGTCAGGTCGAGCGTGCTGAGCGTGGAGTTGGTCAGCAGGCTGGCAGCTACCTGTGCTGAACCTTCTGCGCCCAGGAGCCCGAAGTTCCGTAGGGCCAGGTCCGTGAGGGTGGTGTTGTGAACAAGCAGAGAGGATACACTGCGGCAGATTGATGAAAGATAGTGAGATCCGCTGTTATCCGTGCTTCCGCGATCAAAATGAAACATCTTCAAGGATGTGTTGTTCTGCAGCGCGGAGAAAAGGGGTCCCAAGTCCGACATGCGAATTTGCCTCAGGGGAACCCCACGTATGGAGAGCTTCCTCAGCGAGGAGTTCGAGGCGACGATGCCTGCGAGGTTGACCACGACGCCTCCAGACAAGCAGCCACATGAGAGCGTGAGCGACTCCAGCGGGTGGCTCGCAAGGGCCGTCTGAAGATCCTGGAGTGGCGCGGGTGCTCCAACACGATCGTTGATGTTCGGAGTCGTAATCTCCAGGGTTGTCAGGTTCGGGCAGCCGCACAACAGATCGGCGAGATTCCCGACGCCGCTGCAGAGTGCGGGGTTGGGCGGGCAGTGCAGCGACAGGCTCCGCAGACCCAAGAGAGTACCCGCGGAGCCATTCTTGAAGAATTGCGTCGTGTTGGTGCACGCGCTCGCGCTCACGCTCGAAACAGCGGTCTTGCTCCCCGACGACAGCAGCAGAGCCGAAGCAACGGGCTCCCACGTGTCGATGAGCTGCGTGAGCTCAGAAGAATTCGTTCTTGTCGTGAAGTGAACGGCTTCAAGCGCAGTGCTGGCCGGTATCGCATCTGCGAGCTCCTTGATGCACTTTGCGTCCTCGCTGCTGGAGATCCACACCTGCGTCAGCCGCAGGTGCCGCAGCGACGCATCGGCCCTCAGCATCCGAGCCACAGAATTCACCCCCCTGGCACTCGAGCTGACGTTGTCGAGGCTGAGCAGCTGCAGCGAGGAGTTGTGCTCGAGAGCGGCCGCCAAGTGCTCCACGCCGCCGTCGCCGATCGCGCAGCCGTCCAGCACCAGCTCCCGCAGCGAGGTGTTGTCTCTCAGCCCCGCAGCTAGCGCCGCGGCCCCCGCCTCCCTCACGCCCGTCCGGGACAAACACAGAACCTTGACGCATGCCGACGTCGACTTCAGCGCCTCCGCGATGTGCCCCGCCGCCTCGTCGTCGATGCTGAGCTCGCCCGTCAGGTCCAGCTCCTCCAGCGCGCTCTCCCCCACCAGCGCCGGCGTCAGCGCCGCCACCCCCGCCGCGCCCAGCATGTTGCCTCCCAGCCGCAGCACCCGCAGCGAGCGGCTCTTCGCGGCGCCCGCAGCGATCGCCGGCATCGCGCCCTGCCCGATGAGGTTGTTCTCCAGCGACACTACGCGCAGCTTCGGGTGCACGGGCAGCACCAGCTCGCCGATCAGCTGCGCGCCAGATGTTGCAACGGCACGCGTAGCATGCCCTTTCAGGTCGTCCCTGGCCTCGGGGATGGACAGATCGAGCTCCTCAACCGTGGTGTTGGCCCGTAGCGCCTCGCACAGCGCCCGCACGTCGTCGAAGTCCATCGAGAACCCTACATGGCCCAACTGCGCCGCGCTGACCTTTCTCACTTTGGGATCGTCCGCGATGAGCCGCGCGCACAGCACCGACATCTCGCTGCTGACGCGGCCCTGCCACTGCTCGCGCCACCGCTCCCAGGCCCCGTCCCTCTGCTGCGTGCAAGCAGCAGTCTTGCTTGCTACGTCACCGGAGGTGGAGGCAGCCCCCCGAGCACTCAGCTCCTCCCGGAGCGCCTGGATCTGCTCCGTCAGCCGCGCCTCCATCGCCGTCATCTGCGCCTGCGTCGCCGTGTGTTGCTCCGCCACCCGCGCCTCCGTCGCGCTCATTTGCTGTTGCACGGAAGCGAGCTGCTCCGCCACCCGCGCCTCCGTCGCCGCCAGCTGCTCCTGCAGCTTCCTCTGCTCCTCGGCCGCCCGCGCCTCCGCCGCCGCCAGCCGCTCCTGCTGCGCGCCCTGCTGCTCGGTCAGACGGCGGAACGTTGCGTGCGCCAAGTCAATCTGGTCCTGACGACCGGCCCAGAGGTGATCCACGAAGAGGAATAGCTCCTCGCTGGCGACCTTGCGGAACAAATTGATCGCCTCTGGCAGAAACGGGGTGATATCACCGCCGTTGCATCGCGGCCCCTTGTTTAGCTGGTACTCCAGGCGCCCGAGGGACTCGACCTGCGGGTGCACGTAGAGCGTGCTGAGGACGGTCAGGAGCGGTGCCGTGCTGTGCGTGGGCGGCAGCGGCATTGTGGCGCGCGCGTTCCGCCAAACAGCTGGGAACGTGCGTCTTGTTGCCTCACCAGTCGTTTGACATGCTCCGGCGAGCACTGGTCCACTCGGGCATCTTCGGACTCCACGAGGTACCTCAGTATTGTACGTGTGCGCTCCGCAAACGGCTCAAACAGCGGGATGGCTTCCTGCGTCGCAGCGGGAGACGTGCTGAAATCTGACGGATGCTGCGATTTCTAGCCTGGTCACGCCCGCACGCACGAGAATGGTTTTTCAAATCACCTGTGCCGCACGAGATCTTCTTATTTGCTCCGCGCACTTGTCGATCGCCTCCAGGGCCGAGCGGAAGAGCGCTTTGTTCTCCTCGCTCGCCATCTTCCTCAGGCCCCTGCGCGCTCACACCGAAGAACCACTGCCTCAAATGCCCGTACCTCGCCTTATCGTGATTCAAACATCGAGCACGAAGCGCGAGACCGCCAGGTGAAGCGCGGCCCATGCGCAGGCCGGGATGCAAGAATGATGCTGTAGTTGGGAACTTTCTCGGCGACACAGGCAGTGTTCGATCCAACCAGTGCGCAGAATCGAACGAAAATACATGTGTCTATCTTGTGAGGCAACGACACCGCCATTGGGTGCTCACCTTGTCGGGATGTGGGCGCCCTTGCTCCAATGGCGCCCTTGCGCACCGCAACCGTGAGGCGAACGAGAGCCCCCAACGCCCCACGAAGTGCCCCACACCGCGTCCCTCCGGCAGCTATCGCGCAGCAGCGCCCCCACACCTCCTGCAGGCCCCGGGGGGACCCGCGCCCCTGACACGGCGGGATCATGCAAGTACAACGCAACGTACCCCGCGGGCGTGGTCACTGCAAGAGGCGACGCGCAAGCACCGCGCGCCGCCCGCGCCACGTCGGAACCCATCGCTGCCCGCTCCAAGAAGGCTCACATCGACCCCTGCGGCTGAGATGCACACACGTACACGTAGAACAGCAAAGCATTTTTGATCGACTTTCGGGGCCTAGGCGTTGCCTGCCGGACCTCACGCGAAGCCGTACGACCTGACTACGCGCTCCATGGTCGGCGCGAGCCGCTCCCACGTCTCCTGCGGCGCGCTGGCGCTCAGGACGTACAGCGACGTGCCCGACGCAGCGCCGTCCGCGTGGGGGCGCTTGATCGCGACGCAGCGGAAATGCCGCGTGATCGTCTGCAGCTCCATGTTCCGCGGACCCAGGCACGCCACCCGCCCGCCCGCCTGCTCCTCAACGTTCCCCCTGCGCGACATCCCTCGAAACAAACGTTCTGCGTTGCTGCGAGCGCCGGCGGAGCACAACCAGTCGAGACTCGCACCGCAGGCGCACCGGATGACGGTAAGCCTCACCTGCAGGTCTCGACGACGTACTCGAACTCAACAGTGTCCTTGGCGACTTCCTTTTGGTACAGGTCCTCGAGGCGGATTGTGCCCGTGGAGCGCCGCGGCTCCTCGCTCAGGAACTGGGCGATCGCGGCGGGGTTGCCGTCGATCGCGTGCAGCACGTCCGCGAGGACGTCGACGCGGCTGACGGACACGGTCGCGACGTCCTTGAAGTTGCCAGCCAGGACCTGGGAGCCCACTGCGTCGGCGTTCGAGCGGTCGTAGGCCAAGAGCCAGGATGATGGGTACTCGAACTTGTAGCCGGGAGCGCCGGCTACGGGTTTGAAGTCGCCGCGGGGCGGCAGGCTCGACCGAAGTGCCCCTGAAGGAGATAGGATGTCTGGGTCGGGCGCAGAGCCCGCAGGGGGCTTCGCGACGGCCGTGCTGCAGATGAGGAGCGGGGCAAGTAGCAGAGAAGACCGTCGCGTGATGGAATCCACGCGAGGTTTGTCTGGGAGGGCCCGTGGGGGCGGTGTTTGCCTCGCCGTGTGTGGCAAGGGCAGAGATGCGAGGCTGGAGTACGACATTCTACGCGACCGCTGCCCCGAATGAATGTTATGTACCTGTAGAATCCCTGCTGGGAAGCAATGGGCACCGGAACCGCCGTGGCGGCCACCGTCGGTCACACCCCCCGCCTCAGTCCTCGGTACGCCCCGCCGTTCCGCGTCAGTACTCGCCTGCCTCAGCTCGCACCCCGCGGCCGAGCGCACGCTCATGCAGCGCCCACGCAACCGAAACCACGACCCCGACACCACTGCCTGACCCGCAACAGATGTCACAAGCGCGCATCACGTCTCCCACTCGTCCGACAGGTCCGGCACGACCGCCGCCGCCATCATCCGCTCGCGCGCCTCGTCCTCGTCCAGCTCCAGCCGCGGCATCTCCAGCAGCTGCTCGAACGTCGCCACCTGGTTGAACCCATCCTTCCAGTTGATCTGCACCGCGTAGTTCCCCAGGGGGTTGATCCCGAACTCCTCCTCGGGCGTCAGGTCGTCCGGAATGTCCTCGTCCTGGATCAGCCGCTGCCCCGTCCACTCGTCCACCGACACGGCGGACTTGTCGTTGCGCCGCACGGTGGGGGGGTCGAGCAAGAACTCCTCCTCCCCGGGGAGCCGCACGACGAGCGCGTTCAGCGCCTTGTCGTACCGCACGGGCTGCTTCGGCGCGGCCTCGAGCTTCGCGACCTCGCGCACGACCGCCGCGCCGAGGTCGCCGTAGCGGTGCGCGGTCTCGCCCGCGGGCTTCGAGACGACGAGCGGCACGCCCGTGTCGCCCGCGACGGACAGGTCCGGGATGATGGGCATGCGGACGAGGTTCGGGAGCCCGAACTCCTGCTGGATGCGCTCGCCGGAGCCCTTGCCGAAGGGGTAGTAGGTGTTGCCAGTGTCCTCCGCGACGAAGTAGCTCATGTTTTCCACACACGCGACGCACGGGACGCGCAGCTTCGCGAACATGCGGATGCCCTTGGCCACGTCGATGAACGCGAGCTTCTGCGGCGTCGTGACGATCACCGCCGCCGTGATGGCCAGCGTCTGGCAGATCGTCAGCTGGACGTCGCCGGTGCCGGGAGGGAAGTCGAGGATGAGGTAGTCCAGCTCGCCCCACTCCGGCGCCACGAGGAGCTCCTGGACGAGTCCGGCGACCATCGGCCCGCGCATGACCGCGGCGCCAGAGCCAGTGTACCCGAAGGAGACCGCCTTGACGCCCATGTACTCCACCGGGTGGATCTTGCCGGTGTACTCGTCCGCCTTCAGCACTGCACGCGTCCGTGAGAGGGGCGGTTCCGTGGGCGCTCGCGACGCGCCGTAGCTCAAACAGGGGCGTTTCGGCCGACGCGGGGCGCGGGCGCGGCGAGCGGGCGCGGGCACCTGCGACTTCGGGGCTGATCATCTGCGGGAGGGACGGTCCGAACACGTCGGCGTCGAAGATCCCGACCTTGGCTCCCATCTGCGCCAGCGTGAAGGCCAGGTTGACCGACGTGGTGGACTTCCCGACGCCGCCCTTGCAGGACGACACCGCGATGACGTGCTTGACCTTCGCGAGCCCGCCCGGGCGCCCGTTCCCGGCCATCATCGGGTCGGTCTTCTGCGCCGTCATGGTCACCTTGACCTCATCCACCCACGGGAGCTCCGCGACGAAGTCGTGCGCGTCGCGCTCGAACTTGTCCTTGATCGGGCACGCGGGCGTCGTCAGCTCGATGTCGAACGACACGGTGGCGCCGGCGATGTCGAGATTCTTGATGAAGCCGCACTCGACGATGTTTTGGCCAAAGTCCGGGTCGATGATTCGCTCCAGCTGCGCGAGGACCTGGCCCTCCTGGGACAGCGTGCCGGCCTGCTTCGTCGCCGAGCGCGCCACGAGCGCCGCCGGGCGCGGCCGGCGCGGCGCGGCGGTGGGCGGGGCGCGAGGCGGCGCCGCGGGCCGTGGCGGCGCCCGCGCGGCGCGCAGGGGCCGGGGCGACGCGCGCGCGGGGCAAAAGCCTGCTCGTGCTGTCTGCGAGGAATGTCGGGGGCAGGTAGGTAGTGGGAAACCGCGCGTGAGGTCCGCGAAATGACGTAAAGCTGGGTGTGGAACAGGGGGCGTGTACGCCTCGCTGGCGGATACCGCGGCACCAGGACCGCCCTCGGAGCCCTGTTCAAGCATGGTGCATCCCTGGGGGCGCGGCAGATTGCGCTGAAAAGCCTGCACTGTGCCGCGCTGACCCAGTAGCGAAGTCAATGATTTGCAACGCCGCGGTTTGCGCCGCGCAGAGACGTTGCTGGATCGAGGCGCGCACCATGACGGTAGCTTGCATCGCTAACTCTGACGTGGAGCCGTTCCTTCGGCGACACAGCGCCGGATCCCCGCGTGACCTCTCACTGAGGCTGTTCCGCAGTGTATCGATGCGCCTACCGCCGCTACCGTCGTCGGAACGGCTCCTTCTTCCCACCGCGCGAACGAACGGCCGCCGCGGGACGCGCGGGGCGGCCAAGAGCGCCCGCGGAGCGACTGACGACGGACGGCGGCCTGCCCGACTCACCCGGGCCGGTACGTCTCAGTTACCGTTTGCCCCGGCATCCTCCGCGCATCATCAGGGCGCGCTGGGGCGCGCCGCGTGCATACTGCGTCCGAGGTCCAGCCACCGACACGCTAGAGGGTTTCGTTCGTTCAGGCGGCGTAGCGACGGCGCCAGGCATCGTTGCCTTCCGAAGAAGCGGCGCCGGCGGCACGGTTGCGAGGTTGGTGGGCGCCCGGACGCGGCGAAGCCTGTCGGTGCCCTGGGGAGACTCTTCGTGGGGGTGGAGCCATGGCGGATCTTCCGGAAACGCTTCCTTTAGAGATGGACACTCGCGCGTCGGAGGAGCTGATGGAGTTCGCGCACAAGGAAGTGACGCGCGAGCGGTACTTGGGCCAGAAGCTCGAAGACAACTCCATCGCCTTCTTCGTCGTCGCGATGATCTGCGGCGCGGAGCAAGACCCGAAGTCCACGCGCCAGGAAGTCACGAAAGAAGTCATTGAGCTCTTTTCGAGCAGCCTTGGCGACGAAGCGGCAGGCAAGCCCCCGACAGGACCGAGCAAACACCAAACGTGCTTCGCGTCCCGCTGCGGACACCCCTGTTCGACCCAGCGCCCGCACGCAGCGCCCAGTTCGAGCAGCGGTGCTCCAGCACCTGCGCGCCGGCCCCGCCACGAGCTTCAGCGCATCGATCGCGCTGCATTTTTGCTCGACTACGTGCCCCTGGGCTGCCCGGCCTGCCCGGCGCTCCGCTGAGCGCGCAGCCGCGGCCCAGCGGGCGTCCCGCCTCGCCCTCGCCGACGGTTCTGGCGTCTGGCTCCTCCCCCGCGCGCCCTGACTCGCCTCTCCCCGCATTCTCCGCCGCGCCCGCAGGTCGGCTCGCAGAGGCCTTCGTGCTGAGCGTCTGGGAGGAAGGGGCGCGCATTTGCCGGCGTCACGGCCTCCTGAAGGGCCCAGAGCCAATTCGCGCGCCCCCGGGCGGACGCGTGTCCTCCGCGGTCGTCGCGCCCGCCACCGACGAAGAAGAGAAGCGGAGGCTGGCACGGGCGTCCCGTTTCGGCAACGTCGCCTCCGCAGCTATCCGTGGGGCCGCGGACGACGCCAGGCACCGCACTGACGGCCCGCTGGAGACCGGCGGGAGACGCGGACGCAACCGCGGGGCCTCCCCGGGCAACGGCTTCCGCGGAGCCTCGCCAGGCGGCCGCAAGGTTCGCGCCGAGGTGAGCTCGAAGCGCCCCGTTCAGTCCTGCAAGCTCCACCGCCCCGCCGCCTTGTCTGCCCTCCCGCCCCGCCACCCACGCGGCCTATCCCCCACGGCGACCTCCCAGACGGACGCACTACGTTCCTGAGCGGCCGCCGCGGCGCTTTTCGCCTCGTATTCCACAGTTCCTGGCTCGTGACTGCCCAATATACAATTCATCTCGTACTCCCACATACATGTCTCTCCTGCACGTCGTCTTGACCGCGCGCAGGCCGGGGGCGTCGGCGGCAGGCTCATCGGCGGCGCGGTGAAGGCCGCGCTGGCCGGCGGCGGCGGCGGCGGCGGCGGCGGCAGCGGCGGCGGCGGCGGCGGGCGGGCGCCCCGTGCGGGAGCGCCTCGTGCAGGAGGAGCCAGACCACGGCGACGACGAAGAAATGCACGACGACGGGCGCCGGAGCCACCGCTCGCGCCGCACGCGGCGGCACCGCTCGCGGTCCCCGTCGGAGGAGAGCGGGGAGCTCGAAATAGATCCGGAAAAGGTCCAACATTTCATGCAGCGACAGGTGCGTGGCGACGCGGGCGTCGACGCGCGGGCGCGGGCGCGCGGGGCTGCGCCGACGGACTGTGCCGCGGGCGTCCGCCAGCCGGCCGCGCGCGGCCTCCGCCGCTTGTCCAATCAAGGAAACGTGTTGTCGAAGCAATTCGTTGAAACAGGATGGTTGCTTTGCGTGTTTCGCAGATGGAGTTCCACGGCCGCATGATGGGCCCGCGCCCGGGCTTCGCCCCCGGCATGGGCGGCCCCATGGGCGCCCCTCCGCGCGGATTCATGCCGCAGATGGGTGGTCCGCGGCCCATGATCCACGGACGTCCCGGCATGATGCCGCCGCCGATGGGCGGCGGTGCGCCGTTCATCGGCGGCCCGCGCGGGCCGATGGGCTTCGACGGCGGGCGCGGGGGCCGCGGGGGCGGCCGCGGGCGGGGCGGACGCGGCGGGTTCGGCAGCCAGCGCAAAGGCATCGCCTTCCGGCCGCCGCCGGACGACGAGGGCCCGCTGAGCGAGGAGGAGAAGCGCGCGCGGACGGTGTTCGTCTCCAAGCTGCACCGCGCGTGTACGTCGGCCGCGGTGAAGGACTTTTTCGGCCAGGTGGGGTACGTCGTCAACGTGTCGATGATGATCGATTTCGCGACGGGGCAGTCGCGCGGCATGGCGCACGTGCGCATGGCGAACAAGGAGGGCGCGGAGGCGGCGCTGGCGCTCAACGGGACGCTCTTCGCGGGCCGCGAGGTCGCGGTTGCGCCGTTCAAGGACAAGAAGGAGAGGGAGCCGCCCGCGGACAAGGCGGCGGCGAAGGAGGCGCCGGCGGCGCGGGAGGCGCAGGGCGGGGCCGAGGGCGGGAAGCCCAAGGTGCGGAAGTGGGTGCGGCCGGGCTCGGGGCTCCCGGGCGACCCGCTTTTGGAGGAGAAGAAGGAGGAGGGCGAAATCGTCGCGGAGGCGGTGGCGAAGGCCGCGGCGCAGCAGAACTAGGCGCAGCGCACGCGTCAGAGGCCGCGGCGGCCTTGTGCGGGCGCGGCGAGCCCGAACCAGGCGTTGTACACCTGTTACACTGTACGAATGTTGGAGCGCGAGCGGGGGGTCTAGTTGGCGACAGCCTTGGGCGACACGGGCGCCTCGGTCACGGGCTCGAGCCAGTCGAAGAAGCCCTCTGGGGCCTTCGCCTTGATGTCCTCCCCGCACTTGCGTCCGAGCGCCACAGCGTCCTCCGGGTTGAACGCGCAGCGGCCCTCGCTCCGCAGCGTGGTCTTGCCCTCTGGGTCCGCGACGAGGCCGTCGAAGACGAGCTCGTCGCCCTCGCGGCGGGCGTAGCCGGCGATGGGGGTGCGGCAGGAGCCGTCGAGCGCGCGCAGGAACTCGCGCTCGCAGAGGACGGCGACGCGGGTGTCCTCGTGGTTGAGGGCCGCGAGGAGCTCGGCGGACTTGTCGTCGCCCTCGCGGCACGCGATGCCGATCGCGCCCTGCGTGGCAGCACCAGAAAAACAAAGGTGTTGGTGTTGTTCTTTCAATCGGCTTTTGCTGCACTTGTGCAGCGCAGTTCTGTGCCTGCGCTCAGGCATGCTTCGCTGCCACGCTATGCGCGCGAGGCCGACGGCGCATCGGTCTGGACGCGCTCGTTCGACGCCGCACCACGGACCGGGCCGCACACTGCGTTCACGGCCCCACGCAGCCCCTTCGCGCACCTGCGAGACGGCGGGCAGCATCTCCTCGTAGTCCAGGATCGCGGTGATGTGCTCCTCCATGCTCAGCCGCTTCAGGCCCGCCAGCGCGAGCAGCGTCGCCTCGCACTCCCCCTCGCTCAGCTTACGGATCCGCGACTGCACGTTCCCGCGGAAGTTCACCACGTTCAGGTCCGGCCGCTTGGCCTTGATCTGCGCCTGCCTCCGCAGCGACGCCGAGCCCACCGTCGCGCCCTCCGGCAGCTCCGCGAGCGACTTGTACTTGGGCGAAATAAACACGTCGCGCGTGTCCTCCCGCGGGAGGTTGCACGGGAGGATGGTGCCGGCCGGGAGGTACGTGGGGACGTCCTGCGGGCGGGGCGGCACCGTGCGGGGTCAGCGCCGGGCGTGGCGGGCGCTGCCGGGACGAAAAAGGGCCCAAGGCACCAGTGGGGTGAATCCGTGAGGGCGATCGAGGGTGGCTTGGCAGGGCGGCGGGGGCGCGCGCGTCCGGTCGGGGCCGCGTCGGTGCGCGCGGCGAGCTGGTGTGAGCTCGTACATGGTGTGCGGGGGGCGCAGGCGGGCGGAGCGGCGCGAGCGGGGCCGGGAGCGCTGGGGCGTGCGGCAGCGGCGCGGCGGTGCGCGGCTGCGCGGTGTGCCGTGGGCGGGCGGCGGGCGGACCTTCATGGAGTGCACAGCGATGTCGACGCGCCCGTCGAGGAGCGCCTCGTCGATTTCCTTCGTGAACAGCCCCTTGCCCCCGATGTCCGAGAGCGCCTGCGACAGCACCTTGTCCCCCGTCGTCTTGATGATCTTGATCTCGAGCGCGCCCTCCTCGGCCAGCTCGGGGAAGTTCTGCGAGCGGAGTAGGCGTGCGGGGGGTCGGAACGCCCCGCGAGCGCCGCGGCGGCGCGGCAGGAATGGATTGTGTGTGGGATCCACCCCGCGCTGGGATGTCCAACCAACATGTGCGAATTGCGAGTGAATTGGGGCGGGGGGGCGGGCTTGGACGGGCGTGGGGGGGCGTGCAGATTGTGCAGAGGACAGCGCGGCGCGGAGGGGGCGCAAACCTTCATGAGGAGATCGCGCGTGAGGTAGGCTTGGGCCATGGCGAGCGGGGAGCCTCGAGTGCCGATGCGCACGGGCTCCGCGGCGGCGCGGCACGCGACGACACGGACCCTAGAAGCGCGAGGCGCGGATTGGCGGACCGCGAGGCGCGGCGCGACCGCGTGCGAGGAGCCGAGAGCGGCCGGGGCCATCTTCGTGCTTATCCGAAACGGCGGGGAAGGCAACGGTCCGCGTTGCTTGGGACAAGCTGATGCGAAGCGGTCACGGGGGACAAAGTTGGGCGCTTGGCGATGTCGACAGCCGTCGCGCGCCCTTGACGTCGCCGCGCAGGTCGCTTGATTACTGACGTCAGGGGGGACGGTCCCGACGTTGACGTGGGCGCGAGCGACAGCGACGAGGGGCGCGAAGGATGTGCCCGTGAGCCACTCGCGCGCAGCGCGGACCGCCCTCGCAGAAATATACATCCGCGCCCACGGCGCCCGGTTGTTTGCATCTTGGGGAAACCTCGCCCCCTTGGCATTGGAGCCGCAAACCCACCTGAGACTCCGGCCGTGCTGGGCATGGCGGAGGGCGAGGATGCGCTGGCGGCGCTGAGCGAGGACGACGCGCGCCTCGCGGCGTCGCTGGCGGAGGAGTTGCGGCGCCGCAGCGCCACGGCCGAACGGGATGACATGAGCGACTGCATCAGGCAGTTACGCCGGTGCAGCAATCGCTGCGCTAGGGAAGGGGCGTTCGCGCACGCTCTGGCCGAGGTCGGGGCGTTCGACAGCGCAGCAGGCCTCCTGGCCAGCACCCTAGGTTGCGCGGGCCAGGAGACCCCCGCCTCGGGGAGCGGCGCTGGTGCCCCCGCAGCGGCGCACGTACGGGATCTCGCCGCCGCCTGCGCGGTGCTGATGTCGAACGCCGCGCTGAGCAGCCCCCGCGCCGCGTCTGCCGCCTGGAGTGCCGTGGCCGAGAGGAGCGGCGCTCTCGCGGCCGTGCTCGCCCACGACGATCCGTCCGTGGTCGCTCCGGCATCCATGATGCTGCACAGCTGCTGTCTCAAGGGAGAGAGCTGCTCGCAGCGACTTGCGCGATCGCCATCGCTGCTTCAAAGCCTGCTGACCCACACAGGTGCGCCGGCTGCGACGCATTCGCCCGTATTGGCACATACACACCGCCCTGTCCGCATACCGAAACGCGTGTGCAGTCCGTTTCTTCGCTCGCAGCTCCGCACATGCTGGCCAGCGACGGAGACACCAGCCCGTCCCACGAAGCCTGGTCGGACGCGCTGCAGTGGCAGGCGGTGCTCATCTCGAGGGTGGCCATGGCCGACGGCCATCTCGAGGACCTCGCCGCCTCGTTGTGGCCGCAGCACCGCGCCCAGGTCCTCGGCACGACCTCAGAAGCTCCCCCGACAGCCATCGCTGCCGTCGCCACGGCCCTCGCCGCCGAGGCCGAGCGCATTCTCGCGCCAGAATCATCCTCCGAGGGACCGCCCTGGCCTCCTGCATCCTCCGTCCCCGCCGCGCTCGTCCACCTCCTCCAAGCCGCCGCCGCAGCGCCGCCCTCCTCCCGCACCACAGCCGCGACCCTCCGCGCCCTTCTCGGCGTCTTCCGCGCCGCTGCGGCCACCGAACCCACGTACCGCGGCCGGGACCCCGTCCTTGAGCTGCACGACGCGGGAGCGACAGATGCGCTCGTGTTGTTGCTGCAAGCTCTTGGGCCAGTGGACGGCCCGCGAAAGAAGGCGACAGCGGAGGACCGGGCGGCGTGGCGGGCCGCGCTGCCGCCGGAGCGCGCGGCGGCCGTGTCGCGCTGCCCCGCGACCGCGCCATACACGGACTTCAGGGCGGATGTGCTGGCTGCGCTTTCGAACGCGTCGCACCGCAGGCCGCAGGTGGCGGTGAGTCCGATGCGCCCGCTGTGCGCGGTGTCAGTCTATGCGAATGCTCGTGCGCCTGCGTGCTGCCGCTCGCAGTTCGTGCGGCTCGGCAGAGAGCAGGAAACCTGACTCATGATTCATTGTTTTGTGCCTCTGGGGTTGATCGTGCGTTATCTGGTGCTGCGTTGTGGCTCGCAGGAGACCGTGCTGCGCGTCGGTGGCGTCGAGGTGATCCTGAGCTGCTGTCAGGTCGACGAGCGGTCCCCAATGGCCCGGGAGTGGGCACTGTGGGGGGTGCGCAACCTGTGCGAGGCCAGCGACGGCGTCAAGGCCCGCATCGCCGCCCTGAGGCCGACGGCGCCCGTACAGACGGAAGATCTGGACCGCATGGGCATGGAGGTCGAAGTCGACCGGGCCACCGGGCAGCTGCGGGTGTCACGCAAAGCGCCTGCAGGTGGCGACGTGGTGGCCCGCGAGGGCGACGAGGGGGGGCGTGCGCAGGACGACCGCTTGAAGCAGCTCGAGGACGACTTTATGAGCTGAGGTCGCGTGCGCAAGTTTCGGAACCACAATAGACGTGCACATTTGTGATTTCTATATTTGTTGTGCAACGCGGTAAACACCGACTTGTACCGTCGAGCTTCCACTCACCGGATCACAGCATCTCTGCGTCGCGGCTGCCCCACGCCGTGATGCCCGTACATCGCGAGGGAGCGCGGGCACTACATCAACTCCCCCCGGGGGTGTCCGAATCGGCCCGTTTTCGCTTCTTCCCGCCCCTCGACAGCGCCGCAACGTGCTCCTCCACCTCCCCACGCACCGCGTCCAGCCACACGTACACCCCCTCCGCCGCCAAGCTCCCCTCCGGCGCCCCCTGCAGCGCCAGGTCCGGCGCCACCAACCTTGCACGCGCCGCCTTCAGCTCGTCGCGCAGCATCTTTCGCGCAAGCTTCCGCCCGTCCTTCTCCGCGACCAGCCGCTCCGCCAGCCGCCCCGCCGCCTCCGTCAGCCCCGCAGACGCCTCCGAATCCATCCGTTCAATCTCTTCTTGCATTGTCGTCGTGACGTGGCGGCACGCGCGCCGCCGCTCCTCCGCGCCGCGCACCGCCCGCTGCAGGTCCGCAACGCCCGCGCGCTCGACCGCCTCCCACGGCCCGAGCGACAGCAGCAGGCCCGCAAGAACGCCCCGTTCCGCGCCCGGGTGCGCTGCAAGGCCCCTGTCGCCGCAGGAGGCCGCCGCAGGCAGCAGGTGGCAGCCGGCGAGGCCCGCGGCGGCCAGGGCGTGGTGTCGCGCGGCCGCGTCGTCGGAGTCCTCCGCTGGCACAACGAACACGGCGTGCTCCGCGAAGACGCAACCCAGCTCAGGGGACGCCTCCAGGACCGCCGCCCGAGCAGGTGGGATGGACTCGGGGCCGAGCGCGAGCAAGCGCGCCTCGGCGCGCGATCCGAAGTGCAGTGCGGCCATGTCGAGGCGCAAGGGCTCCTGAGCGGTGGCAGGGAGCGCGACGCGCGTCCTGAACTCGACCCACGCGGTGCCCTGCTCGACGTAGCACACCTCGCCGATGAGGTTGCGGATGCCCTCGGGAATGAGACAGACGTACGGGAGGATCGCGACCCCGACCATCGCGCCCACGGGCACCCCGACAGCGTCCTCGATGGACATCGCACAGTTCTGCGCCGCGTGCAGCGCCCACGCGAACGCACCAGCGAGGTCCTCGAACGCTATCTCCTCGAACTCGAGCCCGGGCGCGTTCTCGATCGCCGCCGTCAGCTCGGCGTGCACGTCCTCGAAGCACTCCGCGGTGTTTCGGTGACTCGCGTCGATGGCCATTGCAACGAACGAAGCGAGGCGCTCCTCCCCCTCCCCGGCCTCGTTCTGCAGAACGCTGCCAAGCACGCTCCAGTCCGCGCCGCCCATGTGGACGCGATGCGCGAACCCTGCAGGCACGTGCCGCGCCAGCTGTCGGACTGCGAGCGGCGGGGAGGGCGCCGCGTCGCCGCCGCCGGTCTTGTCGTACATCAGCCCGAGCGCGAAGACGGTCAGCGCGACCGCGAGCGTCGCCTCGTCGACCGCCACGAGGCACTCGTGCAGGGGGAGTCGGCACAACACCTCCCCCGCCTGACAGGGCGTGCACACGCGCACCCCCGACCGCCAGCCGCACCACTCCGTCGTCCCCGTTGGCCGACACGTCGCGCGCAGCGCCGGATACGCCTCCCCGCCGTCCACAGTCCACTCCCGCGGACCCCCCCCCTCCTCCGTCCCCACCAACACCCGCCCGCACTCCTCCCATCCCACAACCTCCAGCTTCGGCGCCGCCGGCCCCGCACCTTCGCCGCGCGCCCTCCCAGGCAGTTCGCCGCGCGGCAGGCGCGTCAGGAGCACCGCCAGATCCACAGCCCGGGCGTGAAGCGCCTCCAAAGCCGCATTGCAAACGTCCTTCTGCCCCGCACGGTACATCAGAGCGAACGCCGTGGCGGCGCGACCCTCGGCCATGGCCTGCCGAGCCCGCTCGAGGTCCGCTGCCCCGTCGGCGCCGCCCCGCATCGCGTCCCTCGTCGCCCGCAGCTGTACTTGCAGACCGCGCAACACGTCCCATTCCGTCTTCGCGCCGCACCGCAGCAGCGGCGAGCGCAGCTCCGCGGCTGCGGCGCCGGTGTCGTCGCTCTGCGCGTGCGCTGCCGCGCCGAAGCGCGGAAGGGAGGAGAGGAGGCGCTGGCGGCCGGCGTCGTCAGACAGGAAGACCCGAGTCAGGTTGATTAAGTATTCAGGGAACGGGCGCTCGCGGGTGAGATGGACGCGGTTCTCGAGACCCATGGCCGATAGGAGGATGGCCTGCTGGGCCCAGTCGCCGACGTCGGCCTCCGCGGGGGTGCTTCCGCCGGCGTCGTCCTCGGGGGGGGGTGCGGTGGCGATGGTGACGTGAACGAAGTCCCGGGGGTTGTTCTCCAGGGCGAAGCCGTACCCGAGCAGGAGCTCTTCGTTCGCCTTGAGGCCGTAGTTGTTCCAGAGCGTCGCGCCGGCCTCCACGCCGGTCGACGTGACCATGTGAAACGGCCCTTTCCCGCCAGCGCTGCACGCGCGCGGAGACCACGCGGATGGGCTGCGTTCGCGGGCTGCCTGGCCAGCGGCGGGTCACGAGCTCAGTGTAGAGGCAGGCGGCGGGGCGGGGACGGTGGGCGCACGTGTGCCAGGCTGCCTGGTGGCCTGGGTTGTGGTCGAGCATATCAATCACTGGTACAAGACAGATCGTCTTTCCATGGTCTCCGAGCTCGTGCACGTTGAACGCGCGCGACCAGACGGACGACCGCGCCCACTTGGCCGCCAGCTCAGTCAAGCCCCATCCCCGCTCGCCTGCGCCCACTGGTCGCACGGCAACACCCGATGAAGCTTGCCCTGCTTGTGAGACATCACGCACGGCGCGGCTCCTCTCATCGCGCGGCCGCGATGAGGTGCGCCGTACCTGTGATTGTTGCCTCCGCGATGCATCCCCCGCCGTCTCCTGTGCGCTCGCTTCGCAGCTGCACCAGCCGCGCCGCGAGACGTCCGACCGTCTTCACGTTCTCGCCCTGCGCCACCACGGCCCGACCCAGACGCGTGCCACTGCAAGCCACGACATCAAATACCAAACGGTTGTTGTTCTTCAATAACACTTGCGCCGACGAACAAGCCCTCACCTCAACGTGATAAGACACATGCTGGCATGTCCATCTTGTGCTCGGCATCAGGGTCGGGCCCGGGGTCCCGCTCGGCAGCACTCGCATCGCATGCGGGCGCGCGTCTGGTCCGCGGCGCGTCACGGTGTATCTGTTGCCTCCGAACTGACCTGATGAGCTCGAGGGTGTCGTCGTCCCACCACCACGGATCCTCGTACGTCCGCGGGAGCACCGCGACGTACGGCGCCCAGAAGGACTCGGCGCCGCGGCAGCGCTCCACCAGCAAGAGGAGGGACAGCAGGAAGCGGGCGTCGAGGGACGCCCCCTCCTCGCGGGCAAGCGCGCGGAAGTCGGGCCCGTAGTCGACGTCGTCCTGAGCGAGCCCCGCGTGGAGGATCAGGTGCTGCGGGACGGTGAGGCTGCACTCTCCAGGCGCGATGCGCTGCTGGGCCACGAGCGTCCTTTCCGCGGCTGCGCTGATTTCAACCTGCGTGGTAGTTACGGAAACGCATGTCGACGACGTTGACATTCATGCAAGCACGCGTCTGCCGCGAAACACCGCAGGAGCGTCGCGGAAACGGAGGCGTGGACGTCCTGCGGCTGTTGCGGCTCGCCCGGCGAGGACGTGCGCACCTTCGATACGTCTCCGCCGTGGTCCCTGACCCATGCGAGGATGGCTTCGACCTCCGCCCGACCCGGCTGGCGCACGCTGTCCTCCGGGCCCATAGCGCTACCCGCCTATGGCTCTCCAGCGGCGAACCAGCCACTCTTACGCACCGCACCGCCCTTTTCTATCAACCCGGGAACATGTCGGCGGCAGTACGCTTCCCGGTGATGGCCGAAGCCCCTTGTCTCGGCCTCTCCGGCCTGCCAGTGGGGTGTCAGTGGGGCCTGATTCCTCGGCGTCTCAGGTGCTGCGCCGGGCCGATATCGCGCCACAACCTCACCCAGACACAGCACACGTGGTCAGCTTCACGTCTCTTTGCCGACGTCCCGGAAAAGCCCGCTGTCGACCGCGACTGGCGCTTCTGTAGCTCTGCCCCACTCACCGCAGGCTCGCCCCAAACCCGCCCCGTCGTCGGCCATGGCGCAGGCCCTGCGCGGCACGCCGGCCGCGATGGCGTCCCCGCAACACACGGCCTGCGTGGCCCGCACCCCGCGGCCTGTCAGGGCCGCCAGCGTCGTCTGTCGAGCAAGTGCCCGGAGCGACCCTGATCGCTGCGCGCAGCGCCCACTGGCGGCGCGCGTGGCCGCGTGCCTCGCGGCGGGTCTCTTGAGTGTTTCTCCGCTCGGGGTCGCGCCTGCTAGCGCCGCGAGTCCCATTTACGACGCTGCGGGGGTCCTCAAGGCGGAGCGCACGCAGCGGCTGGAGGAGAAAATTCAGGGCATCGAGGAGCAGTCCGGGTACAAGGTCCGGGTGTTCGCGAAGGACGGAGGCGTGACGGTGCGTGCCCGCGACGTCGGTGCGCGAGGTCCCCGGCACGACGAGATGACGTCATCTGTGTCGCGCGTAGAACGAGCCCTAAGTGCCTCTGCCCCTGCTCGCCTCGCAGGGCCAGGAGGACGTCGACCGCGCGCGCCGCGACTGGAACCCCGACAGCAAGACGATCATCATCACGGTGGACCCCACCGCCCCGAACGTCCTCGACTTCAGACAGGGCGACGAGGTGCGCGACAAGATTGCCTTCCCCTTCTTCACCGAGCTCCAGGGCCGCTTCGGAAACATCTTCTACATCCGCGACAACGGCGTCGCGGCCGCGGTCGACGACACCGTCGAGGCCCTGCGCCTCTGCACGATCTCGTCCGAGCGCTGCATCCACGTGCCTGGCGTCGACGAAAACCAGTACGGGTTCACGCTGGCGTTCGCGGTCATCGCGGGCATCATCGCCGGCGCCAGCGCGCGCATCGAGCCGCAGGGCTTCGTCAAGCGGAAGGGCGCCTTCGCCCTCGTGTTCGCGCCGCTGTGGGGCCCGTTTCTGGTGAGCTACGGGCTTGGGCCGATTTTGTCGCGGACCGAGGACAGGACGCTGGTGATCGCGAACATCGCGGCGTTCTTCGCCGTCGCCGCGATCGTGGCGCTGCAGGACCGCATCGGCCGCGGCCTCGGCATGTCGCCACCGCCGCCAAGCGACCAGTGACGCGCACCGACTGCGGGGGGGCGTGTGACCGCACCGCGACGACGCCACGCGCTCACACGCGTGCCAGGGCCCACAGCGCACGGCTCACGCTCTCTCGCGGGGACCGCAGGCTATCGCACCACGCATTACCCCCCCGAAGCACCCACTTCTACTTCCTCGTCCACTTGCGTCAATTCCCCCCCTCTCCCACGCCCGCGGCGCTCAGAGCAGGTTGTGCGCGACGGCGTTCTCCTGCTCCGCGCGCTTCTCGGCCTTCTTCGTCTTCTTTTGCACCTCGGGGTCCTTGCCCCCCGCGATCTCGAGGTACCACTTGTACTTTGCCGCCTTGGTGAACTCCCCCGAGGCAAACCACTCCAGGATCGCCGTCGCCGTGCCGTCGCCCACGCCCTTGATCTCCTTCAGCCGCTTCTTGTTCCAGTCTGCACACCAGCAGCCGCAGTCCAGTGACGGTTGCAACACAACGCCGTGCGGGCGCGTTCGGGCGTGGGTCGGGAGCAGGGGGGCGCGGACGGACCCTTCGTGATCGGCTCCGGCAGGCACTCGATCTCCGCGACGGCCCGCCGGAGCGCCCCGGCCTTGAAGGAGAGGCCCTTGGCGGTCTTGCCCTCCTCGCCAAAGGGGATGTCCGGGTCCACGCCGGGCGCCGGGATGTGCTTCGACGCGTCCTGGCAGAGCTGCGCGAACTCCGTGAGTGCCGCGCACAGCTCCGGGGACCTGCGCAGACGACATCACACCCCTCCACGTGTCAGGGGGGTGTTATGCGTCCGCGACGGCGCTGAGCGCGCGCACGCCGCAGTCAGCGAGCCACGCGCATGCATATGCACACTAACGCGGCCGTGCGAGGCCCAGTAGCGGCGAGTGCGGCGAGCGCGGCCGAGCACGCGAGGCGAGGGCGTACTTGTTCGGCATCTCCCCGCCGACCACGACTGCCGACTGTTTGTGCGAGCAGCTGCCGAACTCGTCCTCGGGCGTGCGGAACTCGTACCCGATCTTCTCCGCGAAATCCTTGTCGGACTGCGCGAAGTCTCCGTCGCGCCCCGCCGCGTCCCCGCAGAAGAAGGACTCCGCGCTGGGCCGCACGCCGCCGTTCAAGTGCTCGACGAAGAACTCGAACATCCCGGTCTTGGGCTTGCGGTTGTCGTCGTCCATCGTGGCCATGACGACCTGGTACGGCAGCGGCTCGTCGAGCTCGGCCTTCTGGGAGATCTTGGCCATGGCGTTGACCACGCGGCTGGTGACCTTCTCGGCCATGGCGCCGTTCAGGGCGGACTTGACGCCGCCCTGGTTCGAGAGGATGACGATCTTGAAGCCCTGGCTGTGCAGCTCCTTCAGGCGCGCGGGCGTCGTCTTGTCGTTGAAGATGCCAAAGTCGGTGTTGCTCGTGGGCCTGGAACGCAGCGGCGGGGCAACTAAGCGGAGTTTTTGGGAGTGAACTACCTTTTCGTGCATCGGTTGAACGACGCGCTTGATTTCGGGGCCACGAGGGTCCCAGACGGGGCCGGTGGAGGGCGCGGAGGCTGTGTGGCGGTGCTTGTGGGCTCCGTTCGAGGTCGCTGCGCGCGTGGGAGGGCGTTGCGACTCACCCGCGCTGAGGGGTGCCTGTCTTGAGGACGACGAGCGTGCCGTCCAGGTCGTACATGGCGCACTTCTCCGAGTTGGGGAGCTCCTTGCCCGGCGGGTGCGAGTACGAGAGCAGCGAGGGCGGGTGCATGGTGAAGTTGCTCTTGATCTTCGCGCCCTCGACGATCTGCGTGCAACGTAGGGAGCCGGCTGACGAGGCAGGTGAGCCGGCCACGCGTCCCAGAGGGAGCATTTCGCGGCAACAGGAGAGAGAGCAACCGACTCGCTTCGACGCCGCGATGGATCCTTCGATCTTTCGGATCGCCGTACGAGGTGGTCCGTACACGCAGACAGCACGCGATCCGCGGCCGATGCTGACGGCGAACGCCCCGCTGGCGCCGTAGCGGGCGAGGCTGGTAGTCCCATCAGAGCGTCGGCCTCGGAACGGGCAGGCGACGCGCTGCTGAGGGTTACTTCGGCGCTCAGCAGGTAGCCAGAGCACGCAGGCGTCGGGGTGCGCGCACGTCTGCCTTCTTGGCCCGCGGGGCCGCCTTCTTCTTCGGCTTTTCCTCGTCGTCGGAATCCTCCTTCTTCGCCTTCTTCTTCGGAGGCGCCTTGGCCTTCGCCTTGGCCTTGGTCTTCTTCTTCGGGAGGTCGAGGAACTCCTCGTCCGACTCCTCGAACTCGCTCTCCGAGTCCGCCTTCTTCTTCGGCATCGCGCGCGCTGGAACCTGTGGCGGTGGCAGAAGGCCTCGGGGCGAACGAAAGACACGTGCCGGCCGGTGTGGGACTGTCAAGGGCGCCGCGGCGATCCTCAGCATCGACGGGTGCCGTGCGCTGGCGTGCCGCGCTGGCAAAGACGCGGACGCGGGCCACACAGAGCGCGCCACCTATACGCCCCCCCTCAACACACGTCGATGCGTCCTGCGCCTTGTTGCGGCGTCGCTGAGGGCTGAGCGCTCGTACAGATGTCGGAGGAGGAGGAGGAGACCGCCTCGTGGTGCCGCGGCACGCTGGATCCGGCCATCGCGGCTCGCCTGCGTCGGTGGGACACCACAGGATCGGAGCTGATCTTGCCCGCGGGGATGGAGGCTCGTGGGGAGCGAAACAGCTAGAGACGAGCACCGAAGGTCCGTCTTAGCGACTTTGAGCGCTCTCGAGGCGTGCACCACGTGCAGCGACACTCGCCTGTGAGTCCGTGCGCCGTCACCTGATCGCGATCACAGCGCCGACCCGCGCGCCGCGGGGTCCACCGTGAGGTCCTGCGCCCCCTCCAGTCGCTCCGGCGCGCGCCCCACCAGCGTGAACGCGCGCGCCCCCGACGCCCGCACGATGTGCACGTCGAACAACCCCGCGCGCACCAGCCACCCAACGTCGAACGGCGCCCCCCCGGCCTGCATATCGTACCCCGGATAGTAGCAAGCGATCCCGAGACTCGCGATCCGCCCCCCCGCGAACTCAGCGGGGAGCGGAACGATCCGCCGCGTCCATCCGTTGCCGGTGGGGACCTCGCGGCGGCCCGACCCGCCCTGCTCGTCGCCGACGCCGGCGCCGATCATCTCCACGAGGCTGCGCCCGTCCTCGAGGACCACGTCCACCGCCACGCGCGGCTCGGTGGCCGCCGCCATCACCTCAACCCTCTCGTCTGTTCGCTGCTCCTCGTCGCTCGCGCCCTGCGCGTCCGCGCCGTCTACCCGCTCTTGATCGGTTCGGTTTCGCCGCGCCGGGGGCTCGAAGAGCGCGCTGGGCGGCGGATGCAGTCGGGGCTGACGTACGGCGCCCTGCACAGGCTCTGTCGGCGCGTACGCGGCCGGAATCCGCCCGCAAATCCTCCACCCCGCGGCCAAAAATCCCGCTCCAGCCGCATCGCCGAGATTTGGCGACGGCGGCGCGAGGTCGGGGTCGCACTCGAACGTCGCCCCCAGGCCGCGCGTCTCGTACACCAGCATGTCCCCGCGCATGATGACGTACTTCGCCGCGATCGCGCCGCCGCCGAGGGACACCTCCAAGTACGCGCCCGCGCCCCGGCGGCTCGCCTCGGCGCCCCCCGCGCCGCTCTCCCGCAAGCGTTGCCCCGAACTCTGTGTTTGGTCTTGGGGCGATCGGAAGTCAACGTCGAGCCGCAGGATGTTGTGGTGGTTGACGATGAGCGCAGCGGAGAGCGGGGCGTCCTCGGCCGCTGCGTGCCCGCCCACGTGCCAGCTCAGGTCGGACTGGGCGCGTCCGCGCACCCACGCCTCGCCCCGCAGCGTGCGACGCCGCAGCGGGCCGCGGCCGAGGTCGTCCGGCGCGGCGCCCTTGTTGCGGACGCCGTCCGTGATGCAGCGGTGCCGCCTGGCGCACGGGTCGTTCGGCGCGGGGCCCTCGGGAGGGGGTTGCTGGGGGGCTGTTTTGTAGTGACGTGCGTGCATCTGGGAGGGGTCGTTCGGGTCGACGCGGTAGCCCCACACGCCGCCGTCCGCGTCGACGTCCCGCCGCTCGTAGTAGAACGCCCAGTTCGACACGTCGTCCTCGGAACTCTGCACGAACAGGTAACACGCATCGCAACATGAGCCGATGCGCACTTCTGCTCGATACCCAGCGACCCGGTCTGGCCCGCGACTTCCATGCACGGAGCTATCCCGCAGTTTGCGCTGATTCGGAGAGAGAATCAGGTCGGGCACGCACCTGTGCTGCCTCCATTGTTTCCCTGCGCAGCCCCTCGCGCATGGCCTCGGCCTGCGCGTTGACGAACATGTCGTGTCCGTCGTCCTCTCCGCCGTCCTCGAGCGACGCGAGGTACTCCCGCCGCTTCTCCTCGTCCCCCAGCACCTCGTTCGCCTCCGTCACTCGAACAAACATGTCTTCCGCCAACTCGGGATCCTCGTGTCCCTTGTCCGGGTGAAACTCCAGCGCCTTGCGCCGGTACGCCCGCTTCAGCTTCGGACGGAAGTCCTCCCTGCGAGCCTCGTCCCCCGTCAGACCGAGCACCTGCAACAAACACAAATGCCAGGAACATCTGAAAAAGCTTTAGGTGCCTTGCAGCAAGCCTTGCGGGCAGCGATCCTTCTAGCGCACGCAGCATACTCAGCACGCATCGACCCCCGACCCGCAGCGCCCCTGCCGCCACAAAACATCCCCCCACGCACCTCCAGGAATGTTGGCTCGTGTTCCCCGGCCTGCGTCAGCCCCAAAAACCCCTCCAGCGCGTCCCGCAGCCGCGCCGCGCCCCAGGGCCCGCACAGCTCGTGCGGCCGCCGCTCCGGCTCCCCCAGCGGCCCGCACCGCTCCGGCGACGTGTAGTATTCCAGCTCATACACCTCCAGGGCCAACTCAAGGTCGCTCCGGGCGTGGTACGCGTGCCCAAGGATCGCCCGCGTCGCTGCTCGTCCGACCAGCGCTGCTGCCGCAGCCGCGCCCGCGCCGGACCCCACGTCCGCGCCCTCACACCCCTCACCGTCAGACCCACACTCCCCCCCCGCTGACTCGCCGCCGCCCTTTGCGAGCCCGTCGCGTCCGCCGAGCGCCGCCCAGACTGCCGCGACGCACGGGTTCGTGGCCTCGCGCGCCCACTCGGCGGCCTCCTGCGGCTCCACGGGGACCCCAATCTCCGCATGGGGGCGGTCGTGCCCAGCGGCGTGGGATGCGTGCTCGGTGGCCGCCAGCAGCGCACGCATCGCGAGGACGCGGCAGAGGACGGGGCCCCAGTGCGGCGCCATCCAGCGGGCCGTGTCGAGCTGCCGCAGCTGCGTCACCGCGTCGGCGGCGGCAACGAGGTTGTCCGTCCAGGGAATACCCATGTACTCGGAGGCTGCAAGAACCGCAATTGAGGGACGATGGGCTTGCCGTTGGTCATGCTGCGCGAATGAAGTACTCGTTGCTGCGTGTTGGAACGGTCAAAATACAAATCCAAACGTTGTAAAACAAATAAGAGAAACCTTTGCCCCGAGTCAGCGATAAATTCGCAGCACCGCGGCATTCAGGGCGCAGATCGGCACGAAGCGGGTGGCGTTCGCGCTCGGTCGCACCTTCGGCGTCCTTGGCCGCTGACTGATACGCCTCCCACGCGGTCTCGATGGGCAGCGCGGCACGGTACCACCGCGTGCAGCCCGCGTGGCCGGGGTTGGCGTGCAGGCAGCCGCGCAGCAACGCCATCGCTCCCGACAGCGCCGCGTCGGACTGGCCGAGCCTGCACACATCGCCATCAACAAGAAGGGGTTCAGCGACACATAGGGCTGTCGAACGAGGCTCGCGACGACGGAGGCGACCACGGACGTCCCAGCTCGTGCACCGAGCTCGCAGAACAAGGCAGCTAAGCGACGGTCGACGCGCCTGATGGGGCACGAAAGGAGAAAAGCACGGGGAGTCGAGAATTCCCAACGTACCGCAACAGGGCTTCGGCCATGATGTTGAGGGCGTCCGGGCTCGCAGTGGACAGCGTAAGCGCGCGCGCCACGTTCGCGCGCACGACTGACAGCGCGCCGATGTCCAGCGCCGCTCTCGCCCTGCAGCACAACCCAGTACGTGGTTATTCACCGACAAACAAATACCGAATCTCGAATCATTCTCGAGCGAGTCATACATGGACGCGCGGGCAGGGACGCGCGGCCACGGCGTACCTGGTCAGGAGCATCGGTTCGGACAGGAAGCAGTGCGCCAGGACGGCGTCCAGGAGCGCGTGCGCCCGCGCGCTGTTACGGTTCTCCTCCGCAGCACGCGCGTAGTGCGTGAAGACGGCGCCGACCTCCTGCACGTACGCGACGTGCTTCGCCACGGACGACGCCGCGCTCGCACCGACCAGCACGGCGCAGGACTGCGCCGCCGCGGGTCCTACCAAGCATGTCCTGGAGCAATCGTCCAGGCTGTCTCTGTCTCGTCGTCTCGCTGTGTCCAGGAGGTCCGAAAGGGGGCGGTGCAGGTCGTAGGAGGTCTGACGAATCAGAGCGTCGGACGCAGCCAGGTCGCAGCGCGCCGCGGCCACCTTGGCACGCAGAAGCCCGGCGCTGATGCGCAGCTGACAGGCCGCACGCAGCGCGCACGCGTCGCCGTGATCCTCGCTTTTTCCCGCGCTGGGCGATCTTCTGTACTGGAGGCGCGTGCTGGCCGATTCTGGGGACGTCGCGGCGAGTATTGACGACAGGACGGAGTCGGACCCCTCGACGTCACCGCGGCGCAATGCGTCGACCGCCTCGTCATACCTCGACGACGTGCCAGCCACGTTCTTGGCAATATCCGTAGAATATGTCTGTGATATGCGCCTGCGGTGCACGCAAGCGTCGAGAGCGCCCGCAGGAGGCCGCCATGGCTCGCAGCGACACAGCGGCGAGCGCTGGTGCTCGTGTGGGGCCCCACTCGACGGACCAGCCACGCTCTCCGTCCCCGACAGCCGCGAGCAGCTCGCAATGATCACGAGCACGATCAGACAGCATGGAAAAGCCCTCTGACGCATGATCTACCGCTCTATTGCCCCCCCAAGGATGCCTCCTCCTGTCTGGGCGTGCCCACGAAGGCTACTCGCCCCCCATGGCCTCTGAGTCCGTCGTCAGAGGCCCTCTGAAGTGCAGTGGTCGGCGCCGACCGCGCGCGCACGAAGCCCGCCCTCGGGCCGAGTCGCAGGGAGTGAGTAAGGACCCGCATCAGCAAGTGGTACAACTCGCACGCCGAGGCCGCCGCCCACCAGCTTGCTGGGCTGACGGTCCCGCTCTACTGCTGCACGGCGCTGCCGCGCACACGAGAGGTCGCGGCGTGTCCATTGTCTTGGGGTCGAACCGCGAACACACCAAACATGTCGCGACAAGAGCAACATGCGATCAGGGGCGCTGGCTCTCCTCATTCGGATGAAAGCGCAGACTCGGAGCATCACCGCTTCCTATGCGTATCGTCTGAGCGGTACGGAGATCCTCGAGGACGCGTGTCGACCGTGCTGGCGGGTATAATTGCTGTCAACACTGACGTGATGGCGAAGGTGCCGGTCTGGGTCGCCGCGGCAGCATTGGCGGAAGACGGCCGGTTCGTTCGACAGCCGACGTCTTAGGAGCGTCGAAGGCAGCTTCGTCGGCCAGGTCGTGCCCGCGTCGTCGTCGCGAGCGCTGGTCGACTTTGCAAAGGGCGGTTGCGCGTTCGCTGACAGCGCCGGCCACGATGACGCCCCCGAGGCATCTCGCGCAGCGGTCTCTGAATTATGACGTCACATGGTCGCCGTCCTCTCACCCGAGCAAGGCCACGTCGACTGTACCAGGCGCTCTCAGCGATGGCACGAGTCAGTGCCCTTGCCGGCGCGTGTTGGCGGCCCGCGGCGACGACGCGTCCATGGCGAATGCTCTTCAGGTGATTGGTGATTTCTCGGAATCGCACGCCGCGGAGGACGCGGGAGTCCTCGCGTTCACCATCGTGGCGGGAAACATCAACGAGTACGCGTCCTCGCTGTCGGGCGTCATCAAGGCCGTGTTCGACGTCGTCGTGAGCTCGAATCGCCTGAAGGCCGCTCTCAGGGCGCCCGAACGCTTCAGTCTCGACGCGTCGTTCCTACAGTCGCTGAAAAGCTTTTCGCGCTATTGCGCCTCCGAGGTTCGAGCCTGGCACCGCACCTCGCGCTTGCTGTCGCGCTCAGACGTCGAGAAATAAAATGCTCTTGACGCCTGCCACCGCTTCGCAACGGTTGCAGGACACCTCGAGCCCCGCGAGCGTCAACATCGTGGCCCTGCTCCTCGACCGCCTGGTTGCCCCGCCCCAGGGAACACACCTCGGCGACACGATCGAACTTCAGATCGAGGGCGTGGATCTGCTCATGGAGTGCCTGGAGCCGACGATGGGGGTCATGCGAACCCGCGTCGCCTCCATCCTGTCGAACAAAACGCATTCGCCGCACAAGCATCCCCCCGCCGGGCTCGCACGCGGCCCCAACAGGGTCGTGTGCGAGGATCTGTTCTCCTGGGCCCAGGCCTGGAACGCCCTGAGAATGATCTACGGCGCAGCGACCAGCCTGCTCCTGACGACGAACGTCGTCACTGCGTACGACGTCGCCCGCGCGCGCTCACGCGCTCAGCCCACCGTCCCGCGCAGCAAGTCGCCCCTCGCGACGAAGCTCGTCGCCGTGCTTCTCGACAACGTCATCCTCTCCACGCTCCTCGGCGCTGAGCGCACCGCGACGGACACTGCGCGGACCAGCACCGTCGAATGGGAGGCCGTCATCGTCTCGACCGTCGACCACGCCAACGCAGCGGCCGCGTGCGCCCTGGCCCGCTGCCTCACCATCGGCCCCGGCACCGCCGCCCGCTCCGTTCCGGACCCTCTCCTTCACCGCGCCATTCAGTGCCTTTCTGCGCGCGCCGCCGTGGTGCAGGCCGCGATCCCAACGGTCCCGCGCGCGGCCTGGGACGAGACGGCCGTCGAGCTTGTCATGGAGGAGCAGGCCTGCCTGGTTCACCTCAGAAAGCTGCTGGAGAGCGCACCGTGTGCTGTCGGCATTGCGTTTCCCCGCAGCGGGCCGCCGTCGGGCCTCGAGGCGCCGATCATGGCCGTATCGTCCGCGACGCTGCAGGCGTCGGTCCGCGGGGTGCCACGCCGGCCGCCGGCGATCGCTGCGGCCGCAGCGCTGGCCGCGATCGCGGCTCATGCCGCCGGGGACGGCTGCGTCGGCGCGGAACGCGCGGGACTCGACGGCACCGCGCCGCTGTTCTGGAGCGAGGTTCTGTGCGCGGCTGTGGCGAGCGCGGTCGATCCGATGCCGGGCCTGGAGCCTCTCGAGATGGCACACATCCTGCCGCTGCCCGCCGTGCTGCACGTGTTCGCGGAGATGGCGCGGCGCACGGTGGAGGAGATCGCGGCCAGCGAGGTCGAGGCGAGGGCGAGGATGCTCCGCAGCCTGCAGGAGAGGCTGCCGGCGTACAGGCAGCCTGGGCACGTGGGGTACAACAGGTGGGCAACTCCGTACCACGCCCGTCCTTGGTCGGTGTTCGGCAACCGCGGCGTCTTCCAGTACGGCATGTTCTCGCGGTACCTGCGCTCGCGCGGGTCCGAGATCCAAGTCACGACGGCCTACGACTCTGCGCGTTCCGTCCAGCCCGCGGTGCGCGCGCCAGTGGCGCCACTCCGGTTCCAGCAGCCGGCCTGCGCGCCCGCTGAGATCCTCGTGCGCGTCTGCGACGAGAACCTCCGCGCCGTGATCCCCAAGCCTCGCCCGTGGGACGCCGCGCGGAACCTGTGGCAAGCCTACCGCCACCTCAGCAGCGGCAAGCTGGCAGAGGCGCTCCGCCGGACCGACCCGAGCGGGACGTCGGACATCGGGACCCGGCTGGCCTCCGCGTGGCTCGCCTTCGACACGCAAATGCGCAAGCTCTTCGAGGAGGATGCAAACACCCCCCTGGGACCCCCCCGGGGGTCTCCGCGCGGGTCCTGGCACCTCGTGCGGTCCGCGCCCGCGCTCGGGCGGCCCAGGCGCGCCGAGCCCATCACGCCGCCGCAGCGCCAGTTCTGGAGCGGCGGCGACCGGCGCCACGCCGCCAAGTCCGCGCGTCTCGACTTCGCTGCTGCCGTCGCCGCCGACTGCACCTGGTCGCCCGTGGCCGGGGCGCTCGACGCGACCGACGCGAGCGGGAGCGCGGTGACCGCGAACGACGTCCCTGCCACGCCGGCGTCCGAAGTGCTGCCCGCGTCGCCGTCGCTGGCGCCGCCTTTCATGACCGACCTGTCAGACACCGAGAAGGGGGTGTGCTTCCTGTCGCCGGAGCGCAGCCCGTCGGCGTACCGCACGCCACCGGCGACGCCGCCCGCGGCCACGCGTCAGGGCTTGGAGTCCCCCGAGTACTTGCAGCTGACAGCGCTGGGCTGTGTCAGCCCGGAGAGCCTCGGGTCCCCCCCGGGGACGTGGGCCGCGGCGGCTGAGACCGCGGACCGCGACAGCGGCCCCGCGAATGCGAAGCGCGGGATCAAGGGCCGCAAGAATGGGGGCTGGCGGTGAACGCGGGTCGGCAGTGTGGGCGGTGGGGGCGGCAGGGGAGCCGTCGCTGCGGGGCTGGGGTGGGCGGTGGGCCCGGCTGGGCGGGGGCGGGGCGGTACGATGCGGGATCACGTGAGGAAGCAGCAGCGGTAGTGTGCAAGATGGAAGCAAACGATTCACTGTAGGGCCTGGAACAAGGACGTGCGAGGTGCGTTTGGGCGGAACGCCGTTCCCTGGCACGCGCCTGGAGCGTGCGGCCCGTGGGACGTGCCGTGGCGGGGGCCGGGCGGCCGTGTGAGTGCACGAGCGTCGAGCGCGAGTTGGTCGCTTGTGGGGAAACGCGCTGGGCGCCGCGAGACGGGGTGCCGGCCTTGGTGCTGCGCGGCCGCGTGGAGCTGAGTTCGCGTGCTGCTCTTGGAGGCTCACACGGACTCCTGTGGAGCCGCGGCGAGCTATGCATGCCCACCTGTGAGTGCGCAGGCCTGCCGAAGCGTGCCCCGCGCCGCCCGGAGGTCTCGGCCGCCGACTCGGCCCCGTTACTTCTTCTTGGTCGATTCGGGCTCCCCCGCCCCGCCCGCGGCCGCCTCCAGCTCCTCAATCCGCCGCTTCGCCGCCTCCAGCTCCTTGGCCAGCGTGTCCTTCTCCGCCAACAGCGCCTCGAACTCTGCACGCGATCCGAACCGGCGTCACGACAGCACCGTCACGTACTGTTCCCGAAACACCGCCGGCGGGCCCACCAGGCGCGCCCTCGGGCGCGCGGCGGCCAGGTCCATGCACCAGGTGCGTAGCGCATGGACGCGGGGCACCGGAGACGGCGAAAGAGGACTGTGACGCACACACAAACGGTGCCGCGAGCAGCCCATCGTCGGTACCGCGCCCCGGGCGGACAGGCGGGCTCTGGCACCCTCTGGCCGTGCGGCAACGCGCGAGGCATGGCGGCGAGCGCGGCGCTCGGGTGCGCGGGGCAGGGTGCTCGGCGCGTGCGAGGGGCTCGCCGCTGCGGCCTGCGCGGGTGGTTGCAGGAGCGCGCACCCGCGGGGGTCGGTGACCCTAGTTGGCTCTTGAAGAAGTCGATGGCCTTGGGGGGCTTGTCATTATTCTCGTACAGGGCGACCAGCGCCTTCGTGATGCTCTCGATCACCCCGGACGTCTCTAGGTACTTCCTGAAGCTCTCCTTCTTCTCCGTGGACGTCATCTTGCGCCGCGCCTGGCAGAGCGCGCGTCGAACAGGTCGGGAAGTCGAACGTCTGTTGCCGGGAACCGCGTGGAGGGCTATTCAGGTCGCAAACAGCTATCCTCGTCCAAGACAATCGCGCACTCTGTCCGCGGGACCGCGATTCGCGCCCTCAAGGCGCCCACGCGCGCCGGCAACGGGACACGGGCTCCGAGCTCCCAGTACGACGCACCGCGGGGCGTACAACAAAATCAATCGGTCACGTCCAACGAAACAGGAGGATCAACCATCATCTGCACTGCGTCCTGGCGGAGTACACCGGTGTTTCATCCACGGGCACGTGCTGTGCCAGCTCCCAGCACACACCTTCCATGACACGCGGTCTCCGCCCTGCACGAACCTGTCTTCGCAGCCTGGCCCGGACAGCACCACGGCGCCCTCATCGCCGCTCCCTTCCACGCCGCTCGCCCACACCGCGGCATGCTCCGCGATCACACGCGCCACCTGCGACGCGGCCTGCTGTCCCCGGCACACGCGCGCCGTCGGGACCCGCACTGCCGCTCGCGACCCCCCTGCACGAGCAAACCACCGCCCGCTCACCCCGCGTCCCGCGTCGGCCTCCACGCCGCCCGCCCACACCGCTACACACCCCCCCCTGAGTCTTTTTAATAGGACCCCTCGACACGAGGACCGGTTCCCCGCTCGCCGCCCTCCGAGGACGAGCGAGGCGAGCTCCGGCGGCGCGCCGCGGCCTCCGTTCCGTCGCCGCTGCCGTGGCGCGACAGGATCACGTCGTGCGATCGCAGCGCTGGCGCGGTGCGGCGCGCAGGGGCGCTGGGGGACCTCGACGCGAACGCCGGGTCGCTCGCCCTCAGCGCCGGGCCCGACGACGACGCCGACGTCCAGTACTGCGGCGTGTTGTTGACGAACTGCACGGCAGCCCCCTGCGCCCACCAGCGCCCGCTTGACGTCCCAGGACGGCCGCTGCTCGACGCGAGGACGCCCGTGGCGGGCTGCCCGCGCAGCTGCGAGGAAGCGCCGGGGGCGGCAGCGAGCTCGGCGGCGCGGGACGCGTCGCGGAAGAGGCCGGCCGTTGCCGCGTCGACGATTGCCGAGTCGATGCGAGACGCGGTCGACATGCCTGCGCGGGCGGAGGGGCGGAGGGCGTGCGGGGTGTTGCGGGTGTGTGGCGGTTGATTTCCGTTTCGGGCAGTTGTTTCTCAATAACAAGAATCAATTCGTGCCATGAAACAATGATCTGTGATGCTTGATTGCGGTTTCAGTGTTGGATCGCTGGCGGGCGGCTCAGGAGGCCGTAGCACGTGGTGCCGCGCGGGATATGTGGCGCTCACCGAGCAGCTCGGGCGGCTGGTCGGGCGTGGCTGCCCACCACGCCGTCTGCGGTGCATCGCTGCGTGGGCCCGCCATCGGAGGCACCGCGTCGCGGGTCTCCCGGTCCACGCGCTCGCGCTCGCTGTCGCCCGACGCCTCGCGTAGAGGTCGCGCCTCGGCTGAGCGGGCGGCTGCGCGGGCGAGGCGCGCCGAGTGGCGGTAGCGAGGGGGGGTGTTCAGGCTCGCGTCAGACAGACTGAGCCGTGGCGGGGGTCCTCGGACCATCGGAGCCGCTCGCCTCCCTGCAACAGCACAGCACCAGCTTCCTCGAAGGGGTCGAGCAGCGCATGGCACCAACTTGCAGGTATTCCATCGAAATAGAACCAATACACCCCCTCCGTCTTCTACAACACGCACAATCGCGTGGCGAGCTCGTGGTGGGCTCCGCACATAAGTTTCCCGCCTGCATCATCCGCCGCTGCCACTCCCGGAAGTCCACGCCGTCCGCGCCCACCACACTTGGGTCGTCCGTCACGACAGTGCGGTCCGTGCTGGCCTGGTCCACCGACGCGGGCGTGCGCCGGACCACCACGAGCGGCAGCACCGGCAGCCGCGGCCCGCCGCCGGGCATCAGGCCGTGGCCGCCGAAGTAGGGCACGGAGATGACGTCGTTGTGGCGCGCGTTCATGATGCGCTGGAGCAGGAGCGCGTCGTCGCTGAGGAAGGGGCGCGTGTAGGGGAGGAGAGCTCGCCCTGGACGCGGACTCGGCGACCGGTCCGAGGCCTCTTCCACGTCGGGGGGGGGTTGCGGGGGGCGTTGGAGGGGGGAGGGGTGTGCAGACGGTGCGACGGCGCGCGGGCGCGGGCGCCCGCGCACGATCTGCCGGCCGGTGGATTGCGGGGACGTCGAGCGCAGGCGTTTGATGCCGATGCCCACGACAACGACCACGCAGGCTGTTCCGATGCCCGCGACGGGCCCCCACACTGCGGGTGGTCGGGAGGAGGCGGCGCGGGCTGGGTCGAGCTGGGGTGTAGCATGGAATGAGTGAAATGTGTTTTGCGGCGGTGCGTGCTGGTACCTTCCCATCCGATGCGCGCGGAGCCGCCAGAGGCCTGGTCCTTGCCCGGCAGTCGACCGGGTCCGAGCGTGGGCGGGGCGGGCCGCGGGTCCGCGACCGGGGCTTGCTGCATTTGCCGTGGCAAGGGGCGTCCGTGGGCGCGCTATCGGGGCCGCGTGAGAGGCCGGGGCGACGAAAACTGCTACACCACCGACTGTTGTTGTCGATTCCGGCACGTAGGCAACGGTGCCACTCGCATGCGCTCACCTCGTCGTCCAGAACGGGATCTTCTCGCGCTTGCGCGGGAGTCGTGGCGGCTGTCGTGCGCACGGGCTCCGTAGGGGCCCGTGGAACGTCGAATTCTGGTTCGGTGCCCGGTAACGCAAAGATCCCGAATTCGTCTCCCGATTTGGTAACCGGATCGCTTCGATTGGTTCCTAATGTGGCGTTCTGTGCCGGTGGAACGTCCGTGGCGTTCCCGGCCGCGGTGGCATTGGCCGTCCCGTTCGTGGTGTCCCTCTGCCGCAAAAACCTCTGCACACGCGATGGATATTCCCGTGATTCCGGAACGCAGCTGCTGCAGGGACGCGATGCAAAGGAAAGCGCGCGCGCTGCTGTGGCGAGAGGCGAGGAAACGTCGCGAACAGCGACCCACCCGGGCACGAACACCGTCCTTCAAAGGCCGCGGCGGAACTCGAAGCACTTGAGCCGCTCCGTACTTCCTCTGCTCGACCGTGGCGCATCGGGCGGCCTGGCACAAGGAGCACAGCAGAAGCGCGAGCAGCACCGCCCCGAGAACGCCCCCCCCATTGCCCCCACGAGACAGTCGACAGCTGCGCGCCATCGTCAGTCAGAGCGACGCTCTGGCGTCTCGAGCTCCGGACCGGCCGGCCGGGCCCGTGAGCCGGAGCGCGTTCGCCACGTCGGCTGCCTCGCGGACCCCTGACACAGCAAACAAGAGTAGGAGGGCCCCCGCACGACCTGCCTGTTGGGCGAACCCCCCTCCTCTTGTGCTGCTTGCGACGCACGTGAGGTACAGATTCCGTACCAGCGTGTCTTTGTGATGTCACTGCCCGCAAGCGACCCAGACGAGGCGCAACGCGACTCTGCAGCGCACTCGCACCCACAGGAAGTGGCCCGGGACGGAACCGAGGGCGTTGGGGGCGCGAACGATGAGAGCCCGCAGAGACGAAGGCGGCCGCGGATCGTCAAGTTCGGCCCCGGCTGCACGTCGGTGAACAAGGCCCTGCGCGAGTGCGTTGGGAAACGTCCCAGAGACCACCACGAAGTCTGCAGCCACCTCCACCAGGCGAGCGTGTGGTGCTTCCTCGAAGCAGTCTGTCCGACAGAAGGTGTGTTGGCCGCTACGTGCACGCCCGACGTCTCGCAACGCCCCTGCCTGGGCTGCAGCTTGTGAGGCGCGAAACAGAGCCATAAACGCTTGATTTCGACATACTGACAACACCTCAGGAAAACTCACATGAACAACTCAGGAACCTATAGCAGAATCGTGCACGTTTCGTTTTGATTCGCGCAGCGGAGCGGCTGTCCGACTGCGTGGCTCTCAGCGAGCCGGTGCGGTCCCCCCACGGGGCCAACGGCACCCGCAGTTCCATGGGCGGTGCGCTCGCCCGCGGACTGATCCCGGAGCGATGCGTTGGGAGGCTAGAGGCGCTCAAGCTGTGCGCGGCGACCGGTGAGAGCGTCGGGGGGCCCGTGGGGACTCCGATCGACGTTCCGCCGCCGCGACGGGACGCGGAGACGAAGACGGACCGCCGGGGCTGCGCGAGCGAGGACTGCGCATGCGGCGACGACAAGTCGGGATGATCGCGCTTGGAACATGTTCACAGCTATTGCATTCCCGTCCTTGAGACAGCCCACGCTGAGCTTGCCCGTGTGACGAGGCTCCCTGTCCTCGCCCAGATCACCAGTGCGCTCGACCTCGACCTCTTCTTCGCGACCGTCGCGCACACTACCCTCTTAGCGCGCCCGCGAGCTGCTCTTGCTCCGCTTCTTGCTCTTGCTCTTCTGCTGCTCCGCCGCGACCTCGCCGTGCTCCCCGCCCTCCTCCTCCTTCTTCGCCTGCACCAGCGGCAGGTCCTTCATGCGCACCTCCCCGGAGGCCGCGTCCTCAGTCTTCCGAACAGGCTTCTGCAAAATCTTCATCTTCGGCTCCCCGGGGACCACCGGAGTCTCGTACTCGTCCTCCGCAGCTGCCTCCTTCTCCACCTCCTTCGCACCGTTCTTCGCCGCGGGCTTCTCCGCCTCCCTCGTGCCGTTCTTGGCCGCGGGCTTCTCCGCAACAGCGCCGTTCTTAGCCGCGGGCTTGGCCGCCTCCGCAGCGCCGTTCTTGGTCGCGGGCTTGGCCGCCTCCGCAGCGCCGTTCTTGGTCGCGGGCTTGGCCGCCTCCGCAGCGCCGTTCTTAGCAACAGCCTCCTCCTGCTTCGCAGCGCTCTTCTCCGTCGCAGGCGTCTCCGCAGCCGCGCCCTCGTCGTCCTCCAGCTTCCGCTGCAGCTCCAGCACCTTCGCCGACGCCGACTTGAACGCGGAGCGGATGCCCTGCGACGTCGGCAGGTTGTCCGCCGCGAACCGGAACGGCGACGTCCCGCCTTCGGGCACCTTGACCTTTGCCAGGTCCTTCACGGGCGAGTACTTGTCCAGCGTGTCGCCCTTCGGCAGCCCCTGCTCCGGGATCACCTCCGCGGCGGCACGGAACGGCGACTTCCCGCCCTTGGGCGGCGCAACCTTGGCCAGGTCCTTGACGGGCGAGTACTTGTCCGCGTCGCCCTGCACGGGGCCGTCCTTGAGGAACGGCAGCAGCAGCATCACGCCCATGTCGACGAGCTGCTGGTCCGTGGACGCCGAGCCCGCGGCACCCCCCTTGGCCCCAGCCTCGGGCAGAACCTCGGCGGCGGCGCGGAACGGCGACTTGCCGCCCTTCGGCACGTCGACGCGGGCGAGGTCCTTGACGGGTGAGTACTTGTCGGCGTCCGACTTGACGGGCCCGCCCTTGAGGAACGGCAGGAGGAGCAGCAGCGCGACGTTCACCACCTGGTCCTGCGAGGCAAAGTCCGTCTTGGGGCGCAGCAAGCGCGCACGGCGCCGGACCGCGGCCTGGAGGGCCATCTCCGGCAGCGCGAGGAAGAACGCGATGATGGCGAGCACGGGGAAGCCCTGCGAGCGCACGAGCTTGGCGATGCGCTCGTCGCGCATGTTGCCCCCGGCGATCATCGCGCCGAGCCGCTCGATGCTCCGCGCCGCCGCGTGGACCACGTCGGCGAAGGAGTCCCCCGCGGTGGACATCGGGGCGCCGGACTGCGTGAGCGCCGCCATCTGGGCGCGCGTGTCGACCGGCGTGGTGGCCGACGAGCGCGGCTGCGCAGCGGCCCCGGCGCCGCCCTTCACGGCAGCAGCAGCAGCGGCCAGCCTCGGGTCGGGCTTGTACTCCGCGGGCTTGGGCTTCGCGGCGTTCACCGTCGAGGACCACGACGATGCAGAGGCACCGTCGACAGCCATGTCACCGCCAAACTCCGGCCTGACCGGCACCTCCGGCAGCTTCGCGACGGCATCGAGGGCCTCGAGCGCAGCCGCGTTCGCCTTGTACACCTCCATGAGCTTCTCCTGCGCCGCCTGGACTACCTTGCCCTCATCGTAGTTGCTCACCGGCGGCGCCCGCTCAAAAACCGGCGTCTCTTCCTCTTCCTCCTCCGCAGCCACCTCCGCAGCCACCTTCTCGTCCTCCGCGACCACAGCAGGCTTCTCCGCTTTCGGGAGCGCCGCCATCGCGTCGCGCTCGACCAGCAGCGCGGCCTGCGTCTTGTACGCAGCAAGGAGCTCGGCCTTCTGCGCCTGCAGCTTCTTGCCCTCGTCGCCCTTCGCCCGCGCCCGCAGCTCCTGCGCCATCTGCCGCGCCGCGGACGCCTCGGCGGACAGCGCCGCCGCGACCGCGGAGGCCTCCGCGAAGGAGGATACAGTCGACACCGTCGTCTTCACCGCATCTCTCGCCGCAGACGCCTCTGCGGCCAGCGTAGCAGCCGCCTCCTGCAGGTTCGTCTCTCCCTCGCGCATCGCGTCCGCGTCGGCCAGCGTCGCCGACGTCTCCTTCAGCAGGTTCTGCAGCCGCGCCGTGTACGCAGCCAGGCGCTCCTGCTCCGCCGCCGAGTCCTCGCGCTGCGCAGCCACCACCGGCGCGCCGATGTCGACCTTCGCAGGGGACTGCGCTGCGGCCGCGTCAGCGGCCGCCAGGCGGGCGCTCTCCTGCTCCAGGACGGCCTTGAGTTGCGCAGCCTCAGACTGCAGCCGCTGGGTTTCCTGGGCGATCACGGCCTGGCGCGCGTTGTCGGCGCTGGCAGCCGTGCGGAGCTCGTCGGCCTCCGCGTCCTTGCGCGCCAGCTCGTCGGAGGTGTTCTTCAGCACGCCCTGCAGCTCCGCGACCACGCCGCGCAGACGCTCGACCTCCGCGGCGCTCTCGCTCTCGGACTCGGCCTTCGCGAGGGTCTCGACCGCCTCCACCGCGACCTCCTCGTCCTCGTCGTCCTTCTTGGCCTCAACGACGACCGCAGCCTCATCATCAGCGCTCGCCTTCTCCGCGGCCACGACGGGCTCCTCCTTCGCGTCGGCATCCTCCTCCTTCTCGGCGTCGTCCTTCTCGGCCTTGTCGCTTTCCGCCGCGACCTCCGCGAGGCCGGCAGCGGCAACAACGACCTCCGCTGGCGCAGAAGTGTCCCTCTTCTTCGCGTCGCCGCCGGACTTCTCCTTCTTCAGGCCCATCTCGAGCTCGTCCGCAGACGCACGCAGCCGCTTCGCCTCTCGCTCCTGCTCGCGGCGCTTCGCCCGCGCCTTGCGCACCGCCGCCCACGCCGCTGCCGCCGCCTCCAGCCCCTCAACGGCCGCCTGGTCCGCGTCCGCGAGGTCCTCCGTCGCGTCCTGGAGCACGCCCTTCAGCTGCGACGTGCTGTCCTCCAGCCGCTGCGACTCCGCGTCGGCCTCGAGTTTCTTGACCGCTGCTCGCACACGCTCTTGTTCGGCCAGGTCCGCCTCCTCGCGCTTCCTCTTCTCCGCGGCCTCCTTCTCGCTCACCGCCGCGTCCGCGTCCGCCAGCTTCTTCGACGTGTCAGACAGGACCGTCTTCAGGTCGGACGTCGTCGCAGCGAGCCGCTCCGCCTCCGCCGCCTTCTCGAGCTTCTGAGCCGCCTGACGCACGCGCTCCTGCTCCGCCAGCTCGCGCTCGCGCTCCTCCGCGGCCTGCGCGTCCGCGTCGGTCAGGCTCTTCGCCGTGTCGCTCAGCACCGTCTTCAGCTCCGCCGTCGCCTCGCTCAGGCGCTTCGCCTCCGCTTCCGCCTCCGCCTGCCGCGCGGCGGCGCGCACGCGCTCCGCCTCCGCGGCCTGCTCCGCCTGCTTCTTCTTCTGCTCGGCGAGCTTCGCAGCCGCGGCGGCGTCGGCCTCCGCCAGGCCCTGCGTCGTCTGCGACAGCGCCGCCTGCAGCTGCGCCGTCGCGTCCGCCAGCCGCTTGGCCTCCGCCTCGGCCTCGGCCTTCTTCGCGGCCGCGCGCGCCTCCTCCGCCGCGCGCGCCTCCTCCGCCGCGCGCTCCCTCGCCTCCGCGGCCTGCTTGTCCTTGTCCGCGAGGCTCTTCGTCGTGTCGGTGAGCACAGCCTTCAGCTGCGCCGTCGTCTCGCCCAGGCGCTTGCTCTCGGCCTCCGCCTCGGCCGCCTGCTTCGCCGCCCGCTCCGCGAGCTGGCGCGCGCGCTCCCGCAGCAGCTCCTGCTCGCGCCGCTCGCGCTCGCGCCACGCCGCCGCCACGCGCTCAAACTGCAGCGTCGCCGCCGCGTCCTTCGCCGTCAGCGCCGTCGCCGCGTCCTGCAGCGTCGCCTTCAGCGCCGACGTCGTCTCGCTCAGCCGCTGCTTCTCCGCGCGCATCTCCGCCTCCCGGCGCAAGCACGCCTCTCTCTCCCGCTCCCGCGCCGCTGCGTCATCGTCGCCCGCAGCGACCTCCTCCGCCGCGCGCGCCGCCTCCTCCGCCGCGCGCGTCTCCTCCTCCGCCTTCAGCCGCGCCTCCTCCTCCGCGCCAGCACGCTCCTTCGCAGCCCGCGCCGCCTCCTGCTCCGCGAGCCGCGCGCGCTCCTCCTCGACCGACACGTCCGTGAACGCCGACTTCGCCTGCGCCTCCTTCTTCGCCTGCTTCGCAGCGATGCGCTTCTCGAGCTCCGCGGCCTGCTCCGCGACCTTGGCGAGCTGCGCGCGGACTGCGTCTTCCTCCGCCTTGCGCCGCGCACGCTCCTCCGCCTGCTGGGCGAGCTCCTCGGCCTTCTGCGCCGCCTCGGCCTGCGCAGCCAAGCGCTCCTCGGTCTGCTCGGCGTAGCTCTGCAGCGCGTCGATCCGCGCGCGTCGGCGCTCCGCCGCCATCGACTCGGCGGCCTGGAGCTTCTCGGTGTCGAGGATCGCCGCGGCGGCCTTGGCGGCGACGTCGGCCTTGCCCGCGACGCCGAGGGCCGCGCGCGTGCGGCTCGAGAGCGCGGAGGGGTCCTGGGGGGTGTCTGCTTCCTGGTCCTTGCTGTCAGGAATGAAGGCGGGGGCCCCCGGGCGGGTGCCGGTGCCGTGGGTGGCGACGGGGTCGCGGACGCCGCGCATGGCCTTGGAGAGGCAGACGGAGAAGCAGCCGAGGCAGATGAGGGCGGCGCAGACGCGCAGCAGACCGGAAGTCTCGATGGTCTTTGACGCCTTCGACGTGCGCTCCGTGAGGGCCGAGGCGCTCGTGGACGCCGCGCTGATGGAGGCCTGCGAGGCGGGTGTGGGCGGGTGGGGGAAATATGTGCTGTGGTTGCGAGCGCGTCCCTGTGCAGGGAACACAGCAGCTCGTTGGAGGTGTGGGCCGCAACGGTGCGGTGCGCGCGCCGCTGAGGGCCGCGGTCGATAGCCCTGGGGATCTCGGGCGGGAATCAACGAAAGGCGACGCGAGACAGCGCGCGAGGAGCGCGCAGGGCCCGTGGGAGGGCGCGCGCTGAGCTGCAGGGGCAGCCACCTGGGCGCCCGAGATGGGGGCGTTCAGCGTGCGCAGGAGCTCCCCGGCGTTGTACGTCTTGTACACCGCGGAGAAGTGCCGCTTGTTCCACGAGCGCTCCTCCAGCTGCCAGCGCGCGGCCTGGTTGGTCCGCTCGTCAACCAACGACAGCTCCTCCGCGCGCGGGACCTGCGAACGGTCCTTCGCGGCCTGCACGACGCCGGGGGCCGCCGCTGCGGCGCACACCGTGGCCGCGAAGAACATCGCCGGGCGCGCCAACGCCTTCCAGAGCGGGCTCGGGCCACCCGCTGCGTCACTGGGCGGGGGGCGAGCGCCGCGCTGAACGGTATGGGACGTCTGCGGGGGCGAAAGGAAGCGCGGAGGGAGAGGTTTGATGTCGATGGCGCGTCCAGGCGGGCAGCTGGGCCGTAACCATCGTGGTCAGGCGCGTGCGCGGAGTCGCTGTGGTGGGCGGTGGGCAACAACCAGCGGGGCTCAACGGGGGCGGACGACAACGCCGCTCCGCGTCCAGGAGCCTCGCTGCACGTAACTAGGCAGCGGCGATCCGGAGCGAAACGCGCCGCGCCGAGGTGCGGCCGAGCGGGCGCGGTGCTCGCAGCAGCTCCTTGGCCGGGGGAAACAACGCGAATGGCGCCCCCGGGCGCGACAATGCGGGCCTGAGCGCGCGGCTCAGGAATGGAGGCGGCTCTCTGCGTGCGTTGCGCGGCGCGAGGCGGCGATCTGGAGGTCCGCGGTGCGTCGCCGCAACGATTCCCCACGAGGCATCACCCACCTTGTTTTCCGCAGGGTCGGCGCCATTGCCGCACGAGAGCTCCGGGTCGAGGTCCCCAGCGCTCGCACGCGCCCGAATGGCGCTGCGCCAGGCGCGGAAGCACGCGGCGCGCGCGGAGAGGTGCTTGTTCACGCGGAAAGCTCTACAACGCGCCGCGGCCGGACCCGCGGACGCCTTCGGGCGCAGAGGGCCGTCCCGGGCCCGAAGACCACGGCAGTACGACATGTCGCGCACGCGCGACTTGGAAGCGATCATGGCGGGCCGCTAGCGCCAAGTCGCAGACTCCTATCTAGCTAGCCACACCCAGACTGTGAGGGGTAGTTGGGACGCGAACGCCTTCCGACGCGCTCGTTCCTCGCTCCACCGGGACTCACGCCCGCGATGCGCTGCTGTTTCGCCGCGGTTGGGCCCGCGAGCGGCCAGGCGGGGTCGCAGGGAGACCTGGGGGGCTTGACCGGCGACCGGGCGAGCGGGGGCGGCGCGTCGCACAGTGCGCAGCGGCTTCGGCACCAATCTAGTCCCGAGTGACGCGCTCCGCGGCCGACGACGGACGTTCAGCGCCGGGGCGCGCCGGGCGGTCGGGCAGCACCTGACGCCGGGTGGCCGGCGTGGTGGGCGCGGCACGGGCGCGTCGGTCGATAGGGCGGCGTGGGAGCCCGCGACAAGCGTAGTCTGATCTAGTGCTACGAGGTCGCGGCGGGTTCGTCCTCAGAAGCGCGCTGTGCAGTCTGTGCTGCCGGCATTCGCTGTTTCCCTTCTGGCGAGCAACTCGGTCGCAGGGACTCCCTACGACAGGCTCAGGGGCGTGCCTGGCTCGGCCCGGGACGACAGCCATGCATCTCCACGCCACGAAGCTCGGCCTGCGGGTCCCGGCGTCCGCCCCCCGCCCCACCGCGCGAGGTGAGAGCCGCACCAGGCTGTCGTGCACGCTCCGCCCCTGCGACGAACACACCCCCGGGGCCCCCGCGCCCCGCGCTCCATCGAACAATCTCGACCGTCGCCGCGTCCACGAGGCCTGACTCAGGCGCCACGTCCCGCCATGCGCGCGCTCCCGCCGCGCTAGAGCTTCCCTAGGGCCCCAGCGCCCGCCCTGGCCGTGCATTGCCCGAGGCCGCCTGGCCAGTCGCCTCCCGGCCATGAACCGAGCAGATGCTCGCGGCTGGCCGGGCGAGGCCGCGTCTGCGGCGCTCCTGTCGCCGGTGACTCCCGGAGCTGCTTGTGGCCCCAGAATCTGCCTCGGGAATCGCTGCCTGGTGCCGGATCTCGCGGCCCCCGCTCAATGCTGATCGGGCTTCTCTGCACAGTACGCCCGCGTACGCGCGATCCTCGCTCACAGCACCGCCCCCCCCGGCGCGGACCGCTACGCAGGGGGCAACGTACGCTGCGCGGCCGCCCCGCAGAGCTCCGTTGACGCGCTAGCCGCCGCCGCGCGGTCCGGCCCGTTCGCGGACGTCGAGGTTGCTGTGCGGGACGGACTCAGGACCGTCGCGGCCCCCGCGGTGAACGCGGACGGCTCGTTCCAGCCCCACTGGGGCACGAAGACGATCTATGCGGCCTTCGACGCGGTTCTCGGGCCCGTTTCGGCCGCGCTGAACCTCGACACGCCCAAGCTCGAGGTGATGGGGCCCTCTAACGCGGAGACGGCGATCCGTGCGGCGCTGACGTCGGCCAACCCTGAGGCTATCATCAAGGCCGTCACGGGGGCCTTCTCCGGCGGGGCCGGGGGGGTCGCTTCGTCCTTCAGCGGCATCGCCGGCGCGATCGACGCCGGGCTGACGAGCGTTGGGAACGCCATGCTGCAGGACAGCGCCGCGGCGAGCGGTCCTCTGGTGACGTCGGGCGCGCTCAGCGGCCCGGCGACGCTGGTGGCCGCGGCCGTGGTCGGCGCGGCGGTGATCACGGCGCGCCCGCGGAAGGCCGCGGGGCCCGAGGCGCTGGGGGACATCCCGCAGGAATACACCCCCGAGGGACTGGCAGACTACTGGGGTCGGCAGCCGGTCCGACTGGCCATGCGGTCCGTCGAGACGATGAGCGCGCTGCTCGGCGTGTACATCGGGATCAAGCTCGACCGCAAGCTCGGCTTCGAGAAGCAGAACGAGGTGCGCGCCGCCCCCAGCACGCACTCGTAGCGCGCAGGACCGCTCGTGCCGTCGCCGCGCACGCCCGCCAAGCCGCCCACGCCCGCTCCCACCACGCCCGCACCGCGTGCGTCGCCCCCGCAGGCCATGCGCGCCCGCCAGCTGCGCGAGGCGATCGACAGCCTCGGCCCCGCCTTCGTCAAGGTCGCCCAGGCCATCTCGACGCGCGGCGACATCCTCTCGGAGTCCTTCTACAAGGAGATCCAGTACCTCCAGGACCGCGTCGCGCCCTTCTCGACCGAGCTCGCGATGAAGACCATCGAGGAGGAGCTCGGCCGCCCGATCAACGACGTGTTCGAGAAGCTGGGGCCGGACCCCGTCGCGGCGGCCTCGCTCGGGCAGGTGTACCGCGGGAAGCTGCGGGAGGCGTACGGCGGCGGGGAGGTCGCGGTGAAGGTGCAGCGGCCGCGCGTGCTGGAGATGGTCAGCCTGGACCTGTACGTCATTCGGGAGGGGTCGCGGCGGATGAGGGAGCTCGGGCTGCAGCAGGGGGACCTCGTGCCCGTGCTCGACAACTGGGCCACGCAGTTCTTCAAGGTGCGCGCGGACCCGGACCGCAAGGACGAACATTGACGCGCGAGTGACGGGAGCAGTCGTGGACGCCTGGGCGGTGGCTGGCGCCACTTCGTGTGCGGGGAGGCGCAGATGTTCGCAGTCCCCTTGCGCACAGCAGTGCGTGGCAACCTTCGTTTCGCGTCTGTTGTTGCGCCGCAGGAGATGAACTACCAGACCGAGATGAAGAACGCGCTGCGGTTCGAACAGGACCTCGCCGAGCGCGACCTGCCCGGCGTGATGGTGCCGGACCAGTACGAGTCGCTCACGACGCGGCGCGTGCTCGTCACGGGCTGGGTGCAGGGCGAGAAGCTCTCGGAGAGCAACGCCGACGACATCCGCACGCTCTGCGACACGCTCCTGAACGCCTACCTCATGATGCTCCTCGACACGGGCTTCCTGCACGCGGACCCGCACCCGGGCAACCTCCTCCGGACGCCGGACGGGAAGATATGCATTCTCGACTGGGGCCTCATCACTGAGGTCACCGAGGAGCAGCGGGCGACGCTCCTGGAGTACATCGCGCACCTGTCCACCGCGGACTGGCGGCGCGTCGCGGAGGACGTCGTCAAGCTCGGGTTCGTCCCCAACGCCGAGACGCTGCGGCCCATGGAGCTCGAGGGCTTCGTGGACATCATCGAGGAGCTGTCGTCGGTGATGGTCGAGGGCGGCGGCGCGAAGAAGGCCAACGCGGCGGTGAGCCACGCAGCCCGCGCTCCCGCGCCCGCCCTGCGAGCTCCCTCGTCGGCGCGTGTGCGCACCGTCACTCACGGAACCCGTTTGAAGACAACATGAAGATAGATATGTTTTTGACATCTTTTTTCATTCACCAACGTGGTTCGTTGTGTGCCCGTGCTCCGCAGCTCATGGCCAAGCGCGACAAGGTCCGCGGGAAGATCGACATCGTCATGCAGCAGCTCGAGGAGCGCGCCGAGGAGTACGCCTTCCAGATCCCCCCCTACTTTGCGCTCATCCTGCGGTCCTTCTCCGTGATCGAGGGCATCGCGCTGCGGGTCGACCCGGAGTACGCCATCGTCAAGGAGTGCTTCCCCTACCTCACGCGCCGCCTCCTCCAGGACGACTCCCCGCGCACGCGCCAGGCGCTGCGCGAGCTGCTTTACGCCGACGGGAAGCGGATCGACCTCGCGCGCTTCGAGAAGATGGTCTCCGGGTTCTCGAACTTCACCGCGGACGGCCTCACGAACGCCGACGCGCCGCGCCCGGCGCTGCCCAGCGCCGCCGGCGCCCCCGCGCCCGCCGTCGAGCAGAAGGAGCGCCCGCTCATTGACCGCAACACCAAGGAGGCTCTGCGGCTGTTCTTCGCGCGCCGGGGCACGTACGTGCAGCAGCTGCTGATCGAGGAGCTCGCGGCGACGCTGGACGCGCTGTCGCGCGAGGCGCAGATCGAGCTGTTCCGCAACGTGGTGACGTCGTTTACTGCGACGGCGACGATGCGGTCGCTGGACGCCATGGGTCCGCTGCGGCCGTTCGTGGCGCCCTTCCCGCTGCCCGTGGAGGTGCTCTCGCGCCTCGCGCCCGCCGTGTCGCTCACCGACGAGGACGAGATCGCCCTAAACAATCTCCGCGTGCTGTGGGGCGCGCTCGAGCCCCAGGTGCAGACTGCGCTGTCGGGCGCCGGGAACGGAGGCGGTGTGCAGCTGGACGAGCGCGGGGCGCGGGCGTTCATGCAGGGCGTGCAGGAGCTCGCGCCGCTGCTCACGGAGATTGCGCCGGGCGTGCAGAGCTCGGGCGAGCGGCTCCTGGCCGAGCTGATCCGCCGGGGCAGTGCGCGGGTGGCGGAGGATCTGGTGCGCCTTTCCGAGGAGGAAGCCGCGTACCCCGCCAACCAGAACCCCGCCGTTGCGCTCTCGGGCTTCCTGGACGCCGTCGGGCAAGGGCCGTTCGGTGGATTCGGGCTGCCGCAGGGGAGCAGCGATGAGGGCCGCCGATAGTGGCCGCGCGCGCGGTTGCGCAGTGTGAGTTCGGTGCACGAGGAGTGCGTCGCGGCGTCACAAATGGGTGGTCAGCCAAGAATAATCAAAGTTAAGACACGTCAGCAGTACTCTTCCGGTCGCTCAAGCGTCCCCGCGGTGAGGACGTCTAGTCGGCCGACCATTCAAGCCTCGGATATCTAGCAGCACATGAAGCAGCGCAGGCAGCTGCCGAACGCGCCGCAGAAGTTGGTGCCGCAGCAGGCGTCGCAGCACAGCGCGCCGCCGCACACGCCGGCCGCGCCGCACGCGACGCACTTGCAGCCCTCCTTCATGCCGCCGCCGGGCTTCTCGACCACCGGCTTGGCGCGGTACTTGGCGTCGAACCCCTTTTGCGTCTTTGCGGGGGTCGCCGCACGGCCCTTGAGGGTCTCCGCGGCCTGCACGCGACAAGGACGTGCCCGCTGGTATCAGCTCCGCGCAGGGGGTCGTGGCTGGGAGCCGTGCAGGTGCGCGAATTCGCGCACCTGCAGCATCATCCACGCGGGCTTGTCCACCCACAGCCCCAGCTCCCCGAGGTGGACGCCGATGGTGTTCCGTCCGCCGCGTGCGCGGATGACCGTCAACCGCCACGACCGCGCCGCGACGTTCCACCGCGTCTTGAAGGTCTGCGTCTGCCAGCGGGCCTTGAACTTGACGTCCTTGCGGGCGTCGACCTGCACCCAGGACTTGCCGTCCTCGCTGGCCTCGAGGACCCACTCGGAGGGGTCGCTGTTCTCGGGGTCCCCCGCGGAGGTGAGGCTGTAGGCGGTCACAACGCACGCGTGGTTCTTCGTCAGGTGATACACGATCCACGTTCCTGCGACGAACGAAGATTCCGACGTGGCCAAGGTCCGAAGGTGGAACAGAGTGCGAGGAGGAGGTGGGCGATCATGCGAGCTCGCGCCCACTGTCGCAAATGAGGCCGCCCGGCTACAGATTCCACAGGCTGAGGCGCGGGCGCGGGCAGCCCGCGCTCTTGCGCACCTGCCCCTCTCGTTGCGTTGGGGTCGATCCACGCAGTATACCCAGTCGTGGGACTCGCGTGGCCATCGAAGGCATGAACGGCCTGCCCTCCGCCCCACCCGCCCTGGTTGAGCTCCCCCTTGGCTCGCACGGAGCCAAAGGCCAGCGGAAGCCGGAACAGCGCCGACGTGTCGACCTCCTGGACTCCCTTGCTGCGCGGCATGCCGTCTTCGTCGCGAGGAGACTCCGAATCGTGAGCGGGAGACCGCAATTACGTCTTGTCTGGACGGAAGGCTAGGAGCCTGCCAGGATTCGCTGGGGCTGCCGGGGTGTACGTGGGCGGCAATCGCTCGTGAGGGTTTATCCAAGACGCAGCCTATCACCGAGTGCGTATGCCTCGCGACCATCGACTCAGTTGAAGGCGCGAGCAGGCCACACGGGCGCGATAGAGGTACCGGGGGGCGGCGGAGGGTCTGCGAGCTTGTGACGCGCACCTGCGGGTGACGAGCCTCTCTGCGCACCAGAACAGCGCCTATTGTATGAACACCACCCGACATGCGTACATTCTGCGTTCAAGTGGCCGTTCCGAGGGCCGACGGGTTCGTCGAGTGTGCACACACGAGCGGCAAGGTCAGGCCGCAATGCGCCCAGCAGTCGCCCCGCAGCGCGCGTTCGACCCCACCCAGCGATCGCCCACTCGTAAATCCTCGCGTTTCGGTCCACAGACACCGCGTCGCCGTCCGGAACCTTGAGCACAGCACACCGCCAAACACATACACGGTGCACCCACGTTCGGCGCCGGCCAGCTGTCCGGTGCGCACGCGCAGCGGTCACGCAGTCACACCGCGACGCCATCCCAGCCTCGCGGCGCCCGCCTAGCAGCAAAGCACGCACCGGAAGCACTTCAGACACTTGCAGATGGAGCTGCATATGTTGGTGCCGCAAAAGGCGTCGCAGGCCAGCGCGCCGCCGCACACGCCGGCCGCGCCGCACGCCACGCACGCGGCCTTCTGCTTGACGCCTCCACCCTTGTCCTCGACTGGTTTCGCCTTGTATTTCGCGTCAAGACCCTTCTGCGTCTTTGCTGTTGCTGCCGCGCGGGCCTTCGTGGATTCCGCGGCCTGCAGGGCACCGCGGTGCACGGGGCGGGATGAGCGCCGGTTTCCGCGGCGTAAGTAAGGCGGCCGAGGGGCTGAGAGTCGAGAAACCTCGAGTTGGAATAGCTTGCCTGAAGCATCATCCACGCGGGCTTGTCCACCCACAGCCCCAGCTCCCCGAGGTGCAGCCCCGTGCCCTGCTTCCCCCCGCGCGTGCGGATGACCGTCAGCCGCCACGACCGCGCCGCGACGTTCCACCGCGTCTTGAAGGTCTGCGTCTGCCAGCGGGCCTTGAACTTGACGTCCTTGCGGGCGTCGACCTGCACCCAGGACTTGCCGTCCTCGCTGGCCTCGAGGACCCACTCGCACGGATCGTTGGTGTCGGGGTCCCCCGCGGAGGTGAGGCTGTAGGCGGTTAGCGCGCACGCGTGGTTCTTCGTGAGCGCAAACACGATCCAGCTCCCTGCGAACGCGAAGGGACGCAGGTACGTGGCGTCTCGAGGCTCTCGGTTCCAGATCTCAGCGCCGCGAACGCCGGCCTGAGGGCGCGGAGTGGGAGGCGTGCAACGAAGCAGACCGCGCTGCGTTTGTGGCGCCGGCAGCGATTTTTCCGCCCCGAGTCCAGCACACACGGAAAGTTCGCGACTTCATCAGCGCGCGTGGTGTTCTCACGCGGCAAATGCACGCGCTGGGGGAAGACGGCGGGCTTGTGAAGGTCGGTGGCAAGGATGCAACGTGGCTCGCCGCACCTGCTCCCTTTTTGGCCGTCGGATCGATCCACGCCGTCTGCCCGCTTGTCGCGTCCGTACGGCCATCGAAGGCGCACGCAGCGGGCCCTCCACCCCACCCACCGCCCTCCGTCAGCTCGCCCTTGGCCTTGACCACTCCAAACTCCAACGGCAGCCGGTGCAGCTCCGCCGTGTCCACCTCCTGGGTTCCCTTCTTCAGCGGCATCGTCGAGCCTCGCAGCGCCGCGCCAGAAGAGCCCAGCGGCGGCGCAACTCTGCCGGAGCCGCGTGGGAGATCAACAGACCGCGGAGAGAGGGGTCGTGCGCGCTCTCTGCAGCCGGGATTTCGGTCCCCTGTCGATCGCGTTTCAGTCGGGCGTACGCAAGTGCACAGGACAGATGCGGGCACGCCGCAACAGCCCCGGGAAACCGATGAAATCGGATCCGGCCTGATGTCGGTGCGCAGCGACCCCCCCGGCGCGACACCAGCCTCGGGGAGCCGACCGCGACAGTGCACGCAGCTGCCACGTAGGACACTGACACTAGCCGCTGCGTCGAGTAGCTCCGCAGGAACCGATTCCACCCCAAAACAATCAATCATCTCACAACGACGTCACCCGCGACGCAGTGTCTCGATCAGGTCGAGCTGCTTGTCCACGGGGCTGAGCGTGTTCGCGGCCAGCATCCCGCTCGCCGCCGCCGCCGGCACGCCCACGCCAGGCTGCGTCGAGTCCCCGCACACCAGCAGACCCTCAATCGGCGTTTTCGCGCCTGGGAGGCCCATCGACTGCGCCGGGCCGTACGTCCCCCGGTGCCGCCGCGTGAAGCGCTCGTGCGTGAGCGGCGTCCCGATCAGCTCGACCTCCACGCGCGACCTGACGTCAGGAATGACGCGCTCCAGCGCGGCGTACAGCTTGTCGCTGCGCTCGCGCTTCAGGGCCTTGTACTCCCCCGACGACGGCTTGAGACCCTCCCAGACGGCGTAGTCCTCGTTCGCCGCGCAGTACACGTGCACCGCGTGCTTCCCGTCGGGCGCACACTCCCTGCAGAGGTGGCAGCAGCACCAGCGTGTCTCGCGTTCCCCCTCGACCGAAACGGCGTCGCCGTACTCGAGGACGAGGGGACGCGCGCGCGGTTCGGTCGGGGTCGCACTTGTCGAGCACAGATGGGATGGAGATGTTGACGACGTTTCTGTCGTCGTCCAGCTCCTTGTTCATGTCCTCGACGGCCAGGTGGTGGATCAGGAGGTCGTCCGAGAGGCCCTCGCCGCTGATGCCGAGGTGCAGGTGCACGAACGACGGCAGCGGCGGCACGGCCTTGCACTCGCGCGACCACGCTGCAACCTGCCCCGCGGACGTCGCCGTCGAGGGCAGCAGCCGCTGCGTGTCCCACGTCGTGGCGTTGCTGATCACCGCCTTGCGCGCGCGAACGAACCCGCCCTTTGACCCCCTCACCCTGCGAACACATTCTAATTGAAAAAAACAAATATCAGCACCCGATCCCTGACACGTGGTCGCCGAAACCGACGCGACATTCTCGACGTGGGCGCGCACTTGACGCCGGTGGCCCGCCCGCCGTCGACCACGATCTCCTCCACGTGGCTGCGCAGCCGCAGCTCCCCGCCGTGGTTCTCCAGGCCGCGAACGAGCGCGTCGATCATCGCGGCGGTCCCGCCGACCGGGTAGTCGATCGTCGACTTTCCGGAGTGCCGCTCCGAGAACATGAAGGCCATCTCCGCGAGGATGGTGTCCTTGGCGGTCAGACCTGACAGCAGGAAACACTCCAAATCGAGCACCTTCCGCAGCCACGGGTTCGACACGTGCTTGTCCACCAGCGCCGAGAACGGGCCCGTCAGCTTCGACGCGCTCAGCCCGGACTTGAGCAGCTCGAGCGGGTCCAGCGTCGCGGCCGTGCGGACGATCCCAACGTCGTAGCGCAGCGCCGCTGCAGGCAGCCCGGCAGCGGCGTCGCCGAGCGGGAGGAGCTCGCGCTCGAGAGCACGCCACTCGTTCGCGGCAGTCGGGCCCGCCAGCCGCTCGATCTCGCGGGCGTACGCCCTGGCGTCGGGCCGAATGTGCATCTGTTGGCCCTCAGGCAGGTACGCGATCCACTCGTCGTAGGTGATGCTCGGCACCGTCTCGCCGACGTAGTCCAGAACCGCGCGCACTGGGTTGGACGACCGTCCGAACGGCGCGGAGAGCCCTGCAAGATGAGTTGGTTGCGTGTCGGGCTTCGAGGTGGTGCGTGGCATCACGTCACGTGGTCGCGAGTGGCACGGGCGCGTGGCCGGCGTCTGGAGGCGACGGTGTAGCTTGCCTGCGTGGAAGGAAGGTCCGGCCTCGAAGGTGTAGCCCTCGTGTTCGAAGCTGTGTGCGCATCCGCCGGGGAGGTAGTGGCTCTCGAGGACGGTGACGCTGTTGCCGTACTTCGCGAGGAGCGCCGCGCAGCAGAGACCGCCGAAGCCAGACCCAATCACGACGTAGTCGGTCTCTGCCGGCAGGGGCGAGTCAGCCGGCGCGGCGCGGACTTGTGTGCGGCGGGCGCCCTCCGACGCACGCGGGTGGCGCGCGGCGCGGCGGGCGGGACGAATGCGGCTGTCTGCAGCGGAGGTACCGAAGAGGAGAATGATTTGGAAGGCGATGCGCGTGGAAACGGAGGGCGGGGCACGTCCGTTGGCCATGCGGTGTCTGTGGTCCATGAACCTAGGACGGTTCGTGGCGAGCACCACGCGCACCTTGGAAGACATTCGCGTGCCGACGGCCGAGTACACTTGTATGGCAGTGCATCGCGTCGGCTGAGCTCTGTCCTGTCCGTCCTCGTTGGGGCCAGGAGCTGCCCAACGCAGCGGGCCGAGTTCGCCAAGACGCGTTCGTCACGCTCCTGACCTCAGCGCAGTCAGAACGCAGACAAAAGGCAACGACTGATGCACACGGACAACGTGGCCGCGCGCACGGCACAGGGCGCGCAATGTCGACGCAGTCCGGGAGCCAGACCAGAGTCAGGGTCGCGATCAGTCGATTCAGGCACCGCCGCAGGCCATGCCGCCCCGGCCCCGTCGTCGCCTCGCGACACGTCTGCGCGAAGACCCGCTGACAAAGGGGCGGAACACCGCTCGCAAATTACCAACATCAATCACAGTGTCTGCACACATGGACTCCAGGCACCTCGCCATGCGCGTTCTCACATCATGCTTCGGGCAGGTCGCGACCAGCACTTCCCACGCAACCCCCTGCCCTCCCAATCAACACCCCCCCCTCAGCCCCACAAAACCCCACCCCCACAGCGGCCACCCCGCTCCCTTCAGCCCGCATCGGCGCCGCAGCCGCCTCACCCGGCAGCACCACACGTCGCCCGCCGTCCCAGCCACCCTCCCACGCTCCTCCTCTTTTGTTGTATGGAAGCATACGATATTGTGTTCTATTTGTTGTTCTTGTTGTTCAATGCGCGTCAAATGAACAGCTCGAGGTCGTGCCGCTGGTACGTGTTGTTCCCCTCGTCCTCCAGCCGCGGGTAGAACGCCGTGAGCTGGTCCTGGCTGCCCACGTACAGGTTGTTGTACAGCCGCCAGTACTGCTCGCGCACCATGCGCGCGGGGTGGAAGAGCCCCTGCAGGAGGTAGTGCAGGATCACGCACGGGCCGAGCGCGACGCGCATCGCGTCGATCGCGCCCGTCACGGTCTGCACGAGGTGCGGCGTCGCGTCGAAGATGTTGGGCCACACGTAGTTGAACAGGTGCAGCAGCGCGTCCTCCCGGCCGAGGCCCGCGCACCCGAGCGCGATGTGCTGCACCGCCGCGGCCGCCGTCTGCCGGTGCACGATGTCGCGGTCCATCAGCGCGTCCTCGAGCAGCGGCACCGCCGAGTACACGTAGTCCTTGCCCATCTCGCCAATGTACTCAAACATGAAGGAGAAGCTCTTCAACACGCCGTTCTGGACGTTCATCTCCGGGACGCGGTACTCGTTGAGCAGCGCGGGCACGACGGTGAAGGGCTCGCACGTCTCCGCGACGATCCCGATGGCGACCGTCGTGCAGACGCGCGTCTGGCGGTCCTGCACCTTGAGCGTGTTCAGCAGCGCGACGAGCACGTCCTGCGGGCCCACCGCGTCCGCGATGTACCCGAACGTGTTCACCGCCGCGCGCCGGATCGCCTTCTTCGGCGCCCGGAGCATGTCGATCAGGTCAAAGATGATGCGCATCCACTCCGCGTTGGGCACCATCTCCGCCGCGCGGTCCGCGATGCGGCCGACGAGGTCGATCGCGTTCTCCTGCACCTTCTCGTGCCGGTTCTTCAGGATCGGCTTCAGCCGCGGGAGCAGGTCCTTGATCGGCGGCGTCATCTTCTGCATCCCGATGACGTTGACGATGCCCTTCAGGCCCCCCAGGATCGAGCCGAGCACCTCCGGGTACTCCTCCCCGAGGTTCTCGTACAGCACGAGGCCCAGGTGCGACAGGTTGGCCTCCTCCCCGCACTGCGCCATCACCGGGGCGATCCGCGCGATCAGGTCGGCCGCCTGCTGCCGCACGCGGGGCTCCTTGTTGTTGAGCCGCCACTTGACGGTGCCCACGATCTGCGGGATGTACGGCTTCGCGCGGCCCTTGAGCGCGTTGATCACCGTGCCGAACCCGTTGAGCATGGTGTGGGTGTCCTCGCTGCTCTGCTCCTGGAAGGCGTACAGGATGCCGTCGACCAGGACCTCCTCGAGGCGCGCGTCCACGTCCGTCGTGCCCAGGTCCCGCACCACGCGGTCGATCGTCTCCATCACCATGCGGCGGTACGGCTCGTACTCGTCCTTCAGGTCCTCCACGATGCGCTCGAGGATGTCCTTCCCGCCCACCTTGTGCGCCAGCGCCACCGTCGTGCCGACCAGCTCCTTGTACGTGCGCTTGTCGCCGGCCATCTTGCGGACCCAGAAGTGCCGGAAGAACTCCGGCAGGATCTCGTCGCGCACGTACTGCGCCTCCACGCCCTCGGTCCCCACGCACTGCTTCACCACCTTGAGGCAGATCTTCTTCATCTCGTCGTCCGGCGACGCGAACTCGCGCACGAGCACCACCATCACCTCGCGCGTGTAGTAGTTGGCGTACTCCCCGTCCATCAGCGGAATGATGAACCCGATCGCCTTGAGGAACGCCGCGAGCGTCTTCCCGCGGTGCGTCTTGATCCCCGTCCACAGCGGCTTCAGCGCCACGTCGAACGACTCGATGCCGTACGGCGCCGCGGCCTCCGCCAGCGCCGACAGCGCGAGCGCCGTGATCGTGCGGACCTTCTGGTTCTCGTCCCCGAGGCCCGTGTGGATGATCTCGACCAGCGACTTGAGGTGCGGGAGCACGGCGCACCCGACGAGGATGGCGATCTGCTGCACGATCTTCACGCCCGTGTGGCGGGCCTGCCAGCCGGCCTTGCGCGCCTTGCACAGCGCGGCGAGGAAGCGCAGGAGCTCCTGGATGCCCAGCGCGGACGCCACGACCGCGAACGCGCGCGCCGTGGTGTTCCGGACGAACTCGTCCGCGTGGTCCACGTCCGGGCGCATGGCAGAGATCATCGTCGGCAGCCCCGCCGCCTTCGCGAGGTTCGCGATGATCTCGCGCCCCTCCACGCGGATGTAGTAGTCCTCCTCGATCAGCATGGGCTGGATGACCACCAGGATCTTGTGCACCCAGGGGCGCACGAGGTCGTCCAGCTTGAACAGCACGCGGTCCACGACCTTGACGAGCAGGTGCCGCTCCTGGTCCTCGAGCGCCGTGTTCATCAGCAGCGGGATCAGCTTGTCGAACAGCGCCTCGGCGCCGAAGTCCCGCGCCTTGTCCGTGATCTGCCGCATCGCCGACTTGCGCTGCTGCGGCGTGCCGTTCTTGATCTTGAGCAGCAGCTTCATGATGCGCCGCTCCTTGAGCTCCTTGATGTCCATCGCCGCCTCGTCCACGTCGTCCAGCAGCTTCCCGAACGCCTGCATGTCGTCGGGCTTCAGGTCCGGCAGCCCCTCGGGCATCTGCTTCGCCGGGATGCCGTAGTCCGCCGCGGCCGCCTCGGCCTCGTCCGGCATCGAGAACCCCGGCGTCGCGGCGCCGCCGAACGCCGCCGGCGTCGCCATGAGCTTCCGCGCCGGCGTGCGGATCGGCACGTACCCCGCGGGGGGGTCCACGATTTTGTACCCCTCGCTGGGGAGGAGCGCGTCGAGCTCCTCGTCGCTCATCGGCCGGTTCCGCGCGTCCATCTCGCGCGCCGCCTTCAGCTCCTTCATCACGTCGGGCGTCATCGGCACCTGCAGCTTGGTCCCCGCCACGGGCGTCTCCATGCCCGCCGCGCCAAACGGCGTCGTCATGCTCGGCGTCATCGCCGGCGTGGCGCCGAGGCCCATCGCCGGCGTGGCGCCGAACGCCGATCCCGCCGCCCCCGCGCCGGCCGGCGTCTCGTCCCACCGCGACCGCCGCGCAGCCGTCGCGCCGCCGCCGCCCCCGGCGCGCCAGGCGTCGCGTCCCACCGCGACCCCACCGCCCCCGCGCCGTCCCCGGCCTTCGGCGTCTCGTCCCACCGCGACCGCTTGCCCCCCGCGCTCGACGGCCCCGGCGTGGCGTCCCACCGCGACACCTTGGGGGTTTCCGCTGCCGGTGCCGGTGCCGACGGGCCGGGCGCGTCCCACGCGCTGGTCTTGGCCTTCTTGGCCGCGGGGTCGACGGACGGCGCGCCGGTGTCCCAGCGGCTGCGTCGCTTCTCGCCCGCGGCGGCGGCCGGGCGCTCGGGGGCCGCGACGCCGCTCGCCTTGGTGGGGCGGAGGGCGTCGGCGGTCGAGGCGGCCTGGGCGTCGCCCTCGCCTTCGCGCTGCTTGCGGAGGATGTTCTGGAGCGTGTTGGCGCGCTCGCTGGCGAGCTTGTTCTCACGCAGCACGTCCTGGTACGTGCGCACGCGCGCGTCGGGGGTCTTGTCGCCCGCGGCGAAGGGGTCGTGCCGCGCGGGGGTGAGGAGGCGGTCGTAGCGGCGCTTCTGGTAGTCGGACTCGCGGTCGATGATCCTGGACGGGCCCGCGTAGGTCGTGCCCTGCGGAGCGGTGGCCGGGGGCGCTGGCGGGCGTGGGAGGGTGGTGGTGGAGGGGGCGCGAGGGGGGGTTCGCGGGCTTGCTGTCGCGGAACGGCGCGGGCGGGGTGGAAGCGATGCGCTGAGGGCGTCAGGGGCGCCTGATACTGGCACGCCGTGGCAGGGACGGCCGTGGGTGCTGTGCGGCGTGAGGAAGCAGGCCCGGGACGAGGCGGTGGGGCCTTTCGACGCCACGTGGCCGGTGCTCGGGGAGGCCGGTGAGCGTATCCTCGCTGTAAGCGTGTCTAGCTGGCGCGCCCGGGCGTTTCGCAGGTTGCGGGGAGCCCTCACCTGACCGTCGTGGTCAGAACGCGCTACGTCCTGGAGCACTGCCTTCGGCGCGGTGTACGACGCCAGCTTACTGCGGAACGAAACGGAGGTGCGCGTTTCGTCAGCGGGCGTGCCCTCTCGAGCCCCCTGCGAGCTGCGCCCGCGCATCAGGACACGGCTCCTGCCCTCGACAAGCCCTCCACGGGCCCATCCAGCGCACGAACGATGCGCTGGATGCACGTTCGCCGTCCCGGTGGCCGTGGTAGACGCACGCAGAGCCCGTGCGCCTCCAGCAACGGGCGGGCGTGGGAAACAGTTGCACGACCTCCTTGAGGCCATTCTGCGTCACGGCAAGTCACCGCCGCACGCAGCCGAGCACGCATGGCTCCGACGCGCCACGCCCCGGGTCGCATCGCGCCCGCCGTACAGGCCGCGGCCCCCCAGTGCGCCCCACAACAGCGTCACTGCGCACCTCGCAACTGCCGTCCCGTCGGCCGCCATCTCCGCCTGGTCGTCCTCCGCCCCGTCTGCCGGGATGGACGTCACATACTGCGCGTCCGCGCCCCCGTAGATCTCCCTGTCGTAAGACGGCCCCTCCCCTCCCGCCATGGTGGCTGCGTCCCTCGCCCCGAGGGCCGCTGCTCAGAGAGCGTGAGGGACGGCGCTCAGCACACCCACACGGCAACTGACGCTGAGGGCGGGCCGGGTCTGGCCGGAGTGCTCCTCGGCGCTGCTGTGGGCGGCGCAGAGCACAGTGCTGCTCCCACACGCGGGGGTGCCACGTGCGGTGGGCAAATGGTTCCGTCGGTAGCTTGCTCCAAAAGTTTGGAGCTGCACGAGGCAGGCCCGGCGACGCCGCGGCCCCTTGTCCCGCCTGGCCGCGCCCCCGCAGGCCCCCTGCTGACAGCAGGGCGTGCTGGCCGACCCCGGCCGGCGGGCGCTGATGCGACGCGGCGGCCAGTGTGTTCCAGCACAAGCGATCAGTACCCGCCTCGTCCATTCATCTCGCCCACCCCGTCGCGATCCGCCCCGCTCGGTCCATCGGCGCAGCCGGAGGGCTCTGCCTGGCCGCTAGTTCGTGTGGCCCGCGCCGTCGCCGCACGCCCCTCTCCCGCTCTGATTCCCGCCCGAGCGCGTAGTCCGCAATACCAGCTCTGCACCCCGCCGATAGAAGCGCGGGACGGCTGGCCAATTCGCGCCAGATCGGCAGACTAGGCTTAGAGAGGCACTGATGAAGGGGGCTCTGAGCGTCCCCGCGGGGGCCCGCGCCCCCGCGGTTACCCAGGCATCGCGCCATCAGGCTGCGGGCCTCCCTGCCCAGGGCGCGAGCGCGCGCGTTGGAGCCCCGCAGGGGGCTGGGTCCGGCCTCGCCTGCAAATGTGTCGGGTCGATGGCGCGGCGGGCCCGCCCCGCGCAGTGGATGCGCCTCGCGGCGGTGAGGTCCGCGAGCGAGGTTGCGTTGAAGGCCGGGCACGTGAAGAAGGAGGACGAGGAGCGCTACGAGAAGGCCGTGCACGACCGGCAAGACGCTGCGCACCCCACGAGGGTGAGCTGCCCGGCCCCCCTCCGCCCCCCGGCGCCGCAACAGCGCTGCATTCGCAATCTCTCAATAGCGATGTTCCCTCGCAGCGCAGCGGCCCCCCTCCCGCGCCCCACAACCAGCCCTTTCGCCCACCTCCTACCGTGCGAGTGCTCGAACCGAGGGCAGCGCGCGCAATGTGCGTCTTGCCGCGCCGCTCTCCCGAACCACATTTATCCCAATTGTCCAAGTACCGCGGCGGCAGCTCCGCAGACCCCGCCCACGCGCCCCGCCGGCCCGCCCTCTCGCTCTGTGGCCTTCCAGTCGTCTGCCCGGCGATGCCGCCGCCCGCGGCACCTGCCCGCGCCGTCCTCGCCGAGCTGCAGTCCCCGCCGCCAGCCCCTCGCCCTCGCCCGCCCGCCGCTCGTCCCCGCGCGCCCGCAACGCCGCACGTACGCCTGGCGCCACTCGGCAGCGAATGGCGCAGCCCCCCCGGCCGGCCCGAACCGCGCCCGACCCGCACCCCGCCCGGCGCCCCGGCTGCCGCAGGAGGGCGTCCCGATCGACTCGAAGGCCGTGGACGCGATGGCGAGCCGCCAGCACGCGATGGAGGTGGAGCGCCAGGAGCGGGCTCGCAAGCGCGCGCAGCACCAGGCCACGTACCAGACGGCCGCGATCATGTCGTCGCTGGCCATCACGGGCGTCGCGGTCGCGGCGACGATCCTCCGCTTCGAGCACCACCTCGAGGACGGCGTGTTCCCGTGGCTCGACTTCGCGGGCACCATGTCGCTCATGGCGGGGACCGCTGTCGGGATGGAGTACTGGTCGCGGTTCGCGCACAAGGTGCTCTGGCACGACTTCGAGCTGGGCTGGAGCGTGCACAAGTCGCACCACGAGCCCCGGATTGGGGCGTTCGAGGCGAACGACGTGTTCGCGGTGATGCACGCCGCGCCGGCGTTTGCGCTGACGCTCTGGGGGTTCTTCGACCCGTCGATCCAGGGCGGGCTCTGCTACGGCGCCGGGCTGGGCATCACGCTCTTCGGCATGGCGTACATGTTCGTGCACGACGGGCTCGTGCACCGGCGGTTCCCCGTCGGCCCCGTCGGCGACGTGCCCTACATGAAGCGCGTGGCGCTCGCGCACCAGCTGCACCACAGCGAGAAGTACAGCGGCGTGCCGTACGGGCTCTTCCTGGGCCCGCAGGAGCTCGAGCGGGTCGGGGGCAAGGAGGACCTCGACCGGATGGTGCTCGAGGTGTCGCTCCCGGGGTCCAAGGGGTCGAAGGGGTCCCGCAGCTGACGCGGCGCGTCTGACTGACTCGCCCGGCCGAGGTGGGCGAGGTGCGGCGCCGGCGGGCGGGCCAGTTCCGGCGCGGGAACGCGCGAGGTTTGTGCGCGACATGTGCGCTGCGGATGTGCCACGCTGGCAGGGAACGGATGGAGAGAGAGACTTGGGCGCATGGGGATTTGTGAGCCACCGTGACGTTGACGCGCGGAGGCGCCGGTCCGTCCGCGAGCTTCTTTTTCCGTGTGTTCGACGTCCCCGAGAACGGGGGGGGGGACTCTCATGTTGCTGTGCACGAGGGCCTGCGCTGGCGTCATCGCCTGCCGACCGCCACGTCCAGCGTCGCTTTTTCGTCTGCTCAGCGGTGTCACGAGCGCTCATTGCGATGTCGACCGAGCCGTCCGATCCGTTCGCGCGTCACGAGGATGGCAGCGCAGTGGACCCCGCGGCGTACAAGGCGGCGCTGCTGGAGGACCCGAGGCGCGTGCAGCTGATCGTTGACGACCTGGAGATGTCGCGGGTGGTCCGCGGCGACGACGTCGAGGCCTTCCAGGAGCTCCTGCGTGCTGCCTACGAGGTGTGTGCTTTCGTTCGTGACGCGTGGCGGACGCGCCTGGTGGCCTGTCGGCCTCGCTGCACGCATTTCGGCAATAACAGTGACACGAATGCCGTGTTTGCGCGAAGTCGGTCCTCAACCTTCGGTCCAGCGCCGACGCCTTGAACGTGAAAGCCAAAAGCAAGCGCACGCACGACACGCCGCGTCATGCGTCGGATCACGACCGCGCCGCCGTCGCAGGAGGAGCAGAAGTACGCTAAGGCGAGGCGCGAGCGCGTCGGCGAGCTCACGATCGACGCCCAGCGCTGCCTGTGCACCGTGCCGCGGGACACGGTGCAGATCTACAAGCAGATGCACGAGAGCGGCCTGCAGTACGGCCCTGCCTTCCGCCTACTGCGCAACGTGCACGTCCCCGAGGCGACAGTCCCTCAGAGCAGCGCCAAGTAGCTCCTCGGCCTGGCCTTGACGCATTAAGACTTACAGGGCAAGAGGGAGCAGGCGTTATTGCGGGGTGTCGCATTTGTGAGGGTACTTGAGCACGTTTGGCCGGGCTCGTGCCAGGAGCGAACGCGGGGGGAGGAAAAACGACACGAAAAATCGTTTGTGAAGCAACACTGGGGGCAGAAGTAAATCGAACGGTGGGCAGGCCACCGTGCGTGTCAGATGCATCATGCAGTTGCCTCGAGTCGCTCCGTGAGGTCCGCGACGGCAACCGCGGCCTCCTGCGGCGGCTTCCGAATCCAGACGTCGAAGGGTCGAGCGGCACGGACCTCGTCCCACGCAGCCATGTACGCGCGGCTGCCTGGCATGCTCTGCTTCAGCTCGCCGTAGGAGGCCGCTCGAAGCCGCTTGGCTGCCGCGTGGAACTCCTCGCAGCCGTCGCTGGTGGCGACGCAGCCACCGGTGTGCAGACGCGCGGCCGCCGCCGCCGCCGCAAGCGTGACGAATCGCGCTACGTGTGCTGCCCGACAGATCAAGGACCACGTGCGCGGGGCGTCGTCCGCCTTCCCGGACCCTTGCTTGCGCCCCGACCCGCCCAGCGTCGCCTCGTGTGCATTCGAGGTCACGACCAGCGCACCCACGCCCTCCGCCCAGAGGACTCCGCGTTCCTGGAGCGCCGATACCACGCCGGACAGCACTCCGGGCCCCACGAGCGCCGATCTGCTCCAGCTCACGCACGTGCCGCTGAAAATGGTACGCTGCTGCCCATGCGCAAACCCGTCCACCACGGCACTGTCCGTCCGCGGGAGGACGTGCAGCTCCACCTCCGGCCCCTCATCGCTTGCTTCACGCGCCACCCGGCGCCTTGCGTCGACGATGCGCCCCTGCAAAGCCCTGCGCAACGCAGCGGCAGCGCTGCCCGCGAGGTCCTCCGCAGGGGCCGCTGCGGCCCGGATCTCGCCGCCCTGATCACTCTCCGTCCTCGCTGACGGCGGCGCGGCTGGTCCCGATGCGTCTTGGCCCTCCGGGCAGTCGGTGACGAGTCCTGCCAGGTGCACGGGCCGTTCAAAAAGCCCCGCGAGAAGGGACCCCTGGAGGCCGAGAAGCACCCACTTCGCGATCTGCACGCCCGGAACGAGCGCGTGTTCGGTCACCCGAGCTGCGCCACGATCCCACATGCAACCCCCCCCCCCAAAGCACGACAATGCGTCGCCCGCGGGCGCGCCGCGCGCACACAGCGCCGCACGCGCCGGCAGCGCCTCCTCTCCCCGCGCAGGGGAGAGGAGCTCGCGTTGTTGCGCCGCGCGGCTCACCTTGTCGCTGCAGCTCATGGACAGCGTAGCGTCGCCCTTCCCGGGCTTCCGGCGGCACACCCCGACCTCCTGCTCCCCGCCGTCGACGTCGCGCGCCTCCGGCACGATGACGTGTGTGCCTGCCGCGCCGCCCGCGACCTTGATCGCCTTCGCGCCGGTGCGCAGCTGCCGCGCGCAGACGTCGAGCGCAGCGGCCTCCTGCTGTGTGTTCGCCCCGCAGTGCGCGCAGTCCAAGCCCGCGGCGCGCGCACGCGGCTGATCCAGCGCGGCGTCCGCGAGGATCGCTGCGTCGCCGCAGGGCGGCTGCGTGACGTACATCCACAGCTTCACGCCGTCCCTGATGCTGAAGGTGCCGCGTTCCGGGCGCCACTCAACAGCGCCCGACCCCAGCGTATCGCCGCTCCCAGCGTCATTCGCGTTGGCCAGCCACTTCAGGAGCTCGAGCGCGGCCTCGGAGACGACCCACCGGAGGAAGGCACGCCTCGCCAGGACCTCCGCGTGGCTGTCGGCGAGCCGGCTCCCGCGGGCGTCGCGCATCGACCGGCCGAGGCACTTCGTCCCCGTCCCGAGAGCAACGCAGCGCGGAGCACCGTCCGGAGGGACCAAGCATATGGCGGCCATCACCGTTCGCTCCTGCGGCTGCGGCTTTCCCTTCCTCGGCAGCGCCCGCCAGGTCTCCAGCGCGGCCTCACGGCACAGCTCTGCCACCGACACAGCTGTTTCATGCTGCAGACCGTCATCTTCGCCCGGTCTGTGGCGTTTGCGCCCCCTCTCAGCCTGCATTGCGCCGGCGGCATCCTCCGGCCGCGGCCGCCGTGCGAGCGACCTCAACCGACCAGCCGAAGCGGAGCGCGTGCGCGAGGATCCAGAACTACGCGTCTCCCGCCCCGAGCGGGCCCTCGTCCGCCACATCGGCGCCCGGAGACCCCCGGGCCTGAGGCGGTTGGCGGTTTAGGCTTACGTGGCGCTGCGGGCTCTCGAGGGGCCCGCGCCGGGCGCGCGCAGTGCTCATTCTGCGCACAGCTGCCAGCACTTTCCGCGTGGCTGTTTCCGTGTTGTCACCTCGGAGCTCAACGTCGGATTTCGCGGCACCGTCTCAACCTCCCAGGCACGCAAACGTGCACGCCTGGCGCCATGGCACCGGTCGCATGCTCGTGCCGGGCCGACGCGCAGCTCGCTCAGAATGGCTGTCGCCGTCTGAGCATCAAGCCCGCGCCGGCGCCGCGCCTGGGCGGCGGGGCGCCGCGCCTTGGGTGCGTGGTTCCCAAGACCGGCGTATTCGCGCGCGGCCGTCCGACGCGCGTGTCGTCTCCGCTGCACGATGAGTCCATCAAGTCGATGGACGAGTTCGAGCCGCCGTACGCCCGCCTCAGCGTCCCCGTCTGGAGCCTGAGCACCAATGGCACCTCCTGCTCCGAGGGGAGCTCCGGGTGCGACCCGAACGGCTCCGAGGAGGACGACACGCGCGATTCGATGAACATCGTCACCTATTTCACCCCAGGTGTGGCGCCGCCCGCCCTCCCTCCGACGCCCCCCCCCTCGCCTCTCATTGGCCGGTAGTTACCCGCCAGCTGTCCATCCGGCCGTTCCGCCGCATAGACCACGCAGCAGCCGCGGAACCGCCCCCGAAGCGACGCCCTCTCCACGGCCCTCCTCGCGCAGTTGCGATCAACCCGGAGCGCGCGGCCGTGATCGGCCTGTACCGCCACACCGTCTCGTGGCGCAACATGGGCTTCCACCAGCGCGGCGTCCTGCAGCTGCTGGGCCCGCAGCACGACAGGGCGGTGCACCTCCTCGGGAAGACCTCCGCGAACGACGTCGACAAGATCGACGGTGCGCCCCCGCTACCACCGATGCGCGCGACACATGGTCGCTGCAGGTGTTCGTCGAGGACCCGGCCTGACCTGTTGCCGCGGCGGGCGTGCTCGTGCAGCGCTGGAGGACCTGGGCTACAAGGTGACGCAGTGGGAGGGCCACCGCGTCCTGAGCGACGCCCTGGCGTACATGCTGGTGGAGTATCTGCTGCCGCCTGCGTCGGACGTGATCAGGGCCGGGGACCACGACGTGGCCGTGTGCCGCATCGTCAAGTGGCAGACGAACGAGGAGCCCACCAAGGCGCTGTACACGGGCAAGCTGCGCGAGGAGGGTTACCTGTAGATGTGCGCCGTTGCACAGGCGGGGAGCCGCGACATCGCTTCCCGGCTAGCTGCCAGCGCGCTGCGCGGCGCGACGGATGCAGGGCGCGGCGTTTTCGACGGCGCTCGCCTCGGTGCACCGGCCCCGCGTCGGAGCCGTTGGCACCTATCTAGCGAACACTAAAGGTAGAATTATGATGTACATTGCACGATGTGAGCCTGCGTCGACGCGGTGCGGCGTGGCGGTCACACGTTTGCTCGTTTGCGGTCAGTGTTGGCTCTTGTCGAACTCGTCGGGCCAGTCCTTGCCGTCGCTGGCACCCGTGCGCCCTGCAGCGGTCGCCATCTGCCCCTGGCACGTGAACAGCTCGCTGCCCTTGGCGTTCGCGAGGCCCAGCGGTGGACAGTTGACGTAGATCGTCTCGTAGCTGCCATCCGCCCCGACCTGCGCGCGACAGCACCCACCGCAGCAGTCCTCTCCATGTTTTTGAGCTTGCCGCTCGCCCGGGTGGACGCGATGTCCCGCGGCGGCCCAGGCCGCGACACGCAGCGCATACACGCGCGGCGCACCTGGTACGCTTCGTGCCAGAAGGCGTAGCGCGGCGTGTCCTTCCCTTTCGCCTGCAGCACCTTCCACGGCTTGTTGTGCGCGTACTGCCGCCCGCGCGCCCACGCCTGCAGCTTCTCCATGCTCTCCCAGTACTGCACCGTCAGCGTCCCCGTTCGCGACATCGACACGTACCCCTGCGCGCACAGCACCGACGTCGCACCGACACCGCTCAGCATCGCTCACGACCGCGGACCCGACGCTCCGCGTCGACGCACGCGCCCGCACCTCGCCCCCAAGGTAGCCCAGCTCGGGACCGAGCGCCTCCAGCTCCCGGTCCATGTTGTCGAACGCCTTGCCCATCCATTGGTAGAAGGAGTCGAGCTTCGTCAAGTCGCACGGGTCGTTCACTCGGGCGCCGATGAGGAAGACCACGAAGGACTTGTCCTTGGGCATGCGCGCCGAGAACCTGCCGCGCACCACGCGTTGCTCGAGGGGGTCTTTTTCGATTCCTGACAGCAGTTTTAGTTGGCGGAACAGGGGGGGCAGGAGGAGGGTGAGCGACAGCGCGGGCGCCGTCCACCAGAACGGGGCCGTCGTGGTCAGGATGTAGCCGATCGCGACCCCCGTGCCCAGCGTCACCCCGAGCGACGCTATTGACTTGGGCACCAGTGCCTTGTCGCGCCCCTCGAAGGTGCTGCAGCGGTGCGGAGCGACGGCGAGGTACGTGAGCTGCAAGTTCAGCACGTTGACATGGGATTCGACTGCTTGAGCGGCGGAACGGGTGCGCCGGGTGCGAGCCTGCGGAAGGAAGGCTTGGGGAGAGGTGACGGTGCGCTGGCGGCCATCCTCACGGATGTCCTTGCTGGCGACGGAGCTACGACCTTCCTCATCATGTGGAGAACACGCGTCCTGACCCGCGCGGCGTGCGGTGATGTGGTGGGCGCGCGTTTCCACAAGGGAGGACTATAGCGCTCGAGGCCCCCAGGGAGTGTCGTGGGGGCGGCAACTGGTCGCACTGTGGCCCAGCTGCGACGATGCATCGCTGCAGTGTCAGGCGCGGTAGTGTATCGTCTTGGATACCGTCGGGAGGCACAGATCGGGGCGAGAGTGAAATACACGGCACCGCGATGGCCGGCCTGCGCGGAGGGGCCGGATGCCGCAGTCCCTGTGCGCTCGCGCACCGTAGAGGACATCTAGGCTGTCGTCCTCCCGCGCGCACATTCGCCCCGGACGCTCTCCGGAAAGCGCGGGCCCGGCGAAAAGAGGGGCCCGTCCAGGAGAAGGGCGAAAGTCGGATTTCCGCAGGCGGCTCTCCGCCTGCGATGTCGTCTCAGGAGTACGATCGCATGGCGATTCGCGTGGCGACCGCGTGGAGCAGGTCCGGACGCAACCGCGGTGTCTTGCGACTGCCGCCGTCGACACGGGCGCTGTTCCGAACAGCGGGAGCGCACAACGCACGCGCGCGTTCCACGGTGACATGCTCCAGGCTCGCTGTCAGCGTCCGGGCGCCGTCCTCATCGGTCGCCGCTCGATTACCGCGCCGCAAACTTGCCCGCCGCGCGAAGCGATGTCCGCAGACGCTGGACGGCGTACGCCGGGCGGACCAAGCCTCATCCGGCGATCCAGGACTACGCGCGAGAGCTCTTTCGCGCCCTCGCCCCCGTCGCCAAGGCATGTCCCCCTCGGCGAAAAGCGCCCCAACACACAACACCTGGCCATGCCGCCCACACTGGCGCGGTGCAGACGACGAGGCCCCACGCGACGCCCCCTGCCCCGCAGGAAGATGGCAGCGAGCTGAGGGTCCTCGTTCCCTTCAGCTGCTGTGCGGCTGACGTCAGGTACCTGCACGGTCAGGGCATGGCTGTCGTCGGTGTGGACTCCCCGGGGGACTCCGTGGACGCCCTGGAGGCCGGCCTCGGACTCACGCAGTCCAGCGGGAGGGCCCACGATGGGTGGATCAAGGTCCGAGCCCACGCTAGGAGCGACGCGCACAACCTGTTTCACGCACGCGCTGCCAGTGACGCAAGTCCGCGCAAACGCAAACGCAGCGCACGCGACGCGCTCGCTGCGCTGTCTGCCCGCACATCACGCGAAACCTTCACCCTGCCCCGCTCTCCGTCTGTCCGCCGCAGTACGATGGCGACGGCGTCACCGTCTTGCGCGGGAACCCCGTGGCCGTCACGACCGTGCACCTGTCGCTCGCGGGCCGGCCGCACCTCATCTTCGACCGCGTCGGGCTCTCGATGCTGCCTCGAGAGGGCCGCCGGGCGTACGCGCGCGCGCTCCGCAAGCTGCTGCCTGCCGGGGGCATGGTGCTCGCGGTGGCCGTGTCCTCGGTCGAGCGCGTCGACGACGGCGCTGCGTCCGTCGACTTCGACCTGCCGGCCGAGGTCTCGATGTCGGAGGTGCGCGAGGCGTTCGGAGGCGACGGAATGTTCGAAGTGAGCTGTTTGGGATTCACCGACGCAAGCGGGCTGCCTGAGTACCAGGCGGGAGGCGGCGAGGACGGCGTGGCGGGTCCACGGATCACGGAGATGGTGTACCTGATGGTTGCGTCGCCGCACGGCGTCGGTGGCGCGGATGGGGGGGCACGGGAGACCGAGCAGCGGAACGGGGGCGCTGCGCAGCGGGCGGGGGACGACTGGTTCAGCGACGCGTTGGCTGCGAAGGAGGAGAAGGAGAGGGCGGCGGTGCGGGTCGAGAAGGTGGATCCCGAGGAGGCGGGGAAGGCTGTGGTGCGCAAGGTGATGGAGTTGGGCGTCGAACAGGCCGCGCAGGCGGCTGCGGAGGAGGCGGGGCTGGGGCCGGAGGGGGCGCGCGTGCTGCGGGCGTGGATGGAGGCGGGGCGGACGATGGGGAAGATGGGCCTCTGATCGAAGCCTATAGTCTATTTGATTTTTTCGTGGTTTCTATCATACCGGGGACGTCGCCCGCGCGTGACGTCTCAGCTCGTGCTTGAAAGCGATGTCTGCGCTGTGTCCTGCCCTTACATTGTGGTTGGTTTCTCTATGGGTGCCGGGAAGCAGCATGTGCAGATGCAGGTATGTGTCTGACAGACGGACTGCCGTCAAGGGCTCGCGGGCAACGATCCCCAGTCCGTGTCCTGCGGCAGCTCGTACGAGAAGAGCTTGGCCTGGCGGAGCTCCAGGTTCCGCAGGTCGAACGCCTGTTCGAGGGTGATGTCCCCCGAGGCGGTGGTGGCGTCGGACCTGTCGGTGAGCTGCTCGCTGCCCTCGGACGTCGAGTCGTCCTGCATGAGGCCAGCCTTGTCGACGTCCGACCAGTCGGAGCACCCGCTCCCGACGTCGGCGGTCAGGTCCAGGGGGGGCGCGTGAAGGCCCGCCACGAGAGGTGGCTCGGTGCCGCTCAGCGGCTCCAGCCGTGCGAGTGCGGGCAGGTGAATGGCGCCACAGTGGCCCCTGATGGGCACTTCGTCCTGCTCTGGCACGGCGGTCGCGGCGCCGGACACACGCGGTGGCGCGGCACGGTGCGTAGCACGTGGTCGTGTCTGGCGGCGCCGTTTCACCCTCCTGTGCGGGCCGATCCTGTGCGGGCCCGCGTCCGCTACGGCGGACAGCGTGCCGTCGGCGCTCGCGAGCATGATCCGCTTTGAGGCCTCCGCGGCGAAATCGTCCAGCGTCTCCTTCATGCTCCGGGTCAGGATGCCCTCCATGGACATGAACGGAGGGTTCGGGAACCGCGGGTGCGTCGAGACCTTGCGCCTGATCTTCGTGCCCCCGCCAGGCGCGGCGGATACGATCCAGGTGTCGTTCAGGTCCCTGAAAAGCGGCGACTTGATCATTTGATACTCAACGCTCCTGGTGTCCGCGTCCGATCGGAACGCCAGGAGCGCCGAGCCGGCTCCACGCATCGGAACGAAGCCAAGATTCCATACCTGCGATTCCAGCCCCGGCGCAGCGGCGCGCCAGATCATGCGTGTCACGCGGGGCAACGTGGAAGAACAGCAGCCGCACAAATACACCGGGCCACGTGTCACGCGGGCCAGGGGACGCGGCGCGTAAAAACGCACCTGACGGATCGTCTTCCACTGCGGCCCGCGTTCCTCGGGCTCGGGGCCATCGTCAACCACGGCGCTGGAGCGCACGGAGCGAAAGACATTCGCGGCGTTCAGGGGGCACTTCAGGATGTCAAATGCGAGCGCCGCGGGGGTGTCCTGCGAGCGAGACGCGGAATGGAGGGGGGCGTGAACGGACAATGAAGACTTCGGCGAAATGGCGGCGCGGGGCGGCCAGGAACCGATCAGCGGCAATGAAACTTCGCGTGCTGCGGGCAGCGCTTCATTGCAGGATGTTCGCTGCGCGACGGCGCCGCAGGCCGTGCGTGAAACGTCAACTGGGCGTGAACGTCAACTGGTCGACGCACCGGCAGGACCGCCTCGCAGACTCCCTCCCAGCGGCCCTTGCCGGCCTTGCGTGCTCTCACCGAGAGCGAGTGCGCCATGAGAACGTCACACTGTGTGTCTTCGACGCGACCTCGAAGTCAGCCGACGACGCTGACCGCCTGAAACTGCCCCCGAGTTGCAGCCCACGACGTACTTGACGCCGGGGGAGGCCGGGCCAGGGCGGCCGGGACGTGTTTCGTTTGATCACATGACAGTGTGCGTTGTCAGGTAAGACTGCAACACCTGCCAGCTCGCAGCGGACGAATGCGCCCCTGTCGTACTGCGGAACAGTCGCTAGGCTCAATATCTACACGTCGACGCCGCCCTGGCTCCCCGCGAGGCCACTCGCCCGCCAGGGTGACCTCGCTGCTGTACAACAACGCCGCATTCGTGTGTCACCAGCGCTCCCGCCCAGCCTCGGTGCAGAACACGGGCCCGTCCGGCAACACAATCACGTCGACGCCGGCGTCGTGCGCCGTGACGGGAATCTCGTCCACCACCTGCACGGCAACGCGTCAAACACACACTCCGCGCTGTTTCTGTTGTTCATCGCTGCCCGTTGCCTCGCGAGCCGCGCACCGTCCGGCAGCGACGGCGCACCTGCTCAGGAAACGCTAGCGCCACCAGCAACGGCGCCGGCCACCCCTTCTCTTTCGCCCTCGCGAGCGCCCCCTCCAGGAACGCGTCGTAGTACCCACCACCGCGACCCAACCTGTGCCCGGACCTGCAAACGACCCGACGACAACGCCAACCGTCAGCGCGACACTCGCACGGCGTGCGCGACGCCAGCGCCGCGCTCCATCTTCTCGAACAACGAGCGCGCGCCAAAACACACCCAGGAACCGCAACGCATCGTTACCTGTCGAATCCGAGGCCCGGCATGAAGAGCACGTCGAGCGGCTCGTCGAGGTCCGCGAGGTTCTCGCGCGGTCCGCCCCCCGGCGGGTCGTGCTGCGGCTCCCGGATCCCGAACGGCCCCGTGGCCTCGATCGCCTCCCCGGGGAGGATGCGCAGCAGGCGCATCTCGTGGGACGCGCCGCCGTCGACGATCGGGATGTACGCGGCGGGGGTGGCGCTGCCGGCGCGGCCCTCGGCGAGGAGGAACCGCTCGAGCGGCTCCGTGCCGACCTCGCGGAGTTTCGCGCAGGACAAGTAGAAGCCGACGTGCTGGGCACGCGCCAGGCAGGTCGAGGCGAGGACGTGCCGGCAGACGGCCTCGCTGTCCGCGGCCATGCGCTCCTTGGTGAGCTTGCGGAGGGCGGCTTTGATGTGCGTCCGGAGGTACTGCTTGGCCGCGGCGGTGGGGTCGGCGGACTCGCGCGCGGCCCCCATGGCGCTGGGCGGGAAGGAACGGAAGCCGGCGTCGGGGAGGTGCGCGGGGCGACGTGCGGCGCGCGAGGCGCTTGTGAAGGATGAGGTCGTTGAAGGATTCGCGGAATCACGGCCGATGGCGCCGGAGGGTCGGCAGGGCAGGCTTGCAGGGACCCCACAGAAATTTACGCGGGTGAGGCGTGCTCCTGGGGCCGATATCGCGCGGAGTGAATGGAAAACGATTTTGGACATCAAGTTCCTCCAACAGGAGCTTCCTCAGCACGGCTTAAACGTGCCCCCTGCGCGAGGAATGCGCCTCTCGGCCCTGCTAGATGGCCAGCGGCAGCTCAATGCGCGATGGCAGCGGAATCGCGCGTCACTTGCGACAGATTTCGGGCTCGCGAGCGAGTCAAGTGCGTCCGGAGGGCGGTGGCCGCGCGCCCGTGTACGACGCCGCCCTGTCGCTGCTCGCGCGTGTGCTGATTGCAGCTGACGCGGGCAGACGTGGGACGCGACGTCATGACCTCGCGCGGCGCAGCGGCGGCTCATGGCGCAGCGCAGCCACTAGCAGTCTCGTTCCATACATCGGCACTAGAGCCGGACAGCAACACTGTGGTATCGAGGGAGCACACACGAACACTCGGCGCGGCACTCAGCGGCAGCGGCAGCGGCTTGCCTGCCTGCCTAGATTTGCCTCGTCAGGCGCATCAACAGGGACTGGACTATCACGCTGGCATGCGGGCACTTAGAGCGTGGGCCTGCGCGCTTCTAGCAGCACTGCTGGTTGGTATTGCACAGGCACAGGAGGTCACAGCGACGATCCAGCTCCCCGCGGGATACCCATATCCACGTGTGTCGGTTCTCCTTCATGGACCTGGCAAGGTGAGCGCCACGAGGCTCCCGCACGGTCCAACAATGGCGAGGCTGGCGAGGCATTGCTGCTTCCTGTTCCTCCAGTCCAGCTGTGCCGCGAGACATGCCGCGGGTCGGCGGCATGAGATTTCTCGGATACTTCTGAGCTGTCCCCGGCGGCTGGAACTGCACCGGAACCATGCACCGCATCACATTCGAGGTTCTCGTCCTTGACAGCAGCTCTCCCTCTCCAGCGCCACGATCCCCGCACGCGTGATCAAAATGCAACTCACAATACGGCGAATCACCTCCACACGCATGCGTCACCCGGCGCGAACATGAGCCGCGCGACCTGCCGCAGCGGGGCTGTTGCAGCGCAAGCGCCGCGGGTCGTGTGCCGCGGCAACGAGCCTCACCGCGCCGCGATGAGCTCATGCCGATCCAGCCCCGCTGCGGCAGGTCGTGCGGCTCGTGTTCGCGGGCGACGGGGCCCCCGTTGCACGCTCACCGCTGCGCGACCGCTGCGCGCGCACTGGCGCACTCCTCTGTGCCGAGGTGCCTCGGACGAGGCTCAGAGCGACCCTGGAGCCGGCACATCGCTTGAGGCTAGCGTCCTGAAGCACGCGCGCGCCGTCTGATGAAGTGCGAATCGTTTGGTGTACTGTGCTGTTGATTGGTCTGCAGACGTCCCGGGCGTTCCTGACGCACGAGGTCCAGGGCATCTTCCGGTTCAGGTTCAAGGATGTGTCCCCCGGCCTGCACTGGATCGAGTTCGACGCGCCGAAGCTGCAGGTTCGCAACCCCTGCCCCCCCACCAACCATCAACCCTTCCACAGCCCCCCCGCGACACCCCACGCCACACCGCGCCCTCTCCACGGCCGCAGTTTCCGTCCCTCCGCGTCGACGTCCCGGCCTCGCCCGCGGCGCCCGTCGAGCTGCGGTACCTGGACCTCCCACTCCCCCCCCTGGACCCCCCCTTCCACGTGGCCCCCGGGCTGGTCCGCGAGGCGGTCGAGTTCGCACCGCGCATGTCGATCTCCCCCTCGGCGCTGATGCGGAACCCGATGGTCCTCATCGGCGTGATGGCGTTGTTCGCGGTGTTCGTCATGCCGTACATCTCGCCCAACCCAGACGAGATCAAGGCGCTACAGGAGGAGATGGGGTGGCTCAAGAAGGACGGGGCGGGGAGCGCGGTGGCGGCGACGGGGAGCGCGGCGACGGGCGGGCGCGGCGGCGGCGGGCGCGGGGGCGGGGGCGGGAGCACGGCGACGAGCGCGCGGCGCGGCCGGGCGCGGTAGGTGGTGCTGTGACGCCGGCGTTGCGAGCTTGGTGGCGCAGCGAGGCGAAGCTGGAGATGGGGACGCGCGGGTGACCGAGCCCGCGGGCTGCGTTCTCGAACAAGGGCCACAATCAACAGACTTTGCAAAATCAACAGACGAAACGAATCTGCTGTTGATTCATCATGTGCGCTCGTTGACCGCGAAGCACCGCGGCTCCTGACGACCACGGCCCGCGCGCCGCGTTCCTGCTCGCTCACACCGCCCCTAAAAACGCGCAACGCCGCCCGCGCTTCACCACAGCGTCTCGTCGAGGTACCCGGCGTCGTTCGCGGCGAGGAAGGAGCGCATCTTCTCGACCTGCTCCAGCACGGAGCGCTTGCTCGCGCCGCCCTCGGTGTCGCGCGACTCCGCGGACTTCGTGAAGTCCATCACGTCCATAACGTCCTCCTCGAACCGCTCGTCGATCTCCTTGAGCTCGCTCATCGTGAGGTCGAACAGCGTCCGGTCCGTGTCCTCCGCCAGCTTCACGCACGCCCCGCTGATGTGGTGCGTCTCGCGGAACGGCACGCCCTTGCGCACGAGGTACTCGGCGAGGTCGGTCGCCAGCATGTCGGGCGTGAGCACCGCCAGCATCTTGTCCGGCTTGATCGTGAGCGTCGCCAGCACGCCCGTCGCGATGCGCAGGACGTCGAACGTGGTGTCGATCGAGTCGTACATCAGCGCCCAGACCTCCTGGAAGTCCTTGTTGTACGTCGTCGGCGTCGACTTCAACACCGACATGGCGCCCGCGAGGTTGCCCTGCATCACGCCGGCCTTCCCGCGCATCAGCTCCAGCGCGTCCGGGTTCTTCTTCTGCGGCATCAGGCTCGACCCCGTCGCGTACGCGTCCGAGCACTGGACGAACCCGAACGGCGCGGACGAGTAGATGATGAGGTCCTCCGCGAAGCGGCTGAGGTGCGTGGTGACCATGGCGCACCAGAAGATCGACTCCACCGCGAAGTCCCGGTCAGACACGGCGTCCATGGAGTTGGGGCACACCCCCCCCTCCATCTCGAGCTCCTCGGCGAGGAACTGCCGGTCGACGAGGAAGGGGTTCCCCGCGAGCGCGCCGGACCCGAGCGGGAGCGTCGCGATGCGCGGGATGATCTCGCTGGCGCGCTTGTGGTCGCGCTGCCACGCCGCGCAGTGGCACATCACCCAGTGCGACCAGCGCACGGTCTGCGCGCTCTGCAGGTGCGTGAACCCGGGCATGAGCACGTCCACCTCGCTCTCCGCGCGCTCGCACGCCACCGCGATGAGCGCCTGCAGCGCCTGCTGCAGAATGCGCATCCGCTTCTTCATGTAGAGGCGCGTGTCGGTCGCCACCTGGTCGTTGCGCGACCGGCCGGTGTGGAGCTTGCCGCCCACGCTGCCGACGATCTCCGAGAGCCGGCGCTCGTTCGCCGTGTGAATGTCCTCGTCGCCGGGCTTCTCCTCGAACGTGCCGTCCGCCCACTCGGCCGCGACCTGCACACGTGAGGACATCGTTCCTTGATTGTTCGTGAGGCTGTTGTTCGAGTGACATCAACTCGCGTAGAGCGGTTGTCTCTCAATTAAACGGACACCCGCGAACGCGAGTGAGACGTGTGTCCCGATCCGGTCGCACCGCAGCCGCGCGAGCAGGCGGCACTCGCGGAAGCATGGTGGCAGCGGCGTGTGAGCGCGAGTTGCTGCGTGCGGTCGCCGGGCGGGGTCCGCGCCTGCCTGAGGCCCTTGACGAGGGTCTCGGCTTCGTCCTTCGTGATGATTCCGGCCTTGGCCAGCGCGCGCGCGTAGGCTTTGGAGCCCTGGATGTCTTCCTTGGCCATCCGCTTGTCCATCGACAGCGACTCGTTGAACTTCTCCATCAAGGGGTCCACCGAGCCCGAGAAGCGCCCTCCCCACAGCTTCGCGCCCTCGGCGGCGGCCTTCACGCCCGCACGGGGCCGGGCCTGCGGAGAGATGCAACGCAGCCGCTGGGGTTGTTGGCCGTGCTGGGGCCACAGGGAGAGATCGGGGGCGCGCGGGCGGTCTGAGTGGAGTTCATTGAGGGGTGGACGTGAGGCGCAGCGGGATGGGGCGCGTCGTGCGCGGAAACCGTGCTGCGACGGCGCAACAGAACGTGGCGGGAAGTGGCGCGGTTTCGTCGCGCGGCGGGCGCGGACGGACGGCCGGCGAAAATTGCGCCGGAGGCTCGTGGACTCCATGCACAGAGGTCCCAGTTGCGGTGGAAATGTCTGCGTCTCGCGCCGCGGGTACGGCGCCCTGGGCGAGAGAGGGCAGCCTGCTGAAAGGGGCCGCCCGAGGGGCAGCGCGCCGGGCCGGGCGCGCGAACGGCCGTTTAGACTCCACCACATCGCTCTCTGCATGTACGCTACGCCTCCCGGCTGAACTGGGGGCCCGACAGCGTCGGGCGCGGCCCGCGCGGGAGGCGGCAACCTGGGCACCCTTGCTGCAGCCGCTTCGATCCCTGGCGGCGCTTGCGGGATCGTTTGGCGCGGCGGCGCGCCGCGGGACCCACCTGGCTCATCCTTCGGGCCGGACGTGCGAGAACGTGTCCCCGCGCGACACCGCCGGCGAGCATGCTGTAGGGTCTGGTGGCGGTTGAGGCGTGCTCTGCGTGAACGGCGCGTGTGCGGCAGTCGCGGTCAGTGCTCCGAGCTGCAGTGCCGGTCGTTGAGCGGCGCTCCCACGCGGCGGGCCACTCAGGCCGCGAGCCCGCAGCAGCGCGGGACAGAGGCCCCCACGCTGATGCCAGGCGACAGGCTGGCGGCGTTGCGGGGTGTCGTGGGGGGCGTGCACGTGTGTAACTTTGCGCGATACGGGGGAAATCTTCGTGCTTCGTGCGCCACGGAGGAGAATTTCGTGGCTTGGCGATCCCACGTCCGCGACACGGGCTGCCGGGTGCACATAGAGTAGTAATTGACCACCCGCGCACGAAACGAAATGCGGGTGTGCTATCGTCCTGATCAAGGCGGCAGCGTGCTAGGAGTACTCGCGCGAAATGCCATGTGCGCGTGCCATCATGTGCCAAGGGAAGGCTCTGACCTGCAATCAGTTAGAGTGAGTGGCGGGCGTCGTCAGCAACAACGCGGCGAGCCGCGCGAGTACTGGACGACGCCCGCCAGCCGACGCGCCGAAGTGCGGGTCCACGTCCTAGGCTGCTTGTACCAGGGGGTGTCGGCAGCCGGCTGGGTGACAGCGGTGACTGAGTCTGCGGCATTGTCCGCGTTGTGTGGCGACGCGCCGACGGCTACTCAGCTCTCCTCGTCATCGCCGTCCCCGCGCGTGGCCTGTCATGCGAAAAGGGATCATACCTCGGTCTAGCGGCCACGGAATACGCGCATGGCCAACATGTCAACATCGGGGGGGTAACAGAGTGCGTCATGTGTGCGGGCATGGCTGGATAGTTCCGAGCCAGCTTCGCAGCGCCGGGATCATGTATGAGGGTGACGAGTTGCAGGGCGCCGGGCACGCCCTGTCAGCAGGTTGGCCAGTATGGTCTGCAAACTGCACGTGGCGACGCACGAGGTCAGCCAGGCCCGCCGGCGTGGCAGGGCCAAAATGCGGGCTCGGGTGCGTCCGGCAGGCGGCGCGGTGGATCGCCAGGACCTGTCGCATGCAGTAACCTCGATGCGTACGCATGTAGCGCATCATGGCCGACATCTTGGCTACGTAGCTGTCGCGGTCAGTCACCTCGCTGGACACGCGGATGTGTTCGGTGCGGACGATGTTGTAAAGGTGTCGTCGCAGCAGCGCACACGAAGCGTGGGGGTACTGTATGAGGTGAATGTTCTCAGGAAACAGACCGCGTTTGTCATAGTGCGAGATCAGGAGGAAGCCCTGATATTCGGGATGCGGACGCACGCGGAGGTCTAGGAAGGAGACACCGTCGAGCGGGTTCGCTGGGGCGTCAAATTCGACCTCAAGACAGGGGGGGTACATGTTATGTATACCAGAGATGAGATCTACGATCGACGACGGGGTTTCGGGGGGCGGGGTGGGGGGGCGGGGGTGGGTGTTGAAGTAGCGGTACAGTGCGTTCGCGAGAGAGAAATTGTCGTCGATGTAGCGCCTGGAATAACGGAAAGACCCCAAGACCTTCAGCCAAGCGACGTCGCCAGTGCTCAACCAGCGGTCGCGAAACTGGCAGAGGAACGCGAGCTCATGCCGGAACATGTAGCAGTTCGCGAGGTGGGGGGAGGCCGAGAGCCCCATGGGCACACCGCAGGTCTGGTGATATACGACGCCCCCGAACACCACGTAGGCGCGTTTGACGAGGATGTGCACGAGACCATGAAGTTGCTCGATGCTCGGTGCCCATTTCCCAACCATGCCGTCCGCGTCCGGCAGCTGCGCCACCCACCACCACGTCTCCCTCGCGTCAAACGCGGGTTGCAAGTCGATCAGGAGGTGTTGCCCTGGATGCAGTGCAAAAACAGCGTCGATGTGTTCGATGACGCAGTCGATGAGGCCGGTCCCGTGGTCCGCGCTCGTCTCGTGCCGGATGTGCGTGTAGAGCCGCTTGATGTCGGCGCCCAGCAGCAGAGGTGGTTGTTGAGCATGTATCGCTGAGCGTGGTGGGTTGTCATGTAGATACGCGGTCACCATGTCACGCATGCCGCGGCTGGAGTCCACCAAGAAGGGCGCGAAGCTGCTGCAGAGGTCCTCCGGGACGCCGTCGAAGATGGAGCTCCAGACCTCCACGAGGGTGGCGTGGCACATGAGCGCGCCGAGGGCCTTCGTCAGCAGCTGCGCTGCGGGGCGCGTGATGTCGCTCGAGCAGTCCGAGATGTACCGCACGTCCACCTTGGCCTTGTGAAGCTTCATCGTCCCGTAGTAGTGCGGTAGACCACCGCACTCGCGTTCGGTGCGTATTCCTGGTAGCTGCAGGTTGTCCAACATAGCCTCCGTCGTGTTAGCGACGTTCACCACGTGCCTGGCATGCGTGATGTTGGCATTTGCCGGCTCGTTGACAGCGAAAGCGTCGTTGCTGTGCAGGTCGTGCAGGAGGACCTCGATGTAGGCGCGCCGACACACGAAAACCAAATTCCCGGCGTTCTTGTCCATGGTCGTGATGGTGAGGCGTGTCGCGTCTCGCCGCAGAGCCACGCGATCGTCGGGCTGAATGTCCGCCAGCGGCGGGGGCCATGGAAGGCGGAACCCGGGTTGAAGAGCGGGTTGGAGTGCCGTTTGCGTAGCAGCAAGTATAGCATCAATGTACGGCATGCACGCTGCCGCGTCCATGTCGGCGGCCTTGCTGACGCGTTTCGTCCACCCGAGCAGCGGCTTCTGGTAGGCTTCAACGATGCTAGCTACGGTCGCGCTCGTGGCTTGGTGCAGCTCCGGGACGTGTCGGTGCTTGGCACCGCCGACGGCGAACAAACGGCGGTACGCGGTGCTCTGGATGCCCGCCGCAGCAGGGTCCAGCGTGCAGAGGTGCCGCACAGGCTCGCCGTCGATCTGCCAGTAGGGGTCCTCGAGCGTGAAGTGGCGTCGTAGGTCCGGTCCTTGGTGTTGCGCACAGTCGCACTGCGTCGCCATGATGTCGTACAGGCGACTGCGTGCAAACTTGGCAACTCCGCTGTGCGTGCACACCGAGCGCGACAGCGGTGGAAACCTGACCGAATAGCGCGGGGCCACCAGAAACAAGCCATCCATACCTTCGCGGATACGCTCAGGTAAGAGGTTGAGAAAGTCATCATTATTGACGAGGGTTTCGAGGGGGGCGAGGCTAGCCAGGGGGGTAGGGAAGTCGTGGATCATGAGGGTACGGCTCCCGAGGTCGATGTCTGCGACGGGAGGGTAGTGGTGGTTGATGGCGGCCTGCAAAACGGTGCGGGCACTGTCCAACATCTGCTGTGTGTAAAAGGGCTCGTCGAGACCCAGGTTAAGCGCATCGGGATGCATGTGCGACACGCAGTGATGGAGGGAGAAGAGGTATTTTCCGATGTTCGCTGCCGTGCAATGGTTCACCGCGCGTCTCCAATGATCGTGCTCTGTGTCGCCGGCGCGGCGGAACAAAACAACGTCAAGAAGGAGGCGAGTCTGGTAGATATACTCGCGTGTACCGAGGCGCGGAGACATGCCTGCGATAGCGGGGGGCAGGGACAACGCTGGTGCCGTAGTTGTGAGGCAGTTGTCAGCGTCGAGGTGGATGGTACGTTGATGCGTGGAGGAGATGGCAAACGTTGGCTGGAAGAGGGTCGCCAGCGCTGGGAGCCCACTCGGGCCGGGCGGGACGGGGAAGTCGTTGTGGGGGATCGCTACGGGGTGGGGGTCAGCGGCGATTTGGAACGCCAGGGGGGATAGAGGCCATGGGGCAGCATCAGAGTGGCCAGCTCCGTAGCCGAAATTCCACATGCCCTTGCAGTAATTGAGGCCGCCGGGGTATGTGGAGCCCAGACAGCGTATCATGGTCTGCTCCCAGGCCAGGGAGTAGGTGCGGAACTTGTGGAACCAGGCCTTCAAAGCGTCCGGGCTAGTCGCCGGCGGGATGGGCACCTGGCGTGCGAAATTGATGCGAAAGAGGGGCACGATGGTGAAGTCGCGCCACGGGACATGGCCGTTCGGCGACTGCGCCCACACTCGTCGCATAAACTCGTAAAGCGGGGTGTGCACGGCGTTCGGATGGTGCGTGAATGCTGCATCAAAGTGCTCCTGCAGTCGTTCGATCGCTGTGCGGTATGTCTCCCCGACATAGTAAAAGAAGGGGTATTTCCGGCACAAGAGGACATAGACAACCCCGCGCGCCGCAAGCGGGGGGTTTGCCGTGACCGATGGTAGCGCGGCGAGGTCCGAGAGCGCCGGCGGGGGCGGTGGGAAAGGAGCGCTCGGTGGGGGGCACGGGTGCGGGTATGCGGGCGCCCGTTCGTCGCGGGGCACGTAGTCCCAGTAGGGTCGAGGGGCTAGTGCGGAGGCGGGGTGGGAGGGTGTGTGGTGGGGGCTAGGAGGGGGCCAGGCACGGGGAGATGCCTGCGGAGCAATAGCGGCCGCGATGCGGCGTGCGTGCGTGATGCTGGGTCGAAAGTTCGGGTCGTGGTCATTTAGATTTGCGACATGGTGGAACAGGGTGCCATTCGAAAGGTGGCCACGCAGCGTGCGCGCCTCGGCGGTGCCGGCCTGGTCGCTGAGACGCAACGCTGCTTGGAGCCGTTTCCTCCGTCGGCGACCGATTGGAGTGCGCATGGTGAGAGGTTTTGGGGGTGAAAAGAGGGTGGTGTGCGGAACTAGACCGAGGATGCAGTAATCAAGCCACGACGGGAGGGCGACGATGACGGGGAGAGCTCTACCTAAGTTGCGCGTTCCTAGCACGCCGGGCGGTGAGCCACGGACGTGAGACGGCGGAGTCAGTTAGCCGGAGGCAGGCTCGTCTACGCCGACGGTTGAAGGCCGGAGTAGGGAGGTAGCTCTCAGCTGGCACTGCGCCAAAGCCCCATGTTCGAGGCCCGGCGCAGCACAACACGACACACAGAGTAGTAATTGACCACCCGCGCACGAAACGAAATGCGGGTGTGCTATCGTCCTGATCAAGGCGGCAGCGTGCTAGGAGTACTCGCGCGAAATGCCATGTGAGCGTGCCATCATGTGCCAAGGGAAGGCTCTGACCTGCAATCAGTTAGAGTGAGTGGCGGGCGTCGTCAGCAACAACGCGGCGAGCCGCGCGAGTACTGGACGACGCCCGCCAGCCGACGCGCCGAAGTGCTGGTCCACGTCCTAGGCTGCTTGTACCAGGGGGTGTCGGCAGCCGGCTGGGTGACAGCGGTGACTGAGTCTGCGGCATTGTCCGCGTTGTGTGGCGACGCGCCGACGGCTACTCAGCTCTCCTCGTCATCGCCGTCCCCCGCGCGTGGCCTGTCATGCGAAAAGGGATCATACCTCGGTCTAGCGGCCACGGAATACGCGCATGGCCAACATGTAATCGCACATGGAACCTGGCGCCTGTCAAACATTGAGTCTGAGTGGTTTACACGCGTTCCACGGCTGCGCGGCCTGCGCAGAGCGCCGCAGACGCATGCCGGCCGCACGCGCACCCGCGCCTCGCTCCCACGCGCAGGAGCCCCAGTTGACGCCAGGCGCCAGGGCGCTGCGTCACGCCGTCACACGACCGCCACGCCGCCCGTCCCCGCAGGCAGCGCGCTCTCCGGCCAGTCCCCCTGCGCCTCGTACTGCCCCGTCTCGCGCTCCTCTTCAGGGAAGTTCGCTTTGCTTGAGTCACCCACTCCCCCCGCAGCCCCGCCCCCGGCAGCGACGCCCGCTGACATCGCGGACAGCCCGATCTTCTCCGACGCGGGAACCTTGCCCTTGTAGTACATCTTGCCGTGCACGTGGTTTACGCGGTCGCGAGGGAAGGGCGGTGCCGGGACGCCGCACAGCAAAGGCGTCAGCAGGCGGGCCGCGACGAAGCCCGCCATGGCCGCCACGGCCGGGTCGTGGTCGGCCGAGGTGACCACCCCGGTCGCCATGGGGGCGTTCGTGGAGGAGTGGTAATGACTCGCCGCGCGGAAGGCGCTGCTGTGCAAGTCGTGGCGGGACCCGGGGGTCGTCGACGAGTCGGGGCCGCCGGACACGGAGACGGGGATCTCGGTGGCGCCGGAGCCGGCGACGTGCGGGGAGCCCCCGAGCCACAGACGACAGGAGTACGCCACTGTTTGGTGGCACAGGGGGCCGAATCGAATGCGATAGGGGACCCCCGCGGCGTGCTTTTTCTTGGAGCTCGGCTGTTTGTGCCAGTGGTCGTCCCGCTTGAACATGGCCTTGCACTTGACCTCCAGATACCCGACTGCAAGCGCAGCGGCAGGAAACAGGGCGGGTTGCGAGCCGCGCGGGGAGAGAGCGCACGCGAGGCGCGCGTTGCCGCGCCGCAGACCCGCTCACCTGTCTCCAGCGCGTCGATGGCCTTGGTCTCGTCCGGGCCCGGCGCGATCATGCCGACAGGCGCGTTGTCGAAGTCGTACGCCGTCGCCGCTGCGCGCGGCGACGCAGGCCGCGGCGCTTTCAGGAGCACCTTGAGGTGGATGATCGCCTTGCACTTGTGGTTGATCTCCGACACCCCGCCGCTCGTGAAGTCCGGGATCGTGCCGAGCTCGTCCGCGCACGGGTCCCGCCAGTTGCGCCACTGAACGAGCGGCCCGAACGCGAACGCGCGCACGAGCGTCCTGCGCACGAGGATGTCGGTGCGCTAACGCGTCGGTGTACCGCGGCGCAGCGAGTGTGCGCGCGGTTGAGGAGCCTCGCGAACGACATTCCAAGGTGAGGTGACAGAGATCGACTCACTTGTGCTCGAGTTTCGCGGGATCTCCCGCGCGGGGAACTTTCTCGAACGTCTTCAGGGCAAACCTGCAGTGAGGGGCGCGAGGAAATCGGGAGAGCTGTATTCAGCCGCGCAGGTGGCCGAGCTGCTAGCCGCGGGGCAGCAATGCGAGGGCTCACCGGCGGAACTCTCCCGGTCGCCCCCCCCCCCGCGTCTCCACCTGCATCCACGTCGGATACGTCATCGGCGCGCCGTCGACGTTGCCATCGCCTTTCTTGACCTGGAACCGACCGCGGAGCCGCAACGCTTTGTGAGTTGTGTCACCACGCTTCCGGCGCTCGCTCCGGCACAGCGCGTGGCACAGGAGGGCGCGCGGAATCCGTGACTAGTGATTCGTTCGACGGGCGGACTGGGGATGTCTTGCGCACGGTCCTGGAAGACGAACGATGGATCCCCACTGGCGGAGCGGTTGGGGCGCGTGCTGGCTCCGTGCGCCGCGCGCGACCGGTTTCGGGCATGTCATCTCGGTAAAGACTATGCAAGCTGCACCGAGCGTGAAGCAACGAGCTATCAGCGCCTGCTGAAGTGCCGTACTGACTGCTGATTCAGCGCTGCTTAGAGCGGCGTGCGGGAGGCGCACCACGATCGCGTTTCCTGCAGATTCGAAGTGGAAGTGGTACTCCTGTCCCTTGACAGGCTCTGGAGGCCGGCTGGCTTCGTCCGGCTCCCTGACCGCGCTGCTCGCGCAGCCCATGATGATGCTCTGCTCTCCCCGTTGCTGCGTGCCAGGTGGAGGGCGGAAAACCTTGCCTCGTTCGCCGCACAAAGTGGATGCGTGGTGCAAGCGCAGAGCGGCATCTGCACGAGTCGCCCCGCCTGGCGTGACTCCGTGTCACACGTGGAGCCACCAACACCGACTGACTCGACACCCCTCCCGCGGGCGAGCCGTCTGTCCCGCCGCGGACCAGCTCGCAGCAATGTTGGGGGCGTGTCACATTACGTCGCGAGTCAAGCGCTGTTGCGTGGCGGCGCACCGGAGTGGGCATAGCTTATCGGGCACAGCGTCACTTTCAGCAGCAGGAGAAGGGACGGTGCAAGGTGACGCGCCGCAAACAGATCCGTCATGTCTTACAGAGTCTTGCGGTCTTCCGCGCGCGAGAGTAGCGCAGGGGCCTCACGTCCAACGAACCTCGCCCATAAGGCTGCTGACGCCGGCAACCGCGCGCCGCCCGCGCCTGACCGCGCTTCTACCAGCTTGTTGATTCTGCGCGCCTGACGTGCGTGAAGAGTGAGTTGTGATGTCCGGCCGGTGTGTACCGGCTCGGGTGTTCGTACAGTGCAAGTAACGATATTTGATGATCGATGCTCGATCACTGTCCAATGATGAGAGATTAGAGCTCCTCCTTGTCCCCCGAGAAGGACAGCGCCGTGTGGCGCACGTCCTGCACGGTCTGGACGCGGGAGTAAGCGATAGATCCAGTGCCGTTGAGGGCCTTGCCGTCCGCAGCCACCATGTTCTTGCCGTGCGCCGTCAGACGCACAGTGCCGTACCACCCGTCGTCGACGCACACCACGATCTTGTAGAACGCGCGCCCGTTGACCACGCGCTCCAGCTTCGTGCTGCAGATCCCCACGCTGCTCGTCGTGCCGATCGTGCTGACGTGCGGCACGCTGAGCTGCAGCGGGCCCTCGGGGAAGCCGAGGGCCTCCGCGGGAGCCATCTCGAGCGGCGTGCCCGCGGTGGTCGTGGCGGCCGAGGGCAGTGTGAGGAGGAACTGCAGGTACTTGCTGTTCGTCGCGTACCCCTCGCCGACGCCCGGCACGCCATTGGACATGGCACCGAAAAGTGGGGTGATCATGAGGTCGCCCTGGCCGCTCTCGGTCGTCGAGCCGCTCAGGAGCGCCTTGATCTCTGCCAGGAGCGCATCGTGCGACGTGCCGAGGCTGCCGGTCGCGGCGGCGGTGGCCGCCGCCGTGGCCCCTGCCGTGGTTAGAGAGGTGTCCGTCGCGACGCCGGTGGCGGTGAGGATCGTGTTGCTGTTGTCGCCGAACGCGATCGGCACGTCGCCGCGCTGCGCGGCCAGCACCAGAGCGTTGAGCAGGTCCTGCACGCTGGGAGCGCCTTCTGCATCAGATGGCAGGATGACGATGCTGACGGTGCCCGACCTGCCAGGCCGGACCAGAACTCGCTCTGGGGCCGCGCCGATCGCCTCGGCGATGGTGTCGGCCAGAGTTCCGGACTGCAGCAGCTTGCGGCGCGCCCCGCTGTCGCCGTTGGCGACGGCAATCATAGCGTTCGCAATCTCCGCGCGCACATCCGCGCCGATTGGCGCCAGCTGGAACGTCGTCGACGGCGCGTCGCCGACAAACTTGTTCCCGACGACGTCGCAGACCGTGCCCGCCGGCAGCGTGACCGTCACCGGGACGCCCTGCTGCACGTGCGTGTTCCAGATCGATGCGACCACTCCCGGCGGGAAGCCAACCTTGAGGCGCTGGTCCTCGCAGCGTGAGTGCATCACGAGCGGCGCGGGCTGCAGCGCCGACGTCAGCACGGCCTCGCCGCACTCATTCTCGCAAGACAGCTCTTCGAAGAACTCGAAAGCGATCTCCGAGACTCCCGGGACGAAGATCGCCCCGGGCGACGCCAGGCCAAACTGCTCGGGCGGGATGAAGTCCGCGACGCCGGGCAGCTCGTTCGTGACGGTGCTTGTCCCGTCGCTGCAGAGCACGAGCGCGCGGATGACGTACTCGCCATCCAGGAGGAGGTACGTCGCGCCGACGGGCTCGCCCTGGAGGTTGTACGACTGCATGGCCGCGGGGTCGAGCTCGACTCGCAGCTGCTCGCCGCTGACGCGCAGGTCCGTCGACGAGAAGACCGCCACGTTGGACCACGCCCCAGTGGAGCCAACTTCGCGCATCTGGATGACGACCGTCGACATGAAGGGCGGCGCGCCGCCGGCGCCGAGGCGCGCAGCGACGCCCCACCTCATGAGGTTGCGGTCGGCGTCGGGGTTCTTGAGCAGGACCTCGAGCTTCTCACGGGAGAAGTCGGGCAGCGTGCGCAGCGACCACGGCAGCAGGTTGGTGCCGAGGCGGCGCTCGGCGGTCGCGAGCGTGCCTACGAACTCGACGCGCGGGCAGTCCCGCGTGAAGCGGACGGCCATCTGGCGCGAGGACCCCAGGGTCCCGCTCGGCTCGCACGAGTGAAACATGATGAGCTCGATGTCCGGGAACTCGAGCTTCGTGGCGGTCGGCGACAGCTGAACGCGCACGTTGAGCTCCTGCGTGGCCCCGCGGTCGATGTTGAGCGTCTCGATGAGGTTCGTCTGGTGCGTGTAGCCGTCCACAGTCACGATCAGGCCCTCCGTGTTCTTGAAGAGCAGCTCGAAGTCGTCGTCCGCCATCGCGTTGGTGGGAACGGCCTGGTTCTGGATCACGAAGCGGAACACCGTACCGTCGTCGCCATCGACCGGGGTGTCGCGGCGGTCGAGCAGGCCGTCGTCAAATATCTCGAACCGCTGGATGGCCCCCGTGCCGGGCTCCCACGGACACGACGTGAGCGACTGCGCGCCATCGTAGACGAAGAAGGGCATCCCGAGGCTGTCGACGGTGACACCGAAGAAAAACTGGTCGTCGCCGTCGTCGTCCGCAAAGGTCATCGAAACACCCGCCTCCCTCGTGCGCTCTGTGCTGGCGCCGATCGTGAGCGAGGAGGAGAAGCTCAGCCCTAATGAGAACTCAAAGCCGAGCGTGAAGCCCAGCCCGAACGCTTCGAACTCGGTGGATAGACCCAAAGTCGTGGAAATCTCGCTCGTGAGCTCAAACTCGAGCTCCACCTCGCTTGTCTGGCTTTGCGATGTTTCCCAGAAGAACTGTACTTCCTGTCCGCCGCCCAAGAGGAACTTCTGTGCCCCCGAGAGGACCCTCGCCGACTGGTCCACGATGTCCACGGGCTTGTAGATGGTACCCTGCGTAATGCTGTCGACGCTCGCACGCTGCAGGTCTTGCCTCGTCTGATAGATGTAGCGCATGATGAGGGCGTCGTAGTCGCGGATCAGAGCTTCCAGGTCGACGTTCTCGGACTGCACGTCGGAGGTTGGCGACAGCAGCAGCGCCTCTAGCTGCATGTAACGCTCCTTCACGAGGCCGATCGGGGCAATGAACACGCTGTCCTGGCCGCCTTCGAGAAGGCGGACATCGACGGCCTTCCTGTACTCGAAGACGTAGCACGGCGGGCTGCAAGGTTCAGCGCCTGCACCGCAGCCCGCGCTGTCGGAGCAGCAAGCCCGCTCGATGATGTTCATCTCCGTCGCGCTGCGCACACCGACGAACTTCGAGGGACTAATGATGACGTCGTTGTCAGACCCGTCCCAAGCATCCCCCGTCTCAATTCCAAGACCCATGCTTCGGCTGTTGGTCACGGTCTCCGTCTGAGTTCTGGAGAAACTGAAGCCATTGTTGATCGACAATTCTGTTTCAATGTTCACGCCGCCTCCGATCACGCCGCAGATGTCGAACTGCGCGCCGATGCCGAGAGGCGCAGCGACTGCACGGGGTTGCGGGGTAAAGTGGCACGGTCATGCAGCAGTCTTTCGACGTTGCGTGGCGCGTCGGAGAACATGGCAAGCGAGCGACGCAATCCGCATGCGAAAGGTCAGGGAACTCACGGGCTCCGGCGCAGGTCTCGGTTTCAGAGCTCAGGTCCGCCTCAAGCGAAAGCCCGATGCCAACGTCGATTCCAAAGCCAGCAGCAACTCCGAACGAATTGCTCGTCTCCAGCGTGTACCCGCGCTCGATGGCGGTGCTCGATTCATCGCCGGGAGGCTTGCGCAAAATCATCATGGGGACAGATGCCCTGTCAATCGGGAAGACGAACACCGTCTCCGCCTGTACGCCGCCCGACTCCGGGAGGACGTTGTCCGGCTGCGTGCCCTCGACGATCAGCGGCAGGCTCAGCAGCGACGTCGGCGTCGTGGTGTTTTGCTGCGGGGTCCTTCTGCGCGCCGCAACACGGAAGGGGTTGAACGTCGGCACGAGCGCCCTGGTCCTCTCGTTCACCTCGAGCGTCGGCTTCTCGAACACCTGGGCGACGTCGGCCGGGAAGTCCGTGGCCGCGCTGACATCGAACGTGACCGAGATCGGGTTGAACTGGAAGATGTACTGCGTCTTCAGCAGCCAGTTCGCGCGCATCGGGACCTTGCAGCCGGCCGTGCCGCACTTGCGGTCCGACAGCTCGCTCGCGAAGCTGTTGATCTGGACGGCGGCGCCGGTGACGTTGCCGCACGTGCGCGTCCCGACGGTGCCGCCGAGGTCGTACACCTCCTCGAGCGTGATCATCAGCCCGTACGGCAGGCGCTGGTCCAGGCTGTAGAAGTGCAGGTCGCCGATCGGCGTCGACGCGTCGCGCGCGAGCGCCGCCGAGCACGTCCTGCGCAGCGGCGGCGTGCGCCAGGCGGGGTCGCCTCCATTGGCGGCAATCCTCCTGCTCGTGTCTAGGTCGCGGCACGGGTTGGGGGACTCCGCGAGGTCCTCGTTCTCCTCCTCGGCCGCTGGCGGCACCCAGCCCTGGTAGTCCTCCGGCGGCTCGGAGCACAGCGCCTCCTCGGACGTGTCGGAGACGTCATTCCACAAGACCCACGAATACTTGAGCGTGGGCTGCACGTGGTAGCGCCACTCGATCTCCACGTCCGGCAGGAAGAGCGCCGATCCGTCCTGCGGCGCAGCGGTGCCCGTGGACCCCGCGGCGGCCGCGTTCGGGTCCTCTTCGGGCACCACATCCAGCTCCGCAATCTGCCGGTGGTTCTCCAGGAGGTAGTGGTTCGAGCCCGACGTGTCGTCGTAGTCCGTGTCGAGGATGTACGCGTCATACCGGAGGAGGATGTTCGTGAACCCGAGCGGGCTGAGCTCAAGGTCGACGTAGTTCCTATCCGCCGCGATCTTGACACTGAAGTCCGTCTGACAGTCGAGACCCTGGCCAGCCAGGGGCGTGATGCCGATCGTCGCGCCGCCGCTCTCGGCGATGTCGCAGTCGCTGACGCGAGCGTAGATCCGGAGGATCCTGCGAGGGAAGAGGCACGTGCGAAGACAGTGTGAGGCAAAGACTTAGCGATGGCAACGATAGGAAGCAACAGCGCAGCATGAACGTGGTTCGCACTTGGTCGTGAAGTCGATGAAGTCCGCCTGTTGGATGTTGTAGTCCACGACGTTCGTGTCTACGTACGCGCGGTCGCCGAGCAGCGTGACCGCATCGGTGGGCAGCCCGGACGGCCAGTCCACGCGGAACTTGTGGCCCTCGAAGACCGGGAACACCACGTAGCGCCCGAACCGCGGCAGCGCCGTAGTGTACGTGCCAAACTTGTCCTCCAGATCGATGTCCTCGCAGATGCCGTCGCGGCTCCTGACCTCCTGGACAGTCAGCGACACGCCCGACAGCGTCGCTGTGAAGAACTCCGCCTCGGTGAGGTAGCAAACCACCGGGTGCTGAGCGTCGCCGCCTGTGCCCGACCGCGACCGCGGCACGCAGCCTCGGTTGCCTCCGGTGAACCTCTCGTCGTACGCCAGAGTGCCCGTCACCTCGATGACGGACGTGTCGACGATCGTCACGTCGCCCTCGGCCACTTCGTTCAGCAGCCCCAGCGGCCTGTTGGCAAACTGGAGCTCGTGCCGGATGGTGTCCGAGGCCGTGAGGTCCCTGCCGTTGTACAGGTACGTGCGCTTCTCACCAGGCACGACGCTGACGTCGATCGGCAGCGTGCTCTGCGTCACGCCCTCGAACGGCCCGAGGGCGAAGAAGGCGTGCCCGCGGCGGTCGAACTCCGTGTCGAGGCAGATCGGGACCGTCGGCGACAGCAGCGACGCAGAGCGCGTGCCCTCGACACCGCGGATGCACACCGTCACGGCGGGCACGCCGACCAGCGAGTTGGTCTGCACCTTGACGGACATGAGTGAGAACCAAGGCATCTGCGCCGTCACCCTGCCGGTGCCCAGGAGGCTGAGCGTCGCGTCGTACGCCGAGACGGTGAGGTCGATAGGCGGGCCGAGGATCAGCGGGCCGGACTTGGTCAGCAGCGGGATGAAGTGCGTGACTTCCTCACCACCAAGGATCCTGTTGCACGTGCGCGGGTCCGCCACGTCGGTGATGATCACCTCGCCCTCGATGAGCACGGGCGTGAAGCCACCCTCCGTGACGTACTGCAGCTGGCTCGCCTTGGCGTAGAACTGCGTGTCGCACGACGCCCGGTCGCGCGAGTGGAAGGCGATGTTCCACGTGCCAATCAGCGTGTTCAGGCGCGGAGACAGCGCGGGCTGCGGCGGAGAGAGCTGCCCGTGCCACGGCTGCGGACTGCCGCGGAACTCCTCGACCAGGAACGGGTCGCCTCCGTCCTGGAAGGACCATCTCTGTGGCGAAAACACTGCACCCGTCTCCTCGTTCGTGATATCGATGGTCGACGGCGTGACCCGCGACGGCTTGAACGGCACGAGGCCGCACCCGCACGTGGGGTTGAGGTACACCCGCATCGACAGCCCAGCGGCCGACGACGTGAGCGTCACCATGTGCGCCGGTGGGCGCACTTCGATCGACGTGTCGAACATCACGGCGACCGTCGCCTCGTACCAGCCCGACTCGGCCCTGAACAGCGGCGTCGTGCCGACGGCGCGCCCGGGGATGATGAGGCCCGAGGTCTCGACGGCAACTGCGCCGGCAGTGAACTCCAGTGCTGTCAAGTCCCAGTCAACCACAACGGTGTCGTCAACCTCGGGCCTCCAGCGCGCGAACACCTCGAGCCCGCTGGAAGAAATCTGCGCGTCGAGGCGCTGCAGCTCGAGCGACGTCGAGTAGACCGCGCCGCCGCGGCCGCCCTCAAGAGCTGACTTGGCACCAGACGCACCAACCGCGACGGTGCCGTCAGGGAGCAACGCGACGCCGCGCTGGCCGAAGCCGAACAGGTCGGACTGCGAGCCGTCAGCGGCGCTCATCACGGCCACGCGCAGCCAGCCACGCGTCGGGTGCAGCGAAAACACCGCGACGCGGCCCTTGGGGGCCGAAGCGTGGCGGTTGGCGCCCATGCTGACCAGGAGCGAAGGCGCGCCAGCTCCGTCTTCGCCGCCGAGCGCGCAGCCTCCCGCCCGAGCGAAGTCGCCCGTCAGCCGGATCGTGCCCTCCAGCGCAACGTTCAGGTTGTCTCCGTTGGCACTTGGCGGATCCGCAACGTACGTGGCCGCCACGGCGTTTCCGAGGACGGCCACGCGGCCCGCACCGGCGCACACCGCGCGGCCGAAGCCGGCGAGCGACTCCTGCAGGTCTCCAATGTCAAGCGTGCGGGCGTTCGAGAAGTGGCTCTGAGAGTCGGCCGTGTACGCGCAAGCGCAGCCCACGTTCGTCGTCGATCCTCCCGCCGCGAGAGGGCAGCGCTCGTGCCCGACAACGACGTACGCGACGCTCGACAAAGCCTCGCCGGTCGCCTCGGCGGGTGCGCCGATGGCCAGCGACGACGGCCTTGCCTGCGCGCCGCTGCCGCACTTGCCCAGGAACTGCGTGCTTCCCGATTGCTCGGGATCGCCGTCGCCGTTGAAGTCGACCGTCACGAGACCGACCTTCGACTTGCGGCCAACCCAGCCTGCAAGGACCGAGCCGCGGCCGAACACCGGGGAGGACATCTGCCCGACGTCGCCGCTGGCTGGAGCGCGCACCATCCTGGTCGTGCTGCCATCAGCGTCGGCGGCCGCCCAGAAGACACCCCCGAGAGTTCCGCGCTGCATAGCAACCCAGCCCGTCCCGAGCGCGAGCCAGCCGACCGTCGAGGGCACGTCCGCAGCAAGATCGTACGTGGCCTGCCCGGCGAACGACAGGCGGCCGCGCTCGCCCTGGAAGATGAGCACGCGCCCGCCCTGGAAGACAGCAATGCGTCCGCCGCCGCCGCCGCCCGCCATCGCGCTGCCGAAGGCCTGCGAGACGGAGCCGGTCGTGTCGGGGCCGTTGCCGTCGTTCTTTGCGTACTGCCGGGCGAGCAGCGCGCCACCGACGGGCTCCTGCCGGCCGATGTCGGAGGCCGTGAAGACCGCCAGGTGCCCTGCGTTGGGGAGCAGGCCGTTGGAGCGAGACGACTCTGGTGCGGCGACGAGAATGGAGATACCATCGGTGGACAGCGACTCGCCGAACGCCGTTGGCAGCACGCCTGCGCCGCCGGCGGCGCGGACTTCCGCAAGACGCTGCCATGCGCCGTTCACCTTGCGGGTGAAGGCTACGACGGCGCCCGCGCGCAGGTCCACGTAGCCGTCCAGATCAGGCAGACCAACAACCAGCAGCCCCCCGTGGACGGCGCACTTCGGCGTCGGGAGCGACGCGTCGAGCCCGTACGGTGCCCACGAAGATGCCTCGATGCGGAAGCCGCGCTGCACGCCCTCGAGGCTGCCAGGCCTGAGGCGGTCGAGGTCAGCGTAGAGGAACAGGGCGGGCACCCTGTCACCGGCCGGCAGCGACGCCGCCTGAGACAGCGCGACAGTCCCGCCGCCCGCGCACATGGTGTCGCGCCCCAGGAAGCCCTCGGGGCGGTACGTGACTCCCTCCTCGAACCTCACGGTCGCCGAGAAGTCAATCTCCCACGAGGAACGGATGGGGATCGTGCCGCCGCCGCGCACTGCGACGAGGGCCTCGTGGAACCCAAACGTCTGCAGGATCGCGATGACGTCCGCCGTGGCCTGGGGCAGGAGGACCGTCTCGCCCGCGCTGTTCAGCACCTGGTAGATAGCGTAGCTGGTGCGCCGCGCGTACTCTTCCGCGAAGACGACGGACGAGATGCCTGTTGAGTACGACGCGAGCATGTCGCCGAGCAGGCTGAGCTGCCCGAGGACCTGAGAATACGTCTTGTAGTGATCCGCAGTGCCTGCGAAGGCCCCGAGGCTGGTCGGCAGGGGGAACACCGTCGTCGGGTCCAATTCTGTGGACAGCACCACCGTCGGCGAGCTCTTGCTTGCACGCGCCTCGCGCCACAGCCTTTCCTCGAGGGTGTTCATCCTGTTGACGGCCGTGTCGAGACTGCGCAGCACGCTGAAGGCCTCGTTCTGGAACGCCGTGCGCGCGTTCGCGTCGTACGCGGTCAGGAAATCGGACGCCGCAGCCTTTGCAATCCTGAGGGAGACACTCCGAACGTCCGAGCCGGTGTCCTGCGCCAACAGCGCCTCGATGTCGGCCTGAATGGCCTGAGCGTCCTCTGACACGACGAAAGCGCGGCCGGTGAAGGAGGCCTCCGTGAACTGCGCAGACGCCCAGGCGTACGACAGCGAGGACGCGGGCGTGTCCGCTCCGCTCTCGCCCCATCCGCCGGCTCCGCCGGGCTTGGAGTACACGTACGCGACGCCGATGTTGCCGACAGTGCCGCCCGGGAGTGCGACGCCGCTTCCACCAACAATGTCCAAGAGCCCGTCGCGCAGCTCGACGCAGGACCGGCAAATGCCCGAGGAGGAGGACGTCCCGGGGGCTGCGGTCGAGAGAGCGGCGGGGAAGACCTGCCCCTCCTCGTTGCGGCCCCAGCAGTACAGGTTGGCACCATTCCATGTCGCACACGTGTGGCGGTCGCCCGCACTGACCGACGTCCACTGGTTCGAGAGCCCGGGGACGCCCGACACCTGTCCGTCCGAGTCGTCGCCCCAGCAGATCAGATTCCTGTTTTCGTTGATTGCGCACGTGTGTGCCAGGCCGCAGCTGACGCTCAACCAAACCTCGTTCGCGGTGGTGGCGGGCACAGACGTCTGCCCAAATGCATTGGAACCGAAGCAGGAGATCTCGCTCGTCTCTGAGATGGCGCACGTGTGCGCGCCGCCTGCAGAGACCGTCACGTAAGATCCCTGGGTCACCCCAGTGATCGGCGCAGACGTCTGCCCCTCCTTGGAACGGCCCCAACAGTACAGGGCGCCCGATACCGACACTCCACAGGTGTGGTAGAGGCCAGCAGACACGACAGACCACATCTTCCCGCCGCGGGGGAGCGCCGGCACTGTACTCTGCCCTTCGGTGTCGCTGCCGAAACAGAACGCCGAGCCAGCGGTGTCAACAGCGCAGGTGTGCTGGAACCCGGCGTCGACCTGGCTCCACGCGGCGCCCGGGGTCGGCAGAGGGACATCGGTTCGTCCGAACGACGCGTCGCCGAAACAGACGAGCTCGCCCAGGAGCGTGATGGCACACGTGTGGCTGTGTCCGGCCGAGACCGAAGCGAACGACTCCCCGGTCGGCGCGAAGGTTGCGCCGCGTAGATCGTCGCCCCAGCAGCGCAGCGCGCCCGATGAGATGCCGCAGGTGTGGTACCCGCCTGCCGCGATGCCCGTGACCGCCGAGTCAGCCCCAGAGACGGCCCACTGGATCACCACGCGGTTGCCGGGGAGGGGGCTGAGGGGCAACATACCCGGACCCTCCAGCGCCCGGACCAGGACGTCGTACAGGGCGGCCAGGAACGTGGCCTCGAAGTCCCTTACGAGCAGGTTCAGCCGCGGGATGTTGTCGGTGACGTCGCCGCGCGAAGGAGGGCCAGGGGCGTTGGTCGTCTGGCCGTACGCGTCGTCGCCCCAGCAGGAGACGCCCCCGTTGGTCCCGATGCCGCACGTCGCGGCACCGACGGAAACAGCGACCCACTTCTCGCCGCTGTCGAGGGCGTCGGACGGCACGTCCGTCTCGCCGAAGTTGTTCTGGCCGAAGCAGCGCATGTCACCTTTGTTGTCAATGCCGCACGTGGAGTCGCCCGTCGCATCGACCGCGGCCCACTTCCTGCCCGCAGGGAGCACTGGGACGTTGCAACGCTGGTCGTTGTTGCGCTGCGACCACCCCGCGGGGTACCCAGCACACCCGATCGCGTTGCAGACATATCCGACGCCGTCGATGAAGCCCAAGTCCTGCGCCTTCGCCAGCGACCCCCGCGGCCCGCCCTCCTCGTCATCGGCCAGCCAGTCGTAGGTCGAGCGGTACCCGGAGTGCAGGTCCGTCGGGTCCGGGTCGCGGCACCAGCACGTCAGACCGCCGACGTCGTCGATCGCGCAGACGTGATCAGCGCCCGCGGACACGTCGACCCACTCGGTCGCGTCCTGAGGGAGGGCGGGAACAAACATGTTCGGCTCCGTCATCTCTTGGTCCCAGCAGGCCAGAGAGCCCGCGGGGGGGTCCAGGGTGCCACCGGAGTCTGCGCCGCGAATCGCGCACACGAAGTTCGTGCCCGTGCTGATCTTGTCCCAGTGTCCAATGTACTTGGCAGGCGCGCTGCCGACGAAGGGTAGCGGGGACTCAGGTCTATTGACTCCATACAGGGCCGGCACCCCGACTCCCGGGTCTCCGAAGCAGTCGATGATGCCGGGCGTGGAGCTCGTGTCGTACAGGTAGCAGCTCAGGCGTCGCCCCGCAGACACCGCAGTGTACGTCCTCCCCGTGGCCGCGGGCTTCTGGACTGTGAGCCAGTACGAACCGAACACGTACAGATCGCCGAGACTGTCGACAGCAAGCGTGTGCTCGTAGGTCCGCCCGTAGGTTCGTTGCAGGAACGTGGACGTGTCCCGCAGGCCACGCATCTCGAACCCGGTCGACACCGACACGTCCTTCCACACTCTGCCGGGTGGCAGGGGCGGAGGAGTGATTGCGTCGCCTCCTCTGCCCCAGCAAGTCAGTTGCCCGTCCGTGTCGAGGGCGCAGTGGTGGTCGGCGCCGCTGACAATCTTGGCATACTTGAGCTCGGGCGCAGGCGTGAACACTTCGATAGTGGGCGGGCTGCTGAGTCCCAGCGCCGCTCCAGAGGGAGCGCAGAGGATGACTGTGGGGTCGTCCCTGCTGATGCCGCAAGACGCCCTGCCTGCGTAGAGCTTTGCCACATTGCCGGTCGGTTCCTGGATCTGCTCCTGCCAGGAGCCCCTGTTGCCCCAGCAGTCTGACGCGCCAGTGCTGTCCGTCGCGCAGGTGGTGTCTCCGAGCGCGTCGATCGAGACCCACGTGCGTCCCGCGGGAACGGCAGGTACGGTGCATCTTTTGTCGCCCGTTCGCCTCGACCAGCCTTGCGTGTAGCCTTCCTTGTTGCTAGCGAGCGCGTACGGCGAACGACTGAGACTGCCCGGAACGGCAGGCGATGCTGTGGGAACTGGCGTCGGAACTGGGGTCTCGGTGGCGGGCGGGGGTGCGACGGATTCAGTGAAGTCGTACAACACGTCCCGGGACGCGGCGGGCGGGTTCGGGTCAGAACACCAGCAGTCAATGCTGCCTCCACCGGTCCTGATCGCGCAGACGTGGTCAGCGCCCGCTGCGACCGACGACCAGCCTCCCGACGGCTTCGCTGGGACGTACATGCCCGGGCTCGTCTGGCCCGCGTCCCAGCAGTAGATGCCGCCGTTCGAGTGGAGTGCGCACATGAAGTCGGAGCCGGACGAGATGGCGACGTAGTTCTGGTGAGCCCACCGGACGGGACTCGGGCCTGCCGTCCCTGCTGGGCTCCAGCACTCGAGGACACCGCTCTCCCTGACAGCGCCGCCGTCATCGAACTGGTCGAACAGCGCACATCCGTGCCTACGCCCACTGGACACGGCGCGGTAGTTCCGGTGCGGGAAGCCGAGCAAGCTCCTCCAGGGCTTCCCCTGGAAGAAGATGACATTGAAACTTTCTGAGGCGTAGGCGCTGAGGAGGTTCTGCCGTGCGTCGTTGAACGAAGGCGCTCCCCACGTGAACATGCTGCCCCGCCCCGTGGTCGGATTCCTCGCGATGCCGATGGTGTGGTGGTACGGGCCGCCCGCGTACTCGTCGAGCCGGTTCATGTTGTCGATTGCCGTGGACACGCTGAGCTGCTCCCATACCAGGTTCGTATCCACGCTCGCGATGTTGGCCGGGACGTCCTGCTCGGCCGAGGAGTCGCCGAAGCACTTCAGGCGGGACACAGAGTCGATCGCGCAGCCGTGGAAGGCACCGAGATCGAGAGCGGTCCAGTAAGCCGCCAGCTGCAACGGATTCGAAGGCAACGACCAGCACTTGATGTCGCCGTTGCTGACGAGGCCGCACATGGCGTTGTCGGTCATCAGAATGTCGACGTACTTGACGCCGCCGGGAAGCTGCGTGGCAGGCACGCCGCTCGCCGTGCCCCAGCACGCAATGCGCCCTGCCGCGCTCAAAGCGCACGTGGACTGCTCGTTGGTCGCCACGGTCACGAACGGCCCCTGATAGTCGCCGGAAGCCACGCTCCCATGCGACAGAGGGACAGAAGTCTGCCCGTTGTCGTTCGATCCTGCGCAGGTGATGGTCGCACGACCCGCCCGGACGCCACAGATGTGCGCGGACGAGGGACCAGCGCTGAGAGCAACGAAGCTGCTGCCGGTGATGCCCAGGTAGCTGACCAGGCCCCCCGATGCCGACGCGCACTGCACGCCGGACGAGGTCGTCATGCCGCACGAGAAGCCGTCGCCCGAGACGAGCAGCGGAGTGCTGGACAGGCGTCCGAGGGAGTTCAGCGACGCGAAGGTGTGTGTCGCCAGCGTGCGAGTAGCACCTCCCGAGTGGACCTTGAGGCTGCCAGCGACGTCAATCCATGCCGTGTGCGTCTTGCCCGCCGCAACTGCGTACGCATCCGTCCTACCGGCTGGAGACGTGGTACCCACGTCCTTGCCGAAGCAAACGAATTTCCCAGCGCTGTCCAGGGCGCACGAGTGGTCAGAACCAGCGCTGATCTGCACCCACGTTGCCGTCGATGTTGACAGGGCTGGCACGTCGCCCTGTCCTTCCTTGTTTTCTCCCCAGCATCTCGGCACGCCGAGACTCTGCAGCGCGCACGCGTGCGCCCGCCCGCCGCTGACCTGGTTCCACACCGAACGCGCCAGAGGCGGCCGCAGCTGCTCCGGCTCCGTCTCGAACAACTCATCGAGGGGAACGTTGCTCCTGTCCTTCACGGGCACCGACGTCTGCCCTGCCTCGCCGTTGCCCCAGCAGAGAATGCTTCCCTCGTCCGTGAGACCGCAGCTGTGCAAGTCGCCGGCGGCAACGTCGGCCCACGCGACGCCGGTGTCCAGCGGCGGCACGTCGAGCTGCCCGGCAGCGTTGTCACCGAAGCAGGCGATTGTCCCCTCGGAATCCAGCGCGCAGGTGTGGAGCAGGCCCGTGTCGACCTTGGTCCAGCCGCCCACAGCGTTCGTTCCCGGCACTGTTGCCTGCCCAACGTCGTTGACTCCGAAGCACACTAGGACGCCGCCAGACGCAGTGCTCTCGATGGCGCAGAAGTGCTTTCCTCCGGCACTGAGATCAGTCCACGTGCGGAAGCGGTTTCCGATGTTCAAGAGGTCGTCCACAACGCGGGAGTCGCCGAAACAGATCAGCGTGCTCTGAGTAAACCCGGGCGGCGCATACGTGCCGCAGGTCGCGACGTCGCCAGCTGCAACTCTGTACCAGCGGTCAGCCGCGACGGGCAAGCCCGGAACGGCAGTACGACCGTCGACGTCCCGCCCGAAGCAGGTGAGCCCGCCGGCGGAGTCGATGATGCAAGCGTGCTCGTGGCCGGCCGAAATCGGGGACGGCGATCCGCTCCAGCCCGCGACAGTTCCCGCCAACGATGCGGGAAGGGCAGCAGCCGGGCCCTCGCCGAAGCACTGCACGCCTGACGCGTGGTTGCCGCAGGCAAAGTCCGCGCCGATCGCAATCTGACTCCAAGGCAAGTTGGGCGCGCCCGGAGGGTACGCCCCGTAGCACTCGGCCCCAGTGCTGGTGAGCGCACAAGTTGCCGCGCCACCGGCAGCCATCGCAACCCACGGCGACGGCGGGGTGGACGCAAATCCTGCAACGCCGGTCCCGAAGACTTCGATCGCGCCAGTCGACGTGATCGCTGCCGTGAACGTGTTGCCAGGGGCGGCGGCCACCCAGGTCGTCCCGCGCGCAACTGCGGGCACCGTCGCCTGTCCGTCGGCATTGTTGCCGAAGCACGCCATGCCGCCCTGAGTGTCGACGCCGCATGCGTGCTCCGGGCCGACCTCGACGGACGCCCAGGCGGCGCCGTCGGGCAGGTTGGGCACCTCAGCAAACTTCAGACCAACCCCTGTGTCGCCCTCGGCGTCGTCTCCGCCCCAGCACCGGACAGCCCCGGCAGAGTCAACGCCGCAGGTAACGCGCCCGTAAGCTGAGATGGACACCCACAGACGGTCGGACGGGATCTTGGGATAGGTCCGGTCCAGCACGAAGCCCCAGCAGTACAGCGAGCCTTCGATGTCGATACCGCAGGTCGTGCGCGCGCCGGCCGCGACAGCCGACCAGAAGACGTTCTTCGGAACAGCGGTGCGCCCGTCCGCAACGTTTCCGAAGCACGACATGGCCGCAGAGTTGTCGATGGCGCACGTGTGCTCCGCGCCGGCGCTGACAGCCACCCATTTGAAGCCGTTCGCCTGGCTCGGCGGCGTGAGGCGTCCTGAACCAGAGTTGCCGAAGCATGAGAGCGTTCCAGCAGAGCTGAGCGCACACACGTGGTCCGTGCCCGCTTCGACCGAAATCCACTGCTGGCCGGCGCCGAGGGCCGGAATAGCAGATGCGACCGTGGAGCCGGAAGAGAACTGTCCCTCGCAGCGAATGCTGCCGCCGTTAGAAGTGATTCCACACCAGAACCCGTCACCGGCTGTCAACGTGCGGTATCCAAGGCGGATGTTGCCCGACACGCTCGGACTCTCAGGCCATGTAAGGTCAGGGCGGACGCTCGGGGCCTGCAGCGCCCCGGAACGCCCGTCGCCAAAGCAGACAACGCGGCCGTTCGTCGCAGCCGCGCAGACGTGGCGGGGGCCAGTGGCGACGTTCGCCCATACGATGCCCACCGGCAGAGTCGGGACCTGCGTGATCCCCGCGACGTTCGCGCCCCAGCACCGCAGGACGCCGGCGGTGTCGACACCGCAGACAGAGTCAGCGCCCACGGAAATCGAAGCCCAGGCGTCTCCTCGGGGCAGCACCGGCACGTCGAGCCCTCCGAGCGCCGCGTCGCCCCAGCAGCGTGCACCGCCGCTCGAGTCCACGCCGCAGGTCAGGTTCGTGCCCGCAGAGATGGAGACGAAGCGCTTCCCGCCCGACAGCTTCGGCACGTCGGTTTGCCCCTCAACGTTCCAGCCCCAGCAGACCGCCTTGTTCGTAGACGTCAGCCCGCAGGAGTGCTTGTGCCCGGCCGTGATCGCCGTCCACGTCGCGCTGTCAGGCGACAGCTCCGGAGGCTCGAGCTCGCCGTCCTGGCCAGACCCCCAGCACGTTGCCTGTCCCTCGCTGGTGATGCCGCAGGCATGGAAATCGCCGACGGCGAAATCGACCCAGGACTCGTCAAAGCCCAGCCTTGGCACCGTCGTCTGGCCGTACTGCCCGTTGCCCCAGCAGCGCAGACGCCCATCGCTCGGCAGCGCGCACATGACGGGGCCCTTGCCAGCCGCAGCCTGGCCCCAGGACCCGCCGGCGGGCAGGTACGTGTCCGACTCGAGCAAGCCATCCTGGTTCGAGCCCCAGCAGCGCATGGTGCCCTTCGAGTCCACGCCACAAGTGTGCAGAGGCCCGGAGGTGAGCACGATTGGGATGCCTGCAACGGATGGCGACACAAAATACTCAGGTCAATGCGGCCGATCAAGGCATGACGAGGGCGCGGCGTCGTGCGCATCAGCGGCGGGGATCATGGCGTACCATCGGCAGCGGGGGCCGGAGAGAACTTGAAGTCGACGAGGTTGGGCGGCTGGTTGAGCGCGGTGCTACCCGCGAAGCGCCCGACCTCGCCGAAGCAGCGGAGCACGCCCGTGGTCGTCAGGCCGCACGTGTGTCCGTCGCCGGCCGAGACCAGCGACCAGGTGAAGCCCGCTGGAATCTCCGTGGCGCCCAGCGCGGCGTCACCGGTGCAGTGCATCGTGCCGACAGAATCAACGGCGCAAACGTGCTGCCCGCCGACGGCAACGTTCGCCCAGGTCACCCCCGAAGGCAGCGTCGGCACCGTCCTTTGTCCACTGTCGTTCGCGCCCCAGCACACCATCGTTCCGTCGATCCTGATGGCGCAGAACGTCGCACCGCCACCGGCAATAGAAAGGAAGTTCGCCCCCGTAGGCGGCGTGGTCTGCCGACCCGTGGAACTGCCCCAGCAACGGATCGCCTTGGCCGTTGTAATCGCGCACGACGCCGAGTCGCTCGCGGCAACAGAAGACGAGAACTTTACGCCGGCGGGAGGAGACAGCTTCCCGTTCGAGCTGTCGCCGAAGCAGCGAGCGGTCCCGGAAGAGTCGATGGCGCATGTGTGCTTCTTGCCAGCGGCCACACCTGTCCATACGCCGACCGACAGGGATGGAACATCGATCTTCCCATCATCCGAGTTGCCGAAGCAGTACATGTCGCCCGTGATCGTGATGGCGCAGGTGTGATCGTCCCCGAGGCCGGCGGCAGTCCACTGGAAGCTGCCAGGCTGGATGGTCTGCCCGGAGAGGCCGTCTCCCCAGCACTTGAGCGCCTCGTCGTCGTCGATGGCGCACGCGTGCCGGCCGCCGGAGTACAGCTTCACCACTGCCTGGCTCGACGCGACGTTCGTTCCGGTGCTGCCAGCGTTCGCGCCCACGGAGTGGTCCGTGACAACGAGCAGGCCGGTGTCGGCGAAAGAAATGCGGTTCCCGAACACGGTCGGATCGCGCACGGGCGCAACGCCGGGCCGCAGCACGCGGCTGAACTCCCAGAGCGAGCCCACCAGCTGGTACATGAGCACAACGACCGTCCCGCTGCTGTGCCGGGCGCGCACCGCCAGGGACTCGCCATCGATCGCCAGCGGGACCGCGCCGTCGATGACGGCGTAGTCCTGCGGTAGCGCAAGTACCTGCTCCGCCCACTCGTCGCCGGTCGGGCTGCCCCAGTACGCCCGGAGGGTCAGGTCCGTGAGCATCACCGCAACCGTGCGCCCGTGCGACGCAACGTGGAGGACGGAGGTGCCGTCGATCCTCGCAGTGTGCTCCCAGCCCTCGACGGGGTCGTACGCGAGGATCCCGACGCCGTCCTTGTCCTCGACGAACAGGCGCGACTCGTCAACCTCGGCAGACGCGCCGTACAGGCAGCCAGAGCACAGGTTGTCCGGAGCCGGCGTCAGGCGCTCGGAGATCGGGAGGTAGCGCAGCGCCTTGGGCAGGCCGAGGGCGTCAAACGAGTAGATGTAGACGGCACCGCTGTTCAGGGGGGCGCCAGGCGGCCTCGGTGGGTTGCTCAGAGACGGCGAAGCGCCGGCCACGAGCCACGAGCCGTCCATGGCCAGGTCCCTCCCGAGGTTGGTGTGCGGCCCGGGGAGGCTGGCAGAGCGCAGCGTGGTGAACACGCTCCAAGACGCAGCGGTGCGCTTGAGGAGGTACACATTGCGCTTTGTCTCGTCGCTGGTCTGCGGGCTGAGCGCGACAGCGCTCCCCGCCGCGGCACAGGCAACGTCAGCGGACGGCCCGAGCGACGAGAAGACGCCGGGGACCGCGAACGTCGAGGCAGCCCAGTCGTCGTCCTTGTCAAAGGCGACGGCCGTCAGTTGCCAGTTGGGCACATTGAGCGACCCCTCCTTCGACCAGGAGGCGAGCACGAGCGCGTTCGTCGACGCCGCAACGCACCGCTGCACCGAGGGCGAGATGCACGCTTCGGTGGCGCCGCCGCGGCTCTGGAGGAGCGCCTGCGCCTGAGTGCGCGCGGCAACAGGGTCGCGCGCCGGCTGCTGGCCAGCCCGCCTGATGTACGCCCGCCAGTCGGGGAGCCCGCGCAGGGTGCTGCCGACGATGCTGCCCTCCCGCGTGCCGTCGCGAGCCCAGTCGGACACGACCGCTGCGGACCCAGCGAACGGCGGAGTGACAGGTAGGAGGAAAATGCCCTCGTACGGCGCAACCGAGATGTCGTTGTCGACGCGCCACTGCGCAGCGGCCGCGTCACGGAGCTGCTGCTCCGCGGGGTTGCGTGCGAAGTACGCAGCGATGTCGAACTCGCCGCAGTACTCGGCCTCAACGGGCGCGACCACGTCGTCATCGGGGTCGCGGACGCTCCAGCCGCCAGACGTGCCCTGACGCACGAGCATGGTCACGACCCCGTCGTCGCCGACGAGGCCGATCGCCTGCTCGCCCGGCATGATGGCCACGTCGACCGTCACCCCGTACGAGACGGGGTCGACGAACAGTGCCAGGCCCCAGCCGGCCGCCTCCCTGCGGTAAACGTACGCAGCTCCCCGCGCGTCCGTCACGACCATGGTCCGGCCGTACACGAAGACCTCCTGGCCGAAGTTGACGGCCCCGGCGGGCCCCGTGACCTGGCCAGCGGAGACAAAGATCTTGGCCAAATCGTCTAGCTCGTACATGTCGACAGCTCCAGTGAGGCCGCGGACGGGGACGCCCACGGCGATGCAGCGGCCGTCGCTGGCGACCACGTCGGTCGTGCTGACCCAGGCGTTCCCGGTGAAAGCCTGCCAGTACTCCCACCGCAGTCCATACAGCAACCTGTACACGATGACGACGACGACGTTGTCGCCCGTCAGCCCGGACGCGACCATCCACGACCCGCGCACCGCCACCGTGCGGCCCATGCGGCAGCCCGGGCAAGCGATGGGCTCGACGCCGCCACCACCGTTGGCATACTCGCTGCGACCGTCAGAGACAGGCGACTTCGTGAAGGCGCCGGCGGCGTCGGTCGCGACGTCCGAGGCCTGCGCAAGGTAGATCTGCGGCGGCCCGCCGGTCGAGACGCCGAGCGTTGCGCCGTCGAAGGCGATTGAGTTCCGCGTGCCAAAGACGGGGGACAGTGCCCCCGTTGCGGGGCCGGTCGACAGAGGCGTGACCGTTCGGGCCCAGCGCCATTGGCCGTCCGGAGAGCGGGTGTAGCCTTGCACCGTGCCCCGCTGATCCGGCAGCACCGACGGCGCCCAGTTCGTCGTGGAAACGAGCAGGAGGCTGCCCTGCACCTTGCACGACCCGAACGATCCCGGCGGGATGCTGCTGGGGGTGCCCAGAGCGCGGTTGCGCTGGGTCGCGCTGACGACCGTGCCCTGGGGCAGCTTGCCCCAGCCTCCTTCGGCCTCGAAGATCATCACGTTGTTCGGAGTGAGAACGGCCAGGACGCCGTTGTCGCCCATGCACAAGCCCGTGACCAGCTCGCCGGGGAGCATGAACACGGTTGCGACAGGTCCGGACACCTGGATCCAGTTGGAGCCCACCGAGCTGTACACCAGCACGCCAGCAGGAGTGCCGACAGCAACAGCAGTGCCGTCAACGCTCAGTCCTGCGTACACCGCGCTGAAGTCGGGCGAGAACGGCAGGCCCGGGAGCACATTGAGCGCCAGGAACGAGGTCGGCAGCTGGACGTGCAGGATCGCGCCGGCAGGCGTCCCAGGAGTCGTAGCAGTCGTGACCATCACGCCGTTGGATGACTTGATCATGGCTCCGATCTGCGACAGCTCCGCACCGGGGCGGGGCGTGAAGCCACGCACCACCCACTTCACGTTCGAGTCCCCTTCGAGCTCGAACGCCAGGATGCATCCCGGGTCAGCGCAGTTGCCCGTCGACGGCGTCACTCCGAAGGAAGCGACGCCTGACCGGCAAGTCGCGGAGTGCACCGCGCTCACGCCCGGCGACACAGTCAGGTCCACCTCGAGGCGGCCAGCAGCGAACCAGCCGCCGTCGGCGCCGAGTGCCAGAGCCTGACCCACGAGCGAAAAGTTGTTTGCCGTGCACGGCGTGCGGCAGGCCACCACGGCGACATCCTCGCACACCGCCGACACGGTCTCCGTGCACGAGCATCCGACCGGCAGGGAGGCGAGGTCGGGCAGCTGCACCGATGTCACCTGCAGCAGGTTGCTGCCAAGCCCCAGGGCCGTCAAGCGGTTCGACGTCACCAGGCCCGAGTTGGGGGCCCGGGCGATGCCCTCCGCGGCCGGAGCTCCGACGACCAGCGACAGGTCGTCCATCACGACGGTCGCGCCGAAGTCGCCCGTGCTGGGGCCGTCAGCGAGCGTTGGCGAGGTCACTGTGGCCTTCTCGGCCCACAGGTTCGCCAGGCCGATCTGGAACACGGAGGCCTTGCCCAGGGCGGGCACGCCGACGGCCATGAGGCCGTTGTGCACCGACGGGGCACTCATTGGCTGCGTCGTCACGCCGGCAGGAATCAGCTCAATGCCGGTGAGGTCGTTGCTGCCAAACACCCCCGACGGGAGGAGGTACACGTACGCCGCCGACTTTCCGATGCCGACCGCGGACAACGCGGCCATGGACCCCGAGGAGTCGACGCTTGGCGCCCCGCCCGACACAGACATGCCGCTGGGGAGCACGAGGCGGAGCTCGTCGCCTCCGTACGTGCGGCGCGCAAACGCTGCGCTCGCACACGAGGCCACCGCGGTGGAGCCGTCCTTCGAGATACCGGGCCCGCCGTGCCCGATCTGCGTGTAGCTGCACGGGTTGAAAACAAAGACCGGTGACGGAGCGCCAGGCGACGTGACGTCGTAGACGGTGGTAGGAGAGGACGCCTCAGTCACCACGAGGTACGTGGTGCCTTGGTCCGTCACGCCGATTGCAACGCCGGGCGCGCCGGGCGGGAGGCTGAGCGCGTTCTTCTCCTCGTACACCTGCTGGCCAGTTGGACCCTCCAGTCGGAAGACCATGACGACGCTGCCGAGCTCCTGTCGCAGCCCGACGGCGACGACCCCGGCCGCGACCGAGACCGAGGTCACGTCGTCCGCGAGGGTGCGCACGAACGCGTCAAGCGTCTGCTGGAAGCGCCAGACGCCAGCGACTGACTGGTACACCGAGGCGCCGCCGTTGGAGAGCCCCGGCGGCCCAGCCAGCACCAGCGTGCCTGCGTCGACCGACATCAGGCGGCCGAGCCGGCAGTGCGGGCAGGGCAGCGTGTGTGCGACGGGCTTTCCGGATCCGGGGGACGCGGCCGGCGGGAAGTCGTACAGCGTGTGCGACGCGCGCGTGAGCGCAGCCGTCGGCTGTTCGGCGGTGATCGGCGCGTTGGGGTCCCAGCTCTGCAGGCGCGTGCGCAGGTTGGCGAAGCAGGCCTGAATGGTGCTGTCAATAAAGCACACACCCGCGCTCTGCTCGAGGCACCTCGCGGCACTGGCCGTGGGGCCCTCCTGGTCGACCGCAACCGTGTACACGTCGCCGGTGCCGTCGTCCAGGCACGTCCAGAGCCAGTCCGCGTCGAACAGCAGCGTGCGCGCAGCGTTGCACGACAGCGTCGCGCTCGTTCCGCACGCGTTCTCGATGGGCGTCGCCACGCCGAGCTCGTGCGCGTCGATCACGGTGGCGATGCACGCCTGCACCGTCGGCACCACCGTGCACGTGGCGCCGCCGTCCTCAGACAGACAGTCCACATCCTGGACGCCGCGCGTCCGCACGGGGGTCTCGACGCCGTCGAAGCAGCGCCAGCCGTGGACGGACGCCGGGTACTGCTCGCGCGCGCCCGCGCACCACGACGTGCGGTTGCCGAACTCCTCGAGGGTGCAAGCACGCGCGTCCACCGTCGCGCTCTCCCCCGCAGCCTGAGCTGCACGCAGACACGCGCGCATGTTCGGCTCGACGGCGCAACCCTCGGGCCCGGCCGCGTCGGCAGTGCACTCGAGGCGCACTGCGCGGTCGTCCTCGATGTCGTCGTCGTAGAACGTGAGGCGCGTGGGCGCGAGCGAGTCCGGGCCGTGGTCCATGCACGTCCACTCGTACAGGCGCTCGTAGAGCACGGGGCTCGTGCGCTGGCACGTCGGGTTGTACTTGTCGTCGTACGCGGCACCGGCGCACTTGACGGCGCGCATGAGCTTCAAGTCGAGGAATGCAGACTGTACCTCGACCGTGTTCAGCACGTCCGTGCAGACCTGGCCGGGCTGCGGGCCGAGGCAGACGTCGCCATCGACAGACAGGCACCAGACGTCGCCAGACGGTCCGACGCGGACCGGGTACGGCACGTCCAGGATGCACTGCCACTCACTGATGCCCGTGAGCTCGAGCTGCCCATAGACCACGATCCGCCCGGCGGCCTGGTCCGGGTCGCCGACGACGACAGTGTTGTTGTCCGCGGACACCGCCGCGCCGAAGGACGTGGAAACAGGTGCGTTGGTGTTCGGGGAGGAGACGGTGTTCATCTCAGCCCAAGAACCGTCGACCCTGCGCCGGAACGATGCGATGCGGCCGAGAGCGCCGGCGGCAGGCAGCATGCCGACGACGAGCGAGTCGCCGCTGAGGGCTGCGCTGTACACTGCGCCGTCGCTGCCGAAGGTGCCGTCGTCGGTGTACGTCACGTCCTCGCAGGTCCTGCGCGAGCGCATCGGCAGCTTCGCCCATCCACCGGCCGGCGTCGGGCACACACGGGCCACGACGCCGGTCGACGCGTCGAACGCTGACGTCGTCACCGCGATGCCGGACTGGTCCACCGACACGTCCTTGCCAAACTCCTCTCCTGCCTCCCCGGGACCGTTGATCTCGACGCGCGCGTTCTGCACGCCCGTCCAGCCCGTCACCAGGCTCGTGAACACGTACACCTTGCCCGTGCTCTCCGGGGCGTCGTCCCGAGCGTCCTTCTTCACCAGCGGCGCACCGACGGCAAGAACCTTGCCGTCCTCCGACAGGGCAACGCTGCCGCCGAACGACCACGACCTGTCAGCCAGCGGCGCGTTCGGGAAGCCCGACCCCGCGAGCAGCACCGCCACGTTCGACCACACGTACGTTCCGGCAGCCCGCGCGTACACATCGACGCGACCGTACCCGCGGTCGAAGTCCGGGTCGCCCACCGCGGCGACGCCGTTGCGGATCGCGACGCTGGAGCCGAACGCGCCGGTACTGGCCGACACGGACCCCGTCCTGCGCGTCTCGAACACCTTGGTGAATGTGAAGCCTCCCATGTCGCGGTAGATCGCGACGCGGCCGGATCCCGGCGCGTGCGGGACCCATCCGACGATGATGTTCTCGCCGTCGGTGTCGACGGCCATCCTGTCGTAGCTGTCGAAGCTCGACTGCTCGAAGTGAGGCTCAATGTCGTAGACGCGCAGCCACGTGCCGTCGGGCTGCAGGCCATACACCCGAGCGTAGCCAGAGGCCTGCCCCGCGGGGCCGGCGACGACCATGAGCTTGCCGCGGACCGCGACGGAGCGGCCGACGCGTGCGCTGCCCTCGACGAGGATCTGCGTGGTAGTGGGCCTGTCGCCAGGCACCAGGTCCAGGACCTCGCGCGTGACGGGGTCGACGGACTCCGCAATGGGCTGACGCACCAGCTGCTGAGCGGCCTTGACGCACCACAGCTGCGAGAGCGACCGGATGGGGTCCAGGCCGTCGCACACCGGGCTGGAGTAGGGCTCCAGGGGATACACGTCGAAGTCCTGGTCGATGATCGCCTCGTAACACGCGTCGCGGTCGCCCGTGACCAGGCACTCCGACACGCCGCCGGCGGGGTTCGCCGGGCTCGTGGCGCACCGGATGCGCCTGCCGTCGGGCTCCAGCCGGACAGGAGTCTCAACTGTGGGCAGGCATTCCCAGCCCCACAGGCGCTGCACGAGCTCGTGGCGGGCGCGGCCGCACCAGCTGCCGGGCACGTTGACGTCGTCCGCGGTGCACGCGATCCCCGTGACGGCCGGGTTCTCGCCCTGCTGGTTCACGTAAGTGAAGCACTCCGAGATGTCGCCGGGGAACGCACACGTCTGCCCGTCGAGGGACATGCACTCGACACGGTTCGGAGATCCGAACTCTCCGCGGACGACGCGCACGGGCGGCATCGCCGTCGAGTCGTGCACGCAGGTGAAGCCGTCGTAGTTGGCCGCGAACAGAGGCACGCGCGTCTCCAGGCACGAGCCCGGCGTCGGGCAGTACGTGGTGACCGCGCGCAGCTGCGCCTGCGTCGCGCCCAGGAGGAAGGCGTGGCAGTCCTCCACCGACGTGGTCTGCATGCACGAGTTCGACGACCCCGCCTTGGGGCAAATCATGCTCCCGTCCGCCGCGATCGCGAGCGGCGGGCTGTCGTCGTTGATGCACGTCAGCCCGTACGTGTTGGTCGACAGCCCCGAGACGAGGTGGTGCTGCGCCCTGAAGCACTCCGATCCGGCCGGGTACGCGCCCAGGTTGCACATGATATTAATAATGTCCCAGTCCAAGGTCTCCTCGCCGGACGCGGACCCGCCGCCCGACGTCGGCCGGGGCCTGAAGTTGTCGACGATGGCGTCGTTGCACTCGTCGAGCGTCGCGAACCGCGCGCAGGCCACGGCGTCGTTCTGGTTTTCGCCCGCCAGGCAGTTGATAGTGCCGCCGGTTGCGTCGAGCGAAATCGGCACGTTCTGGCCGGGCGCGCACGTCCAGCCGTACACCTGCTGGAAGATACTGGCCTTGGTGCTGCACGGGTGCGTGGGGTCGCGCTCCTGCTCGTCCGAACAGGCCACGACGAAGTTCCCCGAGAACTCGTGGGCGTTGAGCGTGTTGACGAAGGCGGCGGCCTGCGCCGCGGCGTTGCCGTTCGTCGCAGGGTCGAACTCCGCGCAGGGAGCGGTGAGCGGGGACCCCGTCATGCTCCGCGCGCACGCGAGTCGTCCGTTGGCAAGGAGCTGCACCACCGCGTGCGTCCGCAGACTGTCAAAGTCCTTGCGGTACGTGACCTCGATCCACGGCGTCGCCTGAGAGAGCAGGTTGGTCATCGCGGACACTACCCTGCCGCCGGGCCCGCCGGGGGCGCCGAACAGCGCCATGCCGGGCGCAAGCAGCCCAGGATAGTCGAAATGGGGCAGGGTGGGCGCGAGGCCGGTAAACGCAACGGAGGCGCCGAGCGACGCGCCAGGGACCTTGCCGTCGAGCTGGACCATCTCCGTCCACACCCCGTCGGGCTGCCTGTGCAGCAGCACCGCCGCCCCTGAGTCAGCACCTGGGAGGTCTTCCTTGGGGACCCCCGCCAGGATCCAGCTGCCCTTGACGGCGCACGACGCGATCGGCTCCGAGAAGTCGTTCCCGGCGATCTCGACGCGGGTCGCGGTGTTCGGGCCGTCCGTCGTGACGGTGCTGAGCGAGATGGCGTGCATGGCGGGCTTGCGGTCCTCGCCGCCAGACACCGACGTGAAGACCGCGGTCAGGCCGTCGCTGCACGCAACCGAACCGAACCTCGCGCCCGCGTCCGACCTGCTGTTCTCGTGGCGCACCGTCGCCGACGTGATCTTGCGGCTCTCAAACCACGACCCGCCGCTGGGCCTGTGGTACACGCGTGCAACACCGGCATCCTCCTCGCCAGGCGCACCGGCGAGCAGGACGGACCCGTCGCCCACGAGCGACACCGAGGAGCCCAGGCCGGAGCCGGTGCCGCCGCCGATGGTCGTGGAGAGCAGCCAGTCGCCCGTCGCGGGCAGAAGTTCGAACACGTGGACAGCGTCGGCGCCCGGGTCGCCGACAGCGATAGTGTCCCCGCTGATCGCGACCTGCGAGCCGAAGCTGCTGCTGGCACTGGCCGGCCTGCGCAGGTACCCAGTCGGCTTCCACTCGACGTTGCCACCGGCCACGGGCTGGGGCTCGAAGACGTAGATGGGGCCCACGTGTCCGGACGGGGACTTGCCGTACAGGCCGCTCACGGACAGGACGAGACGCCCGTCGTCCATGGCGACCTTGGCGTCATCGAAGTTGTCGTCGACAGTCAGGATGTCTGGAGTGACGATCTGGTGCAGCGAGTACGACTGCGGCGACGTCTCCTTGTAGATGGCGACAAAGCTGTTCGCCAGACCCGGGGGGCCGACCACGGCAACCCAGTCGCGGTGCGCGGCGATCGACCGTCCGAAGCGGCAGTTCGGGCACGGCTGGAACGGAGCCATCACGCCGAGCTGCGTCGGCGCAACAAGCTGGGCATCGATCGTCGCGGAGGCCGCGGAGTCGATGGTGAACCTGCGCAGCTCGAGCAGCGCGGCCATGCAGCGGGAGTCCCCGAGGCCGCCCTCGCTGGGGGGCCCGCAGTTGAGGCCGGGGTGGTCCGCTGCGCGAACCACCGACGCCACCTCCGCGTGACAAGCGCTCACGGAGGACGTCGTGCGGCAGGTGAGGCCGTCGACGCTGAGGCACTCGATCTCTCCCGAGGCGCCAGCGCGAACGGGAGTGTTGATGCCGTGGAAGCAGCGCCAGCCGCTGAAGAGGCGGCGAGTGAGCTCGTGGCGCCCCAGCGAGCAGAAGCTGCCGCGCTCGTCCAAGTCGACGTCGTCGCAGACCTCGCCGCCGGAGGACAGCGACGCGCTGCCGGTCCGAACGGTCACCATGCACTGCTCCTGCGTCTCGGCGACCGCGCACCCAGCGTTGTCCCACGTCATGCACTCCACAGAGCCGGGAGTCGCCCCGGGGCGGAGCGGCGGGGAGTTGGCGTTCTCCGTGCAGGCCCAGCCGTACTCGAAGAGCGAGAGTGTCAGCAGCGCCGACTTGCAGAACTCGTTCTGGCACGACAGCAGCGTGGAGCCCGTGCCGCCTGCCATGGCGGCAGCGGCACAGTCCTGCACGGTGCTGTACGTCGCGCACGCCCCGCCAGACGCCGCACACTCGACACCCGTGGGGTCCGAGTCCATCAGCCTGACCAGGCGCACGACCGGCGCGATCTCGTCGCTGACGCACTGCCACGACGTGGCAGAGGTCAGCGCCGCGGCGTACAGCTGCCCGCACGCGGACTGGTCCGAGAAGCTGCCGCTGCACGTGACCACTCCAGAGGCGCTGGACGAAGCCGCGACGGCCGAGAGGCACTGGTCGACGGTCGGCGTTTGCAGGCACGTGGCACCGTTGGTGCTGAGGCACTCAAGGTCGCCCGACGCGGTGATGCTGAAGGGGAACGTGGCCCACGACCTGCACTCCCAGCCATACGTGTCAGCGTACAGGCGCACGGCCGCCTCCGTGCACCACTCCGGACCCGCACCAGCACAGGGTGCGCGCACCGCAACCACGGGGGTGTTCGGGAGCGCTGCGAGGGCAGCCTGGCAGGTGCTGGCGAACGGCAGGGACGCGCAGCTCTGGCCATTGTCGTATGACAGACACTCGATCGTGCCGTCAACAGCCAGGCGGAGGGCCGTCGGGACGCCCTCGACGCACGTCCACTGAGTCAGGGAGATCAGCACGTCGATCGAACGCAGGTAGGCCGCGCCGGCGTCGATGCCCCCGAAGCCGTTGAAACCAGGCAACGCGTCGACGCCAGGCGCGCCCGCGGCGATCTTGACGCCGTCCGTCGAGACAGACGAGCCGAGCGCATCGCCAGCGGCGGCTCCGTCGATCACTGACTCGGCCTCCCAGGTGCCGGCAGGGCCGCGGTAGACCAAGTGAGCCGACCCAGCGCCGCTGTTGTCCGTGGGCGTGCCGACGACGATCGTCGAGCCTGCGACCGAGCACGACGCGACCGGCAAGGCGGCCGATGCAACGCTGACGCCGGTGCCCGTGAGCAGCACGGGCTGCGTCGGGCGGTTGGCGCCCCAGAGGTCGGCACCGTCAAACACCCGGATGGTTGTGCCAGGGCTGGACGCGGTCGACCCGACGACGACAGTGTCGGCATCTGCGCACACCGCGACGCCCGTCTCCGTCCCGGAGTCCGAGCCGTGCGTCGGCTGCCGGAGCTCGACGAGGGGCACACCATCGCTCTCGCCCCACGCCCCTGACGCCGGCCGCAGGTACACGTACGCAGCGCCGACATCGGCGCCGCTGGCGCCGGGCTCACCCGGAGCGCCGACGACGACCGCCTCCTCGCTGCCGCCGACCGCCACCGACGCGCCGAAGAGCGAGCTCTCCGGCCCCGTGAGGGTCACCAGCCGCGCGACCTCGACCAGGGGCTGGCCGTCGTCCAGGCGGTACAGGTGCACGGCGTCGGCGCCTGCGTCACCGACCGCGAGCGTGTTGCCGCGGACAGAGACGGACGAGCCGAACGTGGCGGCCTGCATTGTGGCGTCGGGCACCACCATGCCGATGTAGGCCCACTGCGCCGTGCTGCCGTCGTTCGTAGACCTGGACGACCAGACGTGCGCGGCACCGCGGCCTGCCTGTTCGGGGAAGCCCGCCACGATGAATTCTTCGGTGATGTCGAGGACGACCTTGGTGAAGTCATCGCCAGAGCCGACCTCGGTCGCGCGCAAGTACTGCTTCAGCACGTACTCGCTGAAGCTTCCGCCGTCAACGGCCTCGTACACCGCCAGGTACGCACTGGTGCGTCCGGCCGGGCCAGCGACGACAGTGACGTCGTTGAGCAGGGCGACGGCGCGTCCAACGCGGCAGCTCGGGCAGCCAGCGGGGCGACCGATGACCGCTTCGTCCGCAATGCTCGTCTCGGGCATTGGCAGGCGGTCCTCGAGCCAGAACCAGTCCGGAATCGCGAGCTGCGCGATGGCGACGTCGCACCACGATGCCGGGGCCGAAACAGCAGCACCGCACTGCACGACTGCGCGACTGCCCTGCGGCGGCGCCCTGGCGGCCGCAGCGCACGAGGCCACGGTCGGGGTCTGCAGGCACACGCCCGAGGAGTCCGCGAGGCACTCGATGCTGCCAAGCGAGCTCTGAGCGCTGTCCTTGCGCACAGGGGTCGGGATGCCTTCCTCGCATGACCACCCAGTCTCCATCGTCAGCACGCGAGACTGCGTCGACGTGCAGTAATGGTCGTAGCCCTTCCTCGTAGCGGGAGGCGGGCACAGCTGCGTCGTCGAGTCCTCGGACGTGCCGAGACTGAAGCACTCAGCGTAGGACGTCGCAGTGCGGCAAGCGCCGCTTCCGCTGTCGCTATAGCACGAGACACCAGCGGCACCGACCTTGACGGGCACGAACACGCCCCCGACGGGCGGCCAAGTGAAGCCAGCGGCGATACTAGGGTTGCCGACGTCAGCAGCGTTGCCGAACAGCGCAAGCGTGTACCACGCCGTGGTGTCCTCGGAGCAGTAGGTACCCGTGGCACGTAGGATCAGGGCCTCCTGGGCGCGCGCGGTCGCGCTCGGCTCGAGCTGCAGGCGGCGCGCAGAGAGGCGGCGGCCAGCAGACGACCCAGGCAGCGCGATGCTGCTGTCGCGGCCCCCCTCGCGGTCCGAAACGAGCGCCTCGCACGCCGTAAGGGTCGGCGTGTTCGCGCAAGTCGCGCCGTCGACAGAGAGGCACTGGATCGACCCGTCCTCGAGCACACGCACCGGGGTGGGAACTCCCTCGATGCACTGCCACGGCACCAGCGCAGTGACGTCCAAGTCGTCCATGGTGCGCACCAGCACTGCGCCCGCGTCGACCTCGGGGACCTCCGCGGAGTTGTCCGGCCCGTCGCGTCCGGGAGAGCCCACGAAGACCGTGTCGCCCGACACAGCGACGGCGCTGCCAGTCTTGTCGCCGGGAGCACCCTCAAACGTCGCAACGGTGTTCCACTGCCCGTTCGAGTCCTTGCGCAGGAGGTGCGCCTCGCCCGCGCCGCTGTCGGCACCGGGAATACCGACGACGAGGAAGCCACCGTCGACGGCGCAGCCCGTGATGACGTCGCCGGTGGTGGTCCCCGGGATGGGGAGGACGCTACCGTCGATCGTCGTCTTCTTGTCCGAGATGTTCGGGCCCCACAAGTCGTTGGTGCGGAACCTCAGCAGGGAGGCTGTTGCGCCCGTGGTCGGCGACACTGAGGCGACGAAGAGCTCGTTGCCGTCAGAGCAGATCACCGTGCCCATATAGGACTCCGAGGACGTGCTGGACAGCGGCGGGCGCAGCTCGACCAGGGGCTTCGTGCGCGCGTCCTTCCACTCGTCCTCGTCATCGCTGTCGCTGTCGTACCCGTCGCGGTGGTAGACGTACGCTGCGCCCACGTTGTTCCCGCCCTTGTCGCCGACGCCGGGGGCGCCCGCAACGATCGCGTCGCCGCCCGGGGCAATGTACAGCGACGCACCGAGCTGCCACGCCTTCCCGCGCGTCTTGTCGCTGGCTTTCGAGCTCGAGCTCTTGCCAGCGTCCCCCCGCTTGTGGTCAGTGAAGTACTCGCGGAACGTCCACGAGCCGCGCTGGCCCTCGAACACGAAGACCCGGCCCGAGGGCACGTATTTGCCCTTCTCGACCTTGCCGGACTGCGGGTCGCCAACGGCCAGGACCCCGCTCTCCACGGCCACGGCGGTACCGAACACCTTGGCCTCGTCCTGCGCGTCACCCTTGTCCGGGGTCACGATCATCGTGCCGTACACGTACTGGCCCTGGGCGTGGTCCAACCACAACACGTGGACTGCACCCGAGGACCCCTGACTGGGGAGACCCACGACGAGGTGGTCGGAATCCATTGCCAGGCTGAGATCGTCCGTCTCGTCGTCCCTGGATAGGCCGGGGACAGACACGTGGCTCCGCAGGACCCAGGATTTACCCTGCTGCTCATAGACCGAGAGGACCAGCGCGCCGTCGACGTGAGGGCCCGTAATGACTGCATAGTTGCCAATCGCGCGTGCGCGACCGACACGGCAGTCGGGGCAGCCCGGGGCGGGCGCGATCAGGCTCGTAAACAGCGACAGGTCAAGCATGACCGGGGGCCGCTGCGCCTTGTACATCTCCGAGCACCAGCTGTCGCGCGAGTACGCGCCGACGGTGCACGAGAAGATCGGCGCCTGCTGCGTGGCCGGGTCCGAGATGAGCGCCCGACACGCAGCCTCGTCCGCGGACCGCACGCACGCGCCGTTGCCGTCAGCCACACACTCCAGGACGCTGTTCCGGAACCGGATGGCGTAGTTGTCCATGTAGCCGCCCGGCTGCGTGCCGCTGGTGCAAGTCCAGGTGAACTCCTCGCGGTACAGCTCCGTCACGACCGCCTCGCACTCTGGCAGCGTAGTGCAGCGGAGAGCGTCAAACTCGGCCATCCTGCGCCGGGCACCGCCGCCAGCGGGCGGCACGGCGCTCGCCCGCACGTGCGCGTAGCAGGCGTCGGACGAAGTGCTGACAAAGCACCTGCCGGCGGTGTTGCCCTCCAGGCACTCCACCTCAAGCTGCGGCGACCCATTGACGACGGCGTTGACCAGGCGCACCGGCACGAACTGCGGCCCGGCCGCCTCGCAAGACCACCCGTATATCAGCGAAGACAGGCGGCTCCTCGCTGAGTCGTACCACGCCGTGTACGCGTCGTCCTCGCCGGACGGCGTCGTGGCCGGGATCAGCATCATCGTGCCCTGCGGATCAGCGACGACCGCACGGCACTCATCGACGGTGCTCCCGTCCCAGCAATCGCCGTCGCTGACGTCCGTGCTGAGGCACATGAGCGTCGTGCTGCTCGCGTCCTGGTCGCCCGGGAACGACACAGCTGCGACGCGCGGGCCCTCCGTGCACGCGATGCCGGTCCGGAGCGCGAGCAGGGAGTCGAGAGCGTTGTTGTCCGCCGGCGTCCCCTGGCTGGGGAACCTCAGCGGGAACTCAGCGTCAATCTGCGACGAAGACTTCTTCCGGCAGTTCGAGCTCAGAGTGTACGAGCAGCCCCCTCCGTCGCTGCTGGCGCACTCGAAGCTCAGGCCGTCGGGCAGCAGACGGATCATGCGGACGGCACGGTCCACGGGCGTGCACGAGCCCCCGTTGGCCTGCGCCTGCGCTGAAGTGAGGAGTTCCGAGGCGCCCGGGCACGAGAAGAACGCCATGTCGTCGTCGTAGCACACCCAAGCGCCGGACGAGAGCGCGGCCTGCTGCTGCGCCCGCGGGCACCACTTCTTGTCGCCCGACTCGGGGCAGTCGTTGCCAACCACGTATTCAGGGTTCAGGGAGGACGGGCTGGTGCTGGACGACTCGCGCACCGCCTGTACCATGAGCGCGTGGCAAGCCTCCGTCGAGCTCGCGTACGTGCACGACGAGGGCGAGGAGGCCGGCGCGATGCACTCGACCGTTGCCGTCGCGGGGTTGGGCCCAAGCCGGATGGGTCCGGCGCCGAGCGGCGGGCACGACCAGCCGAACAGCTCGGCCTCGAGCGCGTCGCGGACAGTCGAGCACCACTGCCGGCCCGCAGACGACTCCGACGGGCACGAAATGACCACGCCGTCACCACCGGCAGCCAGAGCGGCGCACGCGTCCGGAGACGACCCGACGGCGCAGTCGATCCCGTCCGTGGACAGGCACTCGAAGCTGCCGCCGGATCCAACGCGGATCGGCGCCAGCAGGAAGCCGCTCTCCAGGCAGCCCCAGCCGGTGATAGATCGCGGGAGGCGGAAGCGAGCCTCGGTGCACGCGGCCGCCGAAGCGGGGTCGTCGTCGCAGGTCAGGTCCTGCGTCAGCAACACGGCCGGCAACGCGAGCGCCGCAACGCAGTCCGCCTCGCTCTGGAACGTCAGGCACTCCACCGGTGCGGACGCGGACGCCAGGCACACCATCTCGTCGTCGGTGATGCGGAGCGCCCTCGAACTGCCGTCGCTGGCCGTCACGCAGACGGACAGCGCGCCGGTGGCGTGTGCGACCGCCTCAGGCGTCGCTGGGCAGGAGGAGCCGCACGCGAGAGGAGCACCGCCCGCGCCCGCGAGCGCAAAGCAACCGTCGAGGTCCTCGGCAACGGCGCAGGCGCCGCTGCCGTCGTCGATGCACTCCACGGCCTGCGACGCGAGGAACTCCGCGGGCCGCAGCGGAGCGAAGCCAATCGTCGGGTTGCAGGTCCAGCCGGTCGCAGTCTCGTACAGCGCCTGGCGGGCGTCCTCGCAGCCGCTCTGGCCGGTGCACGACGTGAAGATCGGCTCGTCTCCAGAGCGGGCGGCCGTCCTGGAGGCGCGGAGACAGTTGCTGATCGTCTGGTAGCGCCTGCAGCTGCCCGCGTTGTCGTCGATCACGCACTCCACGCCGCCCTCGCTGGCGGTCCGGACCGCGAGGATGTCGTCCCCTTGGCCGATGCAGGTCAGTCCGAAGAGGTCCAGGAACGTCTTTGACCGGAGACGGTCGCAGGCGTCGCCAACGCACGTGATTGCCCTCATCGACATGGCATCCTGGCCAAGCAAGGCGCTCCTGCACGACGAAACGTCCGCGTACATGCGGCACGAGCCAGACCCCGTGTCGACGCACTCGAGGTCGGCGTCCGGCCCGACGCGCACAGGCATCGGGATGTCGGGGCTGCAGTACCACGCCGACAATGAAACCATCTCCGTCTGCCAGGACCCGGTGTCCTGTACGCGCACGCTCGGGAAGACGGTCGACTTGTCGACGGCCTCCGACCGGATCCGCGCGAAGCAGTCGCGGGCGCCCGACGTCTCGACGCAGGCACCGCCCTCAGCAAGGCACTCCAGGGACCCGTCAGGGGCCGCGCGGAGGGGGGCCGAGGAGCTCGCCGTGCACGTCCAGCCGTACGTGGCGGCGTAGACCAGCGAGAGTGGGCTGGCGGCGCCGCCCAGCAGGAAGCTTTGCTCCAAAGGCAGCCATCCCGGGATGGCGTCGGTGCCGTCCAGGTGCAGCACGGCCGTCGTGCTCGAGGCCGCGTCGATGAGGTGCGGCGTCGTCGCGACGAAGGCGTAGCACGCGTCCGCGTCGGGGAACGAGGCGCAGGCGCCTTGGGCCGGACTGGAGTCGAGGCAGTCGAGGCCGCCCGACTTGCCGACACGCACGGCGCGCCACTCGTCGTCAACGCCAGGCGCGCACATGAAGCCGCCGTACAGGCGCACCGAGCCCTCCGCGCGCGCAGCTGCGCAGCCGACATAGTCGCACGGCGTCATCGAGTTTGTCGGCAGCGCGAGGCAAGCGTCGACGCTCGCCGCCGTAGCACAGCCGGCGCCGCCCGAGCTCTGGCACGTCGCGACGCCCGCGGTGAGCTGCAGGCTCGCGAAGTACGTGTGGCTCGAGCAGTACGCCTGTCCGAGGTACGCGCGCTCGAGCACCGGCACGGGGCACGTGGAGAGCTGCAGGCTCGCCGCACTGCAGGTGGGGTAGCCAGCGTTCGCCAGGTCCCCGATGGAGCCCGTCGCGAACGTCGTGTGCGTGTCGCGGACGTACTCGAAGCACTCGTCCGCGGTGTCGAACATCATGCAGCCCCCCGCCGACGGCAGGCACGCCTCCGGAACGAGAGCGTCGCCAACCACGCTGTAGCGGATCGGCGCGGGGATGCGGTCCGAGCACGACCAGCCGCCGTACTCCTGCACGAACAGGCGCTGGCGCGCCTGCCAGTACTCGCCCCCGGGGACGTCCCGCTGACTCAGGTCGACGATGCCGTGCGAGTAGCGGAACCGACTTGAGGTGGACTGCGACCCAGTGTACGACTGGCACTTGGACCGGAGCTCGAGCCCCGTGTAGCAGTTCTCGCCGTCGAGGGACATGCAGACGACCTGTCCGGCGGCGTCGATGCGCACGGCGGCGCGCACGAAGGGCTGGAAGCAGGACCAGTCGTCGCCGTCGACAACGTCCACAGGGCGGATGGTGGCCTTCTGGGCGGCCAGGTCGCCGACGATGGCCGTCAGACCGTCCGTCGCGACCGCAGCGGGGCTGCCCGCGGTGATGGGCAGCCGGAAGGTCTCCGTGAAGCTCAGCGTGCCGTGCAGCGTGATGGCGGTGGACGGCGTGCCCACCACGACGGTGGCGCCGGACACGTCGCAGCTCACGACAGCCTGGTCGGCCGACGACGTGCCCAGGGTGACCGTGGTGCCCGTCAGCGGGCCGGAGCCCGATCCGAGGGCGTTCACGTCGAACACCTGCAGGGAAGCCCCCGACATGCCAGCAGGCGACTTCTTGCCGCCGACGACGATCGTGTCCTCGCCCGCGCACACCGTCTGGCCGAAGAAGGTCTCGATCGCCGTGCCGAAGCCCGGCGCGCGCAGCTCCGCCGGCTCGCCGAAGGTCCCGCTAGGGTAGGTCTTCGAGTACACAAACACAGCCCCCGCGTCCCTCCCGCCGCTGCTCCCGGCGCCCGGGGCACCGGCGATGATGAGCGACCCCCCGGATCCGCCGATGGCCACCGACGCGCCGAGGCGAATCGGCGGGGTCGCCGCGCCAGGCACAGTCTCTGGCGCGAGAGTGGCGGTGTGCCTGAACTGCCCGCCAGTCGTCGCACCGCCGCTGAACACGAAGATCAGACCGGTGCCGCCGTTGGCCTGCGGGTCGCCGACGACGAGGGCGTCGCCCAGGACGCTCACGGCCATACCGAACGCCACGGCGGGCTCGCTGGTGGGTGCTTCGAGTTTGTACCCCACGCCGAATTCGTCGCGCTCGGTGTCGAAGGGCCGCACGTACACGGTGCCGGACACGCCCTGGCCGGCCATACCGACCACGAGGTGCACGTCATCCATGTCGATCGCGACATCAGAGAAGTCGTCTCCGGGCGCAATGGCCGTCGGGTGCAGGAGCTGCACGAGGTCGTACCTCGGCTGGCCCTCGAGCCCGCTCGGTCCCTCGCAGGTCACGCCGGGCCCGGGCTCGCAGCTGAACGACCTCTTGTAGACAGCGACGCGGCCGTTGGCAAGCCCCGTGGGGCCTGACACGGCAGCGAAGCGTCCGCTGATGCCAACGGCGCGCGCCGTGGCGCACTCCGGGCACTTCGCGCCATCGGTGGGCAGGATGCCGACCTCGGTCTTGCCGCTGAACGTCGAGGAGTCCTCGTCCGCGAAGGGCACCATCCCCAGAGGTGTGATGTCGCTGTTGCGCGCACAGAGGGTGCCGGGGGCGTGCGGGCCCGGCCCGCACTTGGCGACCATCTCCGCGTTGTACGACTCGAGCGTCGGCATCAGGCGGAAGATGTTCTCGTAGCAGCCGTTCGCGCTGGACGTGTACAGGCACTCGCCGCGCCGCGCCAAGCACCCGAGCCCGCCAGCGGGGTAGTCGCCGAGCGCCGCGGTGAGCCCGTCGAGAGGACAGATCCAGCTCGTGGCCTCGCGGTACAGCAGGTGGCGCGCGGCGGAGCACCAGCCCCCGGCGAAGAACTCAGACTCCGTGCACGTGCGCGTGCCGGTGTTGGACGCGCCCATCAAAGAGACGGCCTCCACGACGCACCCGAGCGCCGAGTCCGACGCGACGCACGCCGAGTCGCCGTCCTTGGTCAGGCAGCGCGTGGCGCCGTCCGCGGCGATGCTCACGGGCGAGAACTCCCCGTGCTGGACCTCGAAACAAGACTGCCCCGTGAGGTCCTTCGCGACCTCAAGCGCCACGGTCGAGCAGAGCTCCTGGCTCAGCCCGTCGGTGCGCGAGCACTCGGTCGGGAAGTTGTCCGGGTTGGACCCGGAGTCGGCGGAGCACGTCTGCCACGACAGGTAGCGCTTGCAGGTGCGCTTGCGGGGGCGGGGGTTGCCGGCACGCGTCGCCACGCACTGCCCGACGCCGAAGGCATCGAGGCGGAACGCGATGAACTGCCCCTCGCCATCGGCTGCGCACTGCCAGCCGGTGGGCGAGGTGATGTCAGCGGCGTTGAGGATGTCGGGAATCCATGGCTCGAGCGACCCGAGGAAGACCGACTGAGGGTGGCCATCGCTGGCCGGCAGGACAGACACGGACGTGCCCGCGGCGCCGGTCACGGCAGCCGCGAGGCTCCACGAGCCATCCGGCTTCTGCAGCAGCACGGAGACGACGCCCTGGCCGGCGACCGAGACGCCGACCGCGGCGAGAGAGCCGCTGACGGAGCACGACGGCGTTCCGAGGGCGCCCGCCGTCGCCTCGTCGAGCGCGACCGGCGTCCCCTCGAGGACGGTGCCGGGAGACGCAGATAGCGCGGTGCGGGTGTCGAAGACGTGCACCGTCACCGCGGCCCCGCCCGCCGCGCTCGTGGCCTTGCCGGCGACGATGACGGTCGTGTCGTCCGCGCACAGGCTCGCGCCGGTGTTGGTCCGCTCCGCCGTGTCGTACCCAGGCGCCCTCAGCTCTGCGACCGCGCTTCCGCTGTGCGTGCTCCAGCTGCCCGCCGGGCTGGCGAACGCGTACACGGCGCCGGCGGAGTCTCCCGCCGAGCTGTCCACCCCGGGTGCGCCCGCGATGATGCCGGAGCTCGTGATCGCCACGGAGGCGCCGAGGCGCCACTCGCCATTGCCCCGAACCGAGGAGGCGAATCCCGCGGGCTGCTGGAGCCTCTTGGCGAGCGACCACTCCTCGCCGACGAGCTCGAACACGTACACCGCTCCAGCGAGCGCCATGCCGGTGGGATCGCCGACAGCAACCACAGTGCCGCGTACGGCAACAGCGGCGCCGAAGTTCCCCACCGTGTCCGCGTTGGCGGCGCCGACCTTCCTGGGAATGTGCCGGACAGGGTAGTCGCAGCAGTCCGCAGCCGACGCGACATACGCGGCGTTCTGGCCGGGCACACCAACAACCACGAGGTCGCCATCGACGTCGATGCTCATCTCAGAGAAGTCGACGTCCACGTCCACGCCAGTGGGCACGATGTCGAAGAGCACCTCGTAGCCCTTGTCGTCAGTGACGTCGGGGCGCTTGAACACCCTGACGTAGCCGTTCGAGAATCCAGTCGGACCAGCAACTGCAAGGTACTGCTCGCTCGATGCCGCGACGCGGCCGGCCTTGCACCCCGGGCACGACACGACCGGCCTGACGGAGTCGGGCTCACCGCTGGTGTCAGCGGCGTCGTCGACCTCGATCGGCACGTACATGACCTGCGGGAGAATGCTGTCGCAGGGCACCTGCGTGCAGTTGGCGGGAGCCATGGGCGCGAGGGAGCCCGCGCCAGCGGCCGTCAGACACTCGTCCGCGGTGGCGAAGCCCTCGCAGCTGCCGCCGCCCGCGCAGTCGATGCCGCCTGTGGCGCCGACGCGCGCCGGAATGTACGAAGCGGTGGCGGTGGCGTCGACAGCGCACGTGGTACGCGTGGTGACCTGGACCATGCGCGCGCGCGCCGCAACGCAGTCGCTGGACGTGCACTCTGCGGCGGGGCTGTCCTGAGAGAGCCCCGAGAGCAGCGACGGGCAGTCCCCGCGGAGACAATTGTTGTTGTCGTCAGTGGCGCAGAGGACCGTAGAGCCGTCGAGGGCGAGGGGCGTGGTCACGCCCGGCAGGCACGTGAAGCCATGCTCGATCTTGTACAGCGCGACCTGCGACCGCATGCAGGCGAGGCCGTTCGGACCGCTGCTCCCACACGGCAGGCGCGGGGCGTTGGCGCCGGCGGCAGCGACGGTCGCGTAGCAGTCCGCGGTGGTCTCGCTGACGACGCACGAACCCGTCGCCGGGTCCTCCATGCACTCGACCTCGCCCTCCGCGTTGAGGCGGGTGGGGAGCTGCCTTCCGTCCTCGGGGCAGGTCCAGCCACCGAGCACGCTCGCCAGAACCGCGCGGTGGTCGCCGCCGCACGCGGCCTGGTCCGTCCCGTCACACGCGAGGTAGAGACGGTCGGCGGGCGTCGTGGTGTCGATCGTCGTGAAGCAATCCGCGCTGACGTCGCACGTGCGCCCGTCCCGCGACACGCACTGCACGGTGCCGTCGCTGAGGATGCGCATCGGCGCCGAGTCGACCGACACGCAGGTTAGATCATATAGCTGCTGGTAGAACGCCTTGCGCGCCAAGAACTCCTTCGGGCCCGTGAACGGCAGGCCGTAGCCCGTCCCTGGGAAGTCGTCACCCGCTGCAGCGTCGATCGCGTCCTCGCACGTGGACGCGCAGGCCCCGCCGTCGAGGCTGAGGCACTCGATGCTGCCGCCGGCAGTCAGGCGGACAGGGGGCGCGACGCCCTCGATGCAGGTCCAGCCGGTGCGAACCGCGAGGTTGACGGCTGATTGAACCACCGCGCCGCCGGCGTCGACGCCGCTGGCGACCGGGGTGCCCGCGCCGTCGGCCAAGGGGTCCCCGACAACGACGCTGATGCCGTCCGTCGCCACGGACGGCCCGCCCTGGAGCACCGCAGACGTCGAGAACGTCCGCCCGTTGCGGTCCAGCTTGCTCGCGGTCGCCGGCGAGCCGTCGAGGCCGAGAACGAGCGTGCCGTCAGCGTACGCGCAGGTCAGCACGCGGCCGCCCGCGCGGATGCTGGTGACCGGGGCGGGACGCGGCGAGGCGGGAGCGCTGGCGCCGCGCAGGTCCTGCGTGTCGTAGACGAACACGTCGCTCCCGGCGGCCACGAACGCAAAGGCGACGTCACCGCAGACGGCCGCGCCCGCCGCACCGGTAGCAGCGGGCGGCACCGCGCGCAGCTCCGCGACCGCGGTTCCGTCGTCCGTCGCCTCCCAGCCGCCGGCCGGGCGCTCAAACACGTACGCAGCGCCCGCGCCGTCGCCGACGGTCAGCGCCGCCACGTCCGGGGCGCCCACCAGGAACGCATCGTCCGTGAGGATCGCGACGGACGCGCCGAACCGCCACTGGTCGTCCCCCGAGGTCGAACCCGTGAATCCAGCAGGCGGGTGCACTGTGCGCACCAGCGTCCACTCCGAGCCCGCCGAGAGCACGTACACGGTCACGGCGCCGGCGCCGTCGTACGCGCCCGGGTCGCCAACGATGAGCAGCGTCCCGCGGACGTCGAGCGACGCACCGAACTCCCCGGACGCCCCAGAAGGCTTCGAGACAGGGGCAGGAGACGAAGCCCCGCTGATCGCAGCGGAGAGCACCGTCGCGCCCGGGACCGCGGCGACCAGGTAGCCCCCGCTCATGGCGATGACGTCCACGCCCTTCGACGGCGCCCCGTGCTCTGTGTCGCCGAACCCGGCGAAGGACAGCACGCGCTCAAAGACCCACCGCAGGCCGACGCGGCGGTACAGCGTGACGAAGGTGTTCGCGGCGCCGCCGGGGCCAGAGACGGCGAGGAAGGGGTCGTCGACGGCAACGGCGCGGCCGAACTGCGCGCCGAGCGCGCCGGGCGGCGGCGTGAGGACGCCATCGGCGTCAAAGTCGCCCGACGCGAGCGCCGGGGGGAAGTCGAGCAGCGCGTCGCCGCAGACGCTGCCGGGCAGCGCCTGGTACGGGCAGCGCGCGAGGTCGCACGCCGTCGCGGACGGCTCCGCAGCGCAGGAGATGACCAGCGCCGCGCACGCATCCCGGTCCGCAGGCGCCGCGCAGCCGCCGGTGCCGTCCGAGAAGCACTCGACCGCGGTGCTGCCGAGCGCGCGGCGAAGCAGGCGGCCGTCGTCGTAGCAGCGCCACCCGCCAAAGAGCCCCGGGGCACTCTCGAGAATCGAGGCACACGGGAACGACCCCGGGCCGCACGCGCGCGCGCTGGGGAGCAGCGACGCGACCTTCGTCTCGCCGAGCGCCACCACCGCGGCCACGCACGCGTCCTCCGTCGGGAACGACGCGCACGCGTCGTCGCCCACCATGCACGCGGGCGTCCCTGGAATCTCCGTCAGCGAAAAGGGCGTCAACCCCTCCCCGCCCGGCGCCGACCCGCAGGCCCAGCCCGTCTCGCGGTGGAGGATCGCCTGGCGCGCGCGCGCGCAGCGCGCGTCGCTCTCGGGGCACGCGGCCACGTTGAGCGGGGTTGGGCGCCCCGCAGCGTGCGCGTACACCAAGTCCAGGCAGCTGTTGCCCTCCGCGTCGCCGCCGGCGAGGCAGCGCCCGGCGTCGTCGGCCAGACACTGCACGGAGTTGTCCGCGGCGAGCCGCGCGGGGGGCACGCCCGTGTCTTGCTCGCAGCTCCAGCCGTACGTGGTCGCGTAGAGCGCCCCTCGGGCAGCCGCGCACCAAGCCGGTGTGGGCGCACCGGCCGGGCAGGGCTCCGCGAGGGCCGCGCCGACGTTCGCGGCGATGACGGCGAAGCAGTCGTCCCTGGAGACGCCCGCGAGGCACTCTCCCGCCGCGGACGCCATGCATTCGACGGTCCCGCCGCGCCCGAGGCGGACGGGGGGCTGCGGGCCCGCGACAGGGCAGGTCCAGCCCGTGAGGGCGAGCGTGACGTCGCGCCGGATCGCGCGGCAGGTCGCGGCGGTGAGGGGCGTGTCCTTCTGCCCGCAGACGAGCACGTTGGCCGGCGGATAGGCCTGCTGGACGGAGGCGCCGCACTGGTTGCCCGAGGCATAGACGTCGCACGACTCTCCGTCGCTCGAGACGCACGCGACGCCCCCGCCGGGCAGGAGCCCGCCGACGAGGGTTCCCTGGGGGGTGTCCACGCAGGTCCACCCGACCAGGGTCCCGGAAGCGACCTGGGCGACCGCGAGGGCCACCAGGACACCAACTACCGCCGCAAGGAGGGAGGGTCTAGGTGCCGCACACGGCACCCCGCGCCCCCTCGCGGGCGGAGATGGGACAGTCATCGAGCCTCAGTTCGAGTGCATCACTGCAAGCACGTGGGGGGGGCGGGTCGCGAGCATGTAGTTGAGGGCAGGTGCAAACGCGGCGGAAACGGGATGGAGCCGGCGTGCGGCGATGCCAAACGGCCGGGAAGGGCGTCGATCAGCGATGGGGAACGATGGATGCATCGGACGGCCGGGGCAGCCGACCGGCGGCGTCCTATCTTGCATGCAGTGAAGGGGGCGTCCTCGCGGGCGCGCACGACGTTTCGACGGGATAGGAGGGGGCAGATCGGGCTAGAGAACTCGCAAAGATCGTGTTGAGCAAGTCCGCGGACCCGCGGAAGCGCGATCGGGGCGGCCACGACGGTGCGTGCCCCTCGCGAGGGTCACGCACCTTTCGTAATCGCTCTCAGGGGCCGCAAACTATCCGAAGTGGGCGTGCAGCGGCTTCTGCCACGCCCATGCGTCGATTTGTCCGCAGCGGTCGGCGCGCGGGGCCCTTGCAGCCGCGGTTCGGCCCACCTCATGTGGGACCTCCTACGTCTGGCCTCAGGCTGCCTGGCTCGTACGGCTCGGGAGTCGATGTTGGCCGCACGCGCGCGACCGCCCGCCAGAGGCGTTATGCCGCACAGGATAGACGCGTACTACTGATATCCATCGCGTCGCATCGTCGCCCACACGGGCAGTTCGGCGGCTTCCCGGGATTCACGCGCATCATTCCGACGGGGAGCGTCCGCCGCCAGCGACGCCGCGCCAAGCACGTGATCCAGATACAGTCCATACTAGCGGCCGGATCCAGCCATGAGCCGCGGTTCAGCCCACCAGGTGCGCTCAAACGGAGCCCCGTGCCCCTGTAAAAGGCACCTCGTCTCGACGGGCCTCCGTGCGGACCCCTGGGCGTGGTCCGCGCGGATCAAATGCGTGTGGATCGCGCAGACAACCTCTTTGGCCGGGCGCCTAGGCGCGACTCGTCGTCCGCCGCCCACCCGACGGCCTTCCCTTCGCCCTCCCGCCTCGATGACCTCGGAGCCGCGCTGGCGCGCGCACTGCCCCGCCTTCCCTCCCCCCCTCCACACGATTCACGTGTGTCGCGCACGTGCAGGAGTGGTCGAGCAGGGGCACGCGGGCGCCGCCAGGACTGGCCCCCCCCCAGCATCAACCGCACAGCGCGGTGAGCCCGGTGGAGGCCCTGATGCGGCCCACCTCCGGATCGCGCTCGGTCGGCGGCGATCCAGTGCTCCAGTCAACGCCCGAGATGGCGCCTGCCCGCGAGCACACGACCCAGCAGGGCCCTTTCGCCTCAACAGCAGCTGGTAGCATCAACGGCCAGCCCCAGGGCGCCTGGGGCCCGGCGGAGGCCGCGCTGCGCCCACTCGTGCGTGCTTCCACCTTGGGGACCCCTGCGCGCGAGGGCGAGCGCGGGCAAGCGTCCGTGAGCACGCGAGCACCGTCGGCTGCTGCGTCTGACGTGCCCGTCGTGTCGCGCCACCGGGCCTTCTCCCCGCGGCCGGTCTCCGCGAAGGTGTCGCCGCAGGTCGCGGTGCCGGAGGGGCGCACGTCCCTCGGGGACGGCACGACGCAGGTGCACTCTCCGACGTTGACGGTGCAGCGGAAGAAGTGGGCGAGCGAGGCCACGTCGCTGTCCCGGCACGGGAGCGGCCCCCCGAGCGGCAGCGTGCGCGGGCTGGTCAAGTGCGACGGCTCGATCAGCGAGGACGAGTTCCACGGTCTGTTGCGGTCGACGGAGATTGGCCTGCGGGGGGGCGTCGACATCAAACGCCTGCCGTTCCGCGCGCAGGAGGTCGCGCGCACGCTCGACGTGGACCACAGCGGCTTCTTGGACGGCGAGGAGGTCGGCGAGGCCGTCCTCGCGCTCGTGCGGCTCCGCAAGGAGCGCAGGACGCTTCGGCGGGCCGTGGTGGCCCTGGCCCTCTTCGCAGTCTTCCTGCTCCTGGGCGTGTCGGGCCTCGTGTGGACCGTGCAGCGCATGACGCGGGACATGTCGGTCGCCGGCGGCGCCCTCGTCGACTCCGACACCGGCCTGCCCGTGTTGACCTCGAGCGCGGAGTTCCTCAGTCGCCCCGACGGGCGGCTGGTGAACCGCGAGACCGGGCAGCCCGTGCAGGTGTCGGCCTCGTCGTACAGCGGCCCGCTGTCGAGCGCGCTCCCGGACCGCGCCCTCGGCGAGCTCATCAGCCTCGTGGCTACGTCGCCCTCGGGCGCCAACGTCAACCTCAAGGTGCAGGGCGTGGCGCGGTTCCCGGACGCGCGCACTGCGACGGGGTCGTACGTCGAGATCATGACCGCGGCGGGCGCCGTCCGCCTCGACGGGTCCGACATGACGTTCCAGAGCGACGCCGTGGCCAGCGTGTTTGAGCGCGCGGGCTTCACGCTGTACCGGTCGCGCAGGAGGCTCGCGTCGCACCACGACGCGCCGACGGGGATGTACAACACGCTCGACAGTTCGCTGTACACGCTGACGCGGAGCGGCGCGCAGGCGGGCCTGAACCCGGGCAACGGGAGCGACGCGGACCAGACGTTCGGCGGCAACGTCGTCAGGGGGTCGGGCGCGGACCAGGCGCCGCCGCTCGCCCTGCCGGCGGAGTTCACCGCCGAGGCGACCGTGTACCACCCGTGCGTGGTCGGCGCCGTCGACAAGTGCGGCCCCGACACGCCCGGCGTGACGCGGTTCCGCGGCGAGCGCTGGGTGGAGACTTCGGCGTACATCGTGTCCGTCGGGGGCTCAACGTACACGCGCCGGACGTACCCGGCGTACCCGGGCCAGGTCGAGCACGAGGTCCACGACCACGAGGCGCGCGAGGCGGTGTCCTGGCAGGAGGTGGACGGCACGGGCGAGGCCCTGCACTGCGCGCGGCGCCGCGCGGTGCACCTCAGCGAGCTCTCCACGTACTTCACGGTCGACGTCACTTCGCTGCGCACGCGCAGGAAGAAGACCACCGTCGAGGCCGTCCTGCGGCCCACTGCGCTGCTGGAGACCACCGCCAACATCGGGGGCGCGTACGACGCTGTCGCGGCGGGGTTCCGCGTCGAGTACGTCCACCACGATCGGCGCGGCCACCTCGTTGAGGTCACGGACGCGCTCACGGGCACGCTCACCGTCTTCCACTCGATGGTGTTTCCAATTGCGTCGGGCGACCGGTCTGGGCTTGAGTCGCTCATGTCGGCGCCGGCGTGCGAGGCCGGCGACCCTCAGCGCGAGGCGCTGGTGCCGCGCATGGTCGACGCGTACGGCGGTGCCGAGGGCACGGAGCAGCCAGTACTGAGCGCGGCGCGGCGCTCGCTGGTGTCGCCGGCGCTGCGCGTCGCGCGAGGCCTGCAGCAGACCGGATGCTTCGACTACGACGTCGACTGGCCCGTCGGATCCGCGATGGACGTCGTCGTGTCGTCGCCCTGCACGTCGTCCAGCGTCAGCACCACAACCCTGACGCTGCGCGGCTCGTACGCCCGGTCCGGCACGTGCGAGGCCTTCGGCGCCGTCGCGATCGCGTACGACTCCATCTCCGGCGAGGCGAGCGTCCTCCCCGGCAGCATGGGTCTCACGTGCACGGCACGCGAAACGGCCAACGCCGCAGGGCACGCATGGCTCTCCGCGGCGATGAGCACGCAGGACCTCGTCGACGTCCCGCTGCACCTCGCGTCCTACGACACGCTGCCCGTCGCGGGCGGCGAAGTGCGCGTGCGCAACCAGGTGTCCCTGGAGGGCAGCAACGTGGTCGCGCTCGACTTGGAGGCGATTGGGGGGTCTGTGCGCGTGGGGGCGCGCATCGTGCCGACGGGCGCGTGCGCGCACGATGTTGCGGCGGGGCAGCACATCGGCGGGCCCGGCGGCGCGCACCACCAGCCCGTGGCGGAGTCGGCGGTGCGTTTCTTCCAGTGGGAGTGGCGCAGCGAGGCGCCGGCGAGCACCTGGGAGTTCACCGCGTCGACGGAGCACCACCAGACGTGCACGGCGCAGGACGCCCTGCCCGTGGTTGCGTGACAGCGGGGGCGACCCGCCCCTGGCGACGCGACCGAGCGAAGACTCTTGACCTGAATTGCTGGGACGCACTACTTGCAAGACTAACCAAATGAACTACTTTCGAGAATGGCACCAAGCCCGGAGAGCAGAGAATCGGCCGATGCTTGCGTTCCGCCCGGGAGCGCGCTAGTGGCGATTCAGAGAGTTGTGGCTGAGCCACGAAATACACATCATACGAGAGCGTTCGCGACCGAAACACCGGATTGTTGGGCGAGCGCACGTTCCCCACCGAGTGACTGTGACTCCACCCGCCCCCCAAATCCTCTGCCGTCACCACTCTCCGGTCAAGTCACAGCCACGCAGACAGTCTTGCTTGTAGGTCAGCGAAGTACAAAGTCTTCCTTCCGTGCCAGGTTCAGTGGGTGCAGTGGTCAGCGACGCACACGCACCCCACACCCCTCCTCTGCCCCGCAAGCGACCGCGCCGATCCCGTCATGCCCGCTTCACGCCCCCCAGCTTGGTCCCCACCACGCCCCACGTGCACCAGTAGCGGTACTTCAGCGGCACGCGGTTGCTCATGATCGCCCCGTCCACCATGTACGCGATCTCCCCGCCCGCGGGCTTGTACGCCGCCTTCGCCGCCTTCGCCTCCTCGATCCGCGCCACCCGCAGCCGCAGCGTCCGCGCCGCGTCGGGGTCCAGCGCGGCGCTCTCCTCCCCGTCGTCCTCGTCGTCCGTGGGGTCCAGCCCCAGGTCGATGTCGAGGTCGTCGTACGTGTCCAGCACCTCGTCGCGCTCCGGCGCCGGCTCAGGGTTGATCCAGTGGTAGGCGTCAAACTCCGCCGCGCCCAGCGGGGCCATGTCCACGTCCGCGTAGTCCGTCGAGTCGAGCGCGCACTCCTCGTCGGGCTCCTCGTACATGTCCTCGGAGATCTTGTCCGCGAGCAGGAGCGGCATGGCGCCCATCAAGCCGCTGCCGCGGTGCTCGGGCTTGAGGCGCGGGCGGCACTTGACGTGCCGGCGGAACGCCTGCGTCTCGCCCGTGACGAGCGAGAGCAGCGACGAGTTCGAGATCCCGACCAGGTCGAACACCGTCGGCCGCGGCATCTCGGTGCCGCCCGTGCGCACCAGGGAGAGAAGGTAGGCTTCCGTGTGCCGCAGGATCGACACCATGTCCTCGCGGGTCAGACGGCAGACCTCGCTCAGGAGCTGAATGTCCTGCGCCTGCCTCGTGCACGTCAGCGGGGCGAACTGCGCGGCGGAACGGGGGTGCAGGGGCTCGTGTCGCGGCGCGAGACGTGCGCTGCCGCCCCTACAGGGCCGGACGTGCAGCCCGAGGACGGGCCCGCGGCGCTGCGCCGAGGGTGCGGGCCCGCGGCGCTGCGTCGCGCGGCGCGGTGGGAGGGCGCGCACCTCGAAGAGCGCGCACGGCTCGTGGCACTTGGTGCAGCGCGTGTCCGCGCCGTGCGCCTGCTCGATCTTCTCCGCGTAGTTGCGCTTCGCGAGCTCGTTCGCCTGGTGCCGCTCGCGCTTCCATTGCCGGCGGCTCTCGTCCGACCCGGCGCGAATGTCGCGGACGAAGTGCGACAGGGTCGCCTCGCACAGCTCGATGTCCTCGTACGTCTTGAACGCGTTCGCGCCCTCCTCGGGCGCCATGGCGCGCAGGCGGCCGCGCAGCTCCTCGGCGAACAGGGAGACGGTGGCACGAATGGCGATCTCCGACACAAACACCGGCTCCCAGATGCACGTGAAGTAGAACGGAGCGCCCGGAACCGGCTGGGACGCCGACCGCGCGCTGTGCTGGTTCCCGACCTCGTCCCTGCGACCGTTCAAGCGCCGGGACCGCGGGCTGTGATGAAAGTGCAAGCTCCAGGTGCGCAGCGTGCGGCGGAGAGCGGCGCATTTCCGCAGCGGGGGCGCGGTTCCGGCACTCAGATCGCGAGGGTGGGGCAGCGGGCGTTCGCGGGGTCTGCGCACCCTCTCACGAAGCCCGCGCGCACGAGCACGACGCCCTTGGCGCCTGCGCTGTGCGCGTCCCGCGCGCACTCAGCGATGGGGCGCCACCACTGGTACTCGTTCTCGCACGCGTGGCGGATAGCGTAGATGAGGTCGGACGGCGGCGACTGCGGGTCCGGCGCCTGGCTGTTCGCCCAGCGCTGCGCGGCCGGGTCTTGACTGTACCGGGCAACGACAACTCGCTCGCGGGCCGGACGGACCGGGGCCCGCGGGGCGATCTGCAGGGGAGCGCGCACGAGGATGGGTGTTCGCCAGGGGGCGTAACCTCGCAGGCAGGCCGTGCGACGACACTCCGCGTCGAGCGGGGCGAGACAGGGACGCGGCGCATGTCAGCGCTTGCTTCCAGGGCCCAGGGTTGGAAGGGAAATCCGGCGTTCGATCGCTCAGGCGCCCCAGGATCTGCTAGTGCATGCGAATTTCGATGTTGCGCGGCGCGAGTGACACCGTGCGGCGGCCACGACGCGGACCCGCGTGGTGTGCCAACTGACAGGGCGCGGCGATCGCGTGCGGCGCGTATCCTGGGCCGAACGCGGAGAATCTCGTACCTGGCAGTGGGCGAGGCCCGGATGCGCGTCCACGTGCGCCGCGGTCGGCGGTGAGGGGCGCCACACGGGGGAGGCCCTCGGCGCAACCGCCGGGGCCGCCAGCTGGCCCGCTAGGGGCGGCCGACGCAGGTTCGCCGCCATTTCTGTAGTAATTCGCTCTCAGTGTGCCTGGAATACGCGAGAGGGCGCGCGGAACGCTCCAACGAGGGCCTGTGCTCGCCGTCAACGCCCCTCCCTCTCTGCTTGGGGGCGTGTTTCAAACAGGCGCAACGTGCCCTCCCGGGGCGCACTCGAGGCTGCTTCCGCGGCCCGCACGCACGAGCACGCTCCATGCACGTCGCCGCAGGCGCACAGGAACTGCTCCGAGAGGCCGCTGACCGCCCTGGGCGGACCGCCCGCCGCCGGAGCCACAACAGATCACGCTGCGACGCTCGGCGAACCCAACTCCACAGGCACCGCCGACGGGCGCAGAATGAGAGAGCAGGCGTGCCCGTCGGGTTGAGCGATGCACCCCCGGGGTCGCGACGCTATCGCATTCGGTGCGCGTGTTTACAACGCAAAGTTCTCCTAGCAGACGTAGGAGGGCCGGTGCGCGGACTGCGGCAATCAGACGGGGACATCGAGCGTCGAATGGAACGCCGCCTCGCCCTCGGCCACCTCGAACGTCGTGTAGATGGCCTCGGGGGGCTGATACGTGCACTCGCCTTGCAGGCCGTCCCCCGCGGCGCACAGCGTCGTCATCGGCGACGCGGTCGTGCGCACCCTCGCGCCCGCCGCCGCGCGGGACAGCGTCACCACCGTGAGGTCGCAGCGCGACACCTGGCACGCGACGAGCCGCCCGTTGACAGTTGCAGCACAGTGCTGCGAGTCCGTTATCTCCAGCGCCGCGGCGCTCTGTACCACCACGTCGACGTCCATGCAGCCGACGCATATCACGCTCTTCGCTCCGACTGGGAGGACGACCCGAATGCCTCGTAGCCTGGAAAGGAGCACATCGTTGCCCTCCGTCATCTCGCTGAGGGTGAAGTCGGCCTTGTTGTTCTTGTCGCCTTCGTAATGCTCCACTGTCCAGCGACCGTGAGGCGAGCAGGTGACCCTCGGTTCCGCCGGGGCAGAGCTCGGCGTGGCCTTGGCCTGTGCGCCATGCGGCAGGGCCTGCCCGTCGAGCGCCCGAACGCGTGTGAGGATCTCCTCCATCTGCCCAGCGGCGGAAGAGAACACGGAGGTCAAGGCGCGATGCATCGCGCAGGTTTTGGCGCGCTCACGGCTGCGCATGGCCCCCGAAAACCAGCCCCAGGCATGTCTGCGGGACCGCGGCCAGGCGGAGCCGCTCGGGATGGTTACCTGCGCTTGTTGCAAGTGAGATGGACCGCAACCCATCTCGAAGACTCCGTGCCGGGGCCCGGCACCCTGCTCCTCCCCAGCGCCCACGTGCTGTCTATGACCAGGGCACCTCCTGAGCCCGCGCGACGGGACACTTCCTGAGCCCGCGCGACAGAGTCCGCAAGAAAGAGTCGCGCCCTCGCCGCCGACGGCCTGCGCGTGCTGGTCGCAGAGTCAAGCCAACGTCGCGCGGAACTGCTGCTGCGTTGCAGTGGTACTGGGGGACTTGTGCTGACAGTGCGGCGCCCGGCCTCGAGCGGCCGGCGCAGAACCTGCAGGAAACTGACCCAATCACGGCGGACGGCAAATCGAGCGATGGCGCCTGGTTCTAGTGACCTTCCGTGAGGGTTTCATACAAGATGTACAAGCATGACCAGTATGTGCCGCTGTCGGCCACCCCGGAGTTTGAATTTCACACTCACTGACGCCGGCGCCCTGACGCGGGGGCGCGGGTTTCATCGGTACAGCGTCGCTATTCGTGCACGATGGTCGTTGACCGGAAATCGCACGTGGTGGGGTTGCGTCATCGCGAAATTGCGCCTCTACGTTCCGCATCGAGACAACAACCCCGCGCCGACGCATGCGCGCGCCGAGCAAGACAAGCGCAGTGGCGGGCGCCCCGGACACGCGGCGGGCGCGCACGGGCAGGCAAACAAACAAACAAACATGGTCCCCGCCGCGTGCCGACACGCCCGCGCCGCTGGGCATCCTCGGCGGCCTCAGCGCGCGGCCTGCCCGTTCACTTTGCCCCGGAACTGCTCCACGCGGCGCTGCAGCTGGCTGATGCTCCCGATCTTGGCCTCCACGATCCCCTGCAGCCGCTGCACGTACGACTCCACCGCGCTCCCGGGCTGGTCCACCTCCGCGAGCAAGTTCATCTCCTGCCGCACCATGTCCATCATGTCCTCGATGTGGCGCCGGTGCGCGGCGATCAGCTCGTCCTCGTGCTCGATCAGGCTCGACGCGATCGCTGGCGGGGCGCCGGCAGGGGCGTTGGCGTTGCTCGCCGCGGCGGCCGCGCGCGTGATGGGCCCCGACGGCTGGCGCGAGCCCGGGTTGGAGCGGCGCGTCGGCGTGCGCGGGGGGGTCGCGGCGCGCGCCATGGGCGACCGCGCGCGCGTGAGGTGCGGCGGCCCGGCGTCGCGTTGCGCGGGGGGCTCGGCGGGGGCGTCGCGCCGCGCAGGCCGCCCCCGCGCGGGTCCTGCGAGATGCGGGTCGGGAAGTTGATGGCGCCGCCGGACGCGCGCGGGGTCCGCGGGCGCGTCGGCGTGGCGTCGCGGTTGCGCCCGGTGGGCACGCGCACGTTCCCGGAGGGCGCGCGGCTCACCGCGGCCGCCGTCGGCCCGCCCGGCGTGACCAGCGACGGCGTGCGCTCCTTGGCGTCCTTCCGCAGCTCCTTGACGCGGTCGGCGTACCGCAGCGTGTTGAGCGAGTGCTCGCACGACCCCGACCCGGGCGACACGCAGCAGATCATCACCGTGCGCGCGCGCGACCCCACGAAGCTGTCCCGCAGCACCTCGGTCAGCTTCGACCCGCGGAACGGCAGGTGCCGCGCGTTGGAGTCGAGCGCGCGGATGCACTCCTTGAGCGCGAGCAGCGACTTGTTGATCTCCGCGCCCTCGATCCGCGTCTGCTTGTCGTTCTCGTACGTGTCCGCGCCGCGCTCCGACCCCGCCAGGTCGATGAAGCTGATCTTCCCGTGCAGCTTCCCGCCCGTGCCGTCGGGCTGGCGCTCCTTGAGCGCGAGCTGCAGGATCGCGTGCGACCGCGACGAGTCCGCGTTCGCGCCCGTCGACCCCGTCGACCGCGCCGCGTTCCCGTGGTCGAGCAGCTGGATGATCTCCCCCGGGGACGTGATCGGGTACTCCTGCAGCCCCACGATGTTCACCTTCTTCTTCCCGTCCTCGCGCATCACGAGGCGCTGCCGCCCGTTGAGCAGGTCGAACACCTTGCCGCCGTAGATCTCGAAGTAGGACACCCACAGGTCCTTGCCGTCCGTGGACGGGTCGGCGCGCATGCGCTGCACCACCTCCTCCGTCGCGCGGATCGGCAGCGGCTGCATCGTGAAGGTCTTCCCGGACCCCGTCTGGCCGTACGCGAAGCACGTCGACATGCCGCGCTGGAAGAGCGACGTCACCAGCGGCTGCACCGTCTTCATGTAGACCTCCTCGTTCGTCACGCTGGGGTCGAGGACCTCGTCGAACACGAACTGGTGGCGCTCGACAACGCGCGTGAGGTCGACCTTGACCTTCGGCTCGTTGACCTGCGGGCGGGGGCGCGCGCGGGGCCGAGTGGGTGACAGCTCGCAGGGCAGGGGCGCGCGCGTGGCGGGCCGGCGACGCGCGCCGGGGCGCGCGGGGGCGCGGACGGGCATGTCTGGCGCGCGTGCGATCCTCGGGGCAATGCGCGGGCGCAGACGATGGACGGGGCGAGGCGTGCGCGGCGGCAGGGCCGAGGCGCGGGGCGGGGCCGTACGTGCAAAATTCCCCTCTCGGGGTCCGTCTCCAGGACGTCGTCCTCGCCCCGTTCCATCTCCTTCTGGTTCATGGGTCGCCGGCGCACGACGACGCGGATCTTGGCGTCCTCAACTGCGCAGGATGAGCACTTTGGCAAGGTGTTGAGGGGCAAACAAACGGCGCGCACGGCCCGCCGCGACGCGCCCGCACCGCGCCGGCCCCGGACGCCGGACAGCGCGGGCTCCGCCGGGCCGGGCCGAACCGGCGCCCCGGGCACGGTGCGCATCGCGGCGCGCTCGCAAGCTTCGGCAGCGGCAGCAAGTTGCCATCATTGCGGCCCTGCCGCCCCGCATGCGACGCGCATTGCGCCGCCGACCTCCCGTGCGGTGGCCCGACACACGGGCTCGCCGGCGACGTCGCGGGCGCGGCGGTTCGGCGCGGCGATGCGCGGCAGAGGGCGAAGCACGGCCCTCAAGAGCGACGGTGGGGCCGCGGGGAGCTGGGGGGCGGCAGCGGGGGGCTGCGGACCTGGCCGGTGGGCGTGGGCGGCGTGGGCGCCGTTGTCCGCGACGCCGTCGATGAGTTCGTTGGGGTGGGCGTCGAGGTCGAGCAGCTGCGCGCCCCCGTCGATGTCAGCGCCGTTGGCGCCCTGCGGCCCGTCCGGGTGCAGCGCGGCCGCCAGGATGCCCTGGCCCTGCTCCTTGTTGATGGCCTTGATCAGACGGAACAGCTTCTGCTTGTCCTCGACCGTGGTGATGCCGTATTTGCCGTAGTCCTGCGGCAGGGAGGAGGGAGGCACCTCAGGGACTGGAGCGGCTCGACGCGCCCGCGCGGGGCCGCGCGTCGCCCCGCGCTATCGGAGGCGGCTCGCGGGACATATGGTCTGTCGTTTTGGCGCTGCGGATATGGCGGCAAGGGGCCCTGGGGCGCGCGAGCGGGCTAGCAACGTGCTGCTCCGAGTCGAAGCGAGCCCGCGGGCGCGCTCCGGCGCGCCAGGCGCGCTCGCCGCGCGGCGCGTTGGTGGTGCACTTTTGATGCGCGGGGCGCGCCGTTCGCCGGCTCAGAAACGCCACGCGGGGGCGCGATGCGACCCGAATTCGCCTGGCACGAACGCCGAGCTCACCTGCATCAGGAGCCGCCGAAACGCGTCGGGAGACACGCCCGCGAAATTGTCTGCATACTCGCGAAGGCCTCCCTCGGCGAGCCAAGAGTTGACCGCCGACGCTACGGCCATGACCATCCCCTCCCTCGCAATCCTCGAGCGCGGGTGCGCAACAGCTCTACCTCCACCAGCACCGTCAGCTCGCCGTCTGTCCCTCCCTGCGGGCGCGACGTCCTCGTTCGTGCCGCGCGCGCGGCGCTCGCGGCCGCTATCACGCGGAAACGCGAGCGCGCGTGTCAGTCTGGCAGTTGAAAGACCCCCCTGGCTCCGGATCGGCCTCGCAGGGCGCGAGAGGTCGCGTGGCGCTTCGTGCGGTGCAGATGCACACTGGTAGTCCGTCGATACCGCGGGAGGCGAGCTGTACGCGGAGCATAGCGCAGGTTTGTGCACAACGGTGGGAGTTTCTCGGCAGCCTTGCAACACGACGCGGGCAGCGCTCGCTGACGGACGCATATCGTCGCGTGAGAGCGAGCCCGAGGTGCGCCTGCTCGAACCTCCCTCTGCGGCGGCCGTAGGGGCCCCTGCAAGCACTACTGAGCGGCCCGCCCTCCGCACGTCGCGTCATGCGCCCAGCTACGGGCATGTGCGAGGCGGCGTGACCATAAGCATGATGGCCATGATGATGCGCGTCCGCGTTGCAGGACAAGCCGCGTCTCCTCCCGGCTTTCGCCCTGGCAGCGCCGCAGACAGCGCGTCGTCTCCGGGAGCGACCGTCGGCCGCGCGGGATGTTCTTCCTCTCCTTCTTCAAGACCCTCGTCGGGAAGGAGGTCACCGTCGAGCTCAAGAACGACCTAGCCATCACAGGCGAGACGCGCAGCACTGGGCACACCAGCAACGCTCACGGCGCTGATCCGCACAAGAAGCGCGGCGCCCTGAGCTCGCGCCCGCCCCGCCACGCTCACGAGGCGGCGCACGACCCCGTGCGCGCTCTCCACCGCGCGGGCAACCCGCGACGCAGCGCCTCATCGAACCACTGCGCCATGCCCCGCCGCAGGAACGCTCCATAGCGTGGACCAGTACCTGAACATCAAGCTGAACAACACGCGCGTCGTCGACGCGGAGCGCTTTCCGCACATGGTGGCCGTCCGGAGCTGCTTTGTGCGCGGGTCCGTCGTGCGCTACGTGCAGCTGCCGACCGACATCGACGTCGACCTCCTGCACGACGCCACGCGCCGGGAAGCACGCGGCGAGGCGTGAGCGCTCCGCGTGTGAGATCGCACCCCGCCGCGACGGCACCCGTCGCCCAGGAGCATGCGAGCGTCACGTGGCGGCGGGCCGCCTCGCGCCGCCGCCGGGCCAACCGAGCGCCTTCCTGGCACCGCGGGCGCACCCGTGGCGCGCCGGGGTGCCGCGACTCCGGCCAGGGCGCGGCACGGCAGGGCGAGGAAGTTGCGCGGTGACGCGTTGTGTGCTGACCTACGGAGCGCGCTGTGCGTGGCGGCCGAGGACGTTTCGCGCGAGGCCCCTGCTGCGGAACCGTCGCTCTACGGCTTGGCGCTGAGCATGCACCGCACCGGGCGCGTGGGTGCGCCCCGGCACCGCCTTGTTGCGCTGACCGCTGCGCCGTGTCACCGTGCCCGGTGGGCGCCGCAGCGGGTGTCGGAGCCAGGTGCGGGCGAGCTGGTGGCTGCACGCTGGGAAAGCCGCTGTTCGCCTTACGGAATGAGAGGTCGAGGGCGCTTGGCGCCGCGCGGTGCTTCAGCGGTGCTTCGTCGCTGCGGCCGCGTGGCGGCGCGAACGGGGGTGCGGGGCGACAGGAGGGGGACTGGGGGAGGGCGCCGTGCGAGGGCCGTGTAGTCGCGGGCAGCAGATGCTGTCGGGCGTCAGCAAAGGTCGGTCCATGAGTCATTCAGCATCGTGCGAGCTTCGGCGCGCCGCTTGGTCGGGCGGCGATCGGGGCGTGGTTGAGAACATCGATTGAGGCCTCCCCGGCCGCTTGAGGGCGTTTTGTGTACAAGGACGGCCGTGTTTCGATCGGCAACTGGGCAGAGCAACCGCTTTGCCATGGCGCGAAGTGCCGCGGCAGCCGCGACAGCGGACATGCCGATGGACCTCAGCGGAGCACTCGCCAACCTCCTCCTCGCCGCGGAGTCCGAAAGTGAACACGGTGCGCGCCGGATCGGGAACCCTTGCTCGCTCGACCCATCCGCTCGCAGCTGCCAGACGCCCCCGTACGCGCAACGGCATCGCTTCGGCCGATAAGCATTGGCAGATGCCACGCAGGCGCGGCGACCGCCGCTTTCAGCCTCGGACGACGCGCCACATGCACCTGATGGTTCAGAGTTGCCCTTTGCCCTCGCTCACCTCCCCGGGCGGCTGCGCGCGCCCTGCCGCCCCGCAGCGAGCCCCACAGATCAGATGGCTCCGGCGACCGCGGCTCCGGCCCAGGCTCCGCCCTGCCGCCTCTCGGCGGGCCTGCTTTCCCAGCTGCACGCCCTCCCACGGCACCCACAGGGGGCTGTCGCGACCCCCGCTTGCAGGTGTGCACGATGCTCTGCAAGAGCTGAAGCTCAACTCGCGGCGCGACACGGACGGCGGGGAGGGGCCGCTCCGCGGCACCGCCAGCATAGGTCATCCGCCCTCGCCAAGCACGTTGCGCAGCGCCGCCTCCGCGGCAGCTGCTCCCGTGCAGAGGCGCTCGCGCTTCACTTCAGCGGGCGCGGACCTCGGGTAAGCCAATCCTCCGAGACCGCGACGCCGCATGCCGTGGACGTGGCGCCCGCGACTGCCACACGAGCCCTCCATCGCCCGCACTGCCGTTTCCCGCCCACTTGGCCGAGGACCAGGGGCGTGGGTGCCCACGAACCCGACGCGCGATCGCAGGTCATGCAATGCGCGATGCCAGCAGGTCGTGGCAGCCCTGTTACAACTCACACGCCCTACCGGCCCTCGTGTGCCCCGCAGCAACCGCGTTGCGGCCGCCGGCGCCCTGCAGCGGACTTCGGCAGCCCCGGATCTCGAGCACAGCGGGAGGGCGTCCGCCTCCCGCGTGCTGACCGCGTCGGAGAGCGGCGTGCAGCGCGCTGCGGACGCGCGCGTGGCGCAGCCCAGCTCAATGGGAGTGGGGGAGACCAAGATGGGCTATGTCAGGTGCGCGACGCGACGCGACGCGACTCCCCGCCCGTTCGCTTTCCGTGGACACGCACCGCAGTGCCCGGCCGTCACCGTCGCCCCGACCGGGTCGCAGCCGGCTCGACGCGCTCCGGCCAAGCCAGCATGCCTCGCGCCTGTGCGCAGTGCGGCGCCGTAGCGCGAACGCTGCACGCTGCACTCTTGCGGCGCCGCTGAGCGACGCTCTGCTGCGCACGAGCCGCGCGCCGCTCAACGCGGGGCGCCGCGCCCCGCGCGGACGCAGGGTGTCGTCGACGCCGTTCACGATCCGCCTGGGCGAGCTGGAGATGATCGGGGAGCTGTACAAGGACATGGCGTCGTACGTCAAGGGCTTCAACGGCGTGCACATCACCAAGGCGGTGTTCCGCGCGTACCTGCGGGAGCACTGCGTCAAGACGGCCACGGCCAAGGCGGTAGCGTCGGCGTCGCAGCAGCGCACCGGCGACGTCCGGTACACCAGGCGCACGGAGCGCGCGCGCGAATTTCTCCGCGGGCTCGACCAGGGCATGTTCAAGCAGCTCGACCGCAACGAGCGCGACAGCGTGTCGCTCGAGGACCTCCTGAGCGTGTTCTACCCCAAACTCCCCCGGTCGGACCTCGCGGTCATCGCGCGCCTCGCCGCGCGCGTCCGCGCGGACCCCCCGCTCGACGAGGGCGACGTCGACGCCCTCATGAGCCACTTCGAGGCCGAACTGATGAAGTCGCGCCTGGACTCGATGGGCGACGAGGTCCCGATCTTCATCCTGCTGCCGCGGCTCCAGCGCAAGCTGGACAAGCGGCAGAGCGCGTTCCTGAGCTACGTGGTCGAGGACGTGATGAAGCTGGACCAGCGAGACACGCTGGAGAAGGAGGGGCTGCGAGCCAAGCTGCTCGGGGCCGTGGCGGCGTGGCGGAACTTCAAGATGCCCGAGGAGGCCGTGAAGAAGATCCAGGACGCCGCGCCGGAGAGGCGCGGGCGGAGCGACTCGGGCCAGTGGGTCGCGTCGATGGCGCTGCGCTCGCGCAACCCTGTCGAGGTGCTGTCGCAGTACTCCGCATCGCGCGGCGCGACGCGGCAGTGACGCGGCCCGCTGCCGGGCGTCCCGGGCGCGCAACGGCGTGCGGCGCGCGCACGACGCAGTCGGGCCGCTGCCGCCCTGGCTGGGCGCCAAGCTGAAGCAGTGCGCCGAAGAAGAAGAAGAAGAACGTACATGCGGCACAGTCGGCAACGTTTTCTCCCCAATCAGCCCCGCAACCGCACTGGCCATCGCTTCCGAGCTCTGGTGGCGCTGCATGCTAGCCGAACGATTATTTTGCCCTGGTACATTTCGTTCACTTTCAGTGAACATCGCAAGAGAGAGATCTATCAGCGCGCCATGCTTTTAGCTTTGATTTGTTGTTTGCTGACCTACAGGTGTCCCCCGACCGCGAGGATGCCTGGGCGGCCGAAATGCTGCTGTGCGAGGAATCACCGCTCCTTAGCGAAACCCAACCGTGATGAAACCCGAAATGTAACGAACTATCACGAAACGCGTCAATGTGGCTCGTGATGCGCTGACCTACAGGCTGAGCCAGCGCGAACAGACCGCGCGCTTGGCGCTCAGTCGCATAGTTTTTACTTAGCTGACCTACAGGCACCCTCGCCGCGAGGACGCTTGAGCGAGCGAAACGGCACGGCAGACGAGACGCTGCGCACGTTTGTACTTCGCTGGCCTACAAGCACCCTCATTGCGACAGTTCTTCGCTGACCTACAAGCACCCTCACTGCGACGTTCAACGCAGGGCGAGCGACCTGGGCCGCATGTCTTGCTCTGCGAATTCACAAGGAGACAGCCCGCACTCCCGAGTTGGTATAGTACTTCGCTAGTTCTTCGCTGACCTACGAGTTGGCCGCGAGCGCACAGCAGGGCTAGTGCATTCCCTAGTGATATGTGCCTGGTCGAGCCACAGCGAGGCCGCACGTTCTAGGTGACGGTGCTTCCGATCGGCGGCCGGTTGCTCGCGGGACGTCGTTCGCAGGCGAACACCGAGTGCGGTGGTCGAATCCGTAGAGCGGGGAGCGGTGGACGGAGCAGCAAGGAAACGTGGCGTTGGGAGGCGACCCCTCCGTCGCATTGCGGAGCGCGGGGTCGCAAAGGCAGCCTGAGTCGGTCACGCGGGCGCAGAGAGAAGCCGTCGCAAGCGGTAGGGGGCGACGAGCGCGCTACGGAGAGGGCTCAGCCTCGAATAGAGCGCCGCAGGGGCGCGGCGCGTGCCGGACCGCTTGGCTGGGCCAGGGCAGGTCGGAGTGAATGCGTGCAGGGACTCGTGGCAAGGGCGGGGGGGGGGAGTCGGAAGAACGGGGGAGGGGCCACGAGACGCCGTAGAGGCTGTTGGTGCGGGCTCGCAGGGCCCTGCCGCCGAGGCGGGTGCCTTGGGGGAGCGGCCCCTGTTGTGTTGTTGGGGGGGGGGAGGTTGGGAGGGGGGGGAGGGTAGCTCCAGCTAGTGGAGGGTCGGTTGACATCTCTGGGTGGATATTCTCGTGTTTTCCTGGAGGCAGTGTATCATGTGGCCAAGAGTTCATCCAAGTCGTGTGCATGCGAAACTTGGAAAGTGGTGCTGGCGAGTCCACGACAGCAGAGGTGCTCGCACCGCTGCGGTCGCGGCCGCGGTGTTATGATGCCCGCCGCGCTGAGGGGGGGGCGAAAGAGGGATCTGGAGGGACAAAATCGGAAGAGAGAGGACCGGGAGCTCGAGCGCATCCATGCACGGGGCGTGGGCCTCGCGTCACGGTGATGGTTGCGATAGTGGGCTCGGGGGCGGGTGGAAAAGAGGTGCCGTGTTGGCGCAACAGTCGTTGGTGCGAGGTTGGAGGGACTGCAAGAACAGACGGGCGCTTGCGCGAGAAAAGGTCGAGCGGGGGACAGCTACCAGGTGTCTACGCTCGTACAAAGACAGATGGGTCGACTGTGTGTGTGGCGGTTCTCCGGGACGGAGGGGCGATGGCGGTGGCGGTGGCGGTGGGTGACGATCAAGGTGGAGTGGTGCAGTGCAGTTCCCGGGCGGCGCGTCGGGGCGGGCGCGCGGGGAACGGGGCACCAGTGCGCCTCCGGTGCGTGTGGTTCCTGTTTGTGGTCGTGGCCGTGGCGGCCCAGCTATGGCGTTCTACTACTCCTGACAATGGCCCCGGCGCCTGTCAGTTCCGAGGGGCGGCAGGGCGCTTCCCTCGCAAACTCACGGGGCGCGGGTCCGAAGAGCTGGTTCTGACTATCAATCGTTCCGCGGGGCGAATGCCGCGGGTGGGTTGGGGTGGATTGGGGGGGGGGTTGTGATTGCTGGGGGGGGCGCGAGACCGTCCTTCAGGTCGCGCCCTTCCCGGACGTGAGCGAGTCCTCCTCGACGCGCTCGGGGCTCTCCCCGGTCGCGTCGCCGGCGGCGCGGCCCCCCGGGGGGGAGTTGCTGCCGGAGTCCGACCCCCTGTTGCGGCCGCCACGTCGCCCGTCCGCGCCGGCCTTCTGGCGCTTCGCCGACCGCGTCGCACCCTCCGGCGGGCCCGTGGCCGCCTTCTTGAGCGCGCGCTGCCGGCCGCCCGGCTCCGTCCCGCCCGCGGCGGGCGCCGCGCCCGACGACGGCGGCAGCGTGTGACGCGTCTCGGACCGCACGCGCAGCGACGAGCTCGACTGCAGCCCCTTGCTGTCGTCGTCCTCCATGCACTCGTCGCTCCCGGACGCGCTCCCGTTCGCCTCGGTCTGCCCCGCGCGCCCCGAGGACGGCGGGTTGCCGCCGCGCGTGCGGGGGCCGCGCCGCGCCGTCTCCGTAGCCGCGCCCTTCCTGCCGCCAGCAGGGCCGCCGTTCGGCTCGAACGTCGCGCACGCGTCGCGCTGCGTGGCCGGAGCGCCCCAGGACGGCGGCGGCGGGAGCGGGTTTGCGCGCGGCTCGCCGCTCGCGGGTGGCTGGAGCGGCTGCGCGTCCCCCGCGGGCGGCTGCGACATCGGAGGCTGGCGCGCGGCCTGTGCGCCCGGGACAGACGACGGCACGCCGCCCCCCGGGTGCATCGCCCCTGCGTGCAGCGCCGCCCCCGCTGCTGGCAGCTGCTGCTGCAGCGCCGCGATGGCGGCGGGGTTCAGCAGCGGCTGCGCGCCCCACATCGCCGTCGTCGGAGGCTGGCTCGCCGGCATCGACACCGCCGGCACGCCCGCCTGCGGCCCGCGCTGCAGCATCGCCTGCTGCACCTGCGCCAGCGCCGACCACAGCGGGTTCGCCACCTGCTGCATCGGCTGCGGCGCCGGCGCGCTGTACGCCGGTGTCGGCGTGCTGTACGCCGGCGCCGGCACGCGCGCCGCGCCCGCCGCGCCGCCCGACGTCGCGTTGGCCAGCGAGCTGCGCACCGCCATGGACAGGTTCTCGAGAGCCTGCTTCTGGCTGAACCACGGCCCGCCCGACGCCGCGGGGAGGCGGTGCTGCGGCTGGTGCCCCGCGCGCGACGGCTGCTGGAGCTGCGGGGGCGCCGCCGCCGCCGCTGTGCCCTGGTAGCGCGCCCCGGGCCACGCCGGCGCCCCGTACGTCTGCGTGCGCACCTGCGAGCCCGACGCGGTCGCGGGCGACGCCGGCGGCCCGCTCACCGCCGGGTTCGCGGGCGGCGGGTGCGCCGCGCTCGACCGCGGGCACATGCTCGCCGCCATCTGCGAGCCAATGAGGCTGGCGAGGCCCTGCGCGAGCTGCATGCCCATCGTGCTCGTGCTGGCCATCTCCAGCACCGAGCGCAGGTGCTGCAGCGCCTCCCGCGCCTGCTGCTGCCACAGCTGCTGCACGCCACTCCCCATCGCCGCCGCCCCCGCCGGCACGCTCGCCGGCGCGTCGCCCGGCCGGCCGCCGTACGCCGCGGCGCCGTTCGCGTCCGCTGCCCGCGCCGGCTCGGCCCCGCCCGCCGCGGGCTGCTCGCCGCCCGCACCGCCGCCCGCGAGGTCGCGCCGCCCCAGTGGCTGCGGGGGCACGCCGCCCGCCTCCTGCACGCTCTTCGCCTCCTGCCGCGGCCGCCGCGGCGGGCCCGGCGGCGTCGGTGGTGCCTGTGCGGCCGCGACCCCTCCCGCCGCGGCGCCGCCTGCACGGGCGGCTCCGGCGCGCACTTCCCCTCCTGCTGCTCCTCGTTCTCCCGCGTGCCGCCCGAGCCGCCGTTGCCGGACCCGGACCCGCCCGCGCCCCGCGGCGCGGCGGCCGCGGCGCCGACGGGCTCCGTGTTGTCGTGCTTCGCGTCGGCGTCCTGCGGCTTGGGCAGCTGCAGGGGCTGCGGCGGCGCGGGCTGCGCGGCGGCGGCGGCGCCGACGACGATGGGGCGCGAGTGCCGCGCGTCCTGGAGGAGGCCCTCCGCGGTGTGCATGAGCGCGCAGCCCTCGGCGTGCGGGAGCGTCGTGGACGCGCCCACGTGGCCGTTGCCGGGCTTGCCCTCGCCGCCGCTCCCGCTGCCGTTCCCGTTCCCGTTCCCGTTGGTCAGCTGCGCGTTGTTGCTGCCCGGGTTCCCGTGGTTCCCGGGCCCGTTGCGGTTCCCCGAGTCGTGCTTCGTCGCGCTCTCCCCCACCCCGTTGCCCGTGCCGTTGCCCGACCCCCCCATCTCGCCCGACCCGTTCCCCGAGCCCGCGTTGCCGGAGTGGTCGCCGATCCGGTCGGCCTTCTCGCGCGTCTTGCTCGTGCCGTTGCGGCCGTTCGGCTGGTCGTCCGGCGCGGAGCCCTCCTTGCTCGTCGGCGGGTTGTCGCCCTCGCTCTTGGCGTCGCTGTCCGCCTGCGTCTCCGACGAGCAGCTCGGCGCGTGCCGCGGCGCCGAGGCCGCCGCGGCGTTCTCGGTGCCCATGGAGGCCGCCCCGGGGGCCTGCTCCCGCCACCGGAGCCGCGTCCAGATGTTGCGCAAGTCCTTGGACCGCAGGGGCTTCATCAGGTAGTCCGCCGCGCCCAGCTGGAGGCACTGGACGAGCGTGTCGTTGTCCTCGACCGAGGAGGCGACTGCGGGGCAGGGGGCGAGGGTCGCGCGGGGTCGGCGGCCGGCGCGCGAAGGATCGGGAGGGGCAGGCCAGTACCACGGCTGCGCGCTGGCGCGGGGCCGTCGGGGCGGATTCCGCGCGTCGTGGGGCGCGAACGCACGAAACTGGAGCGGAGGGGCCGCGGGCGCCGGGGGACGGGCCCGGGGAGGGGCCGGGCGGGGCCGGAACCGGCGCTGCACCGGGGTCAAACGACCGCCTTGTGCCGGCCGCGCGCGGCCGAGGACGGCCTCGCGTGGCGGCGCCCATCGCGCAGGGTGCGCGGAAGGCTCGTCGGGCGCAGCTGCGCGGCCGCAGCGGGGGCCGCGCACGGGCGGGAGGACCGCGACGTGGTTCGGGGCGGTTTGCGGCTCGGGATGGCAGCCCGGGGGCAGACGCGCGCGATGGCCGGCGAGGGACGGCGGCCGCCGCGTCTGTGGCACGGAAACGCGCGGCGGTGCGAAATGCGGCGGCGCGAGGCACCGCACGGCAGCGCGGAAACGGCCCCATCGAGCCCGAGCCCGCGCTGCGCGGCGCCTCGTCGCCGCCCGCGCACGTCCAGCAGGGACCTCGACCTCTCCAGTTCGCCGGGGCGACGGGGGGCGCCGTGGCCGGCGGAGCGTGGCGCGGAGATACAGTGCCAACGAGGTATCCCCGGTTCGTTTGGGCCGCCAGCGCCGGACGCGGCGCGCCCGGGACGCGGAGTGGCCGCGAACCTACGTTCATAGCAATTTGAGCGAACGGCGGACGCGAACGATGCGCTCCGCGATGCCTTCGGCGGCCAGTAAACCTGTTGCGCTCGGTAGCTGCGGCGTGTGCGCCGCGGGGGGCGCAGCACGGGGCCACGCACCTACTACGGGGACTTCCTTGAATCGCTCGTCCGCCTTGAGCCGCCGCAGGAGGTGCAGGGAGGACGACGATGGCGGCTCGTGCGAGCTCAGCACCCAGTCGTAGACACAAGCGTCGTTTCCGCCGCCCGCCGCCCTTTCCATCTCATCGTGGGCCTCCTTGCTGGTCTTCACCGCGCACACCTGCAGTTTGCGGACGCGGCAGCCGCCGGGCGTGAGCCGGCGCCCCACGCAGCGCGATCCCACTGCACCCACACACAGGCCCCGCGCGGCCAGCGCCGCTCCCGGCCCGCCCGGGCCCCCGACGCACCTGGTACGCGCAGCGCTCCAACAACGCCACTATGCGCTCCCGCGACGACGCCTTGGAGTCCACCACGAGCACCCGCACCGGCCCTGCGTGGCGCTCCCCAGCGCGAGCGGGCATGGGCTGCCCCGCGTCAGATGCCATCATGCTGGCGCTTGCTTAGTGAAAGGTCATGTCAAAGTCTCTCGTTCGGACGAACGTTCGTCTCGCTACTGCCCCGCGCCGCCCGCGCGCGCCCCGCACGAACCCCGCCCAGCACGACACGCTCCCCGGAGCACACACCCAGCACTGCGCCGTCACGCGCCGCCTCCTTCGCGGCGCCGCCCGCCGCAGCAAGGGAGCTCCAGTCGCGGGCGTGCCCGCGGCGCCGACGCGCGGCCGGCCCGGCGCCCCTGCGACCGCCCGCGGCGGGGGTCCTCGAGGTGTTCCCCCGGCCCGCTGCGGCGCCGGGCGCGGCTCGCTGCCCCAGCGCGCGCTCCATCTGAGATGGAAACGGACGTGGCCGCGCGGGGGGATCGAATGCGCGTGGGTGTGCGCCCCGCCCGCTGCGTTCCGAGGTGGTAGTTGCACGACCATTGGGCGGGGGCGGAGGTTCGAGGCAGGCCCCAAACACCGCCGAGATGGACCGGCGCGCGTCGCCGCGGCCCTGCCGCGCGGCTGCGCTGCCTGCCTGCGCCCGCGCGGGCCGGTTGCGCCCCAGACAAGGCGGACACACCGTAGTGCGGCAACAAGCGCCGTGGGCGGGGGCCCCGCGGGGGCATAGCGCAGCGGTGCCCTCGGCCCGGCGACCCAGATCTCGAGCGCACCGGCGCATCGCACGTCGGGCGGCAGGTCCACCGGCGCGTGCCTGCGCAAGCGTTGCGTTGCCGGGGCGTGCGGCACCCTCTCTGCCGGGCAATGTGCATCGCTGGCGTGCGCGCCAGGCACAGCCGCGTCGAAGACGCAACGCGCCGCGAGCGCACAGCGCCGGCCCCCGATCGCGGCACCTCGCCCGAGCTTGTGTGTGCGCGGTGTGTCGCTCCCGACGGGGGGGGCCGCGCAACTGTCCCGCATCGCCGCAGGACCGCCGCGCGTGCGTCGAGGCTGCCTCAGGCCGGGCGCACGTCCTCGTGGCGCAGCCGGCCCGAACGACCCCCCCCCCTGATGTGGGTGTGACCGCAGTCAGTCCCACGGTGGGAGCGCACAGATTGGCCGCCGCGACCGCTTGCGGCGCCGCTTGTTCCCCGCGCGTGAACATGCTGGCACGGAGGGTCGTCGTCGCCGCAGGTCGCGCCGCCGCTGCCCCAGCCGCGGGCGCTGGCCGCGTGGGCGTGGCGCCGGGCGTGCGCCCCTGCGTGCGCGCCGCGGCGTCGGCCGCGGAGGTGGACGCCTCCGAGAAGGTCGAGGAGGCCGCGCCCGCGCACCTCCCCGCGTTCCGCGCCGCGCTGGACTTCAAGTTCTTCCGGGACAATGTGGAGCTCCTCCAGCGCAACGCCGACAACCGGAACGCCGCCTGCGACGTGGCGCGGGTCGCAGAGCTCTACAGCGAGCTCGTGGCGCTGCAGCAGGTGCGCGGCGTGCGCGACGCTGCGCGCTCCGGGCCGGTGGAGCCCGTGCCGCTTGGACGGACGGAGCGCAGCGCGATGCTGAGGCGTGAAACGCGGGTTGTATGTCGCGAACCGCTGGTTTGCAATGTGTGCTTGCCATCCGGGTCGCGCCAGGGATCGTTCGGATCAGCTTTGCGATGCATCGTGGCCATTTTCACTCTGGCCAGCAATCCTGCCCGTGCGTGGCGATGGTCCCGTCGCAGCGTTTCCGCTCCCACGCGCAGCCCCGAGCAGCTGACGCCTCCCCCTTCGTGCAAGGGCTTCGCGAATGGCCCGCGTCGCCGTCGCGTCCGGCCCAGCCTCGACGCGCGCCTAGCCCCTGGAACCTGCCCGCGACCGCTCCGCAGGAGAACGACGCGCTCCGCGCCAAGCGCAACGAGAACGCGAAGAGCATGAAGGGTAAGATGGAGCAGGAGCAGCGGATGGCGCTCGTCGAGGAGGGCAAGCAGCTCAAGGCGAGGGTGGCTGAGGTCGAGGCGCGCCTCGAGGAGGTCGACCAGGAGCTGCAGGCGCAGGGCCAGCGCATCCCGAACCTCACGCACCCGGACGTACCCGTTGGCGGCGAGTCTGAGGCCGGTGAGCCCCCCCGCGCCGCACCCGCGCCAGCTGCTGCACGCGCGACGTGTGCTCGGCCTCGCCGCTGACGTTCCGCGGTCGTGCGCGACGCCGCAGTGCTCATGGCGGAGATCGGCGCGAAGAAGGACTTCGGGTTCGAGGCGAAGGACCACGTGGCGATCGGGGAGGCGCTCGGGGCAGTCGAGTTTGACGCCGCCAGTGAAGTCTCCGGCAGCAAGTTCTACTACCTCAAGGGCGCGGGGGCGATGCTCGAGGTCGCGCTCACGTCGTGGACCATGTCGCGCCTCGTTGCCAAGGTCCGCTCCGCTCAAGCCCACGCGCGCACATGCCACCACTCTCCCCGCGTGCTTCCGCCGGACGCGTGCGCCACCTCGCTCACAGCCACGCGCGCTCCCGTTCTCCGCGCGTGCAGGGCTTCATGCCGTACACGACGCCGGACCTGGTGCGCTCGCACGTCGTCGAGCGCTGCGGGTTCCAGCCCCGCGCGGACAACACGCAAGTCTACAAGACCGAGAACAGCGACCTGTGCCTCGCGGGGACCGCGGAGATCCCGCTCGGAGGCCTCTACATGAACAAGATCCTCCGGGAGGACGAGCTGCCCATCCGGATGTGCGGCATCGGCCACTGCTTCCGAACCGAGGCAGGCGCGGCGGGGGCGGCCGGCAAGGGGCTGTACCGCGTGCACCAGTTCTCCAAGGTCGAGATGTTCGTCATCAGCACGCCCGAACAGTCCGAGGCCCTCCACCAGGTGCGCGACGCGCCCCCCCCCCCCGGCCCTCACCATGCACCCCACAGCGACGCGTCACCGACATACCGCGCGTCGCTTTCCGTTCCGCCCGCGCACGAGGCACGGCGATCACGATGCCATCCGTTCTGGGCGGTGGGATCGCCAAGCCGATTGCTGTGTGTCTGTGAACGTTGAATATCTGTTTGACGTGCCATCATGTGTCGTCGCAGGAGCTGATCGAGATCGAGAAGGAGCTGTTCACGGAGCTCGGGCTGCACTTCAAGGTCCTCGACATGCCCTCGGGCGACCTCGGCGCCCCGGCGTACCGCAAGGTCGACGTGGAGGCCTGGATGCCGGGCCTGGCGCGCTACGGCGAGATCTCGAGCGCTTCCAACTGCACCGACTACCAGGCGCGGCGGCTCAACATTCGGTACCGGCCGGGCGGCGAGGAGGGGGACGAGGCGGAGGAGGGCAACGGCAAGAAGAAGGGCAAGAAGGGCAAGAAGGACAGTGGGCGCAAGACCATGTTTGTGCACACGCTCAACGGGACGGGGTGCGCGGTGCCGCGGATGATCGTGGCGATCCTGGAGAACTTCCAGCAGGAGGACGGCAGCGTCGTCGTGCCCGAGGTGCTGCGGCCGTACCTGGGGATGGACGTGATCCGCCCGAGCTGATGGTGCTGCGAATCTGTGGCGCCGGGCGGTGAGAGGGGGGCGCGGGCGTGGCGGGGCGCTCGGCGACGGTGCGCGTGTCGCGGCGGGGCCGGGCCGCATCCGGGCTGCCGGGGAGGGGTGTCGAAGGGACTGCCTTGACTCAGGTTGCGTCCGTGGCGTTCCGTGCGCGGGCGGTCAGCCGGGTCGCCGCGAGGTGATGAGGGCTCTGAGATGCCGCGGCTGGGTCGGTCCGCCGGGGAGGGGGGGAGTTGATGTTGTCGGCTGCTTGATGTCAGGTTGTCATACCTTCGCGTGACCGTCCAGTGCTGGCGCACGCACCGCATCATCGGCCCAGTGCGACAGCGCAGGCTGAGTACTTGCGCTCTGCGAATTCTGCGAGGAGTCGAGGCGTCGGTACGTGCTCCTGCTGTGTCTTAATGATACAAGCGTTCGGCAGATCTGCCGGATCAGCGTCGTTCGCGGCGTGATTCTCGCACCCGGGCCTCGATACGGCCCTGACTGCCGGACCTCGCCGTCCTCCCCGTCCACCACGCGCAGCGCTGCCGCGCACGGCGATCGTCTCCACACACCTCACGTTCGCCGCCGCCGTCGTTTCCTTGCCGTCGACGCGCAACTGCCGTCGTGCCGCCGCGACAGAGTGGATGCTTCTGACCCCGCGCGTCCATCGCGACCCTCCCATCGCAGCCGCAACGAGGCGCAAGGGACATGATGGACCCAGACGCTCCGAGCGCCGCACACCCGGAACCGGTGCCGGGGGGCGAGTCCGCGGCAGCGAAGAAGAAGCGCAAGAAGAAGAAGAAGAAGAAAAAGGCGAATGCTGCCGCGGAGGGCGACATGGCCGGCAGCGGCGCGGTGCCCACGTCTGCAACCAACCAAGCAGGTTCGCGCGCAGATACACAACAGCTCACGATGCGCTTGCATGCCGCAACGCATGCAGCAGCTGCGGTGCACCTGCCCGCGCGCAAACGTCGCGACCGAGAGGGCCCTGTCCGAGTCGGCACCAAGGAACACCTGCACTGCTGGCTCGCGCCTGCCGGGCGCCCCGGGGGCCCGCGCTCCGCCGCCCCCGACCCCGGTGCGTTGTCGTGTATCGTACTCGCAGCTGAAGGCAGCGAGGAGGAGGACGACGCCCCTGACAGCAAGGGGAGCGGAGTTGGTTCCCACGCGGCCACGCGGCCCGCCCTGAAGCTCACGCCAGCCCTGCGCGCCGACGTTGCGCCCACGGACGACGACCGAGACGAACCGATGGTGCGTCCTAGATGCGCAACAGGCGCGCACACCGCGTCTCCGACCGTGGCGGCTCGTCCTGGCACACTACCCTGAGATCTGAGCCCCGGCCGCCCCGTGGCGCCCGCAGGTCGAGCTGCTCACCACGCCCTCGCAGGCCGAGCTCGACAAGCGCTTCGAGAAGGAGCTCGCGTCGCGCGTGCCGCGGAAAATGGTCGCCCTCAGCATCGACGACCCCACGCACGACCGCAACGGTGGGAGCCGCGCGGAGCCCCCCGAGGCCCAACTGCTCCCGACGCCGTCCGCCAAGGAAGTCGACAACATCTTCAGCCGCGAACTCGGCCACGCCGCGGCCGACAAGTGCGCCCCGCGCCCGCCCCCCACCGCACCGCACCGCCGCACCCTCGCGCCACCGCGTGCCACCTCCGCGCCCCGCCCGCGCTCGCAGGTCGCCCAAGCCGCGCAAGGCCATCGCGCCGCTGTCCCTCGCGGCCTCCGCGGCGCCCCCGCAGGACGAGCCCGAGGTGCCGCGGCTCCTGACGCCCAGCGCGCAGCAGGTCGACTCCATCTTCGCGCGCGAGCTCGCGAGCCAGTGCGAGGAGCCCGCCGCCGCGCCGCCGCGCGTCCGGCCCTCCCTGCGCATCGCGTCGCCGTCGGACAGGAAGGGCGAGACCGCGGAGCCGGACGTGGCTCTCCTGGCGACGCCCAGCGCCAAGGAAGTGGACTCGATCTTCGCGCGGGAGCTCGCGACGCAGTCGAACGACCGCGCACCGCCCGGCCGCCGAACGCCCCCGCCGCTGTCGGTGGCGCCGGCCGGCGAGAGGGGCGCGCCGGGGCCGTCCGGGGCCGCGCCGGAGCCGCTGCCGACGCCGTCGCGCAGGGAGGTGGAGGAACGGCTCGCGCGGGAGCTCGAGCGGCTGGACTCGAGCGGCGGCGGGCCCGGCGGGGGCTCAGCGGTAGCGACCCCGCCGTCTGCGCGGCCAGTGTCGGCGCCGTCGCACAGGCCGGGGAAGCCGCTGTCGGCGCCGCCGTCCGCGCACCCGGTGGCGCCCGACGAGGTGCCGCGGCCGGGCGTGACGCACGCGTACACGACGCTGGTGTTCGGCGCGGACTACCCCGACGGCGTTGACGTGGCGGCGCGGGAGTCGTACCTCGCGGACGACGAGTTCGAGGCCGTGCTGGGGATGCCGAAGGAGCTGTTCTACGGCATGAAGAGGTGGCGGCAGATAGAGGCGAAGAAGGCGGTGGGGCTCTTTTGAACGGAGTGCGCCGCTGGCGTGTGAGTGAGGCTGCAATATCTGTGTATTGAACATGCAGTGTGACAAACGTGTCACACCGGAGGTCACGTTAACCAAGGAAAGGGGTGGCCGAGCAACGACGTGGTGGAGTACCCGCACGCAGGATGAGCAAGCTGCAGCAACAAGTGTCGGGGTCCCAATCACCTGCGCACGCAGCTCGAGTGAAGTCTTCGATGAGTGACGAGCCCCGCGGGCGTGCGGGTACTCGTCGGCAAGCCCCACCACGCGTCCCGATGTCGTCGGCCGGCGACCCTGCCCAGCAAGACAGCACGCATGACATCACGCATGTCAGGTGACAGCCCCTCACGTCACTGTGTGAGTCTGCGTCATCCGGACGATAGCACACCCGCATTTTGGTTCGTGCGTGGGTGGTCTATTCATACTCTGTGAGCCTGCGGGTCGTGCGAGGGCACACTGGTTTCGCGGTCAGGCCAGGTTGTCACCTGTCATGCGCGTGGTCGCTACGGTGGGAAACGTTCGGCACAACAATTGACCAAGCAGGAGGGCACAGAAGCTGTCTCCGTGCCCGCGAGACAGAAGAATCCGCAAAGCGCACACAGTCTCGTTTACGCTGCTTACACCCCCTGAGACGCCGGCGCGCGCGGCGGGGCCCCGCTACCGCCCCGCGGCCGCGAGCTTCTCGTCGGCCTCCCGCAGGCTCCGCACGAGGTGTTTGATGCGGTAATTGGCCTTCTCTACCTCCTTGAGAGCAAAGTCCTTTTCCCGCACCGCAGCGTCCAGCTGGCCCTTCAGCTCCGCCTGCGGACCGGCGCCGCACGGTGACCTTTCGGTCGACGAGCCCGGGCGCCGTGCGCGGGGGTGAGAAGCGTGCGAGCACAAGAGGAGGAAACACCCGCTGTGTGTTTCCTTCCGAAATTTCTGCATTTGCGGGTCCGACGGAAGTCGAAGCGCGTGGGGCGTTGATGCTGGGCTGCTTCTCTTACCTGCTCTTGCTGAGCCTGCACGAGCGCGCCTCGGATGGCGCTGAGGGCTGACAGAGTGGTGGGTCCATCGATGCCCTGCGCCTTGCCCTGACCCGCTGCAAGTCGTCGATGCACCCGCTGGGTTCGTCAGCAGGCAGGAAAGATGTCGGCCCGCCAAGGTCGGGTGCAGCGGGACGGAGAGCGCCGAGAAAAGGCACGGCTGCTGGACGCTACGCTGCTACAAGCAGGTCTCTGTCGCTAGCTCACGGAAAAAACACATTTCAAGGATGTTCCCGTGTGTCTCTGATCCCTCGGCCATCGGTCGTCAGTGGTATGGTCGTAAGCAGGCGCGCGGGAGGGCCCCAGCGGCACCAGTGTGTCCCAAAGCAGCACTCACCCGCTAGTGCCGCCTCTACGGCCGTCAGCCGCTTCTCGGCCTCCGCTGCGCGCGCCTCATACGCAGCGACCGTCGCAGCGTCCATCCTCTCGTCGCTCTGTCGTGTCCGCGCGCAGCGCGGTAAGCAATGAGAAAAGAAGAGGCGGCTCGAACGCTGTCTGTCTACGAAGTTCGGCGTCGAATCGATGCGAACACCATGGACCTGGCGCCCCTTCGCAGCCGGCAACACGGCCGCGACCGCCGCTGTGGGGGTGTCAGGACGAAGTCAGGGTCTGTCGCGTTGCTCGGGGGAGTCGCAGCCCCGTGCCATGCAGGCGGCGTCGAGTACCCACCCTGGGCGGCGCGGCGGGCACTCGCTGTCCAGTGCCACGACGCTCGCGATCGCGGAGAGACGACCCTCACAGCCGCGCGTTCCGCCGCTCAGCTCCTCGTGCGGTGCTCTCCGGGCGCGCACTCGTCCTCCGAGGTGCTCTTTTCGCTTCCCGGGTGCCCATACCCCGTGTGGGTCTGATCCCTGCGTCCTCATGGCACTGGCCACCGCCCTCCGTCCCCAGATACTGCGTCCAGGACAAGCCGGCAGCAACCAACTGCGCATCGTCCACCCGCAGCAGCGCAACCTCCGCCCCGTCCTCGGCGCCCGCCGGGCTCGCGCGGCCAGATCTCTCGAGATGAAGGCCGCGAAGATTGGTGTCGGCGTCGTTGGAGTCGGCCTCATCGGCTCCGAGCTCCTCCTCCAGGTGCTGGATCACTCCCCGCTCGCGGACCGCGTGCTGTCCGACTGCGCCGCCACGAGCTCGCGAACGCAGCTCACGTTACGTGACATTCACCACGCGAAGTGTCGTGCGCGAGGACCGCAGATTGAGACGGAGGCGGCGCGCTTGGCAGCCTGCGGCGTTGACATCGCAGTGCTGGGGCTCGCCAACTCGCGCAAGATGCATCTCGCGAGCAGTTCCGCGGGCGAGGTCGTGCCGACGGGATGGAAGGACGCGTTGGCGGGGTCCGCGCCGGCCGCGGACCTCGCGGCGTTCGCGGACCACGTCAAGAGCGAGTGCGCGGCGAGCGGGCGCCACCCGGTGCTCGTAGACAACACCGCGAGCGACGTGCCGCCGTCGCACTACCTGCAGTGGATGGACAAGGGGATCAGCGTGATCACGCCGAACAAGAGGTTCGCGACCGGCCCGATCGCCGACTACAACCAGGTGAGCACACCAGCACTCGAGAAACCCTGTCTTCCAACGACCCGCTGACTTCTTCCACGCCAACCGCCTCTCGCACGCGCCACGCTCCCCCGCGGCCTCCTGCCGCCCACCCGCGCCTCACACACTGGCACACGCCCTTCGCGGCGTCAGCCGCACGTCCGCGCCGCCACCCAACAACAGCCCCAACACAAACACATACAAATATGCAAACACGTACAAATATGCATTACCTACATAGGAAATGCCAAACCAACAGCAACACCGCGGCACCCCTATCATCCTCGGCACCCCGCCGTAGCCCCTCGTCGCGCTCGCGCTCGTTCACGCCTAGCGGGGGGGCCTCGAGCCTCGACCGTTGAACCGCATGCATGACCACGTGCCTCCCGCTCCCCCGCGCAGGCGCGCAAGCTGGCGACGTCGACGGACGCGACGTTCTTCTACGAGGCGACCGTCGGCGCGGGCCTCCCGCTGCTGTCCACGCTGAAGACGCTGCGCGCGACGGGCGACAAGATTGTGCGCATTGAGGGAATCCTGAGCGGGACGCTGTCGTACATCTTCAACACGGTGACGCCCGCGGACAACTTCAGCGACGTCGTCAAGGGCGCCAAGGACCAGGGGTTCACCGAGCCCGACCCGCGCGACGACCTCAGCGGCACCGACGTCCAGCGCAAGGTCACCATCCTCGCCAGGTGCGCGGCGGCCGCGACGATCGAGCGGGAAAACCGCCCACGCCCTGTCCTGCCTGCGCACTTGCAGCCCTGCGGCAGCGGCGCGCCGGCACCCGCGACCTCTCGCCCTGCGCTGCATGTCCAGAGTGACATGTTGCTCCGCGGCCGAGAGACGCCTCCGACGGCGTCTCGGCCGGTTCGAGACGGCACGGTGCCCCCGCCCTCACGCTCACGCACTGTTCGTTGCGCGTTTCCAGGGAGTGCGGCATGACCGTGGAGCTCGACGACGTCCCGGTGTCGTCGTTGGTGCCGGCGGCGCTCTCGTCGCCAGACATCGACGCCGCGGCGTTCCTCGAGCGCCTCCCGGAGTTCGACGCCGAGTTCAGCCAGCGCATCAAGGACGCGGACGCGCGCGGCGAGGTCCTGCGGTTCGTCGGCGTGGTCGACCCCGTCGCGGGCAAGTGCAGCGTGGAGCTGCAGTCGTACCCGAAGTCCCACCCCTTCGCGTCGCTCCAGGGCGCCGACAACATCGTGCAGTTCCAGACGAGCCGCTACAGCAAGGAGAGCCCGCTGCTCGTGCGCGGGCCCGGCGCCGGCGCCGCGGTGACTGCCATGGGGGTGTTCGGGGACCTGCTGCAGGTCGCCAACCACAAGGGGTCGCCGGAGCTGTGGCGCGGGCCGGAGTGAGACGCAGGCCGCTCCGGGAGGCGGGTCGTCGGCAGTGCGGCAAGAGAGGGCTGTGTGCAAGAACGGGCCTGTGGCAGCCGTTGCTGCCGTGCTGCGCGACGTGTGACGCCAGAGTGCGACGTGACTGCATCCTGCACCGCGCAGCCACGCTCGCAGCCGCCGCAGCTGCCCTCAATATGCAACGTGGGGGATGTCGACAATCACACGAGGGGCACGTTCTCGTGGCCCGACCCGATTGATATTTTCCGCTCGTTCGGAGGCGTCTCCGGCGCCGGACTGTCGTACCCCGACGCGCCCTCGCTCGCCGCACTCTCCCCCGCCACGCCCCCGAACAGCTGCGGGTCCAGTGCCGGTCGCGGCGGCAGCGCAGCCTCCGGGGTGCCCGGCTCGCTCGGGCGCTGCGGAGACGCCGCCGGCTGCTGCTCCGCGCCGGACGCCTCCTCCCTCTTGAACGACGCGCTCTTCTGCGCGCGCTTGTCCGCGTAGGCCTTGAACGACTCCTTGGCCTTTCCTACGAACTTTGCGAACCCACGCGAGGCCGCCGACGTGCCCGCGGAGATCGTCTCGCCCACGGTCATCGTCCGGCCGAACTTCGGCGTGCCCTTCCCGCCGCTCGAGCTGCTCGCGTTGCGCCGGTGGCCCGCGCCGTTGGCCGACGCGTCGAGGGGCGCCTCGCCCGCCGCCACGCCGCGCACGCCCGCCGGCAGCGCGAGCTTCAGGTACGCGTCGTCGCGGCGCTTCAGGAGCTCCTTGAGCATGCCGTGCTCCGTGTGCATCCGCGCCACCATCGCCTCCCATTTGTCCTTCAACTCCCAGTACTCGTGTGACAGACTGGCCAGCTCGTGGTGCTTGGTGACCAGGGCCGTCTCGCTGTCGCGGAGCTGCTGCAGCGTCGCGAACGCCGCGCCCTGGAGCGTCGCCTCCAGCTGGAACGCCGACCGCTTGACCCAATTGTCCCCGTACACCCCCACCAGGTACTCGCCCGGCGTCAGGTGGACGCGCTCGCGCGCCTCGAGGGAGTCAAGGCGGCGGAAGATCGCCGACTCCGGCTCGTCCACGATCTCCTGCGCAGCCGGACCTGCAGCAGTCCCCAATACACCCCCCAAACACGCTGACTCAGTTTTTAGGACCGACACGCGGGAACTTGCGATGCGGGCGAACCAAGCGGCCCGGGACGCGCACCTGGACCCAGATCGTGCGTGGGGAACTCGAGGAAGTACATTCCCACGACGGACGCCCCCTTGAGGTGCCGGCAGGACTCCTCAGTGGCGACCAGCCGCCACCCGCCCACGTCGAGCACCTCCCCGGAATGCGAGCGCTCGAACAGGAGCATCTTGAGCCGCGATCCCTGCGGGGACGCGGCCGTGACGCAGAAGCCCCCGTCCACGTGCGGCTGCGCGATTGTGAGGCGGAAGAACTGCGCGGCGCCGCACTCCACAACGCCCTCCGCGCGCTCGCCGAAGTTGAGCTCCGAGAACGGAGCGCGCCCGGTCTCGACCTCCTGCGCCGCGGAACGCGCGCGGCTGCGTTTGCGCGGGTGCGCGGGTGCGTGTGGGCGCGACGGTGTCTGATGCGAGCTGCGACGCGGCGCACCTCGATGATTTCCGTGGGGACCGCGGTGCGGATCTTGGTGACGCCGATCTTGGACAGAACGCCCATGGTCACGCGCTGCACGGCGGCCCGGCGCGTCGCTCCGGTGAGCAACACAGGCACGTCGCAACTTGTAGAGCAGCGAACCGGCGAGGCAAGGCGGTCGCATCGATCATGCAAGTGTTGTGCATGGTCGGAGCGCGGTTCCTGATTGAATGCTTGCGGGCGGAACACGCACACGCGCGAAACAGAGACCACTGCCGCGCACAAGGTCAAGCAGCGCCAGAGCGCCCTACGGCACAATCACGAGCCGCGTGCAATCTGCACACCTGCATCGCCGTCAGTGTCGTAGGGTCGACCGGAGCCTCCGCCTTCTCGGCCTCCTCCGCCGCGATCGCCTCGGCACCACCTCTGTCGTACTGCCGGCGCCTCCGTGGGTCCCCGAGGATCCCCCAGGCCTCCTGCGGATCACGACGCGATAACTCCGCCATCTGCCAATGCCAGGGGTCCAGCGGGCTCCCCGCGGGGGCCACGCAGCGCGGCTGATCAACGCAACTTCTCGAGCGCCAAGTGGCCGCGCCGGGTGGCGCGTTTCCGCACACCCCGATACGCCCAAGCTATGTACGATCACCGGGCTTCGGATGGGCGCACGTGGAGAATCCCCAGAACGTGCGTACAGGGCGGGCACGGGCAGTACGGGCGCGTGAGACCATCCCGAGTTGCCTCGCGGGGCTTTTGCCGCACCTGTATCTGCTGGAAACGCTCCGCCGCCGCGTTCCCGCCATCCCTGTTCTTGTCCGGATGGTACGTAACAGCCAGACGCTTGAAGTTGCGCTTGATGTCCTCGTGCGTCGCGGTCCGCGGGACCTCCAGTACGCGGTATGGGTCCATTGTCAATTTCGGCCACGTCCCAGCGGACCCCTGTCACCAGCTCCCGGGATCAGCGCTCCTCAGTTCGATCGGACGCGCTCGACAGCCGCGATGTCGGCGCCGCAGGGCAGCACGGCCGCTGCGCGGCGCCAGATTCCTCGTGACAGAAAGCACCTGCAAGCGCGCGGTGGGCCCCCGAGGAGAGGTCCGAGCAGGCTGCGACGCGGCGCGGAGTGCCCGTCTACCTCGCGAGCGCCACCAACCGCGCCCGCCCGCCACCCTCGCGTCCGACCGGGGCCCCTGACACATGGTCTGTTTTTTACCGACACAGGCAGGTGCGACGGCAAGACTGCGCCCCGGTCCTTCACCTTGCGGCCTGCAGCGCTGTCCCTGCGCAACGTGCACATGGCAACCTCGTAGCTCAGCCACGCCCACGCCGCGCTACCGCGTGGGCAATGCAGCCACACGAAAACAACAAGCGGGCGTCGCCGCCAACACTGGGTGGCAGGGCGCGGCACAGGGGGGACGAGGTAGCTTCGGAAGGCATCAACGTCGCGCATGTGCTCGAGACCGGCTCCCAAAGTCTGTCAACAGGTCCCGAACGAGGGGCTGTCAGCCCCACAATGGGCATCAAAATCTCTAGTGACGTGATCCCGCGGGTCTCCTCAGGCGGCGAGGCGCCGCTCCGTCGGGGGCTCACGATGATTCGATGCTACGTTGCCCGCTGTGTCGCCTTCGAGGGCCCGGACTGGCGCTCACTTACCTGCGCTGTGTCGAGGCGAGGGTCGGGGAGTACCGCTGCAGGGGAGGCCGTGCGCGGTTCGTGCCCTGCGCTGAGGGACGCTCGGCCATGGGCGAAGGCTGGCTGCGAGGCCTGCTTGAAACTGCAGGCACTGCAAGAAACGTGCGAACATGCCACTGGCAGCGAGAGGTCGCCCACGCGCTGCACCGTGGTGCGGAGGTCGCGCAGCCCGCCCCCGTCGACTCGCCGGAGTAGTGCGCTGTAGCGACGCTTGCCGTGGGTCGCCGACGCAGGCAGCGGCGAAGGCGCGCCGAGTCTGTGTGCGCTCTGGATGAGGCTCGCAGGCCGAGAGATGATCGTCATAACACGGCTGTCTCAAGCTGTCGTCCACATCTCAGCTTCATTTTGAGGCTAGATCCGTGACGGATATGAGATAACACGCCCGCGTTCGTACGCGGAGAGCAACATTCTCCAGGTGAAGCAGCCCACTCAGCAACTGCACTCCTGCCCCGTTTGAGGACTCGATTCGGCGCCTCGAGTGCTTTGAATGAATGATGGATTGCCGCAATTGCCCTCGTTAGTGTTAGTGTGCGCTCTGTCTGCCGCGTCGCGTGGAGGGGAACGATGAGATGTGTGCACGCGTTCGCTCGTGGCCACGCCGCACGACGCGCCAGCGATACCGTCGAGCACGCCAGGTACACCGGAAGGGGCGCACTCGGGCCTGGGCGGGCTGGCGCACCCGGGTCCCGTGGAGGCATCGTGACCGCACACTTCCTCCTATCCCTCTAGCTACAACCGCGCATTTTGTGACCTTCTTGGCGCGTCATGTGCCACTTGTCGATCGTTTCAAACTTATGATCCTTGAAGCGACAATGTGTCGCGCGTTTCGGCGATAATGTCACATGTTGACGGTTCATGTGCGGCACGTTTTTTGCGCCACAACCTCCACTCAGAACCACCCTCCAGACTCGCACGCGATCTCCGCGGATGCCTCAGCGAAGTCGTCAAGATCGGCGCGCGGCATCCTCTTCGCGATGCGCCGCAGCGCCGAGCAGCAGTTCTGGCGGTTGTGGCCCTTGAGCCCACAGTCGCTGCAGCGGTTCTGGAGCCCCGCGGCCGCGGCGATTTGCCGGAAGTCGATGTCCTTCGAGACGCGCTTCGTCCTCAGGTAGTACTCGAGCCCGATGATCGCGCCCGCGGCCGCGAGCGCGAGCCACTCGCCGGCGCCGCGCCCGGTGAGCTTCTTGATGAACCACTTGATAGTCTTCTCGACGGCCTTTTGCAGCGCCACAAAGACGACGCCTACGACGTTTCCGAAGGCCACCTCCGCAGCCTCCACGATAGTCTTCGCGATCGAGACGATCTCCGCGCCCCTGCCAAGCATTTCCACAAGGGACCATGCCTTTTCGATAAAGCGATAGTGAACCGGCGCCATGACGAAGGAAGATGTGACGATGAGGAGTACGAACACGCCACGGGCGCCGCAGCTCGCCGCAAGTAAGCCCGGGACCGCCAAGAGGCAGCCCTCCGCAGTCGGACCGACCGACATGGCACGAGTCAGGCACGTGGGACGACTCGGCTCGGAGCCGCCCCGGGCTCTGTCCGGCAGCTCGCACGGCGGGCCCTGCACTTCCGCTGCGTAGCAGTCTCGTCGCCCAGCCGCGCGACCGCGTGCACACGGCCACAGGACAGCGTGTGTGGTGCCGCCGCCACTGGCCCGGGTGTTCGCGACAGGTGGCCCGAGATGGCTCCGGAAGGCATCAGCGTCGCGCAGGCGCTCGAGCACATGCAGGCCATGGTGCAGCAGGGCGAGTTCGCTCAGGTGCGTACCGTCCCGCCACGCGGCTTCGCAGCATTGACTCGTGCCTGCAACAGCTCGCGTGGCGCGGCGCGACGGGTGTGGCCCGCCGCGCGCAGAGCAGCTGCGCATGGCGGCATGCCGCATGGGCGTGCGCCCGCGTCGTCGCGGGCGCGAGGACGGCGGGGCCCGCCCTGGCCGGCGCCGCATGGGCGCTGCGCTGCCTCGCTGTCCACTCTGCGGCGCGCCGCGGTCGCCGGGCGCAGAAACCGACCAGGACGCGTTTCAATCGCGTCCCGTCGCTGAGGCGCGTTTGTTCTGGACGAATCCGGGCCCCGTTGGCGCCAGGGCCGCCGCAGCCCGCAAAGATGCCCTGCGCTTTCTGGCACTCCTGCAGCCGCGCTCGCGACCGCCAGCGCGCTCTAGCGCGCCCAACGCGCGCCGAAACGACTGCTCGGAGCGCTCTCCTGTCCGCACATTTGAATTTCAACGCATGGTGTGCGCTGTCGAGCGTGCGACGCGCTGGGCGCTGTCCCGGCCGCAGACTCGAGTGCATCACGTCCTCGTTCCTCCGGCCGTCCGCGCAGGCGACGGCCATCGGCCGCAGCTGCGAGATCAACCTGGCGTTCGAGAACTACGCCGACGTCCACCCGGGCGCGGAAATCTGCCGCGGCGCGCAGAGCCGCGTGCTGCACGGGACCATGACGCTGCCCTCGGACGCGCCCGTGAAGCCCGACGGCGCCGGCGCCGTCCCCGTGGCCATCAAGAAGGCCGTGATGGCGTCCAGCGAGGACCTCGAGCGCTACCGCATCGAGCTCAAGGCCATGGCGTCGCTCTCCCACCCCAACGTGCTCCGCCTGCTGGGCGCCCAGGCGCTCCCGCCGAACTACACGCTCGTCCTCGAGTTCGCGGCCGGCGGCAGCCTCGAAAACGCCCTCCACGCAGCCGGGTGGCGCCCCGGGCCCCGCGACGCGGTCTCCGTCGCCCTGCAGCTCGCGAGGGCCCTGGCGCACGTCCACGCGGCCGGGCTCGTCCACCGCGACGTCAAGCCCGCCAACGTCCTGCTCTCCGAGCCCCGCGACAGCCGCGGCAGCGGCGCCCCGGAGGTCAAGCTCACGGACTTTGGTCTCGCGGAGTCGGCGGAGAAGCTCGCGCGCGAGGCTGCGGACCTGACGTCGCGCCTCAAGGCCGGGATGCCGTCCGGGGGGTTCCACAAGAAGCACATGGTCGGCACGCTGCAGTACATGGCCCCGGAGGTCCTCATGAAGTCGGGCCCGCACTCCCCCGCCGCGGACATGTACGCGTGGGCGGTCGTAGCCAACGAGGTCCTGAGCGGGGTTGTGCCGTTCAGCGACTGCACGAAGGAGAACCCCGCGGCGCACACGGTGCTCGAGATGGGGTACGGGCAGCAGGAGCTGGCCGCGGCGGTGTGCGGCGAGGGCCTGCGCCCGCTCCCCGCTGCGTCGACGCCGCCGGCGCTGCAGGCCCTCTTGGACCGCTGCTGGGTCGCGGACCCGGCGCAGCGGCCGGCGGCCGCGGAGGTCGTGGCGACGCTCGAGGAGCTGCTCGAGCGGCTCCCGGCGGACCACCGCGCGAGCACGGAGCACGAGGAGGCGATGACCCTCCCTGGGGAGTCGAGTCAGGGCGCGAGCGTGACCGAGGCGGCCGCGGAGGGCGAGGCCGCGCGGGCCGTCGCGCCTGCCGGTCCGTGGCCCGCCGCGCCGTGGGCGGAGGGCCCCGCGGACGGCGCGGTGCGGATGGGGCTGTTCACGACGGCGGGCAAGCGCGAGAAGATGGAGGACGCGGGGACGGTGGTGTCGCCGCTCGGGGGGCTCGCCGGGGTGCACATGATGGCGGTCTTCGACGGACACCGCGGGGCGTACGCGGCGGAGCGCGCGGCGGTGCGTTCCTGCCATGTTCCTGCACAGCTCGCGCGCGGTGTCTCTCCGCGGCCGCACCGCCGCAATGCACGACACTTTCTACACTGTCCCTGACTGTCTGGACAATGAGCGACTGGCTTCGCTGCCGCAGGCAGCTCGCATCGCGCAACACCCCCCCTGCCTAACAACACTTCCCCCCCCTGAAACGCAGGCGGACATCGAGGCCTACTTGCACCGCTCGTGGACCGCTCCGACCGCGGAGGAGTGTCTGCGGCGCGCCTTCGTCGCCCTCGACGCCTCGATCTGCTCCGACCTCGCCCGCCAGCACGCAGAGAAGGTCGCGTGCATGGGCGCCCCCGCCGCGGGCCCCAAGGCCTGCCCTGGCTGCACCGCGATGGCCGTGCTCGTCGCGGGCCCGCGTGTGTACGTCGCGAACGCGGGCGACTGCCGCGCGGTCCTGTGCCGCGGCGGCCGCGCCGTCGCAATCTCCCGGGACCACTCGACACAGTCCGAGGCGGAGCGGGAGCGCATCACGGCGTGCGGCGGGAAGCTTGAGTGGCTGGTGGACGGGTGGCGCGTGGGCGCGCCCGGGCTGCAGGTCACGCGGTCGCTCGGGGACCCGGACGCGAAGCCCGACGGCGTGACGGCGGTGCCGGAGGTGACGTCGACGGCGCTGGAGGCGAGCGATGAGTTCGTGATCGCTGCGAGCGACGGGCTGTGGGAGGTGCTGACGAACGAGGAGGCGGTGGGGATCGTGCGCGACACGGTGCGGGACCCGGGGATGTGCGGGCGGCGGCTGGCGATGGAGGCTGTGTCGCGGGGGTCGGGCGACAACGTGTCGGTGGCGGTGGCGTTCCTGGGGGGCGCGGCGGCGGGGGGCACGGCGCATCAGGTGTTCGACGAGACGCGCGGGGAGCTGCACCCGGTGCAGGCGACGCCGGCGGGGAGCCGCGGGGTGGCGACGGGCGCTGCGGGCGGGAACAACATGGCCGCGGACGAGGTGATGGACTTCTGCTACTGAGGGCTGACTCAGACGCACTAGTGCGTCGGTCGCCTGGTACGCATGCTCACCGGTGCGCGTTCCAATTGTGATTTTGCACCTCGTTCAGCCGCGCCACCGCCGTCGCCGTCGCTCGCCACCCGCGCGCGCCCGACGCATGCACGCCAGCAGCATCCGGTGCCCCCTCGCCCGCTCCGCGCCGCCGCCCCGCGGCCGGCTAGCCTGTACTACCTTTCCCTTCATATCGGCGCATGTCTCACAATCTCTTAACCGTCGGGTTCCGCTCCTTGTGGTACTGCACGTACGAGTGCGCGAGTCGCCGCACGACGAACCCCAGCACCACCTTCCCCCCCAGCATCGCCAGGTAACCCCCCCCCGCCCACCCCGCCAGCTGCAGCCACGCCGCAGGCCCCGGCTCCAGCACCGACTCCGTGAGGTGCACGTACACGGCGTACGCGATCCGCACGACGAGCGCGGCGGCGGCGGGCGGGTGGAACCCGAGCGCCCGGTGCACGTTGCCTGAGTGATACTGCAACGCTTTGACGCTGAGGTCTCTTTGGAACTCCGAATAGATACCGGGCCGGAGAGCGTTGTACTTGCCCAGGAACGCGTGCTTCGTGACGTCGACGAGGACCTCGGCCACGAGCACGATGGCGCACTGGCGCACCGTGTGGTACGCGGGGATGGGCGACGACATGTGGATCATGGATTCGACGAGGACGAAACAGAGCGCGGAAGATATGTGGAAGCGCTCGACGACGTCCTGCAGCGACCGCGTAGGCGGGACACGCGCTCTGTGAGGTCGGGAACGCAATGCGAGAGAGTCGTCATGGTCGGCGGCCATGGAAACATACAACGGGGTCTGTGTGGCGGTGGTGGGGCGGCGCGCCTGCAGGGAGAGGATGTGTACGCGGGTGAAGTCCATTCTCTTGAAGATGTTGCCCTTGATCTCGACGAAGTTGTTCGACACCAGGAGCCCGAGCAGGTTGTTGTTGGTGCTGTTCACCGCCACACTGAACGTGATGGCCTGGCACATGAGCACCACCGCGTGCATCAGCTGCACGAAGATCGACACCATCAGGTCCGACGCCAGGCTGAACACCGCGGCGTGCGTCGCCCGCCCCCCCGCCGCCTCGCGGCTCAGCAGCCCACACGACGACGCTAGGGCCTCGAGCGTGTCCGACCCGAACGAGCACAGCATGCGGTCCAGGATCTCCAGCGAGTTGTACACCACGTACAGCTTGATCACCTCCTGCGACCGGATCCAGTGGTAGATCGCACCCGTGTCGAGCTTGCACAGCATCAGAGCGCCGCAGGCCACCAGCACCAGCCACGCCACGTCGTTGATGTCCTCCCCGCGGATCAGGACCTCGGGCGGGTGCGCTGCGTCCGATGACTCCGTCGCCGGCTCGTCGGACCTCCGGGAATCGATCGAGTTCTCACGTCTTCGCGTGCCGACAGCGGCGTACCCTCCCGCGGGCTGCATCTTGCCGATGCCGAGCCCGACGCGGCCGAACTTGACCGCGGCGCGCAGCGGGAGGAGCGTGAGCACTGCCAGGACGGAGTCGAGGCACAGGAGGTAGCCGAAGTCCACGAAACGCTCGACTTGCCATGGCACGAAGAAGAGGGTGGAATACACGCGCTCGCGCTCCGTCATGCCCCACGTCACGTCCGGACCCTCCTCACGGAACTGTGCAGCAGTGGAGGACAAAGACGCAGAGAGTCGTCCTCAGGAACCCCGCGAACCGCACCAAAACAAACAGCATGCAAAAAACGCGCAGCTTGCAGCTGCCCAGCCGCGATGCCACGAACCAACTGCGCTCGGGATCGTCGCGAACGCATTCAGCCGGCGCGGGAGGCAGCGACAGGTGTGCAGCCAGGCCTCGTAGACGTGATGACCCCCCCCGCTCTCACCTGAGCAGACCACTCCCGACTCATGTATCCGCCCAGCGACACGTCATACCCTGACCGCGCGGCGGCGTCCTCCTGCCCGGGCTTCCCATCGCCAGCTTGCGCCCGCATGGTCGACGTGGTCCGCGAGGGCGGAGACATGGGCGGCTGTGCGCTGGCGGCGGGGCCCGCTCTGGGCGGCGTGGATGCGATGGGCGTGAGCGCGATGGCAGTGGCGGGGCTGCGAGCGAGCGGGCTGCGAAACGGCGACTTGGTCTCCGCAGCAGGCAACCGCGGCTGCTCGTCGGCTTTCTGCGAGCAGGAGGTGCATGAGAGATCAAGCTGTAAGAGGTTTATGTGCCAAGATCGGGCTTCGAAGCGGGTCCGTGCGATTGTCGTTGCGTCACGGACAGATAATCCGTGGCTCGTTCGTGCGTGATGAAGTCGCGGGCGCGCGGGGGATAGGGGGATGGGCGTGGCGACAGCGGCGGTGGAAGCTCCGGGCGCGCACCGCGGTGGTCGCGCCGTTCGCCAGGCCCCGGAGCCCCGGCTCCCCGTTCGTCTCTGGCGGCAGGCTCGACGCAGCGTCGAGCTCCTGGGCGTCGCCATTCGAATCGCGCCTGCAAGCCACGTGTTGGTGAACCACCACCACATTGCGACGATTCTTCGGAGGCGAGTGGGGGAGAGCGGGCGATGATCGATGTTTCCTGTGCAGTGCACAACCTTTCGATATGTGACTTGCGTCGCGGGTGCGACGGGGGTCGCGTCCACACCTGCTGACTAGACCAGGAGTTGATGTCACGGCGTCCTCTTTCGCGTCCCCGTCGACGATCTCGGAGATGCTGTTCAGCGCGGGGATGCTCGTCGTGCTCAGCGCGCTGGGCCCGCGCATCGCCCGGGGCATGCGGCGCTGCGGCGGGAGGGGTGGACGCTCGTGTCCGGGGCTGTTGACGCGCGCTCGGGCGGAGTTGACGAGGTCGTCGGAGCTGCGATGCTGATCGTTGCTGAGCGACGTCAGCGTGCGCGCGCTTTTGCTTCCTGTGCGGCACAGTGGCGGGCCAAGAGGAGTGAGGGAGAGAGAGCCGTACGAGGAGCTGGATAGCGGGCGGGAGGGCGTCTCAATGACGTGACGGGGTCCCTTGTTATCTAATGGCCACGTGGTGTGCTTCTCAGCACTGCCTTCTACGCGCAGCAGCGCAGGTTCTCGAGAGAGCTTGCTCGTGGGAGTTGCAGCGAGGCCTGCTGCGTCAGGTCCTTCCCCCGCTCGGCTGCGAGTTGCGGCCAGCACTGTGTGCAGCATGAGCTTGCCTGAACCCGACATCATCGCCTTCCGCCGCTCTCTGTCGGCAAAAGTGGGCGACGCTTTCTCTGCATCCTCTCCGTCCTCTCCCGACTTCCTTCGATTCGACTTACGGCGGCGGATCTTCTGGAACCCATCACCGTCCGGCGCTGCCGCCGGGGGACCCATTTTTCTCGTCTGCAGGCAAGCTCAACGCTCCACAAGCCTCATCTGCCTGTCTAATCGCACGTCTCCCGCAAGTCACACCCTCGCAGATGGTCGAGTCAGCGCGAGAGCGAACTGGCGGCCCCGACTCGCCAGGTGTGCCGCTCTACACCGGACACGTCCGTCAGCTTGCGGGGCCTATTCACAAAAGAGTCCTCTACGATGGATGCTGAGCACGTGTTTGCAGCGTCGTGGAGCCGTTCCGGCGTCACATCATTGGTGGGCACGCCCCCAGGCCGCGAACATCGTCAACCACATGCGTGCCGTTGCCGGAAGGACGCAGTTGATGTCTTCGCAGTAGGAGGCAGGGAACCAGTCTAGGAGTTGGGCGAGCCCGTGCGGGGGCTGGAGCCCAGCGTATCGCTTCAGTACGCTTCGTCTGGAGCGAGATGGGGGGTCTGCGTCCGCCCAGACCTGGTCCGGACGTAGACAGGGCGTCTAGCGATGAGGAGGACGCCACGACTGGTCCGTTGGACGAAATGCCGCCTGCGAAGCGAGCGAAGCGCGCGGGCGGCCCAACGGAAGCGGCATGGCAGCCACCAGAAGACTGGGCGACTCTGATGACGTTCGGTGACATGGCAGCGACGCAGCGTGCGGCGAGGAGACGACATAAGAAGGCACGCGCGCTCTCCACCGAAGCCGCCCGCCGCCTGCACTCCAGCGCACGCCGTCCCGCACCGTCTGAACGACGTCATCGTTGGCGTTGTCGATGCAGGAGCTCGCGGACGCGGCGGCAGCCATCGAGTCGCGCGACGGGACCGACGCCCACTGTGCGCGGGGAGCAGCGGGGATGAACGAGGAGGAGCGGCTGCGCTACAACGAGGAAATGGGGTACCAGATGGAGCCCTTCAATCTGGACCAGGTCCGCCGCGACTCTCCAGGATCCTTCGCGCCACGTCATGTGTGGTGTTGTTCCTGTTCGCCTGCGCGTGCGCAGCCCGCTGACGGGCCCCGCTCGGTCCTCGCGCCGCAGGAGAACCGCGAGGGCCGCTTCGACGAGGACGGGCACTACGTCCCGCACTCGCTCGATCAGATCCTGGAGGATCCGGACGCGTGGCTGCAGCAGATCACGGACGCCACCCCAACCGCAACCCTCGCGACCGCAGCGCCCGCGCAGCCGCGGCCCCCGCCCGCCCCGGCGCCCCCGCCGCGCACGACCGACGCGCACGCGGAGATCGACGACGTCCCGGGTGCCCTGAGTCAGGTGGCTGACATGCTGCAACACCCCCAGGAGACGGTGTTCGAGGGCCTGCGCAGGATCGGGGGGCGGCGGGGCAGCGCGCCGGCGTCGTCCTGGGTCACGTCGGACGCGCTGCCGGCGTTCCACAGGCTGACGGACCTCTCCAGCGGGTGCGCGCCCACTGCAGTGAACAAGCAGGTCCCGTGGTCCATGCAGCCTCCTTTCATCAACCGCAGGGGAGCGGTGTTCCAATACATAGTTTGATGCTGGCCCGCAGCTTTAGGGCAACAAAATCGACCACGGAGGCCGATGCGGTCGTCGTATAAACAACGAGGGCTCAAACCGGGCCTAGCACGGACGTTCTGCGCTGCGCGCAGGTTGCTCGCGGCCGGCGAGGTCGGGATCTACTCGCTGGACAAGGCCGCGCTGCAGCGGCGCGCGGAGCGCCTCCGCAACGCCAGTTTCACGCACCATGACACAGGGGGTGCGTCGCTGCCGCGGGACGAGGGCGGAGAGGAGATGGAGGAGAGGATGCACGGCGGCGGAGGTGGCACGGAGCAGGGTGCGCTGGACCCGATGCGGCAGCTGGAGTTGGCGCTTGAGGGGGGCAAAAACACTCCTAGTTGATTGATTGGCATTTTTTTCTTCTCACGAGACCAATCCCTACGGTCCTGTGCTCGTACGTGTGAGAGACGGCACATCGCGAGCAGGCTGTCACAAGGCCGGCCTGCCGGCGCTTCGCCAGGGCCCGTCAGCGCCGTACGCGCCGTCACTGCGCCCGCGTGGCGTCGTCGGCGGCCATCTTCTCCTTCGCCTTGCGGATGAGCTCCTGCGCCTCGCCCGGCTGCAGCTCGCCGTGCTGCATCTTCTCGACCATCAGCGCGGCCTCCGGCCTCCGCAGCAGCCCGCGCACGTTGCGCAAGCCCGAGCCGAAACACACGCCGCAGACGCGCACCCCGCGCCCGTAGCACTGCGGGCACTCCGTGAACTCGTACTGCGACTTGACCTTCTTCCGACTCAGCGCACGCCACTTGCCGCTCCCTGCACCGCACCACTCAGAACGCATCGGATGCACGCGAAGAGCGGAGCTGGCCGCATCACGGCCGCCGGCGGCGCAAGACAGCGCGAATCTCCGCTGAAAAGAGTGAACAGGGCTGTTGCGGTGCGGTCGTGGCGCTGGGGGCGGGCGCACAGCCCGCCGCGGGGCCGCCGGGATGGATGTGGCGGTGGTGGGTGCAGGGGCGCTCACCGCCGCACATGTCGCACGGAACGATGCCCTGGCCGGCGCACTCGCGGCACTTGGGGGCGTTCTCGAGGTCGATCTCCACCTTGTCCAGCCGCTCGGCCCGCGCGCCGGCCGGCACGAGGGCAGCACCGCACGCACAGAGGCCAGCCAGAGCCGCCTGCCTGCGCGTCGGGTTGATCAATCCCGGCGCTGACGCCGGCTGCTTGCTCTCCAAGTCGTTCTCCCTCTTCTCAGCCCGTGCACGCACGTTGCGGGCCCGGGCAGCGGCGCCACGAGCGGCCTGCAGGACAGCAGCACAACGCGACGTCATGCCGTCTTGTCCGGCCGATACAAGCGACGAACCGTCCCGAACCATCGAATTTGATGAGTCTCCATCGCGTTCCGAGGCAAGCAAGCAGTTCGCGAGCTGCGAGGCGGTCTGTGGCTGCGATGAGGAGAGCTGGCCGCCGAGGGCACACTGCGGGGGGGGCGCGCGGCGCCGCACCTGAGGCTGCGAGCGGTTGGTGCCCTGACAGCAGCTGCTGGCGAGCTCGAGGCTGCGCGTGTGCGGGATCATGGCGCCGATGGTCCCCGCTGCGCCGCTGCAGAGCGAGATGAGAGACCGGGATGGACTCCAACTCAGCAAAAGTCGATTGCCGTCGTGTCTTTCCAAGACGAGGTGCTGTCTCGGGTGTAGGGGACTGCGGCGCAAATACGCAGCCCCTGTGCGCCCCCGATGACGGATCGGTGAGATCTCTCCCCCTGCACTGCACTCCTCCAACTGCTGGTGTGCCCTGACAGGCCTCTGTGCGGCGCTGAGCTCCTGCGTGGCGACAGTCCTGCTTCCGCTTGGGCGCCCTGTCTACTTTCTTTGTGATTTAAGTGCGAGTGTCGGCGCAGGGACGCCCCTGAAGGTGCAAGCCCTAGCAGGCTCGCGTTGGCCCGCATCTGATCGCAACGCGACGGGAACGAACGCCGATATGTCGCTCAACTTGACAGCGAGCTTCATGAGGGGCAAGGCGGTGGCGTCGACCCGCTCTCAGCTCGCACAGCGTCGTCGCCCTGCAGTGCGGGTGCAAGCGCTGTTCGGCTTCGGGTGAGCACCCACCGGCAGCCTGCGAGTCGCGTTGCCTCTTCCCGGCTCACGACAGCTTGCGTGTATCGTCAAACAGAATACTTCGCGCGCTGCGTTGCTGCAAAGCGGGCGTTGATTCTGTTGGAGGAATCGCGCTCTCAGGGCCGGCACAGCGCGCCTCCGCCGACCGCTCGCCGCCCCCGCGCCCACCTCTTGCGCAGAAAGTCCAAGGACCCCGCCGCGGAAGCCGAGAAGGAGGAGGCGTGGCGCGCCCAGCAGGAGCTCATCGCGGCGCGGCGTGCGGGCAAGTCGATGGACGCGGCCAAGGCGCGGCGCAAGGACGTGTCCGCGTACATCAAGGAGGAGCGTGCGGCGCGCGAGAAGGCGTACCGCGAGGGCAAGAACGTCGAGCTGCCCCGCGGGAAGAAGTCGAAGAGCCAGAAGGACCGCTACGAGGAGCAGAACGCCGACGACCTGGGCGGGATCATCCTGCCGATGGCGCCGTTCGGGATGCCCGAGTACGACAACGGCGAGCGGTGGGACCTGAAGGCGCCGTACTCGGAGAAGGGGTGGGTGGACGAGGACGCCAGCATCACGAACCAGATCGGGAAGCTGTTTGGGTTCGGGCGGAAGAAGGAGGAGGACGCGGGGGAGGAGAAGGAGAAGGAGGGGAAGAAGTGACGCGCGTGTGTGTTGCGGTGGGGCGTGCATGTCGTGTTGATTTTGTACCGACAGAGTTTCAACGGCGTGTGACCGCGGCCGTCGTGGAGGTGGAGCACCGGCGTGCCGACGGCGGATGAGCCGTGCTGTGGCCGCGCAAGGGCAGGGCGCAGAGCGGGTCCGGGCGTAGGGGTGCGGAGGCTGCGCGGCACTGCCGACGTAACGCCTGATCGTGACCTCTCCTCGGTGCTGCGCTCTGCGCAGAGTGGCCCGAGAAGCAGCCTCGCACATCGCGCTCGGGGTGTGCCGCGGGACGCCGTCCGCGATGGGTTCGTCTCTCACATGCATGACGTGCGCGAAAGACCTGCGCGCACCAACTCAAAAAACACACTCTCTCTGCACCGCCAGTGCCAGACCCGCTCCCCGCGGAGAGCTGCACCGCCACCGACGACGTCACCAAAAACGCCCTCCGCTCCTCGCCACCGCCTCTGACCGGCAGGCCCCTCCAGACGACAAACCCCCCCGGGTCTCAGACGTCGAGGGTCTTCTCGTACTCCTCGATCGACTTGAAGAGCTCCTTGAAGTTGCCCTTCCCGAAGCCCCCGCACCCGCCCTTCTGCACCTCGACCACCTCCCCCGTCGCCTCGTCCCTCTCCTCCCGCATGCACCCCAGGCGCTGAATGACCTCGATGAACACCGTCGGGCGGTCGCCGAGCGGGCGCGTGAAGATCTGCAGCAGCACGCCCTGGTCGTCGCGGTCGACGAGCACGCCGAGCTCCTCGCACTGCCGGATCTCGTCGGGCGTGAGCACGCCCTCGCCAATACGCCCCGGGAGGCGCTCGTAGTACCCGTGCTCGGGGCGCGGCATGAACTCGAACCCGCCGACGTACGAGCGCTCCTGCATCTCGCGCAGCGTGTAGAAGATGTCCTTGGTCTTCAGCGCGATGTGCTGCAGCCCCGGCCCGCTGTTCTGCTCCAGGTACGTTTGGATCTGGCTCTTGCGACGCGTGCCCGACGTGGGCTCGTTGATCGGCAGCAGCACCATCTCCGAGTTGCTCGCGAGCACCATCGAGTTCAGCCCGGAGTCCACGGTCCCCACGTCCTGCACACACAGACGCCGCGTCGCGCACCACCGTTTGCATCATCGCGCCCGTGGGGACACGCTCCACGCCCGCGCGCGGCCAGACGAGGTCAGCGGACGCAGATGCCGTCGCGGCGTACCTCGGCGGTGAACTCGGCGAACTCGTGCATCCCCGTGGCGTTTGCGAGGTACTCGGCGGCGGGGATGAGCTCCCACACGTTGCCGACGCAGTGGTCGATGCGCTCGAACTGGAAGTCCGTCGTCTTCACGGGGTTGTCGACCGGCTCGTACCCGGGCAGGAACGCGCCGCCGTCGCAGTCCCCGGACACCAGCCGCAGGACCGTCTCCCCATAGATGATGATCTCCGCCACCTGCACGCTCCCGTTCCAGCCGGCCTTGGCGCTCAGCGTCGTGGGCTCCTGCACCGCGATCGCGCCGTGCGCGACCGCGGCCTCGAACGCCTGCTTCGCGTCGCCCACGCGCAGCCCGATGGCGCGGGCGGCCAGCCCGTGCCGCGACACAAACTTGTGCGCGAACGCCGCGTCGTAGCCCGGGAGCGGCGCGCCCGCGTTGTTGTCTGGGCGCGGGGCGTCCAGGGAGTACGGCGCGGTGAACGCGAAGGTCACGTCGCCGGACCGCACCACGTAGCTCGCGCACTCGTGGTTGCCCGTCGACATGTCCGACTTCGCGATCACGTCCATGCCCATTCCATAATTAAACCTGCGGGGACGGGCGGGGTTCCGCGCGGAGGTGAGCCAGGGCGCGGTCCGCGGCCGGGCTCCGGCGCCTACAGCCCCTCGCCGCCGAGGTAGCTGCAGCGCGCTTCTGTGGCAGAGGACGGTCGGGGCGGCTGCGCGGAGCAGCGGGCCCGCAAACGATCCAGCTGGCGCCGCAGACACGTAGCTTGCACACCGAACGTGCCAGCAAGGGCAGAAATCCGGCGTGAGAGGCGCCAGGGACGCGGTGCGGTGCGTGCGTGTCCCCAGCGGCTCCGCTGCTCAGGGCGGCGTCGTGGCGGCGTGCGGGGCGCTGGGGCGCGTTGGGCGGCGCGGCAGCTGCGAGGGGGGATCCGTGGGGGGGCGCGCGCACCTCTTGTGGGTGTTGGTGGCGTCGCTGCACCAGAACTCGACGTGGTGGAAGCCCAGGATCTCGAACCGGTCCGACCTCGGGTTGTGGTTGTGGCGCTGGAAGCCCTGCGCCCCGACGAGCTTGAGGCGCACCCTCGTGTCGGCGACGTCGAGCGAGCCCCGCCTGTCGAGCGAACCGCGGCCGCCGGCTCCCATTGCGGCGGAGATGGTCGCAGGCGCACGAGGGCCAGGGATCCGTCAGCGCGGTGCGGAGCGCGCGAGAGACCGTGACGGGGGCGACGGGGCGGTGTGGCGGTGACGTGGGGTCGCTGCTGGGCGCAGGACGCTGGTCGTGGGCGGGCGGGTGCGCGACCGTAGCCTGATGAGCTGCGCGGGGCTAGCCAGCGGCGTCGTGGTGCTGTCGCGCGGTAGAGAGGCGTTCCGCTCGCTGAGGACCTAGTTGAGTGATGCTGCTTGTGTGCGCGCGCGCTGACGTTGCCCCGCGGCCCCGAAACGCCGCGGGGAGGCCCCCGGTCGTAGTGCGCTGCCAGTCGCACCAGGCGCGGTGTGACGCGATGAGTCAGTCCTGAGCGCGATTTTGCAGGCCGATGTCGCGTTGTGTATCCAATTGTTGCGCTGACTGGCGTGACGCGCATTGTCAGCCCGCGCATTGCGCGTCGCGCCCCTCGGTGGGAGTGTGGCGCCTGGGGGTGCTGGGCGGCCGTCGCCCGACGCTCTGTGTGCTCTGGCTGCGTGTCGCGCGCGGCACATCGCACTGCGAGGTCCGGTCCGCCGTCGACGTGGCTGTCTTCCGCACAGGCGTCGATGAAGTCGGCCTGAGACCGTCTCCGCTGTTCACACGAACCTCGGCGGGCCGTCGCGGGGGTCCTGGTGACTGTCGTGGTGTCACAGCGAGCTCGTAGCGCCAGGTTCGCGGTTGCAATCGAGTTTCGTCTGGAAATTAGGTTCAAGACTCGACCACGCCTCGGTCACCTCGTCAACCACCGCTGGAGAACGAGGGGCCAGCGCAGCCCTGTGAGGCGCGATGCACGTGCGGTTTCACAAAGACATCATGCTGTGCGATGATCTCGTCCCGTTGCGTCGCGGAACAGGACGACCGACACCATCACTGCCTCCATCGGGCACCATGTGTGTGCAGACCACCACCCTGTGCGAGACGGCCCACTCAGCGCTCTTCGACTACATCGAATCGGAACAGTCGAGGCACAGTCTGGCGGCCACAAGTACAAACGCGCTCCTCGCCGTTCTGCGACACACAGACATGGAGCTCCAAGTGACCGCGGACGCCTGCAGGCTCCACGAGGGGCTGCTGCGCCGCCTCGTGGGGCTTTGCGAGCACGCGCAAGCACGTCTACCGGGTCGCATTCGCGTCCACGGGCCGTTCAACGCTGTCTTTCGCACCGACGACGCCCCCGCGGTCGCTTCCCTCGTGAACGCCGTCGTTCTTGCCCACGACGCGACGAACGGGGTAGCGACGCTCAGCCGCGCCCTGGCCGAGGCGGAGGCGGCAGGAGCCACGCCTCCGCGGGTCCTGGGCGTGAGCGAGGGCCAGCCCCCGCCCGGCGACCCGTCGCTGCTTCATGAGTGGCGTACCACCGCTCGCGCGCGCATCGCACCCGCCAAGTTCGCGCAGCTGCTCGGACGCCCTGCAGTCGCGGAGCACATCGTCGACCTTCGGATCATTGGCGTCGCGATGCGACCGGCGGCGATCCGGGCCCTGCAGGCGGCGCCCCAGCTGCAGACGCTGCAGCTCGACAAATGCGCCATCGGCGCGGGCCCGGGGGCGTCGGAGCTGGGGAACCTGGTCGCGAAGCTGACGGATCTGCGAAGTCTGAGCCTCGCGTGGAACAATCTGCTCGACGTTGGCGTGGTGAACGTGGTGCGTATGTTGTCGCGTGACAATATCGCCTCGCTCGACGTCCGGTGCAACAGCTTCGGCCGGGCAGGGTGTCTCCAGATCGCGAATCTACTCTGGCCCAGCCACATGCGCAGCCTGTGCCTCGCGGGCAACCCGATCTGGGTCGACGAGCCCGTGCGGGGCGGCAGCTTCGGCACATGGAACAAGTGCAGTCGCGAGCAGTTAGCATCCTACCTCGAGGACGGCATCTGGTACACGGGTCTCGAGCGACTGGACCTGTCGATGACGGGCACGAAGATGAGCGACCTGCTCCCGGGCGACACGTGCCCTGAGTCAGCCCTGCGAGCGCTCGACCTCTCCTCGAACGACCTGCGCGACGACGGCGCGCGCGCGATCGCACGCGCCCTCTCTGAGGACGACTCGGGCCTCAAACACACGCTCGAGGTCCTCAGGCTGGGGCGCAACGCGATCGGGGGCTGCGGCACAGCGGCTCTTGCGTCGGCCCTGCGGAACAACACCACGCTGCGGGAACTGTCCTTGGCGCAGAATCAGATCGGACATCGCGGTGCAGGGGAATTGGGGGCGCTGCTGGCCTGCAACAGCGCCCTGCAGGTCCTCGACGTTCGCAGCTGTGGCTTTGGTGACAAGGGGACGAAGAAGCTCGTGCAGGGGGTGCAGGCGCAACAACGGCTCGGAGAGAGGTCGAGGCTGAGGAGACTCGATGTGTCCGGCAACGAATTCGGATGGGCCAGAGAGGCGGCGCTGGCCGAGCTGTCGGGCACGTTGCAAGTCGTGGGCTTGGAGGGCGGCGGGGTCGCCGCGTAAGGGGGTGGTGAGGGCGGCTGCTTGAGCGCTGCGAGGACTGATAGTCGCCAGCCTTGACGGCGGTGAGGGCAGCGTTTGAGGCCGACGACAAATGGTGTGCAGCATGACGCAGGGGCAGTGCCGGCAGCTTGCGGACTGTAAGCTGTCACGTCGTGCCTGGCTCGAGCGAGGAGGAGCTTACGGGTCGTTTCCTCGGGTCCTCGTCCCGCGAGTCGTCGGGGTCGTGACAGGGGGGCCTGAGTCAGGTTCGACTTCAAGCTGACTGGAGAGGCAATAGCGTCCGCGTGCGCGTCCGAAGTCATCAAGCCGCGCCACTGCATTCCACCGCAAGGACGCACGTGACACGAGACGCGAGGGGCGTCGCCTGCGCAGGTGCGTCGTCACAGGGGCTTACCGCCCAGCGGTTTGCTTTTGACTTTCTAAGGCTCGATAGCGGGCTTTTCCTGCACTCGCCCGCCGTATTGCCGCTCGCATCCCGTGAATCCGAGGCATTTCGTTGATTGCTGCACGCAGGCTGGCCAGTGCAGCACCGCATCGGCGCGTCATCGAAGTATTCGGTAGCAACGATGGCGGGCCCCTCAGAGGCTCGCACCGCGGCTACGGTGAGAGCTCCGGACCCCGTCGCTTTTGTCTGGACTACCCTTGTTCCGCTGGTGGCGCGTTCGTGCCAAATCGTCGATCCCGAGCGACCTCTCGAGAGCCAACAGTACGATCCGACCACGCTCCGCTCGCCGCAGGCTGCCGGACACGGCTCCGCAGGTAGCTCTCTCTTCGAGAAGATCATCACCGACATCCCGACGCTCCTGGAGCGCGTTCCATCTCACGACGTGCACAGGGTCGCGGCGACCTCGTGGACCGCGCTGTGTGCCGTGCTGCGGCACACGACGTTCGAGGTGCGCGTCCGCGGCGACATCCTCGGAGACAACGACGAGAGCTTCCTCGACTCCCTCGCCGCGCGGATCAGGCAGTGGGACGTTCCGTTCTCGGGCAACATCTACGTCCGCGGGCCCGTCAACGCCCTGATGTCCGTGGACGACGCCTGCGCCGTCGCAGACGTCCTCGGCGAGCTGCAGATCAACGCGGTCCGTCGCGGTCCGGCGCGCCGCACCAAAACAGCCGCCGTCGTCGTCGCAGGCCTCCCCGTTTTGCAGCAGGTCCTGAAACGGCTCGCCGGGAGGCGCCACGTGCGCGTCCTCGCGATCAGCGAGGCGCGCGGCCCGCGGCCCGACGGCTCCAACCCCGCGCCTCCGGCCCCCCCTCCGCCGGACTCGTTCTACGGCAAGGACCTGGCGGCGTTGCTGTGTAGCGCGGAGCTCAGTACAAACCTCACCGCGATCGAGCTGGACGGCGTGCCGCTCGCGCCGCTGGCGATCCAGATGCTGGGGTGCACGCCGAACGTCGAGGTTCTCAGGCTCGACCGCTGCGGCGTCGGGCCGGGGCAGCCCGTGCGGGACCTGGTGTGTGTGCTGTGTCGCTTGGAGGGACTGCGCGTGCTGAGCCTGCAGGGCAACGGCCTGGGCGACGCCGGCGTGGCGGTGCTCGCGGCGGGCCTGCCGAAGTCCACGCGCATCACGGACCTCGACCTGGCGTCCAACGGGATCGGCGGCGACGGCGTCGAGGCGGTGTGCGCCATGCTGTGGAAGCAAGAGAGCCTTCTGCGGCTCTCCCTGGCGGACAACTCACTGCAGCGGGACTTCGCGGAGATAGGCTACGGCGAGTACCTCGGGGACCACTTGTCGGAGGCGCTCACGTTCAACAAGGTGCTGCGGGAGCTCAACCTGCAACACACAGACATCCTGGAGGAGGATCTGGACCGGCTGATCGGCCCGGAGCTGACCCTGGACGTCCTGGACATACGGAACTGCGAGCGTCTGTTCTTTTCCGGGGGCGTGTGCTCGTTCACCAAGAATAAGGAGGGGTCGGGGGGGTGAGGGCAGCGCAAGCGCTGCGACACGGCGGGAGCCGTGTGGATGAAGGGCGAGGAGGAGGAGGCCGTAGGGGGCACGCGCGAGGCGCTGGCGTGGACGATGCCGCGCGCGGCCAGGTCGATGGGCGGACACAACAAGACCGGATAGAAACAAATGGAGCTCGCAACAGCGGGATCTGCGTCTCCCTGCCGCACGCGCGGGAGTCGCGATCCTGTGCGCGGAAAACGTGTGATCGTGCTGCGCCTGCCTTTCGCCGGAGCTTGACGGCGCACGTCGCTGGCGCATGTCTGACACCCCTCGTCAAGACCCCCCCTCGTCAGCCCAGGGCGAGGCCCGTCACCGACCCCTCCGTGGCAGACACCGAGCCCGCCCCTCCGCGGCTCGTCAGGCCCAGCGCCTCGTCCCGGTCGGGCACCGCCCGTGATGCCTCGTCGCCGGCCGCGGGGGTGTCTCAGCAGGCGATGGGGGCCGTATTGAGCGTTGGGCAGCACAAGGCGTCGGCCCGTGACACATCGGAGCCACAGCGCACCGTCACGCGCCGCGCGACGATCGAAGACGTCACAGCTCAGTGCGTGGTTGCCAGCTCTCCGCAGCCCGTCGACGTCTAATCGTCTACGCGCAGCTCAAAGGGTGCTACCAGAAGCGATCTGTGATGCGCCGCGTGCCTGCGCTCGCGACGACACAGGGCTCAGCCGTCCACTTTCTTGCCGTCCCGCACCCTGAACGTTCGATGATTTAGCCCTGTACAGATAGACTCAAGTTAGCAGAGGTAGTACCCTCCGTCACGGTGACGGTCGGTCCCTTGGGCAGCCTCTGCGTCCAGCCTAGATCGTCCGGCCTCACGATGGATTCACCGACTCAAATCTCTTCGATTGCCCCCAGGCCCTCGGGAAGCTCCGGCACAAGCTTTGCTTGAAGGCAGGAGGGAGTCAGCTTCTTCAACCCTCTCGCCGACTCCCGGTCGATGAAGCCCGACCGAACGTTGCACCCAGACACGTCCAGCTCCTCCAGCGCCGGCATGCCCCGCACGCACGTCGTCGCCGTATCCAATGCTCTCAGGACGCGCAGCTTGCGTCTGGAGGTCTCCGGGATCTTGTTTGCGTCAAACGCCTCGCAGCGACAGACGTGGAGCTCCTCCAGCGCCGGCATGTCCTGCACGCACGTCGTCGCCGTCCCTGATGCCCTCAGGACTCGCAGCTTGCGTCTGGAGGTCTCCGGGATCTTGTTTGCGTCAAACGCCTCGCAATACGAGACGTCGAGTACCTCCAGCGCCGGCATGCCCCGCACGCACGTCGTCGCCGTCCCTGATGCCATCAGGACGCGCAGCTTGCGTCTGGAGCTCTCCGGGATCTTGTTTGCGTCAAACGCCTGGCAATGCCAGACGGTGAGTACCTCCAGCGCCCTCATCCCAGCCGGCACCTCGCGCAGGTCGGTGAGGTAAGCACGAAGCTCCCGGAGCGTCTCCCGCACGCTCGCGCTCAGCCAGCCCGCGTCGAAGCTGACGCACCGCGACACATCCAGCTTTTCGAGCCGCGTCATGCCTCCGGGAAGCCCGCGCACGCTCGAGTCCGACACGTCCAGCTCCCGCAGCGCCGCCGCCACGCCGTCGTCGATCCAGCGCTCGTCAAGGTTCTTGCAGTTGCGCACTCTCAGCGTTTCGAGGTGCGTTGCAGAAGCCGGGATGCGACGGACGGTCGTGCCCGACACGTCGAGGTAGCGGAGCTCCCGCGCCGAGTCCGCCGGCAGCCAGTCGTCGGCCAGGTCGATCGGTGTTTCTTCGTTCTGGCCAGTCAGCGTCAGCCTTTGCAGCGACACCATCCCGGCAGGCATCCGACGCACGCTGGACTGGACGATCTCCACCTCGACCAGCGACGCACACGACGCCTCGTCCAGGAAGTCCTCGCACAGCCCCGAGCAGCGAACGAGCTGCAGCTTCTTCAGCGCCCTCACGTGTGGCGGTACGCGGTTGATGGAGCACTCCTCGACAACGAGCTTCTGCAGCCTCTCGCCGGAGTCCTCGGGCAGCCTCGCCTCCTCCAGACATCGGCCGTGCTTCAGAGTCAGCTCCTCCAGCGCGCTCATGCCGGGGGGGAGTCTCTGTATGTCTGCAATGTCCGGACGAATGTCCAGGTCGAGCACCCTCAAGTTGCGGGCGGAGCTCGGCGGGAGCCAGTCTGGTGCGAGGTTCCAGGGCCTCAGCGTGAATGACAGTCTCTCGAGCGCCGGGAGATCTGCCGGCACGCGGTCGATGCGATCGCCACCCTGAAGCACCCTCAGCGCTGGGCGGCTCGACACCGGCAGCCATGCGCTTGGATCGAGGAACGGGCAATCCATGACGTTCACCTCCTCCAGCGACCCCATCCCCTCCGGCACGCGTTGCAGCCAGCTCCATCTCGCGTCCAGCGTCTTCACGCTCCCGCGCGCACCACGAGGCAGCCACGCGTCACTGAACAACAGCCACTCCCACTTGAGCTCCGACACGTTCACGTGCTCGAGCGCCGTCATGCCGTCGGTCAGCGGCGGCGGCGGAAGGTCGTCCTCCACCTCGTCATCATCAGACATCCAGCGCCGATCGCGCGCGCGCCCCCTCTTTCCAACATACCGCTCCACCTTCATCGTCGCGCTGAGACCCGCCACGGACGCCTCGTCCCGCGGGTCCGCCCCCGCCCTGTACACCACCACCCATCCCTCCTCGCTCACCCGCCGGATCCGCGCGTTCGCCGCCACGCACCCCTGCTTGTGCAGGCGCTCCATGATCTGGTCGGCCACCTGTGCCGTGCTGGGCGTGAGCTGCACGCCGCCCGGGCAGCACCGCAGCACCGCGCTCATGCACGCCGACGACGTCGCCGCCAGCGCCGCGCGGTCGCGAGGGCTCAGCAAGCCGACGACTTTCGCCAGCGGACCGCTGGGCAGGTCGGTGAGCTGCAGGGCTCTGCGGGGCGCGTCACTGCACGTCATGTGAGAGGACGGGGACGTCTGCGTTGAGTCGCTGCTTGCTGTCGCATCGAGGCACGCCACGCGTCGCTCCCGAGCTCCCGCGCGCAGGCAACCACCACTGAGCGGGTCATCTCACCTCGGGCTCGCAGGACCCTGCGCTCCCCCGTCCATCATCCTCGCGCGCCGCCTCGTGATCGTCTGCATGGACACGACGATCGAGTCACGCCATCATAATACCGCGTGCGGGTCCCACGGCTCCTGCCCGCCACATTGCCTGCAGCACGAGCCCCCCGCTAGCACTGGTAGCGCCGCCACACCTCACCTCGACCACAGCGCCGCGTCCTGACTGTACTTTCTCGCCACCTCCGCCTGCCTCGGCAGCCTCCCGCTCCCTCCCACGCAAGCACAGACCCACAGATGCCACCCCGCACACAAGCAGCGACCTTGTGCGTGCGCGCGCCGCAGGACACCCGACTGCGCGCCGGTGCGTGAGTGTTTGTACCGTGCCGGTGCCGCCAAACCACCAAGCACCCTCGCAGCCGCTCGCACCGGCGGTGACCGCTTGGCATCAGCCGCTGACAGCGGGGGGGGGTGTCAGTGGGACAACCCCTCGTCGCCCCCCGCCGGGGCGAGACCCGACAGCCTCCCCTGCGATAGCTGACGCGGCTCATCTGCTCGTCAGGCCCAGCGCCTCGTCCCGGTCGCCCCGCCCGTGCGACAATCGGAGTCGCACGCGGGGGTGTCTCAGCAGGCGATGGGGACGTATTGAGCATGCGTCAGGACGAGGCATCGGCCCGTGACATGTCGGAGCTACGGTATGCCCTCATGCTCCACGCCACGATCGTGAGGACGTCACAACGCAACGTGTTGTTGCCAGCACTACACTCCCCCCCGGCCCCTGGCGCACAGCTCGAGGGAGGGAGTCCCGGCGCCGGCAAGCGACATCGCGAGCACGTCGGACGCCTGCGCGGCAGAGGCTTCATTCCTCTACCTCCTCGCCGTCCCGTACCATGAACGTTTCAGGGCCATCCATCACGGTGACCGTCCTTCCCTTCGGCAGCGCTGCCGCCCAGGAGCTGACCGGCATCCACGAGTTCATCTTATCGCTCATGAAGACCGTTTCAATTGCTTCCAGTCCCTCGGGAAGCCGCGTCACGGCCGTCAAAGTGATCCGGCGCGTCTTCAAACCCCTCGCCGACTGCCGGTCGATGAAGTCCCTCTCAAGGCTGCATCCCGAGACGTCCAGCTCCTGCAGCGCCGGCATGCCCCGCACGCACGTCGTCGCCGTCTGCGATGCCCTCAGGACGCGCAGCTTGCGTCTGGAGGTCTCCGGGATCTTGTCTGCGTCAAACGCCTCGCAGTCCGAGACGTCCAGCTCCTCCAGCGCCCTCATCCCAGCCGGCACCTCGCGCAGGTCGGTCCTGCGAGCACGGAGCTCCCGGAGCGTCTCCCGCGCGCTCGCGCTCAGCCAGCTCGCGGCAAAGCTGACGCACCCTGACACATCCAGCTTCCTAAGCTGCGTCATGCCGTCAGGAAGCCCGCGCACGCTCGAGTCCGACACGTCCAGCTCCCGCAGCGCCGCCGCCACGCCGTCGTCGATCCAGCGCTCGTCCAGGCTCTCGCACCCGCACACAATCAGCGTTTCAAGGTGCGTTGCAGAAGCCGGGACGCGACGGACGGTCGTGCCCCCCACGTTGAGGTAGCGGAGCTCCCGCGCCGAGTCCGCCGGCAGCCAGTCGCCGGCCAGGTCGATCGGTGTTTCGCCCCAGCCAGTCAGCCTCAGCCTCTTCAGTGACACCATCCCAGCGGGCATCCGACGCACGCGGGACTGGACGATCTCCACCTCGACCAGCGACGCACACGAGCCCTCGTCCAGGAAGTCCTCGCACAGCCCCTTGCAGTCAAAGAACCACAGCTTCTTCAGGGCCGTCACGTGCGGCGGTACGCGTGTGATGGAGCGGGACCTGACGCCAAGCTTCTGCAGCCTCTCGCCGGAGTCCTCGGGCAGCCACGCCTCCTCAAGACCCAGGCAGCCGCACAGACTGAGCTCCTCCAGCGCCCCCAGC